AAATAAAAAATTGAATATGCATTGGGACAGTTTTGTGGCCGTAAGTTAATTTTATTTAATTTAAACATAGAACAACTAATAATCAGTCCAACGACCTTTTGCCTTTATAACAGCTTTGCAACGGTCGGGCATAGAGTCTATAACCCTTAAACAATCTTCTTTGGTAATCTTATTGTACCATACATCCGTGATTCTTTCAAAAAGCTCACGAATACCCTTAGGTGGTGTCTCATACTCATTAAGTCTTCTTTTTGTTAGAGCCCACATATGTTCAATAGGATTAAGGTCTGGAGACTGTGATGGCCAATCAAGAACTTCGTATTCCTGGCTTTTCAAGTATTCTTTGACTGGAATTGACCTATGTTTTGAATCGTTATCATGCTGGAAGACGATTTGGTCTCTCCTTAATCCTGTTTGCTTGCACACCATTTCGATAGATTTCTCTAATTCGTCTTGAAGGATTTCCTTATAAAGCTCTCCGTCCATAGTAGAGTCTATTTTGCACATCCAGCCAACTCCGACGCAGGTAATACAACTCCAAATCATGATTGAACCGCCTCCATGTTTATAATTCTGCTTAATATGACGTATTTGAAGACTTTCATTGTCCCTTATCCAAGCCCAGACACGTCCATCGGAGTTAAAACGATTAATTTTGGTCTCGTCAGACCAAATAACCCTTCTCCAATCATCGACTGTGTAGTCTTTATACTTCTTTGCCCATCTAAGTCGTTCTTTAATATTTGTGGGACTAAGTGCAGGTTTCGCTTCCTTTTCTATAGAACCCAAACCGAGTGATTTTAAAGCGCGACGAACTGTCTCAGATGAGACTGACTTGCCTAGCTCCGACTTAATTGAATTTCCGACTTGCACAGCGTTTTCTAAACCTCCTCTAGTTATTTTATGAACACAGTAGTGCTTGTCCCTCTCCGTGAGCTTACCAGGTCGTCCCCCTTTTGACAAGCTGCGCCCAGATAAATATGTTTTTCCGATGCGACACACAGAACTCCGACTCACACCAATCTGCTCAGCCACATGACGCACAGAAAGTCCGCTGTTGAGCTTGGCAATAATGTCATTTCTTTGGTTTTCACTTATGGAGCGCATACTAACAATATGGCCTCAAGATTTAGTCCCCAAAATTATAGAATATTCTAGAACTTACCTTAATTATACTGTGGAAGGTACAAAGAAATAATACGATCGCTACTATATGCTAGGCTGAAGTTACTGCCAAATTGTGGGACAGATTTTATTTTTATAAGTACGGCCACAAAACTGTCCCAATGCATATTCAATTTTTTATTTAATATTTTACGCTGAGTTTTAAATTATATTTCTATTTTTGGTAATGACTTGATAGAGAATTACTTAGGCTATCGAATGATATTTTCGGTATCTTTCTAGCATGATTACAAAAGAAGAACGAGTCAGTTAAAGAGAAAAGTGCAAAACATTGGGACAGTTTTGTGAGTCACTGTACATATCAGATATACATTGATAATATTGAATATTGTTAAATAATGAAATCTCATACAATGATAATGATAGTAGCTCATAAATAATTGGTATTGTTGCAACTAGACATATTCACTGAGAATTAATATTGATGTGTCGCAGTCCAATAATAATGATTCGTTATGTTTCTAGGAACAGCGACAACTCAGGGAGAAAAAAGGAATAAAGATATATCTTATTGATCGCAGAATTATTCGGAGACAATGTTTTATGTAAAACACTTTATTATAGTAAAACTTGCTTATCTGAATCATATTTCCATTGATAACACTTACCTTGTAAAAACATATAAATAACCCTCAATTTCTCCATATAATTTTCGTTGTACAATTTTTGTATTATCTTTAATAAACTATACGAAGTTTTCACAGACTTGTCTTCTGTCTATTCTTCTTCCATTTTCTTTTGCTGATCAAAACAATTGTGATTTAGTTTATTGAGTCTTATTTGTATTTTATATTTAATTTTAGTTTATTAGTTTATATTTTATAATTTCACACTTAAGCACCGCAGACGTATCATATATGAGAAGTAGTATAGAATTATAAAATTTGCACTCAAAAATTCTCAGCAACAGTCACGTGATATACTGGACTTGTCTGGCAATTCAATTCAATTATCTACAGTACGTCCGCCGTCAACTGGACAAATTTTTGAAAAAGCTGGTCAGATTTTTGAATAAATTTACCCACTTTTTTGAAACTCAATCGATCATTTGTTTGAAATTCATTTGGTCATTTTATTTAAACTCAATAGATCACTTTTTTTGACTATTTTATCTGAGGTATATTTTGTTACTTTTTTTTATACGATTATTTCGAGATTATTTTTCAAATGAGCATGAATATTTTTTATAAAGATGATGCTGGTAATCTTATTGATGAACAAGGCGAGCAAGCAACAACATGTGTTGAAGAGAAGTCATTTCGTTTGAAAAGATTAACAGATCTTTGAAAATACATTAAGAATAAGGATCTCCAATTTGAAACGATCAGTTCAGACGACACAGTCATGAAAGAGGCTATTCCAAAGAAAGAAAGACCTCTTGAGTATAATGTTTATACAATGGAAGACTGTAAACATTACTTTTATTTTTTGAAAGAAAAACTCATGAAACCAAAATATGCAGTCATAACCGCAAATGTAAATTATAACACCGCGCGCAAATGGAAAAGGGCTTACATGGATGATCTGGAAAGGAAGTGTCATGAGCTGACTTATAATGTTATGTTTCATGATTAAACATGCAGATTATCAATTTATTTAGGAAATTCTATCTAGAATCTCCTAAATCTCTCTTGATCTGCTCCATCTAATAATATTAAAATCACTAACACTTCATTATCAACAGCATATCTTATTAGATCGTAACTAACACTTTTCTGATTCACATCTTATCCTCAGATCTCTTTAGCAATTCTTATAAATACTCCCATCAATTTAAATTCATAAATAAAATAATTGACTTTAGAACTATTTTTCGGTCTCGTTGACTCTTTTTTGTCTTCATATTATTTTTTATTTTTTAATATTTTTTATCTGATATTTTAAAAAGAAATATCACAAGATGAAAAATGCAATGTGCTCATTTGGTCAAAAAATAATAATAATAGTAATAATTGTGATGGAACGTAAATAGAAAATAAAAGAGAAAATAAAAGAAGAGAGAAAGGGAACAAAAGGAAGTATAGTTTGAGACTGTTTTATTCAATTGAAAAATAAAGAATAAAAGTTGAAAGTTTAAGAAAAAGTTAAAGATTATTTTAAGTCTACACAACTGCTTGTATTTATATTAATGGATCCTGAATCAAAGAAATAAAAATAACCGTCAAAGAACATAAGTCATGAAACAGTGTTAGTATTCAGACATACATCTTGTTGATTCAAGAGACTGATCTATGGATTATCTATTGGGTGTTATAATGATCTGATTAAGTTTTAAATAAAAAACTTATTGTTTAATCTGAGTATATGTTCCTGATATCTTTTATGTTTTATTTTATTGGATCAAAGACGACCTGAATCCTTTGTCAATGTTATAAAAATAAATATTTCAGAAATAATACGATGTCTTATAATTGATACATCTAGACAATTGGATGTCAATAAGTTTTATATTATTTACAAGATGCTATATACAGAGCTTTATTTCATATTCAGGCTTATATTTTATCCTGTATTATGTAATTCATCTATTATAATATTACTTATGATTATATCCAGAGCTTGTTCTATAACAATAATAATAAAATTTCAATTTTAAACCTATTTTCAATTTTAGTAATGTAATTTGAAATTCACTTCACCAAATTTCAAAATTATATACTACAATAGACACAATTAAGCTCTCTTAAGGCTCAAGATGATACAAAATGGCCTGAAAAATTGACTACTTATATACAGTGTTAGAGTAATTGAAAAAATAACAACTGATTACTACCTATATAATGCATATAATAAAAAAAAAGCATTACACTATTAAAGGCAGCGTAATTGATATGTTTAACAGAAAGTGCATCAGCGCTCCAATCTGATAGGCGCTCATACTTTTGAGGCAGTTCTTCAAACAAACTTTAAGATGCTTTTAGCCAAAGGCATCCGTTCACCTAGAACACACTTTCTAGATGAGCAAAATGAACTAAGCTCCAAGACACTACGAACTCATGTACTTAAGAAGTTTAAAAGAAATGCCTCCATTCAAGACGTTTCTGTCAAGAAGTATTATATGTATACTCATTGTAAAGAAGTAGCAGATCGTATTCGAGATATTATAATTGTAAATCAACGGCTAATACAACAAATTAGCCGGGTAAATATAAGGTTCAGTTTAATTCGATATACAAAGTGTGACCAAATACATTGAATATGACAATTTATAAATTAATTCATAAGAACGAATTATTTCTGTATAAATTACTTTATGAGTAGATGATCTTACTATTGCATAAATGAAATACAATCGGATAAAAACATGATAATACATATAAAATTTATTGTTCATAAGGATTGGTACTGACACTGACTTTACCGTATACATTATACCAACCGTCTTCGAGTTCTACCCACCGCTCATCATCAGGCGCATTACTTCTATCTCTTTTTCGTTTTCTCTGATTGGTAATAGTAGAATTATTCTCAATATTTTTCATGTCGATCACCATATCAGCGAATAGCCTGTCTTCCTTATACAATGAATGTTCTGGTAAAACAGCGTACCAACAATTTTTTTGTGGTAGGCTATAATAAGTTGGTACCTTGTATTTATATGTTTCACCAAATAAAGGTGAGGTCAAAGTTGACGGATCGAACATGTGGTTGATAAAAGGTGAGTGTAACTGATCAACGGAATTCATAACCTTTTTCATTTCTTGAGCAGTCTGCTCCATCATTGCCATGACCGTTGACAATATTTCCAAAGTGTCTAAAAAACCAGAGAGTTCAGATATTTTAGAGGGGAAGGTAAAATTGAACTGAGGTACGCAAACATAAAGCTTATCAGCCACTAATTCCACAGTTGACACTTTTCCAGATAGACCACATATTTGAATAGCCCAGCCATGACAATATGCAGCAGGAAGAGAATTACTAGTCAAAACATCAACAATTTCTTTTGCTTCTCTTGCCAATTTTGCTTTATCATTGTATACTTTATCTGCATCAAAAGCGTTTATTGCAGCTTCCAGGCAGCCTAAATCAATCTCATGATCCTCATGGTCAAGTATAAATCGTGAATCTATCTTGAAACCAATGATGTTTGAATGATCATGATATTGTATCTGCTTATTGATGCTTGAAAAAGGGTTTGTTGATTCTCCAGATTTTACCCGCACTATTTCTTTGCATTTAGATAATTGATTAAAGATTGGGTCCCAAAAAGTTGACATAACCACTTGTTCTGTAATCTGTTTTTTTTTTATTTTGTTCAATGCATTTAATATAAAATGGTTCTGAACTAACCGCTTGAACTCTAACAAAAGAATCAATACCACGAAAAATAAACAGTAGAAAAATAGCTACTTACACATGCTCCATAATATTCAACATCAGACTTTCATACTTTGAAACATTTCTTGATTTTATCTTTGAAATATATTTCAAGCCTTCTTCTAACCCTTCCCGGCTTATAATGCCGACAGAAATCTTCCAATAATTCACGATTGTTTCTGGCAAGGGTTGGACGTCAATTTTATACTGCTCTGTAAAGTGTTTTACAAGCATATCCCATTCTGATTGACTACATATTTCTTTTTGACTAGAAACGCTGCAATAATCAATATCAAGGATTGAACTCAGACAAAGTGACATTGTGTGGAGATCGCCTTGAGTCAATTGTTCTGCATTTTTATACTTCCTAAAGAGTGTCTTTCTATGTTTTATAATTCTGTCTACAACTAACTCTGATAAATCAGGTACTTTAGATTCTGGTTCTTGTGTAGTCCGTTTGAACATAATGATTGAGTTGACTGTGTAGATTCAGAAGTTGATTTTTGCATAGGAATACCAGTATTGGGGAAGTTATTGTAATTATTAATGTTGACACGTAATTTATATTTGACATTTTTGATACGTCGTAGGGCTGCCTTGTATTGCTTTCTTTGTATTCTTGACTGAAGCTGTTTTAATAAAAGTTTTTTATTATTAGATTGCTTGAAGTATTGCACACAGTTTTTGAAGTATACTGATATGGCATAGTTGTTCTTATATTTTTGTGAAATTTGCGCGAAAAAACTGAATGATGCTTCTGTAGGCTGTTGTGGTATCAATAGGTAATCTTTCGTTTTGGATGCATGATTTCGCAACCTTTTTTTCATCACACCAATACTCAGCTTGTAAATCCAATCCATTAACGAGAAATCAGTTCTGTAATTATTTTAAATGCAGAAGATAAGGAAAGAAAAAACAGAAAGAACAAGTCTGTGAAAACTTCGTATACTTTTATTAAAGATAAAATAATACAAAAATTGTACGAGAAGAAAATAATATGGAAAAATGACGAGGGCTATTTATATGTTTTTGTAAGGTAAGTCATATTGATAGGAGTGTGATTTAGATAAGTGAATACTGCTATAATAAAGCCTTTATGCACAAATATGCACAAATTTTGTCTCCGAATAACTCTGCATGCAGTATGCAGATTTCTGCCTGAGCTGTTGCGGATATTAAAAATATACACGATTATTGTCTTTGGGATAAGCAACGCGTTAATATTAGTTTACAGTGAATATTCCCTCTATAACAATATACAACATTATGGATGTAAATATAATATATATGACTTATGTAAATAATTATGTAATTGAATATAACAGCCATAAATCTATTGAATTCTTATTATTACATAATGCAATGTATATCATTATTTTTAATGCTCGAATACTATTATCAAAACTGAGTGTAGAATGAATATTATGCTGTGAAGTACAATACACTAGTTTATTCGAATAAACTCTTTATTATTTAAATAAATGATAGTTTATTTCTATTAACTTAGTTGTAAATACGACTACAATCATAACAGGGCCAAATGTCATGGTTGTAAGATTTACAACTTAATTCAATAAGATAAATAGTCATAATAGAATATATAGTGCACCTGTACAATAATTCTGTCTATAGACATATTTAGTATATTTACCTTTGCATAGAAAAATCTATTAATTAATAAAAGTCCTACATCTAAAAATATACTTTCTTGCTTCTATTATTGTTCTGCTGAATACAAATTTATAAAAATAACTTTATACAAGTTAAACTGGGATAAACTAAGAATAATACAAATACGCGTAATAATTGATTCTACTTAGAATACACGTATTAGTTATAAAAATAAATATATACAAAAGACATGAATCTATATCTATATCTATAATTATATTATCAAATACAATTTCTTATACTTTTATCTTCTTATTACTCATCATCCTTATTCACAAAATATATAAATACTCTTACATTATTAACCCTAACCCTAATTATAACATAACATAACTTATCTTGAATTAATTCAACTCTTGATAAAAACTTATTGACAAGTCTCAACGTACTTCTGTCCATTTTATTTTGTTTCTCTTTTACTTCTTTTGTTTATATTTAATCCTTAAATTTACCTAAACCACAACAATACCCTTTCATGCAGATGATCTTGGCATTGTAAACAGTCCAAATTTTCTTCATTGGTTGACAGATTTCAGATTAACTATAAAACCTAAGAGAAATAAACTGAATGTACAGAACTTTAAAAGTGAAAAAACGGCAAATACGTGAGCAATTTTTTGAGTCACTGTGCCATTGAACCGGTCTTTTATTTAAACAGTCATCAAACTTAGAGATAGAATATCTACAAAACCCTTTGAGGTCACTTAACAGGATTTGATTACATACGTCACAGATTCTGCTGGTCAAGATTTCTTCATCCCTTTTCAACCTGCTCTTGCATACTGACCAAAATTGCTCGATGTAATTTAGCTCTGGTGAATATGGAGGATAATAGACGCAACAGTATCCAAGGTTGTTCAATGGTATTTCGGAATATCAGCGTTCTTATGAATAGGTACATTATCTGTACCAAGGTAATAGCCCCTGAATTCCTCGTGCTGATCCATCATATCTAAAGTGCTATCAATGAAGTTAAAGTAGTGTCCTGTAACCGTGTCACTTTTGCTCTTCTCAGCAATTTGATAACCACCTGCCGTTTTCCCTTTTTTTTTCTTTTTTTGAAGTGATTGCTGCTTTAGGTCATCTAACTAATATATTTACAATACCGTAAGGAGAAATTGAAGCTAAAATGATTGTCATTTTCGCTCTTGTTTTCGGTACCTTCATTTTTACTCTGGTTCATTTTGTTGACCACACAAAGGAGCATTTCATGTTGATATGGAATGCATATTCGTCAATGAACACACAATTGCTAGCATAGTTTATATCGGTTTTCATCCATCTCTTCACCCATTGGAATCTCTCTTCAATTTTCTCAGAACAATTTCTTTCAACAGGAGTAAAAGTGAGCTCTTTTAAGGCTAATCCTGCATTTTTTGGTCACAAAATTGTAGAGAGCAGTTTCTCGAATCTCCAGCCTAGCAAACTATTTGGTTAGGCTTGCCATCATCTGAAAAAGAGTTTAAGAATATAAAAATAAAGTGTGTACTGGGTGCATCTGTATCTATTTAGTATTGTTTAGATTTACAATAAACATAAACTTAGAATTGAGAAAATTACTTATAATTTGAGCCCTTTTAGATCTATTGAACCTAATTTGATAGATTATAGCTGTTACTGCTGATTTACAATGGTCGATCTATTATATCTAGAACTTTGTACTTTCTATAGGAATAATCTAGGAAATATATATATATATGTATATGTATATGTATATCATACGTCATCGCAGTTTTGTTAATTAATAAAGAAAAATAGGAAGAGGCATTTGTATATAGTCTGAGGCTGTATTGAAACTGTCTTAGTAGAGTATTTTTGTTTGAATAGAGACTTTTCAATATGTACAATATAGATCCACCATTTTGCTTACAATTTTTTTAATCAGCAGTATTGAATTTTATATCACAAGAAAAGAATAAGAGTAAATATTAATAATTCTGGGAACAATAAAGCTCAAGTCTTTAGTTTTAGTAAGTGCTCTAGTCGTCCGAGACTTTATGCTCAAAAAAAAATACTATTCCTCAAATAATTGCAGACGCTGGCAAACAAGTTGCCCAATCATCTTTTAAAGGGTTTGCGCGCTAATCTACTAGACGTTTTGATGACTGCCCTGCAGGCCATCCTATTTAATATACAATTATATATACATTACGATATCTTTCTAAATATTCTACTTGTGTATCCTATAAAAGAAAAAAAATTTTTTCTCTAGTGATAATGACATCTATTTTTTTTTTTTTTTTTTTTTTTTTTTACACATTAAGAAATATTTATTGATTGATTATAAGGTAAGGAATACGAATAAATATTATAGTATGTTTTATCTAGTTTCTTCTTCTTTTTACCATACAAGTCCACCTTGAAATTCAATACATTCTAGTTTATGTTCATATATATCATAGTTTTGTAAAGCCCATTCACCATCTTTGTTCATATAGATCTTTTCTTTACGCTCTATTTTGCTCATATCAATATTTCGATTATCATTGATTGCATCCTTGTTATTTTCCCATATATTCGCATGTTCTTGATGACATGTAAAGCCAGGTTTAACATAAACAATAGGTATATCTTTCGTCCATGCTGCAGTACAAATAAATTCAATATCCATCCTAGACAAGATTTTAGTTTAGTTTATTACTTGGAGTAACATTACTTAATATTTACCATGCAACACCACCTGCCTCCCTATAACCCCTTGGAATCTTCCATGTGTCTCTATGAGCTAAGGTAAAATCACCTGCTTGATCTGCCACTTCAAGTATATTCATAGTTTTCGTTTTATCTTTAATTTCATTACTAGCAGTCACTTTAATAGGGGGAGGTAATGTATAATTTCCCCAATCTTGTTCTCCAAGTTTACAACTGTTATAAATAGTTTCATCCTTTGGGAATGCTTCCAAATTGACAATCGAAGGTGGTAAATTGTCATGGCTATAAGTTATATTTTTAAATAAAACACATATACTCATCACATTTTTTTCTTTCTTACATATTATGATGATCTTGATGTTGTAAATAAATGACATCTTTTTTAAATACCCGAGACTTGATGGCATTATGAAAATTATGTGACCAAATATCATCTTATTTTATACACATCATTAATATAAATATACATACACATAAACACATATATAAACTTTTACCTTGGTTTGTACAGACTATAAATTGACCTCGAGCAAATCGAATTCCAACATTTTTACCTTCAAATTCATGTAAAGGAGAATTTCCTCTATTTTGCATAATTTGGTGAAGTGAATTGGGTATTGTAATGATTCTATATTTTAAATATTTTGAACTTCTGAATCTCTACAGTATAAATAAAGTTAGTCTTTCTCTCCTTTTTTTTTTCTTTTTTATAATCATCATTTCTTATTTCTTTACAAAGGCATCTATCACTCTTCTCTTATCATTTGGTGGATTCCATTCAATAATCAATAATTCAATATTTTCCTGTGTCTTTTCTGCTAAAATATAAGCAGAATCAATAAAATTTTGAAGTCGATGATGTTGTCCCCTATTATATATAAAAAAAGAAGGTTTAATTATTTACTGCCATATTATGTTACATTTTAATTTATATACATGTATTATCTTTGGTTTATTTTTTATTTTTTATTTTTTTTTTCATTTTTTACCCGGCATAATTATCGACACGAGTAACAATAACAATTGAAAGATATTCAGAAGGTTCTTCCCGGGGATCTAAACAAGATTCTAATTGTTCTCTTGTTAATCGCATCTGATTCACTAAAGCAGTATTTTCAATTATTTTGATCTCCTTTTTATTGACCAGAACAGACTGTATAGGTTTATTATTTAACATATTATAAATAAATAAAAGTGAAATAAATGTGAATCCTAATATGGTTGGTAAAAGTACTCTTTTGTTAGAAATGAGATACTTCATTTTGTTAATGATCAAGAAACAAACAAACAAACAAACAAACAAAAAAAAAAAGAAGCTAGTAATAATTGTTCTAAAAAAAAGGGGTGGATACTATACTAATTTCAAACACCTTATTGGGTACAAAATGATGTTAATTACATCAAAATTGCCCGGGTCAGTTTAAATAATAGAAATGTCCCTTGGTGGCTCAAAGATAAAAAAAAAAGTATAGAAAAGGTTAAAAAGAGAAAAAGTGTGTATTGATGTCATTTATTAGTAAGAAACAAAAAAAAAGGAGGTAGCTAGTCAAGGGATATTTGGCACAGACTTTGATAATGCTAATAATATTTCATATGTTTATATAGTAAAAGATGTAATGTAAAAGGGTACAAAATGATATATTGAGAAATAATATTAGAGTATGAAAAAAGAAGGGACAATATTTTCGGATCAAATTGAATTTTTTTTTTATTATATTGTTTCAGTATTTATTCTTCAGCTATTTTCATATTCTCCCTGATGGTTTTCCCCGAGATGCCCTTTTTCTTCTTTTCCTAATTGATGACTATTGAAAGAAGAAGAACTAGTGTGTGAAAAATATAGTATTGTGTCATTAACATATTTTTAACTTATCTTTTAGAACAACTTTGTACGTAATTTTCTATAGTATTTCTATTGATAGATTCTAATATTTATATATAAACTATACTGAAGACAAAAAATAAAATAAAATAAGACTATTATACATTAATTTAATACTAACTTGGAATGACTGCTGTTATTATTGAGGAAAATATATTCCTTACTTTTCTTCCTTTGAAAGAATATGCATAGTTTCTTTGAGTTCATTTTGTAGTGGTAATTCTAATGGGAGTAATAGAATAGAATTTGAATACAATTGATGCAACAAGTCTTCTATTTAAAAAGTCTAGTTTTTGTTTGTCCTTTCGAATTCTTCTCATATGCCTTTACGTAAAGAAAAAAAAAAGGCTATCAACGGTTACTATTATGATTCGATGCAAAAATAAAATCCAAGATTATATTTTCTATTAAACCCACTTCCTTCCATTTACTCGTTATATTTAAATAGTAATTGAACTAAAAGTTCAAATAAGTCTTTTAGTTTAATTAAATTGTTCTAAATTTACTTCTTTTTTTTTTTCTTTTTCAAAATGGAGACCAAGAACATGATATCAAGCAAATCAGCACGAGTATAAATATCGGTATATATCCACCTTTGTCTTACCTTCACTTCAAATGTAGACATCCTTATATAGCCAATACTATTTGAATTTTGTGCCTACATGACCATAGACTACTGTTTTTTAACTTGAGATTAAGACTATTGTCAAAAAAAAAAAAAAATCAAACGATTAATAAGTTCTTTTTAAATGTCATACAGAGAAATTTAGACATTTCTGCATTTTTTATTGGACAAATATCACTGGTGTCCAAATTATCTTGGTTCTACAGACGAGCCAAATTTTTTGACTGTAAATGATACCTAAGGTAATATACAAAAAACTGTTTGAATTAAATACTATAAGAGTTGTTGCCCTTTGCTTTCTTAAAAAAATAATTGGCATACCATCTTGATTTTAAAGCTGATATGACGATGCCTGTATATCACATTTTTTCAGTGACGTTAATATCTTGCTGCAAGAGTGTAAAGCTTCACTTGTACCATTCAAAGTGACGGCTTTGGTGTTTGCTTTGGTGTTTGCCAGAAAAGCCAAAGATTCGAAAGAAGAAGTATAATTAGAGTTGAACGATTTTTGCGATGAAAAAGTACAAAAGTATTTTCAGCCTTGTGCTGTTGACCCAGACAGAAATCATATATTTATAGTGACAGTATGTCATGAAGAAGATGTAGCATTAAAGAGCGACATTATTATACAGGTTCCAAGAGAAGGGATCATCATGTAGAAGAACTTAAATAAAAAGCATCGAGACAGGTTTCTATTTGGCAAAAACCAAAGACATTGAAAAATGGAACAATTATATAGTATATGCTCTCAAACACATGCCCCAAATCTTCAGGTTGTACAATGAAAGGTCTGCACCCTTTCGTTTCAATGATTATCAGGGCAGATGAAGGTCGAATAAAGAGATGATAAACATCTTACTTAATGAGGGAAAAAGTACAATAAAGCTAAAAGACTGAATACAAGAAAGAACAGAAAGAAAAGAAAAGAAAAAAGAGATAAGAAGAAACACAGGACAAAAAGAATACACAAATATATATGATGATAAAGGTAAAACTACACCAAGAAAGAAGCCGGCGAGATGGAAAAAAGCCAAATTCAAGCCTTCTCTTTGTCTACCTCTACTTGAAAGAGAAACCAAGCTTAGATCAAGAGCTACATTTCGATCGGTTATTGTCAGCATTAACGAGTTTAAAACCTTGAAAGAATGCAACTTCTGTTAGGAAACAAGCCCGAAGGGAACAAAGCTTCCGAATAATAAATATACCAAAAGTATTCTAGTTGCAAAAACTGTCGTATACTTTGGAATAGAGATGTCAATGCAAGCAAAAATATGTTAGACAATTCGCAGTCTATTTGAGAAGAAAAAGGAAGATCTGCTGTTTTTCAGAGAGGAAACGGTTTCGCTAGCAATAGTGGTTTAGATATCTACAGGTAATTTGTCTAAATGGTAATATGCACTTGTCCAAAAACTAACAGTATTTCATCTCTTGTTCCTTCTCAAATTGAATTCTTATTCGTCTTAATTTTTTTGTAGTCTGTCTCAATTTCAAGTTAAATTACTGCATTATCATAGTGCTTTCCAACACTATTACTAAACTTGGAAAGACATTTACAACACTATATACACATTCAAAATTCTCAACACCTTGAAAAACATCGCAATAACTAGGTAAATGCCGCCTAATCGACATAAATATAATAAGACTCCTAGTCGAGTTTTATCTGAAGAAGAACTGGCAGCCCTTGCAAAAGGCTTCCTTGAACATCGCAAAGCGATACCATGTCCTGAATGCAAAAAAGTCACTACCTATCACAGTAAGGGTGATTCTCCTTCTAAAACGCACCACTACCAACCCTGTTACAAGTGTACCTTATGCTCTCATACTATGCATGCACCTGAAATGCTTGATATCATCACTGCTCCCTCAAGGATGGTAGAAGATATATCTAACAATGTACCCCCAACAGCAACTCCAACCCCTACCATTGTCGTCCCCGTAACCCAATTCGACAATAGTGCTACACCAGACGTACAAGCGCTTTTTAAAATGATTACCCAACTAACCACCCAGCTTGCAGAACAACAAAAAGTAATTGTGCAACTTACTGAAGAACTCCGTCTCTCTAGATCAGCTCCACTACAACTACCTCCTGCCGCCATTCAACCTAGCACTGACGAGGAAGACTTTCCTACTCTTCCAGATACACAATTTTCCTCGGCTCCCTGGCACCAACCAGAAAGAGTCTTAGCTCTCAAAAAGAATCTAGTCCAACACCATGCGAAACGCGAAGCTGCTGCTGCTCGTTTCTTTCAAGCCCCTTCAGCTACTCAAGGCTTCCAATACTTATATATACCTACCAAGGCACGTGTTCCCCTCGGTAAGTTAAGAACTACTTTCAAGAAACTAGGAGTCAACAATGGTCGTCTCCTAGATTTACACTACCCTGACCGCAACATTGTTGCAGTGCTCGTCCATAATGACTATGCTCCTGAACTCCAAGAACTGTTAACTAAACGAGGCATCAAACTCCATACTACTTTTGATCCCTGTAATGGAAGTGTACTCAAAGATCCCAAATATGCCAATGAATCAACTGAACAACGTCAACAGGTTGCTCGTGATCTTCATAATCAACGTCTCCAAAAAGCTCTTATTCATATCCGTGGTCCGGCTAAATATGCTGTGGCACGTTTCTTTGCCCATAAAACCTGGATTACCAAAGACCAACTTGCTGACATACTGACTACTGATCCCTACTCCAGTCGCCCCCAAGAGGACATCTTCGAGCTTGACGTTACTGCTTCTGAATCTTCTAAATTTCACGCGAGTGCGATGGATGAAGATGATGTGAACTCAACCCATACTAATTTGAACCAATGAGTGGTCTTCCATTGAGAATATCACTTTTTAATGCTACTGGTCTCCCTAAACAATCTATTTATCCTGTATTAAATATTGCTAAAAATTCATCTCTACTCTTTATTACTGAAACATGGCTACTATCTCCCAACAAATATCCAATTCCCACTTGGAAACAATTCCATACCTACGGTATTCCGGTAAACTCCTATAACCAACATCGTGGTCAACTTGGTTTAGCTCTTCTTGTTAATCCGGACTTCAAACTTCCAATTCATCATATCAACCATGTCAATCCATTATTGGCCAAGTTTACATTATCAATCATTATAAATTCTAAATTATTAATTCATTGCTTATATCTTCCCCCCTCTTTAAAATCAGATCAAATATCAGAAATTCTCTCACTATTACCTATGGATTACCCTTCCACAACCAAGACTATTATATGTGGTGACCTCAATTCTCGTATTGGCGAGTTGGTTGGTGACAGTCGGTGGAACACAAGCGGACGTCTCTTTTACAATTGGATGGAAGCACACGGTTTGATTCTATGGAACCAACGGCTGGCTTTTGGACAACCGACTAGTTATACTTATCATGGTACAAGTATCATTGATTATTTCCTTAGCAATACTGACTTGGAGACACCTGATCTTAATATCCGCGACGATCTATCATTAAATTCTAACCACACTTTTATGACTTTCTCTTTTCATCTACCCCAAGTCCATTCTTCTCACAACCTTTCCGTTGAGGTCCATCGTCCACACTGGCGATTGAAAAAGCTGAAAAAATTAGATCACTATGAAAGGTACCAAGCTAAGTATGCAAATGATAGTGCTAAAAAAATGCGTATAGTCGACTCTTCAGCCCCAACGTTTCCAGATACAGATGCTGCTCGTACTTACATCGACCAATTCTCAACTTCACTATGCCAAACTATCTACGAATCGTTGGATCAAATCTGTGGAAAAAAGGATACTACTGCTGATGTATTTTTAAAACAGTTCTGGACCGCTGAAATGACATCTGCTTTCGAGCTTAAACAATTCTATTACAAGAAATGGCGAAAAGCAAATGGACTGAATTGCTTAACTTATTGGTTAAAACATCAAGAAACTACTGCTTTACTAAAACGACTAATCCAACAACGGCGTAGAGAAACTTGGAGACAATTTTGCGACAAGATGTCTAAAGGCGAGTATACTAAAGCAATTGCACGATTCAGCAGAATTCGTAAAAACAGATCGGTGAAGCCTTCCTTCTCACCAGATCCAGATATTAACCGTGCTCCGGCTGACGTTATGGCCGACCATCTTCAAAGTATCTATGCCGGGCAATTCCTCACTTCACCATCTAATTTGGGTTCATCTTCTCCTATAACTAGTGGTCTTCCTTTTAATTTAAATCTTTGTCCCTTCTCATCTGAACAAATTCATGAGACTCTAAAACAACTGCCTCGTAAAAAAGCTCCTGGTGTTGATCACATACAGACGGAAATGTTATTACCCCTAATTCACACTTTGGTTCCCCAGCTTCTACATCTCTTTCGCACCTGCTGGCAATGGTCCTATACTCCACTATCATGGCGAGTTGCACAGGTAGTACCGATACACAAGAAAGGCTCCAAAAGTGACCCAGGGAACTTTAGACCAATTAGCTTGACATCTATTTTTCGTAAATTATTTGAAAAATGTTTGTACCCTAGCCTATTAGATCAATCCCCTACTCTTGATATTGCTCAAGGCGGATTTCGTGAATCTCGTAGCTCTCTTGATCAAGTTCATTGTCTTGTCGAGATCTGCTCTATTCTTCGGCGTAACCACAATTGTTTCCCTACTCTTGCTTTTTTAGATATCAAATCAGCGTATGATACTGTTGATCGCTCCTATATTTGGGAAGTGCTTCAACCTCATCTCTGCCCGGCTTTGCTTGGAGTTCTCAAAAATCTCTTTGATCAGGTTCAAATTGAAGTTCTTCTTGATAATCATATATCGTATCGTTTCTCTCCTGTCACTGGCGTCTTACAAGGGTCTATTCTCTCTCCGTTCCTATATTCAATCTATATCAACCAACTTCCAGCTCGTTTGAGGTTACCACACCAACTCAATGACTCCTCCACTACTGATGTAGTTACTACATTTGTACCGTCCCTTAATTGTCTACTCTATGCTGATGATGTCGTCCTTATTGCCTCCCCTGAGAAACTCGCTTCTTTACTACACCAATGCGAAGTTCATAGTTACTCCTTAGGTTATCGGTGGAACCCATTAAAATGTGTCATAGTCGCTCCTACCAATGATCCTCAACCATATCAATTATATGGTACTGCTATTTCCAAAGAATCCTCCTTTTCTTATCTTGGTGTTCCTCTAAAACCTGGTGGTCTAATTGATTATGCTGCTCTAATCCAACATAATATCAATAAAGCCTCTCTCACTATGAATCAACTTGCTGCTATTGGTCTCAACTCCAAAGGTCTTCCACCTCTGCTTGCATGTCGTTTTTATAGTCAAATGGTTCGCTCTCAGTTAGATTATGGTCTTGCAATTAGTCCTCTCTCTGCTAAACTTACCAAAGCACTGGATACCTTTCAAAATTCATGTATTCGACGTATCTTTGGTGGTCACTCACGGTCTTCGGCGAAAGTCATGCTTCACCTTGTCAACCTACCATCCATGAAGACCCGTATTGCAGTCCTCCAAGCGCAATACCTCTTTCGAACTTCCCAATTACCAGCAGATACTCTTCTTGCCCATCTTTTGCCTCATGTTCAGCTCTCAAATAGTCATTCCCACTGGTATAAATTGACTCAAACTACAATGTGGACACACCTATGCTCACCAAATATCTCAACGCTCGACCGAAAACAATTCTACACTCTTCGTGCTAAGTTTCTAGATGATCAATTTCAAAATCTTCGTCAAGATACTAATTCACTCCTATTGTCTTCCTCACGCCCCACTCTTGAATTGGATCCCATCCTTTACTTACCAATGACTACCTCAGAACGTAGCCGAGTGCTTCGTTGGCGACTTGGCTGGCTACCGGGTGGTAAACCTAAAGAATGTATCTTTCATCCGTCTCATAATTGGAGCCGGCAACATGCTATTGAGTGCTTACATGTACATCATCGTCTCTACATGCCTACTTCAGTCGAAGATCCCATCTCGTTCCTCCTCAACTTGCTTCCACTACATAAACCTCGTCGTCCTTCTGATTGTACGAGCTGGTATACTTTATGGCCTATTCTTTGTACAATTCTACATGAACTTGATTACTACTTCCATGATGAATTTCCTCCTGATCCTATCGACCCTGGTCTCAAGCTGTTGAATTGGTTATCCAAGTAATAGTGTGTGTCTTCCTGGTCACTTTGGTCTTATTTGATTTTTTAAATTGTTTCTTCTCACTTTTTCGCTTTTTCCCCTTATATTTTCTCTTAATTCCAAAATACTGCTCTTTTCTTTTTCCTTCTCGTTTTCCTTTTTCCCTTCTTGTCCTTTAGGAAGGTTTTTATTCTTATTTCCCCTCTATAACTGGCTCGGGCAATATTGCGCATTTATTTCGTCGCTACATGCTCATTGCCAAAAAATTTAAAAAAAAAAAAAAAAAATAATAATAATAATAATAAAACTCAGAATTTAATCGCATTATCATAGTTCTAAAAGCAAATATTTAAAAAAAAAATGCTGACTTTGAATTTACTAATAATGACAGTTACATTTTAATGTAAAAAGTGATGAACTTTCATTATACGTAGTCTCTTCATTTTTAAAATAAAAGTAACCATGTCAAGTTATTTTGGTAAAGTGTAACTTGTAGAAAAAAAACATTACTTAAACTATCTTCAAGTCCTTATAAATTAGCATCTAATAAATAGATGAACTTGGAATTCAATCAAATCATAACAAGAAAAAAACTTACGACGTTGATCTTGATGCTTTTATGAATCCACAGTCAGGATCACTTTCATCGTCAAGTTATGGACAACAGGAAGATACTGTATCTAATGTTCAGCGATTAATTCAAGCAGCAAAGTAACAAAAAAAAAGAAAGAAACATCTTTCTAAACTCTCTTTATCCTGATCTTTTTTTTTTGCGTATGTGTGTAGCTTTTTTAGACATTTTCAAGAACAGATGCAAGCAGAAGGAGATGCTGATCAAGAACAATTTCTAGATAATCTCGTTTCACAATTACTAGAAGAGTCTCAAAGTAATGCAAAGGGACCGCCACCAGCGTCTAGAAGATTTATTGATACTTTACCTGTGGTAAAACAGGATAAATTAAATAGGTATTATTGTTTACGCATTATACTACTGTATTACGTAATGCTTGTTGTGTGGTATTTATTATAAACCTATCATCATCATAGTGATGAGACATGTATTATTTGTAAAGATAATTTAAAGACAAGCGAAAGTATTATAACTCAAATGCCCTGGTAAAAAGCATGAATGAATATAATTCTATATGTATATCTATTTATTTACTTCTATGTTTTAGTGGACATTATTTTGATCGTGATTGTATTGTTCCTTGGTTAGAATTACACAATACATGCCCTTTATGTCGTTTTGAAGTTGAAACAGAGAAAAAGGTACAAGAGGAAGAAGAGGAAGAGCAACGTAGTTGGATGTATGGGTAAAATGAAATGAAATAAAAATAAGCATTTTTGTGAGTGCTAGCTATTATACTATTTTGTATATAAGCAGCCATTGAGGTGATATGAATTTAAATGGTGTATAATACATGGCAATATAATTAAATTTATTAAAATAAAGCATACTATTGAAGAGCAAAGCCTGTTGAACATTCATTCATAGCCTTAAATAAACTTGAACGTAAATCTTCGTATGTTACATATTGTGGAAGATCGATTTGATTAAAACTAAAAAAAAAAAAAAAAAAAAAAAAAAAAAAAAAAAAAAAAAAAAAAAAAAAAATTACATATAAATACACATATGCATACACATATACAAATTTTCCTTACCAAGTATGTGCAGATGGTAAACGATTCACATCTCCAAATTCTTTATGTATTTGAAATTTCTGAACACCATTTGAACCTTGTAATTGACTGAAACCTTCTAGAGGTACCTTTGAAGTTCCTGTAGTAAACTGAAGTAGTTTAGCACGTTCTTCTTGAGTAAATGATCTAACTGCACGCCAGAACCAATGAATTTGAGGTGAAGCAGATGTGTAGCCCACATAAACAGTATTGGCTTTCCAGTCATCAATATCAATATCTGGCAGACCTGAGATGAGTAACTCTAATTCTTGTTCATTAAAGATTTGTATCAACTCAACAGGGATAATATCATAAAACCCTTCCAAGAATGCATTCACTTGATCTTTAATAGCAAGAACTAATTTTTGTTCTGTAACTAATGCCACATATTCATGCTTGTTTGCCTCTGTAACAGCAATATTACGACCATTCGCCTTTAAATCAATGATCTTTCTTTTGCCAAAGTCATCTACCTCTATGCTAAAGGTGGCATCGATAATATCTGTTATATCATTTTCTAACATCCAGACTAAACTCTTGTAATAGGTAGGATCCACTGTTTCTACATCACGATAATCAACAGAACGTCCAAGGATCAATTTATAGAAAGAACGTGTGAAATAGGCATCCAATAATCTACCGTCATGAATGGCTTTACCAATTATACGACCCACAAATTTGAAATAATTCAAATGTTCTGCGCTTACACCTGAAGCACGATTAGGTTGATAAGTAAGTCTATCAGCTGCTGATGCAATAAACAAGGCATAGTTAGGATCAAACATTTGTCGCGCAAGTACTGAAAACCATTCACGAGAAACACCGCCCTCATCAATACCATCTTCGTTCATGAATTCGACTGCTATCTTGCTGTTTCGAATCTCTTTACCACTGAATGGATGAAGCTGTTCATAGGTGTCCTCAAATACACGTTCGCGGCTGACACTCAGTCGTATGGTAGAATGTGTACGGGGTCCATCAAATTTACGTAACTGCTGTATAAAGCAATTGCGTTTGTTATCAAAATCCAAAATCTTTAGATTATAAGTTAAAATTGAAAAGGATCCATTCATTAAAGTAGGGTTATTACGAATCATGATATTTAAAACCTTCTTGTGTCGTTCCGTGAAAATGGCAAAGAAATCATGAATGGAGTCTCCTGTCTCTTGCTCCTTTATTGTAGTGTACCCTCTTTTTACGGTATATCTTGACACCGACATAAATGACTCCACCAAGGGCAACAAGATGGACGCTGCATTCATCAAATCTTCTCTTTCTTGGATCATCGTTAAGCAAGAGCTTAACATTTCCCACATTGGCAAAAAGTCGAGTTCGTTATAGACTTCCAAAATAGCCTTTTGATTTTCTTCTTGTTTGGATGGTTGTCTACGTTGTTTGCGAGTATATAAATAGTCTATCGCTTTTAATACACGTAAAAGTCTTGCTTGGTAAGAGGTTGTGGCTGAGAATTGAGTAACAGCAACACCATCTAATAATTCAATACTCCCTTTAATATTATTTAAATGATGAGAGAGTTGTTTCAAATCAATACAAATGTGTTGACTACAATCTTTTGCTTTTAGTATCAGACGGTTAATGATTAACTTAAGAGCACCGTCTAAAGCAGACATGTGTGAAAGAACACTAATAGTATACTGGAAAGTGAAACTTGAGCATTCACCAAATGAAAGGATATCTGCAATCATTTCTAAATATTGATTGGGAATAGCTGGCGGTTTAAATGTGTGATTGTATTTAGTTTCGTATCTTTCAACTATTGTAGGTATAGATCGGCTAATAGTAGCTATCAAATTTATCAGCTGCTCCATCAAATTAGCATTATCCAAAAATTCAGACCGACTCAATAGATGAATCAAATTCAAAATAGGATATTTGACCTCATGTTTTGCCTTTGTTTTCAGAGCATTTGCAGAGTCACTATATCTCAAATGGGCAACGATATCCTTTTTAGTAAAGAAATACCCTAATGCTTTACTATTCCAAGCAACAACATAATATAGGATTTCTAAACACCTTTGAGCGATTAAGTTGGGGATGTTTTTCACTGGAGTAGTTAGTTTCAACTCTCTGTCCTTTCCTTTTTGATAGAAAAATAATTGCTTTAAAATATCATCTACAGAAACCAGATCTTTACATCCTACTTGTAAAATATATAAAAGTAAGGAAAGCAAATCTTTACGTGTCTCCGTATTTTTGCACAAGTTTAGCAACAATCGATTTAGCATGGTCTTTGAAATAGAATGAGGAACAAATAGCAATCGTACAAGGGACGCTAATTGGAAAAGGTCAACAATACGTGGAGCTTCTGAATGAGGTGTTTCCTTTTCTAATACATTCATATCGAAGCGATTTGTAATATGATCAACTGTAAATAAATCGTTAACAGGAGGTGAAGGTGCGAGTCTATCGCCCTCAGAATCAAAATCAGTCATATCCATCGTAGATGGTGATTCTGGAATATCCATAAATCTTCTTGTCAATGTTACTCCTGGTGATAAAGCTTGACTATAATGCTCATTAATTATCCTTGTAGCTTCCCCAATATGTGTTAATGAAGGATCAGGGGTAAATTGGTCAGCATTCGTACATACTAAAGGCTCAGACGTATTAGCTTCTTCTTCATATTCTCCTGGTAATCCAAATTGAGTATGTGTTGCACTAGATTCATTCATAAGGCTGTCATTTTGCTTAAATTTACGAATGCTATCTGCATTAGTATTCGTTTCTTCTTTGGTATCATCTTCCATTTTTATCGTATCTTTTAACAGAGCAGTCTCGAGCATATATTTCATTTTAACAGCCTTAGTAGTTAAGGTAGAAGGAGTATACATCATTTTAGCTTCTTGAGCCCATCGGTTAGCAGTTGTCATCGGTGTAAACTCTTTCAAGATCATTAATGTTTCCTTGTTATCTTTGTCATCATTTGATAAAGAATTTGTTTGCTCTTGTCTAGTGGAATGAGGAGCATGCTCTTGTCGTTGAAAATCCAAGAAAAGTTGCTCCAACAAATGTGCAGCACCACCACCAATAATATCTTCATATGCTTGAAGATGACCAGTAGTGGCATCAGATAAGAATTCGATTTCAGGATTCGCATTCGTATTTCTGAGAAGAGGATGTAAGATGATGTTATCTTCATCAAATGGTGAGTCATATTCAGAATCGTCATGACTTACAAAGCTTCTTATGGAATTAGTAGCTGAATTTATTATGGGTGGATGCGTGGTATTTAGTGGGTTTTCGTTGAAGAACAATCGAAGATTATCTTCAACGTTTTCTAATTCTTCCGCATTGAGTTCAAGATCATCGCTTTCATCGTCATATGAAGAATCACTTATTTCTTCAATTTCAAAGTCCATACCAGTATCAGAACTACCACTACTACTATCGCTTTCTTCTTCTGTGTGCTCACTTTCACTCGGATATTCAGATTCTTCGATCACTTCATCCAGTGGCCAAGTTATCTCTCGATTCATTTCTTCTTCTGAATATATTGAATCACTCCTATTAGAGTCTAATGATTCATTCGAAGATGTATAACTATCAGAGCTGGAAAAATCACTTGATTCATCACTTGAGTGAGAATCAGTTTCATCATCATCTTCATCATCTTCTAAATTGTCATCTTCTTCAGTATCTGAATGATGATATCGATGGCTTCTTATCAACTCTTCCATTTCCTCATCTTCTACTTCAACTTCATCATCCTCTTTGACTGATTCTTCATCTTCCATATCAGTATCTGTTCCATATCTACCCTGATCATCAGATGAAAACTCTATAACTTCTTCACCGGAACTAAGAAAAAAAAAAAAGGACAAATATGAATTAAAAGGGGTATCGTTTCCAGAAACTTATACCTATTACCTAGCCATCTCAACATCATCATCATCATCTTCATATTCTTCCTCACTAGAATCCTCATCTTCATGAACAGTACCATCAAACATAGCTAAAGATGAATTTCTATATAAATTGTTTACTTCTTCTTCAGATACATTGTCATCTTCACTTGTATCCATTGAGATATACATATCTTGTGGTTCTTCTTCATTTCTTACATCCGTTTTATCGTTAGTTAAGGCTTTTTCAAAGGAGGTAGTTCTATGATGTGTGTTACGGAGATTTATTTTAGTCAACTGCTCCAAGGGTGTCATGACAGAGGTCAAAATTGTTTTCGCATATGGGAAATCAACATCAATATCATTAATGGCTGATATCATTAAAGAAATATAATTTTGATTCAGCATGAGCATTGCCATGTTGGTTACATCCTCTGGTTTTATATTTAAAACAGGAGTCATTAATTCAACTCGAGAGGAAAGAAGATGATTACAAAGCTCGGCAAAGACATAGTATCGAGTATATTTAGTAACGATACTTCTTGTCGTCGTTGATTCAAGAGTTTCCTTAAAGAAAAGACGAATGACTCGGAGAACATAATTTCTGATCTTTTGTTGTGTTTTGTCTTGTCTATCTTTGTTATGGGACTTCACTTTATCATATATTTTTATATCATAACATAAACCAACCATTAATGAAACGACCCATATTGAAATACCATGTTTTCTTCGTTCAAGGTCTGATGTGTTGTTTATCGTATTGTATGGCAATAATTTATCGATCAATCTATACAAGAAGGATTTGCAAATAAGTGAATCCGAAAGAGTATCGATATTATCAAAATGAATAAAGGTATCAAATTTGATAATGTCACTTTTACAGCTTGGATAAGATAATATAAGCTCAAAGATACATTGAAGTAGAAAGCCTGTATATGCCATCCAAATATTACTTTGATTTTCATTGTCCAAGGCGGATAAGACCTTTTCGAGTAAAAATTGAATTACAAAAGTAGAAGAAGAATTGTAATGGTCATCATGCATGGCTGCTTCAGCTATTTCATTCCTATACATAGGGTCACGTAGATAGACCTGATCAGGAGATTTTGTACGATGATCTGACAAACCAAGTAGTTGTGAACTCGCCTTTAAAAATTGCTGATAATCACGATGAATCAAATTACAATTACTAGTAAGGAACTGAATAATATCTATATAAGATGAAGTAACACTATTGTACCAGAATGATTTAATACATTCACGCATCGTCTTTATCAAAACTGGTTTACTTTCAATAATGTGTCTTAGAATCATGATAATATATGCTCGTTGCACCTCAAAGGAAGTAAAACTTGTACTTGGTCTTGTAAATAAGGCTTCTAAACCATCCATTTCTAAAAATGATTTCACTAAATGATCGCTTTTTGTAAGACATACTATCATTCGTAAAGTTGCAATCAAATTATCCTCTGTTAAATGTTCCGATTTAAGTAAATGAATGCAAGTTTTCAATAATTCTTCCTTTTTTTCGAATAACCCAGTTATAGATGTTTGTAAAGCCATATCATTATTATTATTAATGTTATTGCTCGTTTTATACGAATCAAAAAGTGATTTTTCTGGAGGCTCATCAGATAGTACCAAGCAAATTTCTAATATCAAAGATAAGATAGTAAACCATTTAGAATTGGAGAATGTAGACTGTGAAATAGTCAAATCCAGAAAAGTAAACCAGTCAAAGATAGTAGAGAGATAGGCAATCATCTTTGTTGTAATGCTCTGCATACTAGGCTCACATAGCATCAATGCAAGAATTCGAATTCTGCTCATAGACGATTCAAATAGTTGACTTGTACCCTGATCAGTACAAACATCAGCAAAGAAACACTGGACAGTTTGCTCCATATTTATTAATTGGTTTCTAGTATCACCACAACATAAAGTTATCATTAAATCTCGAATTTCAAGATCAAGATCATCGCGTACATCAACCAGGTGAGCAAGAATAAGAGGAGTATCTGTGCGAATCAAATTATGAGCTTTATCTAAACGGTTAAGCACGTCAATAAACTCTCTTGAATTATCCTTTACTGAAAGTTTTTCTTCGTATCGAGAAATGTCTTTCCAAGATAGAACATTATTATTTTCGTCTTCAATAATATCGTTATCTTTATTGCCAATGGTATCTTCTTGCTGATCATGGTCGCTTCCTTCATTGTTTGTACTTTCCGGTACTGGCTCCTGTCTTCCAATCTGTGGGGATGATCCATTATTTTCTGCTATATATCGAGGATCAATTTTTATGGAAATGTAAGGTCGTTCATACTCTAAACTCTGTGTTACACATCGTAGAAGTGAATGTAGCACTTGTCTTGAGATTTTGTTTAAAACAGGGCTTCGAAGATAATCATTGAGGCTGGATAGCTTAAGAGACATAAATGATAGCCAATACTTATAATTTAAAGGATATGTGTTTAAATTATTTTTTTCATCAGGATAAGGAGAAATAAGCATATGGACATGATTTGATTTGTTAAATAGTTTTGTTGACCCTAGTTGATAAAGAATAGATAGTATTATTTCAATACAAGTATTGATACGTTGAATCAAGCTTTCATTTTTTTCGTCTATTTCAATCTCTGTTTCCATTGCTTTCCAAAACTGAGGTAAGAATGTGTTGACTAATAAATCTATATTGCCTAAACCTTCAAATGCAATAGCGATGGGTACTTGCAATGCAGTTCGTGAACGTGGACCTAGAAGCACCATAGAGATCATTGAAAATAGGGATGCATAATAATTATACTTGCAATTAGGCATATTTGGACGATTTAAATAACATAAACTTGCATTGAATAGTTTAGCAATCTTGTGAGCAACGCCCTTGCAACGCATATAAAATAACTCTGGTGATTTTGTAGCTAGACGACTTGTAGATGCCTTTATAATACCTAACAAAATAGGCAATAGAGCAGGAGATACTTCACTAATTACTGTCTTGAAGCGATTTGTATTAATTGTACGAGGATCCTTTAAATCGATATCTTCTTTAGATGAGGATTGTGTCTGAGCTGATCTACTATACCAAAATTTAGGGGAAGATTCCCGAAGTAGAATATTTTGCCACATCATTGTTCTTTTGAAAAAAAAAAAAAAAAAGATGGGGGAGGAGCAATTAGAAGCTATGTGAATATATGTATTATGCATGTATATATACCTATGCAGTTCACCAAGGAATTCAATTATACTATCATATTCTTCATAACTCTTTATAGACCATTCAACAAGTAAGCCTGCATGATTATTAAATTTCATGATAGGAGATGAAAATACTGTTGAGAGAAGGCCAACATATCCAAAAAGGCTTTTGAATTTGTAAAATAAATTATTGGCTTTATCCACAGACTCCTCGTCTTTACCTAATATACATATATAATAGAGGTAAGTAACTCTATATCTATTTCAAAAAGAAATAAAGTATATGTAATAAAATTTACCGTTTTCTTCAATATATGTACAGATTCTACTTGAATTTATATCTAAATCAGTAAAAAGAAACCTTGATAAATCGTATATTTTTTTTATAAGTTGATTTGCAAGTAATTGAGGGGAGGAGTTTGCAATAGTCCGAAATAAATTGTTGAGTGCATGAAAGGCGTTCGATGTAAAGAAATTATACGGAAGAGATGGAAGAGTATAATATTGTAAAAGTAAATCAGGACCTTTATACTTGATAAACTCATTCACATTCCCTGTATTTTTAAAAAATCCGTCCAAAAACTATAAAAAAAAAATTAACAAGTTAAATCAAATTATGAAGACAAAAAAAAAAAAAAAAAAAAAATCTACCTCTGAAGCTAAATTAATATAAGCTAGCAAAAGGCATTCTACATTTTCTTCTTGTGGGGATTCCTCAAGTTTGCGTTCAAATGTTAACTTATGAGAGTTATCAGATGGTTTTCCTTCTTCAGAATTTCCCATTTCAATTACTTGTAATAAAAGTTTATTTGTACATTCAAAAGCTCTTGTTTTCAAACTGGGATGGTGTCGTATTAACTCATCCATCGTTGTACCTAATACTGACATACTTCCCATGTCATTTATAGATTTTACAAAACTCTTGGAAGTCAATAATTGGAAAAAGTGTGGTAATGGGTCTATTTCATGAAACATTTCTAATCCTGATGAGTTTAAGCAAATAGCGCCAAAAGCATGTATTCCTGCTGTTAACACTTCAATACTACTTTCATCATACAATAAAAAAGTTTTTAAAAAAACTTGCGGAAGGCCAAGCTCTTGTAAGACTGTTAATGAAGTAGGCTCATTATGTATAAATGTAGACATAACAGTGAATGCAAGTGCATAAGTTTTAGGATCGAATGTCTTATAATTCTCCATTATATTTTTGAGAATATTTGGTAAACTGGTTTCAATCAAATTACGTAAGCCTTCTGAAGTATTTTCATATTCTCTTATACGAATCAGAAATCGTAATATTTCTTTAATGACTTGAATTGAGTCAATATCGGGTAACTTATTGTATAATGAATGTTGCTCTATACAATAATCTACTCGCACCTGAACAGCTTTCAATAAGCTATCTAAACCATTTACACTTAAAAATGACGAAAAGGATGAACTGATATTATTAATGATTGTATCCAACAGCCTTATGACCTTAACCAGAGACTTGTATTGATAAAAGAAGTCATTAGTTATAGTCGAAAACACGATATGCCACAAACACTCCTGTATACCTTTGTATAGATTGAATCCATATTTCCGGAATGATTTATAACTTCTACCAAAGTTGTGGTGATGCCTGCTGACATAAACATAGCACTACCAACAGGGCTCTGTAATAAATATTTAATTAATATAAAGAAAGCATCAAGAAATTCCATTGTATAATCTATAATAAATAGATTTTGTTAAAGAAATATACACTTTTTTTTCTTTTAATTAATATATAGTTACTTGTATTAAACTGTGATAATTGTCGTAAAATATGAAGTAAAATGCCATGATTTGCAGAGGCATTAAATGCTGTTAAAACTTCTGTAATTTTTGCTCTATGCATTGCTATTCCACGTAAAGTATATAATGCATAAGTTTGAATATCCTATTGATAAAGCTCTTAATTAATATTCTCATGTTTAATAAGATGAAAGTAAAGTGATTGGATTAAACAGCTTACTATAGAGATATCATTATCATAAGTAATGAGTTGAACAAGTTGAGATACTAGGTGAGGTTCATAAATAAAAATCTTGTTTTGTGCAATAGTTTCAGGCATAGTATGAACTAGGAATAATAATAATAATAATAATAAAAAAAGTAAGAATATGTTTTTGCATATTTAAATTCAAATGTATTGTACCTATTATTGTAATTAGAAGAAATCGAATAATAAGTAACTGCTCACGCACTGATCTCTCTGTTGCATGATTAATCATCCTGATTCTGTTTAAAAGCTCGAAATGGTATATTTTTGGCATGTGCTCATCTGCTAACTGCCAAAATAATTCATGATCTGTGTATTTATTTGGTATAATTTCAGCGTCAATAACTTTTAAACTTTCATTACAATCTTGATCTTCTCGATAAAACGACATTGTGATTTTATTATTTGTAATGTAATTTTTCGAAATTAATTCAGAAATGGAGCCTCCACTTATCAATCCTCTAATCTTATCTTGTGAAATTTTAAAATTTGGTTGAACTGTGCGTGAAGTATTAAGACGTAACGATTCTTTCATCAATAACTGTAATACTGCCCTAAGAATGTCGATATCTGTTGTATTTAGTAAACTGTTCAAATGCTAAAAATTGAAAAAAAATTATTAATTAGCTCTATACAGATATCATATTATTTAAAAAGTCGATCTTCTTACTTCATAAGAGTTATATAAACTTCGATTTTTACAGTTTTCATATAACAATCTTGAAAAGTTCAAGATGGCCAATACCATTTCCTTTGTGTCATTATTAAAAGGCTTTTTTTGAATGCTATCGTTTAATTCGTGCATTTCACATACAGAATTCAAAATAGTATCGAATCGATTTAAAACATCTATATACTGAAGGAAATCACCTTTAGGAAATGACCAAGAGTCTAAGTTGGCCCATTTTGATATTTGATCTAGATCATCATGTATTAAATGATAAACAATTGTTTCCAGAGCTGAAGGCTATATATTAATTTGTAAATTTGTACGAAAAAAAAAAAAAAAAAAAAATGTCAAATAGATGACAAAGGTTAAATTACCAAAGCATCAGGTTTTTTAAATAAAGTTTTTCTAATTTTCATTTCCTCTTCTTGGAACTAACAAAAGAAAAGTTAATTCTGTTTACGAACAGGATTCTTTTTTTTTTTTTTTTTTTTTTCTTTTTTTTTGGGTTTTTATTTTCTGCGCAGTTCAACTATTTAAACAACAGCTATAACAAGAAACAAAAAATAAGCTTTTCAAACAGGCGGAAAGTAGAGGATAATACAAATTTGAACTTACTGTCACATATGTATGACAGCGAATCTATGTTACTTTATTTTATTCGTACTATAAATAAATAACATACTATTATACCCTAGCTCTGTATATGTATAGATATATACTACAGTAGCTGCTATTATGTTTATGTAAACATATGTATTTGTATATATTTAATATATTAGTCTTTTTGTAACATAAACACAATACAGTAATAGACTAGTTTATTCTTAAATTGTTTATATACAATAACAAAAGTGACCATTATGAACAAATAAGTATAAATTAAATTAAACTATGATAGTAAACTTTGTTACCCTAAAACTCTTTATTGTGCCATGTTGTTCATAGCTTCTTCATAATTCAGTTGTCTATAAATATATTACATAATATAATGTACAATGATATTTTATAATCCTTTTTATTAATATGTAATAAAAGAATTGGCTTTTCTTTTCTTTCTTTCTTTCTTTTTTTTTCATAGAAAGAAGAAGATTGTATAAATAAAATGAAATAAAGTATATAAATAGTGTTCTTTACATATAAATTGGTGATATTTTTAAGATACAGATTTATTGTGTTGATGATGTTGTTGTTGTTGCTATCGCTGCATAGTTTAGAACTACACCAACAAATTCATCCAATATTCTATTGGATTCAACATATTTAATTCCACCTTTTGTAGGTACACAGTTTTGCTTTTGTTGTTCAACGGAAACAACAGCTGATGTTGATGCATAAGATAAAAAGGTATGCATAGAAGGTAGCACACAGCAATTACCTTTGTCTCCTGATTCTTCTTTAAGTATTGGTGAATAAGAGTAAGATCGTTGTGGCTGTTCATCGCTGTCGTTGTCGTTATCGTCGTCGTCGTCATCATCATCATCATCATCATCATCATGGTTATTTCTAATTTGATTATCACTTGAATCACTCTGAATACTACTTGTACTACTATCACTTATACGTCGCTCTAAAGTAGGCGATAGTTGTGGAAGAGCAGGACTAGAGGGAGGTGATGAACTATGGGTGGTTACTACAACTGGATAAGTAGTAGTAGTAGTAGTAGGAATCCAAGAGCCAGTTGAGTTAGATCTAAATTGATTTATAGATGGTAATTCAATTTTATGTTCTGGTACGCTATAAAAGGGTAGTTCATTGATATCAGTATCTATAATATTAGTAGCTGACGATAAGGTATTATTGAATTGTATAATTCTACTGCTACTAGTTTGTATATGCTGTTGAGTAGACCAGTGATTCTCGTCTTTATGATGTTCAATTGAAATACGTCTTCCTAATCTTCTTGTAATTTCCTCTCGTATAAAATTTTGTTTTTCAACTGAATTGTTATCACCATATCTTTGACGCGCTAAACGGTATACACGACAGCGTAAATCATTTTGTCTATTCTTTTCTCGATTCTCTGCTCTCCATTTACGCATTCTATCAGTATTACTGAGACATATCAGATAGATATATTTTAAAAGTCAATATAAATAGGATACAAATATACCAGTTTATTATATTCTATCTATATATTTACATATCTATGTATACATATTTATATTTATATGTATATACATGTATATATGTATATATTTATATATCTATACCTTTCAGTAGTTTCTTCTTTAGATATAACTTTTTTAGAATGACCTTTCCATCTTTTTTGATCGCGACTTCTTATATATGGAATATTATGAATATTAGGATTCTCCATATGACGTTTTCTTTTATGAATTATTAGTGAGTATAACTTTAGCGAAATATATATAAATATATATATATATATATATATTTATTGAATGGAAAGAGGAAAAAAAGGATACTTTACAAATTTGATCTTGTAGCAAATACTATATAATTATGGTTAATAATAATAATGTAAAAGAGGAAGAAGAAATAGATAAAAAGTAACTTTACTTTTAGGACATTGAGAGCATGCAAAAATTCTTGAAGATTTTTCATCTTTTTGTGTAGACATATTCTGTATTACAATTACTTTTAATACTAAAAGTCAAGAATATTTATAAAATGAAATGATAATATAAAATAAAGTGTGTCTGATTGACAAGCAATTAAGGTAGAATACGAAATTAAAACGCTATATATGCTTATTTTGATTAAGTACAAATATATATATATGTATATATATATGTGAATGAGTGAGTGCGTGTTTATGTATGTAAATATGTATATAAATATATATACATATATATAAGTGTGTGTATGTGTGTATGTGTGCGTATATATATATATATATATATATAATATGAAAAAGAGAAAAGAAAAGAAGAGAAAATATAAACCAAAAAAAAAGGTACAAAGATATAGAGCTTCTATATATATAACCGCATACAAACATGTATTCAATAACAAATAACAAACAATAACCTAGTTTTTTTTTTCATCTATCCATAAATTAGTATGAACCTGTATGTAATACAGTCAAATAGTCTCATAGTTGTATAACCGATAATTTTTTTTTTGGGGGGGGAAGAAGGGAAGGGTAAGTAAAAGAGGGCGCTCTTATTTTGGCGGGAAGAGTAAGAAAGGGGGGGAGGGAAAGGTTATAAGTGGCTTATGAATTTTAAAGGAGGTGAAGCTGGAGAAGAAGAAAGGGATCAGATGATCTGATATATATAATAGGTATCACCGTCTGAATTATAACATTATTGCTATTTCTTCTTTTTCTTCTTCATTATTATATGCTACATTTATGCATGATATGCTTATGTGTTTATATATTATGATTAGCTTTATTTTAATAAATCAATTAATATAAAATAGGCAAATAGGATAATATTAAGCAGTAACGTAATTATAGTGTTTGCATACACTACTTTTTTAATAGATATTATCGATAATAATAAAACAAAATGTTTCAAATAATAAAAAAAAGACAATGATAATCTTTCTTTTTAATAGTCAAGAAAACACAATTTACCAAATATGCAATTAGTAAATTTGCCCTTTTTTTTTCTTTTTAGGGATAAATTAAATTTTGCTTTCCTTTATTAAAATTCTTGAGCAACCCTAACGATCATTTCTCCTTATTTTATTTTTTTCGTTTATTTAAAGAACCTATTATAATGACAGTTTAAAAACTTCACTAGTTTTAAATTGCTTAATTAACTGTATGTTAACAGCTTGTCCTTGTTGAAAACAATTCTTTCAGTTAGTTCTTCTTAATTCAATACTTTTAAAACAATGTATAAATTGATGTAATTCTGCTTTGTGCTTCTCTTCAGGGATTGGAAACTTTTTTTTTGTTTATGTAAATTAACGGAGGAGTTTCTTTAATAGTTATTATCTTTATAGTTTCGAAGTATTCTTTTTTTTTTTATTGTAAAAATTCTAAAGTATTGTCCGCATAATCTTATGTTATCTTTTGGAGTTGAATTTGACTAGGGTTACAAATGTTATTATTGGCCTCCAACTTTTCATCTTCTTCTCCACTTAATTACTCAATGTTGGCGTGTGCAATTGAATATAATGGTTTCACAATTTTGTCATTCTTTCCATTATCCAAAGTACTAATTGACAATGTCTCTGAATAAATGAGGCAAGCTTATGTTTGTAAAACGTGTAACTCCTCTTCAGTATTATATTGCTTTATCCCTAATAACAAAGATGCTATTATGATGCAACGTTTCACCTAACCTATAGTGGTGTTTTGATTAGCAGAAAGAAAATATAAAAAAGGATAAATGTCAAATCTGTAAAAACTATGGATGATTTATTCAAGGATTAACAATACAAAAAGTGTACATAGTGAAAATGAAGAAGAATATTTATATGGAGGGATTCTTTTTTTTGTTGTTGTTTTTGTTTGTTTACAAGGTAAAGTGATATCAATAGAAATAGGATCTTGACAACAGGCAAAGACTGACAAAATAAAGATCAACAATACTCTTTTCGTCTTCTTGCTGATCTGTGACTGCTGCTCTAATAAACTATTATTTCAGGAGTAAAGCAGTAACGCGTTAACATTGATTCCTCATTGTAAACATTCTAGCTATAGTAACAATACTAGTTACTTACGTGCTGCTATTAATGTCAACATATGAAATAGTATTACATAATAATAATATTCATCGTTATTGACGTGAACATATAAATATATATATACATATTATGTATATGTGTGCAATTGTATATAATATTTAGTCCTTATTATTACATAATACAATATATACAATTGTTATTATTGTTATAATTACTCAAATACTCTAACAACGACTATTATTAAGACTGGGCATATAATGAATAATTATGTTGTGAAATACAATAGACTAGTTTTATTCTAATAACCTCTTTATTATATATAATAAAACGATGCTTTATTTCTATTATCTTTAGTAATAGAGACAACTGCAATCATAACATAATGCTTCTTCATAACAGGATCCAATTGAGGGGTTATTGGTAACCCACATTGAATGTAGTCGCGTCTTCCGTTGGCGACTTAATCAGCTTCTCGGTGATACTCCTCAGTCATGTCTTTATCATACATATAATAACCTTGCTCGTGAACATTTCATTGAATGCTTTCATATGCATCGTCAACTCCATATGTCGTTCACCGTTGCTGCTGTGCTTTTCTTTTTCCTCAGTCAGCTTCCTTTGAAGGAGACAAAGCCTTTGTAATTAGCTTCTCTTTGATTAATTCGCTAGTCCAACAATTTATACCACTTGGCATAAAAAGGAATAGCTATTTCCTTAAGCACTTCTTCCTCAAACTAACTTATTGTTCTCATAATAGACTAATATAATTATACTATTTCATTTTTTTTTTTTTTTTTTTTTTTTTTTGGGAACTGACTAGTAGAGCAATATTGCATAATAAAATTGGTATATGCTCATTGGTCATTTTTATTGTAATAAAAAAAAAAAATTCTTTGAATCGTATAATTGGGAGGAGGGGTCAAATAATTGAAGCTCAGATTTATTGCACTCATTTTGTTTTTACTATTTTTGTTTTTGAACCTGTTACTTAAACTTCTCAATTCTTCATCATGAGTTCTATGCGTGGTTTAACAGTATTTATTGGTAGGTAAACTCCTTTAAATAAAAGATATATTTTTTGTTAACAACTTCTAATTCTTGTACATTATTATTGTAGCCGATATTCGAAAATGTATGATTTTAAGTAAAAAGGAATGATACCTATTCATGAACTAATAATGTGGTATAGGTCGAGTTCGGGAATTAGAAGAAAAAAGAATTAATAAAGAGCTAGCAAATATCAGATCCAAATTCAAAGGTACTTGTAAGCTTCTTTAATTCAATTCCATTGTTTAAATGTCTTTTCCCCCTTCCCCCCCCTTTTTTTTTATTTTATATAGAGGGCAACTTAAATGGATATCAAAAGAAAAAGTATGTTTGTAAACTGTTGTATATGTACATTCTCGGTTGGGAAATCGATGTTGGTCACATGGAAGCTGTAAATCTTATTTCAAGTCAAAAATATAGTGAAAAGCAGATTGTAAGTTTTTTTTTTTTTTTTTTTTTTTAAATGAAAGAACATTTAATTAATTAATATTTGAATCTTAAGGGCTATTTGGCTGTAACACTTTTATTTCACGAAAATAGTGACTTATTACGACTTGTTGTAAACTCGATAAAAAAGGACTTGGACGATTTGAATGAGATTAATAATTGTTTAGCATTGCATGCTATTGCCAATATTGGTGGGAGAGAAATGGCGGAAAGTCTTGCTTTGGATGTACATCGTCTGTTAATTTCGCCGTAAGATAATTGAAAACTAAAATGCTTACTTATATTTCTTCCTGTATTAAAGCTAAGCTTTGATAAAATAATAGAACTTCAAAGAGTTTTGTGAAAAAGAAAGCTGCATTGACTTTATTACGTTTATTTCGTAAATATCCAGATGTTATACCTGTTACTGACTGGGCTGAAAGAATCATTTCTTTAATGGATGAATACGATTTGGTAAGTTTATTTAAATAATAATAAAGAGGTACGCGTCATTCATTTTAAATGTGTACATCTACTTTAGGGTGTTGCTCTTAGTGTTACCACATTAGTTCTTGCATTAGCTCAAAGCTTTCCAGTCGAATACAGTGGATGCTATGAGAAAGCTGTTAATCGTTTGAAGAAGGTAAAGTGTTTTATTATCGACCTTCTATCTATCTATATTAATCAAACACATTTAGATTTTGATTGAACGAGATTATAGCTTAGACTATATTTATTACAAAGTTCCTATTCCATGGCTACAAGTCAAATGCCTTCGTCTTTTGCAATACTATCCTCCACCTGGTATGCTGATAATAAGAATAATAATAAATGCCTATTTTTTTTTTCTAATAATTGTATTTTTATCTTTTTAGATGATCCAAAGTTACGTGCTGATATTAGTGAACTTTTGCAAATTATAATTACGGATTCACAAGATACACCTAAAAATGTGCAACATAGTAATGCTCAGAATGCAGTTTTATTTGAAGCTATCAATCTTGCCATTCATCTTGATAGTAATTCTAGTATTTGTGCTCAAGCTGCAGCACTTTTGGGACGCTTTATTTCCAGCAAAGAAACTAATGTTAGATACCTTGGCTTAGAAACAATGGCACATTTAGCAGCTTGTGTTGATTCTCTTGAACCTATCAAGAGACATCAAGAAACGATTTTAATGTCACTTCGTGATAAAGATATCAGTGTTCGTCGACGTGGTCTAGATTTATTATATTCTATGTGTGATACATCAAATGCTAAAATAGTGGTTTCTGAACTATTAAGATATCTTCAAATCGCTGATTATGCCTTAAGAGAGGAGATGGTTTTGAAAATTGCTATTTTAGCTGAGAAATTTGCATCCACTTATTCATGGTATGTAGACATTATATTACAATTAATTTCAACCGCAGGTGATCAAGTGGGTGAGGAAGTATGGTTTCGGGTAGTTCAAATTGTGACAAATAATGAAGAATTACAAGAATATGCTGCAAAGACAGTTTTAAATTATCTGGGTACACCTCAGTATAATGAAACAATGGTGAAAGTCGGTGGTTATATCCTTGGTGAGTTTGGACATTTAATTGCAAATCTTCCTAAATGTAGTCCTATCGAACAATTTACTGCCGTTCATGCAAAGTTTAATTCTTGTTCACTTTTAACACGTGCTTTGCTCTTAACAACCTATGTTAAATTTGTTAATCTCTTCCCTGAAATTAAAGGGCAAATTCTGCCTGTTTTAAATCAATATCGATATGTTCTAGATGCTGAGCTTCAACAACGTGCCTGTGAATATTTCTCTATTTCTACTATGCCTACAGAGGATATGCTTCAGACTGTGTGTGAGGAGATGCCTCCATTCCCTGAAAGAGAATCAACTCTATTGCTTAAATTAAATCAAAAGCAAGGCGACACAGAAGATAAACGTGTATGGTTAATTGGTGGTCGTGAAGCAAATATTGAACGTCAAGACACTCTTAAACGTATGGTATCTGTTCGTTCAAGTTCAACTGATAATCTTCACAGTACAACGAATAGTATACCGCATTCTAATGTACCTATGCGTTCTAATACTATGCCTCCCTCTACATCAACAGTATCCCAATTTCAACAAGATATATCTAATGAGCCAGATTTATTAAATTTCAATGATCTTTCATTAAATCATCAAAGTCCTTCTAAACCTTTGCAGGTATCAAACATTAATACAAATACCCCTTTAGCTCCTGGTTATGAGCTTGGATATAATTTTCTTCTATATAATACAGAAGGTGTCTTATATGAAGATTCGCAAATGCAAGTATCCGTTAAATCTGAATATCATGGTTCATTGGGCCGACTTGCTTTGTATTTAACTAACAAAACTCAATATGTTCTGACTGAGATTAACTTGATGGTTATGTCTGTAGAAGGGGTAAATACTACTTTGTTACCTTCTGAAGATAGCAAGATGGTTTCTGCCGGAGCACAAATACAACGTCTTATTACAGTTGAATGCAATAACATTTTTGTGAATTCCCCCGAGATTTTCATTTCTTATACAGTTGGACCTGAAACTCAAGTGCTTCATTTGAAACTACCTATAGTATTAACTAAATTTCAAGAGCCAATAACTAACATGGATGGTGTAAACTTCTTCAAGCGATGGAATCAAATTGGTGGACCTCCTCGTGAAAACCAGGTCATTTTTACTAGTGAAAGGCCTATAGATCTTTTAAAAACTACGGCTATGATGCAAGGATTTAGCATTGGTCTTTTAAGTGGTGTGGATCCTAATCCCAACAATTTTGTTGGAGCTGGTATTGTAGATGCTGGTAAACAAGGAGGAAAAATTGGTATTTTATTACGGCTAGAACCAAACTTGGAACAAAATGTAAGTAGTAATAATGTCAACTTTATACATCTTTTAACTCTAGTTTTATATATATATATATATATATAGATGTATCGTCTCACTGTAAGAACACCTGTAGAAAGTGTATCATCTATTATTCGTAATACTCTAGAATATCCACTTACTCGTGGATCATAAGAGTTGTAATACCCCCCTTCCCTCCCTTCTTTTTTTTTTTTCTTTTATTGATTTATAATAAAGCTAAACTATTGTCTATAACATTTTGTTCATATTATATTATTTATAAAATAAATTCCTTTGATATACATATATACATATATATAAACAAGTTTATAAATAACGGATGAGATAATTTTTTTTTCAAGTAATCATGTTCATTTTGTCCATAAGTTAATATTTGTGTATATGTAGGTTATAATGTCTAAATGCTTTTCTTTTTCTTTTTCTTTTTCTTTTTCTTTTTCTTTCTTTCTTTTTTTTTTTTTTAAAAAAAAACATGGATTAATAATTATGTCGAAAATATGTATAAATATATAAATACAAGCAATTGAAAATATACATATACATAAATATACACATATATATATAAATACATATACATATATGGAATTTTGTGTATAATAAGCTCTCTACTTGTTAAAATTGAAGAGTACAAAAAGAAAGAAAAAAAAATATTATGCATTACTGTTAGATGGTGTTGATAATAAGTTATTATCAAAGATAGGAGAGCCAACTAAAGTTGTAGACAATAAGGCGGTAGATTCACTATTTCGTCCATTAGCAGCACCATGGGTAGACGTTTGTAGATGATTATTATTAGTACCAGTTACTGCAATTGCTTGTGGCGGTGAAGACAAATTTTGTACTTCTGTCAAAGAAGAGTTATTTTCCTCCTCAGGCATATTAACAAACGGTACAGGAGGAGTAGTGATACAGGGAAGAGGAGATGACTCTAAATGATCTTTCATCATCTCACCATTTCCTCTATTCCCTTCTTCCTCCTCCTCCTCCTCCTCTTCTTCTTCTTCTTCTAAATCACTACTAAGCTCTGAATGATGACTACTACTTGGTCGTAATGAACTCTCTCCCGCAACCTCTAAAAGAGGAACTATCTCCTCATTTTCTTTTCTTCTTCTCCTTCCTTCTTCCTCTTCCTCTTCTTCTTTTTCTTCCTCTTCCTTTAATTCAGGTACTGTATCAAAAGATGTTAACGGCACTTTCTTATTCCTTTGTTCCTTTTCTCTTTTTTCTTTGGCTGAATTAAGAGCTTCTAAAACATCATCCACTTCAACCGCTACACTTGCTTCTAAATCGAAATAACTACGACACAGTGGACATGAAAATCCTGGATAATTTTGAAAGACAATAGGTCTTAAGCATTTAAAATGGAACATATGAGAACATGGTGCGATAAACAAAGCTTGAAAGGGAGCAATAGCATAAAGACAGATACAACACTCTTGGATATCAGCTCGTGTGAGGTCAGAGGGAAGACGGCTTACCATTTCTGATAGTGGAATTGAGTTTGAAGAATCATGTGTTGTCGTTACTATCTCCCCTGAATGCTCATGAACCTTTGTAGGTTCCCTATGAAGACCTAAATCAGAAGGCTGAACAAATAAGTCTGATTGTTGTGGTTGGGATGAAGCAGTAGCAGCAGCAGCAGCAGTAGCAGTAGCAGTAGCAGCTGGTATACCAATAAGATGACTACGTAGTTGTTGAAAAGCAGCACGTGTAAAAGGACTATTTGCAGTTTGTATCTGTCGATTGATTTCTACACGAATACGTACTGCTCGATAGATGGGCTCCAAGCCACCCTGGTAGTCAACACCTAACTGAAGAGTATCACCATCTCTTAGTTCATGAGGTGCACTAGCATGACTAGGTGGACTGAGTCTAATTCGATTTAAAAATGTCCCACTTGATGATCCAATATCACGAATATAAACCTATGTGTCAAGAAAATAAAAATAAAAAATAGTAAATAATAAATAATAAATAAATAAAAATAAATTTCTCAGAACTTGACTAAAAAAAGAAAGCTGAGCACAAATTGCTCTCTCTGTCTCGCTCTCTCTCTCTTTCTCTCTCTCTCTCCCTTTCACACAGATTTGAAGTATAGTTTACCTTTCCTTGTTCAGTCCAGAGTTCAGCATGATTACGGCTTACTACTTTACTTTTAAATGATAATCTGTCGGAAAGTACATTTCGATCAGAAAAACGTCCAATACGATAAATGACATTTGGCTCAAGTTCTCTATCAATGATATCGAATACAAAGCTTCTACTCGATAATCCAACATTTGGAACAAGCCTAAGACGAGGAAGTCTCATGTTAGAATCGGACTCAGCAGAGACTCGGTTTGTACGATTTTCACTTGTTGCTGCTGCTCCTCGAGAAGAATCGGTATTTGTATTCACAGATTCTAGGGTATTATTATTTGTGGTAGTAGAATGCTCTGGTGAAGCTGAAGGAGACGATGGGGACGAATTAGATAAGCGTCTATGAGCACGTCGAAGACTAGCAAATCCTCGGGATAACAAAGCAGGAGGTGGACTGCCGGCTGATGTATTTGATAAACTTCTATTACGAGACATACTTGTTGTTGTTGTTGTTGTTATTGCTGAATTGGTATTACTATGAGTTGGGGATAATTCTGCTACTGTATTTGTTAAAGTTGAATACATACACATTAAAAGGCCATTCCAAGATAGAAAGGAAAATTATTAATTATTTACAAAACAAAACAAAACAAAAAAAGAAAAAAAAATTAAAATTAGAAAAAAGGAGAAGACAAAAAAAAAAAAAAAATCTTGCAACGGTATGGTTTCACTCGACTTTTACTTTTTTTGTTACAATTATAAATTTATCCAATGAAAATAAAATATGTTGACTTGAATTTTGCCATTAAGCAAAATAACATTAAAATTCAGACATTTCTATATTTTTCGGTTTTCATATTTATCATTTTTTGTCCTTGGAGCGCAGAAAAAAAAATATGTATACAACTGTTTATGTAAACACTAAAGCCTGAGTTTTCAAGCTATAAATCATAAAGCGGCCTTTTTGAAGGCTATTAAAATTTTATTAAATATGGGGAAAAAAATTATATATTCTAATAAAAATCATAAAGCTTTTCATTACCAATATCATTTCTTATTATCGGGAAATCTTATGATGATATCGATATTGATGATAAAAGTATTAATAAGGAAGTTTTGATAATTCTAGTATTGAATAAATATTATACGACTTTTCTTTTTAAAAACATGATTAAACACGGTATATGAATTCTACCATATTAAATAGAGTATTATGTAATATGAAAAGAGTATTTAATTGAATGCTTAAAAAAATATATATCTATTTACCGTCTGTTCCGATTACTAATACGAAAATGTATTGTGGATATTTTATTAGATATTGAAAAGAGTTTCAAGTGGGACTTTTTTAAACTACTTGTTTCTATTATCATAGTACAAGTCTCATCATGTATAAAACAAAATGCAATAAAAGATGTATTTTATTCTTATTTTTTATTTTATTTTTTCAAGTCATAGTTTTAAAGCTCTAAACCTTAATTGGTGATAAATGGAGGTTTCTACAGATCACAAAATTTGTAATGATTTTTTATCAGCAAGTGTTTGCAACGATTACTTACATATTATTCTCATCTCAGCGAACATGCATCTTAGTTACATAAATGTTAATAAGATTAAAAAAGAGAAACAGATGAGAGAGAAAGGGAAAAAAAATCTATGAGGACTTGAGATAGGGATTTTATTGAAAACCCTTGTTGGTTAATATCTTTTTGAAGAAGGGGCACTAAATATTCTTTGTAAATACTTTATTGATAAAGTATTTCAGAAAGACGTATCCCACTTGATAATTCAAGACGATTTTACGTTAACATTTATATTTGCCCTGAACAAGGAATCTATCTCGGCTGTCAACATACACTCTTTATTATTATTATTCATCAGTGCTTGTGAATAATTTTAGTGATGTTTTTAATTTAATAAATTTTTACTCAATGCTCAAGCTGCCATTACAAAATATCCATCTTCTTAACTATAAAATAAAGGTATGACCATCATTACCAAAAAAAAAAAAAAAAAAAAAAAAACTATATTGATAAAACAATCCATTTTTTTATTTTTTATTTTTCAATGCAGTACACATTACTTTATTTAATCTTTGTAACTTTGAATTAGCTTAAATAAAATGAAACAATTTTCTGAGCTCTTAATGATGCCATCGGCATTTTTCTGATAAAACCAAATTAAAAAAAAAAACACCAATCAACATAATGTAAGTCTATTCTACTTTTTTTTTTGATATTTGTGCAAGTGTACTACTATTAGTTAGAAAGGAGACTCCTCAGTAAAATATAAAGAAGGCAACTGCTCCTGAAAGATATCTTTGGTTGTTTTTGGTAATAGCTACATAGTATCATTATTGAAAAGTAAAGATTAGATTGCAATAATAATAAAAAAAATTCCTCGGTATAATGTTTTAGACAACAGCTATAAACGCTAAAAGAAACTTGGAGAAATCTATAATTCTAGATATGAATGATTTCAAAATATTTTAAGGTGCTTTAAGGATAAATTTAAGTTAAATTTTGTGATCTAGATATGTTGACATCCATCTTAACTAAAATCTTCAATGTTTTAAAACAACTTATAGCGTCTTTGTTTATCAAATACTAATCTTTAACATTATCGGGAATAGGAGTATTGTAGAGGCACATGTATAAATACACACATGTGTATATACTATATTTTACATTATCAACAGATCAATACATCTATCCTTTGTCTTATTAAAACAAAAGACTGCTTTAAAGGCGATCACCTATGGCATACAATCTTTACATAGTTAGTAAATATACAACTATAATCTTTTTGTGTTATAGTTTAATTCAAAATCAATTTTCTGTTTTAGCAAGCGCTATAAATTCATATTAAAATAAAGAAAAGAAAAGGATATATTGTCATGTTATTTATAGTTCCCAGACAGTAGTACAAAAGCCACAATGGTTCTATTTAAAAATAAAAAATACTTGTATGTTAAAAAGAGCTTCATTCTATAAAATGACAAGTAACTCTTATAATTATATACAATCGACTCTTTTCTATTTTCTAAGGCTTTATGGGTTCCTTCATTAAACATTTTTTTTTTAGATAAAAAAAAATTCCTAGCGAAACATAATGGCTACGGATGATGAAGCCAGTCACTTATACCAATATAAAGCCAATATTCTCGTTTTTTTTTTTTTTTTTTTTTTCTTGTTCCTTTTTCTTTCTTTCTTTTTTCTTTTCTATTAATTTTATTAATATTTGTAAAAAAAAAAAAAAAAAAAAAAAAAATAAAATAAAAATAAAATAAAATAAAATAAAAATGGCACGATATGTTACAGATGATAATAGTAGTGTTGAATTTGTGATAGCTGCTCCAACTTATGCTAAAACAAAAAAGCAAAAGAGATTATGGAAAATTATTGGTGGTATCGTAGCAGCCATTGTTGTTATAGTTATCGTAATTGTGATAGCTGTGGTAGTGACAGATACTAAAAAACAGAGTTCCAAGAATAATAATAATAGAGGAATAAAGGAATATCCTATTTCACCTTATTCCCACATGACTGATTTAGTAACGAGTAACCAATCATCTTTCTCACAAAAGCAAAGATTTTTCGTTATTGGGGATGTTCACGGCTGTGTAAATGAATTAAATACGTTGGTTGCTAAACTCAATTATAATCCAACAACAGATCAATTAATTCTTGCAGGCGATTTAACATCAAAAGGACCTGATAGTATAGGTGTCATTCGACGAGCAAAAGAATTAGGAGCACTTTGTGTTCGTGGTAATCATGATGATATAGTGATACGATTTAAGACATACGAAATGGAAAAGGGAAGAAATGCTATGTACCCACTTGATGCTACTATGCCTGAAGGTAATGTTCCCGATCCATTAAAGTTTAAAAATTATCACACAGCTATTGCACTGTAAAGTATTATCGATTTTTTTTTTTATAATTCTATGTGTGATTGATTATAACAGTTAATTTATTTATATATACATGTAGGAATATGACTGATGATGACTATAATTACTTGTCAAGTTGCCCTGTAATGCTTCACTTACCATTTTTAAATAATTCTGTTGTTGTTCATGCTGGCTTAGACCCACGTATATCAGGTTTAGAAAATCAAGTTCCTTATTTAGTTATGACGATGCGTGATATTGCTAGTGATGATATTCCAACTTCTAATAGTCGAGTTGGAACTCAATGGGCAATTGAATATAATGAATTTGAAAAGAATAGAACAATAGATAGTTTACAAGTCTTTTATGGCCATGATGCTGGTCGAGGATTAAACATTAAAGATATGACTTTTGGTGTTGATACTGGTTGTGTTTATGGAGGCAGATTAACAGCTATTAATATTCAAACTAAAGAATTAGTTGATGTTGTATGTCCAACTTATGTAAATAGAGGTGACAAATATGATGATTAGTCTATTTAATAAACCAAAGTAAGCAGTATACAAATAAACACACACACAAATATATTTATATAAATATGTATAAACAAACAAAAAAAAAAAGAGATTATATAAGCTTTAATATAAACTTTTTATAAGCAGTATGCTACGTATGTTTTAATGCATATCAATAATGTGCATGTAGCACAACTGGACACTACTTAGTTTTATAAATTATAGTTAATTAAAAAGCAGTAAGATTAGCTTATGAGTATTTGATCTTTTATTATATACAACTATGCAGTTTTTTTTTATTATTATCAAGTTAAATTTCTTTGAAGATAGTTTAATTCTTCCTGTCAATACTTTCATTATTCCTTTTGCCTAGGATAGTGAATTTACCTATTTCTTTCCAATTTCATTTTTTTTTTTTTCCCTTAACGATAGCTCTCACATATTCATTAGACCTTGTTTCAGATAGTCTTAACCTCCTGAATTTGCTAGTCACTACATATATCAATTAGTTACTAGTTACTATAACTTTCTATTTATAGAAGTTAGTAACAAATTGTTTAGGATCTTTTTTGTATACAATATTCCATAGTTGAGCTTTTTAAGGGTGATCATGAAGCTACTTTACTATTGCTGTTGTATTAACAACAGAAAAAAATATCGAACTAGGTAATTAACCTTAGTCCCCATCACCCACCTTTTTTTTTAAAATAGAATACTAAAAATCTTACCAAGAAGGCTATCAAGCAAATTGATAACAGAGTTTATTGTTATCATTATTTATAAGTTCTTATTTGCACTATTTTACATGTTAAATCTTCTTATTATTATTTTTTTTCCTTCTTAGAGCAAAAATAATGATATGTGTTATAAAGAGATCACTTGAACAAATATTTCTTTTAATAACAGCAAAATATTGGATAAAATAAAGTTTTCTTTTTTTTTTTTTATTCTTCATCATCAACTCTAGGATCAGGGTATTTCTTTAGGACTTGTTCCATTTCATTTGGATATTTTAATCCGAGTTGATTTTTTATTTTCCTTAGCTTAATAAATACACTATTTAAATCTTCTTTTATTTCTTTAAGCAACTTTGTATGTGCTTCAAAATGCTTATGGATGTTCTGATAACGGGCTTGACTAAATTTATTAAATGCTTCTAATTTCTGTTCAATTTCTTTGTAATTCGCTAAGCTAATTTATATTCTTTATTTGTCAGTTTTTGAACAACTAATGAACGAGGTAATAAAATTACCATTCATCTTGATCTTTAGTTATAGTCTTAATTTCATCTTCACTTTTCAGTTGTAATAATTGATTTGCAAAATGACTAGGCAATGTCATGATTATAGATCAGAAGAAGAAGAAAAAAAAAAAAGAAAAAAAAAAAAGATACATGTCGGTATATAATCTGCATACAGTTAAATAAATAAATAAACTGGCCAATGGACGCGTAGTTTATTTAATTGATTGCTTTTCTTTAACTGGGACAAAAGGCAAAGATATAAGATCAGCCTATAAAAAGAAGGGAAGAAAATGTTAAAAAGAAAATTTGGGTTGGGTAATCAGTCTATCAGGATTAGGAGGAGAAATGGAGCTGTAAGCTAAATAATTCATCTCACGTAATATAGAATTATATGAGCCATGAAGAAGAGCTTATCACTATAAATCTTTTCTTTTTTTTTTTTTTCAGGAATTATTTACACATTGATCATATATAATTAGGCATAAATATGAAAAATGGTCTAATATGACCCAAATTTTAGTATTTGTCTAGTTAACATACCTGCATATTAATATGTAAAAATGATTGATAATTCATGTTATACTAAATGCCCTACAAATAAGGGTTAAAATAAAATAGTATTATCAGCATACAAAATAAATAATGCTTATTTATGTATCGAGCTGTCAGTAAATTGATATTAAAATCTTTTGTTAAAATACTCTCGGGTAACAATATTAGGAAGCTTATTAAGTAATAGAACTGAGCTGTTTATTTGAAGTTTTGGTTATTCTGTCTACTAGAAAATACGCAAATCTAATTTCAGTGTACTATTCAAACTAATGTTATAATCATTAAATATATATACTGCTTGAACAAAGTGCATATGAAAGTTAGGATAGAAAGTCAAGAAAAGATATAAGAAGATACAAGGTCACTATATAATTATTAGCTCTGGAAGGAAGAATCTGCTGTATAGTATTCACAAAAACTCTGCAGTTGAATCCCTTCATCTATTCCGATATAAAAGTTACGTCAGGAGAAAAAAAAAACAAGAAACCATTGGTATATTTAGCAATGTATAAAGCCTGTTACTGTTACTTTTGCTAAGCAGCACCATTTTTTAAATGCAAATTCTTTATCTTTGGAAAATTTGGAAGAATATTTTCCGCGTAGGTTATCAGTTACTAGCTTTCTAAGTTCACAATATATTGAATTTACTACTATACATTCTTCTTGCAATTCAATATAATTATTTTTTTTTATTTAGCCTATATTCAGAAATAGTTTGTTCATCAAGATATATCAAGGATATGAAGAAAACAATATGAAAAAAAAGACAATAGCTCTAAAGAAAATAAAATAATAATGAAACAATAGAATAGCTGTATTACAATCAAACATATTGTATCATGTAACCTATTCGATCATCTCTATTATGTGTAGTCATCAAAATAAATGCTTTTTTTGGGGGGAAGGTAAAACAATCAAACTGTGAAACGTTTACATTTAAGAATACAAAAATAAGACAAATGATTGCTAATCTAGAGATTTTTTAGAATAAAACTAGTCTATTGTATTTCACAACATAGTTATTCATTCTATGCCCAGTCTTAATAATAGTCGTTGTTAGAGTATTTGAGTAATTGTAATAATAATAACAATTGTATACATTGTATTATGTAATAATAAGGACTAAATATTATATTCAATTGCACACATATACATAATATGTATATATATATTTATATGTTCACGTCAATAACGATGAATATTATTATTATGTAATACTATTTTATATGTTGACATTAATAGCAGCACGTAAGTAACTAGTATTGTTACTATAGCTAGAATGTTTACAATGAGGAATCAATGTTAACGCGTTACTGCTTTACTCCTGAAACAATAGTTTACGATTAAATGATAAATTTATTAAAGAAAAAAAAAAAAAAAAAAAAAAAAAAAAGAGTGGTCATAATGAGCACAATAGTTTAAATAACTGCATTGCCCGAACCAGTTCGCAAAGTTAAGAGTTAAAAAAAAATCCTCCCGAGTCAAGAGAGAAAATGAAAAAAGTATTGAAGAATAAAGAAAAAAAAATCATAAACAAGACAGAAACACTAGCACTTTTATCATTGCAACCATTTCACCACACTAGTATCGATATCAGCTGGAGGGGGAGAAAGATCTTTACCATGGAAAATATGATACAATTCATGTAGGATCAGACAAATTTCAGGCCAACGTACAGACCAGGAAGAGATAGACGGAACATTTTTTAATAAGAAAGAAAGAGGGTCTTTGATGGATCTAAGCATTCGTAGACAACGGCGTATGTGCAGACATTCAGTAGTATGGACACAAGAAAGATGAACTGCAGGATGGAAAGGACAGGACAGGGACGAGGTTTTCCACCAGGGAGCCAACCAAGACACCAGCAGAGTACCTGACTACGCTCCATACGTGTCATTGAGAGCCATAAAATAGGATCAATTACCAAGGTTAGACGACAAGTAGAGATCGTTTGGGCATTTGGACCATTACAGAGAGTGTCATGACTTTCTTGTAAAAATCGTTGTTTCAGCGATTTAAAAACACGATGATCCAATGTATCCAGCACAGGTTCACATTTTTTTGCCAAAGAAGGTTGCAGACTAATTTATACCATTGTGAACGGCTTGCAGATATTTGGTTCATTCCGTTATAGAACAAGCTCTGGATATAAGAATAAGTAATATTATAAAAGGTGAATTACATAATACAGGACAAACTATAAGCATGAACACATAATAAAATATTTCATATATCTTCCTGTATATAGTATCTTATAAATAATATGAAACTTATTGACATCCAATTGTCTAGACATCATATCACTTCTACATATTTATTTTTATAACCTTGATAAAGGATTCAAGTCGTCTTTAATCCAATAAAATAAAGAAAAAATATCAGGAACATACAATCAGATCATTATAGCACCCAATAGATAATCCATAGAAATCAGTCTCTTGAATCAACACAATGTATATTTGAATACTGGCACTATTTCATGACTCATGTTCTTTGACAGCTATTTTTATTTCTTACATTCAGGACTCATTAGTATAAATACAAGCAGTTGTGTAGACACAAAATAATCTCGAATCTTTAATTCTTTTATTTTATTTTATTTTATTTTATTTTATTTTATTTTATTTTATTTTATTTTATTTTATTTTATTTTATTTTATTTTATTTTATTTTATTTTATTTTATTTTATTTTTATTTTTATTTTTTTTCTTTTCTTTTTCTTTTCATTGAATAAAAACAGTCTCAAACTATACTTCTTTTGTTTTATTTTTCTTCATTTTATTACATACCATCACACTTATTTGGAAAGCTGACTTTTTTTTACAGTGCATTTTCCAATGCATTTTCCAGTCAGTACTTTTTTCCAGTGTTTTTTTTTCTAGTCACTTTTTTAAACTAAATTGAGCATCGATTCCATCATGACTTCAATTGCAGCTTCTGATGATAAAATGCATTGTAGTTTTGAAAATTGCACAAGCTTTGGAGTGATTATCAAAGATGTCCCAAGGGTAACCATAGAAGGAAATAAATCAGATGATGACAGTATATTTGAGGATGACGATACTCTTCAAGTTGCTCTTGATATCATGACAACCATCTCATTCATTCAAGAAAAAGAAGAAGAGAACAAAACAAGGCATGATTACAAAACTGCCGTACTATCAGCATTCAACGCATTAAATCGAACTGACAAGGATAGAGAAAAAACAAAAAAAAAAACTCTGATAGCACAGTTAGGGGAATTAGAGCCACTGGCATATATTGATCATAAAGGGGAGGAACACAATTTACTAACTGCATCAGAAGTCATTCGGAATGTGGTAGTGTCACAAAAGAAGGATCTATCGCCATCATTTCTTATTGTGTCCAAAAAAAGAAAGGTATTCATGGGAGATGGTCCACCCGAAGTTTTCTTACTTTTCATCCATAACATCATTCTGGATAGTCACTATAGAAATCAACTTTCCAAGTCAAATTATGTGGAACTTGATCGCGAGATTGCACTGTAGTTGAACTACAGCTGGACACTGAACCCTGGAATGGTCGAAGTATGTGCTAGATTGCTGTAAGAGATGATATTCACAGAGAAAAACAAAGCATTACTTATCCTTGGTGGCAAAATTTATTCAAGACTACCGTCCCTCGATGCTCAGTACGAGAAAACATCATCAATAAAGAATGGAAACATTCCACAATCCTCTCTACCTCACGTTCACTCAAGATACGAAAACATTAAGGTAGTTTTAATGGACTATGACAATACAAAAAAAAAAAAAAAAAAAAAAAAAAAAAAAAAACTAGTTTTGGGAACCAAAACTATGAATCTTTTACTTACTTCATCAATTCGCCCTGACAATAATGAACATCCAATCATTAGTGCATCTAGCTCTAATGGATTTATTCCCAGCAGAGACACACGAATTTTTGTGGACAGGCACAAGCTTCAAGATATAAAAACTTTGATACAAAGAACAGCTCCACTTAACGAAATTAAATTACAGTAGTTACGGAAACTGATGCATAAAAATCAAAATTGGATTTTTTTTTTCTTCTAATGATGATAGAAAGATTTTACAAAATGTATTCATTGTGTGAAACATTGCATCATACAGTGACTCACAAAACCGGCCCAAGTTTTTGCATTTTTCCTTTTGATGATGTATTACTCATTATTGGAACAAGTTACATACACAATTCTTATATCATTATAATTGCTGAAAAGTTCTCTACAGTCGTTCCAACGCTAAAGGGCGGTTTGATTTTTCCCAAAAGGCTGTTTTATTTTTTTTTTAAAAAAAATCAATATTTGAAAGTACATTACAATTAAAGAATTATTTTATTTATAATAAAAATTTAAAAAACCCATGTGAGCACGTAATACTGGCGTATTGAATTGCCCGAGTCAGCTCGAGAAAGGATAAAAGTGTACTAAAAAACCTTTTGATAGGCAAAAGAGTAAAAAAAAAAGAAAAAAAAAGAAAAAGAAGGGAAGAGGAAAAGTAAGATATATCAACAAATACTAGATTCCGAGTTACGTAACTAGGTTACAAGTTTTATACCAAGGGGGGGAGTTTCTGGAGGAAGTTTACCATGATGTAGGTAATCAAGTTCAAAAAATAGAAGGCACATAGTAGGCCAACGAATCGTCCAGGCAGAAAAGACATATGTGTTGAGAGCTGTTGAGATTGGCAACCTTCGCTTTTGTTTATTTGGCAGCTTATTCAAGAGGAAGGACAAAGGGTCGGGTTCGGTTAAAGGCATTTATTATCGTCGATGCATATGTAGGCACCATATAGCATGAGATCTTGTGAACAGGGAATTAGAGTGATAGATGCATGGTTTAGGGACACCACTAAGTAACCAGCCTAGACGCCAGCGGACTATTCGGCTGCGTTCTGCATTTGATATAGGTAACCAGAGGATAGGATCGATACTCAGGTTAAGGCGGCAGGCAGACAAGAGAACAGCATTGTTACTGTTTTGTCGATCACCAAGATTATCTTTCAGGTATGCTTTACAGATACCAGCAAAAATACGAGTATCATAAGTATCATCGTCAAATGAAGCAGTATACCGTTGCCAGATAAGTGTTTTTCGAAAGTTTATACCAGTGAGAGTGGCTTGAAGAAGGGCGTATATGTGGTAAAAACTTGGAAACGAGAGTATCGTCCGGAGAGTAGATAAACCGAAGTAGGAATTTTACTTGTAGGAGGTGAACACGTTCCTTCACTGTGGATAGATTGACCAAATGCAACATAACTTTAGTTGAGGACCTGAAATTATATTATAGTGATTTGCATTTAAAAATTAACTTTTCTAAAATAGAAATCAAAATTTTTATTTGACTAATCAAGAATTTCTTGGAGCGTTTAGGTGTTTTGACGACCAATCAAACTATTTTTAACTCAATTAAAGCTTCACAGTATTATTCCAATTTTTTAGTAATCAATCAAAATGAAATGCTTCAAATACTATATAGTAGATTGAAAGATAGGAAGTAATCAATTTATTATCATAATATTATAATATTTATATATGTATTGTGCTATATAGGTTTTAATAATAAAGGGCTTATAAAAAAATATGACAAAGAATACTTTTTTGCTAAGAAACGTTATTTTGTAGAAAAATATTCCAAAAGTTCACAAAAGAAATAACATGTCTACTTTTATATAAAATGGGGTTTGTTTTATGTAATAATGTTTTTCGTGAAATTTGTCATCATTAATAGCTGAGTGCTACAACAATGGTGAATAAGTGTAAAGAGAATTTTTCATGTAAATGCTATTGCCCATAGCAAGTGTCCAAGTTCATGTTCTTAATTCTCCATTCAAGAAGTGTGTATAATATTACTAAAGTTCACGCAGACTCAAATGGGGAATTAAAAGTATCTAATTCTTGCATGGGGTAATTGTTTATTATTTGTTTGATTTATTTATGATTTGAGTATTTATCTATCTCTTCTATAACATGTATTCTCCATATTTATACACTTTGCGAACTGTTGTTCTGATTAGAGTATGAATGAGCGTGAGTCCCGGTTTTTTTTTTTTTTTTTTTTTTTTTTTTTTTTTTTTCTTTAATAAATTTATCATTTAATCGTAAACTATTGTTTCAGGAGTAAAGCAGTAACGCGTTAACATTGATTCTTCATTGTAAACATTCTAGCTATGGCAACAATACTAGTTATTTATGTACTGCTATTAATGTCAGCATATAAAATAGTATTACATAATAATAATATTCATCGTTATTGACGTGAACATATAAATATATATATACATATTATGTATATGTGTGCAATTGAATATAATATTTAGTCCTTATTATTACATAATACAATGTATACAATTGTTATTATTATTACAATTACTCAAATACTCTAACAACGACTATTATTAAGACTGGGCATAGAATGAATAGTTATGTTGTGAAATACAATAGACTAGTTTTATTCTAATAACCTCTTTATTATATATAATAAAACGATGGTTTATTCCTATTATCTTTAGTAATAGAGACAACTGCAATCATAAAAAATCCTTTACATCAAGATTCTCCTTTAAGAGTACGTATAATTCAATATTGGCTACGACATTAGCTTTTGTTTTTATCTACTACAGAACAATGGGTTTTAATTAAGCCTATTACTTCATTTTTATTAGTTCTTCAAGCAGGTGTCCCTAAGGAAGATTTCATTACTATGAATAATTAAATATCTTTGTCAACTTCTAAAAACTTTCATAGACATGGGCATCTATCAATGTTGACCTGAAGGACGACCGAGATAGTTATATATATATATATAATGCTTTGGATAGTCCATGTTGGCCAATGACATATTTTTTATGGATATTTATACATAGCCAAAAAAAATCTCTAGATTAGCAATCATTTGTTTTATTTTTGTATTCTTATGTTTAAATAATCAACTGTGCAACACTGGTTTTTTTTTTAAAAAAAAAAAGAAAGTACGACATCATTTTGACAAAAAGTGTATAAATATTCGGAAAGAATCATTTTTTATTCCTTCTCTCTTTTTTTTTTATTAGTTATATTTTTACTCAATGAAATTTATTATTAATATAACATCTATTTGGTTCAAGTCAATCCTCTATTTTTGTTTTTATATAAAGACAATCATTATTGGATTAACTTCATTTAAGAAAAAGCAACATAATCAAGAACATAGTAAATTAATACCTTTACGCAAAAAGGCTGATTGTTATCTTGGATATAAACCATTACCGGCTACAGTGTATCATAGACCTTCACCTATAAAGCAGCTCCCTAATGAAATCTTACTTAACATATTTTGTCGAATGAACGTAAATGATTTGTATCATTGTTCAACTGTTTGTATGCGCTGGTTTGAATTGGCTTCATTCAGCTTGTGGAGATCGCCTGTACCTAAATCACCTATATTTGAATGTTTACCTGTCTTACTTGATATAGATAAAAAATATAATGTCCAGCACACGCATCATCATCATCATCCTTCGCCATCATCATCTCGTATTTCTGCTAGTTTCCCTCTTCATTTAGATCGTGTTGGCCATCTAGTTCGGTCACTCGATTTATCACATATTGCTTCATACATCACTGACTGTACCATTCAACATATCGCTGATTACTGCCCTTATTTAGTTGACCTGAATTTATCCAATTGTTGTTTCATTACAAATAATAGTCTTTATCATATCAGTCAATCACCTATAGCAGGTCATCTTAAAAGACTTATTTTAGAAGGATGTCAACAAATCAATGATATAGGTTTAGATCATCTTCAAAGAAACTGTCACAAGATCGAGACACTTTCCATAGGTCGTTGCTCGGGCATCACAAATAAGGGCCTTGTTAGCCTTGTGATGGCATCCGAATCTACAATTCGTAGATTATATCTAAATGAGTGTCCCCATGTGACCGTGGCAGGACTTCATCCAATTATTCGTATTTGTGGGTCTAGATTGGAATTATTAGATATTACAAAAATGAAGCATATTCAATATGAACATATTACTGATCTCGTGGAGCACTGCCCCAATATTAGGAGCTTAACCATCTCATTAAAGAAGCCAGCATGCATACAAGAGTTACGTAAACAAGTGAACGAAACGAGACAAACACTATTTGACTCACCTCATCAACTGGTGATTATTGAAGAGGAGAAACAACAAGAAACCAACTATGCTGATAATGCTTTAGCTGAATTACTTGGCATGTTAAATCAATTTAATTTACAACTTAGTCTTAGTGAAAGTTCAACTCATCATAGTCAAATGTTATTAGAAAGACAAAGAAGACGTGATGTAGCTTCAACAAAGGCAATACAGATCATAGCATTCAATTTAAAAAAATTAGAATATTTAAATATTTCTTATTGTTAGACATTTTCCCCCCACCCATACATTTGCTTTGTACATAATTTTAAAATAACACATAAATATACATAAATGAATATTTATATATCTTTCATTATAATCATATGCTGATAAAGTGTTCCGAGTGTGTAACAACAGAGAATAAGATTCTTATGATACTGTTAATTTTAACCCCACAATTTTATGTGCTTTTTAAAAGTGTGGCTTTGTTGAAATGCTATTTATAACATGCAAATCTATTACATATAGAATTTATTGTTTCCTGCAATCAATATATACTAGTATAGACTTTTTATTTTATTTTTTTCCCTTTAATATCGCATGTATGCATTTCACCATTATGTTATATTAAAAAGTTATTCTTTTTTAATAAATCATTACATATTATAACTGTTTAAATTATTGATTGATACCACCTAGATTCTCTTTATATACGTATTATGTGTATAATAAATTTTGAGTCATCGAATAAGCCGTTCGGAGAAAGTAGTTATTAACACTGCTGCATATAAAAATAAACAAATACTTTATTTTATTTATTTATTTTATTTATTTATTTATTTATTTATTTTTCTTTTTTTTTTTTTCATTAAACCAAAAATGACAATAAAAGTAGATGTACTTGTTAGTGGTGCAGGGCCCGTAGGACTATTTTTCACTTATCAATTAGCATTAAGGGGACATTCAGTTTATTGTATTGATAAAAAATCAGGTCCCACAGATCAAAGTAGAGCCATTCTAGTTACTTCACGTACAATGGACATTCTTGAAAATAAAGCTTTAGCATCAGATATTCTTTCTGAAGCTTATGTTCCATGTGGTTTACGTATGTTTAATAATGGCAATTATGTAAGTTGCAATGATAAATAAAATTCAAAGTTTATTATTATTATTATTTATTTATTTATTCATGATATATAGCTAGGAAAAATAAATGCTTGTGGTGATAATACCCATTTCCCACATATGACAATCTTAACACAAGAAAAGACGGAAGAAATTATTTATGAAAGAATACAAACGGAAACAAACTGTATAATACATTGGGAAACAGAACTTGTTAGTTATACTCAAGATGATCAGGGTGTAACATCAATCGTACGTGACTCAAATACTAAGCAAGAACATGAAGTTAGGTCAGCTTATATTGTAGGTGCAGATGGATGTCATTCAAAAGTTAGGAAGGGTAATCCAGAATGGACATATGAAGGTGTAGCCATTCCCACAAAATTTGCACTAGCCGATTTAGTAATTAAGGGAGATAATATTGAAGAAATGATACACAGAGGAAATATGTTCATGAAGGGATCTGGTATGAAATACGGGGTTTTTTTTTCTTTTAAAAATAAAAGGATTAGATACATATATATTTACTTACTTATATATATATATAGATGTAATGGGGATAGTTCCTCTTAATCGTCTTCATAAAATAGACGATACCTCTTACGTATTTCGTATATTTGGTAATTTGGAAGAATATCATCGTAGCAATCAAAATAATGAAAGCGCAACTCATGGAATTGTAGATAACGAATATGAATCAAACTTTACACTTGAGTTTCTTCAAGAATGGGTAAATAGAATGACAGCACCTATAAAACTCGAATTAAGTAATCTTATATGGTCATCTATCTTCAGAATTAATGAAAGAATGGCGAACGGCTTCAGAAAGAAGAGAGCATTCTTAATTGGAGGTATTTATTTTAGTATATCAATTTTATACACCTATAACCCTTTTCTATCTTTAATTTTATTTAGATTCTGCTCATTGTCATTCTCCAGCTGGTGGACAAGGCATGAATTTAGGCTTACAAGATGGTAAATAGTTTATAAGTTGTATATATAAAATTAGTCATTTTACAAATCTTATATTAAAATAGCTGATAACCTTGCATGGAAAATGTCAGATGTGTTAAAAAATATCGCAGCAAATCCAGAGGAACTTCTTGATTCATACAGTGCAGAAGTAAATATAAAAATACGCTGTACTAAAACAGTAAATTAACATAATATAATATAGAGAGAGCCACATGTTAAAAATACAATTCGAACTACCAGTACTGCTACCCAAGCTGGTTTAATGGCAAATTTTTTGGCTAATACTGCTCGTAAAGTTGTTTTGACAAGTGTTCTTATGGTACCTCAACTTGCACAATTGGGCTTTAAAAATACAATGCAAGTAAGTTGTATATGAATAAATATATACATATATAATATTGTTTACACCATTTGTATTAGCAATATGTTATGGTGAATCCTTCTGTATCTAACATTATGGGTATATCAGATAAAGGATTAATACAAGCTGGACAATTTTTGCCTATTACTGATACCTTAAGAAAAAGCATTCGGCTTCGTCATAAGTCACAATGCAATATAATTCAAAGATTAACACTCCGTGATATACTCATTCATAATACATCATTTGTAGCTGTATTCATTGGCACTTGTCTTTCTAGTACTTTGCCAAACTCAGCCTTAATGGAAAAATTTTGGAAGGATATGAGAGCTTATCATTCAAAAGTTCGTCCTATTATAATTCAATCAGCGTGGCATAACCATGTTACTGGTAAATATCCAGATTATATTACTAAGGAAGAATATGATCTTGCAGAGGAATCATTTTATAGTGAAGAACAAATTAATTCACCTACTTCCATTACTCAACGCGTGGGTTTGTATCCTATACTATCTTCCTATTTTGCAAGTGAACAGCCGCCTAATGTTGTATTATTTATTCGTCCTGATTTATATATTGCACAAGCTAAACTCGTTGCCAATGAAGCACAGTTAGAAGAAGTATTAAAGTATCTTTCTTCCTTATATGTTTAAATTTTATATTCGCATTTTTTGTAATTTATTTGCTTGGCAGCAAATCATCCTAAAAATTAAAAAAAAAAAAAAAAAAAAAAAAAAAAAAAAAAAGTAAAAATTTTATTCATTTTTTCTTCTTTTTCTTTTATATTTATATTTTTATTTTTATTTCTCATGACAGATATTCAATTGAAAATTTTACCAGAAGCGTTTTCCATTTATCAATATGAGCATGACTTCAAGCTTTCTTCGGACATATTCGATGCTCCATGGTATACTATTTCTAGAACTAAAAGTGAATTATCAATCATTCTACCCACTTTGTATAAGTCATCTTTTATTCATAATCAGCCTCCTAAAAAGTCAGAGCATGGTTGGCGCATGTTTCAAGTAGACGCTCAAATGGATTTTAGTTTAGTAGGAATTCTGGCTAGAATCATTACTCCTCTCAAGAATAATCAAATACCAGTCTTTGTCGTTAGTACTTTCGATACTGATTACGTAATGGTGAAAGAAGATAAATTAACTGAATCTATTAAAACTTTAAGTAACGAACCTAATATAATTGTGAAACCCGGTGAACCTGTCCTATAAAAAAAAAAGTAAAATGAAATAAATAAAATAGTTTCTTTCTTCGTTCCTTGATAAATGATAAAACAACAACAACATCCCTATTATCCGATTACTTTGGATATACCCCAATATGTACCAAATGACAAAAGTACTTTTCAAATTTTGCTAATCGCTGGAAATATAATGTCATTTATTGTTGTACTGTGTTATGCCATTTCACGACAAAAGACGGTTACTTCATTTTTAAGATTTACATGGTTTGTAGTTTGTGGTATATTGCATTTAGGTTTTGAAGGATACTGGCTATTTCATAAAAATACGATAGCAGGACAAAATGATCTACTTGCTCAATTATGGAAAGAATATGCTCATGGAGATTCACGCTATATGATTGCCGATCATCTATTAACAACACTTGAAACCATGACTATAGTAATAAATCATTAACATATATATACATATTTATATATTGTATGCAGAGTCGATTACTAACATTCATTCATTCATTCATTCATTCATTTCTTTTTTTTTATTTCATTTTATTTATTATATAAAAGTTTATATGGGGACCCGTTTGTTTGATTTCTGCCTTTTACATCTGGCGAGGATCACCGAAACAATATTTCTTCCAATTGATAGCTTCTTTATTTCACATGTTTAGTTGTTCATTATATTTTGCAGATTTGCCTAACGCCATCTATTGTGATCCAAATCCAATTTACTTTTGGGTTTATTTTGTCGGTTTTAATTCACCTTGGATTATAGTATGTAATGATAAAAAAAATAGCTTTCCTCATAACTTATCAATTCTTTAGATTCCTCTTGCTTTAATCATTCAAAGCTATCAACATATAAATCAAGCGCTTGTAACAAAATTAAAATCTCTTTAATAAATTTCATATAACTGCATGCAACAAATGTGCGCAAATAATAGTTTATTCAAAATCTACTAGAAAAAAAATAAAAAAAAAGGTGAATTACAGAATGATGTACTTTGTATAAATGTATAAAAAGGAAAAAAAAATTAAATCTATAAAATAAATTAGTTAGAACCAGTACAGATGCATACATTTATATTTATATATGTATTTAATTCTTACTTCATCAATATCGAAATCGAATTCAACATCGTCATCTTCTTCACCACCGAAAGCATTATCAGTTTCGTTAATCTTGGCAGTATCAGGTAATTCACCATAAGATTTCAATTGTCTAGCTTCATCAGGATTATAACGTTGAATAACATCGGCTTTTTCATCTTGGAAGTCACGTAAGGATAATAAAACAATATCACCCTGGTTAATCCAAACCTTCTTACGTAATTTACCACGAATAAGTGCTAAACGTTTAACACCATCGAAACATTGAGCTTCAACACGACCGTTACCCAACATCTTGGTTACTTGAGCATATTCTAATGTGTTCAAGATGAATTTTTAATAATAGTTAAAATTAAAAAGTGAGTTTCTTCATCTCGAAATAAAGAAGGGAGAAAAAAAAAAGATTGTTATTTTTAATTTACCTTGGCCTTCTTCCTTAAAGACAAGCTCACGCTTGTCATTTTCGGTATCATTTTTTCCTCTTCTTCTGGATTTACCACCCTATTCCATATATGTTAATATTTTTTTTTTAACTAAATTAAAATTAAATAATAATACTTTACTTTTCCCTTATTTTTGACCATGCTAAATGTATAATGAGAAGGAAAGAAAAAAAAAAATTAGAACAATCTACTAGTTGGAATATTAGAGCTGCGGTTCGATTTTTTTTTTCCTAGTAAAATCTGTATAAAAATCGTGGCTTATACACTAAGCAAAAAAAAAAAAAAAAAAAAAAAAAAAAAAAAAAAAGGTAGTTGATATAGTTTATATTTTCATTTTTATTTTTAATTTTATTTTATTTGGTTGTAAAATGTGGTATTCTAAAGAATATGACCCTATACAGGTGGGCTCAATTAATGGAGTAGGAATTAAACCACACGACGCTGCTATTCAAAGAGCCGCTTCGTCTGAATGTAGGTATTCTTGAAGCTTTTTTTTTTTTTATAAATATTTATAAACTACATCATACATGTAAACTATTTTACATAAAAAAAATTTTTTTTTTTTTTGAAAGACAGAGCACCCAAATATTTAAAGACCGATCCAAATCAGACTTTATTTATTGGTCGATTAAATTTTAATACAATAGAATCCACATTGAAAAGACATTTTGAGAAATATGGGACAATAGCAAATATAACAATTATACGAAATAATGGTAAAATAAAGAAAAGGGCGTTATATTTTCTTTTTTATTTTATTTCTAAAAAGTGACATATATCTTTATAGTAACTGGATTATCTGAGGGATATGGATTCATTACTTTTACAACTGAACGAGCAACGAGAGAGGCTTATAGATATGCTAATAAAATAAAAATAGACGATCATGTGATCCTAGTAGATTATGAAAGAAGTAGAGTAATGAAGAATTGGATACCACGAAGGTTAGGAGGTGGATATGGTGGTAAAAAGGAAAGTGGTCAATTAAGATTTGGTGCAAGAGATAGGCCCTTTAGAGAATCAGATTCTTCTTCAATCCATATATCCAGTGAGCAACGAAGAGCAGATAATTGGACTCAACACCATTCTTCTTCTTCTTCTTCTACTACTACGAGTCCTTCTCTTCATGATAGTCATAGAAGGCATGATTCTCGGTATTATCGTGAGCATTCTCATTATCGTCACCATCATAGATCTCGCTCTTCTTCATATGAGGATAGGAAGGATAAAAAGAGAAAATACAGTCATAACTCTCGTTCACCCTCTCCTTTTAAAAAAAAATATGACAATGATTCGCATAGGAAATCTTCTCAAAGAAGATAAATATGTATATCAAAATTTAAGTAAATACCTCCCTATAAATTAAAAAAACTACATTTATTTATTTTTTATAATAATAATAATTTAGAAGTCATACTGTTTATTATAAAATAAATAACTTTTTATTTATTAAAATGAAAAAAAAAATGATACAATAAATAAATAGGAAAAACAAACAAAAAAATTGATAATAATGACAGTAATAGTAATAATAGTAGTAGCAGTAGCAATAGCAATAGCAATAGCAATAGCAATAGTGGTAACAATAGTATTTAAATCATTTACATAACAGGGTCTAAAGGTAAACGAGCCCAGAATCTTTGTTGAATAAGAGCAGCTTCAAATGCAGTTTTAACTTTGTCTGCACTATCACCAACAATGACGCCGTTCAACTCTTTAATAGTAGAATTAGAGGCAGCAGTAGGGAGATCAACATGGGCATATTCAAGAAGTTTGACACCTTCAGCAGAGGCAGCAATAGGTTTACCATGACGGAATGCATCCATAACAAACATTTGAGGTTCGTTGAAGGCGAACATGGAGGTACGACTTGTCATGATATCAATTGATTTGTTACCACCGGGGACATAAATAGCATCCCAAAGAACAGAGGAGGTAGTGACATAGGTATTTGTAATGTTAAGACCATCTTGAACACCTTGATGAACACCAACAAAGCTAGGGTAAGCGCCCTTGGAGGCAAGATAATTATACATGTCACGTGCATCTTTTGTATCAGTACCTGGGGCGGTAAGGATAGCAACGGTACGTGTTCTGATACTTTCAGCCTTAGGATAGGCTTCGATAGAGAGACCAACCGAGGTCTTGTTTTGGTTTTCAACAACCTTATTAGGGAGCTCAACACCAATACCATAAGCAACACGACGAGCAAGTTGATTATCAATATGATTAAGGACATTGATCATTCTTCTGCGGACATCCATAGAATTAGATTTACCAATTTCGAAACGAGCACCATCAACAAGCTGTTGCTTTTCATACACGTTTAAAGAATTCCAGTAAAGTTGAGCTTGACTGTAGAAATCAAAGAATTTGGATGAACGACCACGAATCTTGGTAACATTATTAATCTTTTCGGGATATTCAATGTAACCGCCTTTATTGCCATCCACCATAGAGGGTGTGTTCTGTTGTAAACCATTAGGGAAATAAGCGACTTCACCTTTATGAATTTGCATTTGCATGAAACCATCACGTTGGTTGTTATGAACAGGGGTAAGAGGACGATTGATAGGAAGTTGCATGTAGTTAGGGCCACTCATACGATTGAGTTGAGTATCAAGATATGAGAAGAGACGTCCTTGGAGAAGGGGGTCATTTGTAAAGCCAACACCACGAACAACATGACCAGGGTGGAAGGTGACTTGTTCAGTTTCAGCAAAGTAGTTGTCAGGATTACGGTTAAGAACCATTCTACCAAGTGGAGTGAAGGGTACGAGAGATTCAGGAACAAGCTTAGTAGGGTCAAGAAGAGAAAAGTCAAATTTATCAACATCTTCTTCTTCAATAATTTGAACACCAAATTCCCATTCAGGGTAATCACCATTATTAATAGCCGTATACATATCGTTACGATGGAAGTCAATGTCTTTACCAGCAATCTTTTGAGCTTCGTCCCAAAGAAGATTAGAAAGACCATACTTGGGCTTCCAAATGAACTTGACATAACGGGAAACGCCCTTTTCATTAATTATACGATAGGTATGAACACCAAAGCCTTCAACTTGGCGAAGGGATCTAGGGATACCACGACCGGAAAGAGCCCAAAGAACGGTATGAATTGATTCAGGGAATTCAGCAAAGAAGTCATAGGCAGTCTCGTGGGCAGTACCAGCTTGAGGGACTTCAGTGTTGGGATTAGGCTTACCAGCGTGAATAAGATCAGGGAATTTGATAGCATCATGAACAAAGAAAGGTGGGATATTGTTACCGACAATATCAAAGTTACCTTCATCAGTGTAGAAACGAAGAGCAAAGCCGTGGACATCACGGACCGTATCAGGAGAACCACGTGAACCAAGAACAGTCGATATACGAACAAACATAGGAGTCTTTTTACCCTTTTTATTCAGGAAGCTGGCAGCGGTGATATTAGAATAGTCGCCGTAGGATTCAAAGTAACCATGAAGACCAACTCCTCTAGCATGAACAACACGTTCAGGAATTCTTTCGTGATCTAGAAACAAGTTTTCAATACTAGTATTAGAATATATGTATATATATATATATATATCCCATTATCTGACTTACCAAAGTGCATGATCTTTTCACGCATCATAAAGTCTTCCATAAGTGTAGGACCATCCAAACCGGCCTTTAAACTATCAGAGTTATTGACCTTGACACCGAATTGAGTTGTTTCTTGAGTACCATCATCAATAACATAGAATTGCTTAAGTTGATCATCCTTAGCAGTAGCAGTATTCATTTCATCAAAACCATTTACGGCGCAATTAAGATCAGCACCATTTTTAGCAGCAACAAGTTGAGCAGCCGCGAAAAGACCAATAAAAGAAGTGATGAGACTTGTCTTCATCTTTTATAATAATATAAGATAATAATTGTGTGTGAAAAAAAAAGGAGGAGGATAATTCTTCTTTGTATTTATACTTTCACAGAAAAAAAAAATATTGTATATAGATATAGACATAGATATATATACATGACAATGGTTTCGGATAAAATTCTACTTGCTTTGAGTTTCTTAAGAAGTAGTGTTCTACATTCCTCGTACCACTTTGTAAGACCATTATTTCAACTTTTGATTTTAACGGAGATAAAAAAAAAGGAAGCAGTAAGTTCCTTTGACAGCTTTCAATTATTATTCGGATCAACTGGCTGTAATTTAATAATAAAATACATTCATTCTCTGCCCCTAACAAAATTATAGTTACATGACGCGATAATCTCTTTGTTCTATTTTCAACAATAACGGACTCAAATACAGATTTTATAACCAACAATATTTAAAAAAAAAAAAGAAAAAAGATTACAATGTATAATATGTAAAATTCATTAAAAGAGAGATTTTTATGCAATTATTGTATGTATACATATTAGTTTATAGTTCAAATACTAATAACCTGGCGTCAAATAATTCATCATATAGCTTTTTCTTTGAACTTTATTGTCTTACTTTGTTTTCTAGATCGGAATTCATATTACCTCCGTCCACGTGAGATGAGGAGCGCCCTTTTTTTTTGATTTGTCAACTCGATTTTGATTGGCTAAGGCAAGACAGGAACAATATCAGACCACCTTCTTATTTTATCCATTGTTTGAGTATATATCAATGAATGTAAAACCTTTTATAACTTTCGTGTAGATCAGATAAAAAAAAAATAATTAATTCGTGTACACTTTGAAGCTAATAGCTATCAACAGCACTATATATATTTATATACATTTTTAGATGTAGTAAGCTTAATCTTGAAACGAAAATATAAGAAATATTTGTTTATTATAAAGATATTATATGAACATAAAAAGCCTATTGTTAATGTTTTATACCTGGATATTGCACCTGACTACAATAGGTCGAACACCCCCCCTGCTAAAAAGTATTTTTAGTTACTTGAGGTTGATCTTTATTGTATACCACATTTATACAATAGGTTAAATATAGCATTTACTCTTAACCAACTTTTTATCATAAAGTTAAAATAAAATTGCACAAGTAATTTAATACAATTTATAGAGGATGCCTTTTAGTCCAATAAAATTATATAGATAGATTACGTTTTTTTTTCTAAAAAAAGTTTTATTTATGTTAAATACATCAAGTTCAAGAAACAATAGAATACATTATTCAAACGGAATATTGTCCTCATGTTTCAGTATACTTGAATAATCTTATTCTCTTTTACTAGGAGTCAATGACTAACATATAAAATATGATAGTAAAATGGTTATGTAAAAAAAAAAAAAGAAAAATAAAAAAAAATGAATAGATGCTATTGCAATATTTCTTTTTTTTTTCTTTTAATCCTGCTCTTAGTAGTATACAAAAATATGAAGATATAAATTTGAGTTTTATTATATAATTCTACAATTGAGTTTCACAATTTTATAAAATGCAAGAAGAATAATAATAAAAAAAAAAGACAGTCTTAAATTGTCTGAATCTTATTCTATGCATACATACTCGCGTATATATCACAACATCTTTATATTATTGAGCTCCTACTTGTATTAATTCTGTATGTAAATCCGTAACAAAAAGCAAAGAAGAAAAATAAACTACATATTGTATGTTCAATAAATAATACACTATTGAATTTGTTAGAATAAAGTTAACAGTTTTTCTATTTTCCTTTTCTTTTCTTTTTCTTTTTCTTTTTCTTTTTCTTTTTCTTTTTCTTTTTCTTTTTCTTTTTCTTTTTCTTTTTCTTTTTCTTTTTCTTTTTCTTTTACAGAATTGTATAGCTTTTACTAAAATAATATCTTTAACGTTATGTTAGAATACATTTCTTTCTATTTCCCTCTATCATTATTGTACAATATAATGCATCTACTTCTACTTTATTCTATTATTATTGTGGTGCAATAGAATACATTTATTTCCATTTTACTCCTGAATAGCATTTAAACTTTTTTCTTTTTACAAAACAAAAAATACTGACAAATGTTAAAATATGTAAATTTAATTTCCTTCTCCTGCTTCTTCCCCTCCCTCCGCACAGCTTTTTTTTTTTTAATCTTTTATTCTACTTTTATGAATGCATTGTTCTAATAATTTAAATTTTCTAAATCACGCCATAATTTATCAACTGTAAATTTTAGGAAATGGAATACGACGCAGAAAGTAAAAGTTTTTAGGCAATCTCTCTCTTTTTTTTTTCTTTTTTTGCCTGTAACAATTTCACTTTTATTATAGGAGTGTGTTTAATTTAAAAGTATAAGTGAAAAAAAAAATGACATTTGTATTGTAAAGTCTTTTTATACAATATAAAGAAGCAAACAACTAGTTAATATTGATAACTAAATTTATAAAAAAAACAAAACAAATATGTACAAGTTTTTATAAAGTTTTTTTATTTTATTTTTATTTTTTAATATATTTTTCTAAAAAAAAAATGCTTGTAAAGTAATATATAAATATAAAGTCTAGATGAAATAAATTTGTATATATTGCTTCATTTTATATAAGTATAGTGTCGAAATAGATACAATGTATCTGATAATAAACTCTATCTTTTTATTATAAAAGCCTTATATACACAATAGGAATAAATATAGAGTGACATTAAGATATTTATAAGATACTTTATTATTATACGTATTTAACTTGCTTCTATTGTTAAAATAGAATAATCAGTTATTCTTCTTAATTTATGATTATATTCACTTTATCATTAAAGTTACCATCCTTCTCTTGTAGTCACAAAAGTCAATATAGGAACTTTATCATCAATTAGTAACAAACAAGAGTAAATACATATAATGTCTTTATAGATCTGAAATGAATATAAAATAATATATATCATGTAGTTGTATTGTCTACAATAATAGCAAAGACAAAATAAAATAATAGAAATTAAAAGACTATAGAATGATTCGATAGATACTGACTTGTTAACAAGACAGTTAAAAACTAAATCTAACTAACTCTTTATTTAATTATATTTGTATACGCTTTTATTTTACTTTTAAATATAAAGTATTATGCTTTACTGAATTACTGTCAAAGTAACAGCATAAATCAAATTTTGACTCTTAATACAAAATATTGATTCATTATAACAAATATAATACCTACTATGAATTGCCATCAATTGAAAAAGCTGTTCACATATAACTTAATTCAGCTCTGATAGTTATTATTCTTTTGTACCGTGGTCTGGGAGTGTATTTGTGCAACGAGTAATGACAGATTTTAGTAATAATATCCAAAGTAATTTACCTATGCTTAAATAATATATCTAGATATGAAGGCTATATTACATAAATAAATACATATTAATACTGTATAGTGTTTTATAACTATAGCTGGAATTCAACAATGGCGATTTTAATGAATTAAGGTTCGACTTTATAAAAGAAGACAAAGGATGAGTATATAATACAATTCTATAACGATAAAACTACTACAATATGTACTTGTCATTAATTAATATCTATTTACAGACTTACTTGTCAAAGATTTATAGAATATTAAAGTATTGAAAGCCAAAATCCCGAAGCTTTTATATATACATACATGTATATTGAAAATAAAGTACATAGTAAATCAATTTTGTCCCTTAGAAAAGTTAAAGGAGATTATATTATAATCAAGTTTAGCTTCTTCAGCCTTAAAAGCATTAACTACTTTGATAATGCCACTTACGTTAAACCAAATAAGTAATTTTGTATAAAAATTACAAATCATTACTTGAAACTACTTTAATATTTATTGTTAAAACTGTAGGCTATTCTAAATTTCTATCTAACAAATTTCCTTCTTTATGTATGCACATATATTTAGAGGAAAGATTTGTCACGATAAAAGTAGTTATTTAATAAGATTTCAGTTGTAAAGTTACTGCTATATTAGAGACAATTGTAGTAACATAGTTTACCGATACTAGTATTGTTATGAATTCTTTTTCAAATACTAAATTATCTTTTCTAACATTGTATTAAATATTGATTCATATTTCATGCTAATCCAAGCTCAGATAATTTAACTATAATATTAAAAGTGTTTATTTTTTTTTTTTTTTTTTTTTCGTGCTAGTATTCATTCTTACCAAATAAATAGAAACTTTATACATCGTTCAGCTGCAGAAGCATGAACCAAGACTATTTAATTATGTGCTTTTTTTTCCCTCTTTTCCCTCTAACATCCGTTATTGTCAAAAGACTTTGGAATAAAATTTTCAAGATTATTAAAAACTTTGTTTAAAAAAGAAAAATAGAACATGTATTAGAATATGTATGTTTTTTTTAAAAAAAATTATTTAAAAAGCGTAAATCCGATTTTTTTTTTCTTTCTTATCTCTTTAAGAAATGCCAAGAAAAACATTTAGAAAAATTGAAGCAGATGTAGATGCAGGAACACAAGATGAACGTCTATATAATAAGGCTTTCACCGGCTGGAGAGCTACTTTACGAAATATACTCTTGCCTATAGTACGTTTTGAAACACCCATCTTAGCTTCCATGCAGGTATTAAAGAAAAAGAATTTCTTTTCATCTTTTTCATTGAGCTTAATCATTTTAATAGAAAAATATTAGAACACCTGTTTTAGACCATTATTTTATATGGACAGCTAATTTGGGTACACATACTTTCTTCATGATCTTTTTACCCATCTTGATCTGGTTTGGTAATGCTGAATTAGGAAGAAAGTAAGTGCCCATTTGCTTTTTTTTTTTATGAAAGATTAGATCAAACTATACATACCTATCTATTATTAAAGCATGATGACTGATTAAACATGATGCTTTTTCAGTGTTGCGTTTTTGACAGCTTCTGGAGTTTTTTGGTCAGGTTTTCTTAAAGTAATTATATATACACACACATATATATATATATATATTTATATAAATATATGCATTCATATCATACTCGTGTATTTTATCTATATAAATGGCTTATTATTATTCTTTTATAGGACTTTTTATGTCTTCCTAGACCACTTTCACCACCTGTGCATAGATTAACAATGTCTCCTTCCGTTGCTCTTGAATATGGATTTCCGTCAACTCATTCTACAAATTCAATCTCAGTTGCCTTATTTCTTATTTCCATAGCATGCGAAAAATTTGCCCCTGAATCACCTGCAAGAATTGTGTCAATTATTGCTTGTATTTTCTATGCTGTAAGTGTTGTTTTTGGTAGAATCTATTGTGGAATGCATTCAGTAACAGGTAAAAAAAAAAAAAAAGATAATATTAAACAATAAGGTAAATTAAATTTAATAATACTAATTGATTTAACTCTAGATTGTATTGGTGGAGCAATATTGGCTTATGTAGTTTATTGGTTTCAATGGACATTCAAAGATCAAATTAATGAATTATTTTTAAGTCAATCTTATTGGAGTAAGTGTATTCTTGTCTTGTATAGAAAAGAAGGAATTTTTAATGAAAATTATACATATACCATACACATATACAGTCTTTTTAGGTATACCTCTCTGTCTTATGCTTGTATCAATTCAGTAAAGTTATATGTATTTTATTTTATATTCTTCAATTTAACCTTTTTCATCTAGTCCTGATCCAATGGAGAGATGTCCTTGTTTTGAAGATAGGTAATCATAAGAAAAAAAGAAAAAAAAAAGGAAGTAAATTTAGAATTAAATAAAAATGAATATGAATAGTGTCTGTTTTACGGGAGTGATTATTGGTTTATTGCCTGGCACTTGGCTATGTAATCGAAATGAATATTGTTTACGAACTTCTGAATTTCATCTTTATGGCCCTCAAGTCAGTCTCTTAGATATTTTATTTTCGCTTATTAAGTTAATTATAGGAGTCGCTTGTTTATTTATTTGGCGTATTGCTTGTAAAAAAATGTGCTATTCTATTTTACCTCCTATTTATCGTGTATTTAATCTTCCTCATCGTAAATTTGAAATTGGTGCTAGGTAATATTAAGTTGGGAGTATTCGTATAAAATTAGTACTAACAAAGACGCATGTAGAACGTACAAGAGTTTACGTAAAGAAAGTATTCATCCTGTTCCTTCCGTGTTAGATTTTCATTCAATGTCAGGAAAGATAGAAGATAATGAACATGTAGGTATTCAATCTGCTATTGATTTGAATGAAGCTCAAGATCAAAGGAGACAATTATGTCATCGTGGTGGTATGCGAGAAGATGGCACGACACTAAATGGAAATGGAAAGAAAGAGGATGTCTTTGATCCAACATCACTCTTAGTCATAGAAGATGCACCACTAAGATATGATGTAGATATTGTTACAAAATTAATTGTATATGCAGGTAAAAAAAATATATAGAATATAATTCTCTGCAAATCTATATAACATCTTTTATAGGAATTGGTTTCATTGCCATATATCTTGTCCCCATCTTGTTTGAATATATGTCAAAAATTATCATGTAATCTTTAATAATTTATATATACATATATATATGTATATATCTATATATATATCTTCTTTGCCCTCTTTTAATAATACAAAAATTGTATACTATCACTATCACTATATTACTATTACTATTACTATTATTATTTCTATCACTATTACTATCACTATCACTACCACTGTCACTATCACTGTCACTATCACTATCACTATATAATTAATATGATACATGTATAAATAAATATTTAATAATATTACATTTGGAATTTTGGCTTAGTATTCAGTTGGCATCCACCTTTTACCATTACCGCTAAGAATAGAATTAATTCGTATCCTTAATGTTCTCATTTGATCTAAATGATACTTTGAAGCAGCAAAACAATCACATTTACCCTTTTTTGAAAAAGAACAATTAGGTGCCTTTGAACTAACAAAGGCATACTTTGGAGGCGTACTCAAGTTGAATTTTTCTTGTATACTAGGTACAAGTACCTCTATTATACTTTGTTTCTTGCTTATCATATTAGGTGGAAATTTAAGATTTGGATAATAATCAACCCGAGTAAACACAAGTAGAACATGATCCCACCAAGACTTATTACAATATTGAAATTGCTGTTGCATCATATAATCAAAATGTTCTAATATTGACATAATACTTGATTATGATAGCAATAATAATAAAAGAATGAATAAGGAGAAGAGAAGAGACAAAAAAAAAGATATGTATAGACATTGTTTGTTTGTTTTTGTTTTTCCAGCTTACTTATTTGTAGGAGAATCATATTGAAAGACTAACATAAAAGAATCAATGCCTAATCGACTTCCTAAATTTATGATATATTCTTGAAATTCAGTTAAAAATTGTTTATCTCGTTGCATACTATCTGCAAAACCAGGTGTATCTGCAACTGTAATAATTGTCTCTACTTGATCAATAGCCCATATACCTGTACGTTCTGTAACACAGTCTGTTACTGACTTGAATATATAATAGTTAAATAGAGAAATATCCTTCACCTCAAAAAAAAAAAAAAAAAAAAAAGATTAACAATAAACTTACTCTGGCTCCAGCTTTTGCTTTAAACGCAGCATTATCGCCTAGCATAAGATTTAAAAGGCTAGATTTTCCTGCTCCTGTTTTACCAAGTGGTAATAGAACAAGATGTTGCATTGGATCTTCATCAGGCTCTGAAATATACATCTTTTTTTGAATTGCTGTATTTGTATCATCATCATGTTGTGATACGGTTAATTGGTTAAATCCAGTCATAGGTTGGTAAGGAAGCAGATAGTCGAGTTTAAATCGTTCTACTTGTTCAGAAGCTCGACGAAGATGGTGCTTGATAGGACAATTCTTCTTACGATTACTAATAGAGATAGTATCTTGTATGGTTGCTTGACGAGAAGGAAGTTGAAAAGGTTGAGGTAATGGAGCACGGTAATCTTGAATGACTTTGACGACTGCATCATGAACACCATTACAATCATCTATATAGGAATTGTTCTGAAAATGACTCATGACCCAATTATCATCATCATCATCTTGTTGTTGATGATGTTCGTAATCTTTCGACATGTTTTTAGGGAAGAATAAAATTATATATGGTACACTATTCTTATATTATCTCATGTTTGGTGACACAAATACCGTGTCTCCTTTTGTAATCAATCATTGCTTTGTATAACAATATTTATTATATTATTAAATAAGTAATAAGGAAAAGATATAAATATAATATGCAAAATGTAAAATAGAAGAGGTATTTTTTTTTTTTTAACCAGAAATGACTACTTTGCCCTTTTCAAGAAATCCATGTTCACGATCTCCGCCTATAAAAGTAGGACATATACAGAAACGAACAAGACCATTTGTTCTACCTTTCACCTCTGTCATTGTTTCTTCCTCAAAGGGTTGCTTACTACCTTCCTCAATAGGCACAGTCGTGATCTCTACTTCTTGACCTCGAATAGCAATAGATAATTTAAGTGCTTTATCTACAATTTCACCAATTTTCGTACAATATCTCTTTTCTTCCTCTACAACAGCATCATTTTCACGTAAAAATGGATAATAGATATCAGCTAAATCATCATAAATCTTTTTAACAATCACTTGTTTTTCCTTTTGAGCAGCTAATTGAATTTCACTATCTCCTTTGCTTTTAGCAACCACAGCAGCCATTTGTTGTCTTAAACGTACTGAAAATTGAGATTTATGCTGTTGAAGCCAGTTATGAAGCGTAAAATAAGCATCATTCACTTTAAGTCCTGGATAAATGGGTGCATTAAAGATATTCTTTACTAAATGTTCATGAACCAGTTTCTCTGACAAGACATTGATAAGTGAGGGCTCTAATTCATGTGTAGTAGGATCTACAATAGGCAAATTGGGCCATGTCTGACAAAACTTTTCTGCTGCCCTTGTTTTATCCGCTTTTTTGTTTAATGTCATTATTAAACGTGCAATAGAATATTTCAAGAGTTTAAAGGAATCACGAATGGTAGAGAGATCGTCATCGGTAGCACGAATAGCGCGAGTATGTTCAAAGAAACTGTGTTCAATTGCAGAGTATTCTGCTTCTCTTTCTTTAAAGATACGTTGGGCTTCTAAAAGTTCAACTTGAAGACGTTCCTTCATTTTCTTTTCATTTTGAACTTCAGCTGTCTTTTGTGCTATTAATTCATTGAGTTGCTCTAATTCATGTTGTAAATTATGTTGTTGTTGTTGTTGTTCTTGATTCTGCTCTATTATTTCAGATGAGGAAGATGAAGAAGACAATTGTTTATTGGCGTCTATTTCTAAAGTAGATTCACTATTCATCATCATTTGTTCTTCTATTTTATCAGAAAAAAAAAAGGGAGGAATTAGTATAAAATAAAATAAAATAAAATAAAATAAAATAAAAGAAAAAAAAAAAAAAAAAAAGGGGGAAAATAATAATAATCATTATGTACCTTTTTTTTGATAGGATAAAATTGGTTGTTGTGTTGGTGGAGGAGGAAATTGTTGATACGAGTGTATCGAGTCGTTCCCGTTTGATGGACCATAAGAAGCCGAAGTAGATAAGATAGGCCTTGTTAATAAATTATTGTCATCATTTGATTTCTTATGACTATTGGCTGATTCCTTTTTTGACTTGAATAAACCTCTCATTTTACTTCCTGCAGAATTAAGATTACGAACTGTCTTTGACCGTTGAACAGTAGATTTTGAGCTAACAGGGGAAATTTCGAATGATGGAGTCTCATGAGCGGGCACTTGTGGTGGTGGTGCTTTTAGTTGTTGTTGTTGCTGTTGCTGTTGCTGTTCTTCTAAAGAGTATTTTCTGATGTCGGTCATGCTTTATAGTTGAAAAAAAAAAAAAAAAAGACTAATAAAATTATTTTAATTTTTTATTTATTTATTTATTTATTTATTTTAAATAATAATAACCATAATTAGCCCCGCTGCTGTTGGGTACAAGAAGTTCGGATTTCTAGGATGAAAATTTTGCTGCTCAAGCTTGATTAAAAATTATAATGATAAAAGCTAAAAAAAAAATATTAAGATAGAGGATAAAGGGAGAATAATAATAATAATAAGTCAAATATTTTATTACCAAGGATTTAGAAGAGAACAGTCCTATACATCAAATTTCTATATAAAATAAAGTGTGTATTTAGCTAACTGATGAATCAAGAAATGTTAAAGATAAAAGATATTTCCAAGATATCTAATAGAAGAGAATAAGCTAGTTTTAATTTGATTATGTAGACAGATATTGCTTTATTTTATTTTATTTTATTTTTGCTTTTGAGAGATTATATCATTACAAGGGATATTTAAATTTATATAGAAGAGTCTCTATAAATCGTATTGAATGGAGTAGAAGAGCCTTTAAAGAAACTGAATTTGAAGTATACTATTGCAATCTTGCAGTAGTGTAGATATTTTTTGTTAGTTGGAGACTTGCTTTATAAAACAAAAATAATCGGGTACCAACTGAGCAGAAATGATATAAGCGTATCTTTATTATTATTATTATTATTGAAGGTATCTCCATATCTAACTACTATTTTAGTGGAGGATGCACTCATGGTACAAATAGAAATTAATGAGAAACATTATGTTCAAACATTGAGAGTGGATAAAAATAGCAGCAAGTTGATGAATTTATTCTGAATGCATTAATAATAAGGTTTCGGTGAAAGGATCATTGCTCTAATGAGAGTACGTTCAGGTTTAAATCAAATATCGAGATAAGCCGAGAATTGATCACTGATATAGTTGGTATCGAAATAAATGTTTAGCAATAGCATTGAAGTCACCATAGACTTGAGGATTCTACGGGTATTAAAGACTAACATTATATATATAAAAGGCTAAACATGACTTCATTTGTTAGATATATGAACATTGTTATCTGAATATAATAAACAAATAATTGAAGGAGCGAGTCAGATTAAAGATAGGTTGCTAGTCAAGGTAAATGGATTGTAATATATAAAGTATGGCTTGAAAGACAATATAGAGCCTTAAAGTGTACTTTTTGCTGATTAGAATAAAAAGAAGAGCTGAATTACTTTGAAAGAACACTTTAACATAATATATATTATTCATCTAGTTTTACTGCAAATTAATGTGTGATATAAGGGAAAGAATGTTATAAAATTACAATAGTTATAATGCTTACAAAAGCAGTAGTTCACAGATATAATAAAGTTCACTTCATATTGTAATAAAATATAGCTAAATAAATGCATTATTCAAATATATATTTTTTTATCGTTGTTATTACATTGAGTATAAAAGCTGCCCGTTGCAAGAATACATTTGGCAAGGATAATTTTGAGCAGAGATGCTTTGAAGATCCAATATTTTAGGAATAATAGATATTATGTCTTCAAATACTAACAACAGCTTAATTATATATTATTTTATCTACAAATTATATTTCCAAAAGAAAAAAAAATAAGAATAATTATTCACCTAAGATAATCTTTGTTAGTTCGTTTACAATAACTAAAAGCTGTATAATACCTTGATCTATTCTAAAAAGGGTTGTATTTTTAAATAAGGGAGAAGGAGAAAGAGAGATAGATAGACAGAGAGAGAGTGAGTTTTTATATAAACGTATAGCATCCCCATACATCTTTAACAAAATAATTTATTGCTTATCATACATATTGCCAACAGGAATTACACTCATTAATCAATAATGCGAAACAAACTCACTTTTAGACAAGATATTATTGAACAATATAAGGAAAAAGCAAGACAAGAAATCTACGAATCCTTATGTATTAAATAATAGTATTATTCACTTATTTCGTAAGATGAATTAATATCGAACGGAAACAATAATAATAATAAAAAAAAAAACTCAATACGACTTTTTTCGATTTTTATGGTAAAAATACATATTAAACAAAAAAGGCAAAAAAGATGTTGACATTTTATTGTTCAAGGTAATAAACTCATTTATCTTTTATTAAGTTGATTATGCATGCATATTTGTTAAAATTTAAGTTGCAGAAGAAATATCAATAGAAATTTTCTTTTTTCCGTTCCTTTCCTTTCCTTTCCTTTTTTTTTAATAGAAACCCAATATAACACGAAATAATTTGTTTGAATAAATATTTGATTTGGGGAGGGGGGAGGGGTTTCTCATTTAAGTCGCCCAGATTAGTGGAAACATTGAGAGAAAATTGATGATAAAAAACTTTGGGCATAAAAGAAAGAAAAAGAAAGAAAGAATTAAAATTAGATATTAGCCATGGGTGTATTCATCGAAAAAGTGGTGTCGTATTATACAAATATTTTTTTTCTCTAAATGTCATGAGGTATCATTGTAGAATTATTATATAGACTTCCATAGCATCAACAATTAGTTTTCATTATTATAAGATGTTGTAACATTGGGTCAATAAAGCTTACTTACTTGATCCAAGTATATAAACTCAGTACTTTTTATTATAGTATATCTCTGAACTATCACTGAAATCGACTACTTTAATCGAAATGCATTCTATCGAAATGCATTCTATCGAAACTATTAAGCATGGCAAATGAAAATTAATATTAATATTGAAACATCTATAAGGGAGAATGAGTGAGTGAGAAAGAAAAAAAAAGGAGGGGGGCCAGGCATCGAAACACAATCGAAAATGATCCAAGGAAATATAATGTTTTAAAGGACTGTGATATATTTGATTACTAGTTTACATAAGTATAGTATAAAGTTTGATAAAACTAATCCGGAACTTCCATGTTTATATCTACATATATCTAATTCCTTCTCGTAAATTTGAATAGTTCAGTGTATCAAATTATAATGAGAACATACTTCAATTATGTGAGTTTGATACAAACATAATAATTGATCAATAAAAACTCCTAAGTATCTAACATCATCGATATTGGATATGGTAAAAAAGAAAAGGAAAGAAAAGACGACAAAAAGTGGAGTATTTAATGCATGCTGGATGAAAAGGCATATATTTCATCAAGTTGATTTTATTATGTACTTGTACTTTAAAACGTAAAGTGCACGAGAAGAGTAAAAGTAACCATCTTTATGAGAAATAGGACCTAAAAAAAGAACCTGGTGTTATTTAAAATAATTTCAACATGTATGTTATGCTAGTAGGGGTTTTAGAATTATAAATTCCAAAACATACAAAATACCATTTCAGTTTATGATATCGTAAGTAGATTGAATATCCAAATAGACGCACTTGTTGTATTTAAAATCTGTACGTGATCTAAGGCATTCATGTACTCTTTAAAACTGCCTTACGTAATATTTACAAATAAAAGTTTTTGTACATCAAATTAATATCTGAGATTCAGAAGTATAAGAAGTTTTACCCTATTTTTTTTTTTTTTTTTTTTCGTGAAATAATTTAGATCTATAAAAAAAGTTTCGTAATCATAATCTAATAGAGGTAATATTTACAAAAGACTTAAATCATTAACAAGTATGCATATTATATAATTGATTTTCTAATTTTGATTGGCTAATTTTAAAATTTACCATTGTAAAGAAAATATAAATTACGAACATTTTTCAAAAGATTTGCATGCTTTTCTTTCAACGTTAGTTATATTATCACCCTTTTTTTTTTTCATTCTTGAAAAAAAAAATCAAAATGAAGTTGTCAAAGACTTGCTTGATACTTCTAACTCTAGTAAACTTCGGTTTTGCTCAAGAGAATACGGGAGACCCTATTCAAGACAATCTCGTGGTTAATGCTGGAAAGGAAGAAACTACTCAATTTGGTGTAAAGATCAATAATACTGATAGTTTGACAGCTGGACACCGTGGACCCACCTTACTAGAAGATTTTATGAATCGTGAAAAGATCATGCATTTTGGTAAGTTGAAGGAGTAAAAAAAAAAAAAAAAATTGAAACTGAAAGAAGGATGTTATTCTTATTCATTATGATTCTTTTTTAAACTTATTTACTATTAGACCATGAAAGGTAATTATATAAATTCTACATAATCTATAGTTCATAGAACTTATTCATTTGTGTTATAGAATCCCTGAACGTGTTGTTCATGCTCGTGGTTTTGGTGTTCATGGTTACTTTGAACCTTACGCAGACTGGTCAAATATTACTGCTGCCAAGTTCTTGCGTGAACCCGGTAAAAAAACTCCAGTATTTGTTCGTTTCTCTACCGTCTTAGGTTCAAGAGGTTCTCCTGATACTGTCCGTGACGTTCGTGGCTTTGCTACAAGATTCTATACAGAAGAGGGAAATTTCGATTTAGGTGAATATGATTAAAAGAAAGCTTTTTTTTTTCGCATTCGCATTAAAAGTTATTTACATTTTTTTTTGTATACAAATATATACATGTATATCTTTATTTATTTTAGTTGGAAATATTATTGCCCCATTCTTTATTCAAGGTAAACAATCATAGGAATGAAATAGTATGAAATAATAATTTTTATTTTTTTTTTATTTTTTCAGATGCAATTAAATTTCCTGATTTAATTCATGCAACAAAGCCAGAGCCTGATAGGGAAGTACCCCAGGCTTCAACTGCACATTGTACTGCTTATGATTTCTTTTCTCAACATACTGAATCTATTCATACTGTTATGTGGGTTCTGTCTGGAAGAGGTATTATCAGAAGCTTCCGTCAAGTAGAGGGGTTTGGTGTCCACACGTAAGTATATCGTCATATTTTTTTTTAAAAAGATAAATTAAGTTATACAAAATCTTTTTTTTTAAACGCGGGTATATATTTATTCATTCAAAAATAGCTTCCGATTAATCAGAGAAGATAAGAAAACTGTATTTGTCAAGTTTATTTGGAAACCCTTGCAGGGGCTTTCTAATCTCGTTTGGGTAAGAGAGAACAAAAGGATTTTTTTTTTATACACATTTTCATATAAATGACATCATAACTAAAATATAGGACGAAGCTCAAAAAATCCAAGGTAAAGACATTGATTTCCATCGTAACGAATTTTATGATGCTATTGAAAAGGGGGATTATCCTGAATATGAACTTTGTGTACAGATTGTCCCAGAAGAAGATGAAGATAAGTTCGATTTCGATTTACTTGATTCAACCAAGATTATTCCCGAATCTTTAGTCCCAGTTACCAGATTAGGTAAAATGACACTTAATCGTAACGTCAATGATTTCTTCTCTGAAACCGAACAGGTTACCTACCATATGGGACATGTAGTTAGAGGTAAAGTATAATTAGATAATTAGATATACATATGTGTATATAGAAAGGGCACGAGGTGATCAATTCTGATAATTATGTTATATAGGCATTACTTTTACTGATGATCCTTTGCTTCATGGCCGTTTATTCAGTTATCTTGATACTCAAATTAACAGAATGAATTCTGTTAATTATTTCCATCTTCCTATTAATAAACCAAGAGTCCCAGTTCATAACAATCAGCGTGATGGTTATATGCAAACTAATGTTCATACTGGAAAAGTTGCTTATTATCCAAACACTTTACAAGACAATACTCCTGAAGTCGTTTCAGATAAGAAAGGCGGATATTTGGAATACCCTGAACATGTTAACGGAACTAAGCAACGTGGTAAAGCGGGTAAATTTGCTGATCATTTCTCTCATGCTCAATTGTTCTATAACAGTCTTACCACTGCCGAACAACAGCAAGTAGTAAATGCAGCTCGATTTGAACTTGGTAAATGCCCCTTGAAGTCTGTTCGTACTAATATGGTCAATGTCTTTAATCGTGTTGATCACAACTTTGCTCGTCGTGTTGCTTATGCCTTAGATGTCCCTATTCCTGAATATAGTCAAAACAAAAATAAGACATCTATCGGTTTATCTATCGAAAACTATCCATTACCTAAAAATATCAAGGCAAAGAAAGTGGCTATCATTACAGCACCTGGTATTGATGTTGATGAAGCCAAATCCATGTATGATTTCTTGAAGAAAGAAGGTGCCTATCCTGACTATATTGGTATCAAATTGGGTGATCAAGATGGACTTGATATTGAACAAACATTCCTTACCACTACCTCTGTTCTCTACGATGCTGTCTATGTCCCATCAGGTAGTAAAGCAGCTTTCAAATTATTAGCTGAACCTCTCTCTACCTTTCCTTATGCTGAACCTATTGCATTCTTGCTGGATGCCTTCCGTCATGGCAAGCCTATTGCTGCCTCTGGTCGTGGTGTATCCTTACTTAAGTCTGCCCAGGTTCCTTCTATGGCTCTTAGTAGTAACGTTGAATCACAAAAGAAATATGGTATCTTTATCAGCAATGATTTGAAGAACCTTAAAAATCTATTCAAGTTAGGCATTCGCAAACAAAGATTCTGGATCCGTTTGCCTAGTGATCCTGATGCTGCAGAATCTCCTACCCCACCTACTAACAAAATCTAAAACAAAAGAAGGAACTTAAAATATAAAATTAATTTCTTTTTTTTTTTTCTTCAATCCAAAACAATAATGATTTTTTTTCCCCAGCTTATTATCTCTTAGTATCATTAATAAAACAATAATAATAAAAATTTTATTTTATTAAGTTTTGGACCTTTTTTTATTTATTTATTTATTTATTTTTTTTTCATATAATCATATGAAGATCATGTCATCTAACGTCAACAAGTTTTATAGGTGATACCAATACACAAATCGATAATAGAATCCCCGTTACACAATAAACATTTAGTAATAATTGTAAATCATATCCGTAAAATTACATAATTTAATGAAAAAAAAAAAGAAAAAAAAAAGCCAAAAAAAAACACGATTTATATACAAAGGGAATAATATCTATTTAATACATGATTTGTCCTTTTATAGTTTCGTCAATTTTTCTGACAAATCCAATACTATTTGTTGAACAATATCATAAGATTCTTTCCAAATTTGTCGCGAAAAATATAAAGCAAATGGATGAAATTCTGCTTCTGGATATTCTTCTGAAATATTCTAAAGTACAATCGAGTTATATACACATATAAAAAAATAAAATAAATATTTTGCATATCTTTCTGTTTAACTTACTGATAAAAACTTCATTTCTTGTTCTGCCTGTTTGGAAAATTGGTTACATATATTTTGAAGTATGATCAATGCTTTTCTTTCGTTTTCTATATTTATGATATCAGTCTGACCCATAACTACATCATGCCAGTCCATTACACGACGATCAAAGCCTGGCTCAGTTGCTCCATTCAATGCTAATAACCTTAATGCTGCCATTAATCTGAATGAAATTTCGTTTGCATTGATTGAATAATCTCCAGAGTAACTAATATAAATGAATGAAACAATCAATCAATACATAAATAAATAAATAAAGCGTTATTATTGTATTTACCCAGCTCCTTCCAAGATTTGTTTTTTGATTTCTAATCCTCGTTTTGATTCTAGTCTTTTATAGGCCTCCCATACTTCATGATCCAGTAAAACAAAATTATAAGTGTTTTCAGGTAAAACGAAGCCATATTCTCTTAAAATAGCTGAATTATCATGTGGACCATAATTGATAAATACTTGCTCCCCTTTTTTGTAGTCTGTAAGTGTCTTTATCTCGAAACAATTATTTTTTACATTAAATCCACTTTCAATCTATATATTTTTTAAATAAATTTGTATATTAAAATAGATGCTATTATCTCTTACTTTTGCTTCTGTTGTATGATTTAAAAAATCAAGCATTGGAGCTAAAGCAATATTTCCACCCTTTGTTACATGATCCATAATTGACATGTGTATACAACGCGTGTTAACTAATATACATATATATGTGTGTATATAAATACTGACTTAAGTTCTTATATATATCTATATGTATATCTTTATACATACCACATAACCACGCCCATTCATATTCATCAAATTGAATCGATTCAGCTAAATGAGCTTTATCAGGAATTGATTTTAAATATTGAATGCAAGCAAGATAATCGTTATGTATATTCTCTTTTTGCTGCAAGGTTTCTTCTTTTAATGATATAGGAAGATGATCAATAAGCATTTGTGTATATTTGACAGGCATCGTATTAAAATGTAAAGGAAGGAGATCTATATAGGGTTTCCACCATGATTGTTTGTCTCGTTTTAAAAGAACTAAATGTAGAGATAGTAACTGATGTGAACTTAAGGCATGATGATTTCTTTTTTCAAAGTGATACATTTTAGATAGACTATCTGCTGTAATTAAAAATTTGCGAGGTACTGAAACTATCACTTCTCCTGCCTTTATATCATCTGTAGCCATCATACCTCGACCCGTATCTAAATAATATTAAATTAAGCATGCTTTTTTTCAAAAAAAAAAAAAAAGTGTCGTTTAAAGTTCATAATGTTCTTACTTGAGAAATTAGCTAATGTCAATTTAGTATTTGGAAAATTATTGTCATTTAACCAACGAATAAACAGTTCATACTTTTTATCTCGGACCACTAAAGTATCGTATTAATTTGCGGTTATCTTATAAAACTGCATGTACATTATCATAAAATTTCTAACCTGTTCCTATTGTTTTGTCAATCATGTACTTTGTCAATCACTTATAAAAAAAAAGGAAAAAGAACAATAATAGTAATAATAAAAAAAAAAGACATTAATGGGGGATTTTTTTGTGACTTTTTTGTGATGATGTTTTAAAATACGCATAGTAATTGCAATTTTATTTGATAAGATTGTTGGTATATATTTATATAAATATAAGAATGTACTTATTTCATTAGCTTAGTATAACCACCAGGAGTGCCATTATAATCAAATGCTTCGACATTAGTGTCACCATAATGAAAAGACTCAAAACAAATATCGCAAAAATAACAAGTTGAAAAACCAGTGGTAACATCATTGTATACAACTTTAGTGGCCGGATAGACAGTACACAAAGAACATTTAAATCGATCATATTTCACATTGTGTGTAGTACGTGGAAATTCATCTTTTGATTTATATTCATTAGGTGAAAGTAATCTAATATCTTTAACTCGAATCAAATGTTCACAGCTATCTTGATGAATCCATGCAATTGGTTTTCTCATTTTAAAGCGTATAGATTCTATCAAAGTATCCTGCATTTCCTTTTTCTCGTATGTGAATATATCTGTATTCACTTCCTTCTTCGCTAACCAATTAGTAATACGTTCATCATAATAATCTTCACTAGTCCCTGTATCGGTCGTAGATGATTTGCTATGCGGATGTCGTGTATCTACATAAAATACATGATCCATATATATTATGGAAGGTGATAGCTTTTTGTGTATTGTATTAAGTATTTTTCCAGTAGATGACTTGTTTTCTCGGTCTTGATTTGAGGTAAAATCAGATAAGCAGTAAATACTATCACGCAAATCAGATAAGAATTGAGAACCTAATATTTCTATCTCTTGGAATTTAATATGAGGGTTATATGCATTAAAGATAGTAAAAGTAATTAAGGTATCTTGTGAAGCAGCTGTCCATTCCTTTAAATTTTCTTTAGTAGGGATATACTATAGATATTTACATATATATATTAATAAAATGATAAGAATATAAAGCATATTTGAATAAATGATAGTATTTACATCTTCTTTCACATATCTAAGTGCAGATGGCTCAAACTGTCTGGGAAGGTAGGTATGTAAATGCTTTGAGCCAACTGTTTCTAAGGGACTTTGACTCATTAAGTTTGATGTTTGCTCAAATATTTTATCCAATTCACTTCGCTCTGGTTCTTGTTGTTCATTATTTACTGACGTTACTGTATTTGGATACGCCGGTAAAGCAAGATTATTATTAGAATTATTGTCAATACTATTGTTATTATTATTATTATTATTATTATTATTAGAATTATTTATAGGTTCATTAGCAGCTAATTGACTGTTCTCTTCTGTAGATGGTGATTGATGAGTAGAAGGCTCTGCAGAAGATGAACGTGAAGGGAAAACAATGTCCTGAAATTCTTCTGACATATATTTTCGTTGTTTTGGTGCAAGAGGATTAATATATTCCTTATCATTATCAATTATTTCCTCTAGTGATTGGTATACATTGGCAATATCTTCTGTAACGAGTTGTCTTGTTTTAACGTCTTTAGCTTGTGGTTTTCTAAATATGATCAAGTCATGTTCATGACGAACACGAGAAGTACGTTCAATTTTTATTCTCATTCTTTTGTAAGATTCTTCAGAAATTCGTGATAATAATTCAGGATCTTGAAATATTTCTGATAATGTCTTTGAATTATGGCTTGATTCTAATCTATTTACATGCATGTCAATCCTTGGATTACAATATTTTAATAAAATCGATCATTTACTTGATGTGTTCATATTTTCTTTTCTTGATTTGAAATTCTGCATTGCTTTCGACTTCTTTTTGTTTTTTAAACAGATCAGTAAAATCATCTTTTAACTCTTTTGGTGTAATTTCCATTTTTATGAATAAAGAAAAAAAAAAAATGAAACTTATTTAATGGAGTAAATTTATTCAAATTTCTAAACCAAAAGTATTTTCACCAGAATATCTAAAAAAAAAAAAAAAAAAAAAAAAAAAAAGTAATTTTAATATATTAGATATATTATTCCCTTTTTTATTTATACTTACTTGATATATAAAAATCCATCTTCATCTTTATACTTGTTAAACACTACTTTCATTGTCTCTATTCAAGATATATTCATTAATAAATAAAATAACTACGTTTTAGGACAAAATAAGAGACCTGAAACAGGCGGTAGAATTCCATTGATAAAGATAAAAATCGCTTTCTCTGGACTTAATTTTATTCTTTTTCTAATAACGTATATGAATTGTCCAATTGTTAAATCTACTGGAACAAGGTATTTCTTCTTGTCAACAGTAGATATATCATTTTTTATTATCTTTTCGCAAATAACTGGAACTTGATCAGGATATTTTTGTCTAATACGTTCTGATTCTTTTTTACGTGTATCTGACATGTATACATGTACATATAAATATCTTTTAATAATAGTATTATATAAAATAAATAGCTGTGTATAATATACCAAATGAGTACTTTTGCTTAAAAGATTGAAAAGCTTTAATTTCTGCCATTGCCCATATAAATATGTATAGACAAAAAAAAAACAAAACAAAAAAGAGTCAAATTGAGCCGTATTCATTTCTTCTATTTATACTCATATTACTTTCATATTTCAAATACATAAACTAATTTATCATTTTTAACATAGATTTATAATAAGCAACTCTAATAGCAACTAAACCAGGTTTCCTTCTTCTTTACTAAATGCATCTATTATAATAATAAACACACATTATAGATTAGCATAATTTGATATAAATAAGATCATGTTTCTTTCTTCCCTAAAATCAAAATTTGATATAATAAACAAACTTGTATCGAAGAAAATTGATATTACTATTAATTGAATAGTTAACAAATATGTCGAATCTTTTTTTTTTAAACATAGCAAATATAGAAGTAGATACATTTGATATAAATACAAATGCTATTTCCTTTGAAAACAGTATGGGATTCACTTTATGTATGAAATCTTCCAAAAAGAAAAAAAAAAGAAAAGGGGGCAAAAATTGGATATACTGCGACTATAGGAGGGCAAAGCAGAACTATAGGAAGTACCATCTTAAAATGATTTATTAAGATCGCTTTATACAAGGTATACAAATGGTATAAGTTATATTAAAAGCAATATATAAAGCCTTATAAATAAATTCCTTGCAGAATTTAATGAATATTAACTTAAGAAACAAGTTCCATCTCTTCCGTAGACTTTTCTTCTTGTTCACGTTGAGATGATGCTTCAAAAGTTTGTTGTAATTTAGGTAAAAGAGCTCTTCTCCATTGATCTTTACATGCCTTTCCAGAACGGCCAATCTGTTTCCCAATGACAGGCCAGTCAAATGAAGCCATATCCATTAAGCCTTTATGTGCAATTACCGCATTAAATAGGGCCTCTCTCATCTCAACACTCCAACGTGGTTTTTCTTTACCCATCTTACGTTTACCATTCATACTCCTATCATCAGGACTACTGCAGTTTTCAACTTCATGACTGTCATTCATTTCAACATCTGGGTCCTCCTCTTTAGTATCCATCGCCACTTCCTCGTCCTTTGTCTCGAGCGCTTTATGAGAATCTGGTTGTATATTTTTCATCTTTCTTTGATTTATTCGATAATATAATCTATTTTCTCCAGCCTCAATCTGCCTTTGTTGACGAGTTGTTGCTCTCTCTAAAGCTATTGCTTGATGAAAAGAATGATTGGCTAGTGTATAAGGCTGATAACGCTCCACAACGTGTTGTTGTAGAGTTTGAAGATGTGGAGAAGAATAGTTTTGAATAGATCGATTAGTGACATATTGAAATGCTGAAGTATTCCTTCGTCCATGTGAAACTGGTAAAGGGCGAGCAAAAGTAAGATCCGAACGAGTATTCTCCTGCAGCCTATTTTCTATGTCGTACTCTCTTTGTTGTTTTTGTAAGCGTAGTAGTTGTTGTTGTTGTTGCTGCTGCTGTAAGTAAGTCTTATAATGATATTGCTGTCGATAAATTTTTTCCCATTGTTCATGTGGATATCGCTCTTGTTCATCTTGAAATTTTTCTGTGTTTTGAATTTCTTGTTGTGGAAACTGAAAATGAACAAACTTGATATCTGAATTCATTTCTATTCTATTTGAATCATTATCTACTACTATTGTGTTTTGTTGTTCACTATTTTTAGTGATAGATACTTCTTGACCGCTATTTCCCCTTAAATTACATATAGGAGCGAGTCGGGCAGAAAAATCAAGTATACTTGTATCTTCATTTTGTTGTTCATGACTTAACGGTGGTGTATGATCAGCACGATACTCTGCAAAAATTTTCATATTCCTTTCTATAGTAGCAGCAAGATTAAGACTATGGTTATTCTCTTTTATAAAATCTTCATAAGAGGAAGGTGTATTTAAACCGTATTGAACAAATGTACGATTCATATTACTTTCTTCACATTCTTTATTATTATTAGGAATATTAATAGGTCCTGTAACATAATAATTTTTCAAACTAATGAGCCCCTCAGCTGCTTTATGTTCATCAGTCGTCATTCGTGAGTGTATCATTCTCTAGTGTATTTTTTTTTCTTTTAAAGGAAAAAAAAAAAGGATAAAAGAAAGAAGTCAAGCTTTAATTCCTTTTTTTTTTTTTTTTTTTTTTTTTTTTTTATAAATAAAATGAAATAAAATAAAAAATTACCCTTATTCTCTGTCATTTGCTCTTTATTCGAGTACATGTTTTTTTTATTGAATATTAAATAAAAAAGTAAGAGAAAAAAAAAAGTTTCTTTATTATCAATTTAAAATAAATGACAAATCTACACCATTATGATTGTTTACGTGTATAATGAAAAATCCATCCAGATAATAAAGCCCTAAATGAATTGACTTAAATAATAATACAGATTTCTCCCTTTATTTTATTTTTTTATTCTACTTTAGAATATGATAGATCATTGTTTCTTGACTATCACACAATATTATTAGAAACTCGTAAGCGTGTAACATTGAAAAGTAAGCAAACTGTCATAACAAAGATTCCGTACAAAGCAAGGAATACAGAGATAATTTTTCCTGGTTTCCAAGGATCATTTTCGTGAATTTTATAATAAAATAAACCAGGCAAGATGAATGAAATAGTGGTTGAACCTGTGGAACCTACAAAAGACAAAACCTAGAAAGCCCCAATAATAAATACTCTATTCATTTCAATTTAATTCATTATGTTACTTTACCAAATCAAGTTGAGTAACACAGATAGCGACTATGTAACTGCATATCAAAATTGTCGTTGTCATGGCAAAGTACTTGAATGCAGATGAATAGGCTGTGGTTCGATGATTTTCTTTTGATGATAAATTAGATGAACACCAAGAGATTACTTTGTCTAACGATTCTCTACAAGGATACGCTTGAAGAGGGTAACCAAATACAACAAGCATAACAATGGCAAATTGACCTCCTGCAACGAAATAACTAGATGGATCTATTATATTGTATTACATTATACATAAAGACACAATAAGCTAACTATATTTTTAAAACTGCAAATGGTTATACTTTTCTTTTTTTTTTTCTTACATTCCATAATAATATTTCCTCGAACGTTTTTACCGAAGCTTAAATACCCTATGATAGCAATTGCTTCATAAATGAATGCAGAACTACCGATAGACATAATAATCACTTTTGATATTCCTTTTTTACTATTATCTTTTAGTTCATTATACACTGTAAAAATCTAAGTATAGAAAAACAAAAAAAAAAAGAATGAAATTATTAATAATGATTCTTCTTTTTCTGTGTATACTTCGTCTTTTTTTTTTTTATCATACATTTTGATGGCATGTAAAAGCAAAAACAAATAAAGGTAATTGACCCAAAATTTTAGTATTGATACTTATCAAGTCAATTGAGTCCTTTGGTAATGGAGAGAAAATAGGAGAAAAGTAATGATAAATAACAATGACACAAAGATAGATTACCGCCACTAGAGCTATTAAACTTGTATATTTGAGAGAGTCCAGCTTTCTCAAGAAACTTAAAGGCAAAACTAACGTTAGCATGTATACAGTAATCCAAAAACGACGATCAGTTAAGAAATAAGCTCCATCTTCGTGCGTGTAAAATGGAGTAATAACTTGTGGCATTAGATCACCTATGATGATTAAATAAGACACGGCTACACCGAAACACTTGATGGCAATTGCAAAATCAAATAAAACGCCGATTTTAGGCCAAGTTAATTTGGATACAGCAAAGAAGGATGAATGGCGTTGACCTTCTGTACGAGCAGCACATTGAGATAAAAAATATAATCCAGTACCTGATGCAAGTGCTGAAAACAAAATTAAAAATATTCCAGGCAAAAGGCCTACAGATGCCATTGCTGAAGGCTAGTTTTAATTATTATTATTATTATTATTTATTATTATTATTATTATTCGTTAAGTGAAGTTTAAAAGAACAAAAAATTAAATAGTAGAGTATATTAAAAAAACAAAACAATTACCGAGATTTACCATTGCAAGCATACCTGTTCCTAAAATAGTATTTGATAAATTAATGATACAACTCATAGATGTTGCAGTTGCATGTTGCTCATCATAATCTTCAGTGTATAGAGTACATTGTTTTGTTAATTGTGTAATTGAACCGGATGACGATAAAGTAGCTTGCGAAGTTGTAGTATTTAACAAAGGTCTGCGATCATCATTTACCAATTCACTTAATTGAATATTTTCTTTTGGTTCAATATCTAGACGTTGATAACCTGCAGCAGCCATTTGAATTAATGAACAAAAAATATATAGTTATATCTATCAACTGTAGCAAATTGTTTCTGTTTAGAAAACAAAACAAAAAAAAAAAAAAAAAAAGTAGGTACAAAAAAATTTCATTTTCAACTTGAGACAGTTTTATTGGCTCTCGTTATTGACATATTCTACTTAATAAATTTATGTTTGATTTAGAATCAATCCCTTTTTATTTTGTTATTGAATCGTTTTAATATGAATATCAATATATGTTTACATTGTGAAGCTCAATTAGATAGTAATGGAGAAGTATGTAAAATATTTACTTTGATGACATCTTGATTTAACTTATTCATATTAGCTGAATGACAATTTTTGTTCATCATTATGCCGTTTAAAGGAAGCTCAGGGCTGTAGGTTTATCATTGATGAAAATGCAAAAAACATAAATGAATCTGAATTATCCAAGCTTTTAACAATGGCCAAAACTAGAAAATTCAAGATTAGCAGATCAAAGTCTGTACCTCCTTCAGCCAAAGAACAGAACAATAACTAACTGCATCTCTTTATGTCTCTCGTTAAATATAATAATCATATAAACGTACTTGAAAAAAAAACCTGTATGAGACATTATAAAATTAAATAAATTTTATCTACCATTCTATTTTAATGCTTTTATGAAGTTTCCTCTATAATATAACACAACATAATTGTTTGCTCGTATTCTCAATTATTACATCTTTTCCAAATTCTCTCTTTTTTTTTGGTATTCTTTTGTTGCCCATTTTATCGTTATACGATATAAAGAAATGTAGTTTCTAGAAAAGGAAATTTATTCCTGTAGCTCTTATTACAGTCTGGGAAACTAGGTTGGGCCAATAAAAAAATAATTGGGTCATTCAAAAATTAAATTGGGACAGAAATACGAAAATGGGGCAGAGGAGAATAAGTTAAATTGAGACGAAATGTTAGATCTTTCTGGACGAAAAAAAAAATAGATACAGCATACCTGTAAATATCTAAATCTCTTTAACAAGAGAAACCGTATACCAGACGGCGATATAAAAAAAAACAAGGCCTATTGTTCTCTCGTGAACTCCCATGGACACCCATGACCACCAATCACTTGTCTTGAGATATTGAATATATTTTTCGACGCATTAACGTCGCGTTGCCACATTATTCCGCAACTTTGGCAAGTTTGAACATTGTGCAACCCAATGTAAGCATCAGTCAAGCATGTTTGAAGACATGCATGACAGATCTATATTTACAGTATTAATAAATTATTCTTTGACTAGTTTTGGTAAATCTTGTTGTACCTTTAAAGTCTTGAACTCATCTACAGAAGCAAGTAAAAGTTCTCCTAATTTCTGTCTTATTTTGAGTTGTTTGTAAAGAACTCCTGTCACTCCCACCCTGAGACCCTTCAAATGTACACCGTCTTTTCCGAACATGCCATTTCCGAAAGCTATAACAGGCAATTGACTCTTGTCGTATTTGAAAGGTTGGGGCTTCCAAAGCTTCTTGGTGTTCCTAAAATAATAGTTAATGAATATAGTGTTTGTCTCTCTGCTTTGATGCTAGAATACTCACTTTGTCTACTGAGGAACTTCTTTGTCTTTTTTTTCGCTTCTTTGTCTCTCCTCTTCTTTCTTTTCTTTCTTTTCTTCCTCTTCTTCCTCTTCTTCTTTGTGTTCTTTCTTTTGGCCTTATTGTATTTTTTTCCACCATTAATGAGAACATTGGCCATTTCTTGTCTGGCCCTTTGAACTCTCTGGTATAGGTGAAAGCGACTTTCAGCAGTTGAGAAGTTGTTAAATGCTAGTATTCTGTTTAGATGTAAGAGGATATAAATTATGTACTGCAAATAGTTTGAAAGAACAGCTGTCTTGGTTGTAGGAATGTTGAGAAGTATATCCTCTATATTTTCTCGAGACATTCTTTTTGTTTCTCTCTTTGCGTGTCTTATAGACCCTGTTAAGGTATAGTACTCTTTAGTAGAGCATCGTCTGATTTGATGGAATTTATCACCCTCCCCATAAGCAGCAGCAAAAACCTGATGTCGATTGGGATCCAACCCGCAAAGAGAAACATCAGCCAAGTTTTCATTCTTCATAGCATCTCCCAATTGGAAAATTTCTACGTCTTCGCTAGATATGCATCTGTATTCATCTGTACTATTTGTAATTTTTTGCAATAGAACCACATCAGCTGAAAATCCATCGGTTTTAATGACATTTGAGAATGCGACCTTTTTTTTTGTCTATCCGGATTTCGGAGGTCTTGGGAGCTGTGTATTTTAAATTGTGAGTCATCATCATTAGAAGCAATATATAGTTATTACTATTTTTGCCACAATCGCTGCACTTTTGTTTATCTAAATAAGGTTTCATAAAGCGAGTTAAGTCAGGAGAGCATACCAATATTTCATTTTATAAGTCTCACTTTGTTCTTCTAATCCCTTCTTGCGATTCCAAACTTTCTGAAGTATCGTATGTATTTTTTGCTTAAACATCAGTCAATGAAGATAAAAAACGATGCTGAACCATTCAATTTTGAACAAAGTGATGTTAACTAGAGCTCACGGTCACTAAGAGTACAGTCACTTATTACAGGAACTATACTTATATCTCGTTGTAGTGTAGTGTTAGTTCTACTACGTAAACAATTCTTATTACAATAAAACACTTTAAGACACCACCACAGATTTGAGGGAGATAAAAAGGACTACTCTACTTTACAGTCGACTGGTAAAATGCTCTGGAGCATGTTGTTGCAAATATTTCTGACAGATCATATGTTTGATTTGAATATACACATACTAATAAAGTATCAAATTTCAGCAAATTCTACCATTTATGGAAAACGCTCTAAAGTGACAAAGCTGTCGATCTGTCTGAATTATACTTTTAGAGCATTTTTCTCGGTTAAAGTCAGACTCAGTCTTTATTTTGAATATTAGCATAGCATGACTTACAATTATTTCTGATCCAAAATAATTATATGTCGACGGTAACTTGTTGACTCCCCAGTGGCAAGCCGCAACGTTGTGTCTTCCACTCAGACTCGAGGCTTACTTGGGATCATGCTATTATCTGCTTCGACATGCATAGCCACTTTCAAATGCCACACACCATTCCTGACCCTCTTTCCTTCGTCCTGAACAGGCTCCCTTCTAAAAAAAAAAAAAAAAAAAAAAAAAAAAAAAAAAAAAAACCTCCTCCGCCGTCCCAAAGTTTCCTGCATTTGGTCCGTTCATTAGTCGGTAGTATGCCCAAATATTCCACGAATTGGACTATATCGTCCACAACGAACCGCCTCCTGAACTCATCATTTCTGGCGTTAAACTAGTGAATTCGTTAAATCAATCATAGTAGTAGTAGTAGTTCAAATATTTCTTTTACTGATTTTGTTTCTCTTTACTTTTATACATTTTCTTCTTTTCTTGCAAGAGATTTTTTTTTCATACAAAATAACACTCAGAACTAGCCAGGGCAAAGCAATGTATTCATAGCCACTACGTGCGCAATGGTCTTTACTTTAATTAAATTACTCTTTAATCACATCTCTGTCCCATTTTCGTATTTCTGTTCTAATTCTACATCCGTGTCCCAATTTAATTTTTGAATAACCTAATTATTTTTTTATTGGCCCAACCTAGTAATAGTGATTGTAGACAGATTTCATAACTACAAACAAATTTATCTAGTTTATACATGTATACACAAATTATATATATAGAATGTTAAAGATACATAAATTAAGAACGTATTCATGTTTAAACTAATAGGAAAATGATAAAAAATACTTTATACTTAATATAGCGAATTTTACAAAAAGCTCTATCAATATGAATACTGATATGAGCGACTTAACTTATAGTGAATACAATAATAGAAATGTATAGTTTTACAGCATCTATTTCAAGAATGAGCTATTCACTCCTTTTTTTCTCCTTGTACTATATTTTTAATACACATTATATGATGAATAATATCGCAAATATGATTTATGTATAAAATAACTATTTATATAGTTGAACATAACATTTGGTCTTATTCTCTATCCTTTAAAAAACTTAAAAAATATATGGTAAAAGACATGCTCTTTTCGGTATTTTGTTGAATTTTTGTTTGTACCATTGTTTTGTATTGTAAGCTCTTATAGTTAAATAGCCTGTAGATCCTAACTGAAGAATCAAAATAAAGAAATGCTGTGTAATGAATGCAAATGCAATAAAGGAAATAATTTCGCCCACCTATTAAAATAGATTAATATATTGTTCAAATAAAATATATATATATATATACATATACACACACACACTTACATAATGAGGACACCAAATATATTTGAATAAGCCTCTATGAGGTATCTGCATAAATTGATTGATGTTTAGAAATACACTAAAGCATTTTAAATAAAAAAGAATAGAATAGAATCAAACCTTATAGCCTTTTGATCCATCTTTTCGTAAATCTCTTAATATACAATGATGATAAAAATTGATAGCTTCTCCAGTAAAAAATAATATTACTCCAAGAATTGTTAAAATAAGGTTGTATTGAATTGTTTGTATCGAAAGAAAATATATCAAGATTGCAAATGTAGCATACGATAAAGAGATTAGAATATTATGAAACAAGTTGCTCTTCCCTGAATATTTGTGAATGAATAGTACTTCCTATGGATTGTATTTTTTTTTTTAATATGTAGTATTCTTTTATATATGTATATAATTTGCATTACCAGGACTCGCTTCAGATAATGTAGAAATGTTAAAAATGAGATTAAGATCATATGAAAATTAGAATACAATGAAACCCATAAGAATCCAATCGACAGAATAAGCGATGGTGTATATATCAATAACATACCAAAGAATGAAGGAATCTATATTGGGGGTGGATAAACTAAGATAAGAAAATAAGAAAGTTTTAACGACTTACATTAAATGGAATCGATATATCTAATGATATATCTGAGAATTTTGAATACTGTAGTCTTGTACTTGGAAAGAATTCACGATAAATAAGTGCTGAGCTGCCGAAAATACATCCAGCTGCTATCAATAAGTTAATCAAGTTCCATTCTGGAATATACATAATAAAATAAAGAAAACGTATAATGAACAAAAACGAAAAAGAAAAAGAAAAAAAGAAAAGATAGTTAATATTCACAATGTTTAGTTATAATTTCATTGTTCATAAATAACTATTTGAACAGTAAGACAAAGAAATTAATTTCAAAGATAAAATCTCCTTTAATTTTTAGGATTCTAAAATAGGTATTTAACACCTTTTTTTTAAAAAAAATTAGTTTCCAGCGCATCAATCTGATTTCCTTCCTAAACTTGTCCATTGGTTAATAATTTGTACAATCCTTTACAAATTTGATTCGTAAAAGAGAATCTGTTTCTATTACTGTCACAATTAAGGCCAAAGATGTCTCGATTGATTCTCCTCCTCCCTCATTCATTAATTGTGTCATGTCTACATTTTTTTTTCTAACTTCTACTTTCTTCCTTTCCTTTTCTTTTCCCTTTTTTTTACTCTTGATCCCAAAGGAATGTTTTACTAACCTTGCCTTCTATTGATAATTTGACCTGGGCAATTCAATTAAGCTTTTTTGCACACTTCAGACAATAATTCTGGATGGTATAAAATATTTAAATAGCCATTGTGGCAACTGTATGCATCCAAAGCTATTAATATTAGTTGTCGCACATTTCAATCTATTTGTCAAGATTTTTTAGTTGAACAGTTTGCTAAATGATACTATTCATCTCCTTCAGTTCTTTTATCTGTCTGTTGTTTAACATCAACCGTCAATCCTATCCTTTGGTTATTTGTTATTCAGACTAAACATAGTCATGCTTTGTACTGAGGACTCGGTTGATTACTTAGTGCTATCCCAAAACCTTGCATCTTTTATTCAAATGTTTAGCTCACTTGGTCCCATGTTATTGTCTGTCTAAATATGCGCTGCCGACTACAAGCGTATATTATCGTGGCTGATCCTTTATGCTTTCTACTCAATCATCTATACATCGCATTCTCTTTGAGGATGATTGCTTTCATTATGGTAAGATCCCTTATAAAATCCTTCCTTCCCCCTTGATACTGACTTGTTCAAAAAACAATACAGTAATTAATTTAGTATTTGAAAATATAGTTCTCTTTTATTCTTTCTTTTATTCTTTACCTTTTCCCTCTTTTAACTGTCTAAAGGTATCTTGGATTTTCCTTGTTTTGTCTTTTTGATCTAACTCGGGGAATATAACATGATTTTATAACGTGTCTAAATGGGTTTCAAAATTTTATTTAATAAAAAATATTTAATAAGCTTAAACTTAATTTAGTCAAATTCAATATCTATACTGCTTCCTGTTCATTTATTTTATTTTATTTTATTTTATTATTTTAATTTTACTTTTACTTTTATATTACACAACTAAAAGGGGTTCCTATTTACAAAATGGATCTTGTACTCGACATTACTTCAGCTTGTCGAGTACGTATATTATTAATTCCAGTATCTCCCATTAAGAAGTCAACTTTTTGGAAACATGTGGAACTAGTAAAAAAATTCAGTTTAGTTCGTCTCGGAGATGTAACGCCTGATCTTCATAAAGGTGCTAATGGTAACTAGTGTCTCTTAAATTATTTACATGCAAAGAATAATTATAAGTTAACTAGTAATTATAGCCAAATTTAGCAGCCAAGTTTTCCAAGAAGGACAAATGCATTTCGAATTCATAACGAATTATAATAGGGATCATTGTCATCTTGAAGATTTTCAGCCTCATCGAAGGATTTTTGGAGTAAGTAAGAGTATCAAAATGCTTATTTATTTATAAATAATTATTATTTTATAATAAATAGGTCATTGGTATAATGGATTGCCAAGAATGGAGAAATAAAGATTTAAGTGAAGGATATAAAAGATTTGTAGACATGTTAAGTCAGGTACTCCTTTCCTACATAAAACACATAGCTGTACAACGATATCAATAGGTCTTTATTTTTTTTATTTTTTTTTATTCTCTTAGTATCCCACAGCAATTGCTACAAGATGCTTTGCGTTTGATCCAACTGAAAATCAGCCTGATGATACAAAAGGACTGATTATGATTCCCAACGTAGGAAATATGTCTTTTTACATGAGTACTATGATTTGTGATTTTGCCAGTGAGATACTGGATCAATTTGCTGCTATTGTAAGCTTTATCTTTTTATTTATTATAAAATTTGTTTAAAATATCTAACATTTTTTTTTTAATATGAAAAAAAAAAGGCAGAGCGTATTGAAAATTTGAAAGTATTAGAATCGCCCTTGCCTGTAGGTTATACACCGAAAAGTTTTGAACAAAGTAATGGAAATCAAATGATCCAGCCTCAACCTTCAACTAGTTCACCATATCATCAAAATAATAAAAATTCTCAATCAGGGCCAACTCCAGTATCATCTATTTCATCCTCATTTTTAAAAAGAGCTTCATCAACAATTAACAATAATAGAAAAGGCTTGAATGCTAACAACCCTCCTCCTACTCCTAAACCATCGTTAACTCGATCTTCAACATTTACAGGCACTTCATTGTCAGCAGCAAGCGATACAAGTCGAACAATTCAAAGAACGCCTGGTAGAATTAAGAAATTATTAGCTGACTTTTACTTGCTAGCTGGTCGATTACCAGATGCTATTAAACAGTATGTACATATATTTTTATATAAAGAAGGCAAATAGGATAAAATATTAAGTTGTTTGTTATTAGCTACAATGAAGCTATTGAAGTAACACAGAGCTCCAATGATTATTTATGGTTAGCTAGTGCGAAAGAAGGTTTAGCATGCACCTTATTATTAATGGCCTATCTTCATACTGATGTTGGCGTAAGTTGTTACTTTTATTCTTTTTTCTTTCCTTTATTTATTTAAAGTATATTCAATTTATAGCATATTGTGTCCAGACAAGCAATAGTAAATGAAGAAAATTCAACTATGGACTCGAAACCTGCATCAGTAGCAGAAAATGAAGATAAGAATTCTAAAACAATTGTGACAGAAATTACCGAAATGTATGAGGAATTAATACAAATATATGAGAAGGTTAATACAACAACGAACATCCCTCTTCCTAAATTAGTGTACGCAGAAGCATCCTTAAAAATAGCAAGGTTTTTAACAGCTATATTTCTGAATGGTGGATGGAATGACACTATTTTAACAAATATAATACAACATCCTACATTAGATGTATTTAAAAACTCAACCAAAAAGAGAGAAAATCGCTTTATGACAGCGGAAGATTTGGTTAAATATAAAGGAAGTGAGATTCCGAGATTTTCAATTGCTAAATGGGTTACTAGAGTTTGGTCTATGAGCTTGGATAATATGATTATAATGGATCAAGTATGTTTAAAACTATTCCTTGAATTCTATTTTATTACTTATTGATAAGCCTAATATTCTTCTTTTTATTTTATTTTTTTATTTTTATTTTTTTTTAATGTATAGATTAATATCATGACACAAATGTCTTCCATTTTATCGAATATTGGATATCATCGTAAATCTGCATGGATTATGTACGAGACCTTAAATCGTATGGTTCCTTTATTGATACAAGGAAGAGCTGCTATGGCAAGTATAAATGCAAATAAAAAAAATTCCGCAAAAGCTGATGATGGTATTTTGGAAGTCCTTAAGAGAATTTGTGAAGTCTATGGTATTGGCGGTATGTATAAAAAAATTTTTTTAACCAAGGTAGTGAATTCTAATTATGTACTTGTGTATTCCACCCCCCCTCTCCTCTTTCCTTTTTTTTCATAGAGAGTAATGTTCAAGATGGAGGTACTTTACAAATCATGCAGAATATATGTGATAGCCAACAAGAAAAAGTAAAAGTAAACCCATCTTCTGAAGCAACTAACATTGGATTTGGATGGGCTGTGTTACAGATTGATGTACTAAGAGAATGTATTGTAGTTTCAGAAGCTATTCAAGGTATTGTATTGTAAATGAAGTTATACACTAGAAAAGAGAACTGATGGAGTTTTACTTTATGCATTGATTATCGCAGATCATGCTTCTATGCTATATTATACAACGGTTTTATTGAAAAACTTATACCAGCATATTTCTAAAGATGAACAAATTCGACTTGCATCATCTATCCAACGGATTGTTAATATTAGTAAACGAACAGGAAAAGTAGACAAATGTATCAATTATTGGGGATTCAATATTGTCAAGTCAATTGAACCTATACCTCCTATACCACGAAAAGCTATATACCAGCATCCATTATTAATTGCTAAAGCCTTAGCTGCTTCTAAAGAAGGTAAAACAAGTTCTGGAGATCCTTTTATTTATAATCCTTTCACAAAGAAAAATAATGACAAGGTAATATAAATATATATATATGTATGTATGTATATAGTGAAGACATGTTATTTATATTAGCTATTTTTATAAAATTAGCCTCAGATTAATTTGATTAAGGATGAAACATGCGAATTTAATGTAGCTTTATTTAATCCTTTTGGATTCGACCTTGAATTGAGTAATATTATTTTAAGGTAAGAGAATAGATTTAACAATATACAATGGATGTTTATTTAATTTATCTTGATTAGTACATCAGGGGTTAAATTTTCTCCAATTCCAACTGCTGCTACTATACCAGCAAATGATACACTTATTTTAAGACTAATGGGTACACCTCTTGAAATTGGAACTCTGGTTATTAGAGGATGTATTATCAAAATCACAGGTTTCGCTGAGCAAGAGTTTTTAAATGAAAAACCGAAAATACAGAGTGTAGATCAATCGAAGAAGAAAGAAGCTGCTCAACAGACTAACAATTCTCAAAGATTTAAATTCAGGTATATGTTTGTTTTATTTACAGAATTGGGTCAGAAAGTAGGTTTTTAATTTATGATTATAAAAAAAAAAAAATAGTGGACTACAAGCTCTTTATCGTTCTTCATCTGAATTAGGTAAATATGTTCATTTTAATATACGCAATATGTGTATTAATGTAAATGGGCTTTATTAGACAAACTTACAGCAGATACAGAATCGACAGATACTATTGAGCATGAAATACTAAATGTTATTGAAGACCAGCCGCTGCTTAAGATTAAATCAACTTCATTATTACATGGTGCCGTAATGCTATTTGAAGGAGAAATGACACATATTAGGATCGATGTAGAAAATATTGGTAATATACCTGTTGACTTTATTACATTGTCATTTACAGATTCTATTACCAACTATCCGAAGCCTATCAACCCAGAATTACCAGCCGAAGAGCAGTATGAGATTGAACTATACACTAAAGGTACTCCTGTCTTTTCTTGGGAAGGTTCAAAAAATAATGGTAGTCAAATTGGTAAGAGGATTAATCTTCCTCCTGGTCAACATACTGAAGTTTTTGTAAACATTTATGGTAAACAGGGATGGTAATATTTATTTATTTATTTATTTATTTTAAAAAAAAATATGTATTCTAGTAAAGCTAAATATATCTGTATACAAATATATATTGATATATATTACTATACCTTATTTGTAGTACTGGTGGTGCTATTTATATAGATTATGGTTACTTGGATAGAGCTATTCAAGGTCAAACAAAAAAGATAATTTATAATGATGAAGGACTACCGACTACATTATATACAAGACAATTATATTTACCAATTATGATTACTGTTTATCAAAATTTGGAACCATTAAATTGGGATGTACTTTATCTTCGAGATAATATGTCTGTAACAAAATCTTATATAGATGAAGCTATCAATACTATTAATAAGTTAGATATACAAAATATTAAAACAACTGAACAGCCTGTAGAAGAGCTATTAATGTTAACCCAACAATCAAATGACAATAACGACAAGAATCCATACTGTTTATTAACTTTAGACGTGAGAAACACTTGGACTACTCCATTTGATATAGAATTTGTAATAGATAATCGTAACAACGATAATGAAAATGTAGATAGTAATATTTTGAAATCAGTGTTAACTATTCAACCAGCTTTAACCAAGCGGTAAATAACTAACTATATATATGTGTATATAAATAAGAAAGGAGAAAGGCTAATCCTCTTTTTTTTTTTTTCTTGTATAGTATTGTATTTCCCTTAAAGAAACTTTTTTTAACTTCTGAAGAGAGATTACAGCCTATTCCTAGCTTTGAGCCTAATAAACAATTTGTAGTATCTCAAGCACCAAAAATGACACCTGAGCAAGAGTATGCCCATTTACAAATGTTTTGGTATAAAGAAAAGCTATTATCACGTATCAAGGCTACTTGGCAATGTCGAGCCTCTAGACGACGAGGTATAATTAACTTACGTCCTTCTTTACGGCTAACTGGACAACAATTAAATATACTTAAGATGCAAGATATTGAATTTATCATTAATATGCGAGAAGAGGAAGGAGTCAAGACTGTAGGACATCGTCAGTTTGAATGTAAGGTTAACTCTTTTGTTCATATGAATGTTACCATTGTGAATAGGCAAGGTAAAGACAAAATGATTTATATATGTATATACATGTATATAATGAACATTTGATGGTAACATATTACATTGTTAGTACAACCTGTAAAGTTAATATTAAGAGTTCAAGCTGTTCAAAGCTATAATAATGGCGCAAAAGAATACGATTTAAATGAAAAGTTACTAATGCAGGGTGTTCCTCAGCTAGTTTTGCCTGAAATTTCTTCCAACAGAGAATTTACACATACTATACCTTTGTGCTTTTTATCGCGAGGTAAATTTGAGTTCCTTTACCAAATAGAAGATGTACATACTCGTACAACATATTATGACTATGACTGGGCATTTGTCAATGTATTGGATATATAAACTATTTTATTATAATATATAATGTTTACAAAATATAAATTTTATTAAAGAGGATTTCCTTATATAATTACATATACATATACATGCAAATATACATTTATACATATATACAATAAAATGATGATATTTATGGTATAATACAATCTTTTTTTAATGATACATGAATTAATATTATGAAAAGACTTTACAATGCATACATTTATATATATGTATATACAATACAATACAAAAAAAAAACATACTAAGTCATAATAGCTCCATCACGAATTGATCTCTTAATACGATCTGCCATCATTCTATCTTTACGGCCAATAAGCGAAGTCGCCTTGCCAACCTGACCAGCTCGAGCTGCTCGACCTACGCGATGTAAATAATCCACTACAGAGGTAGGAAAGTCAAATAAGATAACGTGATCCACAAATGTTGTATCAATACCACGCGAAGCAATGTCTGTACTAATTAATATCTTATAATTAGATTCATCACCTTCCTCGTTCAGTTTTGAAAATAATTCTAAGGCCTCTGATCTATTCATAGGAGCATCTTTGTACAAAGCTAAAGCCTTTATATTCTTGGTTTCTAAGAATTTATGTAGGAGCTCCACGGACTTTTTAGTATTACAAAATATTAAAGTTTTATCATCCTTTATGTTCTTCTTTAGAACCTCTAATAATGCTAACTGTCGATTGCCCTGAAAGCGTTGAAGATCAACAAAGGATTGCTTTAAATTGGGTAATGCTTTATGTAATGAAGGCGTTGTTATCTTGTTTAATTGTGGGAAAAGGTGATCTAAAGTGTTATTTACAGAACGCGGCAAAGTTGCTGAAACGATAATGATCTTTTCAGAAGTCTTTGATCTTTCGGTTATCTTTTGTATATTTTGAATAATCTGTTGGCACTCTTCACCCCAGCCTCCATCAAATAATGAGTCAGCTTCATCAATAATTAAATATCTTGTATCTATCAATGAAATAATTTTTTCTTTTTGATATGAAATCAATGTTGTAGGTGTCGTAACTAATATATCAACAGGGCTACTTTCTAATGTTTCAGCTACTAGACCTCTGGATGTACGACCCCCAAACCCTACAGCTCGAAATTTTATAATATGACTTAATGATTTGCAAGTCTTCACAACCTGATTCACTAATTCTCGTGTAGGGACTAAAATGATCGCACGTGGGTGATCAAGTCTTCTCTTTACAGGAACCTTTTTCATTTCATCAGCCTTTAGCATATCAATAATGGGTAATAAATAGGTTAATGTCTTTCCTGATCCTGTTTCAGCTGCTACTAATAGGTGCCTTTTACGATGATCGATGATTTGGGGTATCGCTAGTGCTTGGATCTCAGTTGGTTTAGGGTCTTTTACATTTTTTGTTTCAAGAATGGTCCTTACAGCTAAAAGAGTTTTTTCAGATAATCCTAGATCATCAAACTGACGATTAGCAAGAAATGCCGAAAGCTGCTTAACGTTGCTAGTAACTTGCTGGTGGTTTTCCAAGATGGAACTAGCTTCTCGAGAATTCCTTTTTAAAAGTGCAGAGGAATCATTTTGGATTTTTTCCAGCCGTCTTTTAACAGGGATATAAGGTGCATTGGATGAATTCTTTGATTTAAGCGATTCTCTTAAACGATCACGACGTTGACGACCATTGAGTCCATCAGGTTTTAAATGCTTTGTTAATGAGCTGATATTTGGTTTACGAAGACTAGATCGCTTTGAATAAACAATGGATGTAGTTGAAAACAGACGAATGTAGTTTTCAATGTTCGTCACTTTAGGTTTAGTAATTAAAGCTGAAAACATTTTTTAATAAAATTAATAGATTTAGTGAAGTAACTTTTTTTTTTTTTTTATGTGTATAAATATGTACCTAGGATCCCCCCCACTAACTACAGTTTAAATCGGGAAATTAAAAAAAACCTCCTCGGTTAATTTAAAAGAAATACAACTAAGGTAAAATATATATACATATACATGCATATATATATATATGTACATATATCAAGTCAAAAGAGAGAATAATGGGGTAACAGATGCGTGTCTACATGAAAGAATTATATATTCTTTAACCTAGTCGTTAGAATGGTTGATATTATTGATTTTGGTTGCGTTAAAGACAAAGTATCGTTATGGCAATAGCAGCTAATCGTCTACAGAATACTGCAAACTGCTTGTTAGGAAAGAGTCTATGACAAAGTTAACTGAAAGAAATGTAACAGAATTATTAGTTAATGAATTAAGAAAAAATCTAAAGGATCTATTATGTGTAAAAAAGATTTTAATATACCTAGGTAAAATATGGTATGCGTTTATGTAAGTGTTATCGCAGTTGAATAGAGTAAAAGCTTTGATCTATCACTAGACAATCAGCTCAAATTTCATCGTCAAATTCACTTGCTTCTTTCTAATTAGATAAATATGTAGTTACAGAACATAGTCTATTAAGATGATGGTTGATTGATAGGGAGACAGTAAATTCAAATATTTTTTTTATATTCCTTATATTGAGGTTTTCTTGCAAAAAAATTGCCTTTTTTTTTTTAGTATTATCTTGTTAGCGTATTTATGTGGAATTGAAAATCTTAATGGCTATCCTACATTTAACTTTGACTCAAATTATTCAAACATAGGAACGGGATAGTGATAATTGACTAATGTCTTGATAATTAATACAGATAACAGAACGTTGTAAGGGCTTTATTATTATTATTAGTAACCAATATGTTAATGTAGCAATGCTCGTCTAGCTCGATAACCAAGCCTGCATAAAATAAGTAAGTTATTAATTCAGACATTTGTGCCAGTGCAATATTAGCTGATAATGGCTGATTTTATGTTTTTTTTTGAGTAGGTTATTTGAATAAATAGAATATAAAATGGACAAGAGAGTTGGCTCATGAGGTATACCAATCTTGGAAGAAAAATAGAATAACGTAGAGTTATTTATCAGAATCTAATAAATATAACCTTCACCATCAGAAAGGTTTTATAATAGGAAAATGTATAATTTAGACATAATAAATTACACTATTCTTCGAAAATATATTGTTAACAAACTATGTTATAACTGAATATAAATATATACAAATATAAAGCTGATAGAGGCTTTATGTAATAAGCACGGCAAAGAATAAAAAAGAGTTTAAACAGACAAATGGTCAAACTTAGTAACCCCAGCTCTTCATAGAGTCCATCTTATATAATATCTCTAACAGCAAGTTGCTATGAATATGCATTGTAGATTTTCATTAATGTGTAATTAAAAACAAATCAACTTACTCGGTCTATATAATACGCTTTATTTCATTTATTAGATTCTCTAATACCAATTTACTCACTTAAAATTATATTATGTAATTTACTGCTTTGAGAATAATTGCTTATTAATGGTCAATTTTATAGGACATTAATAGCATGCCCCTTGTTCCTTTTCTTCAAAAAAAAAAAATATTGCTTTATCAGCACAAAACAAAATGCAAAAAACTCTATAATGTTTGTTAAGTAGTAATCATATCCCACAGACTCCACTTTTGGGATCTTCCATCTAAAATCAAAATCAGCTGGATTTAAAGTTCGAAATACTATTAGAAATGAATGAATAAGCCACTCAGATGAAGAGTCAGCAGATTGTGATTCATTTAATTTTTTTTTTCTTTTTTTTAAATGCGAAAATATCTCTCCACTTTTTTCCCTTTTAATTTTTTAATACTCTTTCATCCGAGTGTATAAACAAAATGGCACAAATTCACGATAAATATCAGTCACCTTTAACTTCACGTTATGCTTCTAAAGAAATGGCTTATAACTTTTCTGAAGATAAACGTTACTCAACTTGGCGTCAACTTTGGACCAACTTAGCCATTGCCGAGAAACAACTTGGTTTGACAGATATTACTGATGAGGCCATTGAACAAATGAAAGCCAACATTTATAACATTGATTATGCTGTTGCTGCTGAAGAAGAAAAGAGACGTAGACATGATGTTATGGCTCATGTTCATACCTTTGGACTTGTTGCTCCTGCTGCTGCTCCTATTATCCATTTGGGAGCTACTTCTTGCTATGTTACAGGTAATTTATTTTGATGCGAATTGTATCTTTCTCTCTCTCTCTGTCTTTTTTTTTTCTTTTTCTTTTTTAACGAGTATCATGTGAAATAACCATAAATATATATACATACATTTATATATACACATATATAGATAATGGTGATTTAATTATTCTCAGAGATGCCTATGATATTATCATCAAAAAGCTTGTTCACGTTATTGATATTCTTTCCAAATTTGCCGAGGAATATCGTGCTATGCCTACCTTGGGCTTCACACATTTCCAACCTGCTCAACTTGTCACAGTCGGTAAACGCGCGACTTTATGGATTCAAGAATTATTATGGGATTTACGTAACTTTGAACGTGCTCGTGATGATCTTAAATTACGTGGTGTGAAAGGTACTACTGGTACTCAAGCTTCCTTTATGGCTCTCTTTAATGGTGACCATGAAAAGGTAGAGCAATTAGATCAATTAGTGACTGAACTTTCTGGCTTTAAAGAAGCCTATCCCGTGTGTGGACAAACGTACTCCCGTAAGATTGATATTGATGTCTTGCATCCCCTTTCAGGTTTTGGTGCCACTGCTCATAAGATTGCCACTGATGTTCGTCTGTTGGCTAGCTTAAAGGAAATTGAAGAACCCTTTGAGAAGGATCAGATTGGTTCATCTGCTATGGCTTATAAGCGTAATCCTATGCGTTCTGAACGTGTCTGTTCACTTTCTCGTCATTTAATGTTGCTTGTCAATGATGCTCTTCAAACCAGTGCTGTTCAATGGTTTGAACGTACTTTAGATGATAGTGCCAATCGTCGTATCTCTCTTCCTGAGGCCTTCTTGACGACTGACATCATCTTGACCACTCTCCAAAACATTTGTGAGGGTATGGTCGTCTATCCCAAGGTGATTGAGCGTCGTATTCAACAAGAATTACCCTTTATGGCTACCGAGAACATCATTATGGCTATGGTTAAAAAGGGTGGTGATCGTCAAGAGTGTCATGAACAAATTCGTGTCTTGTCTCATCAAGCTGCACACGTTGTTAAGATGGAAGGTGGCGAGAATGACTTGATTGAACGTATCAAGAAAACTAACTATTTTGAACCCATCTGGAATGATCTTCCTCAATTGTTAGATCCTTCTACTTTCATTGGCCGTGCTCCTGAACAAGTTGATTCCTTCTTACTCAAGCATGTTAAGCCTGCATTAGCCCCTTATGCTGAAGAGCTCAAGAAGAAATCCAAGGCCGAGTTATTTGTTTAAGATATGTATATGTATATACTTATATGCCCAAGACAATTATTTGCTATATAAGAAAAAAAAAAAAAAACTCTGTACATTTAGAAGAACAATACTGATAATATTAAAATAAAGCATTTCTACATTAATACGTATACAAATTTATGTTTATAATGGCAAGGATTGAATAAAGACCTTCGCAGATATTGCTGTTTGGTCAAAAAAAAAAAAAAAAAAAAAAAAAAAAAAAAAAAAAGAATAGTACATCCAATACTTAATTAGGTATATCATAATAGACTATAATTGTTGTAGTAGGCTTATAGCTTTATTATAATATGTATGTATGTATGTATGCTGTGAAATATAAGAAAGTAGATTCATGTATATGTTGTTGGCATAAGCAAAACTGGAAAAAAGAACAAAAAAAAGAACCCATTAAAAGAAAATACCAAAAGTATGTAAAATAAAATAAAATAATAATATTATATTAAACTCTTTATTATTGTTGTTGCAGTAATGTTTGTTGTCTTTGAAAGTATTGTATTGGGTATCTTGCTTTTAACTGATTTTGCAATTCCCTTTCTTCCGGTGATAAAGCCTCATGAGGTCCTCTAACGATGACATCATTTGGCATCAACTCCTCTTGTTGTTGTTGGCTTTGCATTTGCATTTGTTTTTCTTTTAATAATTTTGCTTGTCTGACTTGAAACATGTGTCCATAGATTTTATCCATTTTATTTCGTATCGTCAAATGTTCTTCTCGAACCAAGAATCTTTCCTTTTCTAACTCACGACGCTCATCATTTACTTTATTCTCCATCTCTCTAAAGCTATTTATACGAGACATAAATTGCATCATTTTGGCGCGAATCAAATCATGTTTCATTTCTAATGCGTCATCCTTATCTCTATCTGTCATTTCCTCTGTTTTATCATCGTCTGTAGTAACCTCAAGGAGTGAGGATGCTGCTACTTTAGGTTTTACGTTCGAAGCTAAAAAGGCCACTACAGACATAATGGGATTATCTATATCGTCTTTACGGTTGAAATCCAATAAGTCAAGCTTTTTTACTTCAGGATCAACTCGTGGATCAGATACTGGTAGATGCAAATAATGTAAGATACAATCGTCACGTGTTTTTGTAGCAACATGATTTGCAACTTTATTCCAATCATCAGGAAACATTTCCAAGCCTTCTAGTAACAACATCTCTTCTTGCTCCGTCCAGGGTTCTGGTAACTTTTTCAATTCAATTTCTTTCCTTTTTTTATAGTCTTCTTTCTGTGTGAATTCAGGGAGTTTATTAGCATCATAGCAATCATCACATATAAATGTCGTATTAGAATGATATCCATGGTTAGATTGACTTGAACAGGATGAACATGTTTCTGGTATTTTTGCCTCTATTTCCTTCTTACTTTCTTCTTCAATCGTCTTTTTCATTGCAACATCATAAATATTGACCCGTAAATCTAAATTCAAATCAATGCTTGGTGTAGAAAAGCTTGATTTTTCGTTTTTCATTGTAGTAGAGTTTTTGACTACTTGTTTATCCACTTTAGAAGTAAAATTATTTTGTCCTTTTAATTCAAAAGACGATTTATTTGTAGGACGATGATAAATATCTGTATCATTTTCTTTAGCTAAAGACTTATTTAATACGGAAGGTAACTGTGCTATAATCTTGATTTGCCCTTCAAAAGGAGGTCCAATTGCGGTCGGTTTAGCAGTAGGATCTATCTAGAAAAATATACATATAAATTAATATCAGCGTATCTGTATATATATGTGTACGCCTATTTTACCTGATAATTGATTAATCCCCATTGCTCAAGAAAAGCATGAACACGAATAATAGAACAGACATCACCTGTCATATTTCTTCTACAAGATGTGACTGTCAAATACTCTGAAGGATTTAATCGATATGTATTCACCATAAAATCACGATATTCTTTATAAACAGTAGGTGTTTTTGTCTTATTTTTATTATTAAAGAATTCAGGCAAACCGCGGACTTCGATCACATGAATACTGGATAAATCAAACCAGGCAGCATAAGAAGGAATAATCACTTCATATTTTTGAGTAGGCATATATTTAATAGCAATCTCTCTTTCCTGTGGTTCTGGTGTTTTTGCCTTTTTGTTACTGTTGGTAATTAAATTTCCTTCCTTTTGATCTCCTCCAAGGTGATCATCTTCTTGCTCTACCGCAGATCTTTTACGTTTAGGTTGTTGAGTTTGTTGCTTTTCAATCATAATGTAATCAAGAGGTGTCATCCATTCATTATATCGAACACTATCCTCAATCCAATTAAACTTAACATGCCATGGTGCTCTTTGATGATCCTTTGTCAATTCTCTTAATGTCACATCTTCTTTCTCTTTTGCACAATTTTCAAGTGATAAAACTGCATTATAAGAATCAGGAAGTCCAATCCAGTGAATAATTGCCTGATTATCGTCGTCATCTGTTTGATGAACAATTCTCCAATTCTTATGAAATCTATCGATTATTTGTTCTTCATTATAAATAATAAACGATGCATCTGATATTTCTTTTACAATAACACCTAAATAATGTCGTTCATATAAGCGTGTACTTTTTTTTTTCAGTTGCTTGTTAATTTCTTACCTCCTAAACCTTCCACCAATAAAGTCATTTTTTTCTTTTTATGTGCATCAATAGAGGTGTCAAAAAAGACATGAGGTATACATTGTTCAAAACCTGCTTTATCTAGAGCTTGTTTAATAACTTTAACCATCTCTAAATAAGTAGGTGCTTCATCTAAAGAATCAAAATGCCAGTCAGCAATACGATAATCTGACTTGAATTTATAAGCAGCTTTCAGAATGTAATATAAAGATGAGTTTGTTGTTAGATGACGCACATCAAAGAGAGAAAAGGGAACACCTGCTTCAATTGATTTACGATGTCGCCTTGCTTTATCAGCAGCATCTCTGCCAAGATGATCGATTTGAAACTTTAGGAAATGAGCCGTAAAATAAGCTAAATCAGGAGCACCAAAGCTTGTATTTGCACCTTCCTTATCTAAATCGATACGTAGTGTATTAATAATAGCTTCAAAATAACTTATTGTTTTTGGTTGTTCATAATAATCAATATTGACTCTAGGCTTTTTTGTTGTTGACATTATTTATTTATATGCACATATATTAAGAATTTTGTGGTCACTTATCAATTAAAGGAAAAAAAAAATAAGTTTATAATTCGCGTTTTTTTTTTTTTTTTTTAAGAAGAGTCGTAGTTTAAAAATTTAAAATGATTCAAACATCATGATGCGTATAAAATACAGAAAATAAAGATAAAGACAAAGCTATTTTCCTTGTAAATGAAATAAATAAACAATCAAGGTTATTTAGTAGATAAATACTATTTTCTTTAAATAAGTCGAACTTGATTCAGAGTCAATTAAATAATTGAAACTTGTACATAAATTATTATTGTTTAAAGGACATCCTTCTTCCTCCTCCAGACTAGAATCTGAAGTTAAAAACATAAGCCACTTTATAAACAATCTCAGGACAAACCTTGTCATGTATTACCCCAGCTTGGGAGATTCTTGAACATTTTAATTATTATTATTATTTTTTTAAATAAATAAATAAATAAAAGAAAACGATGCTTAGAGTAAATACATTAAAATGGATAACTGGTATGTGTGTATATCGTATATATTGTATATGTATCTAATATTGAAAGATATATATTCCATACAGTTCAACGTTGCTCATTTCATACAAGTCGAACAGCGTTGATTGAAAAGGCAATGTCACCTTCATTTAATGTCGAAGCAAATGCGAAAAAACTCAATATATCACCCGATACATTAATCCAAGCTTTGACACATAAATCATATAAACACGGTAATGTGCCATTTAACGAACGTCTTCAATATCTCGGTCGTCGTTCTCTCGAATTTTTTGCTACAGAGTCACTTATGAATAAAACCAAAAATGTTGATCAGTTGGAAATGAGTGTTAAAGAATTATTTAATAAAAATAACCTAGTATCCAAGTTTGATGCCTTAGATTTAGAAAAGGGCTTACAATGTCATTTGGTAACATAATAATGAATATATAGTAAATAACTTTGACAGCTAACTTTGTTTTATTTTTTTATTTTTTTATTCAAGCCATCTAAAGAAGCAGTGACACCCGCTGTTAAATTAAAAGCATTGGAGGCTGTCATTGGAGCAATTTATCATGAACAAGGACTCAATGCTGCAAGAGAATTTGTAAAAAAACACATTTTGGCTTAAATAAAAAAAAAGAGAGAGAGAGAGAGAAATGTATACTTTTATTTATAAATTAATGTATGTCGTTTATATATGTATATATATTTTTAACGATAAGGATGTTCAGATTGAATATTTCTAGGGATAGAACAAATTGTTTAGTTAAAACATCCCAAGTACCTTAATTTTTTTTTTTTTTTTACCTTGCAAGTTCAACTTCCCATTTATCACCATTAGCCAAAAGTTTTTCTTTATTGTAAAGAAGCTCTTCATGAGATTCAGTGATATATTCATAATTAGGAGATTCGACAATAGCGTCAACTATAAATGAATGTTTTTTTTTAATAAAAAAGTATTCTATTCTTTTCATTCTTTTATTTTGTACCTGGACATGCTTCTTGACAGAAACCACAAAAGCTGGAGAAAGAAAAAAAATAAAAAGGGAAATATAAATAAATAAAAATCAATACAGTATTTATAAATCTTACATGCACTTTGTCATATCAATATCATAACGAGTTGTACGACGAGCACCATCTTCACGAGGTTCAGCTTCAATTGTAATAGCTTGAGCAGGGCAAATAGCCTCACATAACTTACAAGCAATACAACGTTCTTCGCCTTTTTATATATAAATAAATAAGTTATTATTCTTCAATAAATAGAATTCTGAAGTATAATTTGTGTCTCTTATTCTATTACCAGTTTCGTAACGACGAAGAGCATGTTCACCACGGAAACGAGGAGAAATAGCACCCTTTTCAAATGGATAAAAGATGGTATATGGGGGACGGAAGAAGTTTTCAAGTACAACCCACATGCCTCTGATCAATTCTGTTAATAATAAATGACGAGCAGCAACATCAAGTACACCTCGAGGTTTTCCACTAATTAAATGTGATGGAACTCTTGTTGGTGCAGCATAATGAGCAATACGAGAAGAGCTGAAATGAGCTATTTGACTCACAATAGGTGCTGCGACAAATCGAGGTGCTTAAATAAAACGTGGGGTAAAATATATGTATATAAATATATTTTAACTTTCAGTTTAATTATTTATACCTGTGAGTAACTGGCGATTATAAAAAGTCTTTGACACTAATCTAAGGTTATTCATTGATGTAGACTAAGTAATTTTAGTAATAACTAAAAAGAGTGGGGGGGAATTATATTTGTAATTAACAAAAGGAAAAAAAAAAAAGGATTCTTTATTGTTTTATTATTTTTGTTGTCTGTCCACCGTTTTGACCTTTTTTTTTTTTAAACACCCCTCATTCAAGCAGCGGACCTATTTTTCTAATGCCTTGGGCATCTCCATATTTTGCTGCGTGTGTCATCTTATTGGACAGAGAAGAATGACGTAAACAGCCTTTCACATTATATCATAAATAAATCTGATTAAATATTTTTATTGAGAATAACATTATATTGCCTGGGTGGGGAGGATCAAAAAAAGGGGTGGAAAAAGATATAAAGAAACTAAAAACTATTTTGATAATCAAAAAAAAAAAAAAAAAAAAAAAAAAAAAAAAAAAAATGGAGGAAAACGGTGAAGGGAAAATGAACAGAGAAGTGTATCTTCAAATACTAGATTAATTATTACATAACCATTTGCTCAAATGAGTACCAAGAAGAAGGGAAGGATTCCATAAGGGATTTATATCATGGTAAAGTTCAAAAACTATATTAAACATTGTCAAATAGCAAATAATTCATGCAGAAGTAAAGGAGCTGTTTTGTGTAAAAAAAAAATGATTTTCTACGTGTGTTATAGTCAAATTATGACAGTGTTTTTAATACCAAAATTGTTGCTTATTCTTAATTTCAGTTGTCGTATTTTATAAATTATTTTACCCATCTTTTATACCATTTCCTTTGATGCTTATACCCTCCCCTTTTATTCTCGTAGCATCTATTTCTATTTCATTTATGATTTGCTTTTATAGTTTAAACGGAAAAAAAATAAAATTTCTCATTCAGCTCAAGCACTACAAATAAACAATTATAGACTTAAGGACATACTTTCTTTGTTTTTTCCTTTTGAGGGAGTTAAACTTTTATTAGACCCTTAACTTGAATATACTTTTATTTTATATATACATTGATTATGTTTAAATTCTATATATATATATGAATGAAGCATAGATTTGTATGATGAATGCATTCAATTTAAGAGCTATGTGCACTACCCTTCTGATATTATGGTTTCTGTGCCTTTTATAGTGTTGTGTTATGTAACAAGAGCTTTATTTATTTATATACACAGGACAGTAAAGACACTGCTTATCTAATATGAGCGAGCCTAACAATAAAAATTAGTTAAAGTTAGTATGAATGCTCATAAATGAATTAACTCTACTTTTTTATTCTGCATAGGAGTCATTATATTGACATATTTAAATATCTAAAAGGTTGATCTTGCTTTTTTGTACTCTTTATTGCTATTCACAAGACAAATAAAATAAAAATAACTTGGGGTTCTTTCTTTTGATTTTATCTTTATACATTTAGCATACATTAACTAACTAACTGACTATATTGAAAATATCGCCTTTGTTTACAACTGGAATAAAAGTAATCGTAAATTCTCTTATTTTTGATAATTTAAAATTACTTTAAAGATTCAAAATTGGAAGATAGCGTTGCTTAGGTTAAGTAAATATTCTCCTGCTAAGTCTTATTTAACTGGGAGCAATTTTCATCTTGAAGAGAAATATTCAGGGCAGAAATTCCTAGTCACTGCCCATAAATTATTTGTTATTTTTAAGATGTTCTTCATCTATTCATTTCACTCATCTAGAGGCTTTAACAAATAATAATAATAATAGTTTAAATATATACCGACTTCAGAATATGAATCCTCCAAGGACTGTGTTAGCAGCCTTCCATTCCAATGACTGAGCATGAAAAATACAAGTAATACAAAAAATATGTGTAAATGTGTATAGAGAATACAAATGCAATTAGTTAAGCTTCAGATAGACTTCAATTGTATGATATTTGAGAATAAACATTTTGTTATATACATCAAGCAATCAGAACGTTTAGAATTATGCAGGTAAGATAGATAATATATCTTTATTGCAGATACTATGTCAGTAACAATACGAAAAAAAAACGAATCAAAAGCCTTTTCTGGTTGAATTATTATTTGAACGAAAATAGAAATCATTACTAGAGTTTAAAACTGATTTAGCAGACATACTACGAAATATTCAATTTTACAAGATCATTATGGAATATTTAGATGAAGAAATTAGAAGAACAAATGATTTTATGGTGAACATTAATGGGTTAATGAAAATGGAATACATTAACTTCATAAAGACAATATCGATACCAAGCTGTTTTTTATTGTATTTTGTAGCAGAATATGCTAACTTCTAAGTTAATTCAGAGAAAAATTCATAAGACCTGAAATAGCGTTTATGTTTATTCATTTTTTTTTTCAATAAAGACTGTCTAATAATTTTCTCTTAAGATTTGCTAATGCTTAGATTAGCATCTACAGATTAATATAAACTTTTAAAATTAAGAATACTTTTATCTATCAAAAAACTCCATCCTTTTATTTAAATATAAGAGAGCGAGAAAATAGTTTAATTATTTCGCAGCGTACTATTGCTTCTGAATGTATATGATTGTAGAGCTTGACTATTACGCGTAAGGATCTTTTTTTTTAGTATAGCTTAGAGATAACAGAGCCTAGTTTTTAAAGGGGAGAAAAAGATTGATTCACTTCTATTAACCAGTGTCAAAAGGAGATTATGAAAGAATATTTAGAGTAGCCAGAGTTTAGAAGAGACCATTATGAAGAAAAAAGACAGGATTAAATGTTTGAAGTAGCCAAAGTTGAGAAGACACCATTATGATGAAAAAAGACAGGATTGAATATTTAGAGTGACCAATATCCAGAGAAGCCCACTAGGATTGATTTTATAAGGCGACCAGTATCCTTAGAAGCCCGCCATAAGAAAAAAAAAAGAAAAAAAGACAGGATTGAATATTTAAAGTGGCCAGTATCCAGAGAAGCCCACTATGGTAAAAGACAGGATTGATTATTTAGAGTGGCCAGTATCCAGAGAAGCCCACTATGATAAAAGACAGGATTGATTATTTAAAGTGACCAGTATCCAGAGAAGCCCACTAGGATTGATTTTATAAGGCGACCAGTATCCTTAGAAGCCCGCCATAAGAAAAAAAAAAGAAAAAAAGACAGGATTGAATATTTAAAGTGGCCAGTATCCAGAGAAGCCCACTATGATAAAAGACAGGATTGATTATTTAAAGTGACCAGTATCCAGAGAAGCCCACTAGGATTGATTTTATAAGGCGACCAGTATCCTTAGAAGCCCGCCATAAAGGAAAAAAAAAAGACAGGATTGAATATTTAAGGTGGCCAATATCCAGAGAAACCCACCTAAAAGGATTAATATTAGCTTATGTGTAATAATTAGTATTTAGATAAACGTACCATATAAAAGCAAGCAATGTTTGATTCATTTACATTAATCAAATTTTAGAAAGCCTACCATAATTAAAATTTATAGTGACCTGCATCAAAAGACAACTACTATGAAAATAAAAAAAGAAAGTATAAAAGCATATATTTTTATTTATATATGCTTCTATTCTATAAAAGATAGACAACGTAAAGTCCATCAAAAAAGAATAAAATAGTTAGAAAAAAATACATTTTTTAAAAATAAGGAGAAAAAAAAGGGAGAAAAATAGACTCTGAGAAAGTTTACTTTTACATAAACAAAGAAAAAGTTTTCCAAGATTAATAGTCAATATCTTTTTGTGGCTTATTATTTATCTTTCATATCTTTCATACACAAAAATAACTATGATAATAATTAAAGATATTATATTGAATTATGTTAAAGAAGCTTAAATACTTTCTTTACTACTTGATGATAGATCATTAAATATGTAACTTCTGTTTTGTCAGCTATTGTTTTATTTAAACGGAGCTACAGCCAATATTTCATTTTGCAGGTACATTTCCTTTCTAATGAATAAAAAACTTGCTAGTAAAAAAAAAAAATATTTGTAAAAAAACAGATACTCTTGTAGTTCCAAAGTAAAATAGTTTACAAATATTTGCACTCAAAATACTGCTTATTTTTAGATCGTTGTTTACTAGGACTAGCATATGTGTTTAGCACTTCTTTATATCTTTTGTGTAGTTATCATTTATCGAGTGTGACTTTTTTTTAATAAATAGAATTGTAACTTGTTAAGAAAACCTCTGCTTTTTAATAGCTCATCATTTATACAATTGTAAGAGTGCGTTAAATTATATCTTATTTTTTTTTTTTACCTACAACACATATACCTAACTCCCTAATTGTACTTTATTTTCGGTCTTTTGGTAATTGGTTTTTTTTTCCTCTTACAAACGTTTCCATTAAGAATATACATACACAGCAGTTTGATTAGACAGTACAGATCAAGTTTTCAATATAATAGTTATTCCTTATCTATTCTGGTTTTTTTATATATTGCTTCTGTGTAGTAGTTGACTAGGATATGATTACATATTCTACAAAAAAAAAAAAAAAGTATTGGCAAGGAATAGGCTCACTTTGTTAAACAAACCTTAAGGTAAAATAGAAAATAATTATTATAACTACTATTGCTTTTTTATTGATACAGTTCATATAAATGCATACACTTATATTAGAAAAGAGAGTTTATCATAAAGATATATGGTTTATATTTTAATATTCAATATCTTCTAAAGCTAGTTTAGGACACATCATGCTGGAAAATGAAATTGATTGATATAAAACTTGTTCAATGTAAAGATCTGCTTATTATTATCTGTTACTTATATCATATAATCATAAGCTTATATAATATAATGTTCAAAACTTACTACAAGTAAACGATATTACACAATTAAGTTTACCCTAATTAGAATACTTATATGTATATAGCATTTAACCAACAATAATATTATCATCAGTATCAGATCACTAACAACTATTGCTTGTTATTTTATCATATTAAACTATCTGTGTCAAGTCATGGTGCCTGAGTAAACAAACTCTATTAAATAATATTGTATGCTGGTGTTTAATTTAGCTGGATCAAGGTTGTACCTTTAAAATGCCAAATATAGATTGGTTACTATCTTTTCCCTTGAATCAAACATTCTTAATATAGACTTAAGACATCAGTAAAAGAGATACCTGTTAAAAACTATAAAAAAAGTTGATCATTTTGAAAAAAAAACACCTTGGAATTGTCACATTTTCTCTTAAAATAAACAAAAAACATATTACAGATTTTCACAGAATTTTTTCTGTTTATTGTTTTTTACTTCACCAATCTAACTTAGGTAATGGAACTATCATAGTTTAGGAAGAAAGATATTTAATAAATTATTGAAGAAAAAAAAATATCAAGTAACAATAATACAATGATAACGAAAGGCTGATTTTTTTTTATTGTGTTTGTGTGTGCTTTGCTGGAAATAGCTTTGATGGCCCAATGATAGTTGCTTTTACTAAAGATAGTAGAAAGTAGTAAGAAAACAGATGACGTCGCTATATCAATTTAACTGGGCGGAGATTCTGATCTAGAAGAAGTTCAAATGGGGAAACTACTTGAACCACCTTGTCAAATTTTAAAGCCCCTTGCTAATTTTATTCTTCCTTTTAATATACATATTTATTTATATAAAGAAAAAAAAAATGTTAGCCCTCGGAAAGTCATTTAGTAAACTAGTCATTACAACAAATTCAAAATCTGCACTAAGTACAAATCAAACCCATTATATAATTATTATTTTTTCTTTCATTCTTTTTTTTTTTTTGTAATTAAATGTACATGAATCTATTTATATCTAGTTCCAGCATGGAATCAAATTCGCCATTATGCTACAATAGAAAGCAATAAAAACAGTATTAAAAAAAGACATGAAGCATTAAATAAAGATAATGTACCTCAACTCAATAATCTGGATTCCATTCTTGATTTTCCAACAGAAAAGATGAAAACACTGGATCAACCTCAATTGTTCCCATCACATCGTCCATCAGAGGTTGTGTTAAATACAGTCACAGATATTATTGATTCACCACTTTCGGGTCAGGATCAAGGCAATTTGATGAAGAAAGCGCTTGTTATTAAACGTGTTGTTAATATGAATGGTAAAGGTAAACAGCCATCCATGTATGCTCTTGTTGTGGTAGGCAATGGGAATGGATTAGCAGGTTATGGTGAAGGTAAAGATGAGGAAGCAAGCCGAGCAGTTCGTAAAGCCACTAATAGAGCCATCAAGAATTTACGTTACTTTGAACGTTATGATAATCGTACAATATCCATGGATCTTACACATAAATTTCATGCAACAACTTTAGAGTTACGTTCGAGACCGCCAGGATTTGGTATTCGTACAAATCATTATGTGCATGAAATCTGTAAATGTATTGGTATTCAGGATATCAGTGCTAAAGTGAGAGGTTCCAAGACACCCATGAATGTGATTAAAGCTACATTTGAAGCCTTTTCACATCAAAAACTGCCTGAAGATATTGCTAAAATAAGAGGAAAGAAATTATCTGATGTACAACATGTTTATTTTGGAGGTCAATAAGTTAATATCAATAAACAATATATAGATTTATATTTTATATACATGTATATATTTATATACATATTTATTTATATTTTTTATTATTATTGCTGTTGTTATCATTTCATCACATGACCTTCACTTCTTTGAGCATTGTTATTGTTAGTTACAATAGATTCATTCCAAATATGTTGCTGCTGCTGCTGTTGATTGTCAGTCAAAAATAATTGACTCATACCTGATGTTGGATCATAATGTTGTTGTGTGATAGTGGCTGCTACAACGGCTGCTGCAGGGTCACTGTTAGTGATTAACATGGTGGTATTTTCATTTGCGTTTATCATAGTTGGTATTATCATATTTACATCATTTAATTTATTGCTTTCTTCTTGCATCATTAAAATAGTTGAATTATCATTATTATTATCATTGTTATATTGTGGTGAATTTGAAAATGTATGACGCCGATCTCTACTCGTATTGACTTCTTCTGATGGTAAAGAAAGATATTTTTGTTGTTGAGTTAGCTGCTCTGAGTAAGAAGGAACACTTGTTACATTATCATTTGTATCATGATGATAATAAGTATTGAATGGTAATCCTTGTTGTTGTTGAGTCCAATTTACTGCTAATTGTTGTTGTAATTGCTGCTGATTTCTCAATATGTCTTGAGTAGAAAACCATTGCTGTTGTGAGTGAACTATAGTCTGAGATGGCAAAGTAAACTTTTGTTGTTGTTGTTGTTGTTGTTGTTGTTGCTGTTGTTGTTGCTGTTGTTGTTGCTGCTGTTGCTGTTGCTGTTGCTGTTGCTGCTGCTGCTGCTGCTGAGCAGCTAGCATGGAAGCTAATTGTGCAGAGTTTGTGATGGAGGCACTAGATTGATATAAAGCAGATTCATGAATTGGAGGAGTTATAGAAGAAAATGTATCTCTACGTAGTTTTGTTTTGTCAGATTGTATATACATATTCGTTTGCTGTGGATATTGAATAACTGTAGAGGTACGTTTCTCTGAATTAGTTAGTGCCTGTTGACTAGAGTAATAGTCTGAGAGTTCGATAGAAGGAGAGGCTAAGGCAAGTTTCCGTATGATATCAACAGAGAGCATATATTGTAAACGAGCCGTTTCCTTTGTTTTATCACATTCACCATGTAACATTTCATATTTATGAATGGTGGAAGCCATAGCGAGACAATGTATCGTGTGTTGAACACCTCTTGTAGGATAATGAAAGATATAGTCTGGATACATATCGAGTAAAGTTTCAGCAATGCCTGTAATATTTGAAGCAGATGCTGCACATAATTGACGATGAGGGTAAGCAATAAAATTAAATTCAGTTGCAGAAGGGGGATGAGATAAATAAGTACGATGTAAAAGAATGATACTAAAATGATATGTCATGTGTAAAAATCCAATAAAAGGATCTGATATAGCATGCTTCTCTACAGGATAATTTTCGATATCCTGAGTAGGAGGATAACTAAGTGCAGGGGGGACTTCATATAAAAAGTTCTCCAGATGTGTATGTAATGAAAATAATCGTATCTGTTCCTCTACTATTTGATCTTCACTTCTATTATTCCCTTGTGTCTGTCGTCTTAATGTGATACGTCGAGACATTGCATAGATATCAGATAAAACTCTTCCTAATTGAATAAAGATATTTTGATTTGTGATTAATTCTTCTAATGCTGGGCCTTCTTCACTAGTGACTAAAGGGAATCCAGTTGTACATTTATGAACATTAAAATAACTTGAACGCCCTTGTTCAATACTCATTAATAAATCATATAAAAATGTAACCCAGAATGTTCTACGTTTTGTTTCTATATCATAGGTATCCCCTTCTAATTCAGATAAACCTAAATCAAGACACATCCTCACTGCTGTACCTAAATAAAGATAGGAACGATGAAAATAGCCTGTACGTTGATAATATTCTTGGTATTTAACTAAAAGAATTAAAGCCTGTATTGTTGAAAGACGAGGTATATCTAGAAAATCATCGAGCAATTCAAGTGCCTTTTGATAATAGGTATATCCTGGTGGGGGTATCGTTATAGTATTCTCTGTTTTCAATATATGATCTGAAGTCCATCTTGAAGCAACAGCACACATGGAATAAAGTAATAATCGAGAAGGTGGATTGGAAGGATTATGCATTTGCTTTAAAAACGTTGGTTTATGTATCATAGGTACATATTTATGAACATGTTCAAAATAAACCTCTGACAAAAATTGTACCTCTGATAAAATATGTCTAGAAGATAAATGTTCTGGAATAGGTGGTTCAACTCTATTTAATGAATGTGTAGTAGTAGTAGTAGTAGTAGTAGCAGCAGCAATTATATTGGGTGTTGGTAGAGTAGCAGGAGCTGTTGAGGAAGATAAAGATGAATCAGATATAGATACAGTATCAGATTGGGTATTACTTTGATGTTCATGGTGATTTTCATTGGGTATACGATCTGAGCGTACTTTGATATCATTTACATAAACTGCTTGCCCTATTTCATTGATACTAAATCGGTCAATTTGTGATAAAAGCATTTCTGTGGTATAAGGGGCTGAATAAGAAATGCTCAGTTCAGAGGAAGATGTGGCATCTGGTCTTTTCCTCTCGACTATCATTGTATTCTCCACTCTTTTTCGAGTGGATACTGTCATCGATTTAATTGCTTTCTCTACGCGTTGAAGTCTATTTTCTAAGTTTTCCATATATTGTTTAGGTGGTCCTCTTTTAGGTGGTAGTTTGGCGAACACACATTCTGTATTAGACTTTCTACAGCGTCCACAAGGCTGAACACCGTCACATTTCACCTATATAAAAAATTTGTTGTATAATCATGAACATTGACATGAGGTCTCTCTTTTTTTTTTTTTTTTTTTAAAGAAAAAAAAATTGTTTTTCATTCTTGTTAATTTACTTTTCTTTTTCTACATTCATCACAAGCTCTACTAATTTTCATTCTCTTACTACCAACAAGTGATTTATTTCTTAATGAAAATAAACCACCGCCACCATTACCTTCCATGTGTTTCTTGAAAATTGACAATTTTGCTATTCGTTTTTTTTTTTTTTTTTTTTTTTTTTTTTAATATTTATAATAATGATAATAATAAAAAAAGCAATGATAATAATAAAAAAAAATCTATGGATATATCAAGCCAATAAGATAAAGTTAATTAAATAAAATGGATTTTACTAAAAAAAAAAAAAAAAAAAAAAAAAAAAAAAAAAAATAAAAGAAAGCCTTAATACATGAATCAAATTAATTTTTATTCTTTATTGGCTCCTTTTTGTTGTTTAATTTCTATACCAGCAGTGGATGCAATCGTACGCATAACATCAGTAATAGAAACTACACCAATTGCTTTCTCTCTTTCATCAATGACCCATACTCGATGTGATTTTGTAGCCAACAATTTAGCTACAGTAAAGCCTAAAGTAGTGTCAAGACGGACATCAAAAACAGGTAATCGGTCCTAAAAATAATGTTTTTATATTACAGATTATATCGGTAGGTCTTCCGAGATTCTTTTACCTGTCCATCATCAATGCCCTGTTGAGTACGAACTAAGCTTACAAATTGAAAGCAAGTCTTCCATAGAAGTTGATGACGATAGCTTTTTATAACATGCTATATATGTACATATACATTTATGTGTGTGTATAAATATTACAATTAAGCTCTATTATCCTATCCTATCCTATTCTATTTTACCTTAACATCTGTCATACTAATATTACCAAGTACAATACCCATGTGACCAAGAACTGCAACAGAGGATATACTATATTTACCTGATATATGCATATATATAATATGAACTCATTAAAAAGAGAACAGAATAAGTAAACCATTATTGTTTCTTACTCATTAACTCTAGGGCATCCAAGACTGGAGAGTCAGCATTAACTGCAATGACATCGGATACACCCAGTCCCAGTTGACGAAGCTAAAATAAAAATAAATGTTCCGCCTTTCATCCATTTTATGCTATTTGAATACTTACAGTCTTATTCATCATACATTCAATATCTGGAAAATGACGTTGATTTTCAAAAAGATACCTTGCAACTGTAGATTGAGATAAAATACCCTTTTTATACACACATGTGTAAATAAGGACTTTAAATGAATGTATCTTCTAGCTTACCTTAATTGTGCCATCAGGATTCAATACACATACTTTTATATATTTACATAGACAATGAATGATAGATTTAAAATATTAAAAAAAAAAAAGTAACTTACCTCTGTGTGTACCGTACGCAAATTCTTCTACAACAGATAATAATGTTGCTTCAGGCATAATTGAATAAAAAGGGTTTTTCTGTGAAAGATCTAATGATAACTATTAACGATAACAGCAACAACAACAACAAAATATGTATTTATTATAACTTTACCACTTGCTAATTTAACTGGCACTTCTCTTCCTTCTAGAGCTCGATGTAATATATCTCTTATTTCAAAAGTCAGTTCACTTTCGCCTTTTCCTTCATCTAATCTACTCTCTTCCTCATCTCCTGGTGGTGGCATATTTTGAAGTACAAGTAGAATGTAAGCAATTACATCTCCATAATCAAACATTCCAACATAAGACCGTGCATGAACAATAGATGAATTGGTAACAGTTTTTACATCAGGATAATAAACCGGTGCAGACGAAATATTATTATTAATAAGTACATCACAAGCTTCTTCAATAGGTAAAGAGCCATCACTAAACATGTAGAAAAAAAAACACATGTTATTTTATTTTTTTATTTTTTTATACTAAAAAATAAGTAAAGCGCAAATTACATTGTAATTACTTGTTGGTCTTTAATGAGACTTGAAGCTTTAACCATGGTCCAATCAACTGGGTCAGTTGTTACACCTTCTCTATGTGCCATTTTTAATTATTGTTGTCGAAAAGAATAAAAAGAATGAAAAGAATAATAATAATAATAATAAGGATATTTTACATCATGATGGTAGTTGGAGTAACCAATTAAATTGCACGCTTTGTTTCTAATGCCAAAATGATCGTCACCTAAAGTGTAAAGAAAAAAACGTGGATTTTTTTTGTTAAAGATCACTGAATTTTATACGTTAAAAAGCTGGTCTTATGTTAAGGATAAATTATGATAAAGCAAAACTAATCATAACAGACTTTTTCCCTTTTTTTTTAAAAAAAAAAAACAATACCATGAATGATAAATAAAACTATTATAATAATCGTCAAGAAAAGAAGACAATATATTGTTTAGACTCTCTTCTTTGTCTGTTGAATTAGGGTAAGGTTCTACTAGAGCAAAGGCCCTGTTTACTATTTATAAGAACTCAAGATATTAGGATTAAATTAAATTATTTCGACTGTCTAAAACATCTCTCTGTTTAGAGACTTTTGTACAGTAAAGCTGGGAAATATTGGTTAATTTACAAATTTGAATAATGGTTATAAAAAAATAATCTGGGGCATACTAAAAAAATGATTGGTGGAAAACCGAAAAACGATTGGCTCACCAATATTTTCAAGTAAGCTCAGAGCAATATTTATCTGCATGAAATAGCGAAAGCGATAACTAACGCGGATAATCATAATTGTTGTTGTTGTTGTTTTTGACGTGAAAACAAGAGATGTCTCTTGCCATTATTTCTAAGGCTTGTCAATATCTTTTTAAAATTTAGTATTGCCATCAGATCTCGATTCCATATTCTTCTTTTATCTTCGTGTTCATTGGAATTTTTGAGCTACTGAATCATATATAGATATATATGACACCTACCGTCTTTACCTTCAGTAGACTGTTCCGTCTTGTTTTGAAGAGATTGAAGTATCTCTTTGTTTTCCTTTAATTTTTACGTTAGATTTCATGAGTAAGCTAAGTGTAGATTATGTGGATAAAGAGGAAAAAAAAAGACGTTGAAAATAAATACAAGTTCCAAACCGATCGATATATACGAGCTACTGCGAATTAATCATTGTTCTTGAAAAGGAAGTTCTCTGATGGCAGGTCGGATTTTGACAACTTTTAATCTATATAATTACATGAAATTGCTTCAGTGTTATTGATTCTTTATTAGTATATCATTATTAAACAAAACTTCTGTTGCTCTTTCATTGGTACTTTACATGATCTTAGCGTCTATTGTCTTTGAAAGAGTTGATCACTTTAATCTATTGGATCTGTGTGTTTTAAATCGAGTATTGAATCGAGTAACTGCTATTTATCTCTCTGTATATGCTCTCTAATAAATAAAAAAAAACTAGAGAATGTGTATAACACTTGTAATTTTATTCATTCTCTGATATATTCCCTGTTCAGCAAAGCTAATTAATTTACTGTATCTGTTTGTTTTTCCATTTGTGTTTTTTTTTATTTGATTCCGTTGCTTCGAAGTCAACATAAGTCTACATTTGTGCGATATCAAGTATGAATACTCAATATGCAAACAAAATATGAATGGTTCATGAAATGAAGGATTCGGACCTAAACTTTGATAGAAATCGTGTGTTGAGAATAGGCTACAGATTCATGTATTTACCTTCATATATTTACTAGTGAATTGAATGCAATTGAGAAATCCTAGGCTCTTGTAAAAAAAGGAAGATGACGCGCGAGAATCTGATGGTTGAAGAAAATTTATCCGAATGAATCGCTGATGCTTGCAACAATGTATGTGTTAGTGACCTTTCATGGATTTCGTAGCCACTTTTAGCTTCATTTTAGTCATCAGAAACGCTCAAAACAACTTTTTAAAAATGACCAATCATTTTTTTGGTTTTCCACCAATATTTCCCGGCTTCACTGTATCTCAAAGCAATATAATGCATAAATTCACATTTAATATGAATAGATAGCAACTATTTATAAAATGAATAAAGTAGACTTGGTTATCCATTTTATCCTCTACAATAGAGAGATTATCTTTGTCAAACCGTCAGAATATAAAAAATACTTGATAATGTTTAATATTACAAGCATACATCTTATACAAATCTATAATCTCTACTATTGCGGCTATAATCAAAACTGGTTTACTATCAGTATATCCTAAAGCTTTTTTTTTAAAAGAGAGACTCATATAAATTGAATAAGGTATTGCTTGATAATTGAAATAACCCTATTACTGCTTAAAGTATAGAGGTGTCCTGATGTTTACTATTATAACATACTATCATATACTTTTTTGTTATGTCGTTGTGACTATTATTTTATTTTATTTTATTTTTCTATTTTCTTACATGCTTCTCCCCCTTCCCCACCCTCCTCCTACTTTATTATTATTTTAGTACATTAAACAGCGCCATCATGTCAATTTTAAAATTGGGTAGAAATGCTTTCATGAAACAATTCAAATTAAAATGTCTACCAGTAAGGCAATCAACAGTTATCAGTTCTTCATCACTGCGAATTTTACACCGAAATTATGCAGTCATTCCTCCACGATATCCACCTATGCAATATAAACGACCTACATCATTAAATAATCAATATACAAGATTTTCAAATAACGAAAGAGGGTCATTCTATATGTCTAAACGCTTCTGGTTATTTATTGGAACAGGTACTGTCATATATGGTGGATATTATGTAACTCATTTGGAAAGAGTGCCCATCAGTGGCCGTATTCGATTTATGAACGTATCCCCTAAATTAGAGGAAGGTAAAAAAAAAAAAAAAAAAAAAAAAAAAAAGATATGATGAAATAATTGAACATGTTGACTTATTTGATATAAAGCAATGGCAATACAAGCTTATAATGAAGTGATGCATGAATTTCGTAACCGCATATTACCCGCAAATCATCCTTATACAAGGTTTGTAAGAAGAATAGCTCAACGTATCATTCAAGTTTCCGGCATGGAAGATATGAAATGGGAAGTTCATGTTGTAAACTCTCGCGAAAAAAAGTAAGTTTTTTTTCTGAGAAGTTTCTTCTTCAAACAAATAGAATTGATTAGATGATTTATTCTTACATACTAGTGCATTTGTTCTCCCGGGAGGAAAAATATTTGTTTTTACAGGAATTTTACCTATTGTTCAAAATGAAGGTATGGAGAAAGAAAGAAAGAAAGAAAGAAAAGTAACATTTATTAATTGGATAATTTTTTATTACAAGTGCAGATGGAATGGCTGCAGTGCTAGGTCATGAAATATCACATCAACTTGCTCGTCATAGTGCTGAAAAACTTAGTTTTGTAAAGATTCTTCTTGCAATTCAGTTAACACTTTCTCTTTTAGGAATTGAACCTTCTTTTCTCTTTAATCAATATACTTATAATTTTATAATGATGAAGCCATTTTCACGTAAATGCGAAATAGAGGCAGATGATATAGGTATTCAATTAATGGCACAAGCTTGTTTTGACCCTAAAGAAGCAATTGAAGTATGGAAACGTATGGAGTTATATAATGCTACAGATATTCCTCAATTTGCTAGCACACATCCTAGTCATGAAAATCGCATAAAATATCTTACAAAAAAGGTAAATAGGATAATCATGACCACTATTACTACTACGACTGCTGCTGTTTAACGTATAAACATTTCGTTATAAAATTTATAGTTACCTTCTGCTTTAGAAAAACGTGCCCAAAGTGATTGTTCAAGTGAACTGCATTCATTAGCTGATAAATTTAAAAACACTTGGGTGCGTTGGTAAATAGACTCAAGTGCGCATATATACTTTAGTAGATGTACAAATATGTATTGTTATAATTTAAATGAATGAGACAGACTATAATTATTATTATTTATTTTATTTTTACATGTCATGGGCATAACTATTTTTTTTGTTGAATTAATAATTTTTGAATGGTTGTGTCAACTTGCTCTCGTAATTCACGAATAACATAATCACAAAATTTGCTTAATGCATTGTCTATCATGTGTAAACCTTTGTCTGTCTTTTTTGCAATCTCTGACGGGTCAAATTCATCAAATACAAGTTCAAATCTAAATTTACATGCCCTATAGAAAAGAAAAGAAAAGAAAAAAAAAAGCATGTTAACTTATCCACATATAATTTACTTTATATATCTGATAACATACGTAGCAAAGAATCGAAGATTCTCAATAGCTCTATATGTTCGCTTATTATCACTATGAATCTTTGTAATCAATCCAAAAGGTCTGAGTGATCGTTTTACGATGCTATTATATACATTACAAAACACTATACCATCACTAATATAAGTTCATATTAGTCTTTTTTTTTTTTTTTTTTTTTTTTTCTTTTTTTTTGTTTGTTTCTTGAAGCATATATATATACTTGCGAAAGGGATCGTAAAAATGCCTCTTTATTATCATCTGGATTTGGAATATTCTGATCTTGATTATTGTCTAGGATCAAGGCATAATATCGTCCTATATATATATATATCCAGTATAGTATGAATATTAAAATATACACACATATATATATACATACATATTCAATACCTTACCTATTGGATTATTTACAAAGGAACCTCTCTCCAGCCATTCCGGTATATTATTAAATGTCTTTATTTCCTCTTCTTTTGTTAAACTTAAAATCCCCATTTTTTCTATCAAAGTTTCGATCTCTGGAGTGAAAAGAGCTGGAGGGCTTCCAATATGATGAGGTGGGTTAAATGCATACTTTTCGATTACGTTTAAATAATCATGAATAGCCTGTCTTTCCTTTCCCAACCTATTAAAATCAGAGGCTCGATAAAGGAAACCTTTTGTATCGCCTTTTTCTTCTTCTTCTTCTTCTTCCTTGAGACGATAGTTTGTTTCAAGCTCCTTGATAATTTCTAATAAATGTAAGGATGCATATCTAAGCTTATTAATAGCCTCATTTGATAGATCTTGGCGATTGACTGTATATTTTTTTACAGAACTTAACATGGTTGTTACAGCTTGTAAGAAAGGTAAGATTTGAAAAGAGGTGTCCGGATGTAGTGTTGTATCAAGTGGTTCAGTTAATGTGATTATTGTAAGTGTAGTTTGTATATCTTTAAAACATAATGAGAGTAATATATCCAAGTCTGTTTCAACATTTAAATCAATCCAACTTGGAGGTGGTTCTTGAGGTGTAGGTAATTGATCCTCTATACTATCTGGCTCCTCTACAAACGTTTCTTGTTGAAAGCCCAAAGTACCGATTCTATTATGGTAATCAACATTTTTTATTAGTAGTGCACAATACATAATGCAAATAATAATAATAATACTTTACTTGTTTACTTTTAATTCCTTTTTAGCATAAAAATTTTGAAGTCTTTCAATAGAGCCTAAAGTTAAAACAGAGGATCTCCTTTGAGCTATTATGTTTGATTTTTTTATTAATTTATATATTATCATTATCATTATCATTATCATTATCATTATCAAAAAAAAAAAAAAAAAAAAAAAGTTTTATATATTAACCTGATCGAGCAAATCCTTTTATTTGAATACCATTTATTGGTTTTAAATATCTACGACCAAAGGGGCTTTGAGCACGAACGATATTATCGTTATTATGAATAGCAGGAGGTGGAGGAGACACTCTTTTTTCAAAACTTGAAAGATCAACATCATCATCATCATCAACTATAAATGGAGAAAACGAATCCAAACTATCATCTCGACTTTCTTGACATGTAGTAGTATTGTCAAGTGATTCTAAAGGGTGTTGTAACATTATTGACGTTAAATAGTATTATTATAAACAACAATAAATCAAGGGGAACTATGACTAGCCAGACTTCAATAAGAAGAAGAATTAAAAGGTTAAATTATTTGTTTATACTACTAACTACATAAGTCACAATTACGGTGTAACATATAGCATAATAACAGGCACATGATGTGCAGTCATTCAATGCAGCAGAAATAAAGTCGTGGCTTTATTAGTTAACGGATGATAATAAAGCGAGTTTTATTTTGTTAAAGTGACTCTGTAAAGCGGGTTATCTTGTATACTTTATGGTCACATGCTTAAAAAAAAAAGGTATGCTTATGTGTGTGTGTGTGTCTTTTATTATGTTTTTATCTTTGACGATGTTATTCGTATAAGAGTAATAATAATAATACTACTTTTTTTTTCCTTCTTTTAATAATATATTCTACATGCCAGAGCTTCTTAATTCCTCAAGTCTTTTGACAATAAACATACTGGTATCAAGGAAACGATCAACACAATTTGCTAGACAATTTTCTTCACTACGATCCAATTTATTATTGACTTTTGAAATACATTTATCCTAATGAAGATGATACATGTAAGCATTTTCATTTTCATTTTTCATTTCATATAATTTTATTACCCAGCAACTATCAGTTAAAGAATGAACAGTTTGCTGAACGCGAGCTTTTGCTTGTTCTGCCTCAAGAAACTAACATTTACGAATATACACATATATAAATATATATTATGGTCATTAGTCTGTTTTGTGTCGTGTTGCTTTTTTTATTTATTTATAAATAAGTGTATATACTTGGCCGAGTTCACGCTGATCACTTTCGGAAAATTGAGGTTGAGACATTTTTATAACAGAGAAATGAAATAAGAGAGAAAAAAAAAAAAAAAAAGAAAAAAAGAAGACAGATTTGCTGAAAATAATTAACGTAGGGGGGAGTAGAGGAGATTAGGAGGGGAGATTATAATTATTGACGTTGATCAAGTAGTGGCTTGCACTATGAGTTTGAATTTTTTTTTTTCCTATTCTATTCTCTTCTTTATTACTAAAAGCAGTGCTTTAATATGATACAGTGTACATTACATAATCGATGAAAGTTGAACAAACAAGAGTATGTTTTAAAAAGTGTATAATTATGCATACATAATGAAGCTATTGTACATCCATTTATAACTTTGTTCATATTATTTTTTAATTTTTAATTAGCCCTATTAAAATGCTTTATTTTATTTTTTTTTATTGAGTTTCTTTTTTTTTTTTTTTCTGTTATAAATTAACATGGTACCTCCTCACCCAATACCCAAAAACTACCCTGTTCCAAGCGAAAGTGTTCAAAATCGTTTTAAGCGAAGATTACAAACACCAGAAGCAATGGCACCTACGCCAAGAGCAAGACAACTACAGATTTTATCTTGGGCCCTTTCTATAGGTAAAAAATAAAATAATAAAGTAAATTCGATATAATAATGCAAGAGGATAAATAACAATTTAACAAAAAAAAAAAAGGTCTCAGTGCTTATGTTGTATTATTTGCTGATTTTGGAACAGAGAAAAATTGTTATACACCAGTATGTTGCTCATAATATATTTAAAACTTCAACATTAACTAATTGCATCATTTAGATCCGGGAATGGTTTCAACAAAAGAAAACACAGTTTTGGACTCTAAGTGAAAAAGAAAAGAAAGAGTTAAGAGAACAAGGAAAACTATAATATTAATCTCCTTTTATTTATATGCATTTGTATTTTTTTTTCGTTTGTTTGCTATTAAATTTGCTTTAAATATGTGATGTTCGTTTACCTTGATTTATTATAGAGTGGGTCTTTTAATACATACAACCCAGAATAATACAGTTAAAATAATAACTTGGACTGCTGTAGTTTTTTTTTTTATATGTATAAGTCTCCGAGGACTATTTTCTTAAGAAACTATACTATTTAATACAACGTATTGCCCTCTCTTTGAAAAAAAAAAATTCTTGGATTGTTCAAAGTATTACTTGTACTTGAGAGATAAGCTCTTGATTTTAAAAAGTCATTCAATGTAAAAGTATTTTGAAACTCTCTTTTCAAAGCAACTCTTTCATAAAGAGACTCGCATTCATTCTTTATTATTAGTGGAGCTTTCTTTAAACTTATCTAACCACTCAATAGTTTCTTTAAAGATATGAACTAGACTTTGTTTATCAAATATCGTGATAGCAGTACAGGTTAATGGAGTATGTTGTTAACGCATCTCTGCTATTTCTAATTTATTTGATATAGTATTATATATTGGCATTAAAGAACGAAATCAAAAAAAGACTTCTCTTAATAAATGTATATACTGTGTAATACCCTTTGTAAAATGATGGATATTTTTATTTCAAAAAAAAAGGGGGGGAAATGTATAAAATGAATTTTAAATTCAGAAAAATGCAAGTCTATCGTGACTTTTTTTTATTTGCTTTTTAGTTATCCACAACCGGGGTAAAAAAAAAAAAAAGAAAAAAAAAAGGGCCTGGATTTTTATTAATTATTTGACAATCCTCTCTCTCTTTTTTTTTTTTTTTTCTTATATTTCATATAAACAAGGATGTTCGCTTTAAAGACAGCAGCAAACAAGGTTGCTTTACCTGCTACTCGTATTGCTTCTCGTAGATGTGTTTCTTCTTGCGCCACTAAGACTGGTAACTTAAAATAATGATAATAATAATAATAATAATTGAAGTTTACCCTTTTTTTTATAACATTTTACTTTAGCCTTCTTATCTACTCGTATGGCCCTTAGTGCTGGTAACAAGTTTGTAAGTATACGCTCTTCCCCCCCCCTTCTTTTTCATTATAGCTTAAATATAGATAATATAAATATATATATTATTTACTTATCAAAAAAACACACACACATGATAGACTGCCAATCTTCTTAAAGAAGCTTACGTTTCTGCTGCTCCTTCTCGTTTGATGTTTTTTGGTAAATATATACGATATTAGATGAATTTGAATGGGAATTTAATAAAATATGATTGTTGTTTATAAGGTCGTCGCCATATGGCTACTGATGCAGGAGGTAAATTTTTACGTGGTAAGCCACACGTCAATATTGGTACAATTGGCCACGTCGATCATGGTAAAACTACTTTGACCGCAGCTATTACCAAGACTTTAGCCGCTAAAGGTGGTGCTCAATTTATGGATTACAATCAAATTGATAGGGCCCCTGAGGAAAAGGCTCGTGGTATTACTATTTCCACAGCTCACGTTGAATACGAAACACCTAACCGTCACTATGCTCATGTCGATTGTCCTGGTCACGCAGATTATATTAAGAACATGATTACTGGTGCTGCTCAGGTAATATATATATATATGTATATACATTGAACAAAAAAGAAAAAAAAACCACCCCGAAAATAGATAGATAATAATATGGATATTATCATAGATGGATGGTGCTATCATTGTAGTCTCTGCAACAGATGGTCAAATGCCTCAAACTCGTGAACATTTATTATTAGCTCGTCAAGTCGGTGTTCAAAACTTGGTTGTCTTTGTCAATAAAGTAGATCAGATTGATGATCCTGAAATGCTTGAACTCGTTGAAATGGAAATGCGTGATCTTCTTTCTGAATACGGATTTGATGGTGAAAATACACCTATTATCAAGGGTTCTGCTCTTGCCGCTCTTGAAGGACGTGATCCTGAAATTGGCGAAAAGGCTATCGAAGAATTAATGGAAGCTGTTGATTCATACATTCCTACCCCAGTTCGTGATTTAGACAAACCTTTCTTGATGCCCATTGAAGATGTGTTTTCTATCTCAGGTCGTGGTACGGTTGCTACGGGTCGTGTTGAACGTGGTACTGTCAATAAGGGTCAAGAAGTAGAAATTGTGGGTATGGGACCTACGATCAAGACCACTTTGACAGGTATTGAAATGTTCCGTAAAGAATTAGATCGTGGTGAAGCTGGTGATAACATGGGTGCTCTTTTGCGTGGTATTAAACGAGAACAAATTCGTCGTGGTCAAGTTATGTGTGCCCCTGGTACAGTCAAGTCTCATAAGAAATTCCTTGCACAAATCTATATTTTGACAAAGGAAGAAGGAGGTCGTCATACTCCATTTATTAATAACTATCGTCCTCAAATGTTTGTTCGTACCACAGATGTTACCGTCAGTCTCACACATCCTGAAGGCACTGAAAATCCTGATGAAAAGCTCATTATGCCTGGTGATAACGTAGAAATGCAATGTGAACTTATTCATGATGTTGCTCTTGAAGATGGTCAACGTTTCACCATTCGTGAAGGTGGTAAGACTGTAGGTACTGGTGTTGTTACTAAGATTATTGAGTAAAGGGAAAGGATGAAAATTTAGGGTTTTTTTGATTTTTTTTATCTCTTTTACCTTACTTCTTTGCTCTCTCTCTCTCTCTCTCTCTCTCCCTCACTCTTTTTCTTTGTATATCTTGAATTTTTATTTTATTTTGTTTTATTTTTTTTTTTATTTCAGTCTTTCTTTAACAAATGTATTATCAGATACAAAAAATAAAAGTATCCATATTATTAACATATAGTGCATATTAATCTGTGTATATATATGAAGCTTCTTTTCTTTGACTGATCCATGATTATCACTACTCGAATCACTATTCTATCCAAGAATACAAGTAGGAATATGTCAATATGCATGCATATAAATAGATACGTAATACAGTGATGTCAATACATTATCCACATAAAAGAATAAAAAGAAAAAAAAAGAAAAAAAAGAGGAAATAGTAGGTTAGGAAAAAAAAAAAAAGCTTTAGGCTATATTTTTTTCATAGCTATTTGTATCACAAGAGAAAGTATACATTATGATAGACAGAGAGATGAATAAAAACCTTATTTTTATATTTAAAATAAATATATATTGCACTTTCTCATCTCAAAGTAGATTAACCTTTCTTTTACATTTCGAGTTTTAATTATTATTCACCTTATGGAAGGTAAAATATTACAATTGAAAAAAATAAAAAATAAAAAATAAAAAAATAAAAAAAATTAAGGGGGAAAATAAATATGAATATAAACAATCTATACTTGTAGATCTCAACATTCAACATAATTCGCAATTGAATGAACAAGAAGCAGTTATTGAACCGGTTATAATTATACATAATGAACAAGAGAATATAAAAGTAAAAGAAGAGAGGAATGATGATGATAATAATTTATACTTATATCTTTCCAAGGAAGAAGGACAAAAAGTTGAAAATAATCCTCTATTTGACGCTACTACTACTACGACTACTACGACTACGACTACGACTACGACTACTGTTTCTTCTCAACCAGAATTACTGATGAACAAGGATAAAGGTAGAATACTGCATTGTACCTGTCTTTTCTTTCTCTTTCTCTTTCTCTCTCTATTTCTAAATAATTTTTTTTTCTAGAACCCAAAGAAGTAACAGATCAAAAACTAATAGTCAAAGAACAAAAAAACAATGATAATATTTGGTTAACTATGCCATTATCGTCTTTAGATAAATTATTTCAATTCAGCAAAAGCACATTACCATTACAAAGGTAATAAATATTGTGTGTGTGTAATATTTGATAATTTATCTCCTAGATTTATCTATTCCTTATCTATTACAGATTAATCATAACAAAGGAACTTTCAAGTATACTTTATGAAATAAACTTAAAGGAAGCCTTAGAGGTTGCTTTACCTATCATTATCCATTTGAGTAACGATAAAGAAGAATCAATTAGAGAAAAATTAGCTGAGGAATTGGGTAATATCATGCTATTTTATTATAAGGTAAATAAAGTACTATTATTATAAAATTGCTTATTATAATCATCACGCTTATAATCTGTAGAATGCTCCTCCATTATTGGTAAACTCAAAAACAGTCATGACAACAGAAGAGACACCAGATGACAGTCAAATAGTAGATCATCATCATCATCAACAGCAACAGCTTCATATACCTCAGCATACTTTTAGTTTTATGATTATTGACTTTTTATTGGATCAAAATACAGCCACAGCGTCTTATGCACAACAGTCAGTAGTGACTATAGCAGCTGAGCTACTGTTATTAGCTGATAAAAATAGCGAAAAATATCAATTTTATCGTGATTTATTACATCTTGAAATCTATGAAGGCATTGTGTTGGGTTTAATTCGTATCTTTGATTACAAGTTATCTGAAGACGAAACTAACTATTCCGATCATAGACAATTATCTGAAAGTATCTACAACGAAGATAGTTCCGTTTTAGGAAAAACGGCGTCATCAATCATGTTGAAAAATGAAGAGTCAGAAGGGAACTATCAAAAAGGGGGTCATTTCTCTATCCTAGTTCCTTCAGTTGCTACTAACTTCATTTTACATAACAATTATGATCACAGTGGAATTAATTTAGCAAAGATGGTTTGCTTAATGGTAATACAAACAATTTTATGTGATGACAAAAAAAAAAAATACATGTATTCTAATTCTTATATCAAAAACCCCCTAACGAAAAAAAAAAAGTTAATGTCAGCACTGATGCCAATATTTGGATCTGAAGGATATGCAAAGAAATTCTTACCTATTATAGAAAGTATGGTAACAGATTCGATGTTTTATGTAAGAAAAGAAGCTGCTACTGCTTTAGGAATCCTTGCTAATACTGTTACACTCGATATCACATTAGAAAAACTAGTACGTTTTTTTTTTTAAAAAAAAAAGAGAGAGAGAGAGAAAGAGAGAATCTTCGGTCTTAAACAATTTACTTATTACTTTAGTTGCCTCTATTTTTAAAATTATCTATGGATACAACATGGCATGTCCGACGTTCATGTGTCCTTGCATTACCTCTTTTCTGTAGTGTACTTCCTAAAGATAAAAAGAGAGAGATTGCAATCAAAAGTGTTGAACATTTCAATAGCGATTTTTCTCGAAATGTACGTTATTCGTTAACTGATATTATAGGCGAGCTTATATCAAAATTCCTACCTACGGATGAAGGAGAAGAAGTTTTACCTAAAGAGCTTTTAGACTATTTTTTATTTCTCTGTGGTGGAAATAATGATAGTAGTAGTAGTACTCAATTTTTCACTTCAAATAGGATTGGTAAAATAGATACAACAGAACAAATTCATAACTGCGCCTATAATTTTCCTGCTGTTGTGTTGACAGCAGGTGTAAACTATTGGGATTCACATCTCAAAGATATTTATTTACAGCTGACAAGGGATTATCAGTTCAAGGTACGTCGAACATTCGCTTATTCATTACATGAAATTGCTCGTATTATTGGACCAGAACGCACAGAGCGCGACCTTGTACAGATCTTTGCTCTCTATTTAATGGATTTAGATGAAGTTAAACAAGGTGTCATTGAACATCTTTCTGATTTTTTAGCTGCCTTGACTATTGAATCTCGAAATGAATATATTCCTATCCTAGCTGAGGTCTGGGATGGTGTACTAAATAACTGGCATTTACGACATACATTGACATATCAGCTACGTGATATTGCTAAACTTTTTGATGCAACCAGGGTCATTGACTCTATCTTACCGTTAGCAATTAAATTTTGTCATGATGAAATTGCGGCAATTAGAGAAGCAGGTGTTGACATTGTAAGGCACATTGTATTAATTATGACGTCTAATATTATAAATATATATATCCTTACTAATACTTACACATACACACAAGTTTCCCATTATTTTAGATATTGTAAAAAGAGCAGTTGATGATGAAAATAGAGATCACTTACTGTCCGAGTACATGAAGGAAACCAACAACCATAATAATCATGATTTGTATGAAAACCGACATAAACACGCATTCACATTATTAAATCATGTTATGGAGGAAATGAATAAATTTGTTACTTCTGATGCATATCGCTCAAGACTTGTGTAAGAAATCAAATAAGATCAGAAGAAAAAGAGAGAGAGTTATTCTTAACCCTATTTTATAACATAGATTTGCACACATTTGTCAATCTTTACTTCTTGCTGGCATAACGCCAACTGATTTTGCATCTTTCTTTTTAACTCAACTAGAAATACTTTCAAGAGATCAAGTAGTGAATGTACGTATTGCTACTTCAAGAGTAATTCATATTCTTCTTACAACATGTAAGTTGCTAATTATCACTATTGGGCAATATATACATGATGATTAAAGAAATATTTACATATATATATATATGATATATAGCTGGGTATAAGCAAGAGCTATACACAATGTCTCATACAGATAAAGATAAAGCAAATCCAGGAGATTTATTGGATCAAATACTATATAATTTAGTCATTGATAAAGAGGATGATGTTCGTTCCTTTATTATAGGTGTTATTAATGAAAAAGATATACTCAGTCGATTTGATAAAATGACATATCCTAATAAAGAAGACAACGAAGAGAAAGCAACAAGTTACATTATTAGATTATTACCAACTCCTCCACCCATTTCATCACACATATCGACCGTTACTACTATTAAAAGCCACGAAGAAGAAAGTGAAAATAAAATGATAATAGATAAAGAAAACTTGACTTTTAGTTTTCCAATGGATATTGTTGTAGTCGATGATGAAAATTTACCAGTGGATCCCCTTTCTTCTTCTTTTTCTTCAAAAAATTCGTCTGTACAATTAGAAATTCATGACGAAGATTTAATTATGAATGATATTGGAGAAAAATAACACTACAGTGAAAGCGCATCATGTTCACTTGTCAAGTATACCTGCTATACATGTGATGAATAATAATGAGAAGAAAAATGACGTATAAAAATGACCTTGTATTCTATTAATTATTAATTTTGCTAATTATTATATTCCCCTACCCCTGCCCCTATTTTTTTTTCTCTCTCTCTCTAAGTTAAATTACTACTAAATATGAATATTTGTATCTTATTTATATTTACATGTGGTAAAAATATCACGTATATAATTTTTATGGCTTTAATTCTTTTTTTTTTATTTATTTAACCAAATAATATACATACATATTACATATATAAATAGGCTTTTGATATTCAATATCTTTGAAGAACATTTGATAAACTCGAGCTTGTAATAGCAGCAATAGTAGCAGTAATTCCTAATGATGCTGTAGATATATGTTTAGGTCTTACTAACCATGGAGTATGTGTTAAAGATTTCTTCACTATTGTCTCTACAGGCCCTCTTAGGAATAAATACATTAGAATCCAATATACAATGCCCCTTTTTGGGCCAAAAGAAAGCTGAATTAAATGGTGTGTTAATTGTTTTAATACTGAACTTATTTGATCTAGTAATGTATATACATTTGAAGACAATGATTCCTTCGGTACTGTTGTAGTCGTATTGACTAAAGGCGGTTCAACTATGATAATTGAAGAATCCTTTCTACCTTTATTGTTAAGATTTGGATCCTTTATAAATAATGATTGTTGTTGTATTTCTCTTTGAGTAGTAATAAATGAAGTTAAATAATCAATCCCTTTACGTAAACCTATCCAAGATGAAAGATGACCAAAGTATGATTTTGTAGTAGGGTAAAGTGTTGTTGCACCAGGCAATGGGAATGTTGTTTGTTTAATTAGAGTTGATGGTGTTAGCGGTGACGGTGTAGAAACGGGTATAGTAGTGTCCATAGATAAAGCTCGAGAAGAGATAGGGGAAGAAGGTTCAAGAGCATCATAAAACACATCACTAGAACTACTTGTACTATACGTATTTGAGCTCGACCTTGACAAGCTGTCTGCTACAGAAGACAAAGGAGGCGTATGTGGTAACTCAACCTTGAGTATTGTTTTTACATCTTGATGTGCTGTGCCGTATCTCTGTAGAATTGGGTCATTTTCTACAGTCCAAATATAACTATTCGAGCCTTCCATTTCTTAATATTGTATATAAATATATAAAGAGAAACCTAAATAATCTATATATATATATATGCATAGCATATAATCAAGTAAACTACTCACCTTTTAATATTTTATCTTCACTAATAATAGGCTGTAGTTCAGGAATAGAAGTAAATCGTATAAAGCTTTTAGCTTCTTCGTTTAGTAAATATTTTAATATAGACCAAAGACCCTGATACATCCAACCAAAGTTTAAAACATGAATAGAGCTGATACATTCAGGAAATCGATCATCTAATATCATACTCATCATTCTAATCAATTCGACATCCTATTTATACGTTACTATTGATTTATGCTAGAATATATACATATTTATATGTTTACCACAGGAATGATAGGTGCTTTCGAAACATTCACTATCACTGTCATTCGAGAAACAAGTGGATATGGATCCCCTCTCTTTGACTTTTCACAGGTCATATCCCAAGTTAATTTTCTTGCCATCTCCATGATAAGACAGGCATATGATTTTATATATTCTTTGAATGACTTGTTCTTGTCTATAAATTTTCTAGGGATATACCGTAGTCGAACAAAGAGGAGTGGATGACTTTCAGTATTATCTGTACCATGAAAGAAAGCAACTGCCTCTGGATCAAAAAATTCACGACACTCGTTCTCCCAGTTAATATGAGCAACATCATTTGCAATTCTCCAATGGATTGTCTCTAATAACTTTGTATAAGCTTTTTGAAAATCAAACTTGCATAACTTTAAGAATCGAAAAATAGTAACTAAAAAAAAAAAAAAAAAAAAAAAAAAAGATGATATCATGCATATTTCATTAAAATATTTATTTTTTTTTTTTTTTACCTTCATCTTTAATATAATCTTTTACATCATTCAGTTCTGCTAAAGATAAGTTGTTCTCGAGAAAATATTGTAACAATTTATCTTGTAAACTTTTTATTAATTCATAATTGTCATTAAACTGTGAATTTAAGGTTATAATTTGTTCTTGTAATTCAACCGAACCCATTATGGATAAAAGAAAGAAGGAAGGAAGGAAGGAAAGAGAGAGAGAGAAAAAAAAAATACATAAATTTAAAATGCAACTATTGTTATTTTAAGCTTAGGATGAGTTTGCAACTTTTTTTTTTCTTTAAACGAATCAAATCTATTAAGATGAATTTGCATAACCAGTTTTGACGAATCAGTTTTTTTTTTTTTCTCTTTTTTTTACTCTTAGGCTTGTCTCTTTTTTTTTTTTTTCTCTGAGACTTGTCTTTTTTTTTTCTTTTTCTTTTGGCATAATCAAATGTCTTCTTTAACTTAATTTCCCCTCCTCTCTCCAACTTTAAAAAGATTTATTTAAAATAGCATTACATATTTACATTTGACCAGGATGGCAATGATGTTTTCTAAGCATCTCGTGCACATTCACGGTCATTTATTTATATTCATGTTGATTATATGAAAAGATATACCTTTTTTTTTTTTTTTTGATATCAAAAATGTCCAAAAATTAATATATTTAATTCGCTTTGCTTTGATTTGATTTGATATTTTTTTTTTCCTTTTTTTTTTTTTTTTTTTTTTTTTTTTTTTTTTTTTTTTTTTTTTTTTTTTTTTTTTTTTAGGAAGTAACATAAAGATTAACAGCATTATTAGGTCCCTTGTTTTCAAAGCCCATTTGAACATCTTCACTTGAACTAATCGTAATAAGATCTCCATCCTCATCTTCATATTTTAACCCAAGTATTGATGTTTCAAATTCTTGTCCACAAAGCTTAATTTTATTCTCAATGCGTTTTTGAAGATCTTCAAATTCAATGTTTGTAGGGACAACAACCACGTAAATCGCACCAAAATAATGTACCTTCACTTTTGTAGTCTCTTGCTGTTGTTGAGGAAGTACTACAGGAGTTGAAACGATAGGTGACTCATGTTTAGATCCATTACTATTTCTTCTACTCAGATTAACTATGGGTGTTTCTGGTGTATTTGGCACTATCTGATTTGTAGTAGTAGATTTTTGAATGCTAGGACTACTTTGTGATCTAGCTCGAGCATGATGATGTCTCTGTTGTTGTTTATTATTATCATCATTTTGTTGTTGTTGTTGTTGTTGTCTTCTTTGCCACAGTGCACCAGAAGGTAATATACTACTTGAAGTACTTGGGTTTATATTCACATTATTACTGCTTGTTCTAGCAATTGGTGTTGGTGATGATGGATAACTTGTTGGAGGAGATGAAGGAAATGATAGATTAGATGGGGAATAAGGACTTGTTGACTCATTTGAATGAATAGTTGACATACTTGCATTGCTGAGTGCTGGTACAGCAGGAATTGTATTATTGGTAGTAGGTGACCTTGGTAAAGGAGGCAAAGAGATACCAGGAATACCATTCATGAAATGACGAGCTGTACTGTTGTTCGATAAAGATGCCTTTCTACTGGTTATTTCTGGAGGGTAACGATAATGTTGGTAACTATAAGATCTATTCCTCATAAAGATAGGACTATGGTTATTATTGGTATTTTCTTCATCTTCACTATGATGATGATGAGGAGTACTGGTATTATTATCTCCTTCAGTGTAATAATCATCTTCATCTTCATCATAATGAAATAATGAATTACTGTGCTCCATTCGAGGTGTTTGTGGTGCTGTAATCATATCTACCTTTGTTGTTGATTCTTTTAACTCTATAATAACACCTAACCATTGCCTTAAATGTTCGTCATTACGACATCTTAATAATATTGTCTGTGTATCACCACCTTCAGACCAAGAAATATGTAGTGTATAATGACCTTTAAATAAATAGAGACAAGTATATAAGTAGCTAGAAAGAAAAAGTATACTCTTTCTCTCTCTCTCTCTCTCTCTCTCTTTTCCTTTCTCTCCCTTTTTTTAAACCTTACCATTTTGACTTGAAGAACCTCGAACATGTTCAATACGAGACATTAACACTTTTCCTCGAACAACCAAAGAACCGTCCTTTCTTTTCTTTTTAATAGAGATTGAATTCTTATTCATTTCCTTGATTTCTTTACAAATAAAAATGATTTTATCAAATAAGAATACAACAACTTCACGACTGTTATCTGTATCATAACGTTGTAAGGTAAAGCGATCATGTAATAATAATTGACCAGCACTATCGATCAGGATTCCCGGGTTATTAATAGAATCATCTACAATATGTTTCTTAAGGTCTTGAACAACAATCAAATTCTCTTGTAATCGTTTTGTTTCATTTACTTTCTTTGCAACTCTCTGAATGGCTTCTAAACCTTGCTTATTTTCTTCAACGTAAGGCCAATCTTCTGGAGTAGCCTTGATGAGTTGTTGAATTAAAAGTGGATATTTACAAACACGTTGAATAGGTTTAATAAGCATAGCAGGTAATTCATACACTGGGGACATGATATTTGCAAGCTTCTGTAGTTTAGGTGCTTCTTGTATCACAAGATCTTGAGCGATTTGAAAATTAGCACAGAAGGGTTCATAGACAGAGAAGGCATCCTCAAATTGAATAAATAAACTTCCAAACCTTTGTTCCTTCACAGAATGAGCAGCTTGATCTTCAATTTGAATTAAAAATCTTCTTTGAAAGTCAACAAGGGCATTTAAATTTCCAAATAAATGATGCATCGTATCTTGTGAAAGTATTTCTTGAGCTGAAACTTCACGCATATAATTCTAATAGAGAAAGGGGAAAAAAAAAGATGCATAATAATAGACTATAAATATAATGCGTGATAATAGATAGATACATATCTAAGTAAGTCTGTGCATATATATAGAATCCATACCTGAAGTGATTCGAGATCTTGAACGTATTTTCTTTCTGTTGATACTAATTCAAATACAACATTGTCTCTCATATCCTTTGGAGGTGATTCTGTTGATAGATTATTATCCTCATTTAATGATTTGACTTTAATGATTTCTTCTGCTTCTAATAAGTCTAAAATACGTTTAACAGTATTAACCACCTATATAAAAAAAAATATGAGCACACATAACAGATATAATCTAATCTAATCTATATATATATATATATAGATATAGATATATACATATATATAACCTTTACCTTTACAAAGCCATTCGTGTTATTTTGGTATAGTTCAGTTACAGTAAATAATGTATCTTCTGGGAATTTTAATTGATCTCTGCAAGCGATAATAAAATGATAGACATAGGCTTTAGATTTATTTGCTGCTGAGGAGTTATTTTTAATTGTAATAGGAGAATCTGGCCTTAAAGTATTATAAAGGTAGCAAAGACTGGATCCTTGTCTACAAATATGCCATAATTTTGTTAAAGGGTCAGTTCCTCCTCCTCCTCCACCTCCTCCTCCACCACCACCACCTCCTCCTCCTCCTACTTCTTCTCTTTCTTGTTCCTCTTCTTTCTTTTGATTATTTATATAAATTTCAAAGCCTGGAACATAATTAAGTGCATTTAATACTGAACGACAAGTATGATAAATAGATGCATTTTGTGTCGCTTGCTTATTTGTAATGGAATCGTTCATTATTGGTGATTCAATCATCATTAAAGAAAAAAAAAATATAAGGATTTAGAATTAGGAAATTTGAAAAAAAAAGGAGAATATATATAAAAAAAAAATCAAGTGAAATAAACAACAACAAAAAGAAAAAAAAAATAACACATTATTTTGTTACTTAAAATTCAGACATGTTAATTTTTTTTTTTCTATTAATTTTCAGACAAAAAAAAAACCTATTTAAGGAATTCTATAAAATAATTGATTTGTTGTACCAACAACAATTTGAGTGATTACATTAAATAAGGCAAAGGCATTGAATGGGTAAGGAAGCAACAAGCCAAAAAAAAAAAAGACAATCAATTAAGCCTACATAATACTACTGTTATCATACAGTAATAAAGAATATTCATTTATAATAGACTATAATCAAATGGTCTAGAAGCTGTCTAACATCTTGAAGACACTCATAAATATACCTTTGGAATCTAATAGTCTCATTATACAGAATGATCTATTTATGTTGTCTATTTATAGTTCGGGAATAATGTATATGTACTTCCATTTTATTATTATTCACTTAACTTATTTAATATAATTCTTTTTGTACTCATTAAGGTGTGTCTATTTTGTTTGGTTAAAGTCTTGTTGATTGTAAAGAGTTTAATTCGTTTAAATAAAAAAAAAAATAGGATATTATATGAATATATCATATATGTCTTATACATAAATATTTATATTTGTGTATATTTATTAGGCAATCGGAATTTGAAATACTTGAGTTTGTTCTTCTCCACAAAAGCTATCGATATACATGTATATTCTCCCATATTTTATTAGTAAAGCATTTATTTATAACTAATTCCTGCACAAGGTTTTTGAACGATAAAAACTGTGCGGAATCAAATATATCTTTTTTTTTTTTGATAAATTATCCAGGTCAAATTTGAAGGTAGAGAGCTATCAGAATAAATGTTAAAAGTGAATAATATATTTTTCTTTATCCTTATGATTAGCAAATAGAAAAAAAAAAGGTATCATCATCTAAAAGAATAATTATGTCTTTACTACTCTAACTGACAGTCTTTTTTTTTTGTTCATAAGAAATGAACTTCTCTGCTTAAATATTCAAATGTCAATTTTTTGAGGCAGTTCTGAAGATCATATAAAAAAAAAAAAAAAAAAAGTCACTTTAGAACATAATCTTTGGACTGAGATTGTGTCGATCTAATTGAATATCATCAACAATAGGTTCTCCTCCTTAACAAGTCAAAATTGATATTTTATGTAAACTAGGTAGATAATTAAATCAGGCAATAACATTTAAAGTAGAATTGCAAAACACTCACTTTTTTATGTATATATATTACCCACAAGTTATTTCTATTTTTGTTAAAAAAAAAGATATTTTCTACGGAACATTTTATCTTGCTCACAGGTCTGCTTGCTTGCTTGCTTGTTTACTTACTTACTTTAGTTATCTGGCCCTGTTAGGAAGTATATAAAAGGCTAGTCTGTACTGTATAGTGAAAGATATTTTTTATTCGAATAATATCAAATATAGCAAACGATATTGTATTCTCTTTTCGATCATAATAACTGATTGCTTGGATAATTACTTTTAAGTTACATAATAGATGTAAATGACTACTCTATAATTGATCCCATAACTCAGTAGTCTCTCTCCTTTCTTCCTCTTTGCTACTTTAAGGGTCTTGTAATTAATCCCTGAATGTAGATAGCATTAGACTAGAATTATGAACAAACTTGACACTATTCCTTAAAAGCATTATTCTGTATTATTTGCACAAGTGTATAGAATTACTAACTTGAATTTGAAAGTGGTAACTAGGGAAAGTTCCTTACTGTACATATATATATATATATATATAAATAAAAAGGCCTCCTCCTTCCCCTCTTTATACAAGCAAGGTCAAAAATGGGTTTCATTATTTATAACATGTTTTCAGTTGTACAACATGTTCATAACTACTATTGTTACCATCAAATAAATTATCTATTTTAATATTCTTTTCAAATGCTTGTACATGTAATCTAATTCAATATGAGTCATGAAATAAGCAATTTTAGTACGACTTGTTGAATCAAGAATCTGGTCTATGGATTATCTATTGAGTAATATAATTATATAATGGTAGCAGGATGTCATTTGTAAGTATAAACTACTTTTTTTTTTGTAATAGTGTATTTGATTATTCAATGGTAGCATGAATCTCATGGATAGTGATCGCAATACGCTGCTATTTTCAATAAGTAAACGCTCTGCTCTTTTGGATACAACTGGATGCATTATGAATAAATTCTTAATATCACACAATGATGTAGTAAAACTTGATTGGATTGAACACGAGCACTGCACCACTTTTACTTGCAAAAAATTAAAATGGGATGGTATTCTCATCAAAAAGCAATGACCATGTTGTTGTTACTTGTTTAATCAAGCTTGCAGGAGGAATAAAATACAATTCTACGACAAGCAACAAAAGAAAAGAAAAAGGAGATATAACCAAGTTATACAAAAATATGAAAAAAACAATAAAAAATTTATCAGAAAGCATTCCCAAAAGGCTTTATTTGTGTCAAATCTTTTAGTAAATCGGATTATACTGTGTATGTTGACTAATCATATCCGTATTCTAACAGAATAGTACTGGTAAGATTTTATAGCCATATTCATGCTCTCCTTGCTATTGTAAAGATAATATGTTTCTTTTAATAAACAAATATATAAAAATCACTTTGCGAATTTAACGTATATGTTCTACTCTATATCCTTAAAAAAAAATGGAAGTTATGCTATATAATCAAAGTTCATATAAACGTACAAGTAAGATAAGTAAGCAATAAACCTTGTATTCAAATTGGTTATTGAATTCCTTATTTTTAGTTTCAAAAGTAGTAGTAGTTTTTTTTTATGTGCCTTAGTTTCTTAAAAAGGATACAAAAACTGGTCAAATTGCACTTCTTTCATGTCAAATGGTAACACTGTACTTGGTTCTCTGTCTCCTTCATTCAAATGCTTGTCAGAAAGTCTATTACTAATGGTATTAAGAGAGTTGATTCTATTTTTTTGTTGTTGTTGTGTTTATATGAAAAAAAAAAGATAAGGCAGAATAAGAACTTGAGTCACCTGCAAATCTTTTATTATGATAATCCTGTCATTGTTTGTACAAAATATATATGAATCTACAAATTGTGATATTAAAGTAAAAATAGTCTTAATAGATGGTTTTATAATTATCCACTATTGCTACGATATCTACTCTTTACGGTCCCCACATCCCAGTGTATACATACCTGGTCTACTGATATACTGAGTCTTATAGTGTCAAACAAAAATACTAACTGGATGATGAACGTGCTCCCCTTCCATTAGGAACATTTATATCAGCAAATGGTAAAACTATAAATGAAGTACAACTATAAATGAAGTACAATCTTTTGCTATCGTATTTATGAAGGCAATACATTATTTAGAGTAACAAAGATCGTCTCTAGGGTATAAACAACAATGTTATAGGATCCTTTTTCATTATATCAGTCATATTATTATTATTATTATTTTCACTTTTGTAAAGCCAATACGACTTTTCTTTGTAGACTTTACTTGAATTAACGAGCTGATGAAGTCTTGCCTAAAGTAACTATACCTCTTCATCCTATATATTGGATTCAGTCTTGAATGAATGCATTTGTTGGCAGACAGTGCTGCTATAGTATATCTAAATATATTTTTTTTCACTCACTTTTGCTTATGTCGTTGTCTTATTTTTCTTTTTTTTTTTTAAAAAAAAAAAAAAAAAAAATGGCCAAGAATAATAACGCTATGTATATAAAAGTATAAGCTTGAAGGAAAAAGTTAATTTAACGTGTAACTAAGAAAAATATTACATCATCCAACTGAACACTGTAGTAGTTGCTTACTCTGTCTGTCTTTCTCTTTTTTTTTTTTTTTTTTTTTTTTTTTTTTTTTGCGTTCATGTTTCTATATAAAGTTAATTTTTATCTGATGCTTCTTTTCCATTATTAAACAACATGAACAAATAAAAAGGAAAAGAGTTGCACTATTGATATTGTCTGACCTATTTGGGAAACAAGGGAAATAATTGAATGTAACAGCTCTGTAAAATAAAAAAGCCTCTCAAGTAACACAGCAGTAGCAATAGGTTTCTTTACCTTAATTAAGAAATAAATGACAATTTATAATCAATTCATATGACTTTTTACTATTTTATTGAACATAATAAGGGTTTTTCTTTTAAGAGGCAGTTATGTGCAACAACCAGAGTCAACAGATTATGCACGTGCGTAGTTATATCCTATAGATGATTATATTTATTAAAGTAGTAGGATAGAAATAGGAATAATATCAATGCACCAGGCAAAATAATAATAATAATAATAATAATAATACATAATAAATAAATAATATAAATACAAGTTGTTGGCTTAAATCTTTTTAACTTCTTCTTTGTGATGTCATTCTTTTTTGTGGTGGATATTTAGTAGGTGATAGAATTTCTGTAACTGACCTCTTTCTAAGCCTTCGATTCTCATTATCATTTACAACTACTACTTTAATAAAATAGTTCATTTTAATACAAAACAAAAACAAAACTCACTACTATCTCTATTTTTACCTAAATTGTTATGATAAGGCATAATAATATCTAATTCGTTTTTTTTGTTTTTATTTTCTTCTTCTTGCTCTTGCTCAAGCATGGATTGTAAAATTCGTCTTCTTGCATTTATAAACCAATTACTGATTTGATTCAAGTTTAGATTTGTTTCAGCCGCTAATGCAGCCTTTTCCTCTTCGGTTGGATACGGGTGCTTTTTATGTTTGGATAGCCAATCACGAAGGATAGCTGTCACAGCTTTTGGCAGATTCCCACGTCGGCGTTTATTTGTATTTGTTACTGTGGTTACCTTTTTATCTGATTCATCTTCTTCTTTAGGAGATGGATAATGAATTGGCTTAGGTAATAAATAATGAGGAGGACTTGGAGAGGATATAAGTGAAGGAACAGGGGAAGAATGATCTAATGATACATGGTCTGAATATAATCAAGTCATTTTACACACATATATATATTTTTTATCCTTTAATAAATCATAAATGATGATTACCTCTAGACCAAGTAATGATATCTAACCAATATCTTCCATTTGCTTGTAACATAGTATGTATTCTCTTTTTATGTTCTTCAAGATAAGCTGGGTCATTACCACATGATATATGAACGTGCTGAAGATCACCTGATCCAGTATTTATAAACTGATGATCATGAAATAATATGACAGGGCTAAAAGTGCGTCGTAACTTTTTATTTTTTTTTGTAAAAAAGCCAAAAAAAAAAAAAAGGTAAGAAACAACAAAAAAAAATATATTTCATTATTATCAACAAAAGAATATAAATAAATACACATTTATATATGTATTTATATACATAAATAAAGAAAAAAAAAGAAACCTCTATCTTATTATGGTATTTACCCTTTTATCGTTATTAACAAAAGTAGAAGTAGTAGATTCAAGTATTGACATTATTAAATGAAGAAATATAAAAAGATGATGATGAAGTTGAAGATGGAGACAATAAATAAATAAATATATTTTTTTTTGACAAGCGGAGAAAAAAGAAAGAGAGAAAGGGAAAAAATAATAATAATAATAAAAAAAGAAGAAAGAAATGAGGTTTATATTTTATAAATATTTGATTGGTTCCATATATTAAATTTATTACAGAAAAAAAAAAAAAAAAAAAGGGGGAGAAGAAAAGGAATTTTAAAATATGACGATGAAAAGAAACCTTCTTCTGTACAACTGACTTGTAATTGCACGTTATATTTGTTTATAAATGTAAAGAAGTAAAAAATGGCGCTATGACCAGTTTTTTTTAATTTTGGAAAAATTTGACAACATTTTTTTATTTTTATTTATTTATTTTTTGGTATAAACGTACGTTTTATTAGTCTTATAATACGTTTAATACTGTTTTAGTTTCTTTAAAACGTGAATTTATGCTACGTTGAAAAAAAAAATGATTCACACATTTTAGTGTCATATTTTGTGAAAATAAACAAAGTGCATAATTCAATTTTTTTTTATTATAATAATTAATTTTATGAAAATGTAAAAAAGGAAGAAGCAATAATACAATATGTATTAAAGGAAGGGATGCTATGATGCAAGTTGACAGTGAAGCATCATCTCAGGTTGAGAACGTGACTAATTCTATACCTGTTATGGACCTTTAGTCAAGAGATAATAAAGAAATTTCCAATTGGTGAAACAACAATGACGAGCAGAAGCAGCAATTAAATCATGCGTTTTGAAGCACTTTTAGTATGAGCATATAATTCAGTGGTCAATGTCATATATATAAGATCTATTACAATACATCTACATATAATTATATACATGTGAAGGGTGAGTTGAGTAGTGTCCATAGTAATGACTGAAAGCCTTTTCCTCTCCTCTTCTTCCAAAAAGGAACAAAAGTTTAAAATAATAACCCTTGCTTTTATTACTACTCTTTTTCCCTTATGCAGCATGAATGACAACTTGACTCTAAAGAAGAAGATAGGATTGTATATCTCTTGAGAAAGATAATAATGGTAACTAATCCAAATCATGTACTCTCTCTTTTTTTTTTTTTTTTTTTTTTTTTTTTTTTTTCTATTTAATATTCTTTAGCTGCTTATATTTATCTTGTAAATAACTATTTCTGTTAGTCTAATAGATTTTATCATACGAAATAAACTAAAGGTTGAACTCAGTACTAAAGATTTCCTTGATTTGATTGCACCAGAAAACTATCTACTTTTAGTCTTAAAAATAGATATTAACAGATGGCTTATTAAAAAAAGTGGCGATACCATTCATATGAAAATGTTAAAGAAGAATATCAATTACTAAAGACGAGTAAGGAAGCAGAACCTTTCTTTTAGTTTTTTTAACAACAAACTACAGAATGTTTGAGTTTAAGGAAAAGGCTCTAATTTCATTGGCCCAAAGTCCTGTTGATAAAATACAATTATGCTCTATTATTCGCTTTCTTATTTTATTTTATACACACATACACACACACACACAGAGTATCTTTTTATTATTATTATTATATAATATTTATTTCTAAAGTCCCATTACTTCTTTAATTTGCTCTTTTCTATGTTCAATTTCAGTCTGAACTGTATTTATATTATGCATTAAATCATCCAATCCTTCATGGAACGATTTGCCTTCTGGACTTAACACTGCATTTACTTTAGCATCTAAATTATCAAGTGTAACAAATGAATCGACCTTTGAATACAATTTTGATAACTGTTTATGTCTTTCATTACGATGCATTTCCTCAAACGCTAATCTATTTTGAATTCTTTTCTCATTTCTTTCCTTTTGTACTTGTTGTTGAATTTTATCTAATGATAACATATTAACGATCTCTCTCGTATGTTCTTCTTGTTTCCTTTTTTCTTCTTCTAAACTTGCTTGAATTAATTTTGCTTTCTTTTCTCCTAATTCTATTCTTTCAGCTAATCTCATTTGCTTTTGTCCTTCCTTTTCTAATAATTCATGTGCATATTGGTGACGTGTATGTTTAAGTTCACGACGATACAGCTTTTTGGGACTCTCTGTTAATATATCACTTTTCTTGCTCTCGTTGTTTTCAAGATGAGAGGTAAGCGAAAGTTTAATATCACGTCGTTTAGGATTCACTTTGGGAGTTTCTCTTGTACCTTCAGGAGCTTCAAAACCAGGGGCATATCCTTTACGACCTGGTAAATAATCTGTTGAAAGATATCGAAGTTGAAAAGTAGATTGAACTATATTTTTATTTTTAATAATCCTTAACATGTCTATTTTTTTTTTTTTTATAAATGTATATAAAGAGTAATAGATGAAGAAACAGTAATAATAATAATAATAGGGGGGAGAATAAATATTTTTTTTTATGTGTATTTATTAATGTATATAAATGTTCAAGTGACAAGGGGCTTTGTGGGGGAGGGGGGGGAGGAACATATTGCAATTTTCGTCTCCTCCTCTTTCCCTCCCTCCCTCCCCCCCAAAAAAAAACAATCTGGATTGGATAAATTGACAGCTATAATACTAAATCATGTATAAGCCACATTCTCAATGCTTTCATTCAAAAACGAACTTTTAATAACAAGTTCGTATCAAGTGTAAATGTATAATTTATCTTGCTTTCAATATAATATTTTGGGTTATTTACTACTAAAGCAAATAAGTCATGATTTCGTCTTCTTTTGACTAACTGCTAAGCTATCAAGTAAAATAATATGAAAGCAGCAGTGGATCACACTTTTTATAAATATATAAACAAGACAGAGACAGAGAGAGAGAGAGGACACCTTTTCATCATAAAGTGTTAAACAAAATCTTAAACCAAAAGAGCATAAAAATTGGGAAAGATCAACTATGTAATTGAAAAGCTATAGTATTAAAAGTAGCTCACTGTACAATATGGAAGTAAATTATTATATTAAATTAATTACCAATCTATTTCTTTTCGTTACTATTAAACAAAGAATGTATCTTTTTTTTTAAAAACAAAAGAAATAAAAAAAAAAACACAGTAGTTATAGCCTTAATCTTGTTCCTTGACACACGCTGAGCGCTCAAAGGATATAAATGGCCCCACTACTTTGGTAATAGGAAAAAACCCCCAAAGTTAAAAGTTTATCCCAGCTGAATTCTGATGATGAAGTTATAAATGCTTTACTTCTTTAGTGACTAGTGGAATATAGTAACGTTTTATTAACACATTATATTCCTAAAATATAATAATTATCATATTATTTGACAGAAAAAAAAAAAAAAAAGTGGCTGAATATTATAGTTTAATATCCGAAGCGATAGATTTCTCTGGAAGCAGCCAGAATAAATGAATGAAAAAAAAAAAAAAAAAAAAAAAAAAAAAAAAAAAAAAAAAAAAAAAGATTTGTGTATTTTTTTTTTTTTTTAAATAGATCTTATAGATTTAACTATTTATTTTAATTTAAAAAGAATAGATAATCAGTCATGGAAAAATTACTTCAATGGGCTGTTAATAACAGTGATAATAATGCTTTAGCAGAACAAGCAGCTGCTATCCGTCGAGGTGAAGCAAAGCCTGATCCCAAGAAATTTGATCCAAAAATCATTGAAGCCATCTTGGGTAAAGACGATGCTACACGTATGAAAGGTAAATTACATAATAAAGAACCAAAAAAAAAGGTGCTTGAAAATTAACGACTCATTTCGATTATAATTATTATTTTTAGAGGCTGTTGAATGTATAAGTAATCCTGAAGATACACTTGAAAATAAAGAAATTGCTCTTGATAACTTGGAATTGCTCATTGAAGGTATCGATAACGCTCGTAATATTGAGAACATGAAGTTATGGCCTGCTATTATTAAACAATTAGAAGCTAAAGAACCAGAGGTCCGCAAAGGTGTTGCTTGGGTATGTGGTACCGCTGTTCAAAACAATCCTCAAGCTCAAAAGGCCTTTTTGGAGAATGGTGGTTTAGAACCTCTTTTAAAATTATTAAAAGAAGATGAAGATGCATCTGTACGTAACAAGGCACAGTACGCTATTTCTGGATTTTTAAAACATCATCAAGCAGGTGTTGAAGCATTTGAAAAACTAAATGGTTTCGATATCTTACAAGATATACTCAAGACTTCAAAGGAGTCCAATATGGTTAGAAAAGTCGTATTCTTATATAATAGTCTTGTCTTTGACGATAATACCAACTGTTTAACAGAGCGTTTAATTAAGAATGGAACTTTACAAGAACTTCAAAGAATTCTTGTTAAATACACAACTGAAGAAGAAGATGAAGATATGGTGGAAAAGACGTTACGTACGATTCATACTATCATTACAAAGACTAACACAACTCCTTCAAATGAATTAAAGGAACAATGTAAAATTGCAAAGGATAAATATGGTGCTGATAACTTGGGTTTAGTAGATTCCGAATGGAAGAGTTTGTTATAAATGTAAATAATAATAATGATAATGATAATGATAATAAAAATTGTGTGATATACGTTTATGTATGTATATAATAAATGGGTATTTTTTTCTTTTTTTAATAATCGGTATTAAACGTGCATGTTGTACTGTAAGTTTTGCCACGAATAACTGCTTCAACTCTTAATTCAACCTCACCAAAATACATTTTAATAGACAAATCTACCTTTTCGCCTTCCATAACACCTGTTAAAGAGGGCATAGGTATAGTAAAATTAGCCACTTTATGTACTCCAGGACTTGTCGTGTATCGAGGCTGTTCTTCTGTGTCTGCAGCATATAATATGCATGTTGTATGATGAGGATAATACGCAAAGAAGTCTTTACTTACACAATTATCAATATCAAGAGGCTGTCCTCTTTTCACATAAACTGAAAATCGATTATCACATCGTACTTTACCATCAGCACGAATAATTTTATAGCTGGGCGGATCAATACCTTCTTCAAATGTAGTTGTCGTATCGATGCCATACCAATATCTAGGAATACGTGTGGTCACTATACGAGGATTCAAGCCAAAATAAACAGCACCACGTACGACTGCAAGTTCACAACGAGGAGGTACTGCTACTAAGCCTATCCTTGATCCAAACTCACTTTGAACACATTCAAATAAGTAATTTGAAGAACCAAATCCGCCTACTAAAAACACTGCTTGTAAAGATCCGGCTTTCTTCAATTGATCCTCAATCAACTGTATAACTTCCTTCACAATAGGATTAAATACGTCTGTTTTAAGCTCAGCTGCTGTCAAGCAAAGTATACCCTCCTCTAAACCAATGACAGGATTTTTAAGCAAACCTAAATTCATAGATGCAGGAAGCGAAATGAATTGATCTTCAATTCCATCAAATTGTGGCTTGATAAGATCTACAAACGTATCCATCATCATTTCAAAAGCAGATGCGGGAATGGATGATAAATATTCTTTAAACTTCCTTTTTAATAATTTACGCATACGACGATCTAAAAACACAGAACCACAAGATTGGCCATGGCCTTTTGTACATTCCTTTAATTTCCTTCCGCTGTTCTCATCAATTTCAAAAACAATCAAGTCTACAGTACCACCTAATGCATCATAATTAAATTAAATTTAGCTGAGTATATATGTATATTTATATGTATGTATCTTGCAAGTTTTATTTTATTTTATTTTATTTTATTTTACTTTATTTTATTTTTTTTTTTTTTTTTTTACCTCCAGCATCACAAATCATAAATTTATCTCCATGCCCAAGATTAAACTGTTCACATTTCTTTTCACAATAAAGAGCAGCAGCTTCAGGCTCAGAAATTAACATGAGTCTATCACGATCGTCATTCTCGTTAATTAACCCAGCTTTAATAGCTGCATCACGCATAGTATTCTTTGCACGATCAGACCACATTGCAGGTACAGTTAAGCACTATATATGTATATAAAGATTACGATGGTTAATTAAGTCTGAAGAATCAACCTTACGTATTTGAATTGATGTTGACTGTAATTACGTGCAAAGCCCTTTTTTAATTCATGAACAACATGTTCATGAAAAGCTTTAAGATAATCGGCAATTGCATCAACTATTGATAGACCATTCGGCAAAGGAGGTAAATCTTTAGCAATATTTTCATCGAGATAAAGTTTATACTGTTTTAATAAAATTGAGTTACGAGATGTTGGACGTTGCATTTCGATGCGAGCAGCATTACCCCATTGTGTCATTTGATTTGCATTACCATGGTAGAAATTTAAAGTAGGTGTCTTCTATTTGTGGTTAGTTACCTGTAATAACAAATATATAATAGGTTTGCATACCTTAGGATATACATTGCTGTTCTGTTTTGGCCTTTTATTTCATATATTTATAAATGTATATAAAAAAGGAAAAAAAAAAAAAAAAAAGAGAGAGAAAGAGAGAGAGAGAGAGAAACTTGTATTGTTAATCTACTCAAAGCGTTGAAAACAAGTCATTTTTATTTAGATTTTACCATCTTACAATATCAACTACCTCTTCATTTTGAATGTAAGCATAAGCGCATCCTGAAAAAGTGGTACCTTTTTCATTTGTTATAATTTCAATCTTTTTTATTGTCTGCTAACAACATTTTATAATTCATTTTAAAGCTTACCAAAATCAATACCAATTACAACGGGATAATCGTTATAATAGTTATTCATACCAATTGTCAATCTATTGCAAGTTATAAGGAAATAGTAATAATAATAAAAAGGACAGTTATTAAAAAAAAAGAAATTAAATATTTTATTATTACAAGTAATAGTATCTCAAGGAAGACAATTTATATTTCGATAAGGTGAATTTAAATTATAAATTTCATTGCATAAAATAGGCCAAGTAATTGAAATTGTACCCTTTTCTCTTTGTTCTAACTGTAACATTTCATACATAAATTTAAGATTTGGTTGAATGATAACGTTTAATCTTCGTGCTCGAACAAACAAATAAGCTTGTACCAACGTATATTGTAAATGCTTCATGATATAGCAAATCAAAATAGCTGCACTTCGACTCACACCTACTCTACAATGAATGAGGCATGTTGTGCCTTTTAAACGAGCATCCTCTTTATAAAAAAAAATGAGTCATATTTATATGTAATATTCTTTACTTTATCCTTCTTGCTTGTTCTTACCAACAAATCTTACAACAGAATCTAAACGACTTTGAATTGAATCAATTCCGTCATCGTATAAATTATCCAAAAAAAGTAAATTAAACTCCTTGTCACTTAAATCTGCATTTTCACCCACACTAACTATATGAGTTATATTAAGTACTTTTAACATTTCTGGATTAGTGGCATGGTTCAAATTGCCCAGGTATAAAAAGGATAATATTCTTGATGGAAAAGATCCTTCAAACCGAGGGGAATAAAACCATGGATATAGTTCTTCTTCTTCTTTAGTGGGGGACAATTGTAATTGTTTGTAAATATTATCAGTTGGTAATGCATTGCCCATTTCTGTATTAGAAATTGCATTTATATATGCATCACCAAGTAATGCTCGATTATTTGTTGTTTTTAATGGAGTTGGTGGTGTTGTTAAATGTTGCATTTCCATCATATCGTCATCGCTATCATCGTTATCATCATCATCATCGACATCATCAATATCTTCCTCCTCCTCGTCAAACTCATATTTTACTGTAATTTCTTCTTTTGTTATAGTAGCAGTATCCAATTTTTTAGTATCATTTACCATAATAGTCTGACCATTATCTTTTCTATTGGATCCTACATTTTGAGTTGCAAGTGTTGTACTCTTCCTTCTTTTTGGTTGAGGTTCGAGACTTTCATGATCTTCAAATAAGGCATGTTCGATTCTACGCAACGTAGGTACATCGGCTGCATAAACAAAAAAGGAGCGGATTCTCTGTAAATAGAGATAGGCTTCAGGCAACTGTAACTTTTGATGAAACATAATCCAACTTAAAGCTAACAAGCTTGATTCAGTGTATCCATCTGAACAGTGTATCAAAATCCTACGATCTCGAGAGGACTGTTCTTCCATGAATTGCAACAGTTGTAACAAGTGTGTAAAGAATGTTTGAAATTCATGCTCTTCATTAGGAACTCCTGTGGCATAAACATCAAAGTGAATTAGTTCTGAAGGCATTTGTCCATCTTTTAATTCATTCAGTGTTTCACGAGCTAACATTAACGTAGATGGTAGAGGCATATCAGCCAGATCATGTGCTTCAATACAAATCGAAAAATGATGTGGATTAGGATTTTCATCATTATTAAAATCAGAAAAAAAAGAAGAAGATAAAGGATCCATTTCTTGTATAGTAATTGGCACATCTTGTGTGTTTCCGAGCTAACATAAATATATCAATAAATATGTATATATTTATATATATATATATTCTTTCGTATGCTTTAGTTTTTACCCAAATATTTTTTGTAATCTCTGTTGCTTCACTCATTTTTCTCATTTCAGCAATTTCTAATTCCCTAAAATCTTTTCTTTGCAAAGCTGAACCTATTGAATCATAGAGAACGAATTCTGGATAATTGCGTTCAAACACTGAAAAATCATCTAATTTAATGACAAAAAAAAAAAAAGGTAGACAAAATTGAATTAATCATAAATATTGCATTTATTACAAGTAAAATATGGGTTTTACCTTCAATTATAATTGTTTTATATAAGATCCTGTTCGCATTTATAACAGCTCTTTTGCCAGCAGACTTTTGAACTGATTCTATCTGGTCTTGTCTCTCTTGATATAGCTTTTGTTGAGCAAGTGACAATAGTGTGGCTATTTTTCTTGCCTGTGTACCATACAGTACAATATCACAAATGGTAGCAAACCTCGACACTTGATTACCAAAATTTCGTAAATTGATATTGGTTTCCTTATTGTAAGAGTTGATGAATTCATATTGATAAGGTGGTTCCATAAATAGGACTTGATGAGGTAAAACTGATTCAGTCAATCGAGCTGTGTGTTCGAGTTCTTGACAATGCATAATCATTAATCCACGGTAGTTGGGTACCATACTTCGTCTTACACCAAAAAATAAGTTCTGCTGATTGCTTAATCCATCAACACCATGAAGCCAAGGAAATAAAATATTATCTGGTAATGGAAAACGTTTGTAAGCTTCGTTGAATTGAGCAAATTGATGAGCTGTAGTTGTATATATATTATCATGTTCATGAATAAGGTACTGTTCAGGTATTTCAAACAATATACTACTATCTTCTTCTTTTGTAGGCGTTGTCATAGTGTGTTTTTTTTTTGTTTAGTTTTGTTTAGGTTTTCTTAAAAAAAAAAAAAAAAAAAAAAAAAAAAAAAAAAAAAAAAAGAAGTTATATCAAAATATGACATTTTTTTAATAGGATTAAACTATGGGATTTGTTTAAAAAATTTTGAGATAAAAAAAAATGACCAATAAGCAAATAGAAGTAAGTTTTGTTGCTGTGGTATATAAAAAAAAAAATAAAAAAAATCAGGCGTCAAAATGCAAGAGAATAAAGAAAAAAGCAGATTTAGTAACTGAAATACTAATATTACTATAAAGACAATCATTTCATCAATTCGGCACCAAGGCTTTGAAGAGCAGGAAGTATTCGAATAATTCATTTTATGCAAGACTGTAGTACAGACAGTTGACCAACGTTGAGACCAAGTGAAGATATCCTGTAAAAAAAAAAGAAAAAAAAAAAAAAAAAAAAAAAAAAAAAAAAAAAAAAAAAAAACTTTCTCAATCAATTTTGATATATAATTATTAGTGTGCTCATTGAGTCTAATACATAAAGTACATATTTTAAATGTAGGCGTATGATTTCTCATGTTGAACATAATTGATTTGATTAATTAGATAGTGTCTGAGCTGGCTGCCTGGAGACCTACCGAAACTCTGCACCTATTACCCAAATATCAGTTGGCCGCAATCTCATGCAACTGTATTCCTATATATGCACTGAGGACTATGGAGGATTTACTTTTATTTCAACTCAATCAACTCTCAAATAAAATAAAGGAATCACAACTTAACCGCCTCTCCTAATAATTTATTTACTCTTTCTTGGATATATAACCACTGGTCATTTGCCATATATTGTTTGAACTCAGTTATCTATTTCATTATAAAATACTTCCTGATATTGTATCTGACAGACAATAAAATAAAGATTGTCAACAAAAAAAATTTAATCGTATTGTATATGTTTGATTATCGCAAATGCCTTAATAGTTGAAAAATCAGTATTATTAGCTTTAATTATCTAAAATAATTAATACATCTTTATCCTTCTTTTTAAATATGCTGCCTGCACATAAATTACGTAAAAGCTTTCATATCCTTCCATAGTCTGTCCATTGGTTAACTGTTTATTCAATCCTTCGAGAGCTCGAATAGTTCTTTTGCTATAAACTTCTCCCTTCACTTATAGTGTAATTTATACATCTATTTCCTTTTCCTTTCTTTTTTTTTTTTTTTTTTTTTTTTTTTTATTCTTAGCACTGAATGGGAGAAGAGGTTTTCTCTAGCAGGGTAATTTAATTCTTGAATAAATTTACTATTTTCTTTGATAATATCTCTAATGTGTTTATCCATGATAATCTTTTTCTTTTCTTTTTTTTCTTTATACATCTATTTTTTACTTAACAAGTTTTTAGTCACCGTTTTCTTTTTTCTTGATCTGGACCAGGTAGTAATAGTGAAACGAATTTAATCAAACGCTCAAAGATCTTAAAAAAAAGGGGGGGCTTCTAATTAAATGATTGTCCAGATATATAAATCCTTCAAGATAAAATATGTATCATCAACCAACTTTCTCCTTTTACTTTTGGATTTTAAGTTCTTCGCAAAGATCTGATAACTATGATAAATAGTACGGGCAAATGTTATTTATTAATTCTACAAGACTTCTTAATAATTTTTTTTAAGAAAAAAAAAAAGAGAGAGAGAGAATTATGTTAATATATATGAGATATATTTATATACAACATACTAATTGATCATAAGCAACTTAAATTCATACTACAATATTGATATAAGATACATTTATTTTAAATACGCGTTATTTGACTTTTTTTTTTTTTTTTTTTTTTTTTTTTTTTTTTTTACACAAATGCTTATTCATTTCTTCCGTGTTATTCTTATATAATAATGCAAAAATCTTTGTATATAAAAGATATATAAATGCAGTACATAAATGAAATTAAAAAGTACTGTTTATAGTATATGCAATTAACGTTATCACGTTTAAACTTTTTTTTTTTTTTGTCAGTGTAAGGCTTATAAGGGAGGGAAAGGTAGGAGAGAAAGGCTTATGACAAATTTTTTTTTTAAAAACCAGATATTTTATTTTGTGTAGCCATCAGTTGATTAAAAAAAGAGAAACAAATAAGGTCAGCTTCTGTGTGCTTAAATGACAATAATAGGAATTATGAATTAAAACTGTTCCTGTTTTATTTAAAGTCCACATAATATTTTACTCCTCTTTTTTTTTTTTTTTTTTTTTTTTTTTTTTTTTGAATATATAAATATATATACGTATATCTGTATATACGAATATACACATATATATTTCTTTTTTTTTTCTTCTTCTTCTTTCTTTTGTTTATTTTAGCATATGCAGTAAGAATATTAAATTAACTTTTATTACCGGGATGCATCAATCTGAAATTCTTATTCCATCAACAACAACGCTCATTCAAAGTAATGAGGAAAGACAAAATCATTCCATAAACATTTCTCATCCTACAGCCGTCACAACTACTAGCACAAGTATTTATAGTAGATATCGATTACCATCTACTACAACAAGTGCTGGTACTTCTATCAGTAGCAGCCATAATCACGATGCTACTATTGATTATAAAAGAAGCTATACATTGGATAGTCTCAGTGCTTTAGCTTATTTCACTTCAACAAACTCTATCTCTACAGAGTTGACTCCCTCAGCTGCTATACGCGATCGTTATTATCAATCTCTTTGCTATTTGCAAGATAATCATCAAGCAGATGAATTAGAGGATGAAAATGATATACTAGAAGACGAGGATGACACGACCTATGTAGAAGCCACAGGTGATGTCCTTGATTATCGACCAAATGATAGTATTCTATATAAAAAGCCTAGTCATGATAGTATTCCAAGTATATACAGTGTAAATGAGTCTATCATATCCCTAAGAACAGAATACAATAGTAACGGTCATGATGAAGATCGTCATTCTATTACAAGTGTTCGTACTGTAGATGATCAGTTACAAGGCCGTTCTAGGAGCCTTTTGGGTACCAACTTGAATACGCTTGCCTCAAAGACAGCTAAAAAAGTCTCGAGATCCAGTTCTATTTTCAGGCACATGGATAGAAATTATAAAAAAGGCGGTAACAACGATAAAAAAATATTTGACAGTCAGCCTCTATTTTTACCTGTTCGAAAACAAAAGGATAATTTGAGTATCCGGTCGATGGATAGTACAAGCTTATTGTCGAAATTATCAAAGTCAACGGCTCCAATGAGAGCCAAATTGTCTGCTATTTCACATTTAACAAGACACAGTCGTATTGAATCGTCTTCAAATTCATCGCCACCATTAACTCTTCCAGGAAGAAAACATGTAGCTGAAAGCGTATTCAATATGCCTATTTCTTCGTCCTCATCTGCGCTTTCTTCAAAGAAGCGCATAGTTCCGACTAATCATCATCATCATAATAATAATAGTATCAACAGCCATTATCATAAACTTAAATCACCATTAGAAAAGACACCTCCATCATTTAATTTTAATTTACCTAGATCATTATCGGCTTCTTCATCAACAGCTTCTAATTCTTCGAATAACAAGCCTATTATTGGAACTAATTTCGTAAATGAGCCCACTTCTTTATCACATACTTCTACAACAAAAGAGCATATTCCTCTTATTTATCCAGCTTTACTTTCAAAAGTAGCTGAGGTTTTTAAAGCTCATATTGTTTTAAGTACAAAATCAAAAGATAGCATTAAATATAAAGATGTTTTTGATGGAAAAGAGGCAGTTGTAAGTTGTATATATATATAAATATATACACATAGACTTTTTTAAAAAAAAAAAATTAACACTATTTCATTTCTTTTTCAGGACAAATTAGCTTTAATAATTAAATCTACTGATCGTAATGTGGCTTTATTATTAGGTCGAGCATTGGATTCTCAAAAATTTTTTCATGATGTTAATTATGAGCATCGATTACGTGATTCAAGTCGAGAGTTATATCAGTTTAAAGATCATCCTATGAATTTAAGACCTAAAAGTGGAGTTATGAACAATACAAAAGGAAAGACGACAGTCACGACTACGACTCGATCTTCAACGACAGTTGCTATTTCTATTGTAGAGGAAGATAATTTCCCAAATGGCGTTTTCACTTTATTAACTGATTGTTATTCGCCTACATGCACAAGGGAAAGATTATGTTATTCACCTCGTTGTCCTCGTCGTCAAGAACAAGCTAAACGTACTAATTTTCATTCACCTTTCAAAGGGCATAATCGTGAAGGAAGCAACTCTTATACTCCTAATCAACAAGAGGATAGGTTATGGATCAATACTGTGCCAAAATCTATATTGGAAAGTTTGAGCAAAGAAGAAACAAAGCGTCAAGAAAATATTTTTGAGCTTATATATACCGAGAAAGATTTTGTAGATGATTTAAGTTATATTAAAGAGGTATATATATAAAGGGGGGGAAGGAGGAGGAGGATTACAACACGTTTATATCACCTAGTTCTATCATTTAGCTTATAACTATTATTAATTTATATAGCAATGGATTGAAACTTTACTTAATGATAACAGTATACATATCATAGGGAATCGAACTACTTTTGTGAATACAATCTTTTGGAATATCCTTGAAGTACTCGAGGTAAACTCTGGACTATTAGAGGCATTACTTGATCGCCAATCAAAAATGAAAGTAGTAGATCAAATTGGTGACATTATGCTAGTACATGTTGCTAAATTTGAACCCTTCGTTCAATATGGTGCTCATCAAATCATTGGTAAATATGCATTTGAGATAGAGAAATCAACAAATCCATCATTTGCTGAATTCGTGGTCAGGACGGAACGTTTACCTCAGTCACGTAAATTAGAATTAAATGGTTATCTTACAAAGCCAACAACACGTTTAGGGCGTTATAATTTATTATTAAGAGAGATCTTGAAACATACACCAAAGAATCATCCTGATCAGGAGGCTATACCTCGTGTAATGACAATTATTGCTAAATTTTTGGCTGATGTCAATAAGGAAACTGGGAAAACCGAGAATGCATTTAATTTACAATTGTTAAATGAAAGATTAGTGAACAAGAGTATTTCAAACTTTGTAAGTTACAATTTTTTTTTCTTTGTTTTTCCTTTTTTTTTTTTTTTTTGTTTTGACATACAAATTATTATTATTATAGGATTTGGATTTGACTGCACCTAATAGACAAATAATCATGAAGGGTACCTGGAAAAAAGGATCTGGGTCTGAATCATCTGAAGTTTTAATGTATCTATTGGATCATTGTTTGCTAATAATAAAACCTAAGCAAAACGAAGAAAAATATAAATTGCATAGAAAGGTACATATTAACTCTTTTTCATATATGTGTATAACTATAACAAAAAAAAAGTAACATGCAGATTTCTCTCCTTTTTTTTTATTTTTATATATGCATATAAATATATATATATATATTGCTATTTAGCCTATTCCATTAGCATTATTATCGATTACATTTCCAGATCATAGCAAAAGAGCAAGTACTATTATACCTATAGGTCGGTCTGGTAATGGTTCATTTGTCGATCTCAGCATTACAACTAATACCACAATATCTAATACAAATGCTATATCTGCTGACACATATAACACGATATCCTATTCCAATATTTATACTAATAATTTCGATACCGTTATAAATACTAATAATAATAATAATAATAACAGCTTCATAATGAACAAAAATGGGTATCCTCTTTCATTTGTTCATTTGGGGAAGCAAAGCACAGGAGGACCTATTACTTTATATGCAACTACAGCAGCTGTACGCCAGCAATGGGTCAATAAAATAGAAGAACAGCGTAAGTTGCTTGTTGAGAAGCATAAAGTATTCAACATTAAGCCCATCAATGAACGCTTCTTTAGTTCATTCAACAAAGTGAATTGTACTGCTGTATTTGGTAAGAAAGAGAAAGAGAAAGAGAAAGAGAAAGAGAGAGAGAGAGAGGGGAAAGAGGGGAAAAATAGATGAATAGCTATAAACTATTATTCATATCTCTTATTTCTTTTGACAGATAATGGGAGATCACTTATTTTTGGTGGAGATCAAGGCGTCTACCTTAAAAAAGAAGGTAGTGGTGATGAACTCATTCGAATTCTGGCAATGGATAAAGTATCACAGATTGACGTCCTTGAACAATTTAATTTGATACTCGTATTGGCTGATAAAATCTTATACACGTATTCATTAGATACTTTGCTTTCAACTTCAGAGACTGGTGTTAAGCGTGGACGTAAGATTAGTAGCCATGTATCCTTTTTCAAAGTGGGACAAATCTATGACAAGACTGCTACTAACATAAATGGATCCAATCAGTCAGATGGGGTTGAAAAGACATTAGTTTGCTTTGTTCGTAATAATGCCATGACATCCACTATTCGTGCCCTTGAACCTTGTGAGACGACTAAGGAAGCAAATAAGAAAAAAAATAAAAATAATCTGGGACGATTGATTCGTGGCAATAACGAAGCACTTAAAGCGCATAAAGATTTATATATACCAGGTGAAGCCTCATCTATTCAACTTTTTAAGAATATTATCTGTGTTGGAAGTGAAAGAGGATTTCAAATGGTAAATTTAAGCTCTGCTGAAGTGCAAAGTAAGTCCTTCCCCTCCCCCTTTTTTTTTTTCTTTTTCTTTTTCTGTACATGTTGTATATACTAAATATATTTGATAGGTGTTTTAGATCCAAATGATGAAAGCAATAATTTAGTTCTCCAACAGCATGAAAATATGAAACCTATCTCTATGTTTAGACATAAAAACGGGAGTATTTTACTCTGCTATAATGGTAAGAAAAAAAAAGAAAAAAAAAAGATAAATTTACCTTTTAAATGCTTATATAATTGTAGAATTGGCATTTTATATTGATAAAAAGGGTAAACGAATGCGTAAGGATTGGTCAATTACTTGGGAAGGAAATCCTACAGCCTTTGCATTTAGATTCCCTTATGTTGTTGCGTTTAATTCTAACTTTATTGAAATACGGCATATGGATACTGTAAGAATAGAGAAATGATAAAAATATATGTGTATAAATTAACATTTATTTTTTTTTCTTGCTCAGGGTGATTTACTTCAAGTAATAGCTGGAAATAATATTCGATGTCTTCGTCCAGATTCAACAGACAGAATTTATGGTGTTATGGATGATCGTATTGCAGGCTCTGAAGTGATTTTTCAATTAAAGCTGGTTGATCCTCATAGAAGAAAGATTAGTATGATCAAAAACAATAGAAACAAAGCCTAAAAGAAAAAGTTTCAGTATTGTGTGAATTATTTGTATGTATTAGTGTATGATATCCTTCTTCATCTATTTCCTTGTTTTTTTTTTACTATACATTTATATTTTTTTAAAAAAAAAATAACTTATTGCCTTGTCCAAATAAATAAAGAAGGAAAGAAGCTTAATATCCTTTTTGGACTATAAATACAAGTATATCATAATAAGAAAGACCCCTAAAGTAATATATGAAAAAGAAAAACAAATAATTAGCATGCATAGATGATGGGGTAGAAGAGAGGAATTATTTGTATTAGTTTATAATTCAATTAAATTTACTATTCGCTATAATAAATCACATTAGCTTTATATCTGTGTGCACATAGAATATATTTATCCTTTATATCTTTTATTTTTATTTTTCCTACTGAATGCAGCTATAAGAAATAATTTTTTCTCTTTCAGTCAAGCTTAGGATTATGTTATTATTAATAAATAGCCATTAACATAATAAATATACAGAACATGAACGTATATTTTAGTTATTCTTGATATTAAAATTAAATTGAGTTTGTCATAACTACTTAACAATTGTAACAAATATATAATACATATTCTTAATAGTTATTTTTCTGTCTGTGATTCTTATTTTATTAGCTGTTAACTACAACTATTGGACTAAATTCTGAAATTAGCCAACTTTTTATCAAAATCAGATGGTATACAGCACTTGCTGATATATCAAAAATTATAAATGCCCGGAAAGGATTGCTGATCCTCTGTCCTTCGACTCCTTTTTTTTTTTTTTTTTTTTTTTTTTTTTTTTTTTTTTTTTTTTTTTTTTTTTTTTTTTTTTTTTTTTTTTTTACTTCCTAATAAGCAATCACAATATTCTACATTCACTATTTGTATTATCTACTTTTTCTACAATAAATTATATACGTCAAATAACTTTTAGTTATAAATAATGGCATACATAGTCATCTTTCACATAGTATTTATTTATCCTTTGCAGTTTATACCCTTTCTCTAATTCCTTTCAATTCTCATACCCCCCCTTGTTTATCTCTTGATATAACTCGAAAGAAAAAATTGGCATATTAAATCACATCTTTTAATATGCAATGTTATAAAAGTTGTGAAGAGTTAAGGAACTATCACGACAAATAATAGAATAAATGGTTATCTTTACTCAGATTACTATTCTACAGTTAAGTTTGAAGAGATAATATAAACGGTATTCATACTACTATTAAAAATCCATATTTACCGATTATTATTATAATAATTCCATTAGTCCTAGTTAACAAATATCCTTAATATTTGTTCCGTAAGAGACAAGTTAGAAAAGATACCATAAAAAAAAAGCTAAAAAGCTGTAGATACTCTTTTGAATAGAAACATAAAGTATGATAATAATAAAACTGGTATTGTAATTGAACTAATTTGACCCAAGGTATACCTCATACAAATAGTCATTATTTATTAAAGATGACATTATCAAGATATCACTAATCGTATTTGGCTATGGCCCTGCCAATAAAGTACGAGTTTAATTCTATTTTATAATAAAGATATTATAACCATTTATAAAATAATAAAGGTATATAATAATTAGGCCTCTTACTCTTATTACTCTGCTTATATACTTGCTTAAATTCATTTACAAAAAAAATTTTTTTTTAAATAGCTTTTACTATATCTAGCGCCTATTGAGTTTCAAAAATTGAGTTCTATTCAAATAGAAGAAAAAGGAAAAAAAAAAAATTAACTGAATTTTTATCTAGGAGTTTAAATTTCCAAATTACTGGCAATTTCTCCATGTTTTGTTACACGAATAATAAATTGTGTATTTCACGCGTAATGTAGCCCACCCCCTCCCTAAAATAATACATTTATGTTAAGATAATTATGTTGTTAATTTCACTCCCTACCTTTTCATGTATCAAGTAAATCAACCATTTTCTTTATATAAAATGCCTGAAATTAATTCAACAAATGATAGTATTCGCCTTATAGGAATAATTAAGGTACGCAATTAACGTGATAAATACATCTGCATTCGATATAGAACTTTATGGAAAGAATAGTGTCGACGAATACGTAGCTTAAGATCTGTTTTAATCAACAACACATCCATTATTTAACTTTATTAAAAGGACTTGACGATCAAATCATACTGTAAATTTGATATGTTTGTTTAAAGGGAAAAATAAAAAGTTATCTTTATCAATCCTTTGTATGATTTTTACATGTTAGATCTTAAAGGTCTTCAAAATATCAATCAGAATAAGATATTTAACGCGATTCATATTATTCATTATTGATAATAAAAAAAAAGGGACATATTAACAAGTACACCTTTTATTTTAAATATTCCAATAAATCAGACCATTCTAACTTTTTAAATTTAATTTAAATAAGGAACCAGTCTATGTCAGTCATGATAAATCACCATAAAAATCCCGTTTAACTGGAATGTAATAGTTTACTTACCAGTCACTTTTTTTTTTAAAAAAAAAAATTAATATAAAAAAAATCATTGATTTTCATTTGTGTCTCTTTCTTCTTTCTAATTAACATTTCAGGTTCTCTTTATCATGTAAATATATAAATTATTTAAAATCTATAACAATATATTGTCTTTGAAAACTGATACATTTTTTCTTTACTTTAATTTAAAAAGGCTTTATCAATGTTTTCCTACATGTACAAATTCAATATCACTAGTTTTTCGCCCTTTTTATTTTTAAAACTCTAACTTTTTTTTTCTATTTTCTTTATTTAGTATTTCACGTTTCAATTATGAATATTCTATTTTCAAAACTTGAACGACATTTTGTAAATACAACGAATTTTTCATTTGATCTTTTTTTCTTTTTTTTTTTTTTTTTTTTTTTTTTTGTCATTAACTTTTTTATTATTATTTTTAGTTGGCGGTCTTGAATGCATCTTGTATCAAAATATGCTATTTATATAAAATTACAAACACTTGTTTTTATACAAATTGGTTACTTTTTACTCAAGAGCAATAGAAAATTGGAGTAAAATCAAGTTGATTATAATATGTATAAATGCTGCAAAGGTGATTATAATTTTTGAATCGACCTACGAGTGGAACAAAAGATTAATATTAGTGTTATGCACCTTAAGGCTCTTCCTCTTTTTCCGCGTCTCCTTCCCCCCTTCCTCCTACCACCTTTATTTAAGGTGCTCTTTGGAGATCCTTTGTGATCTTCTATTAAGAAGATCAATACTTTAGTTTATGTTTATTAAACTCTAGTTAATGGTGCAAGCAAATAAAAAAAAAATAGTATGTTAAAAGTTGTGTTTATTATCATCATCATCATCATCATTACTTATATTGCCTCTTTATAGATATTTATTTGTCTTGCACCACTAAACATTCAAATTTGGTCAAAATTACTCGATTTTTTTTCTTCTTTCGAGTAACCTATTACCAAGGTAGAAAAAGAAGAATATCAATGAATCAGTTTTGTTGTATTTACTCTTTTTTTTTTTTTTATGGAAGAGTATTGCTCAAAATATTCAAAGGATAATGATGGAACTATAGATTAGAGTTGCTTAAATTATTATTTGATAAAAGAGTAAAGGGACAATTAGTTATGGCACTCTTTGAGGGGGAAGGAGCAAACAACATGGCCCTGTTTGCTCGCTGCTTGATCAAAATACTATGTTCTTTTTTTCAGCAATCAAAATCTATTTGGACTTGTCTTCATTCGTCGATAATCTCGCGTATATTAATCTATTGTCCGACTCGACATTAAAATAAATTTTTTTTTTTTTTACCATTTATTATACAACTTATTTCATTTCTTTTGGAGGAACCTGATAATATGCAAGGGGGGAGGTTTTTTAAGTTTTAGCCCTCTTTCTATTTGATGATATTACTATTTGTAGAATTGGTGCTTTATATTACAAATGTCAAGAAAATGGTTGACACAAGCCGTTCGTTTCACTGTGAATTTTTAATCATTTCCCTAGCGGTATGGTTTTTATCAAGTGAAATACGAATGACCTATAGCGTATGGCTTAGCTTGGTTAATTCTCCGGCTTTGTTAACACACCTTCCAAATTCTGATTTCTCTCCATTCTAAAAAAGAAAAAAAAACTATAAAGGAAGAAAGCCTGTAAAAAACAACCTGGTTACACTTCCTATTTCATACATTATCGCCTTTACGAAAGAAAGAAAAAAAAAAGGATGATAAACAAACTAAAATACAACTGTTGGTTTTATTTTATTTTATTTTATTTTATTTTATTTTATTTTATTTTCGAAATTTATAACTGCGATGAAAACAGCTTATTATAAATATGCGATTGTTAATATATTAAAAATCCTTAAAATAAAAATTGTAATTTATAAATCGAAAAGTGATTTTTTTTCCCTCCCCCCCAAAAAAGTCATTTGAAAAAAAAAAATGTGAGTTTTGGACCCTTATTTGTATTTCCAATTTACTGGTGCTATTGTTACATGTTTAGTAAGCCCTGTGTACCAATTACATGGGAATTACAGTCCCGCTCGCATGACTACTATTTTTAGAGAAATAAAAAATAAGCAAGCAAGTAAATATGTATAAGAAAATGACCTTTACCAGAGTAATGTCATAAAAAAAAAAATGAAATAAAATATGACAATCATTGAATTGGATTGGTTCTTGGTTTTCTTTTTGTTGGGTTCAAGATCAAATAATATTCAAATTTTGCTTTGAATAGGTATTTTTTTAACAACAGAGTTCGTCATTAAAAGAAAAAAAAATTGCTCCTGAAATCAGTATATATGTAAATGCATATGTATATATTTGGCTCCATTTCATGATTCTGGCATATCTTTGTTGATAATTTTTATACTTTATTTTAAAGACTGATCTTCGTAAGCGTAGTTATTATATGTACAATAGTGGCTTATTTTGAAATTTGAAAAGCCTTTAAAATGAACTCTTTATCTAAATTTATGATTACTCGTTGGCTACATTTTAGCATGAGAATCTAATTGTTTAGCAGCTTTGATAAACTATAAATTTTGCTATTTCATTAAAAAACTTTTCTAAAATAGAAAGTAAAATATATATATTAAAAAAAAAAGACCTTATTTATTTATGTATAATACTAAAAACATCCTCCACACAATAAATAAAGTGAAATTTCTTTTATTATGATTGCACTGCTTGGATACAAATAATTAAGCTTTTATAATTTATATTAAATGGCTTCTTTTCCTTTTTTCTCTACTTCTCGATTTGAGTTTACTGTAATTGAGCGCATGATGGGAAAAGTGAGGACTTCACGAATGTGAGTCATACCTGTCATCAGTTGTACAACTCTATCAATACCCATACCCCAACCAGCAGTAGGAGGTAAAGCATATTCTAGAGCATCACAGAAATCTGTATCTGGTAAAGGTGCCTCTAAATCGCCTGTATCCCGATCTTGAAGCCGTAGCTTGAAGCGTTTACGTTGCTCTTGAGGATCATTTAATTCTTCATAAGCATTGACCAATTCCTTTCCAGCAACAAATAATTCAAATCTTGCAGCAACAGTTCTTCCCTAAAATAAAATAAAAATAAATAAATTAAGGGAGGCTTTCTATTTTACAACCCAATTACATGATCCCCCCACCTTTTTATCAATAGCATCTTTTGCTAAGGGACTTAATGCAAGTGGATGATTGTACAAAAATGTGGGCTGTACACAATGAGGCTCAATAAATTTTGAAATCATCTTGTCAAGGATACGTGGTTGGGTAAGCGGGCCTGACAGCTTAATTTTCTTTGTTTCGCACAAGGAAACTAACTTATCTACAGCATCTGAACATGATATATGAATATTACATGTTACGTACACACATACATACAATTTTTATATTTTACCACTTTGTTCTAAGAATGTTAAAGAAACTCCCAATTCATTCTCTAGTCTATCCATTACATTGATTCGATGGAATGGCTTTTTAAAATCAATTATTTCACCCGACTTTGATTGAATTGAACTATCGCCACAGATTGCTGTAGCCATCTCTGATAATAACGTTTCAGTATCATGCATTAAACTTTCCAAGTTACCATACGCTTGATAAAACTCACAAGTTGTAAATTCAGGATTATGATCAGCATCAATTCCCTCATTTCTGAACTGCTTGCCAATCTCATAGACACGATCGAAACCGCCTATAACTAATTGTTTTAAATATAATTCTGGTGCTATACGTAATTGCATATCCATATTGAATGCATGTGAATGTGTCTCAAATGGACGAGCGTTTGCTCCTCCTGATTTTCCGGATAGGATAGGTGTTTCGACTTCAAGGAAGCCACGACTATCTAGAAAATGCCTAATAAATTGAATAATTTTTGATCTAGTTCTTAAAACTCTTGATGCTTCAGGATTAACTAACAAATCCAAATAACGTTCACGAAGCCTTTTCTCCTAAAGAAAAGAAAAAAAAAAGGGGGGGGATTATAAAGATGTATTTTTTTTTTTACTAGCCAAGTATCCTCATCTTATTCTACTTACTTGATCCTTTATTCCATTACGAGGAATATTTCGTAGACAAGGTGTAAGGACTTTCATTTCCTGAGTTACAAATAGACTTAGCTGACCATGGTTTGTTTTACCAGGCACACCTGTAAATGCTAGAATATCAAATGTATTTAGTATTTATTTTTTATTTTTTTTTTTTTTTTTTTTTTTTTTTTTTTTTTTTTTTTTTTTTTTTTACTTTAATCATTAAAGAGTTCAAGACAAACTTACAGACTATATCCCCTCTACTTAATGCGTTATTTTTGATTATAAAATCGTTTAAATGACCAGGGAATCTATTTTTAGATGCAACTACTTGAATTGTTTCACCATTTTGAATAATATCATAAAATATCAATTTTGTACTAGATTCTCGTTTAACTGCTATTCGGCCTGTTAAAGTCACTAATTCATTTTCTGCTTTTTGTCCCTTTTCTAAATATTGATAATGTTGTAAATCTTTTGGTGTAATCCATCTACCATTTGTATTAGGATCGATAGTAAATCGTGGATAATCCAAAACTCTTTCTTGTCGAAAAGCTATCAATTATTAAATTTAGATTGACCATTAGATGTAAAAATGTATACATATATTTATATAAATATATATTTTTTTTTTAATTTGTACAAGTAAACGAACGACGTGGAATTTGTTTGAAAGAGGTAAAATTATATGGCCTAAATAATTTAAATAACAATTGCTGTTTTGACATCAATGAAAGATAATAAAATAAATAGTTAAGGGCACGAAAAGATATTGGAAGTGGGGTTGGGGGGGGAGGGAAAAGTTTCAAACTTTTTTTTTTTTTTTTTTTTTTTTTTTTTTTTTAGGAAACTTTATTGGCTACCATAATCTCTTACCTAATGTTGTACCATCTTTTTTATTTATACACACATCTATACAAATACATGTATATGCTTTTTCTTTTCTTTTGACAAGTAAAGACAAAAATTGTAATTAATCAAAAAAAAAAAAAAAAAGAATGGATTCTCCCTATTTAAGAACTGAAAGCCCAACACCATTAGGTATATTGAATAATAATTTCTTGATACAAGTTGAATTGTTGTTATAATTTTACTTTTTTTTTACAATTCTATTAGGAAATCTTTCACAATTGTCCAATTTACAGCCTTTTTATCCGACACGTTGTATTCACACTATTTCACAAGAAGATAACAACTCTGTATTATCATTAGTAGCAAGTAAACACTATTTATTTAGTGGAAGTCAAAGTTCTCAAATTCATGTAAGATTCATTGCTTTTATTTTATTTTATTTATTTATTTTATTTTTTTTTTTAATTGACCCAAGGTATGGGATCTTCAAACATTCACTCTAGTCACTGTTTTGAAAGGTCATCGAGGCAGTGTTCTGGGTTTAACGTTATCCAAAGACGAGCAATATCTATTTAGTAGTTCAGGTGACGGATCTGTTAGAGTAAGGATTTGACTTTTTTTTTTTTTTTTTTTTTTCCCCAATAATAAACAATTAAAAATCTAAATGCATATTTTTTTTTTATTATACATACATATTTATAAAGGCTTGGGATACAGAAACATTAAAATGCACTCATCTTATTCAATCCTGTCATGATGTGGGTGATATATTTTCAGTTTGTTATTCAGATACAAACAATACTATTTATTTTGGGAGTCAAAATACAAGTATTCAAGTAAGGAAAAAAAAAAAAAGCCTATCTGTAGTATAAATAAGGTCATATATGTGTATGAGGCTCATAGTTTAGTTTCCTATTTTTATTATTTAGTGGTATAATTTTGCAGATCCTCAGACGACCCATGTTCTTGTTCCAATCTTATCTCGTAAAAGAGACAATTGTATTAATTTTTTTGAAGATAATGACATTGAGGAAGACAAAGAAAATGAACGTCTGCAGGAAGAATTAGATAAGTCGGTTATTAAATGCGTCATTCGTGAAAAAAACATCTGTAGCAATGCACACGATGGATATGTATATTGTCTGTTACACGCAAACGATATTCCTAATATTAAAGGCGAGGTTTTAATTAGTGGTTCTGGCGATGGTGATGTTAAGGTAAAAGAGAGAAAAAAAAAAGACATCAATTCGTAGCATTCATGTATTTATTACTATTACTATTATTATTATTATTATCAAAGATCTGGCTTATTGAAAAAAATGGAATTCGACTTTTACATACATTAAAGGGAAACCTAGACAAAGGGATTTTATGTCTTTCACTGTCAGAGGATGGCTATCTATTTTGTGGGGTTCAGGGCGGTGATGTTCAAATATGGGATTTAGAAACACTTCAGATGATTCGATCTGTTATGGCTCACACTGATGATGTTCTAGCCATTGCTATTAGAGGCTCTGGTTTTATAAGTGCCTCTGCTGATGGATCTATAAAGATTTGGAACGAAGGATTCCAATTCCGAGAAAGTTTAGTTGAACATGATGGTATTGTCTTATCCCTATCAACGAAAAGTAATTATTTAATTTCTGGAAGTAACGATCACACTATCAAGTTTTGGGATATGCCCTCGTTATCTTTTCCCTCCTTTGAGACCTTTAGGAGACCTAGTGTTGCCCTTTTAGAGACCCCATCTAGTGATACTATGCTATATGTATTAGAAAAATGGATTGCTATGCGTACTGTGAGTGGTGATTCTAGATATTTTGAAGAATGTAGAAGAGGTGCAAGATTTCTTAAAAATATTTTGCAGCAACTGGGTGCAGTGAGTCGTATGGTAATATAAATAAATATGTATAAGAGATACCATGTTTCATATATATATATATATTCTTCCGTGTGTATCCTAGATTCATGGGGCAAGTGGACGCAATCCCCTTGTGTATGGTAAATTTACAGGTAAACGATCGACATCGAATCAGAAAAAGACCCCTACAGTACTGATTTATGGTCATTATGATGTGATTGCCGCCGATAATGAGAAAAACCTATGGGATAGTGACCCTTTTAGATTAACAGGAAGAAATGGATATCTTTATGGACGTGGAACGAGTGATAACAAGGTAAATTAGGGAAATCCTATAATAAAATATTTTCTATGTGTTGTATATTAGATTGATTGGATTATATAGGGTCCTATCCTTGCTTCTATATTTGCTGTAAATGAATTGTTGAAAGAGGGCCTCTTAGATGTCAATGTTATATTTTTAATTGAGGGCGAAGAGGAAAGTGGAAGTGCGGGATTATATGAAGCGATCGAGAAATATAAAGAACTATTCGAGGATGTGGATATGATATTACTCAGTAATTCATATTGGTTAGGTGAGGATGTTCCTTGCATCACCTATGGTCTTCGTGGTGTCATTCATGCAACTGTCACCATTTGTAATTCACGACCTGATCTTCATTCAGGTGTAGAAGGGGGCGCAGTCTCGGAACCCTTGATGGACCTTATTCATGTATTAGGGAAACTGGTAGATAAGAATAAAAGAGTGCTTATCCCCGGCTTTTATGATCATGTAAGACCTTTAACAGAGGCTGAAGAAAGATTATACGACCCGATTGTTGAATGGATGCATACCTCAGAGACAGCTCAATCAACCAGCACCAGGGCTCATCACTCCACTATTGCCTCTCAAAAATCAACTGTCAGTAAAGAGATGCAATGCAAACTTAGAATGAGTACAGATGATGATAATGAAAAATTAGATCCCATCAAGTTAAAGCAACAGCTTATGTCACGTTGGAGATATCCTACCTTTACAGTCCATACAATTGATGTCTCTGTTAATAATCCAACTATCATCCCTCGTAGTGCTAAGGCTGCAGTTAGCATGCGTGTTGTACCAGACCAAAATATAACTGACGTCTGTGCACAATTTGAAGACTATGTATGTAAAGTATTTGCTGAAAGCACTCAATCAGACAATAAAATATCAGTCACGATTGAAAATGTAGCAGACTACTGGCTTGGTGATTTGAATAGCAAATACTTTAAAGCAGTTGAAAGGGCAATTGAAGAAGAATGGAATCTAAAGCCATTATATATTCGTGAAGGTGGTTCTATCCCTGCTGTACGTTGGTTAGAAAAATTTTGTGATGCACCTGCTATTCATATCCCCTTTGGTCAATCCTCTGATCAAGCCCATCTGCATAACGAAAGAATTCGATTACTAAATCTCCATGCTGGTAAACGTATTATAAAGAAGCTATTAACTGCATTAGCAGACCTGTAAAATAAAATGCATTTATAGATAGATAGATAAATGTATATATCAACATGTATAAAAACAATCCATCATTATATATTTATTGTGTGTACGTGTTTTTTCTTTTGTATATCGATATATGTGTACAAGTGTTTTTATATAATATAATACAAGTTATTTGTTGGTAATTTTTTTTTTAAAAAAAAAGAAAAAGGAAAAAAGGAAAAAAAAAAAGAAGCTTAATTTTTTTTTACAGTTCTATTTCTATATAAATATATATACACATATAAATATAAATAAAATATATATACGTGGTTGTGTTATATAAATTTCTCTGCTACTCTAGAGGGTGGCCATTCACCTTTGTCTCTTAAATTAGATTGAATATGTAAAACTTGTTCATAGACCACAAACATAATAGAGCTCTGGAGACTTGTCCAAAACACACGAGGACCGATACCCCTAAATAACCCGCTTAATCCTTGACTTTTATAATTATAAAGCATGCCGTCTATAATTCCACTGTAATGTTTAACAGGAGACTCTATTAATTTAGGTGCTGTTGTTGTTGTTGTTGTTGTTGCTGCTGCTGCTGCTGACGATGACGATGACGATGACAATGATGTAGATTTCTTTTTATTATCACCTTGTTGTGTTTGTAATAATGTTTTCATGACATCTAATGGAGTTGTGATTGCACCCGCAATACCCCCAGCTAATGATCCTGTAATCATATCAATACCAATAGGTAACTGTCCTCCAGGCTGTATAAAGTTCTTTTGTGCAAACTTTTTAAATTGTTCTGTAATAGACACAAATGAATAAATAATAGACTAAATAGGATGTTCATTTATTTACCATAACAAGCAAATTGAAGTGCTGAATAAGGAACATCTCTCAAAATAGTTGCTCTAAAACCATGAAATAATGCACTAAATCCATCATACTTTACAATCTATTGTACAAATATATATAAAGTCAACTTTATCGATCTCTTTCTTTTTTTGCTCGTTTTCCTTATTTACCATTTTTGTTGCATGCCATGTATTTTTATAATTGTATCCACTTATAAAATGTGGATTATTGTATCTCCCCTGTAATTGTAGTCGAGTTTTTAAGACTTCAGAAGGTACATAAATAAAAGAAGCTGCTAAATCACCCAGTGACCCTGCTGTCAAATGAGATGCCACCTCGGGTACATTTAAATCATTTAATGTACGTTTTGTTAGCTCATAAATAGCAAAGTAAAGAGTTGTGCCAGGGACTACGAAAATAAAAAAAATTAAATAAACACACACATATATATATTTATAAGCAACTTATTCAAAGGGGACAAATATATAAAATTCTTACTTGATCCAATCATAGCAGGCGTCACACCAGCATATAATCCTCTCATAATTCCTTCTTGCTTCCATAATAATTTATATGCTTGTACCATGCTTGTATATTTATGCGCACGATTATGGGGTTGCCCTTGAAGCCTTGTTTTTACTGTATCCACACTAAAGTTTTGATTAAGCAAATACATATATATATATAAATAAATAAATATTAAAATTGTTACCTATGCATAATAAAATCAGCTGTTGATCCTCCAATGCCTCCTGCAATACAAGTCTGTCAATTATAAAACCATAATTATTAATAATAATAAAGACATGTGCTTTATTTGTTCGAAAATCTTACATCAAAAAATGGCGGGTATCTTTCTCCTCCATCCAACGTAATAGATGGAATTACAAAAGGAAATAAGTGTTGCCTGGTATTATTATCAGACTTCGGAGGCTGATTCATATTAGTAAGAAGGTGGTGAGGAGATGTGTGTGTGGGGGGGGGAGGAAAGGAATAGAAATAAATAAAAATAAATAAAAATAAAAAAGGGCTTTCGTTGAACAGCCGTCTCTCCACCTTTCAAAAAAAAAAAAAAAAAAAAAAAAAAAAACTACTATTAAGGGCGGAAACAGGGTATTGTGACTGTATTTGCGTCATATAAAAACAGAGAAAGGTTTAACCTTTTTTTTTTTTTTTTTTTTTTTTTTTTTTTTTTCCTTTATTCGAAATTTTAAATAAGTTCATAATGTCAGCGGTTGAAGCTATAACCAATGACATTCCTGAAAAAACAAATGTTGCAATAAACAAAAAGTTGCAATATAAAGCTAGAAGAAAGAATAAAAAGAAGAATAAAAAGCTGCGCCAAGAGGAAGAGGCTAAACGTAAAGCAGTAAGTAACGTGTTTTTTTGTTATTATTATTATTATTATGGATCTATTCTAATTGTAACTTACTTCTAGGAATTAGAAAAGGAGGAAAAGGACAACTCACTTGATGATGTCGAAATCGAATATGTTGTTCAACCTGTTGATTTTTCAGCTTTAAAAAATATGGATGGCATGTCAAATTTAGACGAAAACACTCTTCAACAATTTTCAAACATTTTCAAACATTTTCAATCTGGTGAACCTGATGAGAATGAAGAAGTAAGTATTGTTTTAATGTTTTTCAATGATCAGAATGTAGACAACTAAAGATATATATAAATATACATATTAGGAATTCCCTGTTCAAAATAATACTACAGCACAAAAAGAAGAGGGAGTAGAAGGTGACGAGGATGAGGAAGAAAAAGAATCTGATCAACCTTTATCAAAGAAAAAATTAAAAAAACTTCAACGTTTAACAGTTGCTGAATTAAAACAACTTGTTGCTAAGCCTGAAGTAGTTGAGGTACGATGATAAGCATAATAAATTCGGAAAAAAAAAAGAAAAAAAAAACAGTAACTAATTTATTATTATTATCATCAAAGTGGTGGGATGTAACAGCTGCTGATCCAAAACTGTTAGTTGCTTTAAAGTCATATCGTAATACTGTTCCTGTTCCTGCTCATTGGAGCATGAAACGTAAATATCTTCAAGGAAAGCGTGGTATTGAAAAGCCACCATGGGAATTGCCAGGTAACAAAAAAAAAAGAAAAAAATAGGATTTATTTTATTCTAAATTAATATAAATATATATTTTAAGATTTTATTAAGGATACGGGTATTATGGAAATGCGTGAAGCTGTAAAAGAGAAAGAGAATGCAGCTGGTTTAAAAGGAAAGATGAAAGAAAAGGTTGCACCTAAGATGGGTAAACTGGATATAGATTATCAGAAATTGCATGATGCCTTTTTCAGATTTCAAACAAAAGGCAAATATACGATGCATGGTGAACTTTATTATGAAGGTAAAGAATTTGAAACTAAATTAAAAGAACAAAAGCCTGGTCAATTATCAGAAGAGCTGAAACAAGCATTGAATATGCCACCATTGGCACCACCTCCATGGTTAATTAATATGCAGCGTTATGGCCCTCCTCCTAGTTATCCTAACTTAAAAATCCCTGGCTTAAATGCACCAATACCTGAAGGTGCTCAATGGGGTTATCATCCTGGTGGATGGGGTCGACCGCCTGTTGATGAATATAATCGTCCTCTGTATGGTGATGTCTTTGGTGTGGCACAACCTAGTGCAGCACCTCCTGAGGTAGTTGAACCTATTGATAAACAATTATGGGGTGAACTAGAACCAGAAGAAGAATATGAAGAAGAAAGTGAAGAGGAAGAAGAAGAGGAAGAAGAAGAGGAAAAAGCTGAGACTGAAACAGCTACTGAAGATATTACAGATGGATTGGTTACACCTTCTGGTCTCTCATCTATCGCATCTGGATTAGAGACACCTGATCATATCGAGCTTCGTAAAGAGCGTAAAAGAGATGAAGATGAAGGACCTAAGCAACTTTATCAAGTGCTGCCTGAAGTGCAAAAGAGTATTACAGGTTTTATGGGATCACAGCATGGTTATGATCTATCAGCAATAGAAAAATCAGACCAAACAACATCAAAACGTAAAGCAACTAATGTAGATGTAGCTATTGATCCAAGTGAATTAGAAAGTGGTTTAGACGAAGCCACTTTACGTGCTAAATATGATGCACAAATGAAAGCTAAATTACCTGTGGGGGCAGGCGCTGAGGACTTATCTGATATGTATGCAGAGCATGCAAGTAGACAAGCAAAGAAGGCTAAAATTCAGGATAAACGAAAGGATGGCAATAAAAAGGAATTTAAATTTTAATTCTTTATACTTCAATAAATGATAAATATATGAATTATATAATGCGATTAACATGGATGTAATAAAGAAATTAAAAAATAAAAAAAAAAAAAATAAAAAAATAGCTAAACGAATAATCGCCTAATATGTAAAATAAGAAGAGTTATAATGATAATCAAATTAACACAGAAAGACTTTGTCCGTCGTTACCATTGCCTTTAAACTAAGTGGTTCTACAAATCCATTCATTACAGCTAAAGAAAAAAAAATTGGGACAGCGATGTTGAAGATGGGACATTTTTTTTTTTTTTTTTTTTTTTTTTTTGAAAATGGATGCTGTGTATATAATGATGTATTACATAATATCTTACAATATACAGATCAGAGTCATGAAGGACTCGAACGATATTTATAGCTATTAGTAGTACACTTTCTGCATACAATATTATTTATGAGACATATATGAATTATAGACTGTACCTATTAGTTATACACACACATTATTATCTAATATACTAATTTATAAATACAATCATATACTATCTATACACTATACACTATAAAATATATTGATATCCATTCAAGTAGTACATTGAGGAATGACTATAATACAAAGCATCTTCCACAAGTATAAACAAACGAGATCTCGTTATTTGGTTTCAAGGAAAATAACCGAACCGGCTAGATTGAGCACGAATACGACTAATTTAATTTTTATTAGAGTGAGTTAACTGAGATTAATTCTCAATCAGGGCCCAAACACAGTAGCTTTAATTATTTTATGATAGGAAATATTCTTCTTCCATTCTGTTCCTGTCGATCTTGGTCTCAAGCTGTTAAATTGGGTATCCAAGTAATAGTGTGTGTCTTCCTGGTCATTTTGGTCTGGTTTGTATTTAAATTGTTTCTTCTCACTTTTTTCGTTTTATCCTCCTTATATTTTCTCTTAATTCCAAAATACTACTCTTTTCTTTTTCCTTCTTGTCCTTTAAGAAGGTTATAATTCTTATTTCCTCTCTATAACTGGCTCGAGCAATATTGTGCATTTATTTCGTCGCTACATGCTCATTGCCAAAAAAATTAACAAAATAAAATAATAATATAAAGCATTGTTATTGCTCCAGCAAGCGTTGACTAAACAGTGCTGAAACAGGTCTAAATTTGTAACCTAATCTCTTTTGGTGTGATAAAACCAATGAAGGCAAAGAAGAAATACCTAAGAGGCAAAAGTATTATTTTTTTACTTGGATATATTTATTATGTAATAAATGATGGTTTATTTCTATTAACTTAGTTATAAAGACAACTACAATCATAACAGCAATGATAAGCATTGGATAAATTAAGCGTGGTAAAATATTTCTTTCCTGCTAAATTATTGAATATGTCACGAACTAAAGGCAATGGATAATTAAATGTAGGAGGTAAAATTTGATTCAAAAGTCTCACATCTAAACATACTCTGTGCTTAACAATCTCTCCATTTTTGTTTCTCTTAGGAACTAATAAAAGAGGACTATTAAACGAGGTATTAGTTTTGGACTTAATGATCAACTTATTATCAAGCCATTCTTTAATTTGTTTATCCAATGTATCTCTTAATGCAAATGGAATTGGGTACTGTCTTCTAAAAGCAGTAGCTCCTTCTTTAGTGGGCAAACGAACAATTGATTCAGGCATAGGACAAAATGAGGTAATCGGAATACTCTGATTTCCGTCAATAGCCTCTTTAATATAATTCATGAATTCTGCTCTTTGCTCAGGAGTACCGGCAGGCAAATCATCAGGTTGAATTTACCATCATAGTCGATGTTAATATTTTCATCATTGGCAGCTACATCAGAATGTGTGAATTCACCATCAATTTTGTATGCTACTCCAGTTAAACCAATATTCATTTTTGGTAAAATATCAGTGCCCAACAAAATATCAAAATCATATCCTTTATTAAACTTCATTACATCTAAAGAATGTTTGAAAGTAATACCATTTGCATATTTAAAATTCAACATATCCGTAGAATCAATACAAGAAACATTATTATTATTAAATAAGAAATTATAGGTAGAGCCATTATTTAAATTATTTATTTTATTTATTTTTAATTTATTATTTAAACTATTTATATTTATGAAACTAGCTTCACTACCGGTGTCAACCAACCCGATGAGCTTTACATTCTCTACCAAAATAGGAGTTAGTAAGTTGAATGAATTTTTATTCTTCACTTTACTCTCTAAGTTTTGTTTCTTGTTTAGGTACTTACAGTCATAACTCAAATCCTCCATTTGAGCATCTACCTCATTGGGGATGGTTATCATCGCTAGATCTCTTTCAACCTCCTCTTGTGTGGCTTTGTCAAGCTCCTCCACTTGGGTGTTGTTGGATTCTTTTTTGGCAGCAAAAACCTTTTTATTTTCTTTGCAAATGTGTCCGGGGCTCCAGGGCTCCTCCTTACACTTATAACACAACTTGTTTTTGCTTACGCCAGCTGGACCACTCGACGATTTCTTGGTGGCACGCTTGTTGATAATAAAACAGTCTTTTGTGTCCCGTTTTTACCATGCTGGGTGCAAAAGTGTTTTTTATTAACCTTGCCCTCTTTAGGTTTGCCTTTCTTATTATCCCGATGGTGTCGCTTGTGTCTTTCCACCGATGAACCTTTCCTATCTTGATGTGTACTCCTATGACCACCAAGGATGTAGTTAGAAGATGCTACATATGTACTAGCATCATTCTCTAGGACGTCTCTTCCTGCTTGCGTCATCTGCTCTACCGTCCAAGAGCTACTGTTGCTATTGAACATAGCTAACTTAATTACGGATTGAACCGGAGACAACAAAGAAGCCAAAAACCTGTCCGCAATACGTTCGTTATCCTTAGGGATATCCGTATTGCACACTGCTTGAAGAAATCTCTTGGAATAATCCGCCAAGGGCTCACCAGACTTCATGACCATAGTGAATACTAGATCTGTATACTGACGTACGGCGGTTTTAGAGCTGTGGCTGTCCTTAAAAACCTTGCGAGCCTCATACCATGATCGGGCCAACTTCATGTTAGTCTCGTACCACGCATCCTCAGAAATTGGAAGACAGAGGGGAAACAAAGTTTTCCATACCAGTTGAATATCTCGACCGGAAGACGCAACAACTTTTTCAAATGTCTTTAAGAAGTGCTCGGCAGACTCGAAAACCTCTTCAGAAGGGAAGGGACGGACTAAGCTCGAAGCCAACTGAAATTTTGGTAAGTCTTTTCTACTGAGTGCTAAACCCCCAGTGAAAGAAGAAGCAGGACGAGTCTCTCTGGTTTGAGGACTAGAAATACCTAGGATCTCTTGATATTCTCTCAATGACTTAATATTTTGTTTGAGGAATTCTATGGATCTCATAGCTGATTGTGCTGCAACCTCATTGCCTTCGGCATGGGCGCGCGAAAAGGTTTGTAAATGTTGGGTTATCTCTCTTCTCATCTTAAGGAGATTTTCCTCAACCAACAGCTCGTCTTGACCTGCACTATTGGCGGCAAGAGGCAACAAAAGATCATTCAAGTTGGATTCATTCACAAACGAAGTAGCATCTACCAACATAGCAGAAGCACTATTCTCTTCACCCGTGGAAGCACCAGAACCAGAACCATTCTCCAAGAAAAAATTCAAACTGGAATCCAACAAGGAAGCAACAGAAGAGTACATTGTAGTAATATTTGAAATGTAGTTTACGGAAAAAAAAATATCTTGAGTTCAAAAAATAAGGAAAGAGAAAAAAGAAAAGACAAGTCTGTGAAAACTCTGTATAGTTTACTGAAAGAAAAATAATACAGAAATTGTATAAGAAGAAAATAATATGGAAAAATGACAAGGGCTATTTATATGTTTTGCAAGGTAAATGATATTAATAGAAGTATGATTCAGATAAGTGTATACTGCCTTTATATGCGGGTTTTGTCTCCGAATAATTCTCCATGCAGTATGCATATTTCTGTCTGAGCTGTCGCTGTTACTAAAAATATACCTAATTGTTATTTCTGAGGTAAGCAACGCGTTAATATTAATTCACAGTGAATACCCCCGCTATAACAATACCAGTTAATTAATAAGTTACCATTAATAGCATTCTCCAAATTGTTATTATGTAACAATATTTAATATTATGGATGTATATATAATATGTATGACTTGTATAATAAAAAAGTTATCGTTTGATCTGATTGTATGTTCCTGATATCTTTTATATTTTTATTTTATTGGATCAAAGACGACCTAAATCCTTTATCAAGGTTATAAAGATAAATATTCAGAAATGATATGATGTCTTATGTTTATGATGTTATGTACAAATACAACATATGTCAACTATATGATAAAACATAAATGTTGAATATTCATTACACGATAATATTATATAAACAATATCATCATGTTAAACATAAATTATGTAATTATTAAATGTAAAACCTTCAAATGAAACAATTATTGAATTAGCGATATGTGAAATATATTACCAGATCATGATATGTATCATGATTGTTGATAATATCATAAAGAGGTCAATATTTGATACAACACCATTGAAATAGCATCTATAGATATTATCTAGAACTACCAAGAAAAGTATAAATAGCCAGACAGTTTGTACAAGAAGAATAGTTAGTTTTTTTCTATGTTTATAATTTTTTTCTAATAAAATTTATTCTTACTTGTGCCTGTATCTCACGATTTGTTTTGTCTTCTTGATATTATTTAACTGTACAACACGTATTTATTATAATATTATTATTTTTCTCATCGCAAGAATGTCTTATATAAACTGAAATCAAATAATATTGTATGCATAAAGTGTACTACTAATAACTATAAATATCATTCGAGTCCCTCATGTCTCCGATCTGTATATTACAAGATATTATGTAATACATCATTATATACATAGCATTAATGGCTTTATTTAGTACATATACTATAGGTATTTTTTATTTATTTTTTTTGTTTAATGTATCTATTGAATTGATTACGGAGGACATCCGCACTTTTGTATCGAAATAGATTTAATTTAACACCTTTTTCATAACAATCTGATCAATTTATACGTTTAAGCCCGTTTAGCATTCTCGCCTTCTTAAAATTTTCAACGAATATCATACCACGTTCGTATGATGAAATGACCAATTCTGACGGAACGTTACTATTTTCAGTATTGGTCGTGTCTGCCGTTGTCTTTGTAGAGATAGATGAGGGGCTGACATTAATATCATTGAACTTCCTTTCTATGGCATGGTTTTGAGATTGTAAGGTCTTGATGGCTTTGGCCACTTCTTTGGATGATGCATTTTTGTCAAGAAGTTCCAATATTTTGGTATGTTCCTGATCTTGAGCCTCTAATGCTTGCACTAAAGTGTCAACAACATGTTGATCTCCAATATAATTTTGATGCCTTTATAATGCTAATGTATACAAATATTGGATAATTGGATCATCTGGGCAAAGTATATCATTTAGCATAATAGCTTGACTGGTCAGAAATAAACTAAGACCAACAAAGGCACGGTATCAGTATGATCTTTGACACGTGTTTTATATACGATTAGACAACTAGAAGCCCAACCTGTAGAGGGATACTCGCAGCAAGCAGGAAACTCACTGGTATCTACATCCTTTGCTACACAATCCGATAACGTATTGGTGCAAATGATAAGAGCAATCGGGTTGATTTTATACCAATTGAAAGCTTCAAGACTGTAGTTTATGACCCTCTTCGTAAACAATTCATCAACCCTATTTTGTATTTCTACAATCATTGGAGGAAGATCCGATGCCGATTGGTTTGAGTAAAAAAAAAAGATAAAGAAAGGGGAAATAGGAAAGATAAGTCTGTAAAAACTTTGTATAGTTTATTGAAAGAAAAATAATACAAGAATTGAACAAAAGAAAAAATAATAAGGAAAAGTAACAAGGGCTATTTTTTTTTTTTTTTTTTTTTTTTTTTGGTGGCCCAACCTATTTCCTTCAGCTGTAATTCACCAAATACTTGAGCCACTATCTTTGATTTGCCTGTGATAGACGTTTGATAACCCCTACAAGTGTAAAACAAAGTTAAGGATTATTATTCTACAAATGTAGATTATGAAAATAAAATATAATTAAAAAGATATCTGTCCTATTTATCATAAAACGATTGCTATATTGATGATTCATATAGTTTTGATGATAAATACGCGCTTTCTCCATTGATTCTATTCAGTCTTATTTTATTTTTTTTAAAAAAATATATATTTCAAGAAAATGAATCTATGTATAATTTGATGAATTTCCCTCTATTTGTATTTGATACCGTGCATTTATTTCAAATTTAAATGACTGAATAAGTTTAAATAAAACTAGCAATACAATTAATATTCCAATAGAATGGAACATTATTCTTATATAACTATTTTTTTTTTAAAAAAAAAAGAGTAATTGTTCCTTTAAGTTTATATATAAAGGAAATCTCATATTTCTATTAAAATATTAGTGTTAACCTTGAAAAAATAATAGGTGCATCTGGTGTAGTCAAGAATTGAAGATGTTGATGAATCATGGAAAGTCTTGATGTTGACACTGTTGTTGTTATACTTGACTCTTCAATTCTCCGTCTTTTCAAAGGACGTTCATTCAAAGAAGTTGTAGTAGACATTTTTTTTCTTAAATAAAATAAGAGCTAATAGATAAAAGCTTTCATAAAATTGTTGTCCCCTTCGGGATATAAGTAATAAATTATGCAAGTCATGATACATTACATTCCCTACTCTCCCTTTTTTTTTTTTTTTTTTTTTTTTTTTTTTTTTTTTACATAATAATTTTTGTCAAGTTGGCATTGTTATAAAGTATTTAAAACTCCACACGTTTTCTTTTTCTGTTTTCTTTCGTCCCATTTTCTTCTTCTTCTTCTTTTATCTTCTATTAACACTATATTTCATATTTATGAGTCGTACACAAGAAAGTTTTTGTACTTCCTTTTGGTCGTCATCAGCAGAGTCGATTCCAAATTACCTTAAGGGAGTTCAAGCCCTTCACGACAAACTTTCGAAATCAGTTATTGAGAATGAAGCAATTCTTACGTATTTACGAAAACGTATTGATATTGAAAATCAATGTGCTGATTTGATGTCATCAGAACTTTCACCGTCCATGACATTAGGTTCGAATGTGATGGAGGAGTCAACGATGAATGCAAGTCTGAGAGGCTCATTCGAAACAGTCTGTCGTGAAAGTTCCGAAACGGCTCAATGTCTTCGAGTACGTGCAGGAGTACTTGCACAGGATGTGTTGGCACCACTTGAGAGATTCACTCGAGATTTTCAAAATACACTAACGCATAAAAGAGCAAAATTAGAGAATGAGATAGTTGAATATGAGCATGCAGCACAATCTGCACTAATGACACGATCCGTTTATTGGTCTCGCTGTCATGCGTTAGAATTAATTGAACCTGATTTTAGATCTCCTATCCCTCCAGGATTTAAAGAAGAGGATAGCGAGGAGGAAGTGATAGATGCGGAAAATGATGCATTTGTGGTGGGCAGCAGCAGTAGCAGCAGACGCCGACGATCGAGTTCAGTTACCTCTGAACTCAACATAGACCATGGTGGTGTTCGATTAGGTAAATATACATTAGTACCTTATCAAGAGGTAGCACGGTCCATAAGTCGAATGCAAAAGATGATTGAAGGAATAAAACCAAATGCAACTTCCCCTATGTATCGCTACTTGGGAAAGGATATCTTTGAATGGGTGCGTGATTATCTTGCTTCACCTCCACCTACTACTACTTTATCTATTCAGGGACAACTACAACAAAATGAAATTGTCACGTTAGATACTGAGACAATGGAAATCTGTAATCGTCTTTTAGCTCTCAATTTCTTAAAGTCTGTTTCGATGGAAAAAGAGAAGAAGAAGAAGAAGAAAAATAAGTTTGATTTATCTCTGTATTATGAAGTGCAGCATAATGTGTTGGAACGTTACTTACGAAAGACTCGTATAAAAAGTGTCGATTATGGACAACCAACAACTATTATTGAGGAAAGTGGAAGCGAAGTTCAAGACATGGCGTTAGAGGTGCCTCTTTCTTCTTCTTCTTCTCCGACAACGACGACGACAAATGTAACTAGTACCTTGAATAACTTGTTTGACCGATTTAAACCGCATAAAAAGAAAACTCTAAATTCTAGTACAAAAGCCCATGCTGATATGGTCGAAGCAGATGAAGCTTACAAAAAAAGGATCAAGATAGCAGAGGAGATGAGAAAAAGGCTTGAAGAAAGAATGGTAACTCTATTTAAACATCGTGCTAGATTATATAATACTTATAGGCTTATTTTAAGTTTGATTATTTTAATGAAATGGAACAATTAGAAATGGATCGCATCAATGCAGTAAAGCATGGTAAACATGAAACATATACAAAGATACTTGTTTGTTAATTAACATTTTTTTTTTGTTTTTGGTTTTCTGTCAAAATTTAAGCCTTTGTAACTATGTCTTCAACCTTAACTGATACATTGTCTATGTTTAAAGAGACTTATAATCGTATTACTCTCTTCCAAGAAACTTTAAAACCTGAACAAGATATTCAATATATTATTGAACAATGTAAAACGGGTCCTTATTGCCCTAAGCCCATGATTTATGAAAACTATTATTATGGCTCTGCAATCAATCAGCTATTTGGTGTGCCTTTAGAAGAAGTAGCACAAATATATGGATCTTATGTCCCGCCTATCGTTACAAAAGGCATTCAACTTATAGATGCAGGTTTAATAGACTACATACAAATATATACATATATGTTTGATAAAGGTATACTAATAGTAATAAAATTAGGTCTTTCTCTAAAAAGAAAGGATGAAATGGAGAAAAGTATTGAAGATATATGGTGTAATACAATACCAATGAAAGAATTAAATGTTATATGCGATCATCTTAATGGCTTGGTCGGAACTAATCTCAAGAAGACTTTAGCAACCTATGATTTACCTCTATTAGCAAATCTAATACGAACCTATCTTTTAGAATTACCAGAATGTTTATTAACCTTTGATCTTTATGAGCCTATAAAGATTATTTACACAACACAGCAAGATACTGAAAGTCGATTGGTGTCTGTTAGTAAATTATTAGCCACTTTACCATCAACCAATTATCATACTTTAAAAGCCTTGATGCGTCATTTATTCCAGTAATTTGATATACATGTATATGTTTATCTTATAGTTCATTTTTTTCTAACAGTTAATATAACTTAGGATATTGAAACCCTTAGAGAGCAATAACATACTTAATCAATTGATATCTATCTTTGGTCATATCCTTATGCGGCCCTGCACTTATTCAGCATCCAGCATACATGATCGACATCCTAAAAAGCTAGTTCGAGATTTACTGACTCATTACGATATTATCTTTACAAAGGATATGAATCAAGCACAGCAATCAAGCGCAAATCGATCGACAATTATTGCTGACCCGTCTTCTTCTTTTCTTATTCTTCCATCAAGCTCACATACAGATAATGACAGCAAAGAATCACACAATAATAAGGAAAAAACAAATGTTGAGTCTGTGCTTCGACGCACATTAATGAATATTATGAGACGTAATTCTGCAGAAATTGGCTCACATGAGCAGCAGCAACAACAACAACAAAAGGAAGATGAGACTCCTAAAAGCCCTAATAGTACAGGTCCACCTGTTGTACCCCATGCAACCAGACTAACATTATTTGAAGACCCTGAGAAAAGTCACCCAACAACTCCTAAACATTCAGGCACGACCACGCCACAAGAAGAAGAAGAAGCTCTTTCAGCAACCAGTTATCATGATATGACCACACTCAATGATTCTCATCATCTTCTATCAACTACTGATGTGAGTCTGATCTTGGATATGAAAGAGGATGATGCAGTTGAATTACCTGATAAAGAAGACGTTCATAAAATAATAATAACTCCAAACCGTTCTCGTGCATCTACAAGAGGAACAATGGATAACATTGATTTGGATCCTTTTTTTGACGATAATTGATGATGATGACATAATTTTTAATTTTTGAGATCGGAAATTCAATTCTAACTGCTGTCCTCTTTCTCTCTCTCTCTCTCTTTTTTTTTAACTAACCAACAATACATTTTTTTTTCTTTTGTGCTTGTTTTATATAATTAAAAATATATATTTATATAAGCCATCCAGCCAACTTTCTCTTTTTTTATTTTTATTTTTATTTATTCTGTAATCAAGTCTTTAGAGTAAGTAAGCGAAAGAGAGAAAGAGGGATTCAGTTTGGAATGTCAAGATTATAAAGATTAAAACTAACATCTCAATAATAGAAACTGTCAATAGGTTATAATAATGGTAAGTGTAAAGTGAAGATGGAGGGAAAGGGATCATTCTATTAAACATGAGGATACACACATATAACATGTTGTATAAAGTTTTGTATTTAAACCATACAAATTTTACGTGTTCAATTTGTGTATGCTTATTATATGTATATGAAAAGGGAATATCGGCATAATAAAATTGACACTTTTATACATTCTTTTTTTCTAAAAAAAAAAAAAAAAAAAAAAAAAGGATTTACCAGAGAATTGGGTTATACGTCACTCCCGTACATATAATAAAGACTATTATTTTAATACAGTCACGAAAGAATCACGTTGGGATTCACCTATTCCAGCTGCAACAACGGTTGAAAGAGTAAGAGCAAGCCATTTATTAGTGAAAAGTAAAGATTCCAGAAGACCTAGTTCATGGAAAGAAGAACATATTACACGAACCAAGGAAGAAGCATTAGAGATCTTGAAAGAATATCAACGTAAAATTGAAACAGGACAGGAGACACTATCTGCTTTAGCCACTCATTTTTCAGATTGTTCCAGTGCAAAACGTGGTGGTGATCTTGGTTGGTTTGAACGAGGACAGATGCAAAAGTCCTTTGAAGATGCTGCCTTCAGTCTTCAAGTGGGTGAATTAAGTAAACCAATTTGGACTGATAGTGGTGTTCATTTAATCTTAAGAACTGCCTAAAAGCCAATTAGTATTAAATAGTCTTTTTTTTTTCAATAAATAAATAAATAAATATTTAAGTTAAATGATGTAGTATTGCTGCTGCTGCTGCTGCAACACATTCATCTCCTTCTTCTGCTTACAATGTACGTGACAAAGGGAAATCAATTTCCCCCTGGGAGGAAAACTTGTTCGGCCTTTTAAAACGATACAGTCTTTTTTTTTTTTTTTTTTTTTTTGTAGTTAAGGTATCATGATGGCATAAAAGGTCTTCTTCTTTTATTATTATTATTATTTCTTTCTTGTCTTTTTTTTTTTTAAAAAAAAACAATTTTTGTCTTGTTAAGAATATTTGTCTTAAGAAAAAAAAAAAGTATATACATACAAATATATAGATATATTATTCAACTAGTATGGATTGTAATGAAAACCAAAAGGAACATGCAACTGAAACAAAGGGAAATCAAAAGGCATTGTCTATTACGATTACAACCGAGCAAGCTACTTTAGAGGCGGATGGAATAGAAAGTAACGATCCTGTTATTGAAGAAGATGTATTAAAGGAAGAGCCTTACACTGTCTTTACACCATCGCAGCTAATTCGATTTTTAATGATTTGTGCTCTTACAGGCATGATATCTCCTCTAACTGCGAGTATTTATATGCCAGCTTTAAACCAAGTTCAACAAGTAATTATTTTTTTTTTCTTTAAAAAAAAAAATAAGATTAAATAAAATAAAATAAAATAAATAAATATAGAGGAATATACTTGTAGGACTTGCAAACAACAACGGAACATGTAAATTTAACCATTACAGTTTATATGATATTTCAAGCCATATCTCCAACATTTTGGGGGACCATAGCAGATAGTTATGGAAGACGTCCAGTCTTGATGTCTACAATGATTGTTTATTGTTGTGCATGTATAGGATTAGCCTTGTCTCCTAATTATGCTTCTTTGCTTATCTTTAGAATGCTACAAGCATTTGGTTCAAGTTCTGTAATTGCAGTAGGCGCTGGTGTTTTAAGTGATATAGTTGATTCAAAGAGGTAACAATAGAGAGGGGAGGGGTTTTTATTTATTTATTTATTTACGTAATTTATTCTTTTATATTGTAGACGAGGCTCTTATTTTGGTATTTATTCTATTGGTCAACTCTTAGGTCCTGTTCTTGGGCCTGTATTAGGAGGTATTATTGCACAAGAATTAGGCTGGAGGTATAGACAAAAAAAAAAAAAAAAAAAGGAATGAATAATATATGAGAAAAAAAAATTAACTACTGCTCTCTGATATAAATTAGATGGATCTTTTGGGTTCTAGTTATGATTGGTGGATTATCATTTCTATGTGTTGGTTTATTTGTACATGAAACACTTCGATCCCTAGTAGGCAATGGTTCAGGTTATGCAAATCCTACACCCTTTCAGTGGATAGCACGACGTCGTGGTAAATTAGATGAAGTCAAGATAGCAGAACTTAAAGAGAGAGAGAATAATAGCTCATCACTTAATTTCTTTGCACCATTCATTTATCTAACTGAACCCGATATTTTAACGATGCTTTTATTGAGTGGTGCACTCTTTACATCCTATTATTGCTTTCTAACGTCAACTACAAAGCAATTTAGTATTCATTATCATTTAAATGAATTGCAAATTGGTTTATGTTTCTTATGTCAAGGTATAGGCACCATTTTAGGTTCCTATGTTAAAGGGAAACTATTAGACAGAGACTTTCAAAGGTTAACGAAAAAAATGAGAGAAGAGATGCAGCCAGACGTAGAGATATGCTATTATCATGCAAGACTAAAGACGTGTTGGATTAGTTTGCTATTTGCAGACATAACTCCTATTGCATATGGATGGGCCATGCAATACAATGCTCCATTAGCTGTTGCCTTGATCTTACAATTTATAGGTATTTATCAAAAAAAAAAAAAAAAAAAAAAAAAAAAAACTTGAACCATACTATCCCATATCCATAATATATTCCTGTCTCTCTTTTTTTTTTTTTTTTTTTTTTTCCTGGGTTGAAAAGCTGGATTTAGTATATCTTCAATTACTATTTGTGTACAATCACTTATTATCGACTTATTTCCAGGAAAAGGTGCATCCATTACAGCTTCAAATAATTTGGTTCGATGTATTTTAGGGTAAACCAAAAAGAACCTTAATGTTAACTAATTATCTACTTATTTTATCCTATACATGCGTATATATATATATATATTCTAAATAGTGCTATTGCAACTGTTTGTATTGAACCAGGTATTGAAGGTGTTGGTATTGGCTGGATGTTTACGATTCTTGGATTCTTTATTCTCTTATTTAATAGCTGTGTACCCATCCTTTTAAAATATGGTCCAAGATGGAAACAACGCCGAGCCGAAAGAAATAAATTTAAATAAGAATGGAATATATCATTGTTCGCACGTACCAACTCCTTTCTATTATTGTGTAATGTTATAATTATATATTTATATATTCATTTATATATCATTGTAATAATGAATAATACCACAACCCTATTTATATCAACTCGATTTACTTGATGCATAATAAAATAGTATACACACATGTATATATTTATAAAAGACTTGATTATTATACATGTTGGACAATGTCAATATCGCTTGATCTGCTGATCCATGACAAGAAGAAAACGACCTTTTTATTTTTTTTTTATTTTACTGTATTTTATTTACCCCTGAAATCTATATTATCTCGGGATTAGTACAAAAAAAAATAAAAAAAAAAATAAAAGGAAATTCCTTATTTACTTGATTTAAATTAATCACAACAAGTAAACGAAAAAAAAATATATATAATTTTACTACTACTAAGCCAAAGAGTTCTAGAGTAGTAAATAACAAAAAAAATGGAATTATAATTTCATATGACTTTTATGTATACATTTACGTAATTGTTTTTATTTTATTTTTATTGAAAAAAATAACTATATACATTAAATTAAAGTAAACAAACTAGATATAAATATAACCAGGCTTATCATGATTAAATTGAAGTGAAATAAAATAAAATAAAAAAAAAAATGAATAGCATAAAAAAAAAAAAAGAGAGAAAGGGAGAGAAAGTTTAAGGGTATGCTTTTTTTTTCTTTTGGTATGTTTGTGTGTGTGAAATAGAAACAAATATTATGTTTGTTTGTTTGTTTGTTTGTTTGTTGTTGATTTGTGTGTGTGTGTGTGTGTGTGTGTGTGTGTGTATGTTTTACCGTCTGTGCATTAATTGATGCTGATAATGATGGTCTTGCTTTACCATATTTGTATTCATAAAAGCAGTAGTGTTATTGTCGTTGAACATAGCTGAATAATGATTAAAGAAGTTTAGATGATGATGATGATGATGATTATCATTAGCAGAAGTTAGTAGATTGAACCCAGATTTTTCTTCTTCTTCTTGTTTTGATTCACCACCACTTGTCATCATTGAAGATTGGAATTTAGGAACCATAAAAGAAGAGGATTGTAAGAAATTGATTTGAGGTTCGTCTTTTAAGACCATACAATCTTGATTCGGTGAGAAAGGTGAAGTAGTAGGAGTAGTGACTGGCCAATGATTAGATTGGATCATGGTAGGATAACTTTGCTTCGGTATCAAGGGCACCGATGATTGTGAAACAGGAAGTGAATGAACTCCGGTAACTGCAACCATAGGAACAGGGTGAATGACTTTGGACTTATTTGTCATAGAAACAGGAGGAGGAGAAGGAGTGACGAAAGAATTGAAGATGTTTTGATGTTCAGTTAGCATGTCTTCATCTTCATCATCATCTTCATCGTCATCATTATTGTTATTGTTATCGTCTTCTTCATTATCAACATAGTCTTCATGGGTTTGATCCATATCAACGCTCTCTTCTTCTTCTTTTAAAAATTGATCTAGTTTATCGATCGACTTCATTAATTTACCAGCATGTTGTTGAATATTTGAATTGGATAATTTATCTTTTCTTAATTTCTTGAAAGAAGAAGATTGACGATGTTTATCCGCTTCAGATAGTAAATAACTATTAAATTTTTCAAGTTCTCTTATACGGCCTTGATAACGTTCTTCCTTTGCAATCGCCATTTTTACAAAATCCAAGGTACGATCAATGATTGTACTCTTGGAGGGACGTGTATCATTTTGAAGGTTAGGTAAAGTGAAGGCAAGTTGTTGAAATTTTGCATTTAAGCTTTCACGACGAGCTCTTTCAATCGCGTTGTGTTCAGCTCTACGTTCAGCCTTCGTTTGTAACTGCCTGTTACCTCCAGAGGATAAAGAAAGATTTCCTGAACTTGAATCAAGCCTATCAAACGGACTACCAGAATAAGAAGGTAAAACTAGAATATGTACATGTTAATAATAAAATTCTTAATATAATATAATATAAATAAAATAAATATTACAGGATGGATGTGGAGTTAAAACTTCTTGATGTTGAAATGAAGGATTATGAAAGTGCATGAGTTGTTGTTGATGATGATGATGATCAGAAGTCGGAGATCTTCGAGATGATGGATTAGGAGGTACTGTTGGAGCAAATTGAATTTGTATATCTGAGTGAAATAATTCATTTGTATTAAATGAAGTAGGTTGAAAACTAGGTGGATTGAATTGAGACATATGGTGTATATTCTATTATTTAGAAAAAGAAATTAAACAAGGAAAAGAAAAAGAAATAATGATAACAAAAAAAAACGGATATCTTCTTATATTTAATAATTCAAATAGGAAATCTGTATTGATGTTGAATACCATGAATGGTCTTTCCGAAATAATACATTTTATTTTATTCCTTTCCTCTTAGGTAACATACACACAGATAAAATGCCGTCATACTACTATATAAAAAATAAGAAAAAATCCGGCCTCTTCATATAACTTTTTCTTTTCTTTTTTTTTTCTTTAACTCTTCTAATCCAGATAAGAGAATAAAAATATAAAGGACGACCTTAAAGTATGAAGGGATATAAATTTAATTTATGTTGCAATGATAATAATATAAGCCCCATGATGACCATTTTCTTTCTTTCTTTCTTTCTTTCCCCATGATCACATATAATGTGATACAATTCTTATTTTACTTGTAAAAAAAAGAAAAGTTACTCAGGATTTATCAATCGTGTAATGTCAGAGGCAAAGGCATTTTCATTATATTAATTATTAAATATGTTAATAGAGTCTCTTTCTTTTTTTCTACTTCAAGTTTATTGATTAATATATGTATATATCAATAGACTTGATTTAACTTATATAACAGGTGTACACATGTACATAGAATAAAAAAGAACAGGTTCTATAAATCTACTCTCTTTATAATCATGTGTATTTAAAAAAAAACCAGGTGAAGATCTTTTTACTTGATAATCAATAAGAGAGCCCAGTCTTTTTTTTTTTTTTTTTTTTCATCTATGTGTAGATTTATCGGAATAACCCGATATATATGCTCATCTTACTTGGTACAGGGTTATAAAGGAGAAAGAGAAGAGTCCCCAAAAAGAAAAAAATTACTACATGGAAATAAAGTTATTTTTTGACATTATGTGCTATGTATATAATACGACTAAGAAAACAGAATGTATTGTACTGCTTTATTTTAAAAGTACAAAAAGATATTTAAAGTAACAATGTCTTTATAAGGAGGGAGAAGCTGAATATAAAAAAAATATATATACATGTATCTTTTATACCACTTTGTTTTTGTTTTTTCCCTCCCCTCCCCCTCGTATAGAGAGTATCTTGTAAATTAGAATTAGTATAGGATACTCTAATTTGACTTGTTATTATAATTCATTATTTAGAGCTGGGAGTGTTTTATAATGAATAGTAAAAAAAATTATAATTTTGTGTGATAACATGTGGTTATTATCATGATCTAGAATATAACAGTTGAAGGTTACACACTTTTTAAGCTATGCTAACATGTAAAGCCGAGAGAAGAAGAAGAAATAAGTTAACGTATTTTATTTAATCATGTATGTAAAAGAAAAGAAAAAGGAACATAGAATATACGCATGCACAGAAATGAATATTCCCTTTATATATAAATAAATAAATATAGATATTAAAAAGATAAAGAGATATATTATAAACAGTAATAAATAAAAACAATATGCAGGGAAGTAAAAAAAAAAAAAAAAATGGGGGAAGAGGGGAACTTATAGTTTTGGAGAATAGAGGATATAAGGAAATGAAATACGAAGAAGGGGAGAATGAAATGAAAAAAAAAAGCTGTTTAAGGACTTCAAAACAAGACAGTAATAGACTCTAGTTTAATAATTTGGCATATAATTGCTGAAAGAGTTACTTCTGTTATTGGAAGAAGCATTACTATCACGATTGTTGTTATTTTGATGATTATTTTTGTCTTTTCCTGTGTGACGATGAATACGAATGTGTTGATTCAAGTTATCCGAACGAGAAAACCTTTTTGAACAAGTTTGATAAGGACATTCAAAAGCTAATGATAACAGAATAAGTATATATGTTATACTGTATACATACATGTATATATATTTTAAAACTTACGCTTTTCCAAAGTATGAATGGAACGAATATGTCTTTTTAAATGTTCTGACCTTTTAAATACTTTTCCACATTCATCGTGTCTACATGTAAAAACCTTTTGACCAGCCACAGTAGGACTATTTGACACACGACGACCACGGGAACGAGGGGATTTAAGTTTAGTATTCACTTTACTTGTACGTCTACTGGAAGGAGAAGAAGAAGGAGGAGGAGGAGGAGGAAGAGAAGAAGGAGGAGGAGGGGAAGTACTGATGGAGGCAGAAGAACTATCAGTTGAAAAAGAAGAAGAAGCAGAAGCAGCACGATCACGAAAGTTATTATGAGACGTATCATGATTCATAAGAGAATGAAAACCTTGTTGTTGATCAAATGCAGGATGATAAGTAGATGAAGGATAGATATCGATATTTGATGCTGTAGCAGAGTACATCATGGGAGAAGATGACATACGTGATGGACTTGTTGATGATGCACTACTATGAGTTGTAGTAGATGAATTAGGTGAAATGGTAGCAGCTAACCAAGGATTTACGACAGTAGTAGGATATCCGAGTTCAGCTGAGTGATGATAAGGAGAATAAGGATGATGATGATGATGTTGATGATGATGATGATAATATGGATGAGGTTCAAAGCCATTACCAATTTGAGGAAGTTCGATCAATGTACTCATACGACGTTTGGTAGCAGAATTATCAAGAGGATGACGATATTGATAATCATCATAACCATTAAAAGGACTATGTAATGGCTGCTGCTCATGATCTGAATAACTAGTTTCACTTTGAGGGGTAGTTAATAAGCCAGTAAAATAACTAGGTCTACGACTGTAATCGATACTGTCATGACGTTGATAATTATGATTCAAGCAACGATCAAATTCCATGTCAGATGGGTTTGTTGCTAAATGACTAGTATTTGATGTAGTAGTAGTATTAGTAGCAGTAGTAGATGCTAAATCAAAGGTAGAAGGAGGAGCAATAGCAGCAGTAGAAGTTTGATAGGAATACATGATATAGAATCTATATAAAAAATGAAACAAAATAAAATAAAATATTAGAATATATATGTCTGTACACTCTATTTTCCATCTATTTTACCAGCGAGAAATCAGATAATGAAATAATAAAACTTTTTTTTTCTTTTAAATCTTTATCGAAAAGTTTAAAATGAGTTTTTCTTCAAAAGGAATATATAAAGCGATTGTATGAGGGAGAGTATTTGGGGTCTTTTTTTTTGTTTTCCCTTTTTTTTTATTGATAAAAAGAAAAAATAAAATAAAAGAAAGACAATGAAAGGATTGTATGTAAAATGAAAATAATTAAAAGAAAAGAAGAAGAAATAGAACTTTTTTTTTTCACTATCATTTATGTATTTATATAAATATATATTTTTTTAAGTTTAAATAATGTATGGATTTGTACATGTAAATAGTAAGTCATCATAAAGACTATCCGAATGTTTGTTTACTGTTTAATTAAAAGGGATTCTTTTTTTTTAAATGATGCTCCTAAATTTGATATTTGCCCCTATCCTTTAGACTGGTGTAACTTTTACAATCTCCCCTTCTTAGTTCAAATAAATTTCAAAGCAGAAATAATCTATTGTCGATTTAATAACGACATTTATATAACTTACAAAACGTGTTTATTCCTCTTTACACGTAATTAAAAGAAAAAGGAGTAAAAAGAAGATTAAACTTGATGATAGAAAGAAGCAATTTTTTTTTGCTTTTTTTGCTTTTTTTTTTTTTTTGCTTTTTTTTTTCATTCATTTTTTAACCATGTGTAATATGATCGACTTTTGTATACAGTAATGCCGGATCAACAAACAATTTGAAATTCAGATTTTTTTTTTCCTCTAAAAAAATTCAAATAGACAACGATAAACAGGAAACATATTTAGAATTACTTTAATTGACAAATATCCTTGCTTGTTTGACTTTCTTTGCTAGTGCATAAGCATCTCTTTTTTTTTTGTTTATTTATTTATGTCTTGTTTTCTATTATTTGTTGAATAAATTGTGTCACCACGAAGGCAGTTTAGAATGACAAGGTCGCATCCTGCAATTAGATGATCTTTTTTATATATTCTTTATTATAAGAATGCATATAAATAGTATTATAAAGTCTGTGCAAGCTATTTATATACATATTTATATAAAGTCACTCTTGTATATTAGATAAGGGAGGGGAAGGAAAAGAAAGCTTTGACCAACTTATAAAAAGTAAGTCAAAACGTGCTCACAGACCCCGAAATAGATAGTCATGAATTCATGCTGTATGATAATTCCTAGTTTGCTTCCTTCTATCCAATAAACTTTCTTCTTCTTCTTCATCATCATCCACGAGCTCCTGCAGATCAATTTTAGAACAGCTTCTTGATCGTTTAAATAGTGCAATTATAAATCCAATTATAAACACGAGTAAAAATATCCATTGAGAATAATAAAAAAATACACCAAAAAAGGGTGTATTTACGATGATCCTATCAATGATAGAAGAAGATATAGTAGGTGTACATATATCTATTTATAACAATGAAATTAAGTAAATAAATATATAAATAAATATATAAATATATAATACCTGTGGGACCAAATACGTCACATCGAACAATTAATTCTTTATGTTGAGAGCAATCACGATAACCCGTCAAAGTAGTTTGGTTACACTATAGATGCCAATAATAATAATAATAATAGGATTAAAATAGAGTATTTCTACGAATTATAATATAATATACATACATAGACTTGACTTCCAAAATGTGCATAGCCTGGTGCTACTGTAGTAGTCATAGTATAATTTAAAGCCAATAGACTTAATGTTAATAAAACAGTAGAAAAGAGTAAGGCTTGAGGTGCTGTTGAGCCTCTTTTAATACGATATAAAGTGATCCAGAGAAATCGAATTCCAATTTGAATTATACCTAACATGGTAGTTAAAAAGAAGTATAAAATTAAGCTAACCATAAAGATATAATCCAAAGGAAATATAGCGGATAATTTCATGAAAACATAATTAATAGGATTAAATAAGTTTGGATGATTAATGACATAGCCACATTGACTTCCACATAACGAAAAGGCAATCTTATCCACTCTAGAATAAAGAGAATGAATTAAACAGTGAAATTCATGTATATAAATCATGTAATTTTACATGGTTAAAAATATCGAAATAATCAAGACTAGAGTTAAGCATAATAATAAGATACCAAATACAATCTAAAACAACAATAATAGAAGGCGTTATTTCTTTTCTTTTTTTTAACATGGGGTTTTTTTTTCCTTCACTCATACTTACTTCAAAAGGACGTAAAGAAGTGTAAAGTTTTATTAAGAGACTCGATTTATCTTCTTCTATATTTCTCATTCTCCTTATCAATATTCTTTTTTTTTTTTTTATAAATTCATGAATTTTCTTCATTTACTTTGAATGTTGTAATAAACTCCCTAAACTTACCTTTCTTCATCTTCCAATTCGTCTAATTCTCTTCTGTCTTTATTTGGTATAGTTCGATTCATGTACTTGGAAAGTAACATACGTTGTCTTTCTCTTATTGACACAAGTCGATTTTCAATATCTTCAACTTTTGCGTCAATTCTCTTTTGTCCTTTTATTAACTGTAAAGGTAATAAAGATAATCCTGGTGCCTAATAGTAAATCAAGTGTCAATATCCAAATTATTATGATTAACAAGTGATAGTTTTACTGTATAAGCAATGAATACAAGCATTCCGAGAAGAATTAAACAGGCTATAACAAATGTAATTGCCTTTTCACCATCTATTTATGATAATTAATAATACAGTATTGTATAATTGTTTCCACTCCTTACTATTATCTGTCAATAGCTTTTTGAACCAATCCAAGTCAATCTTCGGTATCTTTGTTGTTGGTTTCAAGAATAAGCCAAAGATAAATAAAAGGATTGAAATGATAACAAAAAAGGATGTATACTTTAAAGCTGATAACACACGCTCTTTCCTTGTCTCTTCATCATCATATTCTTCGTAATAAAAATAAGCAAATGGGATCAAAAAGAAGCTAAATAAAGTAATCAGTCCATAACAAACTATGATTAAAAATAGATACAATATATAAGAATAAGTTCATTTTTTTTCTTTTAATCTATTTATATATGAGAGAGCCATACTGTAATAAGCTGTCTTTATAGACAGTGTCATCATTTCAACTGTTTCAGGTGTTGCCCATTCCTTTTTAATTCCTTTTGTTTGATCTACTGTTGAAGAAACAAGGAATATATCAACAGGTAATAATATCAAAGTTGAAAATACGAGTCCCAAAGCTAAAATGGTGATCAACGTTGCAAAGAACTCAGATTCATGTTTATTTTGAAAATACCGCGTAAAAACTATACTAAATAAAAACAATAACTAAAAAAAAACATGTTGATTGTTTAATTCTTTTGAATGTTTTGTTATTATTTTAAGTGTCGAAAAAAAAAAAGGCATAAACTCACTGTAACAACAATTCCATACACAATCCATGCAATCCCTTCAACTGCAATCATTATTTAAATTAATTCAAGAAATAAAGAGGGTATGTTTAATTCGTAATGTGAAAATGGTATATTATGTAAATAAGTGAAAAAAAAAATAAATAAAAAAAAACGTATATTTAAAGTTGCATATAAAAATAACGCTGACATAATGCATATGGACACTCTTAAATACACACATAAATTTAACTTTAATGCAAAAAAAAAAAAAAAAAAAAAAAATAGTTGCTATTCTTTTTTTTTTTTTCTTTTTCTATATTAGTTTTTGTTGTTTAATAAATCAGATATACGATCCATTAAATGATTGTGTTGAGAGTTAGGTCTGACTTTTTCATCTGGTTGAGGAGTTGAACGTGCTGCTTGTCTACGACGTTGGCCTCCATAAGGATTCATCATTTCTTGAACGGACATAGATGGATCTGACTTATTACTATCAGGTCTTCCATAACCTTCATAGTCATTTAAAAGAGGAATAGAAGATGCTGCTCCTTTACGTCGAAGTGTCACTTCTACCTTAGGTTTACCTTGTTCATCTATTTCTGCATTATGAACATGGACTGTTACCACTTTTCTATCTGTCAAGACTAATCCAACAGCATCACGTTTTGATAAAAGGGCAACAATACCGCCAATACCAACAGCATATCCTCCATAATCCGCATTAAGAATACGTCCATGAACTGGGTAATCCCATCCAGCATGATATTCTGAGTAATCTGGACCAACCACGCCTCCACCTTTCTCTTTAGTTGTTTCTGCAAAGTTGGCATGAAGATAATCAAAGACTTGCTCTGGTAAGAGTTCTTTCTTTGCTATCTTTTCTTGGAAATCGCCTGCTTTTCTTTTTGATTCTCTTATAAATCGTTTGAATTCGATAGGAGTCATATTAGCCACATTATATTCAACTTCTTCATTACGAGGTGTAGGTTTACGAGAATTAGGAAAGTTCTCTCTCCAACGTTTAACAAATAGAACCTTATCATTTCCTGATTTCCATGGTGTCTGATGTTCAGTTGTATCCAGTGCCTCAATAATAACATTTTTTGCTTTAATCACTGTAGGTAAATTACGTTTCAATCCCCAATCGCCAATCTTTCTATAAGTTTGTGGTGAATGATAAACTTGTTCTAAAGTTCGATCATATGAAGCTAGTCGTGAATGTCTTAATAAATTAGCAAAGGACTTTTCCATCTTGATGTAACAAAAATTATTATTATAAAATAAAGAATGATTTTATTTTATGGCACAAGGTGACGAACTCAAACCCCGGCTTTCTTAATAATTTTATTTCAGAAAAAAAAAAATATATTTATTTGTGTATATTATAAAAAAAAAGGGGGGGGGAGAGAAATAAAACTCTGCACGGTGATTGTTAGAGGGATTAAAACGCCGCTCATCATTTTTTTTTTTTTTTATTTGCATTTAGTTTCGAAATAATTAATAGCAGCAGATTGTGCCATCTTTTGAAGTAAAGTTTGCTTCTTTTCCTTTTGCTCTTCGTCATCATCATCATCGTTATCGTCAGTGCCACGTTCCATAAACATCTTTACCATTTCTTTGGCTGCATAAGCAGCAATAGCTTCTTTAGCACCTTTAAAATGAACATTTTCACCATTTGCCTCTTGTTGTTCCATATACATTTTGACTGCTTGAACAGCGACAGCACCAGCAATCACTTCATAACTTAGATGAGATTTTTTCTTTTCATACACCTTTTCATGAGCCTTTCTTAACTCCTTCTCCTTTAAAACATCATTCTTTTCATCATCTCCCCAGCCAAACCAATTACCAAACCAAGCTGTTAAGCGAGCACGTTTACCATCATCTTCTTCATCATCAGAGGAATCGAATACCTTGGGAGGGTCAGCAAGTTGAAGGTCCCAAAGTTGATTCATACCGTCTTCTACTATCTGAGCTCGTTTATAGATCATAATCGTTGCTCCAGCTTCCATTTCCTTTTTGCGAATATCAACTACTTGCTCAGCATCACAAAGAGTATAAATATGCCCATATTCACTTGAATACCCAAAGCGTTGGTCATTTGCCTTTTTTTTTTTGTTATAATTTGTATTACAATTTGTTCCATTCCGAAAATTATGATTATTATAAAATACTTACTTTGTCTTCATGTTTCATCACATCTACATAGAGATGTTCGTGCCCAGTAAAGATATCTATTTATTTTTTTCAAGAAGTTAGTAGTTAAATATTATTATTATTAGCTTTTTACCTATAAACTTTTCTGATTTTCCAATATCCATGACTAAACCAACAGCTTTATTAGTCAAGAAACCTAAGGAAAGAAGGAGGTTATTTTAACTTGATACTCATTCTCTCTTTTGTTAGTATTATTATTATTATTTAACTCTACCGTTTTGATGTATCCAGAGTTGTGAATCTCTTTCAGGTTTATCGTCTTTCTTTGGTGCCGTAATAAGCTTTGTTCCAGGCTAAATATATATATTTATATACATATTTCTTTTTTTCTTTAGTCATAAAATTAATTTAACTGTTGATAATAATAACCTCTATTTTTTTATTTTCACTTGTGTCAATATCCAGGACTAAACCATTCATTTTAGAGATGATATAAAAATACCCAATTGGAAAAGAATCTGCTTGGATAGTCATTTTTTTTATTATTATTATTATTATTTACTTGTAAAATAAAAAAAAGAAAAGAAAAGAAATAAAAGCCTTTACAATGCCCCTTTTTTTTTTATTAAATATCGTGTCGCCATTGCAATACAACAAGAATATTAGAAAAGATCTAGAAGAATAAGATTGTGCCACATGAATGTAAATAATAAATACTAATTTCCTTAATAAATTACCTGTCCGTTTCCCTCCCCTCCCCCTCCATCATCATATAAGTTATGTGAAAAAAAAAGTCAACATCATTTGGCGATATATAAACATATACATAAAGCCTTAATCTTCTCTTCCAAGTTTCTGTCTCAATATATAGCTATAAATGAGTACACCTGCAAGCTTATATTGATTCTGTGAGACAGAAGAGTACAGGCCCCCCCCCATTAATTCTAATAAAGAGGGGACTAAAGATCAAAGTTTATCGAAATTTGAAATTAGTTAAAACGAACATACATACATACATATATGTATGATTAGTATGGCTTACTAATGGCTCAATAAATTATGCTTTATATTTGCTTAGGTCGTAAGGAATAATTAGAAGAGTGTTGAAAAGCACTTTTCGAAAGTGTGTGTGTGTGTGTTTGTTTTCCTGTAGTGAATTATTTACTTGTATTCCCATAAATAAAATAAAATGATAGCTTAATTATTGATGCTATTTGCAATATAAAAAAAACCTACAATAATATATATCCATAGTCTAATTAGATACATCTACTTGGCCCTGCGCTTCATTTTTATAATGATGTGTATGTGTGATTGTATGATTTGCAGAAAAAAAAAAAGTATTATGATGCACGTCTATAATATATCATCATATACAGGTAAAAGTTTTTTATTTATTACCTTCAATATGAATATCATGTAGAATGCTCATCAATTGTATACAAGCAATACATGTTATTTAATAAACAAGAATGATAAAAATAGATTATATGTACATGTATTTATTATTATTATTTTTTTTTTTATTTCCTACATCGTCTACAATACCACTCTTCAACATGATCACTTTCAGCTATTCCAACACAACTACCATGAAACCAAATACTACACTTATCACAAGCAATCATGAATGTACCATAATCAACTGTTGGATTTTCACATATACATCGGATCTCTTCTGATGCCATATGTCCATTAGCTAAAGGAGTAGTAGCAGTTGTACGTTGTGTTACTGCTGGTGATTGTGGCTGTTGGAATAATCGAAGCTGAGGCTGCTGCTGCTGCTGCTGCTGCTGCTGTTGCTTTTCTAATTTAACAATTGTGCTATTATGACCATTAGGGGAAGATTCATTAGGCGAGTTTGACTTGCTAGTTTGATTATCTTGTTGTTGTTCTGGAGGTTTGATTTTGAATCTAATCTTAGGTGTACTAGGTAATGACCCACTTTCTTCATTTATTTGGGTTACAGAAGATGGGTTTTGTTGTGAAAAATTCAATACAAGATGAGGGGATTTTTTATGTTTCTTTTTCTTTTCTAATGATGGACTTGAAGACATGCTAATATTATTAGTGTTAGAACTAGCTGCAATTGCAGATGAAAAAGAATTAAGTGATATGGGCCCTGTTTTCGTTATTGTTGACGTTGGTGTTGACTTTGTGGTTACTATTGCAGATGCAGTAGATATAGATGATTGTGGTTTATGTAAAGGCGTAGCTGCTGTCATAGAGGATATGTTTACCATAGTTGTTGGTGTTGGTGTTGTTGTTGATGATGGTGGTGATGTTGGTGATGTTGGTGTGGTTGTAGGTGGTGTTGGCGTTGATGTTGTTGATAATAGAATTGTAGAATCTGAATTAGATGGCATTTCTCCATTCTCCTTTTGCTGTTGTTCTAGTAACCTTTGTCTTTCTAATGCCTGCTGCTCTGCTAACATACGTTTTTTCTTCATGATATATTTACTCTCCCCTGTTTTGATCTCGTTAATATCAATACTATTTTTACTAATGGTATAATTGGCGCCAAATGATGAAGGTGGAATTGATTGTGAAAATGAGTTTGATTTTGTCAATTTGCTTAGCTTCTTTATTGCTGCTGCCTTTGTTGACATACTGCCACCTGCTAATACAGCCAACATACTATTTGATCTTGAGATCTTTGACATGCCATCAGGTGAAGTAGGTAATGAGCTAGAGGAACCAAATTCATTGGATAATCCACTAAAACCAGCAAGTGTTGATATAGCAGGTGCTGCTGAATTCGAAGTAGCAGTAGCAATATCGATTAACAAATTAGGTGCTGTTAATTTTGAAACGATAAGAGGTTCAGCCACTTTACGAACCAAATCATCAAAAATTCCTGCATCATGGTTAAATAAATGATTACCGGGTGCTGCGCTTTCCGCCGTTTGCCCTTTAAGTAAAGCCTCTTTCCCTCTTAGACCCTCTCCCAATTTATAAGTCGGTGCTTTTACATTCTGAAGCGCCTCTGCTAAAGGTTCAATAGACACTTTTCTTTGTTTATGAACTAAGGTATCCTCACTTGTCTCTTTACGTTTATGGCTATGTGTTTTTAATGATAATGACAAAGGCTTTGGTTGTTGTTGATTGTCTTCATCATCTAAAGCTAAACTAGAATCCTCGAATGGTATAATATGAGTAAATGGGTTTTCGATAGGCTTCTTTCGCTTTTTAACAATGACAGGAAGAGGTAATGATTCTGCAGAAGATGGCTTTTGTTGTTTTTGCTGTTCCTCTTGTTTTTGTTTTTCTAATGCTTGTTGTTTTTGTATAGGTATTTTATCGACTTGTTCTATTTCAATATCTTCTTTAACTTCGGGGAATGATGGAAAGTAGGATGGAATGTAGTCGGGTAATTCTACGACAGGTGGTGGAGGAGAAGGTGAGTCTATTAAAGGTGAAGAAGAAGGTGAAGGTATATCGAATTCTGGCACATCTCCAAAAGTGTATTCAATAATGTCATCAAAAGTTGGTTTTCCACCATTGATTACATCTTTGTATATATTTATACAAATATACACGTATTCAAAAAAAAAAAAAAAAAAAAAAAAAAAAAAAAAAAAAAAAATAGGTAACTTTGCTTTCTTTGTTATATTATTAATTAGGCTTTACCTTGAAGAAGTCGACTTGGGTCTGATTGCGCTGACCAACAGGGAGTTAATGTTTTTCCATCTTCTTCTAACCAAACTTTCAATACATTGGTATCAACAGCTATTTCATCTAAGGCTTCCATTAAATCTCTTGCTGTGCCCATTGTTCTGCCATTCAAATTAGCATAAGCTGAAACTGTAGAGCCTAAAAACTGAATATACTTCCCAAAAATATCAGTAAGCGTGTCAATAGATTGACCATTAGCAGACTCAAAACCAGCACTATGTATGATTTGTTGTGTTGCTGTCCTCAATATTGAATGACAAATATTATCTGTCATTATGTGCAATGTGATTTAGTATGTTAATAAAATAATGGACAATATGTATGTGTTTAAAAAAAAAAAAAAAAAAAAAAAAAAAAAAAAATCACTTCAAAAAATTTTAAAATATACGTCATCAGAGTATCTGCGCACAATAATACGGAGTTAAAATAAGAATTTACAATTAATAAATATTAGAAAAGTTTGATCTGATGTGAGCATATAATGTGGAATGTACCATGCTTTCCCCAGACTAGTTCGATATAATAGATTAAAAAAAATCCTCTCCCCTTTAAAAGTGACAAGGAGTAAGATAGATTAAAAAACAAAAAAGAAGTAAGCCAGTAGTAAAAAAAAAACATCAATGATAATAAAGAAATAAATATTTTTATATGTATAAAAATATATATCAACAACATTAGCATAAGTTGTCATCACATAGCTAAGGAAGAGACTTTCAGCCAAAGTCAGGTATAATACTAGAAAATACTTTATCATAAAATAAGCAATTGAATTCAAATAATATACGATAAATAACTGGCCATTGTATATCTCAAGAGAGAGAGAGAAGATGAGTTGTTAGGAGAAGTGGCAAAAGAGGATGTGTCCTCTCTCACATAGTTAGTTGACCAATAAGATGTAACATTACTTCTGCGGAGAACCGAAAAACTACTATTGAATATGTGACAGATGCATTGGTTCTACTAGTTGTTTGTAGAGTCTTGAGGTAAAGAAACTAATTGTCAGTCCATATTCTAATTGAGCTTGAACAATTTGTGCATAAAGCCTTACTGATAATAATCTATTGAAAACATTATGGTTAACATCAATAGCTTTCATTTGGTTCATGTTTTGGAATGATTTTATTGCTATTTCTTTGTTTTCCGGAACTTGGGTGTCTAGATAGCCACCAATTTTGATAGGAATAACCAGGTGGTGGTGGGGAGGGGAAAAGATGTCCTGTATAGGTATAACTGTGCTATATAGCTATTGTAATTGTGTATCCGAGAGTAGGGCTATGATTGAATATTCGGGAAGAATTCTAGTGGTAACTGAGCAGATGGGTAAGATGCAATTAATACAAGTATTCTTGTATAATATAATATTGAGACGATTTTAATTTTTTGTTTTTACGAATAAGACTTCATCTTTTTAGAATAAAGTTGAAACCTGTAAATAATAGGAAGATTATTCTAGGATAAGCTCTTTTTGTAAGCAAGAATCCACTTTATATATATTACCTTCAGTTCAGTATTCTTCAATAGAGTTTAAAAAGGTTGGGTATAGAGGTAATAATAATAATAATAATAATTTATACTCTTGGGCTTCAATGATGTTTATAGCAAAATGACAGCGGTAAATTTTATAGTTATGCATCACAAGGAAATAGCCCTATTGTTTCATTTTTAACTAATATATTCATATATTTTAATGTAATTGTGCGCTTTCTTATTAACTCAAAACATAGTATCGAAACCCTCGTGTTTAAGATGTATCTCTTTCTAGAGTGTATTATTTTCTTGACTGTTTCAATGGTACAATACATTTTCTTGAATATTATAAACATATGCATGGTTAAATAGAAACGGTATTTCCAAGTCATATAAGCGTGTCATTGTATCTCTACTTACCATCTGTAATAGTAATTGATACATTCACATGAATCAAGTCAGTATATCTTCTAGTTATGGTATTATCAAAATAGGTCAGCATTTACTATGTCCAGACATATTATATAGATATAAGCGCCTATAAGTGCATCTAACTTTCGTTGAATAATAATTACTAACGCTACATAATAATCCCAAATATCGAGATATCATTTGAAAATACTCAACATCATATAAAAGCTTGTTTTCTAACTAAATATATTTTTATCTAAATGTGTATATGTGTATGTGCTTATTAAAATTACGAAATAAATCATTATTAAATTTTTTTTTGACACAATTTCATTTAATTTTTTTTTTTTTTTTTTTTTTTTTCTTTAATCGAAAATGTCATTTAAGGAGGTAGCAATTGAATCTGAAGCACTTTGCATTAGTAAAGATCCTCATCATCCTGCCAACTTGATTCCCGAATTATGTCGTTTATTCTATCAGTTAGGCTGGGTCACTGGTACTGGTGGTGGTATTAGTATTCGAAAGGGGTAATGATGATCCAAATTTTAACAAAAAAAAAAAAAAAAAAAAAAAAAAAGAAAGAAATTCTAAAAGGTATTGAAATTTACTCAATTTTATTCAATAGCGATCTTGTCTATATTGCACCTTCTGGAGTTCAAAAAGAGCGTATTCAGCCAGAAGATCTATTTGTTATGAAATTGCAAGATCGTGCAGTATTAAGAAAACCACTTGTTTTTAAGCCATCTGCTTGTACACCTTTATTCTATAATGCTTATACCATGCGAGATGCAGGTGCTTGTATTCATACACACTCTCAACATGCAGTTATGGCTACCTTAGTTTTTCCTGGAAAAACTTTTGAGATTTCCCATCAAGAAATGATCAAAGGCATTCGCATCGGCTCTACTAAGAATAATTTGCGTTATTTCGATAAATTAGTAGTTCCTATTGTTGAAAATACACCTGAAGAAGAAGATTTAACTGAAAGAATGGCTGAAGTAAGTACTTTATATATACATATATGATGACGATGATGATGAATCATGTTTATAATGTTATCATTGTTTATTAGGCTATGAAAGAATACCCTGATACGAACGCTGTTCTAGTTCGTCGACATGGTGTATATGTCTGGGGAGGTAAGATTATAAATAAATAACTTGATTGCTTTTCTTCTTTTTTTTTTATTTATTATTTTATTTAAAACAACACTATTAGAAACTTGGGAAAAAGCAAAGACTATGGCAGAATGCTATGATTATCTTTTTGAGATTGCACTCAAGATGAAGGCTATTGGTATTGATCCTGCTGTTAAGCCTGAAAGTGAGCCTGATTATTGTTAATAAAGAGTGTAGAAGAGGTTAATTTATATATCATAGAAAATGTTAATAATAAAAAAATAGTGGCATTTGTGTAATAAATACATGTTATTTCTAAATATATATATATTGCTTTAAACCAGGAAGCAAAAGCATTATTTTGGCATAGTTAAAGAGTATATTAAAGGTATTGATGATATTTCGTATATCTGGTGCACTGAATGTACTACAAGCTTGTATTTTTTTGTCTGATTCCTTGATTTCATTGAAATGTGCCTTAGTTATAGTATCTTCCTGTTGTACAAACATATTCACTCCTCTTTTTGAATTGTATTCTCAAATTTATTTTTAGATACCATTGAGTATCGTAGGTTTACCCTAACAGTATCCAATGGGTAGTGATTTGTCTAAACAGTATAAACTGACAAAGTCTCACATTACACACTGCTGTTTCTGAGTATTTTCTCATTTGTTAATATGGGTCAAAGGAAAATAAAAAAAAAGCCCATCACACTAAATCAATTATCAGACAAATATTAAATAAACTCAATACAATACAATGTGATATGAACTATGATCTTCTTTATTTACTACTCAATTCTCCCTTCCTTATTTCTTTTGATGATAATCATCATAACTACAATAATATTGTTTATATATAAATATACTATTTCCACCTAAATAAGTCCCTTTTTTTTTTCGTATTAAACTGGTCTGGGTCAATTTGATAAGCAAAAACATATCCGCCTAATTGGATAAATTAAAAAAAAAAAAAAAAGGTCTATCAGAAAAATCATTTTTTTTCTTTTTCTTTTTTTTTTTTTTTTCTTAATATAAATTTATATATCCCTCCTTTTTATTCATAATTTGTCAAAGATGGAAGAATCAATCAGCCCAGTATTAAGAAGACTTCGCAATAAACCAGAAGCACCTCGTATTGATTTTAGTTTATTCACACAAGACGATGGTACAGTTGTTAGTACTAAGGATCGTGTAATAAAAGGTAAATCATTGATAAAGAATAATGAGTAGCATTTCTCATGTCTCTATTTCTCTTGTTCAGATGTACCTGCACCTGCTGTTACTTTACCTACAGATGATGAATTTTGGAGCAAAGAAAGACCTGGATTACCTGACATTAAGTTTTTGAAAGATCATTTTTATAGAGAAGGAAGATTGACAGAAGAGCAAGCATTATATATTCTTGAAAAAGGTACTGAAATTCTCAAGACGGAGCCTAATCTATTAGAAGTAGGTGCACCTATTACAGGTAAGTCTATCAGATAAAAGAGTCTACAAAAAATGGCTTGCTTGATTTATCGTACTTTTTTTTTTTTTCTTTAGTTTGTGGTGATATTCATGGTCAATATTATGACCTTATGAAATTATTTGAAGTTGGAGGTGATCCTGCTAGTACAACTTATCTCTTTTTAGGTGATTATGTTGATCGAGGTTATTTTTCAATTGAGGTAATTTGAACGTCATTTGTATTAAAAGTATGTATGTATGTATGTATACTTATAATTCTTGTAGTGCGTATTATATTTGTGGTCACTTAAAATGTGGTATCCAAATAGTTTCTTTTTGCTACGGGGTAATCATGAGTGCAGGCACTTGACTGATTATTTCACTTTCAAAATTGAATGTAAAGTGTATATATATATACGTTAAATGATGCTTGTATTGATATTATTATTTAGGTCGTCACAAGTATACTGAGAGAGTCTATGAGGCATGTTTGAATTCTTTTTGTGCATTACCATTAGCTGCTATTATGAACAGACAATTTCTATGTATACATGGAGGCCTTTCACCTGAATTACAAACACTAGACGATTTAAAAAAAGTAAAAGTCATAGATAGATAGATAGATATTAAACTTGACTCATTTTATATATTTATATATCTTAGATTGATCGTTTTCGTGAACCACCTACACATGGTCTTATGTGTGACCTTCTTTGGTCAGATCCACTTGAGGAATTTGGACAAGAAAAAACAAATGAATTGTTTGTTCATAATCATGTAAGAGGATGCTCCTATTTCTTTAGTTATCACGCTGCTTGTCAGTTTTTAGAGAGAAATAATTTATTATCTATTATTCGAGCTCACGAAGCACAAGATGCTGGGTAAATATAAATATATAGAATATATACACAAAAAAAATAGGCATGTTTCATTCATAGATATGCTTCTATTCAGATATCGTATGTATCGAAAGAGTAAAACAACATCATTTCCTTCAGTCATGACTATTTTTTCTGCCCCTAACTATCTTGATCTATACAACAATAAAGCAGCTGTGCTAAAATATGAAAATAATGTCATGAATATTCGACAATTCAATTGTACACCTCATCCATACTGGTTACCCAATTTCATGGATGTCTTTTCTTGGAGTTTGCCATTTGTTGGTGAAAAAAGTAAATACGCTGGAAGAAGCAGAAAAAAAAAAAGGAAATACTAATTCTAACTTGATGTAGTTACTGATATGTTAATTGCTGTACTTAATGTATGCAGTAAAGAGGAACTCGCAGATGAAGATAAATTATTAGAAAATAAATCAAATAATACGTTGGATGAGTCTGAACAACGTAGGATCGTTATTCGCAATAAGATTATGGCAGTTGGTAAAATGTCTCGTGTCTTTTCTGTTCTACGTGAAAACTCTGAACGTGTAATGGAATTAAAATCTTTGTCACCTACTGGTAAATTACCTTTAGGAACATTAGCTTTAGGTGTAGAAGGATTAAAATCAGGTAAAATCAATTAAAAAACTACTAAATTTAATGACTAAATGACCAATTGTATTTGATTAGCCATTACAACTTTTGAAGAAGCTAAACGATCTGATCTTGAAAACGAACGTTTGCCACCTACACGTGAAACAAGAGATCAAATTTTAAGGGAACAAACAGATTATAAAATCCGTACAGCGGTTAATGAAGAAGATGAAGAAATGAAAGATGCAGTCCATGCTTTTGATTAAGAAAAAGAAAAAAAATATTTAAAAAAGAAATAAAAACATATTCCCCTTGTTTGTCGTCATTGTTGTAATACTATCAAAAAAAGGAAATAAAAACATTTACCATTTAATTTTTTTTATGCAATTATTAAAATAAAAACTAATAATGTTTTTTTTCATTCTTTTTCGTTATAAAAAAAAAAAATGGAGAAAGAAAAGTATTATGGAAGAACTTCAGTTGATAGTAGTTGTTTAGGCACAAATCGTGTACCTAGAAAACCAGTTGTTAATAATCCTTTAGTTCAGAATAGATATTCACCACAATGGAAAGTAGCGATACAGCCATCTACACTCTATCAAAATAAAAAGCGACATCAATATCCTAAACAATATTACTATTATTCTAATAGTATGACGAATAGTGTCGTTATCAACAAAAGTCAAATCAACAATCATCAATATTCCAAAAGACCCTATTCTACTACAACAATTCGAGATCAACAAACACCTTCCATTCTGTGCAATCCTGAGGAGAATAAGTTGAGAAGAGGTCAATGTGATTCTAGTAGTAGTAGTAGTAGTAGTAGTAGTAATAGTAATAGTAATAGTAATAGTAGCAACACTAGTAGCAATACTAGTAGCAATACTAGTGGTACTCTCATTACTCCTACCAGTCGTCAGAGCCCCTCTTCAATTTATTATCCTCAAGTAAAGACAACAACCCCTAATTTTTGGTATCCAAGAACGGAATCACAAACCTCTGAGCAACGAATGAAACCTTTAAAACGTGGCTTGAGTAAGAAACTGCGAGAGTTACTTCAACCTCAACGAACTTTGATTGAAGAAGGAGGTGCTTCAAAAGAATATTATATGAAAGCATGTCAAAAAAGTTTAAAGCGATGTCAATCACCTATTATAGATGAAGAAGATAAAAGTCCTTTTCAAGTTTTGCTGTAAAATAGGATATATATATATACATATACATTTGTATATATATTGTATAAATATTTATCTTTCTTAATTTTTCATTCCCTTTTTTTTTTTTCCTCTCTCTCTCTCTATATATATATATATATATGTATATATATATTAAGTTATGCAAAGAATGTAGTAGCGGAGAAAAGGCCATCAGGAGCTTTTCACGAAACAGATTTTAGTCAAGTAGATAGCTATGCATCGACAGTTCAACAACGAGGACCCCTAATGACTCCAAGCATTTTATCACAGAAATTTCTTGCAAGACCCTATCGAAGGGATTTATATCGATTAAGAGCCATCTTTATATGGCTTATTCAAAATATTCGACCTGAATATGATCAGCGAAGAAGGGGAGAAGAGCGCCATTTAGTTTTAAAGCAAAGACAACCACCATTAGGCATGACAGCTCATCAAAAGACTCGAGGAGTATATCGAATGATAACTCATCCTCCTATTAAAGAAAATCTATTCGTGTCACCTTCAGATTTGAATACCCTTACTGAAGAACCACCCAGTCGATTAGATACGATGGATTCCCTTGAGCAAGAGGCCCTGTTAACATCTTCTATATCATTTGAGGAAAATAGAATAAAGGAGACAGCAAAGGAAGTATTGGAAAAACGAAGTTGTAAGACTGCATTAGGGATGGCGAATTTATTTATTGAAATGGTAAAAGCTGCTGGCTTTGAAGATGCATATATAATCTATGGTTATTTAAAAGGTTGTTATTATCAGGTAAAAAGTGTGTATGTGTATGTGAATGTGTGTATGTGTGTATGTGTGTATGTGTGTGTGTTTATGAGAAATAAGAGTTAAAAAAAAGAAGAGGGGGAAAGGAAAGGTAAGAGAAGATAAAGTAGACTCATGTATATTTGTCTATATTAGCTCCAAAAGATTCTGTAACGTCTGAAAACAAAAAATTAAATCATGTTTGGTGTTTGGTTAAAATTGAAGGAGAATATCGAATGATAGATTGTTGGTTAGCATCTCCATTCCACCCACAAAACGAAAATAAGATGGAGTCCCATTGGTTTTTAACAAGACCTATTGATATGATCATGACTCATTTACCTATGCATCAAAAGGATCAATATCTAAACCCGCCTTTGTCAACTAGCGAATTCTTTGAATTACCGTATGTTCGTCATCCCTTCTTTTGGTATCAAATGCAAGTTATCGAATCCTGTACGGATCTTCGAGATAAAGGAAATGGTGTGTTCTATGTGTCTCTAAAGCTTGCACAGTTAACCATTCAATGTTATGCTGAAGTTGAGGCCGATGATGGAACAATTGTACGAGGACTAGCACAATGTTACATGACGGAAAAGAATGACAGGTTCTGTAAGATTAAAGCTGTCTTACCACCTCATCAATCATCAGGATGGCTAAAGGTCTATGCTGGACCTAGAAACCAAATCAATCCCTCACATCAAGAGACAATCCATCAACATTCTCTTGCTCTTTGTATACGTATTCATGGTCGTCTAACCTCATCAGACATGTTTGAATTGGTTCAATTGCATACAGATCCAAATGAATTTTATATCCAGGAACCACAATGTTACTATCTGTACCCCTTGCAGACTTATCATTTCTGTATACGTGCTAATGAGAGTAGAGTAGACAATCATCATCAATATCATCGAATTACGCACCATAAGTTGGCCATCAAAAGTCCTGGTGGGAAACTTGTGAAACTCATGTATTACCCTCAAGATCAAGTCTATAATGGTACAGTAACAATTAGTGAGGCTGGTGAATGGTCATTGATTTGTTTGCAACATCATACAGGTGGATCTTATACTATTGCCACATGGGCATGTAAAATAATGAAGAAAAATATAGGATACAATGTAAATATAGAATAAACGTATACTGCTGTTATATTCCCTTTTTTTGAGTGATCTATGATAACCTGCATACACACACATACACACACACACACACACAAAAGAAAAGAAACCTTCCTCCTCGTGTAATGATTAGCGTCTCATAGCAAATAGTTTTAACTTGTACTGTATTTTCGCTGTCAATTGGATACTATTAACCACTTTTGTGAAAGTTCAATTGGCCATTTGTTTGGAAATTAATGATCACTTTTTTAAAGTTCATTACACCTTACAATAATTTTAAGAAAGAGTTATATAGCAACCTTATTTCTGCATGTGTCAAACTAGTTGACAGATTGCTGAATTATATTTCAAATTTGCTCAACAGGTACATTTTCATTAGTATCCATTGTTTTTGTAGTAAGTCTTTCAATCTCTTTGAGCGTATCACGCTTTACTTTTCCCTTAAAAATGGACCAAAAATTCTCAATTAATTTGATTTCAGATGAGTAAGGATGAAGGCACGCTGTTACATAGCCCCAATTTAAAAACCACAGGGTCAATTACACCAGGAGCATGGATTGGGGCATTGCCCATAATAATAAAATACCCTTTCATTTCTGAGGACTCATCCATAATATCCGTGATACAGTTAAGAAATTAGAAGATAATGTTCACTAGTAGTACCATTAGGAACATTTAATTTATCTCCGGGGGCTTTTCTTTTCGTAGCCCCTACAATCCTCCTTCTTTTGATATTTCCCTCTTCTCTCATGCTCATATTGCTAACACCAACAGCCACTATAGCACCAAAAACAGTATGAGAAGAAGAGTTTGTGGAAGGAGTTGTTGTAACCGATTTTTCATCACATGGCGACCAATGACGACTACGACACATATTGATGTTAAATCCTGATTCATCTACAAATACACAATTACTGAAATACTTAACGTCGCCATTATCGATCCACTTATCAACTCATTCGGCACGAGCTTCAAAATTTTTATCTTCATTTCTGGTAAGAGCGTGTCTGTCTACAACTTTGATGATGAGATTACATTCCTCTTTCATAAACTCAGCTACTTTTGTTTTTTTAATCTCTAAGCCTGCAACGTGCTTCGTCAAATCTTCACAGTGTCCCGAATTGCTGCCATAGATTCCTCATCGAAAAAAAAAATTAATAAGATGAACCTTTTGCGCTTCGTTCAGTTGACTAACTGGTCTGTTGGTCAAATTCGTCTTTGGAAATAAGTATAATTTAAGAACTTTATGAAAGCACTTACTTCAATAATAGCTAGACCTTCTAACATTTTCATAATACCCTTTTTTGTTCAATTTACTAAATCTATTTGGATATGTTATTTCTTTTAGTTTCTGTACTACGTAGATGTTTTTATCAATGAGAGAGATAGTGTATAAATCCCATTATTTGAATGATTGGGATTCGGATATTCTTAATTTCGTTATAAGAAAGAGCTGGGAGGGCTTTAACAACAGTATTTAAGTGCACTTTAGCCGCGAGCACTGTTTTAGTCTTGTCATAATAGTACTTTGTTGAGACTGCTGCTGATGTTTTTACAAATCCTCCGTTGGAGATATCAAAGAGGGGGGGGGCCAATGTCGCTTTTGGCGATGATGCGTAGGTCAAGTTTTGAAGTCAATGTATAATGCCTTACATTCGTTAGAGATTGTATCACCCCTTATTAGTATATATTCAATTAGATATTCATTTTATTTGAGGCTTACCATTGGAGGAATATGTTCTTTTTATGCTGGACCAATATTTAATAATAATACTCATTCCTGAGTGTTTTGAGTTCAAAAGATAAGGAAAGAGAAAAAAAAAGAAAAGACAAGTCTGTGAAAACTCGGTATAGTTTATTTTAAAGAAAAAAAAATAATACAAACATTGTACAAAAGAAAAAAAATATAATATAGAAAAATGACAAGGGCTATTTATATGTTTTTTTTTGCAAAATATGTGATATTAATAGATGTATGATAATAAAGCATTATGTGTAAACGTTGTCTGTGTAAATATTGTCTCCAAATAGTCCTGAATGTAATAATACATATTTCCTTTAACTGTCGCTGTTACTAGAAATATACCCAATTATTATTTCTGAAATAAGCAACGCGTCAATATTAATTTACAGTGAATGTTTTAGCTATAACAATAATACCAATCATTTATATGCCAATACTATTATTATTATCATTCTCCAAGATGTTATTACATAACAATATTCAACATTATAGATGTATATCCTATTGAATTCTTATTATTGCATAATACAATATATATAATTATTTCTTTGGTTCCTGAATACTCTCACAATGACTGTTATTAGAACTGAATGTAGAATGAATATTATGCTGTAAAGTACAATACACTAGTTTTATTTGAGTAACCTCTTTATTATTTAAATAAATGATGGTTTATTTCTATTAACTTGGTTGTAAATACGACTACAATCATGACACTGTGCATCGTTTCGTGTACGAGTCAGAGAACATGTTTGATTTATAAATGTGCCGTTCAAGGCTTGAAATTGCCAAAGAAGAAAAAAAAAAAAGGTTAGTAAGCTGAGTGCTTGTTATTAGTATGAACTTACATGGATACATAAATATTTTTGATAATTCTCTGGGAGAATGAATTACTGATGATGCATTCAATTGATAACAGTGCGGCTACTGCAGTTCTTTTGTTGATGACCCTGTAATAATAATGATAAAGTTAAAAAATGGGTAATAATTTCAAAACTTCTAAATAATTCACCTTTTTGAATAAGTTCAATTTGAGTTGGCTTTGACTGGACCTTGTAACCATATTTGTTATTCATGTATTTCTTAAATAAATAAAGAATCACCAAGTTGTGCTATTTGTGAGTTGGGTGTTGCTACGGATATATCAATTACTGAGTTTTTGCTTAAACTATTGATCATTATTTAGTAAAAAGAAAAAAGAAAAAAAAAAGAGTAAGAGAGCGCATGGAAATGATAACAAGATTAGTTCTTGTCAATACAGATTATCTTTCCTTACTATACCTTTGTAATTGCCTTAACATTTTCTATCTGTCTTTGTAATTTTAGCAATTGTTTTTTGATTAACAAGTTCATTTAAACTATATTCAATCTCTTTTTGACTCGTAATAATATATCAATAATAATAATAAAAGTTGAAAAAGGGCGTTTAATCATTTTTTTTTCTTTTTATCTTTGGCATTGTTTTATATGTGGATTGTGTAGTAAAAAAAAGGTGTCCAGTTGAACTTTCACAAAAGTGGCAATTAAGTTTCACAAATTTGATCCGCATTTTCAATTGACGGTGGAAACACAGTAATTTTAATATGCAATAAGATTAATAATAGTTTATTGTGTAATATCACTGCTTGTACACGATTACTTTCTCCTTTTTTTTTTTTTTTTTTTTTTTTTTTTTTTTTTTTTTTTTTTTGTTTAATAAAGTAAGACAAAAGATAGTATTGTGTCAAAGTAAATTACTATCCACGAGGAGAAGAATGTTACTCTTCTTCTTACACAACTGTAATAATTAACTAAAAAAAAAAGAAAAAAGGGGAGCGGGTAGTGTCCATTTTGACGTACACAAGATAAACTAATAGTAATACATGAGATCGAATGGTAGTAAAATTCTCCTTTAATTATTTATTATCAAGTACAAGTAATTAATTTTATTTTATTTTTTTTTCAAAGAAGGAAATCTTCTCCCTATTCACTCACTTTTCCCATATATGTCTATTTTTCCTTATCTCGCTTTACTGCAACGATACCTGGAATAACTATTTTACCCTAAAAAATAAGACCTCTTCCTTTTATATATAAATATATGCATATATTCTTCTTTAAAGAAGGTTTCTTTTTTCTTCTTTTTTTTTTATTACATTACTATGAATAAAAAGTATCTATTAAACAATAATAACAATCATAATATCATTGTGCCTTATGAGAATATTCCTAATAAAAGAATAAAGGTGTAGTATTGAAGATAATTAGCAATTGAGAGAACAGAAAAAACTGATATTAGATAAATTAGCATATAACAAAATCAAAGAAAAGCAGCAGCAGCAGTAGTAGTAGTAGTAGTAGTAGTAGTCATAATAGAAATGAACAATATACTACGATATTATCTCACTTTGTATCCTTTCTCAGAACCTATTTCTTTGGAATACATAATAAGAAGCAACCGAAACAGGCATTTTATGTGTGTCTAAAGGGTGAAGGATTTATGCCCCGAACACCAACGAGAAAAACGGATGTATTGATTACTCCATATACAGTAACAGCTACTACTCCAATTAAAGATAGGAATCATCATCGGCAACAACGACAACAACCTTCTACTGTCCTCAATGCTGTTATTACATTATCAGAGATACTTACTACTGAGCAATCTCATCATGTTCAAAGTTATTATAAAAAAAGGGAACCTCCCTTACAAATTGTAACTTTTAAAAGAGACCTTCCTCTCTTTGAAAAAAACAATGACCCATCTAAAAAGAAAAGAGACATATCTCGTACTAATTCTGCTTATTTACGCATAATTGTAGCTGAAATAAATATGATGCGAACTGAAAAAATCGTTTGTCCTTTAAGGCATAGAGGTTCTTTACCTCCTAGAATTGATTTATTTCAATCTTCTTTACCAAGTCCACTTAAAAGATATTCAACTATTTAATAAACTATCGGGAATATAATACATACATTACTATATGTCTTTTTTTTTTTTTTTTTTTTTTATTTCACTGGATTTATAGCGCGTGAATACAGATAGATAGATAGATAGATAGATACGTACATATGTGTGTGCGTATGTGTATAGGTGTAAGTGTAGGTGAATATATATCTATATGTATCTGTAACTTTGTGTGTGTCATTTTGTTGCGTATGTTTGTTTGTTTGTGTATGTGTGATTATATAAAATAGACAAGCAAGTATACATATTATAGTATTTTTTTTTTCTAGGAAAATTTAGAAGCCGGGTGCTCTAAGTTGTTGTGGCTGTTGTGGCTGTTGTGGCTGTTGTTGACCAGGGCCAGTAAGAGCTTGTCCATACATATTACCAGAGTTTAACATCTAATTTTATAAACGATCAAAACAAAATTCACAATCATTCACTCTATCTATTTTTTTTTTTTGTTCTTTTCATACCTGTTGTGTGCCTTGTTGCTGCATAGCCTCTTTTTCATAAGCAACTAATGCTTGTTCTTTTTCAATTTCCAAAGCCAAAGGCAAAACTAACAAGAACATGGAAGTTGTAATGACCCAAGCACTTTTACCTACAAAGGTAGCACCTGTCTTTCCCCAAGAAGTTAATGTAGATACGCTATTAGAAATTCTGTTTCTATGTTTTAATGGAATAATATCCTTTAAAGCAACAATTCTATCCACGATAGATTCATCTTCTTCATCAAAATCATCATCAGAGAAATCGGAATATTCGTCTTCACTTGAGACTTCAACTTCTTCGTATTGATCTGCAGAGACTTCTTCAAGCTTGACCATGGTTAATTAATAATTATGTTAAGAGAGGAAAAAGAAAAAAAGAAAAAAAAAATAATAAAAAGTCATTTTTTTTTTTTTTGAGGGCCCTTGTCCCAAAAATTTCTTAGTGAGAATAATCGGCTTTAAAATTTTAAGTTGTTTAATAATGAAATGTATTTTAGCGTAGTTGTTTCAGAAATTCTATTCGCATATGAATGACTTTGTGTACATATAAAATAATCTACTTCTTTTGTTGTTTCTTGTGTGAATGAATAGGAAAAAAAAATTCTTTTATTAATCAATGCACTTGTCACTATAACAACAAATTACGTATTAAATCTGTTGTTGCTGCTGCTGCTGCTTCTTCTTTTTCCGCGGGATCAAGAACAAGATTTTTTTTTTAAATAACCAGTAATTTTTTTTTGTTATTTTTTAAACTTTTTTTTTTTTTTTTTTTTTTTTGCTTTTTGCTTTTTGCTTTTTGCTTCTTTTTATTTTTATTTTATTTTTTCAAGAAAATATATACACATATACACTACACTATACATATATTGTTAATATGAGACTGATAATTAGAAACGATTATGATGAAGTATCAGATTGGGTTGGTAACGTAAAAAAAGGAAAAGGAAAAGAAAAAGAAAAAAAAAAAAGAAAAAAAAAAGATAATAATGTATCTATAGATATTAACATTATATACTATCAAAAAAAATAAAAGCTCATTATGTTAAAGAACGAATTAATCAGTTTGAACCAACAAAAGAAAGACCTTTTGTACTTGGTTTACCTACTGGATCATCGCCTATGAATGTCTATAGAAGATTAGCTGAATTTGTAAAAGAAGGAAAACTTTCATTTAAACATGTAATTACTTTTAATATGGATGAATATGTTGGTATTCCTCGGTAAGCTATCTTTATTTATATATTAAATCAATTAATTAAGAAAAAAAAAAAAGATTCTTATACACTCAAGTAGTGAACATAAACAGTCTTATTATTCATTTATGTGGACACATTTATTTCAATATATCGATATTCCTCCTGAAAATATTAATTTCTTGGATGGAAATGCTCCTGATTTAGAAGCAGAGTGTAGACGTTATGAGGCAGAGATAGCAAAACAGGGTGGTATTGAGTTATTTATTAGTGGTGTAGGTCCAGATGGTCATATAGCCTTTAATGAACCCGGCTCCTCATTAACTTCTCGTACTCGTGTAAAAACGTTAGCTTATGAAACAATCATTGCAAATGCTAGATTCTTTGAAGGCGATATCTCAAAAGTGCCCAAATTAGCACTAACAGTAGGTGTAGCGTAAGTAATAGTCATCTTTGTCTTTTTTTTTTTAAAAAAAAAAAAAAAAAAAATTAAATCTTTTTTCTTTTCTATCAATAGAACGGTAATGGATGCTAGAGAAGTGTGTATCATTATTACCGGTGCTCACAGAAGGTAAATCATTATAAAAGACAAGTTGTTTCTTTCATTCTGAGTATTTTATATAGTATTGCATTAGCGAAATGTGTTGAGGAAGGAGTGAATCACATGTGGACAGTGTCTGCAATTCAAATGCATCCAAAAGGTTTAATTGTTTGTGATGAAGATGCTACACTTGAATTACATGTCAAGGTAAAATTTAGATATTGAGTTATTTCATTGAAATAAAAAAAAATGTATGCTAACTTTTTAAAAAATAATAATAATAATAATAATAATAATAATCTTAGACTGTTAAATATTTCAAGTCAATTGAACATGTTCATCAATCACTTATTGGACAAGAAAACTTGGGATTACAAGGAGAATTATTATCTACAAAACGTATTCAGACAGCAAATAATTTTCAACGAGAATTACTAGTTAGAAAATTAGAAGATAATAACGATGATGATGACGATGATGACGACGATGATGAGTACTCTGATTTTGAACAAATTAATTCACTAAAGAAAAGACGTATATCTACTTTATAATATTGTATTTATTTTATTTTATTTTATTCACCAATTTTGTATTCTTTTCCAAAATGCATCCTCTAATATATTTTGATGTTCTTTCACTGTAATTTGTCCATTTTCATTTGCCAGATAATAGATTGTATTTATCTTATTTTCTGTTAAATAGGCTTGTAACTTTTCATAAAACAATCCAACATCGTTGGGTCCGTGACAATCATCAGATAAAGTAAATTTGCCTCCTTTTTCAAGAATCGTCTAAAATATAAAGAAAAAAAAAATGATTAATTTAATCTCATCCATTTGGTTTATAGTTACTATTCTATTCCATTTACTTGGATAATATTGCGTTGTGGATAAGCATCATGTAAACCCTTTTTCCAAGCTCTTGAATTGATTTCAAATAAACCACCATACGCAATAACATAGTCCAAATTACGAACCACACACTTCCATACTTTGGGGTCCACGATGGTCGTATCGTCTTTATCAGCAAAGATGCGAATCAAATCAAAATGGCCTACAATTTCAGGTTGAACAGCTTGAAGCATGGCGAATTGTTCATCAAAGTAGCGAATGTAAAATGACTTCATGTCACCGTCACCTAAGGCTTTATGATAAAGTTCGGGAGAATAGTCGATAGGAATGGAATTAACATGGTGAAGTGAGCCTACAACATAATCTAGTTTATATGTTTCTCTAATTTCCTTGATGCGTTGACTATAATCTGAATTAATAAACTCAATTTCAGCACCCATCAATATATTGATTTGATCTTTATATTTGTCTTGAAGACGTCTTGCTTCTGTTTGAAAACTATGAAAAGCAGTTGCCAACGTTTCTGGTGTGCATTGAGCCTTTTTTTTTTAAAAAAAAAAAAGAAAAAAGAAAAATGTGAAAAATGTAAATACAGCTATTTTACTTATTTTTTTTTTTTTTTTTTTTTTTTTTTTACTTTTTACCTCTATTTCTTCTGGATATAGCTCAGACTGAGTATATCGAGGCATATGTTCACTAAGACCATAAGTATGAAACCCCTTACGAATGGCCTCTTTCACTACGTCTTCTAACTGGCCATAGCCATGTTTACAAAATTGACCAGAATGGCTATGAAATGAATAGGGCATTGCTTTCTATTTTGACAGGAAAAAATAAAATAAAATAAAATAAAATAAAATAAAATAAAATAAAATAAAATAAAATAAAATAAAAATAAAAAATAAATGAATAAATGAATAAATGAATATAATAAATGAATAAATAAATAAAATAAAACAAGGGGAGTTTGAAATAAATTTATACAGGTCTTGAGAGAAAAAAAAAAGGAAATATGACTTGAATCAAGCATGATGGGAAGATATTACTTTCTTTAACAAGAATTTACACTACTTTTAGGAAATTTTATCCAACGAAATCTAATTTTTATATTTATTTTAATATCTATTTGTATATATCGATACAAATGGTGTACAGTCGAACTATTATTACTGAAGGTAGTTAGCGACTATGATATTAATTTTTTTTTTCAAAGAAAAATATATATATATATTATTCTTGATAGCTTTAAATAAACTCGATAATAAACGTATCAAGGGTATGAAACCTATGATTTTACCACCACCCAAACTCTAATGGAGGATATTTCCCATTAAATTACTTAAAAAAACAGCACAAACAATGATCAAAGGAAGAAGAGCAGCTGAAAATGTCATTAAAGGGTCGAATGATTGACTTTTTTTTTTTTTTTTTTTTTAGTGATTATCTATAGTAAAGTGAATATGTATATGTACATGTATATATATATATAAAGGAGGAGGGCAATGATATAAAGATGTTTAACTTATTATAAATAATGATAGGTAGAACGATCAGCTAAATTGTTTGTTACAGGAGATTATATTATAGATATTATGATTGAATCAAACTTGGTAGAAAGTAATAAAGTCATTTTTTCTTCTTTCATTACACATTATATATATATTTATATATATAAATTCATTAGGTCGTCAAGATGTTCCTATAGAAGGTCATCATCGTTTAAATAAGGGTCAATCTGTTCCAAATGGCTTGTATCAATTGGGAAGATACAGTCAAGGTATTAAATCATTTCTCTAAGGGAGTTCATACCAGGTGAGCTGCTAGACAATAACAATAAATAGAATATTATGTTTGTATGTACTATTTATTACACTATGCTTATATATCTATTGCATGTATAATATAAAGCGTCTTTTTATTATTATTATTTATTATCATTGAGTTGATGATCATCCTCTAAAATTTGTAATAATTAACGAGTAGGATAATGGACTCCATTTTATTTTTTATTATTATTTTTATATAAATACACATAGAATAATTCTTCTTCTTCTTCTTCTCTCTTAAGTTTCTTTCGATTGCTGTTCGGTTGTGATTGTTTCAAGACGACGAGGAGGAAGTTCACCGGCGAGTTCTTCAAGTGATTTACCTTTCGTTTCAGGAATCAAGAAGGAAGAGAGCAAGCCAGTAAGCATGAAGAAGGCAAAGATTTGTAATAGATGATTGATCCAGTTATTGTGACCCCCGATATCCTTCAAGAGACCGAAACCGACTTGAGCGACGATAGAACCCATCTTACCAGAGGCAGCGGAGATACCATGAGCGGTAGAACGATAACGAGTAGGGAAGCATTCACCAGGAACGATAAAGGTGGTTGTGTTGGGACCAAAGTTGAAAAAGAGTTGAGTGAGGGTATAGAGAAAGATGAAGATAGCGTTTGAGGTCATGAGGATCTTGTGATAGCCAAAGCCAAGGATGATAAACATGATGGTCAGCATTGTGAAACCCATGATTTGAATCGTCTTTCGTCCAAGTTTATCAATTGTGAAAACGGAAATCCAATAACCAGGAACAGAGCCCAGTAGATTGATGATGATGTTACCAACACAGGTACGGAAGACACTCTGATAGGCATCATCACCACCTCCGAACCCAATATTCGATAAAATAATGGAATTATTCAAACCAAGTCCATACCATGCTACATCAAGGGCAAACCAAGAATAGGCAGCACCTAGCAAGACCTTACCATACTGCCATTGACCAAAATGGTGACAGAAATCAGCCCAGGAGGCCTTTGGGGTAACATGTTTACTTCGAGTGTTGGCGACATTTTCTGTATAATTACCTGAGGATGCACCCTTCTCGATAAACGCCTTGGCATCTTGAATCCCCTTTTCAACTTTTTGTTCTACATCAATTGTGAATCGAGGTGTCTCAGGGATGGTTAAACGATAATAGAGAGCACCTAAACCAGGGATAGCACCAATACCGATCACGATACGCCAGACATAATCCAATGCCCTTTGATCTGCCCTGATACTATTTTGGAAGGCAACGGTAGTGATTAAACCTACTAAGCTTGCAGCGAGTTGACCAATACCTTGCATAGCAAATACAGCCGCCATCATCGCCCCTCGTCTCTTGGTTGTAGCAAATTCAGATGTAATAACCGAAGAAAGAGGATAATCACCCCCAATACCAATGCCAACAATGATACGCCAAAACGTAATGACGGCCCAGAAGGAAGCAGCAGGAGCGTCGCCGACAAGGGTTTGACCAATAGTACCAATAATAATAATCATCAACTCAACACCATACATTCTCTTACGACCTACACGATCAGCGAGATAACCAAAGGCAAGTTGACCAATCACAGTACCAACAGAACAAGATACTTTAATGGCTGTATCTACATTATGAGGTGTTTTATTTTGATTGGATTCGAAGTACACATAACCGATCATGGTAGAGACAAGATTGATAGCAAAGATATCATAAGCATCTGTAAAGAAACCAATACCAGATACAATACAAGCACGTATATGGAACCAACCAAATTTAGCATTATCGATCTAAGACATACATACATTATTAATATTATTATATTCTATAAGGGAAGTTTTTCTTTCTTTTTCCTACCTCTTCTAATGCTATACGACGACGTTCAAGTACATCCAATGCTTCTTGATCATGATTAAGCGCTTCATCTATATGAAATGTATTAGGCTTTATATCAAATGATGACATTCTCTATCTATCTATCTATATAAACTAGAATATAAAAAAAAAGGAAGAGAGGGATAGAGAGAGAGAGAGAGAATAATAAATAAATGAATAAATAAATAAAAAAATAAATAAAAAAATCAATCAACATAATATACCTAATTTTTTGAATTGTACTACAATTGAAAACACTTATTTTGTCAAATAATTGATATATCAATAAACGCACATTTACCATATAATAAAGACAGTGTTAAAAAGTTAGCCAATCGTTTATGGCATGTGGTATAATAGAATATGAGAGGTTATATTATCTCTCGTAAGAAGAAGAAGAAAAAAAAAACATGAGTGATACAAGTTATTGTTTTATTCTGCCAATCATGTTAAAATTCATGTCCACGCTTAAATTTATTTTAGTGATCTTGTCGATCTGAATTATTTCCAAACATTCTTTATCAAATGATATTATCTTATTTTACAAGAAAAAAAAAAAAAAAAAAAAAAAAAAAAAAAAAAAAAAAAAAAAAAAAAAAAAAAAAAAAAAAAAAAAAAAAAAAGAAAGGAGGGAAGAAAGGAAAAGATAGAAAAAGGAAAAAAAAACTAGTTTGTATAGTAACGATAATTTCTTGCTATAGTCTCTATCTTATAACAAAAGTAGAATAGACAAAAAAAAAAATCACACTTTTTTTATATATGTATGTACATTAAGCGCTACTTTTTTTATCTATTTATTTATTTTTTTATTCAGATAAATTCTTTCATAAGATATTTAATTTTTGTATAATTATGTTGTTGCAAAATAAAAGAAAAAAGAAAGAAAACATGAATTAATTCGGCTCTTTTTATATATGGTTTATTTATATATATATTTTTTTTTAATTTTAAAAAATAAGCTTTTATAAATGAAACATTTATATTTGAATATAACAAATAAACTTTGATGATGATGATGATGATGATTGTCCAGTATATAAAACAGTTGATATGCTTGTTCAAACTTAATTATTATTTCTGCACTACAACAATGTCATATTAAAAGATAAGTGGCTCTACTGTTATCATGTGCATGGAAAATATGCAATTATGTAATACAAAGAACTTTTCTCTAACAAAATAAGTAATTCTAATTGGCGGAGCATATAATAGTGATCGTAGTAGACTTACTGAGTTATTACATCAACCTTTTTTTTTTAAAAAAAATAAATAAAAATAAATAAAAATAAAAAATAAATAAAAATAAAAATAAAAAAATCAATAAAAATAAATAAATAAAAAATACAGTTAAAAAGCATTTCAATATAACAGTAAATAGTATAATAAAATAGAATTATTGTCTTCTTTCTATGCATATTGATGTAATCATTACTAATGGATACATTCAGGAACATAAAACAATTCATTCCCGATAACTTAAAAAAGAAGGCTTTTTGTGATACATGGTGGAGAATGTTTATTCATTCACGTTGTCAGAATTGAAAAAAAGAAGGAAGTTATTCACGATTGCTATTGAATAAATAAAGTTTGTTGTATTTGTGGTAGTGTTGGTCTTGTTTCTAAAATAAACCTCACTTGTGTTATCAATAAAAAAGAATCTATTCTATGCGGTGCGTCTGTGCGTATTATATCTAAACTTTAATAATTCTATTTTATTTGTTTTCAAGTTTAAAGGCTGGGTAAAGGCACTTTTTTTTTTTTTAATAAGAGCTAACTTTAGTAAAACATGATAAAATGATATTGAAAGACGTCACATTGCTAAAATAAAAAAAATAGGAATAATAATAACAATGATAGACAAAGATATGTTATGAAAGATAAAGGAAGGGAGAAAAGATGAGAGAAAGTAGCAGTAATAAGAAGTGTCGTCAGTAATACGTAAAACCCGATACTACTACTCATGACGATATAAACTCAAAAAAGGTAACCTGTCGGAATTATAAAGGAACGGATTTTGATTTAAGCGTATAATAATATAGTGGAAGAAGAATATCATACAACGACTATTTCATTTATCATATTCATTTATTTTTTAAAGATAGATAGATAAAAGAAGAAATAATGTAGTCTATTACTGTTTTTATATGAATTTATCTGATTTCTTTTTTTTTCTCAAAGTATTATTTTATAGCAAAAAAAAAAAAAAAAAAAAAAAAAAAAAAAAAAAAAAATTAAGGAACGCCAATCTTCAGGGGTTTTGGATCGAAATTTGTAGTAGCAGTAGTAAGTATGTACAAGAAAAAAAAAATTTATTTTTATTTTTTTGACAGGAAATCTTTTAATTATTAAGGCAAAAACTTTTATTTTTATTATTATTATTTTTAATACAAAAATAGTGAATAATAATATGTATTAAAAAAAAAAGTATAAAGGAAAATAAGAATATCTTCTTTTTTTTAAAAAAAAATAAAATAAAATAAAATAAAAAAATAAATATAAAAATGAGTTAATAAGTGGGTAAATATTGGACGAATCATTTTAAAATAGAAAAAAAAGGTTATGATTTTGAAACCCCCAAGAAAATATTTTAAACTATACAATTGATGTTTCTCTTTTATAATATGTGTATATATATATATATATGTGTGTATACATATATGAAAAAAAAAGCTTAGCATGGGTAGGGTGGAAAAAAAAAAAAAAAAAAAAAAAGAGAGAGAGAGAGAGAGATGAGAGAAAGAGAAAATTGAAAATAAGGGGAGGGGGGCGTTTAAGGGGGGAAAATGATATATGTATTTATATTTCAGTTACGAGCTGGATTAGGTTCAATATAAACAACAGACGCCAAGTCTCGGAAAGAATCTATAAAAATAGGTGTATGTCTGAATCGACCAAATCCTTGAAGTGCTTCAAATTCATCTTGAGTTAAATGAAGTTCTTTTAATAAAGGTGGTGATGGAACACTACTTGTTGCAGTAGATGGTAAAATGGGATGAAGTTGTTGATTTTGACATAAATGATTTACTGACATTCTACTATGACTACTGCTACTGCTACTGCTACTTCTACTGCTACTGCTACTACTGCTACTACTACTACTACTCTCTTCATCAGAAGATAATGATGAATCCATATGATGATTAGACATGATAAATTTAGGTACTTTTTCATATGTTGCTGTATTCATATTAGAGATTGAATTTTTTGAATAATTGGATATAGTAGTTGTGGTTTCTGTATTTGATGAATGAGGAGATTTATTACGCGTGGATTTGTGAGTTTGTGTATGTTGCATCATGTTATCAAATCTACTAAATCTTCGAGAACAACCAGGCACAATACACACGTAAGGTTTCTAATAAAGTATTTTATCAATATTTGAATCCTTTTATTTTATTTTATTTCATTTTACCTCTCCAGTATGCTTACTATAAAATAAAAATAAAGATAGATAATAGAGACAAGTTAGTAAAATGCTAAACCTTCTGTTATTGTTATTATTGTTTACCGAGTATGTCTTGCTAAATGTTCTGAACGAGTAAATACCATATGACAGTCTCCAAAGCCTGTACATTGGAATAATTTGGGTTTAGTTGAACGTGATTTCTTTTGGTGCATTGATGATGATGACGCTGTTGTTGTTGTTGTTGTTGTAGAAGGCATAATTTTAAAAACAAATAAATATGTGTCTTTAAAATGAAAATAATATGTATATCAAAAAAAGGGGGAGAAAGAGGAGAGGAGAAGAAAAGAAAGACAGAGAAAAAAAAAACCAATCTTTTTAAAGTAAAACCAGTAAAAAAATTGTTCAATATGTTTGTGGAGTTTTAAAAAAGAAAAAAAAAACTTTCTTTTTTTCGAAATAAAATAAAAGTACGGGATAGCAAGGGCTACGACAGCTATTACAATAACTGCTTCTATGCGATATTTGTATTATTTATATACACTTCTATAAATATATAAAAAAAATAAGGGCGGGAATATTCAGGTACGAAATTATAAAATCATGACATATCTAATGTTACCTTAATACTAAAAATGGATTATTTTAAATAAAACTTGTTTTATTTATTTATTTATTTTTTTGTATATAAACTATTATGAACAAATAAATAAGAAAAACAAAGATTGTGTTCTTATATAATAGTAGTGTATTCTTTTTTTTTTTTTGAAATATTACAGTGAAAAAAAATAAGAAAAAAAGAAAAAGAAAAGAAAAAAGAAAAAAAAAAAAAAAAGAAAAAAAAAGAAAAAAAAGGCTATACGAAATATGGCGTAGTCAAAATAAATGAATGATACAGTTATGCTACTGCGTACATCTGTTATTATTATTTATGACAAATGTTCACTTTAAAAGGCAAAATAAAAATTAATAAAGAGAATACTATTTTATAAAGTTAATATATCATAATGATTATATACTTTAATGATGATCTATACTCCCGTGGCAGCATATATAATATTATCTAATCAAGTAAGAATAACATTTATCAATATTTTATGCTATACGTATATATCTTTAATAAAACGTATTTAAGTAGTCATCCTATATTCATATACATATACATTTATGTGTGCGTGTGCGTGTGCGTGTGCCTTTTTTATATCTATCATTCTAGTAATATATACTCCGTACTTGCCTTGTTTCTAGCATTAGCAGTGCGAGTTATGATATTCATTATAGAGTGGATATTAATAAAAACCTTTGCAGTACAACTAATAATATTTATTATACTCTATCATCATATCATTTCTTATATAAACTGATGGTCTAAAAGATTTTATACAAGAAGGCCCTGGTTCTACTTTAGTACAGTCTTTCTTTTAACCGATTACACACGTCCTTTTTTTTGTGAATATCTGTGATAATGAATCATTAGAAAGAAAATAGTCTTATAACATCAGCTAAATGATAATAAAAATGCATAAAACTCAATAATAAGAATTATATATACCTACTTTTTTTTTTCTTTTCTATCGAGTTAAGTAGTGTTGTCAATATAAATTACCAAATTTTATGAAGAATGTAATTGTGACCTTTTTTTTTGCTATTATCAATTTTTAAGTAGACAAAAAAAAAATACACACACTCTCTTTCTCTTTCTTTTCTAATTTATAAATATTAACCATGTTAAATGACAAGAAACAACTTATTGGACCTGCAGAAGAAGAAATCAGAACTTTATTATCACAATCTGGAGATCCTTTAGAAGCTATTAAAGCCATACAAAAAGATTATGGACTTGATCTACCTGACATTGAAAACATTTATCCTTTATTAGAATTATGCGGATACAGTCGATTAGAAATTCATAAAGCATGTTTGGATGCATTAAATAAAGCGGTTGTTGAACAGATTGAAAAACCTACATTTCAACTTGAAAAGTAAGTTAAAAGAATGAAAAAAAAAATACAAAACTTTGAAGGTTAAACGTCATCCTTTCTCTCTCTCTGTATCTTTCTTTAGTTTTTATGATTTATTTAAAAGAACTGTTCCATATATTCATGCACCACTTATGCAGCCTATTCCCATGGCATTATTAAAGAAATTTGAACGCCACATTGAAGATGACGTGATTGAACAATTAAAAAATAATATGGCAGTATTTGAAAATTGTCCAATGAATATTAAACAACGCGTTTGGAAACAAGATGAATCATATTTTCAACAGACCATGATTTCATTGGTTAATAGTTATCACCATGATGAAGGTTTGCAAAGTTTAGCTTTAAATATTAAGCCTGATAATTATCAAGAAATAATTGAACAAAGGTTTTGTTATTATTCCTATTATATATCAACTATTAACGTCTATTTTATACAGACGTCAACATCCAATTATAGAGAAAGTGATGGCCATCATCAATCAAGATCCACAAATTTATGAAATGTTTATAAAAATGATTCGTATTGTGTTTGAAGCAACTCCTCATCCTAGCTTATGTTCTTTGCGTGTAGATATATTAATGAATTTTCATGAGAACAATTGTCATCAGGTAATAATGAGTTTACGAGTAGTATTTCATGTGAATTTAAAGGAGCTTTTTTTTTTTAGATTACTGATTTAGATCCTTGTCATCAACTGATTTTTATTTTGGATACTTGTGTACGTAATCAAAACATGGATGAAACAATTACAGAGAGAATTAAAGAATGTTTTGATGATGTTGAGAATGGATCTACTCTTTATGCGTAAGTGACATCATTAGTGCGTGTTTTTTTTTGACTAGAATGATACAAATACAATTATATGTTTTAGTGATTTTGCCATGATTTTGATGGAGCCTATGATTTCAAACTTTTTAGCTTCCATGATTGTCAAATTATTGAAAAGTACTTTATTAGAAAAGATCCCACAATCACAGAGCCCCACAAGGAAGCTGGTGAGTTATATCAGTAAATTGCTTAATCTTGCTCAACATGCTCCTGTAGCTATTCCAAACCACACAAAGATTCCAAAATTAGAAAAAGAGTTGAAGGAAAACTTTTGGGATACAATGTGTGCCATGATGTTAGAAAAAGGACCTGATACACTCTATTCTAACGGAGAAAAGATACAAAATACTATGATTTACCTATTACAAAAAAGCGATATTGCAAGAAAAGTATTTACAAGCTATCTTATCGATTGTATACGAGAAGGCAATATTTATAGTTTGAGTCGATACCTACCTTTTATATTAGAAACATGGCCAGCCCCCGACTTTGAAGAAGAAGGAGTCATCTATCGACAAACTTATTTAGGCTTTGTGAAGACAATGATTGATGTACTATCTAAAAGTCATGCAGTAGAATGTATCACGGATGAGAGATGGAAACAAGGCGTCATTATTCATTTCTTATTTAAAGTGGTTAGTTGGGATTGGATGATTCATGAACAAATGGTTCGTTTCCTGGCAGAATATTATATCGATTCAAAGTCATTGAATAGAATTGGTAATCAAGTGACAATCATCACTGAATGGGCAGAATACATGATTATTAATGGTTTTAAAGATGAAAAGGTAAAGCATAAATATGTCTTTTGATTTTATAATAATTGACTTTTTTTTTTGTTATAGCACTTACAAAAGTTGAAGGATGTATATGGTTATTTAATAACAAGATCTAATAGCATATTGAATGGCGATTACCGAATTAATTCTCCTATACTTATTCGTTTCCTTTCTTCATAATAAAGTTAGTAATAATGGCTAATGAATAATTTTTTATGGGGATGAGAAGTAAATAAAGAACTTAAAGGGCAGTTTTATAACATGTATATTAATTCTCAAAGAACAGCGAAAGTAATAATCATTTTGCATGCTTCAAGTGGCACCCTACTTGGAGGCAGTAACTCGAAAAAAAAAAAGCTATGTCATCTAGCGAAAGAACACACTAAAGTTTATTAAAGAAAAGCAGTAGCCGAGAGTAACATTTTAGGCAACAGATTTTGGGTAGAGGGGGAGGGGATGGTTAAACTTCAATAACCGTTTAAAGATCTTTATATACTTGATCGACATTCTTTCTTTTTTTTTTTTTTTTTTTTCGCTGGCTTGTGATAGATATGACAACAGTACGATATAATTTTAACAATATGCATTTACCGCAGCAGCAGCAGCAGCTAATAAATAAAGATACTTTCAAATACCGCTATCAAACTTTGTTGTTTATGAAACACACACATATAAATACACACACACACAGGTATATTTTTTTTTTTTATATATTTATATACATAGTTTATCTTTTTTTTTTTATAATCAAAGATCATGCCAGCGATTACACCAAAACAACTATCTTCATTACAAAAGAATACAAAAAATATTCGAAATATTTGCATTCTTGCACATGTTGATCATGGAAAGACAACTCTGTCAGATTCCCTTTTAGCTACTAATGGTATTATTTCATCAAAAATGGCGGGTAAAGTGAGATACCTCGATTCTCGTGAGGACGAGCAAGAAAGAGGTATCACGATGGAATCTAGTGCTATTAGTTTATATTTTAAACTAGTAAAAACAGCTAGCAATGGAGGTATACTATTTTTAAAAAAAAAAAAAAAAAATCAGTAAATAACAATGTATTTTTTTTTCCACAAAAAAAAAAAAAGAGGCGCAGCCAACTGAAAGTGAATATTTGATCAACTTGATTGATTCACCAGGCCATGTTGACTTTTCTTCTGAGGTATCTACTGCTTCACGTTTATGTGACGGTGGTCTTGTATTGATTGATGTTGTAGAAGGTGTTTGTACACAGGTAAAAAAAAAAAAAAAAAAAAAAAAAAAAAAAAAAAAAAAAAAAAAAAAAAAAAAAAAAAAAAAAACAGGAAACATGTATTTTTTGATTATATTGAAAATTAATACAGAACTAGACTATATCTGTTTTACATCAAGCATGGATTGATAAAGTAAAACCTGTATTAGTGTTTAATAAGATGGATCGATTAATTGTTGAATTACAAATGACACCACAAGAAGCCTACGTACATATTAATAAAATTCTAGAACAAGCAAATGCTGTGATGGCTACCTTTTTTACAGGTGATTTGATGGAAGAAGAAGCAAGAAAGATGATGGAGGCTAAAAATAAGAGAACAAAAGAAGAAGAAGAGGCATTTGATTCCAATAAAATATATGATTGGAGTATGGAAGAATGTGATGATTCGGATATTTATTTTGATCCAGCAAAGGGAAATGTAATTTTTGCTAGTGCCGTTGATGGCTGGGCTTTCAGGTAATCAATACATTTATTTTATTTCAATTATAGAAAAGAGAAAGCTTATAAATTAATGATAGAGTACAACAGTTTGCTTCGCTTTATGCGAAAAAACTTGGATTTAAAGAACAAGTTCTACAAAAATGTTTGTGGGGTGAATATTATTTTGATCCAAAAGCTAAGCGTGTTATTTTACCAAAACACTTGAAGGGTAGAAATTTGAAACCAATGTTTGTTCAGTTTGTGCTTGAAAATATTTGGGCTGTTTATCATAGTGTTGTTATTGAACCGTAAGTCAAAGAAAAGAAAAGAAAAAGAGGGACTATCATTTTAATAAATATACACACATGTACACTTATATTCATGTTTAGTAATCGTGAGCGTGTAGAGAAAATTGTGGACGCATTAAAAGTGAAAGTATTGCCCAGAGATTTACGTTCTAGAGACCCACAAAACTTACTATCAGCCATTTTCTCTCAATGGCTTCCATTGTCTACTTGTGTCTTATTAGCTGTCATTGGCCAATTACCCCCTCCTACAGAGGCACAACGTGTTCGAATTCCTAAAATACTATATCCTAATATTCATCACAAAGATAATGAACCTCTTGAAGCATCTAATGATGTTGAAAAGGCCCTTTATAGCTGTGATGGCTCCTCTGATGCACCTGCTGTAGCTTATGTAAGTAAGATGTTTGCTGTCCCTGTCGAGTTATTGCCTGAAAATCGTCGTACTCAGATGACAGCAGAGGAGATACGTGAACGTGGTAGACAACAACGTGAACTACGCATGGCTCAAGCTCTTTTAGATCAGTCGGGTGAAGGAATTCCCTTAAATCTTGATCAACTTGGTAGTCATGATACGGCCAGTCAAGAAAAGGAAGATGATGTCTCTAAAGAAGATCTTAAAGGTGAACGACTCATTGGCTTTGCTCGCCTTTATAGTGGTACTATTCGAGTGGGTCAAAAGTTATATGTGATGGGACCTAAATATGATCCCAAGTATCCTAAAAAGCATGTCTCTGAAATTACTGTTCAAAACCTATATCTCATCATGGGCCGAGACCTGGAAGCATTGAATGAAGTCTCTGCTGGTAATGTATTTGGTATTGGTGGCTTAGAAGGACACCTTTTGAAAAATGGTACCTTATCAAGTATAATCAATGAAGATGTGCGTAATATGGCTGGCATCAAGATGGATACGGCGCCTATTGTACGTGTTGCTCTTGAACCTGAGGACCCAACTCAGATGGATAAACTAGTAGAGGGGCTTCGTCTTTTGAACCAAGCAGATCCTTGCGTTGAGGTTATGCTTCAGGAAACGGGCGAACATGTCATCCTGACAGCGGGTGAACTTCATCTTGAAAGATGTCTTCGTGATCTAAAAGAACGATTTGCAAAGATTGAGATTCATGCCTCTGAACCTATTGTGCCCTTCAGAGAAAGTATCGTTCGAGGGGATCTCTCGACTAATAAAGAAAAGGACGGTCTTACCACACCTCGTGGCCAAATTGAAATCAAGATTAACTCAAAGTTTTTAACATTAAAAATCCAAACTGTGCCTTTACCTACACGTATTACTGACTTTTTAACGGAGCATACTGCTTCTATTAAAGCTATTGTGGATGAAAAGATAGCAACAAACAAAAAGAAGAATCCATCCTCGTCGGATGAAGATGAGGATGAAACAGGTGAAACAGCAGGACCTGTGGTCCCGAGCCATCGTTTATCACCTATGGAACTTGAAAGCGCATTAAGAAAGGAATTTGCGGAAGCCAAGAAGGAAGGTGGACCGTTTGCTTATCTATGGGATGAATCACTTGTTGATAAAATCTGGGCCTTTGGTCCCCGTCGTATAGGTTCTAATTTGCTTATAAATGATATTCCAGGTTATATTAGAAAGCCTTTCTTTCAGATGAATACAAAGAATACTGAAGTATCAGAAGATGATCATGCAGATGAGGTTCTTAAAGTCAGTGATGAAGATGATAGTTCACTTTCTATTTTGGATGTTGATTTCCATATCCATACTGGTTTCCAATTATCAACTTTGGCTGGTCCTTTATGTGCTGAACCTATGACAGGTGTTTGTTATATAGTACAAGGCATTGAACTTCATCCTGAAGAAATGGTAACATCTAATGGTGAATCCATTGATGGTATGCACATATATATATATAATAATAATAACTAAATGTTTGAATATATTACTTACTATTATTATTATCATAGTTCGTTCTCGTCTTCATATTATTCAAGGCCAAGTAATTGCAGCAGCTAAAGAAGCTTTTAGACAAGGTTTCTTGGACTGGTCACCACGTTTATTATTGGCTATGTATTCATGTGATATTCAAGCTACCGCTGAAGTTTTGGGCCGTGTATATGGTGTTATTTCTAAAAGGAAAGGTAGAATTGTTTCTGAAGATTTGAAGGATGGTACATCATTTTGGCAAATCAAGTCTTTATTACCAGTTATTGAAAGTTTTGGTTTCTCAGATGGTAAGAAATTAAAATATATTTATATATTTATTTATTTATTCATTTATTTATGTTTATTAGAAATTCGTAAAAGAACTTCCGGTGCAGCAAGTCCTCAGTTAGTATTCAATGGATTTGATATGCTGGATGAAGATCCTTTCTGGGTTCCTACAACAGAAGAAGAGTTAGAAGATTTAGGTGAAAAAGCGGATAAAGAGAACTTGGCCAGAAAATATATGGATACAGTTAGAAAGAGAAAGGTAAGATGCCTATTTTAATAATAAATAAATAGATAATAATATCTTTTCTTCAGGGTATGTTTGTTGAGAAAAAATTAGTGGAGCATGCTGAAAAACAAAGAACATTAAAGAAGAACTAAATAAGTTAAATTACTAAAGAAAAATAAAATAATAATGTTACAAATAAATACCTTCTATCCAAGTTATAGTCAGAAGATCAATAATATTGATTCATCATGGTTGTGAAGAGCAGAGACTTTTAAAACTAATGTCTTTTTTTTTTTTTTTTTAATGCACTCTTTCCTTTACCTGTCAATATCTCAAAAGTAAAATAAATTTATTTATTTATTTTATTTTTTTCAATTATCAAACTATTGAGCTTAATATTCGTATAGATATTGCGAATACATAAAGCAAGTTGGTCGAAAACTTGGACTCTATAGACAATAACAATACATGATAAAAAAAAAAAGAAGAAGATAAGTCTATTTTACAATTATCCATGTATTTAACTTCAATTTAATGGATTATTTATAATTATTAAAGGACGGTGCTATTTTATTTTATTTTTTTCATCTCTCTTAAAAAATTAAAATATATATTTTGCAACTATATAATAGACGAATCAAGCAATATATATGTATATGAACTACCATAGACAGTCTGTATATAAATATATCTCTTTTGTTTTATTATCTATGAATGCTATTCTAGAAATATAATGCATATTTATAAATAATATAATGTTTCAAAGAATGATTATCTGCATCCCTATTTATGATACTTTGCTTCAACAAAAGGCATCTTGGTAATCACTGCTTTTTGAAGCTTATTTCTAACTTTGACGTTTAATTCAGTGCCCTTCTTATGAAGTCCATTTTTAACATAACCCATAGCAATGTTCTTCTTTAGAACAGGGGAAGGGCAGCCTGATGTGATAGTACCAACCATCTCTCCTTCCTCATTCAAGATTTCAGCACCTTGACGAGCAGGAGCACCTTCAATAAAGAGACCTACTCGACGACGTGTCACACCTCCTTTAATCTGAGGTAATATATGCTCTGCACCCAAGAATCCACCTGTCTCACGACGTGATTTGGCTATTATATAATTATAAAAGTTTAATAAATTTATGAGAGAGAGAGAGAGAGTGAGTGAAAATGATAATGATAATAAATATTTAGAATAATAGGAACTTACGAATAGTCCATGTTAAACCAGCTTCTATAGGTGTTGTAGTTTCATCTAAATCATTACCATATAGACAAAGACCTGCTTCAAGACGAAGTGAATCTCGAGCACCTAATCCTGCTAATTCAACATCAGGATGAGACACTAATTTCTCTGTAATATGAACAATTTCTTCAGTAGGGATAGAAAGCTAAACATGAAACAGTAAATAAATAAGTCAAGTTAGTTAAAGAAGAAGATAATATGTATATACATATACATATATATATATATATATATATATATATATTACTTCAAATCCATCTTCCCCTGTATAACCAGAACGAGCAACATGACAAGGTACACCCGCTATATCCATATATTTACCATGCATAAAGCTAAAATCATTCAGACTTTTACCTACTAATGATTCAAGTGCAATCGCTGCTTTAGGACCTTGAATAGCAATTAAGGAATGATCTGTAATGACTTGAAAGTCCACATCATATCCTTTATTTTGAAACTCAGTTAGATACCTTCGAATATGAGCTAAATCTTTATCAGCACAAGCCGCATTAGATACCACATAAAGACTATCATCGTGTTGCATCACGATAGTATCATCGATAATTCCTCCTTGTTCATTTGTGAAAACAGATAGAGTACCTTGTCCAACAGGTAATTGATGTAAATCGGCAACCACTAATGTTTCAAAGAATTTTTTACGATCTTTACCAATAACACTATAATAATATTATATTGTATTTTGATATGAATTTCCCCAGTCATGATATTATATAAATATACAAATATATATATATATATATTGTACATATATATTGTATATATATTGTGTATTGTATATTGTATATTGTATACTTCTTCATACCGAGATTGAAGCATATGCGATACATCAAATATGGAGGCTTTTTGTCGTGTATGAAGATGAGAAGCTAATACACCCATACTAGCATATTGAACAGGCATAGCATAACCTGCAAATGGCACCATCTTTCCTCCATACTGAATATGAAAATCATATAGGGCAGTCTTTTTAAGAGACTTATAATATGGAAAAAAAAACGTTAATAAAAAAAAAGAAAAGAAAATTGTTTTGTTTTATAGAATTATATACATACTTCAGTATGATTAATAGAACTACTATAAACCCGTTTGCTTAAAGATCGACTAGCAAGAATAGATCCAAAAGATGAGCGAGAAACCTTAGTGATGATCATAATTTTTTAACAAAAAAAAAAATGTAGAAGAAAAGAAAAAAAAAAAAAAAAAAAGAAAAAAGAAAAAATCTTAAAAATAGTGCATTTTGATCAAAACAACATCTATATTTTTTTTCTTCTTATAGGTCATACAAGTTGGCTCGGTGAAATAAAGAAGATGTACTTTAAAGGAAACTTTTTTTTTTACTATACAATAATTCATGGATACTATGATATACACAAATAATTTTATTCATACACTTTCCATCCATTTTTTTAGGTCATTTAACTTTTGCTTTAAGGCAACCCGCTCACTTTCACTTTGCGCATATTTTAATTTCATTTCAGTTACTAATGCTTCCATATCCGCTAATTGATCTTGTAACTGTGCATTTTTTTGACTCAAGGCTTGATTTTTTAAACACAATGTTTCCATATCGGACTGTACCCGTTGTTCAATCTCCTCTGGAATACAATCTAGCATCCTTCGTAATTCTGTTGTTTGTACCTTTAATGCGTCATTTTCATCATGAATACGTGCTAGCTCTAATTTCTTTGTAATCAATTCCTCTGCGACCAGCGCATATTCCTTTTTCACTTGATTGCCTTCCACTTCTAAGCTTTTACATTGTTCAGTCAAGGTACGATTCTTTTTTCGCATAACTTCAATTAGACTTGCTTCTGTATCTGCTTTTATAGCTTGTGTATAATATTCTTTTGCTAATCGATCCAAGCGTTTACTTGAAATTTTAATTTCATTTGACTCACAAAGTAATTCTGTAATATTATCCTAAATATATAAATATAGATATAAGGGAGTAGAAGAGAGATAAAAAGGAGAAGGAAGAAAAAAGAAAAAATGTTAAAATCAAAATATTTACTTTTTTTTTTTTTTTTTTTTTTTTTGCTTACAGCTTACATTATATATGGTCAACATATCATCTTTTAAGTAGGCTACTAAATTTTCAAAATCTAGAGATAAAATAGTCGATTGATTTTTAGATAATAAAGCTAAACCTATACGGAAAAGACAATGAACTCCCTCTGTAAATAAGGTATCATAAATACGGAAAACGACGTTTAATGGAAACTTGTAGGCAAATAAGGTTAAAAACCATTGAGAGGCATACATATTTGAACGGACACCTTGTTCATTAAAATGTCTATGGATATGAGGTAAATGATCAGCTAATAAGCCATCAAATTGAAATAGACGTTGTCGTAATAAATCAAGCTGAGGTGTGTAATGCCCTCTTAATTCATATTGTTGCATTAGCTGAATAAGAACATAAAATGATTCTTCTTCTGGCATCTGGAGAGAAAGAAAGAGAGAGATGAATATACAAATATATACATACATAAACATGATGTTTCACTTACGTTCAAGAGCAATGGTCCTGCTATAAACTGTAAACCTTGACAATAACCTACTTCAGGATCATGTATAGAATAAGCTTTTACTATATTAAATAAAGACTCTTGACCTACAGAAGATTGAAAGAAAGGATGATGAGGGAATGTTCGATGAAGGTCACGTGTAATCGCTTTTTCATAAACAGACTCTTGCTTTAATAATCCAATATAGTAATTCTGTAATGATTCTTCAGAAGAATTTATTTTATTATTATTATTTGCCAATAAAGGCCAAATGGCGCCTCTTAAAGCGGAAGGTATTCCTTGCTGAACTTGAATTGATAATGATTTTAATTCTGATTGACTAAAATGGTTATAATTTGAAATAACTTTAGACCAGAATGCTATTATACATTTATGTTGTAGATTTAGAAATAAAAGAAAAGCTTTCGTTCATGAATGATAATATTTACCCCAATCTACATCATCTTCTTTTGCTAAATAAGGTTCTTGTAGCTCTTTTTCAGGTGTAGCTAAAGGTGGTGTTAATAATTTTTCGTCTTCTTCAGAATAAAAAGAACAAGCACTGTCATCATCAGAAAATGTAGTAATTTTATCAAACATTTCAGTGCCACCTTTGCTTATCATTGTTGGCTTTTGATTATTTTGCTGTTTATTGTTAGTTACATATGCTTCTACTTGTTCGTTTTGATTAAGATAGTTTGTTTGTACTACTTGCATCTTTGTAAAATATAAGGGAAAGAAAAAGAAGAAAAAAAAATGTTGGGTTATAGGATAAAAAGAAAAAAGAAGCAAGATACAATTAATTGATTTATTATTTTATATTAATGTATAATTAGAAAAAAAAAAAAAAAAAAAAGCGGGGCATTTTACTGTTTTGCCTCTCTCTTTGCCCCCCCCCCCTCTAAAATTTTTTTTTCTTTTTTTTTTTGTTTTACTATAATGAATCCCTTATTTCATTGTATTCTTACTCTCCTTATACACTATTCGCACTTCAAATTCGAAGGATGTTAGTTTTTTTTTTTTTGGACAAATTAAAATTAATTTTCAGACAAAAAAGAAATTAGTTATGGACGAAAAAACGGTGCCTTTCAGATGCTTACCTGTAAAAATCTAAATCCCTAAAAGGGAAACCGTGTTTACTATGGCGATTGATGAAAATAAAAAAAAATTGATCAAGCTAATCTAGTGGGGAGGAACATGGAAGGACGATCGTAGCCATTCCAGATGTACGACGATATGAGCGACATATTCTTAGTAGCATTATGATCCCTTTGCCACAGTGTTCGACAGTTTTTGCAAGCAAGAACACTGGAACCTTTCATATTTTTTACTTTTTTTGAACGAATCATTGTAGCATTTGTAGCATATTTTTGATGTCTTAAACTCATCAATAGTTATCGCCAAAAGACCACCTTCTTTCTCCCTCCTCTTAATTGCCCTCCAAAGAACACCAGTAGCTCTGCATTTGTTTCCTTTAAGATTTACGCCATCTTTTCCAAACATTCCTACTCCAAAAACTATTAGCAGAACCTTGGCGGCATCTTGACTAAACTTTGCGGGCCTCCGTTTTACTCTATATTATGAAATACGTCAATTAACGTGAAAATAAATAAATAAATAAAGTCTGTTGGCTTACTTAGCCACATCTACCCGCTGCCGTTTTGCTTGTCTCTTGATATTCTTGGTCTCTGAGCTTTGTCGTTTCCGGCTTGTACCGACTATCAAAAAAGAGTTAGAATGCATAAAACTTATCAGTTTGTCTTTGCTCACCGTCATCTGCTTTGTCTTCTTTATAAAGTCTACATTTATAATAATTTTTATTATAATGTCCGGTTTGTTTACGATCCTTGCATGTTGGCTGTGATTTCTTTCCCAAGTAGATATAGTGCTTATGAGAAACAAAGCAGCTTTAAAATACCTCATACTCTATACCTAACGCTCTGCTTTCTTTTACTGCTTCAATCTTATTAAGAATTATGGATTTATACATTTTCTTGGGGTATAAAAAAAAAAAGAAAAAGTAAAGAAAAATAAGACTGATGTATAGTAAGCTATTAAAATGGGTGCTTTGACCTCATTGTTCTTTCAAAAAAAAAAAAAAAAAAAAAAAAAAAAAAAAAAAAAAAAAAAAGCTACTGCTTAAGAGTTAAAGTCTCAGGTCATACATTATTGTACAAATGTGTACTAAATATTATACTTCCTTATGTGGATTCGACTTTTATACTCGAGTTATAGATCCTTTTTACTATGTAATATTAATTTTGTTATTTTTAAGTTACAAAGGATACTTATTTTTAAGAATGCAATGTGGTAAACTTTAATGTTTATAGCTCCTTTCATTAAACTTTATAGTTAGTTGAAATAAAATAAAAGAAGAGAAGCAGGATAGGAGCATTTTATCACATATTATACATAGCGTAATAATATTTATGTTTCAGATAAAACCAATAACAAGCACCAGCAGCGTAAAAAAAAATATTCAAGAAAAATATGATGTGTTTTTTATTTATTTATTTATTAACTAGTCTATAATATCAGCTATTCTAAACGGCTGGAGGAGGAGGTTGAGTTGAATTTTGTTCCTTTAGATGATTTGTTGAATTAAACTCATAAATTAGTTTATCTGTCACACTGATACGAGTAATGGCTGTATTGCCTTGTGCTACAGGCGCTACTACAAGCCCATCTTGAGCAGTCTTAAATCCACTCTCAATCCAATAACTAGAGAGATACTTTAATGGTCCACCATGTGTTACCACTAGAATGGACCTATATTTTTTCTCTTGTGCATCCTTAATAATAAATTTCCATGCAGCTACTGCTCTTTCCCGAAAGGTCTTTTCACTTTCACCTTGATGATTAACGATGAACTGATCGATAGTTAAATTCAGTCGTTGTGACTCTGTATTGAGGTACTTTAGTGGTTGACGAGAAAGTTTACCGAAATCTCGTTCGCGTAATAATGGAAGGTAATCAATAGAGACAGATTTTTGATAGGAGAGAATGGCAGAAGCTGTCTAATGGAACAATTAGAATAACATTCTAATATATTTATTATGTATTTTACCTGTTTACAACGTTTTAAGTCACTACAATAAACGTGATCAAAATTTTGTTCCTTTAAGCGTTCACCGCAACTGTCAGCTTGCTTTAACCCGTTTTCATTCAAGTCAGTATCTATAAGAATTATATCAATAAATCTCGAAGCCTTTAAATTGAAATATATATATATATATATATATATATTACCAGTATGTCCTTGTAACCAACGTTCATTGTTAGCATTGGTATTGCCATGACGAACTAAAGTCACCAATAAAGACATTTTTTTTTCTTTTTTTTTTTTTATAAGAAAGTGGCTAAAAAAAAAAGGCAATAGTATGTGTCTTATAATGATCTATAACTCAGCTTTTATTATAGTGGCCGTAAAATACTATCTTTTTTTTTTTAAAAAAAAAAAATAGTTGAATTACATTAACTTCTCTTCTTCTTTAATAATAATGACTGCTGAAGTAGTTGCAGCTAAGAAGAGCTTATTTTCACGTCCATTGGACTTGATATATTTTGTTTACTTTGCTACACATATTCCTATTACTTTAGCTATTGACTTTCAAGTATTTTATCCTCCTAATTGGGTCCCCCAAATATTCAAAGATGCTTTGGACTTTTATGTTTTGACATACAAAGATCCTTTTATGGGTAGTTCTACGCCTATTTATTGGTACTTGAGTTTTATTGTTTGTGAATTATTGATTCAATTGCCATTTTTCTTTATAGCCTGTGTTGGGCTAATTAAAGGTAATGTCACATTTATATTTTAAAATTCAACTAAAAAGCTCATTATTAAACTATATAATAATAGATTGTAAATATATTCGACTCCCACTTGCTAGTAAGTTATCTATATTATTATTATTATTTAAGAAAATATAACATTTATTTCATTTTAATAATAATTAGTTTATGGTTCTCATGTCGCAACGACTGTTTTACCTTCCATTTTGGAAGTATTGTTGAATCCGGAATTAAAGCTGAACCAAACTGAACGTCTTGTATTATGTAGCTTTTATGCACCTTATTTTATCTTACCTCTCATTATGTTGATTGACTCATTTATTCGCGTCAACAAATATATGAAAGTAAACAAGATACTTAAAAAGACAGAATAAAAGGCAATCATGATTTTATTAATCAATTTTTAAGACAATTTTACCTACTGTACGATGTGTAAGAAGTCTTTCGTGAGCTTTATATCCTTCAGTTAAAGGTATAATATTGCTATCTTCATGGACTGTACCATGAATAGCTTTGGCTTCAAATAAAGGCGCAATTTTATTTCGGAAATCTGCGTTAGGAAGGGTAGTGATGACAGCATAAGTATGAGGAGCAAATATTTTTTTATAGCCGACTTTTGAAATGATGGAAACAATATTAAACAATCCAATATGATTGGATCCAATATGTTCAATAGGGCCAACAGCAGTTGAATAGACACCATTCTTTTTTAAAAGAGGATCAAGTTGTCTATAATAGTCTTCACCACCTACGCAATCGAAAATGATATCAAATGTATCCTTTTCTTCAGTGATAAAAGACTTGTAAGCTACTTCATCCTTGTAATCTATCACTTGATCTGCACCGAGTGATTTTACAAATTCAATATTTTTGCCACTACAGATTCCCACAACTGTATTCTCTGCATAAATAGTCTTTGCTAATTGTACACCATAACTGCCTACTCCACCAGAAGCACCAGCGATTAAAATTTTTCTTTTTTCATGAGGATGTGTTTCAACACGATGACCATTTTTGACAATACCTTGGTATGCAGTGAGAACAGCAATACCAGCTGAAGCTGCTTGCTCAAAGGAAAGATGCTGAGGTTTTTTAGCAATAGAAGCCTTTGTGATATCCACAACTGTGTATTGAGCATATGTTCCATTTAAGCTAGATGGAAAATACAAGCTACCAAAGACTTCATCTCCTACTTCAAACTCTGTGACAGCAGCTCCCTTTTCCACAATAATACCTGCAAAATCAGCGCCAAGAATCGAAGGAACAGATATGATAAAGGTGCTAAACTTTATATTTCCACTAGCAACCTTGGCATCTACAGGATTAACTCCTGCAGCTTTGATGCGAACCAATACTTCATGCGGCGACTTTATTTTAGGAATGGGTAAATCTTCTTTATAAACAAGAGATTCTTTAGGAGAACCGTATTTAACAAGTTGAATACCATGCATTTTTTTTTTCTTTTTAAATAAATATATGCATATATTGTTAACAAAGAAGAAAAAAATAATAATAAAAATAAAAAAGTGGCAAATTATTTATGTGATGATAAAAGTCTATGTTCCATAATAGGAAAACATAATCCTTGTTGCGAGTCGGACTGTGACAATAGAAAAAAAAATACTTTATTATAAGTATATGATATTATCTTCAAATGAGACATTTTGAATATATGTGTGTATATTTTTTAGATAAATTGATCTTTTAAAACGAAATTAGGATATATAAATACTGAAACTATCTTGGAGTTAGCTTCTTTTTTTTATAAACATTTACCCCAATAAGAAGCAGTGCTCACAACATATTTTAAACAGTTCTTAGAAGTAATAGTCATACATACTATTCTGATGTAAGGCATTACCTCATTGTCTCCTTTAAGCAAGTTCCTATTATATATATATATATAACTTTAGATCAGTATTCTTTAATAGAATTTAGAAAAAGTAGGTACTAGAGGCAAAAGCAATGGTTTATACTCACCAGCCTTAGTTGTATCCACAATAAATCATTTGTGATAAATTTTTTATAGTTATTCATCATAATGAGATATCCTTTCATTTCATTTTTATCAATTTATTAGGTCCATAAAACCGATTTCATCAATTTTCCAGATATAGAGCGCAACTGAGTCCCATTGACTTACAATATAATATCAAAGCTCTCATGTTTAGGGTGACTTTCTTTCTAAAGTACATGCATATTTTTTTTTCCTTTTTGCTTGCTTCAAGGGTATGACACATTTTTTTTAAAAAAAATATATTAAATGACATCGGTATCTTCATGTTAAATAAACGCGTTATTATATCTCTTTTTACATCTATAAGGATGATTGATAGAAGATTACAATAAAAGCAGTATTTTTTTTTGTCTTCCGGTTATTACGTTCGCTTTAATTATTACAAAGTATCTTATACATTGAAATAATTTAGCCTTCATGTTTAGATATATTATCTAGATATAAGTAGCAATAAATGCATGTAAATCCATATAAGTAATAATAAGACTAATTATCACTAATAATCTCGGATCAAGAAATCACGTAATTACTTTCTCTGGATTTGGGATATACTGTACTTGTAAAGTTTATTCTAGGATGTGAATTATCGACTTATTTAAAATGTTTCGGTTACGTTTTGTTTGATGGTATGTAAAATGCATAGGTTTACTTGTTTATTTATGTGCTATTTCCTCATTTATACGTGAATGAAATAATCAAAGAATTCATTCCAGATACTAAATATGTGTACTGTAAGCTGTTATGAATATAATTTATATTAACCATACTTACAATTCATCTTTCATGATAAGCTATCACATGGTGTATTACCGTGCAGAAAAAAAAAACTGTGGTAATACTGCTAGATATATTCATTAAAACTCTTAATAATATGTTTACTGGTCGAGATCGCCCTTCTGCATTACCTTGTTAATAAGAATAATAGCATTGCTGCTGTCTCAAACACGGAGAGAGGGTTTCTTTTTTTTCTCTCTAAAATAATTATTTTATTTTGCCTTAATTTATATTAATGCTATATTTAACGCAATTTTTAACTAGTCTTAAATCTATCCCCCAAAAAAAAAAAAATACTGTAAGTTGAGGAATACCTTTCTCTCTTCCCCCCCCCCTTGAGCCCATTAAAAGCTTTTTAATTCCTTCATTATTTTTAAGATAACTTCCCTCGGGCAATTTTTTGATGTGTAGCTTCTCAGTGTGCTCATTGGATTAATAATAAAAAAATATATTTTAAATGTAGGATAAGGGATACCTATGCTTAATGTGGTCGAGTAACTAGATAACACCTTAACTAGCTACCTGGTAACCCACAACCGTAATCTTGCATTTGTCACTCAAATATTAGCTAGTCTCGAACATATGTAATTATATGTCTACATAGCTACCAACAATTATAAATGTCTACAATTATTGAGGACCCACTTTCAGTTTTACTCAGATACAAAATGAAGGAATCGTCACTCTTCTACTATCTCTTGTTATAACTTATCTATTTTCCCTTAGAATATACAATAGACAGCTGTCTATCGTATATTGTTTGAACTTGATTACTTATTTCATGTTAAAATACCTTCTGGCCTTGTCTTGAAATTTCTTTTCTTGACTTTGTGTTAACAATTGATGCTAGTAGTGTTGACATGTTCTCTTTCTTTATTGTTATTGATAGTCACACTTCTCGCTCTCTCTCTTTCTCCATTTCATTCTTAATATATATGTATATATATATTTATTTAGTTTCTTAGTCTATTGGATTGAATCAGCCCGGGAAATACACTTGATACTATGTACACACATTTATTTAATGAAAATTAAATGTAGTATTTATCATTATTCCATTATACTAGAAGATTGCACGCAAAATAATTTTAATTAAATCGTATTGAGCTGTTTTTCTTCTCATAACTACGCTACTTCTTTTCATAGAATAAAGAATTACATGAATAATTTATTGAAAAATACAATTGCTTTAATTTCAATCTTTACACTAAATTGATAGCTTGCTTGAATTATCTATTCTTTTTAAAGTCAATTTCTGTTTTCGGCTCTTAGAGTTCCAGTTTATATTTTTTTTTTTTATTTATTTATTCTTAACCCTCCTTACTTTTTTAACCAAGTCAATTTTATATGAATCAATGGATTCAGAATCATCTACTTTTATAGAAACACCACCTATAACAACGATACAACATAGTGATTGGCTACCACTTGTAGCTGCTACTTTATTATCATTCATCATTGTTTTACTTACATTATCAAGATATGGCAGCATTAGAAGTCAACCTTGGTATGTAACAGCTACTTGTATGATTGGTTGGTTTTTTCCATTTTGGATCATATTCTTATTACCATTAGATTTGGCATCAGTAAGTTTTTTTTTTTTTTTTTTTTTTTTTTTTTTTTTTTTTTTTTTTTTTTTTTTTAATTGAATAAGATGAATGGACACTAACGCTTGTGTATTAGACTGTTCATGACGATAAGAAAGGAAGAGTACCTTTTGCATATGTTTCGCAATCATTTTTGTTTGTTGCTTGGAGAGTACTTTACTGGACTTCTTTTTGTTTAACTTGGTAAATTAGGTTGATGAATTTAACCTTTTTTTTCTTAAAAAAAAAGAATGAATGGCTTATAAAAATATAGGTTTATAATTCCAATGATGCAAGCTTATATCAATCAAGGTGATTTCAGCATTTCAAAACGACTTAAGTCAGCAATTCACGTTAATATTCGATTTTATTCGATATACGTTGTTGTTGGTGCAATTGGATTAATTTATTTAATATTCGGGAATGGGTTGACCACTAGGTATATAATAATAATAATAATAAAAGATAATGATATTTATGCAAAAAGTATATATAGAGAAGGAATTCAAAGTTATGTAATGGCAGCAGCCAATAGTTGGGGTTTATTTTTAGTCATTATATTAATGGGTTATGGGCTTGTATCAGTACCTAGAACTTTATGGTATTCTGCAAATTACAATCGACATTTAAATAAAATTTATGCAAAGGCTGCACGTTTGAAAGAAGAGTGTATGGATAGTGAATTAGAATTCAATGAATTAGCGAAAACAATGAATGAAATATCGAAACGAGCAACTATGGAGTTGCCCGAGATACAGCAGTGTATTCATATTATGAATAGTCGATTCCCCTTTGTATTTCACGAATCATTTTCAAGTCGTAATAACTCTGTTCATATCCCTCGGGATTTAACAGAAGATTATCTTGTAAAATTATCAAGACGTATGATCTTAGCAATTCGTATGAGAAATAGAAAAAATGCGTAAGGGGAGGATTTATAAGATGGGGTACATAATACAATTTTTATTGACATTTCAAGATTATAATAATATAGACTCTGGAAAAACTTATTAAATGAAGCATTTTACCTTGAAGATATTATTAATAATAAAGACAAAAGAAATCGGTAAGTCTAAAATAATGTTTGTATGAGAGTATGAAAGTAAAAATAATTAACATACATACATATTTATCAAGTAAATTTACTTCCACCTTGAGAGCTAAAAAAGAAGATACACAATGGAATCGTATGGTTTCCTCTATAGAATGGTGGTGGAAATTACGTATATTACCTAATATCAATAAGTTATTGGCGATTCTATTTTCAATTATCAGTATTTGTATTATTTGGTCTGAATTAGTGTTTAATGTGAGAAGACCTGCTATTATATCCATTATATATTATGCAGTAAATGCCTGTGGTGAAAATTATGCAGCCTTAGAGGTAATAAAAAAAAAAAAAAAAATGAGATTGAAAGAGTGGGAAATGGTATGTTAATACTAACTTATTGCATTAGGCTATGGCGTTTTTCATATTATTATACATGTGTTTCTCTGTTTATTCCTCTTTATTCAAAATACGTTTCTTTAATTTATATTTGCTTATTCCTAATCATCATACAGATGAAAATAGTTTATTGTGGTTTACAAGTTATATGTGTAAAATGATGTAAGTACAGAATTAATATTATCAAATTATCTTATTTATAATGATCATCATTAGGGCTCCTTTATGTTATAATTTTATTAATTTGGCAGTGGATGCACCAGGAATCAATAAGGCAGTGTTTACAACTGTAAGTCTTTTTTATTATTATTTTTATTTGTTAGTATTCTTTACTCAAGTATCACGCTTATATTTGTTAGTTTATGGGTAAAGCTGATTTGATCAAATTTTTGGGAGCTTTCGCTGACTGGTTTCCTATTATCATCTTAATTCCTTCCCTTTCTTTACTATTTAATATACAAAACCGTTTCCTTGGACTTTGTGGGATTAAAAGTCCTTATCAAAATAATGATCAAAGTTACATCTATAATGATGATGACAATAATGATACAGAAGCAAATAATAGTAATAGAATACTTGACGAAGATTTTCAAGAAGGGATGAAATTAATAAAAGAAGGTAATAACGTGAATATATATATATACTTTATAAGTTACTTATATTATTATGTATTAGAACGTGAATTAAGAGAAAGAGAGATAAATCCTGAACTTGGAAATAATTCGAATAGAGTAAATAGAATTATAAAATAATATAAATCATGAACACTAAACTATTTATTAACATAGGAATATATTAACAAAAAATATAGCAAAAAAAGTGCTTTTACTTCAGATACATTACGGAATAAACGAGATAGGCGTATAGACGAAATATTATCAGGAAGGATCAATAAGAATCAATACTCTGATAATTCTATCTTATCTCCTTCTTCTTCGACATCAACTGAAAATGTTACTAATAATCAATCAGAAACAGAATCATTGAAACTAAAATCAAATTTAATATCTTTTGGGGACAGCGTAAAGCATAAAATAGGAGGATTATTTGATTCTTTCAAGGGTAATAATGAAAATACTGCAACTACTTTTACTCCTGTCGTTGTAGCACCATCACAAATTGAAGAAGAAGAAGAAGAAGAACAAACAAAATCTCGTCTAGAGTATACTTTAAATCATGTACCTACCACCGTTCGTGGACGTGTTTTTGGTCGACCTGTTATAAACGAAAATTATCGCCCATTTAAAAATACTAGACATCACCTAATAAATAATGAAGAGCAAGAAGAAGATAATAATACTACTGTCACTAATAGATTAGATTCACCGAATCCATTTTTAATGGCTTCATCAAATATGAACCACCAAACAAATAACAATGGTTATAATAATAATAATAATAATAATAATAGCGTGTCTCCATTTGCAAGGTTTGATGGCGTATAATAATTACAAATACACTCACCTTCACTAAACCACAACATTATTTATTTTTTTATTTTATTTTATTTTATTTTTTTAGAATATTTAAAATAAAATAACGTTAAATATTAAGCAAGCTGCACTTTTTTTTTATGTTCTTTAGTGACAATAATAGAAATATTCTTACTGTAATATTAAAAACTATGTTGTAATCGTATAAAGAAAGAAATCAGGAAACTTAAAATATAGAATAACCAAAATGTATACTCAATGAATGATATGCAGTGAATATGAATTCTTTTCTCTTTTTATTGAAGTTATAATCATAATCATGTCAATTAATAATAGGAATAGAAAAGAGAGAGCTCCTTTTTTTTTTCCCCCTCTTATTATGTATATTAGATAAAAGATATAACCCTACAGGTCATGCTTAATACGTCACTGAGTAAATCATAAACTTCATTGATATTTTCAGCTTTTCTTCAGTTATGATGAACTACAATGCATATCTAACAGTTTACCTCTCATTAGTAAATAAATAAGCATTGCGATAAACACAAAAAAATGACGTCCAATAAATGAATAATAGATGTATATTTAACAATTTATGTTTTGGTGGTATACGCAACTTATTGTATGTTTACAGAATTTATATAAATGCTATATTTTTTTCCTAGAAAAAGGGAAAAAAAAGTAGTATGTATATACTTAAAACACAACTTAATAAATAAAATTATGCTTTTAGTCTATGACAATAACTGCTTTAATTTTTATAGACAAAATTGTACATTCTTGTGTTATACACTGTAATGCAAATTATGTTTATTAAATCAGTTTAAAGTCTTCTTAATATAATTGTAAAGGATGATAATTAGATAGTTATTACATATTATTTTAAGAAAGAAAAAAAAACTATATAATAGTATAAAATCAACTAAACTGCTTACAATAGCAACAAGAAGGTTATCAAAGTATTATAAAAAGGAACAATATATGCACTTAACAATTGTAAATATAGCTAAATGCTATTATTTATACATAATTCTTGTTCAAAGGAGAAGATAATGTGCAATATTTAAATATTTAAATAACGGTTTTATACAGTAACTAAACCACCGTATTCTTCAAAGAGTAACAGACTGTGAAGCTTTAGATTTTTTTTTTGAAAGAAATGTGACAGGGAGTCGACAATTGTTTCCGTTATTCGTAGTCTAAGATGTATTTACAAGCAAAATATAGTATATTGTTTGATGAGAAGCTGAGAAGGATATTTAGGGCAAAAAGTTAAGTGCTTTTTTATTAGATAGTCATCCAAGTTGTCAATAGATAATGCATTTACCACATTCAATAAATATCATCCGTATCCAAACAGTTGGATTTACAAAAATTATTAGTTGACAAATAGAAAAGAAAAAAGTAGAATTAATAGCGGTTTAGTCTCTGCTCAAATTATCTTGTAAAAATTTATTGCTGTAGTATATTTGGATCTTTTATCGACTAATACGTAGGTTTCTGCTTAGTATTTATTTCATGATGGTGTTTTGATAAGTTAGTGTCATTCTTAGTCGCTAGAAGATTTTTGTATAGACGACAATAGGGGGGCTAAGAAGAGAGTAGTGTTAATCAATAGGATTAATATAATTAACTTATATACATCTATCATTAGCAACTGACTACTCTATGTTTAACTAAAACCACTGTGTATTCACAGCATAAGAATATCTAATAAACTAAAATCAAATAATAGTGTATATCAAATACACAAAGTACATAACAGTAATACAAGTATTTGAAATTAATCAAAATTAGCTAATTTTACGACATACGAAATAGTATTACTTTTGGAATAGAAAAAAATTTTGTCTAGTACAATATCTTTGTAGAACTTCCAAAAAAAAAACTAATCACATACAAATTGATAAAATATAACCTTTTCTTTTTGTGACAACATAATAATAAAAAAAGATATAGTCAATTAACTGTTACACTTATTAGAGTATCGTATAAAAGTTTAGACATCTAAAGTTATCAAATGTAAAAAATATGAAAATAAATGCTCCCTGCCAGGATCGAACTGGCGACCTTCAGATTATGAGACTGACGCTCTACCAACTGAGCCAAGGAAGCTGCTACACTTTTGTCGAGTGTGGCAAAAGTGAGGAACCAACCATTCCTCCTTTAAATCCACCGGAAAAACTTTTAATAACCGGGACCTACCACGATACAGGTTATATGCAAAATTTTGGTAAAATTTTAAAGTTTATATTTTTATCAATTTTTACTATAAAATGTTCAAATAAAAAACATAATATACATTATATATTAAATTATTTTGAATATATGTAAAAAAAAGTACATGTTTACTGCAAATATTCATGTTTTTTATTTTGGCTGTGAGCAACATCACTTGTAAATATTATAAATTTTGGGGCTTTAGCCAATCAGATTAACGGAAATGGAAATTTGAAGGGTTAATCTGAATTTGAAAAGTACTTAACAATTTTTTTGTTTATTTTTTTTTAAAGTTGCCAGCTAAAATTGGCGGTTATTTAATTCAGGAAGAAAATATTTACTAAAATGTAAATTATTCTTATTTTACTGACGTCAGTCAAAAAAAAAAAGCGATAAGATTTTAAAGTCTTCTTTTTTTATACAAAACAGCAGAAATTAAAAAAAACATGTATATAGATTATGAACTGAAATGGAGAATAATTAAAGTATTTAGTTGGACAACAAATAAACAAAATATATGATTATTTTATTTATGCTGATGTGAACATTGATGTTAATTAATTAAAATAACACATGTCAAAAAAATAAATCTAATGTAACTGTTAATTAGGGAAATCTAGTTATTTTTTTCAATTGTTATAATTGTATTTATGTAATGTTATGTCAACATGATTACAACACATGTAAAAAAAAAGAGAAAAAGAGAATTAAGATCAAATTCATAAAAAAAAGTCAGTGATTACTCATTTTAAATAAAAAATGACAAAGATTTTTTTTTTATTTTATTCAATTTCATTCATCTCATTTTTAAACATTTTAAAAAATCTAACTTCAATTTCAGTCTTTTAATCAGAACAATACGGATTTCTAGAGAAGTAATGAATTCCAGTCCACATTAGCCATATTAATTGTACCAATAGTGAGAATCTATTCTCTAATTACTGCAATGTTGAATCATTTTAACAAAATTAACATTACTATTGATCTCCATCAACTCATCATTAAAAAAAAAGAATACAAAATATACTTTCATAATGGTTTCCAGTTTATTTTTTAAATCTATGATATATATCAACATTTTTCTTTATTTTATTCAATAAAAAAAATAAAGGAACAGGACAAAGTCAAAGGTATTAAAATATATTTATTCATATTCATATTAGTATTTGTATTAATTTTTTTTTATTTTTATATTTTTTATTATTGTTCATATTGCAATGCGTTAATTTTATAACACCAGCTAGGAAGTGGTGTAAGCAAACTGATATCAACAGGGACATCGACGATTTCATCAATTCTGGGTGTAATCTTTCCCTTCTTGGGTTGACACTGTCTATCGAGCTCATTATAAAATTGAGTCATCTAAAAAAAAGTATAAGTATATTATTTTTCAAATTACATTTTTTTTATTAATATTATTGATTAGATTACCTTGTCTGTTCTCCAAGAAGGGATCTTTCTTCTTCTTGATACGACTACACTACCAATCGTCAAGCCATCTTCTTCATCAGACATGTACTCTTTACTTAAAAGAGTATCCCACTCCTTCTCTGACACCATATAGTGGCGTGCAATTCTTCTTTTTACTTCTCCTTGAACTTTTCGTCTACGTTCAAGCTTCTATTATTAATAACAAAAAAAAAGTATGTATGTAAGTTTTACTGGTATCAACTTATTAATTGATATTTACCAAAATCTTTCTTTGTTCTAATTTTTTCTTATGCTTTTTTATAGTCATTTCATCTTCACTTAGAGTATTAGTTTCAATATATTTTCTTTTTAAATATTCAAAATGTTTTCTAATATGGTGGGTAACCATTTGCTTGTCTACTTCCAAATTCTGATTACCCGTTATTTCTTTTTCCGAGTCAATTATCTCTTGTAAAATATCATTATAAATGATATTATTAACTCCTTTCATCAAAGAAGTCTTAAAGTCCCAGCTAAAGCCTTTGGTAGCCACGTAATTTCCATAGTAACTACGAATTTTGCCCTAATTAAAGAGATAATAATTTATGTAAGTATATATTTTCGATCTTTGATATTTATACGTAGAATATTATTAATGTTTTTTTTAACTTACAGAAATACGAGCATTTCTTTCGAAATGTTTCTTGTAAGGAGAAGATGCCTCAGCTTGTGAAGCAGCCAAAGCAGTCTTCAACTCTTCAATTTGACGATTCATATCGTCCATTCTAGCGACAATAGAAGCAATACTGGGATTGCTATTGCCTCTTCTGGTTAGATTAACTTGTGAAGAAGGCAACACTTCAGGAATCATTCTATTGTTGTTATTAGTAGGTGCAGACATTATTCAGATAAAGTAACGATATGATATAAATCGAAATACTGAGTCAGGAAGAGATCAAACATTCAGGCTTAAGTATAGTTTCGGTAAATCAATGTTGGTTTCTTTTTTTGTTTCAATATTCAATTTTTTTATTATGATTTTACTAGTAAAGTATTTAAATTTTTTTTTCACATTTTATTACGCGTTTTTCTTTTTTGTTTATTTATTTTTTATTTATTTTTTAAGGTAAGTACTATTATTATTAATATTCATCACTAATGTTTTTCTTGTAGTTTATAGATTACTACTTTCTTTAAAAGGTAGCAATATTCAATGCTTTCCTTGGTGTTGTTATATCTTTGAATATGGTAAAGTTAAAGATGTTCTTTTATCTGGTAATCTTTTTATTTATTTACATACATATTTAGAAAACTCAAAGTAGAAGATGTATTCCTTTTTATTATTTCTTTCGTTGCTCTTGGATATTATTCAGCTAATATTTGCTTGTTAAGGTACTACTTTAATCTACTATAACTTTCGTTACAATATATTGTATTGATATCAACAAAATTTTTTTTTCTCAAGTAGAATCAAAGAGTTGACTAGCATCTATCACTAGTTCCTTTTTATATTTGAATGAAAAAGGTATAAACTTTCTTCCTTTACACTTTTTAACTCTTTTATTAATTATTTGTCTGTTATATTCTATAGATTACTGTCTCTGTTCAAGTGCTATTCCTAATCAATTGCTTTGGGAACTATAAAATACTATGATGGCCCCCTGCAATATATCCTTGAAAAAGAATTTTAAACTACAAGTAATCGAGCGTGTCTGAAAACTAAAGAAGAAGAATATCAAGGTAGGTTGTATATACTTATATATGATACTGAATGTATTGTATTCAATACGTATAGTGCATTCAGTATTGTATTCTATTATTTTCTTTTATTATATGTCATATTTTATTATACAATCCAAAATATATATAAATAAATAAAAGCCACATTTTTTTTATAAACAATATTTTTATAATAATGTCCAATGTCCAATGAAAAAGGCAATATAAAGGCCTAGTAAATGTAAACAAATAAGGAAAAATGTATAATTCAAAATGATAAATAAGTAAACGTATTAAACAATGGATTAAAAGGCAATAAAGCTCCTATAATTCTATTAATAAAGCCCAATGGAATGTATATCTGCTATAGAAATGCTTCATGTTTTTGAAAGAAAGCGTCAAATCATGTTGTCGTATGAAATCCCTATTATATGCAAAATAGGTATCGGTTTTGTTCAAAATCTATATTATAACCGAGATTTTGTTTTGCATATAACCGAGATTATAATCGGGATTTCCCGCTTTTGTTCATAAATGGAACTCCCGGTTATTATATAGATTTTGTTCAAAACCGATATAATATTAGGGATTTTCCACGAGCAACTTTTTGCAGTGAGAGGTACGCCTAAGGAAAGAAGCTAAGCGGAAGATGAAATTCAAGCCCATTACCAATAACAAAAGGTTACGTAAAAACAGGGTCCAAAGTGAAACATGTTAACACGTAAAGACTTCTTTAAGGCTTTTAATATTTGTTCAAATCTTATTGGAACACGTTCATACTTAGATAATATTTTACAATATTTTATTTAGTATAAATACGATTTTGATTTGAATGAAATAAACATTATCTTTGATCTTGTCTTTTAAATTAACGTCTTCTTTAAATTTTATTTTATTTTGACTTACCGGTTAACCACAGAGAGTTGAATCGGGTTTATACTTACTATTTAAATTGACACTTTCGAAGAACTATCAGTGATATTTGAAAATCAATTATTTTCGGTAAGTCACGTGACGAAGCCAATAGAAACTGTCTGTTTTTCGGGTTTTTATTTTTCCTGAAAACAAATTAAAAGTCTTTATCAAGAATTTTAATTTTGACGTGAAGTTAGCTCTTGTAAATTATTGCATAGAATATTGTTGACTGAGGTTGTCAAATGGTTCCAGAAAGTAAAAGAAGAGAAAATAAAGTGTGGTATTTCTTTTAAAATATCAAATAAAAAAAAAATTAGAAAATAAAAAAATAGTATTAAGACAAAAAAGTCAACGAGACTGAACAATAGTTCTAAAGTCAATTATTTTATTTATGAATTTAAATTGATGGGGGTATTTATAAAAATTATTAAAGAAGTTTGAGATAAGGTGTGAATCAGAAAAGTGTTAGTTACGACCGAGTAAGGTATGTTGTTGATAATGAAGTGTTAGTGATTTTAATATTACTTGATGAAGTAGATTAAGAGAGTTGCAAGAGAATTTAGATAGAGTTCCTTGAATAAATTTATGATTCACATATTTAACCAAGAAACATGACATTACAAATCAGCTTATGACAGCCTCTGATACTCATTTGATACAACAATATCTAAAAGAAGTTCTACGTAATCATGGCATTTCATCTCTCCCTTTTGTTCATCTTCAAATTTAGTTATTACTAATATCTCACTCAGCTAAAGCAAACACCCCATCAGCACAAAACAAAACGTTATAAAATTAGAAAATCCAAAAACTATAACCTATGACTTGATAGTATCGTCATATAATAAACAAAAAAATGTATCACTTCTTCTAAAGCAACTTTTTTTCACTTTAATAAAACGCTCGACCTGAATAATAAAGTTGTTTTATCAAACAAAAAAGAGCTCGAATCCTTTAAACAAAGCATCTTGTCTAACTGGAATTCTAAAGATTTTAAGCAACATTGCCAACTTAAAAATCGCATGTCTTTAAAAATTGATAAAGTATTTAGTCAGTGTTATGATTGTAGTCGTCTTTACAACTAAGTCAATAGAAATAAACCATCATTTATTTAAATAATAAAGAGGTTACTCAAATAAAACTAGTGTATTGTACGTCACAGCATAATATTCATTCTACATTCAGTTTTAATAATAGTCATTATTAGAGTATTCGAGCGCTAAAAAATAATTATATACATTGTATTATTTAACAATAAGAATTCAATAGGATTATCATATTATACATATTATATTTACATCTATAATAATGAATATTGTTATGTAATAATAACATCTTAGGAGATGATAATAATAATAGCTTATAAATAATTGGTATTGCTATGACTGGAATATTCACTGTAAATTAATATAAACGCGTTGTTTACCCCAGAAATAATAATTAGTAACAATGCCAGATCATGGAGAATAAAGATAGAAATAGATCTTATTGCAAGCAGAATTATTCGGAGACAACAATTACACATAGTGCTTTATTATAGCAGTATTCAAATCATACTTCTATTAATATAACTTACCTTTCAAGAAATATATAAATAGCCTTTGTCTTTTTTTTTTATATCATTTTTTCTTTGTAGGGTTTTTTGTATTATTCCACTTAATAAAACTATACAAAATTTTCACAGACTTATCTTTTCTATTTTCTCTTTCCTTATCTTTTGCACTCAAAACATCGCCATTTATTTTTTCAAAACGGGCAAGATTTACCAGCCGTACTGTAATACTTAAATGAAAGTTGAGCTTATATAAAGTGATTGTATACCATCTATTTATAGGTTATGTACCATAACATACAAATACAAACAGAATTTCATTGAAAATCTGTGCGGCAATCAAATATGTTTATTGAGATTGCTCTAACCAGAAAGGGCATATTATATTATTCAATATAATTTATTCTTTTTCTTTATTATACTAATACTCTACACTGTTTATGAAATCAGATATTAATATATCCAAACATTAGATTCGATTTTCTTAAGAGAAAGTTGTAACAGCAATTGGTTATGTCATGATTCTATATGATTGTTTGTAGTGAATCTTTAATAACTTTCTTCAGCATATCGTTCTTCCTTTGTTTTTTTTAAACTGTTATTCGATTTCCGTTCACATTTTATAAAATGATAAAAAAAAAAATCTGGTCCTTCATCATATCTTAAAAACCTTCAATTCCTTTTAAAAAGGTTCCTTATCTAAATCTTTCAGTATATATTTTAACATATATATATACAAATCGTCGAGATATTATTTGTAAAAACTTATTTGTGTCCTTGTTCACAGCAATATTCATGATATTAGCTTGAAATTTTTACATAAAACCACTCGTTTTCAATCGGATTAAGGGCAAGGGAATGCGTAAAGGTCAATCTATACTATTTGTCTTCCTCCCTCTCTTTTTTTTTTTTTTTTTTTTTTTTTTTTTTTTTTGTGAAAATGCTGACATTATTAAATGTGTACTTAGGGCTCTTATATTGATATAATATCATATTTCTCAATTATAATCCGTTATTTTTTAAAATATCTATGATGTTGTGCCTTATGATCTTTAATTATAACCTAGAATTCTTTCCATCTTCTTTCTTAATTAAAGTGCTTACCATCTATCGGATGAAGTAACCCTATAAACATCAAGTCTCCAACATTATATTTATATTTGAAGTTGATCATATAACTCTTTCCATTTCTCTTTTCTTAATCTATGTTTACCATTAGACTCAGAGTAATTGATTTGAGCCTCACTATCAACAATTGTTATCCTCTTTTAACTCTTTAATTCTCTAATGAGTATAAAGTTTTAATTAGGTTAACCTATCCTTTCTTCTTGTTGAGATCAATGGAAGCACTAATTTTTTTTAACCCTATAATTAATATCAGAATAGATCAAGTATTTATGATTGGAGATATTATACTATTTATTACAATAAGCCTCGCTTTTTTCAGTTGCAATCTACTAACATAAAGTAGCCCCAACTGAATATCGATTATTTTTAACACTAAATTTAGCTAAAGTGTCTATGTTCATATCATAAAAAACTTATGTGTGCGTATTAATGATTGTAAATTAGTCAAGCTATTTACAGAAAGTCTTCAGTGAAGTTTATGTTTGAAGCTGATATTTATAAAATTATATATTCATATATATTTGTATATATCTGTTTAGAAATCAGTAGTAATGCTTTTATTGAATTTAATAATAAGCTGCAAGATATATTGCAAATGTATATGCTGCTAAAACTTTCGATAAGATCTATTCGAAGGTTTTCTATCTTTATGATGATAATAACAAGTTTATAGTATCTAGAATTATAAGAAGGATAAAATTACATCTGCTCAAGTGTGGCGAATTACTCCACATTCTAAGTTAATTCGGAGTTAGCAAGAACACTTTTAAGTGAGCAGTTTGTAAAACTTTAAATTAAATATCCGTAGGCTGCCACTCTGTTGTTAAGCACATTAGCAAAATATAAAAAAAAAAAGTTCCTTTTAAAGTACATCTTCTTTATTTCACCGAGCCAACTTGTATGACCTATAAGAAGATATATTTTTTATTTTTTTTAGAAAAAAAATATAGATGTTGTTTTGATCAAAATGCACTATTTTTAAGATTTTTTCTTTTTTCTTTTTTTTTTTCTTTTCTTCTACATTTTTTTTTGTTAAAAAATTATGATCATCACTAAGGTTTCTCGCTCATCTTTTGGATCTATTCTTGCTAGTCGATCTTTAAGCAAACGGGTTTATAGTAGTTCTATTAATCATACTGAAGTATGTATATAATTCTATAAAACAAAACAATTTTCTTTTCTTTTTTTTATTAACGTTTTTTTTTCCATATTATAAGTCTCTTAAAAAGACTGCCCTATATGATTTTCATATTCAGTATGGAGGAAAGATGGTGCCATTTGCAGGTTATGCTATGCCTGTTCAATATGCTAGTATGGGTGTATTAGCTTCTCATCTTCATACACGACAAAAAGCCTCCATATTTGATGTATCGCATATGCTTCAATCTCGGTATGAAGAAGTATACAATATACAATATACAATACACAATATATATACAATATATATGTACAATATATATATATATATATTTGTATATTTATATAATATCATGACTGGGGAAATTCATATCAAAATACAATATAATATTATTATAGTGTTATTGGTAAAGATCGTAAAAAATTCTTTGAAACATTAGTGGTTGCCGATTTACATCAATTACCTGTTGGACAAGGTACTCTATCTGTTTTCACAAATGAACAAGGAGGAATTATCGATGATACTATCGTGATGCAACACGATGATAGTCTTTATGTGGTATCTAATGCGGCTTGTGCTGATAAAGATTTAGCTCATATTCGAAGGTATCTAACTGAGTTTCAAAATAAAGGATATGATGTGGACTTTCAAGTCATTACAGATCATTCCTTAATTGCTATTCAAGGTCCTAAAGCAGCGATTGCACTTGAATCATTAGTAGGTAAAAGTCTGAATGATTTTAGCTTTATGCATGGTAAATATATGGATATAGCGGGTGTACCTTGTCATGTTGCTCGTTCTGGTTATACAGGGGAAGATGGATTTGAAGTAATATATATATATATATATATATATATATATGTATATGTATATACATATTATCTTCTTCTTTAACTAACTTGACTTATTTATTTACTGTTTCATGTTTAGCTTTCTATCCCTACTGAAGAAATTGTTCATATTACAGAGAAATTAGTGTCTCATCCTGATGTTGAATTAGCAGGATTAGGTGCTCGAGATTCACTTCGTCTTGAAGCAGGTCTTTGTCTATATGGTAATGATTTAGATGAAACTACAACACCTATAGAAGCTGGTTTAACATGGACTATTCGTAAGTTCCTATTATTCTAAATATTTATTATCATTATCATTTTCACTCACTCTCTCTCTCTCTCTCATAAATTTATTAAACTTTTATAATTATATAATAGCCAAATCACGTCGTGAGACAGGTGGATTCTTGGGTGCAGAGCATATATTACCTCAGATTAAAGGAGGTGTGACACGTCGTCGAGTAGGTCTCTTTATTGAAGGTGCTCCTGCTCGTCAAGGTGCTGAAATCTTGAATGAGGAAGGAGAGATGGTTGGTACTATCACATCAGGCTGCCCTTCCCCTGTTCTAAAGAAGAACATTGCTATGGGTTATGTTAAAAATGGACTTCATAAGAAGGGCACTGAATTAAACGTCAAAGTTAGAAATAAGCTTCAAAAAGCAGTGATTACCAAGATGCCTTTTGTTGAAGCAAAGTATCATAAATAGGGATGTAGATAATCATTCTTTGAAACATTATATTATTTATAAATGCCTTTTTCTTCTTTCTTTTTTCTTTTGTAAAATTCGGTATTATTGTTAAAAAAAATAATCTTAATTAAATATATTACATTTATTGATTGTTGAATAAAAATCATGTTTAGAAATAAAAAGATGAAGAAATGAAGTGATGTTTATGCAGTTTGTTTTTGAGAAATAGCAAGCATAGCAGCTAATGCAGCGCCAATACCATTACCATCCCGAGTAATCTATAGAATACAGTGATAAATATCAATCATTTTTTCGTGTTGTTTTTTTTAAATACTTACTCCAACATTTATATGATCAACTTTATCGCCATAGAAGCTTCTCAAAGCATCATTAACCCGTCTAGGGAAGTTGGGGAAATGTTCATAAACTGTACCTTCCATACCTAAAAGAGAGGAGAAGGAGATTTAGAAAAAAAAAGATAACTTAAAGGAATGTTAACTTACTGATAGTTAAACCATGTTCAAGTGCATTTCTTTTATCAATGATAGCACTTATAGCAGCAGCAACAAGACGTGCAGCACGTTGAGAGACAAGTTCACAAATAGTTCTAACAATTTGACGATCAGCAAGAGTAGTGGAAGGCAAATTCATAATAGACTCTAAAATATGCTTTGTTTCTTCCATATCAGGTGAATCATCAGAACCAATAGCACTCATATAAGAAGCTTCAAAAAAGTAAGGTGTATTCAACTCAGTTGTATATTGGCCATCAAAGAGTAAACGACGGTCAAGGAAATCAACCATGATAATACGAGTAATTTCACCCAAGTAAAGACCAGAAACCATCTTTTCGAAAAGGTGAACACCAGGATTAACAGATTGACGATTAACACGGTTATCATAAAAGGTACGAGGTAAAACACTTGCATTTTGATCACCAAAGGATCCCCATTCTGTGTTAATAATCATTTCACCAGCCTCTTTTTCAGAAGGTAGTTGATTCTTATCAATCTTTTCAATAGCCTCCAGCTTCTCCCAATAAGCTGCATTTGTACCTGTACTGATTGTACAAGCAATAAGGGTATCTAAACTACGATAACTATGAGCCAAAAGACATCCAACCGCACCATTAATCACAGCTTCAACCTGAATATTAAGATGACAACGTTTTAAACCAATTTGCAAAAGTTCAGCAATATTTTTATTATCGGCACCTGTAATTTCAAAATCTTTTGTCCATTGAATTACACTTGCTTTATTCAAAGCAGGTTGTTCAAGTGGGAAAGACAAGACAAATCCAAGAGCTAAGGGCTCCTTAAGATCATATTTACCAACAAATGTCAAAAAGTTATCAACACTTTTAACTAAAAATCAATCACGGAGTTGATGGATCCCTTCTTAAGGGTTTCACTAATAGGATACTTTTGTTGTCTTGTACTAATACGTCCCTGACCATGCAAATTTACGAGATAGATACGAATGTTGGAGCCTAAACGAAATTACACAAATTACGTCAACATATATAACTCACTTTAACAATAATGATAATAATAATAAAAAGGCGAAATACATTACCATTTAATTCTAAACCAAGATATTCACCTGTTTCTTGACCTGTAGGATGCTTATATACCCAAGAAGGTAACATATCCATATGCGAATCATTTGATTTTAAGCCAGTTTCAACTTCTTGACGTAAAGCATCACGGAATTGCATTAATTCTTCAGTAGTTAATTTAAAGCGGTTTCTTAACTCTTCGACAGCTTCAATTTGAGCCATAGTTCCAATTACAGGACCAGACGAAAATGATCTACGAGTGTTAGACATGATGAGTTGTAAGAATTATTTTTTCTTCTTTTTTGCTACTATTGTATAGAAAGTAAAAGAAAGAAACAGGAAAAAAATAGAGCTTCGTTCTTTTTTTTTTTTTTAAAAAAAAGGTTCTTCTTTATATTAATGACATCCGAAATTCTGCTTTATATCTCAGCGCATTAACCAATAAGAGCAATGCTTGATAAAACCAAAAATTTACCGCAAAAAGCCGCCAGAAGGAAAATAAATGAAAAATTAAAGATAAGTGTTAAAAAAAGGTAATAAGCTTGATATGGAATGATTAATAAAAAATCTTAATCATGTATCTTAGATATCAACTGCAGCCAAAAAAAAAAAAGCCTAACTGTAATAATATGATAAACTCTAAATATGGTACATCTTCAAAATAATAGCCTAGAAAAAAAAATATGGGGGAAATATATAAAATGCGGTAAAGCTGAAAAGAAGAGAGGCATTTTTTATTTTATGTCTTAAAAAAATGTTTCACGCACAAAAAAAGGAAATGATAGAATATTTTCATTCTTTTGTTTTACCGCATTTTAATTCATTATATATTAAATTTTTAAAGAATATAAATAACATGGCGAATATTTGTTCCTCAGCAAACTCGTTATATAAAAAAAATCCATTATTCATATCAAGATTTTTCTGAGATAACTGTCAATTATATCTTATTATAATTACAACAGTACAGGCACAAGGGTCCAAAAAAAAAAAAAAAAACTTTATTAAATTTATTATTGTTTTTCCAAATTATTTGAAATATGAATAAGATTTTTTTTGAAATACAAATTCAAGTTATTTGAAATAGAAATTCCATTTATTTGCAAAGATAAACGTAATTAATCAAAAAAAATAAAATAAAGTCAAGTTAAACAACTAGATATTCGTTTGCTTTCTAAAGATACTATAACCATATATTTTCTTCACTCAAAGAATAAAACCGACTGCCTAATAATACAGTTGAAACTGTTTTATGCGTTCCGTATGTAATTATTCAGTATCAAAAGGGTTTGTTTTGACCTTCTATTTTATAATAATTACAACAGATAACATTTAATATATCAAAAGCCTACTTATAAAAAATGCAAAATTTTTATTTTTGTCACCTTTTCTTTCTTTTTCTCTACTTATTATTGCTATCATAGTATAAAACGTAAAAGGAAATTCCCCCTGACCCTAAGGAAGAGGGGGTCACTCTTAAAAAAAGAGGTATGTAACAGAATAGGGAAAGCATTACTTAATAGTATGCACACTCATGATGTCTTTGTAATAGCGAGTAAAACTCTTCCCAAATCTGCTGCTACTACTACCAACTATGATGAACTCCTAGAAGACTCTGACGATGATTTTCAACCTCAAATAAAACTTTGCAAGAGAACAAGTAAGTTTCATTATATTGAACTAATAAAGTAAAAACTGATAAAATGTAAATTAAGGTCAAGAAAACCTATCATTCAATAAATATAAAGAATATGAAGAAACAGAACGTACCACTGAACAAGGTAATAGCTTATAAATATATTTTTTTTTGACAACAGCACTCACAGTTTTATCAGTTAAAACTACTCCTGTTAAAAACGACAAAGGTAAAGGAAAGGCAGTTGATATAGCTCCTACTACCAAAGAAAAAGGTACGGTCTACTCTTACTGTATGATTGCAAAGCTAAGTCTGTTCAAATAGATCAACATAGGCATTTAATTCAAACGAATGGTTATTCAGTTGAATTTCACTTTAAAAAGAAATCTAAAAAGTCAAAGAAGAATACTACTGCTGATGACTTGACTCCTATGCATTTTACTGGTGATGTCAAAAACAACAATGCACTTATCTGGGCTATAGATCCTCGACAAACTGATATTTTCACTGCTGTTGACTCTAGTACTTCTGACAAGAAGAAAAGGATCGCTACTGCTCCTAAAGATAACCAGACCACCGATTTATCTAAGAAAAGAATTATTGCCTTTGGTTATGCTAAATCTGGTAGCTCTATGAAAGGAAAACTTTCTGCTCCTATTAGACGGATAACGGATGCAATTAAGAAAATGTCTAAAGAATTGAAAGGAAACACTTTTATCTCTGTTGATGAATATTTGACTTGTCAAACATGTAACCATTGTAAAAATCGAAACTTAACTAATATTACTACAACCAAATCAAAGCGTAAACTTCATGCTGTACTCAAGTGTAACTCTTGCAGTATGGTATGAAATCATGACGTAATGGCTGCTAAAAACATAAACTACATGTCACAACATAAAAATAAAAAGACCTCCTGAATTTCAAAAATTTTCTTAAATGCATGCGATCTCTATAACGGTTTCGCATCCCTTACTTAACAGGTACGTTGTATATATTATATTATTATCTATCACTCTCGCTAACCTTTTCATTTTACTTTTTTTTTTTTTTTTTTTTTTTTTTTTTTTTCAAATAACTCTAATTGATATTCATATTTTAAATTATTTGATCAATACAGTATTGTGGAAGTTATACTACGACCAAAATTTTCAATTACCGAAGAGAAGTGTAACAAAAGCAGCAACAGAAAACGTCAAAGCTAAATTTAACAAAAGAGTCACGAAGGGCTAAATAAAATTGATCTGCACATTTTTTTTTTTTTTTAAAAAAAAAGAATGTTCCCTTCCATTTTGACTTGTCTGAATAACTGTAATCTAAATAAATAAGAGCAAATCGTCAAATTATATCAACTGCATATGCTTCATCTTAGAATATCTTATTAACCATAAATATATGATTACAGTTAAGCATAACTAAAATTGTTCGTTATGCTCAAATAGATGCCGAACTTGTCTATTGGCTTTATAAAAAAATCTCATAAATCAAAATATTTTGAGAAACTTTTATTATATGTTACTATTCAGTAATACTATAGAAGTTCTTATTTAATAGATAGCTTTCTATTACTTTTAATCATCATAAGTCGAATACCTTATTTTCGTTATAATCTAAGGTTATGAAAAAAAAAATTAAAGCAGAACACAGATTATAAACTATACAACTTCAATACCATTGGTGAAGCTGTGTAAGTCATGATTAAAGGCCATCTTTATTTTCATAATGAGATAGAATATGCTATGATATGATAAGAATTAGTAATAAACATAATTCTAATATTGTCTGACTAGTTGAGTTTCAAGCTTTACAAATACAGTAGCTTCTTGTTTTATAATAGCTAATTAGATTAGTAATGATTTCTTCATACTTGTTATTTTTGTAGTAACAGATAGGCCACTTCGTAAGGAAGTTTTTTTCTTTTCTTTTCTTTTCTTTTTTTTTTTTTTTTTTTTAATTTAATGCTAGCAAGTTCTTAACCAATTTCTTTTATTTACATAAAATCCAGTATTGCATAATAATAAATATGCTTTGTTATAGAACACATGTATTTCCTTTAATGATTTATAGTAAAGAAATAAGATTAACTAGAAAAATATTTATAATGGATATTTTTCATTTTTATGATATAATAAATGTAATCGTTTTTTCTTTCTTTTTTTTTACAAAGAACCCTTATAAACCCAGTTACCATTTGTAGGTGGATTATACTTATTTTTTACAATTGAAGCCAACATACGCTGAAGAGTAGCAACTGTAGGTTCTTCATTAACCCAACGGAAATACTTGGGCTCCCATTCTTCACCTTTTGCTTGACGTGCAGCCTTTTCTTCTCTCTTTTGATTTTCAATTTTACTTTTTTCAATACCTGCCAAATTTGTGTCATTTGCACGAATAGCCTCAGATACTTTTTGCCAAATTCTACGACTCTCCATTTCATCCTGTTCTTCAAGATCTTTGATATGCATAGGAGCAGGAATTAATTGAGAAACATCCAAGAAGGGTTGAGATGTTTTGGAGCCATATTTTGTAATTGTCGATTTACCACTCCATTGTCCTTCCATTTTACAAATGTATTCTTTTGAACTACCAGCACCATTACGACGAAGATAACACTTGAAATGATTCTTTTCACCTGAAATCCAGCCACGAGAGGTATACTCAATTGAACAATATAAACCATTTGAAGATTGAATATAAGATGTGCCAAGTAATTCAACATATGGGGCTATACTATCTATATAAGAATATACACGTATAAACACTTGATTATACTTTACCTGCATACCAAATACCATTCACTGTAATAGAAGGACAAGTCAACAAATAAGTTTCATCACGATCTTTTAATGTGACAACGCTTTGGCCAACTTGATCAACAATTAGAGAGGTGCTCGAAAATCGAGTCTTTTGACCTGTATGACCATTCAATGTCAAACCATGTTTTTCATTTGTGATGCAGAATCCTGTCACAGGAGGATGATGGGATACTTGTTCTACAAGGACATTTGTTTCGCCCGATCCGTTCAAATCACCCCAAAACATCTTAAATTGTTCACCCAATACAGGATTATAAGGCTTTTTTTCCCATTCCCCTTTGGGTACTCGACGAGAATAGGAAGCATTTAGGTAAGAAATGAACCATTTTACAAAAGCAATCATACGTTCAACTTCATCATCCGATTTTGTAATGTCTGTAAATAAGTCCGGTTGTTGTGTCCAATATTCACTTTTTTTTTTTTTTTTTTTTTTTTTTTTTTTTTTTCCAAAAAAAAGAAAGAAAAAGGACAACTTAGTAATTATTTGTATTCTTGAAACAATTTAGACTATTACTTACGAATATTCAATTAAAGAAATTGGAGCTAAAAGAAATGATGGGCAAGTGAGAGATGAAAGATCACCCGAGAAAGATGCTAAAGATTTCAAAAAGGAATGGAAAGCACCTTTTTGCTCAGAAGGAATCTTATCGACATTGTTAACCTCACCACTTTCAGTTGCTGCAGACATTTATGTATCTATATATTTTTTTTTTATATATAAAAAAATTAAAGAATTAAAAAATTAAAGAATTAAAAAATTAAAAAGAAAAACAGAAATTAAATTAAAAAAAAAAAAAAAAGAAGAGGTAGATTTTTCTTTACAATTTGTGTGTAATAGTTTAATCAAAAATTACGTCACAAAGTAATATTTCTTTAAAGTCAAATAACATTACTTTATGCTTAAAGTAGCTTCTATAACTTCAAGAAGACTCTATTGGTTTTTTTTTTTTTTTTTTTTTTTTTTTTTTTTTTTTTTTTTTATAATGAGGAATTCATATGTTCTGATCTTTTTTATTTTATAGTGGCTTCTGCACTCTAATTTTTATACATTTTATTTATCTAAGCTAAAAATAGGTGTTTTAATCACTAAATTAATTTGGATTGCTTGAAAAGATCCTAAAATCTTTTTTAATTTAATTTAATTTTATTTATTTATTTTTGAACAGAAGAAGAAGTATATATAAAAGAACAATGTAATGAAAAAGAAATACTATACTGAATTTATATATATATATATAAAGGAAGTCTATAAACAACATTAAAAGAATAGAAGAACTGTAGTTGTTGCTATACTGTATCTTATTTTATCTTTTGATGTAATCATTAGAGGACTATCAAGCATATTTTCCATAACTCTAGATTATGAAGTAATATTGAAAATTTTATACAAGATATATGAGACGAAATTCTTTATATCAATCGGTATATAGGATTGAGTATATTTGGAGACATTGAATGATATAAGTTTTTGTTAATAAAAGCCCGTCACCTATCCTACTGAAGACACTAGTTATCTATAATACTCGAAACATTATCGTGTATTGATTAAATGTACCTACTTTTGGCTTAAAATACGACTTGAATATGATGCTTTTTTTAAAAAAAAAAGAATAGACATTCCGAGATTACTTTCTCAAAGAAGATAATTAAAAAAAAACAAACTATTTTTTGGACCCTAATGTATTTACATAATAGCACACATTTATATGATACAAGTGTATCCTAGATAAATTCATTTTGCGGCCTAATTGATAAAAATCATACATAAAAGGATAAATACTAGTTGCCTACTTCTTGATACTCTATATATAGATAGTATAAAATTACGAGAGATTTTATTTGATATAAAATAATGTAGTATAATAATAAATTATCATATAAATAGAAGAAAAATAGTATTTATCATATAAATTAAATATTAAGTGTATGCATTTTTTTTTTTTTATGAAGATTAATAATTTACAGTGTATTTTCTAGACTTTAGCAGGAATGGCTTCAGCGGAAATAGCTTCAGTTGATAAATGTAAATTCATCGGGGAATCATGAACATTATCTGTCTTAAAAGTATAAGGCTTTTCAATATTAGAAAATTCATCTTCTGATTCATTTGTCTGACTTTCTTCATTGTAGCTTTCAAGACCAAATGATTTCATAGGAATTGTAAAACAAAAAGTAAGAACAGCAATACAAATAGCAATGATAGACAAGATCATTTGAACATGACCATATGCAGTAACAACGCCATCATATTGCTCTTTAGGAAGAGAAAGAGCGTAAGGGATACTGCCAACAATCTTTTCATAATTATATTCACCAGGAACATATTTAGCAAGTTGTCCAGGAAGCATATTATTCCAAATAGAACCAGCCATGGTAGAACCAATACTAGCAGCGATAGAACCACCGATTTGCATCATAGCAGTAGCAATTGCCATGTCATCATGAGGAACTGAACTTTGAATAGCGACAAGCATAGGTGTGTATAGGAAACCAGAACCGATACCAACAATTGTTTGAGAGATAACAACAAATGCATCAGATGAAGTTGGAAGACGAGCAGGGATCATGAGCCCTACACCGAGGATAATTAAGGAGACACCAGTCCAGACAAAGGGCTTCCATACACGAAATCGTTTCATTAAAATACCTACAAGGAATTCACAAATAATGTAAGCGACATTATAACCTCTTTCAAGTAAGATAGCATCAGAGACAGTGAGATCACGAGAAATCATAAGATAAGTTGTATAGTACTGCCAATTAGTAGATGAAATAATTGTAACGGTTGATAGAGCACAGACACCGTAAAGAGGGGTACGACTTTCCCATCGAGTAATAGGAATAACAGGCTTAGCTGCAAATCTCCATTCCCAGATACCGAATAGGGCCCAAGCGGCGACACCAGCAATAAGAGTGCCGATCGTCTTACCACTACTCCACCCACCCCATGAAGTTGTAGCTAAAACCAAAGGAAGCAAAATAAGACAAAGTCCCGCAATCAATAATATACTGCCAATAATATCAATTTCAACACCCAACCAAATAATACGTTGTATAAAGTTCATTTTCTCGGCTTTGCCATATATCTTGATTTGTTCTGCCTTGTATTCTTTTAAAAGACCCCTTTTCCTAACTTGAAAGTACAATTTCCAAAGGGTACCAAGAACGGGTAGACAAGTAACCAAGAGAATAATAGGAATCATTCCATAGCCCCAACGCCAATTTCCATTGTAATAAAGAGCATCAGCAGCGCGAGGTGCAAGGAAAAGGTTAATGAGACTAGGGACATTGTACAGACTTTGCATCAAACCACGATTTACGACATTTGTGAAATCAGCAATTGTAATTGGTCCAAGGATAGCTACACCTGTATAGCCAAATGCATAAATAATTTGTCCGCCCTAACAACGTTAATAATTAAAAAAAAAAAAAATCAAAAGTTTTTACTTGAGTAAAAATTATCTAATATATACATATTTATATATATACACATACCACTAACGTCTCATAATTATTAGCGCACGCCATAGCAATATAAGTAACTATGTAGAAAAATAAGGCAATTGTATACATTTGAGCTCTACCATACATATCAGAGAGCTTAGAATAGATGGGGTAAAGAGCAGTTTGAAGGATATAGAGTACGGTAGATAAAATACTGATCAAATTGTTTGTCTGAAAGAGGCTAGTCACATTCACTGTAAGAGATGAACTAATACCGCTTTCAAAGTTAATAGCCCAAGATAAAAGGATTAAGCTAGAAGTAGCAACGTATATAAATATGAATTGTCAAGTATATGATTAGGTTATCACTTAATTACTTACCCACAGAACATGACCCATTTATCATATTTACTCCAAACAAGTTTATATAATTCAACCATTTTCACACCTTTTAAAGTGTTTTTACTGTCTTCTACTATTTCCGTCATAATAGTTTATTTATTTTTTGAAGTAGAATAAAACTAAAGTGAAGATTAAAAGAACTACAATAAAATACAGATCGTTTATATATGGAAAAAAAGCAGTAACAGAAGCATTTTTTTTTTTTTAAACTGACTCTAATTTGTACATTGAGTTTATATTATCTGATCATCAGATATTTTCTTTCGGAGATCAATAAATTCTTCATTAGTAACAAAAAAAAACAACTACAACAATTAATCTTTTGGTAATAGATTAGACACTATCATTGGATCAGGGCATAAAAAAAAAAGCTGACAAAAAAAAAGATAAGGTTTATTATTATTATTATTTTTTTTTTGCCTTTGCAAATGACAAACTATTTTCAATTTGATATTAGACATAAATGGATTTATTTACTATTTCTATGTAGTGACTATTTTTATAAAAAGTATAGAATCTTAAGAAAAAAAATACATTCATACAAAAATACATAGTATGGGTATGATCATTGGAATATTTCATTTTGAAACTCCATTTCGTATTACTATCAAAATAAAAATATGACAAACATTAATCGCAACATATTTCAGCACAAAAATAATTCAATTTTATTCCTTCATGTATGCTTCAGATCACCATAGTTTTATATTAATTTAAATTGTATAAATTGTCTGTTTTTATATATTAGATAAATTAACATACTCTTATACAACACTAAGTAGAATTCGATCTAGAATTTAATACTTCAGATTGTTTTAATGTTTCAAAAATATTTTGAATTGCGTATAAAGATATTATTATCTTCTTAACTTTCTTTTTTAAAATAAATAAATAAATTTAATTCCAAAAAAAATGGAAAATCTATTGAACAAAACAAGAATAGAATATATAGAAAAAAAAGATATATAGAAGATTGCTTTCGATTAGTAAAAGTATGCATTCAATCTACCATATTAACACGTGTATGTTTTTATACTGCTTATTCTATTCTATTTTCTTTTATTGTTATAGTTGTGTACAATGTTTGAATTTGTAGAACATAGTACAAGTTTATAAAGAGTCCTATTTACCAAAATGATTAGCACACTTTTTTCTTATGTGGTACATCGCTTTTAATTTTAAAATCAGTATAGTTAAAAAAATTAAGTTCAGACTATTCTTTTTGGTATAAAGTATATCAAAGTTGTAGATGCTGTTTATCAAGACCTTACATCATAAAATTTGAAGTTAAAGAGCGATAGAAACCTTATCAGTTTACTCAAAAGAACATGATCGTAAGCTTCAGAGATTATGTTGGTGATCCAAAAAAAAAAAACCTCTCTCTCTTCGGTTTACTCTTAATAATAAACCAAAACTGTTCAATTGAATCAAATTCAAGCAAATAACAGTAAGAGATTGACGCGACTTATTTTTTTTTTGATACTGTATAGTGTATAAAATGAGACGTTATTCATTGTCATGTAGTGACTTATGAACTTTTTATATTTATCTAAAATGTTTATGGTGTTTGCAATAAAATTGAAATAATGATCAATAGCCAGGCCTGTTGCTTTCTTTCTTTCTTTTTTTTAATGTTATGTTTGGGAAGTTTGAGATTTTTATATTATTGAACTAAACTAGTAATGTTATTCGTCAAATTCTATGTCTATAGCGTGGTTCTTATAATAAAATTAAAAGTTTATTATCGCTTAATTTTTTTTTTAAATTCAAAAATAAATAAATAAAGGAAGCCTAACTCGAAATAATCAAATATGTTAAAAAGTAATTTCATACTTATGCCGGTTTTAAGCTTTATTCAATTCTACGTCACAAAATTATGTTTTTTTTTATTCTTTAATAAGCTTATTTAACTTGAATATCATTGATTAGACATAGTGTCAATAATGTTAAAGTGTCTAACGAATTATACTTTTATTAAATCTGAAAGTGAAAAATATGTTTGCTTCTTTACAACAGATGGCGGTAGCTATTATGGACGTTGAATTTCATTATATACAAATATAGTTATAACCATACTCATAGCTAAGAGATAAAAATAATAATTAATGTTTATACTTATATGTGAATAAAATAAACTTTACCAAAAAGCATATCCCATCTTTCAGAAGCAAATGTCCAGAAATCAGCACTCTTCAATGGTTCATGTTTATCAATGCGATAAGAATTGATATTTCCATTTTTCAAAGCAACAAATAAATATTTGAGTCCTTTACTATCTTGCCAAAAATGAACTGCACCTACAGGCTATGATAAAGAAAACTATAGTTTAATTCTCGGCGTAAAAACAAAAAAAAAAAAAAAGGAAAGGAAACCTAGAAAACCTACTTTTGATCCACCATAATCATCTCGAATAGAAGGTATAGCCATTTCTAGTCTCCAAGGAGGAGGGAAATAACGTGTCCTCAGTTGTTTTTCTTCATCCGATATATCTGATAAAAAGTAATCTACCCATGTGTTAAGTTTGCCCAATACACCTAGGCCTTCATTATGAACCTCAATATGATCCTTATCCTTTATACGTTTATTATCACGACCATAGATGTAAATGTAATTATATTCGGTCCAAAGCGCTAAATTGTCTCCCTCTTCATTTAACTGAATCCCCATAATTTCAGCATCTACAGTTTCATATCCTTGCCAATAATAATACTCTGGAATAATCGTTTTCCTTCCATCGTTCGTATATAGTCTTTCCTTCTCTGAATCAATAAGCTTTAAAATATCAATTCTATCAGTAAAGTCCAAAGTGATGAATTTATTTTTAATATAAGGAAAGACAATCGTTTTCGCATCTGCTGAAACAGTTGAAAGTAACTTTGGCATACTTATTCGACTAGATTGTAGTTGTTGTTGATGATGATGCGAAGTTTGATATGATATATCTGAAAATCCTACATAATTCATAGAGTCATCATTATAAACAGGATACTAAAAAGTGCGCATAAATACATGTAAATATATTAATTTTTGCTTTCATTCATTTTTCTTTTTCTTTATTTTCCCTTACGTCTGATTCTCCTTTTTCTCTTTGAATCCAAGTAGTAACTAATTTATTTTCATTATTAATACTTGTTGTATTATCAGCTATTGTAATATTCACATAAAATGTCGTAGTTGTTTTATGAACATTTAGTGTAAAAACTCGATATGTTTCATTCCTATAAGTATATTAATGTTGTAAATATTGAATATAAATACGCACATGCCTATATAGATATGTATGTATCTATACAACTTACATAGGGGAATAGAGTCTTGAAAATAAAGTAGAATATTGTTCAGTTGAATAAGGCTGTGACCATTCTAACAAAACGCAAATATTAAGTGAAAAAAACAAAAAACAAAACAACTGTTTTATATTTACCTTGTACTAATCTTCCCTTTTCAATTTGATAACTACCAAGAGCTGTTATTAAAGTATGATGTGGTGAATTGGTTATAGTTGAAGGTAATGTCATTATATGAAATTCATAGTCATCAGGATCCCTAACATATATAATCATATTGATATCACTACATTTGTGTAGCATTAAAAAAAAAAAAAAACTGTAATCTACCTTGAAAATATTAAAGAATCTTTTTCTAATGATATAGCATCAACCCAAGTAGTTCCTGGTAATCTAATATCTTTATACTCAAATGAATTCTCCTCAGTGGTATAATATATTCTCACATAATGGTACGAATTATCATTATCAACTTGGTGGTATAAAACTGCAAATTGCATTTGTTGTTTCTTTTCTATTATAGGAATATTTCTAGTAGATATTTGTGATATAGGTCCTTTAAATACATGCTCAAAACATGGTGTCCAGTCTACATACATATATAACTTTTAATGTTGCTATACAATATATATATATATATAAATATATACCTTCTGTTTCTAACGAGTCATTTTCTGATAATATATTTGAAATGGGCCTTTTAACTTGTTTAACATATCCTATACATAATAGACTTAATACAATATATACACCTATTTTCTTCATATAATTTTTACCTTGTACACCTAACTTAAGTTTCCCAGTACCAACTAAGGAGCCTCTACTCTTTAATGCTTCAAATTTAAAAGCGGTCAAGTAAATATAAGAACCAACAGTAGAAATGACAACCTTGTCCGGCTTAAATGTAAACAACGATGGATAGTTGGATGTATAGATGATTTTAGGATGTAAATACGGTGTATCTTGTGATAAAACAGCGATGTATATTACAGCTAAACCACTAAGCAACAGTACAAGTGCTCGCCATTTCATAGTTGTTAAACTAATGTATTTAATGAAAAAAAAACCAGAAACAAAAAAAAAAAAAAAAACACACACACACAATAAAAGAAATAAAAACGTTAATTTGTACGGAAGATGGCATCAAAATCCTATATGCACACCTCTTTTTGTAACTGAGAATTTTATCACTTGTCTTTTTTTTTTTTTTTTTTTTTTTTTTTTTTTTTTTTTTTCTTTATGAATATATACATATAAAGACATCATGGCTAAAGGAAATGCAAAAAATGAAAAGCATAAGAAAAAAGGTAAACAGAAGAATTTATATTGTTGGTTATTTATTGATTAATTTCATTTAGAAAGAATTACACGTAGGCAGAAAAGAGAACTTGAAGTAATTGAATTATTTCATTTTGAAGCTATTTCTATTATAGTTTTAACTTTTCAAATTGATAGAAATCATTGTCTAGTAATGATCCCGAAGATTTAGACGCTCAACTAAAGCAACTTGGTCTTTGTACAAAAAATATTACAGGTGATGGCAACTGTCTTTTTAGGTAAAAAAAAAAAAAAAAGCAACGTAAATTATAGTTTGCGATTGATACTTTTATCAAGATCTTTATCAGATCAATATTATGGACATGACGGTAATCATAAAGCAATTCGACAAGAAATTTGTCAATATTTGAGAGAAAATGAAGAACTATACAAATTTTTTGTTGAAGATGATCAATCTTTTGAACATCACGTTGAATGTATGTCGCAAGATGCTACTTTTGGTGGCAACATGGAATTGGCAGCTTTTGCAAAGTTAAAAAAAACTGACATTAAAGTATATCAGCCAGGATTAATGTAATTTGGTATTACAAAAGACTTGTAGTAATTCTAATTCTATACATTTTTTTTTCTTTGTATATAGTTATGTTATTAATGGCGTTGATGAAGAAGAGGATGATGATGAAGAAGAAAGACAGATTTTACATATTGCGTATGTATATAAATATGTATATATAGCAGGAGTTAAAAACTAAATATGCTTCATATTGTAGTTACCATAGCTGGGAACATTATAGTTCAATTAGAAATATAGATGGACCATTTTCGGGACCACCTGAAATTCATGTAAGTAAAATAAACATATACGATAAACTGTACTTAAATATATAACTAGGTTACAGAGAATAAAGTACAAAATGATGAACAACGAGATGAAACTACTGAAGATCAAGAAAATGAAGAAGAAGAAGAGCTTAATTCAAAAGAAAAAGTAGTGAAAAACGCATGCCCTGATGCCAATATTAGAAAAATACGCAGACTATTAATTAAATATAAAGGCAATCCTGATAAAGTGATTGATGCCTTATATGAAGAAAGTAAAACTAATAATAATAAAGAAGAAGAAAAAATAGGATCAAAAGAAAATGAAGAGGGGTATGATATTCATGAGAATAAGAAAGAAAGTGAAAAAGAACAAGACAATGAGATAGTAGAAGAAGATAAAAATATTACAATTATAGAGGATAAAGAGCTTTCACCATCAAATACAATAGTAAAAAAACCTTCTGCAGCTGAACGTAAAAGAGAAGCAAAAAAAAGACAAAAGGAAAAAAAGTTGCAGAAAGAGAGAGAAAAGGCAGCTCGTAAAGCAAAATATAAACAAGAAAAGAACACAGACAATGACATAGCAACGAAGGCTATTGCCCAATCAATGAAAGAAATGTACATTTAAAACTTCCTGCCTTGACTTTATATACCTATTTCAAATAAAAGAAAAAGCAATACGCATATTATAGAATAATAGAAGAAAAGCAATACGCAAATTATAGAATAATAGAAGAAAAGCAATACGCAAATTATAGAATAATAGAAGAAAAGCAATATGCATATTATAGAATAATAAAAGAAAGAAAAGAAAAGAAAAACGAAAAACTATTATATAAGCATTTAAAACAAATATACAAGTGACTCAGTATTCCAGTACAATTAACATGTGCTTAAATTTATAATTAATAAAATATTTATTTACCCGATTGAGTTTATAAGGTTAATATTGAAGAAAATAAAACAAGTAACAGCAGTAAGTTATGTCAACAACAATAAACAATGCCATAGAAAAGCTTATTTCTTACGCTATTATTTTTTCCTCTACACATATACTCAAAGAGAGATTTTTTTTTTTTTCACTGCCTATTTTACTCTTTAATCCAGCTAAAACAAAGTTAATGTATTAAATAATATATTGCGCTTATTGAGTTTATTAAATGCTTGGTTTACAGCCAAAATAAATTTGACCGTTAACAACTTGAATTAATTTGACAAGATTTATGTACAATGTTTGTGATACTAACGTAATTCATTTCTTCTATACATTTGACATATTTAACTTAGCTTAGGGAGTACGACTTTTCTTTTTTTTTTTTTTTTTTCCAAAATAAAATCATATTGTGAAACAAAACATTGCTAGTATAATATGTTCAATACTTATGCCTCGTGTTTAAATACCTGGAATTGATGACAAAAGTAATACCATCCATTCATATAAATATACTCTTAATAATTAGAATTAATTTAACTTCAAAAAAAAAATGTTTGTCAGAGTAATAGTTGATCACTTGTATAATTTTACAAGAAATATCCTACCAAGTTCATTTATACATATAATCGTCTATTTAGACAAACAATATATAAACGATAATGATAGGAATTCAATTTATATCAGGGGGAGAATCTCCTTTTATAATGCTTGAGCGAAGCATAGAAGGCTTATGGCATCTTGAACATGGCGTGACTATTGGTACCACTTGAATCATTATAAAAATAAGCATGTGTTCACAATATATAAAATGTCTTTTTTCTTTTCTTTTTTTCCTTTCCTTTCCTTTCCTTTTTTTTTCCTCCCTCGTTTTAGATACATTCAACATTATAAAATGGAAGAGCATTTTCCTGTTAATCCCGGAAATGTTCCTCCACCTTCACAATCAACTAATTTACTGATTCATCAACTTAATCATACAACATTTCAAACTTCGAAAAGACGCACTAATAAAAAGTCAAAGGAGACTATAACTTCAAAAGTAAAATAATATAACATTGTTAACTTATTCATGTTATGTAAATCATTTATCTTATAGTTAAAACTAGAGCGAATTTTGGGGCTAACAACCACATCATCTAATATTTTAGCTACATCAAACGATTTGATAGCTTATGCAGCAGGTGCTGTTGTCGTTATCTATAATCATAAACGTAATAAACAAGTTGCATTTCTATATCCTCCACCTATTTCTCAATCAACATTAACAAACAATACAAATAATGGGAACAGTAACATAATAAATACCACAGTGAATAACACGATTCAACAAATGAATATCCCTATCTCTACTATTGGAGGAAATATTACTACAAATAACATGTTAAACAATGAAATCATGATAGCATCACAAAATAAATCTAATAATCAGGATGAAAAAAAGTCTACTACACCAGCTAGCATTCGCGCAAAACCAATTAGTTGTTTAACTTTCTCTACTGATGGTCGTTATCTTGCTGCAGGAGAAGTAATGATTTTATTAAATATACAAATACAAAGCTTAATTCATCTCCTTTTCTTATAAGGTCATCAACCTTCTTCTTTTTTTTTTTCTTTCTCTTTTATAATGTATTTAAACTTAGATGGGTCATCAACCTCGAATTTTTATCTGGGATGTAAAAGAAAAAAATTTAATTAGAGAGTTCAGATCACACAAGTTCGGTGTCCTTACTTTGGCATTTTCTCCGAACAAACGATATTTAGTTTCAATTGGTTTCCAGGTAACTAATTTATTTTGATTTGCCTATTATACAACTAATATATGTGTATATATAAAAAAAAGCATGATGGTTATTTATACGTTTGGGATTGGAAAAAAGGTACAAAAATAGCCGGTAATAAGGTCACAAGTCGGGTCAATGCTGTATCATTTTCTCAAGATGGATCCTATTTTGTCACTGCTGGATTAAGACACGTTAAATTTTGGTATTTAAATAAGTCCTCAAAGGTAAATCAATATGAAAAAAATACGTTAGCATTTTTTTTTTAAAAAAAAACATTATTGTTTATAGGGAAACATATCATCAAGAGAAACCCAAGTATTGGATGGTAGATCAGGAATATTAGGTGTTTTACGTGATGGAAATTTTGTTAATGTTACCTGTGATAAATCAAGTAATACAGGTTACACTTACTTTATCACTGACACTGGTATTCTGTGTACCTTCAAAGAAGGAAGAGTATTGGATAAATGGGTTGATCTTCAGGTGGAGTATTAACAAAATCTAATCCTTATTTTTTTTTTATCTCATACATATTTTATATAGGTTAAAAGTGCTTACTCAATTGCTATATCAGAGAATTATATCATATGTTCTTGCTCAGAAGGAATTGTTCGGTATTGCTCTTTTTTTTTTTTTTTTTTTTTTTTTTTTTTTTTTTCATTAATTTATATTGATATTTAAATAGTCTATTTGAGCCTGTTACGCTAAAATATGTAGGTATACTACCAAAGCCTCATCCTTTAGGTATTGATATTAGTTCAATTACATCACCAGAAATGATTATGCGCACAGAGGCAGTAACTCATTATTATCCTGATGCTCTTGCTATGGCCTATGATGATTATAAAGTGATTATTACCTATTCAGACAGAAGTCTTTATGTTTGGGATATACATGATTTAGAAAAAATTGGGAAATACAGAAGTTTTATATTTCATAGTGATTGTGTATGGGGTGTAGAGGTAGTTAAGAAGAAAAAAAAAAAAAAAGGAGAATCGGAATCACGTTAATCCTGAAAGCTTATTATTTTGCCATTATTTATTTATTTAGGCTTATCCTAGAACTGAGTCGTCTGAAGAAATCCTTCAAAATTCTTTTGCCACATTTTCAGCTGATGGAACAATTCGTTTTTGGAATCTTGATAATTTTGTTCATACCACTTCATCCACTTCATCCACATTACCATCAGCAGAGAATCTTACTCAGCCTATTTCCTCTAATAGTAGCACCAGTACAAATACAACAAATTCGCAACGAAGAAACATTTATTCTAGGGAGTTAATTAAGATGCTTTATGTTGATCCAGATGCTGCTGAATTTGCTAAACTAAAAGGGGATATCGGTATGATAATAATTTCGATAAGTAAGCTTACAGTATATAGGATATAAATATGAACTATTCTTTCTGTATAGATTTTACTGCTGAGGATCAATGCCCTGATTTTGGTATTCGATCATTAAAAATAAGTTCTGATGGTCAACTGATGGCAAGTGGAGATCGAAATGGCAATTTGAGAGTATATAATATGAATAATTGGGAAATACTCACTTATTTAGAAGCCCATGATTCTGAAATTTTATCTATTGATATAACGACATCAAAAGAAAAAGGTACTCCAAATTTATTCTACGGAAAAGATATCATTTTATTTATTTATTTGTTAGATGCTCCAAATTTAATTGCTACCGCAAGCAGAGATCGACTACTGCACATTTTCGATATTAAATCCAACTTTCAAATCGTTCAAAGCCTAGACGATCATTCATCTTCTATTACAGCAGTCAAGTTTTCGAAGGATGCAACCAAACTAATTAGTTGTAGTGCGGATAAAAGCATCATTTTCCGTCATTGTACAAATCCTCCCCTCACGACGAATAGCGATCTGAACACTATACCACAACCTTATTCAACTTATCATAATTATTCCGGAAGGAGTACGGTATTTGATATGGCTTTAGATATCAATGGAAAGCATCTGGCTGCTGTCACAGGAGAACGTAAATTGTATGCCTTGAGTCTGGATTCTGGTAAACCGTTTCGGGTTTGTAAACCGGAAACAGCAGAGGAAATTTTGATTGGCAAAGTATCAGAAAACTCAGGTGGTAGTCTGATCAACATTGACCTCGACCCATTTTCAGGAACATTCGCAGTTACGAGTGGATCTGATCGTTGCATTCGATTATTTGACTTGGTCAACAATACTTGCATCGAAAAGGTGTGTGCTCATGCAGAACTCATTACAGGGGTTAAATTTATTTATGCTCCTGTTAATCATGATACCACGGGGCAAGATGATTTGCGAGTTGTCAGTACCTGTTCAGATAGTACAATTTTCATTTGGAGGGTAAGTTGTGAGATCGTTGCGAAGATGCGCGCTAGAGGAGCTGAACGTGATTTAAAATCGAGACAAAGGAATTGTGTAGTGGATGAAGACGCTATGGATCATATTATAAATAAGCAAATGATATCACCATCTGGTGGTATTCCTTCAGTTCATAAAAATAAAAGACTTGGACGTATATCGATAACTACAAACACTATTTGTCCTTCAGCTAGTCTATCTCAAATGGTTCGTCAGGGGGATCGTAATACGTTCTCTACCATGTCCCCAGCAGAGCATAAATATGATGAATTGTATAAAAAAATTGCTTCTGGGTCTCGTAAAAAAAAGCTAGTAGAGATTGACGGTAATGATGATGATGATGATGATAATGATACACCTTCTTCTAATAATAATAATAATAATATAATATCCGTGAACGATGTTCGTCAAACAGAGAACAATAGTAATACAGACTCTTCTACTCATCTCATCAATAATAATAAATTCTTTAATAAGCCATTGTCTTTTAAAAAGGAGAACCGAATGTCTAATACACAAACAACATTACTAGATAATAATGGCAGGAAATCACCACCAGATAATAGGTCAGGAAGATTAGATCGACTCTATAATGGTCTCCCCACAAGTAATAGTCCTCGAGAAAGAACGTTGAACCAAGTCAGTCATCTATCTCTTCAACAACGTCTTCAACAATCTTCAGGACCCAGTATAATAACAGGAAGAGTGAAAAGCAATCGTATCTTAAGACACGCTCTATCTAGAGATGCAATCATAAAGAAGGAACAACCTGAGTTGTTCAAAAGGCCCTCTACTACTGTATATAAACAAGAGCCTATTCTAAATGATAGCCATGTTGTTAATAGTAACCTACCCGTTGTTAAAAGTGAGAAACGAAGAGTAAGTGCCCCTCAAATTGAAGTTTCAACTCTTGATGACCAAGATACTTGCGAAGAAGAAGAAGAAGTGACAAACACAGATCATACTACTTCTAAAAGCTTCATTGAAGGTATTATTATTATTATTATTATTATTATTATTATTATTATTATTATTATTCATACTAACAATTATCAAAATATAAAAGAAGGATCTGATAGTGATACTGACTTTGATACAAGTAAAGATGGAGAAGAAGAGAAAGAGGATGATGATGATAATGAAGAAGAAATTATTTTTACACCTGAGCAAGACAAAATGATTAAGCCATTTGAAGTATCGTTACATGAAGGAATTTCTTCTTCAACGGGTGATGAAGAAGAGCAACATGCTTCTGCTTTATTAGATAATGAAGCAAATGGTACATCAAACAATGATGAAGAAGGATCAAACAGTGAAGATAATATAGATGATGTAATCAATCGTAATATCGTAGCTCGTGAACCACCACCGATTTCAATATCTCTGAGTCGAACTCAAAGTTATGCATCTATAAATAAGAGTAGACGTCGACATACAATCCTATTTGATTGTCATAAAAATGACCAACAATTACATGATTCACCTTCTTCCTCTTCCTCTTCTCCTCTATATAAGAAGAATGGGGGGTATGAACGATCTCCTATTGACGATGAAGCCTTTTCGCTATCGAACAATACACTTAAAGAAATTCAAAAGAAAATGCAAAGGGCGTCAAAAAGACAAAGTGTTACATCACGTTTCTTGTCTTCACTTGGAGGAGGAGTGATGATCAAGTCAGTAGATGAACGTTTATCTCCGAATCAACAAAGACCCTCTTTGAATTATGTATTAAATTCATTTCAAGAATTATCTCCTAAAAGGGATGCTTTATCGCTGCCATTAGACGACGACGATTCTTTGATTCAAAAGCTAAAAACAACCAGTATAGACGAGACGAAACAAGCAAAAGATGAATCCAGCCATCACGAGCAACAACTGTCCTCGAAGAAACAAATTGGTGATGATGATAATGATGATGATGAATCAGATAATAAATTAGAAGGTGCACTTGCTAATCTTGACAGTGCTTTTATATTATTAGAAAATGTTTTACAGGTCTATTCTCTATCAAAGAAGAACAATACTACTGAAGTGGCGGCCAAGATAGAGACCAAATTAAATAACATTGTTGATAAAATAACACAGTCTTTACAGCAAGAGCCAAAAACAAAAGAGAATCCTACATTGGCATCTGAAACAGCATTACTGCTTGAAAAATATTCTAATTTACTAGTAAACATGGTAGAAAATAAGTTGAACGACAAAACCACGTTATAGCTTCTTACACAATCCCCCTCCCCCTTTTTTTTTTGTCAAACAGAGAAAAAAAAAAAAAAAAAACTGTCACAAATAGAGATTAAATTTTAATTTTAAATGCTGAAAGAAAGTTTTTTTTTTTTTTTTTTTTTTTTTTTTTTTTTTTTTTTTTTTGCTACTGTTGTTGTAAAATAATGAGTTTTATGAATGAGGATGAATTATTAGGAAAACTTGTGCATAAAATTACTGGTTTACAAGTAAATGAAAACATTTTCGCTTTTACGCTTTATGTTTAATATTGTATTAGTTTTATTCTCATTCTTGGAAGAAAGCATTTGAAAAAGCTAAATACACCATTCATTATGCAAAATGTACAAATACAAATGAAACTGATGTTAATGACCGATATAAAGGGTAAAGATCGTCATGAAAATAAATAAATTGTACATAATTTATTTAACGTCTACATGCAGGCTTGTAGAAAAATTTAGCATAAAAGGTCATGAGGAATTCTCACAGGCGTTAAAGCAATATAAGTTCAAGTATTTAGAAGACTCGAGGCCAATAGTAGTTGAAGAAGAAATAAACGTAAACATATTTTTATATAAAAAAAAATAAAATAGAATATGAGCTAACATTTTCCTTTAGCAAACCATTTTAAAATATGATATGTTGCAATTAATATTGTCTTTATCTTCATCAACAAATCAAAACTATAAATATATTCCAGCCTTAAATGATACCTTTACAAAGGGAACTAGTTTAACATGGCAAGATATTATTAAAGAAGATCCTCCACAAGGGGATCATTGGCAGACTTGGCCAGCTGATTCATCTACTGAAGATGATGATGTGAGTGATGATAATGAAAGTGACTCCATTCATTCAGAATTAGAGAAGCAGCAGCAGCAGCAGCAGCAGCAGCAGCAGCATCGATTGAATAATAAGCTAGAAAACTTTCAGTTTAATTTTTTGAGTAGTATGAAGATTGATGAAAGAGAGGGTCGAGAGGGAATTTATTATTTGAAAGCAGAGCAATATTGGAATAAAAAATTCAATTTACCAATTCAAGATTCAACGAGTGGAAGCATATTACAAAATTCCTACCAGTTAAGTAATGAGTTGGGAAAGCTGTTATATAATGAAGAAGAGCGACAAAAATTAAAGACGATTACTGAAGCGGGAGTTATAAGAGAAATATTGGCACTATTAAGAGGAGATAGTAGTGTTTTATTTAAATATGAAAATGAAAGATTCAAGGTAAACTTAGAAATTAGAATTAAATATGACAATTTGATCCTTATTTCTATTTGAAGTTAGAAGATATTTACCTTGTACAACACTTGAGTCGAAATGCATTAAACAATTTACTTGACGAATTTTGCATATTTGGAAATATATTATTAGATCTTAGAAAAACAATAAGAGAGATAATTAAAAGCAAAACATACGGACAAACAAGTCAAGCATTTGCTGAATCTATCTATAAATCACTATTAGATTTGAATAGCTTTATTGCTACCTTGGAAGCTAATTCTAGTTTTATTACAAAGGATACTTCACAAACAATTTCAATTCTCAAACTTCGTAATACACTTGATTCCTCTATTTATTATTTTAAGACTCTACATGGTATTCTAATGAATGCACCCTATGAGAAGAATAATGCACTTTTATTGGGTTCTTACTTTATAACAGTACTCTACAATTTTATTTTAATATCACAATCCTCTGGGCAACTTACACTCTATAATTCCTTAGTAAATCTATTGAAGGACACACTTGTACCTTATGGAAAATGGATGGACGATTGGATATTTTATGGCTCACTTGAAGGTGATCGTTATAAAGAATTTTATGTAGCAAGAAAGGATAATGTCAACTTGTATGACTTTGACTTTTGGAAAAAAGGATTTGAAATAAAAGCAGTTTATCAAGATAATAATCGATATACTTGTCCTTTGTTTGATCCTCTCTTTATGGACCGTATTTTTTTACTGGGAAAGCAGTTCATCTTTTATCGTATATTGAAAAGACATCGTTCTTGGTATCGAAGGGCTCAATCTATAGCACATTTAATAATCGTGTATTGGAGCAGTTAACCAAATCTACGTCAAGTAAACAAAATATAAGCGAGCCTCCGTCACCAACACCTTTTGGATCTCAACAAACGACTACGATTACATCCATTTTATTCCCGTTATTAACGAAAAAGGATCAAGAGAATCAAATACAATCGATGATAAATAATGGACCATTGTTGTTTGATCAACATTTTAAGTATCTTTTAGATACATGTTACCTTGAAGATCCTTATATTAATACAGCAGATACCTTGAACAATGTCCTTCACGAAAAATGTGAGTTGAAGCAGCAATTGAAGACATTAGCTTCTGTCTATTTGATGTTGGAGAATGATTTAATGCATTCATTTTGTGAAGCGCTATTTTTACAGATAGATAATAACGAACTATGGCTAGATCCACGTTTATTAAATAGCACGTTTATAAATGTGTGCAAAGCAAATAAATATGATGAATTTGCACAGATTACAGTAAAGGAAAATAACGTGAATCATTCTACTCTATCATCTTATCTTGAACTTATTGAATTTAAAGTGAAGGTATTGTAATCCTCGTATTAGAGCAATTCTTATCTTTTTATTTTATTTATTTTACTCTTTACCTTATAGATACCATGGCCATTGAATAATTTTATTCAAATAGAGCATATACCAAGTTACTCTAAAATTCAAAAATTTCTATTTCGATTGAAACGAGCAAAATATGTTATGGAAAAAAAGACACTTGGACGAAATAAGAAAATAGTGTATTCAGACGAAAAGCAATTTTACTCGATTCGTATGAAATTATTATGGTTTATTAATGTCTTTTGGAGATATATGATGACGACTGTAAAGTATATAAATATGTATATATAAATGATATCAAGCTAATAATAAAAGTTAAATTAGATTCTTCATGCTGAAACAATTCATTTCCGTAACGAGTTATCTCTATCAAAGGACGCAGATGAAATTGCAGCTGTACATGCTTTATATATACGTCATATTATGGATCGATGCTTATTAAATGATAAGGTATATATATATAAAGATGGATTACAGCTTAGAAATAAAAACACTAAACATTTAATTGGCTAATAGACAAATGTGATTAAGAAGTCTATCATTAAAGTTTTGGATATGGCAGAGCTTATGAAAGATATATTTGTAGAATATATGCAAACAGATAATAATAAAGCTGATAAGGAACGATTCAAGGCTTCAATGAATTCCATTGAATATGAATTTAAAAGATCCAATGATTTTATATCTAGAAGTCTAATGATTATGGGCAAAAAAGGTGGATTTCCATGGTGTAAGTATAAAATATGTATTTTAATATACTGTAATCATATTCAAACTAATCCGGCTTATAGTTGAGCATTTAGCATCAAGTCTTTCTATTCAATAATCAAATTGAGTATTATATACCGTCAATTACGCTATATTGTATACCGTATATTCTCTAGTTAATTTATATAAATTGTAGGGGGGGGGAAGGGAGTGATGGACATGATATAATCAAACTGGGGCTAATGATTCAATAAACTTGTTATTGAATTTAACATAAAATAAAATAAAATAAAGATGCCTAATAAAGTAAAGCCAATTTATATTTAAGGTTCAAATTTCTTTAGCCAATCGGGCAATTTGCATATAAAGAAAAACTAAAAATTATAAATAACGTGCCTTTTTTTTTTTTTTTTTTTTTTTTCTTTCTTTTTTCTTTTATTACTATTAAAAATATACATCATGATGAGCACTTCAACAAAGAAGATGACAGTTGCCAGTTGGCAAAAGATAGGGGCTATAGACTTGATAACAAAAGATGTTCCTATTGTTAAACCAGGAGAAATATTAGTAAAAGTCGCAGCATCTGGCATTTGTGGTAAGAAAAAAAAAGAAAAAAAACCCCAAGATTTCAAGTAGGAGAATGTATTAACAAGATAATTTAAGGTACTGACTTACATATTAGTCGTGGAGAGACACCTCATGCATCTAAAAAAGTTGTTATTGGGCATGAATTTTCAGGTTATGTAGAAGAAATTCATCCTGAAACAAGGACGCCTATTCAAGTAGGCGATTTAGTTGCTGTTGATCCTAATATTCCTTGTCAACAATGTACCTTTTGTCGTAATGATAAATACCATTTATGTATCGATCTTTTCTGTATTGGTGTCACGATAGACGGTGGCATGTCAAGGTATGTTTCTATACCAGCTCGTGCTGCTATAACGATACCGAAGCATATTTCACCTGAGGTAGCCGCCTTAGCAGAGCCTCTTTCCTGTGTCGTACACGGAGTAGACCAAGGTAAGATTAAGACTGGCGACCAAGTGCTTGTGATTGGTTCTGGACCTATTGGTCTCATGACGATCGCTCTTGCTTCACTCCATGGCGGTCATGTTACGGTTATAGAGCCAAATGAAATGAGACGACAAGAGGCTTTAAGTTTTGGTGCTTCAGATGTATATGCACCCGGTCATCTTCCTGCTGTCGATGGTGCAGCGGGTGAAGGATATGATGTTGTTTTTGAATGTGTGGGTCGCCCGAATACATGTGAGGATGCAGTCAATTATGCAAAAGCTGGAGGAACTATAGTTTGGATTGGAGTTAATAAGGTAGAGGATCGCGTTCCTATTTCACCTTTTGATATCTATCGAAAGGAATTGACGATTACGTCTACTTATACCAATCCCTTTGGTATTGATCGTGCAGTTAAAATTTTGGGATCAGGTAAAGTAGATTGGAATAGATTGATTTCACACACTTTCAAGATAAGTGAGTTTGATGAAGCGTGGCAAGTCTTTTTGAAAGGTACAGGCTTAAAGATCATTATCAAGCCAGAATAATAAATAATTGGGTATATGGAAATATATATATATATATCTAAATGTATATCTTTTATTATGTATAAGCTAGAAAAAAAAAGGGGGGAGGGAGATGTGAACCTAAATATAAATCAGTGATTATTATTAATTGGATAATGTGCTTTATATTTATGTCTTGAATGATGATAATTAGTAGGGTGAATAGAGTTGATGTCATCATTTATAGACTGTTCTTGTTTGTTTTTCATGTTTTCATAGTGACGTACGGGATAAATTTTATGAGTAGTAGTAGATGGAGGAGACATGGTTGTTGTATTATTATCAACAGTTTTATTTTGATTTAAAGAATGAAAGATAGTTTTTGCATCTGTTGTAATAGCCGATTGTCTTCCTAAACGAGAGATTGAATCTTTATCATATATGATACCTTTCCTTAGTGGTTCTATTGATTGATTATCTATTCTTGAAAGAGAATTTGTTTGATGATAAGTCAGCATATGTTGACTTGAGGGTTGAACACATGCAAATGCTTCTTGTATATTTGTAGTCAATGCCTTTCTTTTCAGTTTTTCATACATAGACTAAATATAAACATATATAAAAAATGGATAAAGAAAGAAAGAAAGAGTAGTAGGGGGGTCTATTTACCTGCAATTTTTGAAATTGCTTTGATTTTTCTTCAAGCTTACCAAGTATCTGTTGAGATTTCAATTTTTCTAATTCAAATTCTTTTACTAAAGCTTATAATAATTATATTTGTATAATATAAAAATGAATATAACATAAACTTATATTGTAGTATAAATGTTTGTTTCAGATACCTATTTGTTTCTTTTTTTCAGCTAAAAAGAAAAAGGACAGAATATATTAGAAAAGGAAAAAAAAAAAAAAAAAAAAAGACATAATATGTATACATACCATTAATAACATGATTCAGATCTCTTGTTGTTATTTCGAATTTATCTCTTAAAGTATGGTATTTATTTTCAATACTCTTTTGTATCATTGATTTATAAAGTAACTCTTGCGATGTTTGATATTCATAAAAAGAGATAGCCCTCATACTTATATCTAAAATAATATCTGGTTTTAATCCTGCCAATATAGACTATAATACAGGTCAATATACCGTCTATTGTACTTTACATACATGCAAGTATTATTTTATTACTTACTGATTTATATTCTTCCGTAGGATTAAGCTGAGTTAAGTTTATATCATCACTATGTAGGTTATAAGTTAATTACAAAAAAAAATAGATATGTATAATATAATTTACTTGTTAGATAAGTTTGCATTACATGCGGGACATGATAGTGCTTTGGAGAATAAACTATTTGAACAATCTACACAAAATATATCTATATAATATTGAATATGTTAACTAAATACATGTCAACTATGGGATATATATATATTACGTGAACAAGATGTAACGCATGCCTACATACAAAAATATTCAATTCAATAAATGCAAGTCTATTTAAGCCTAGTTTACCTGTGTTTCTAATGTTAATGATTTCCTACATTTCAACACATTACAATGAATATCTACTTCTGTCATCTTTTAAAGTAGAATAGAGAAATGTTGTTATGAACTAATAATAAAAGAAAAGAAATCTTACTACATGTCCCATCAACTGAATTTAAATTAATTTTGATCCACTCAAATATACCACCGAAGCTCAATCTATTTGACTCTAATAAAGAAGGTAAAATAGAGGGTGTAACACATGATCTGGCCTTCATATCATTACTTGTTTAATAAGGTTCCTTACATTGCTTTGTTCAAAACATCGACTCAAGCTAAATAGTCTCTTTTAGCTTTAACCTTACCTTAGCATGTTGACCCCAATACAACTCAATTGGATTAAAAATAAAAATAAATAAATATGGAAAATAGCCAGCCTTGGTCTATAATATATCCAATGTTGAAAATTAGGGCAAGCGCGAATAGTGGTAACGTTACAGATAATAAGATTGTGGTGATTAGTCATTCTGTACCCACTTACAAACCCTAAACAAAAATCTTCACCCAAGCATTCATTTATATTTTTATTTTTTTTTATTTTTGCTAATCATCGTATTGTTTCTGTAGTTGTTTAGACTCAATAACAACAAAATTGTCGACATGCTTACTATGACGATGATTAAATACTGATATTAGATATAGTATTTGTACTCAATTTTCATTCCTAATATTTAATGGATACAATTGACAAAATGCTTTTTAGAATTAAAATTAAAAGCTATTATCATTAAAATAATAAAAGTGTTATGAGTAACAACTTTTAACTATCAACCTTGATAGCTAGAGGTAAAAGTAAGAAGTCAAGCAGAATAGGATTTGCCTTCGATTCTACCAAAAATGACATGACTCGGCAAATATTGTTCAACTATAGACATGTGTTACTTGTGAAGAAAATACAATGTTTATTTTGACAACAAACAATAAGAAACAAAAACAAAAAAAAGAGGTTTCTTTTTGCTTCTTTTTCATACATGTATACGTGTTATATATACATGTATACTTTATAAATAAGAACAGATTCAAATGATTTTAAATTTTATAACCGATTATTTCTTTGTTTCATGCTTCTTCTGTAAGTTTTCAATATCCTTTTTAAGTGCGGCAGTTTCTTTTTCTTGTTTAAGTAAAGCTTCGTGAAGCATTTTAAGCTTGTCAGCATCCTTTAAAAGAATAAATAAAAGATTAAAATTACAATTTTTTTTCCCTTTCATAATATATAAACTCGAAATACACAAATTTATTTATTTACATGTGCTCGAGCCCATTGATTTTCGATAGCTTTTTCTTTTTGACCAAAAGAACCAGATTGAGCAGTTGCACCTTCTGAACCAGTTTGATAAGAAGTAAATCTTTTACTCATACGAACACCTCTTGAAGAAACAGATCGAATTGATTTAAAAAGCATTTTATAATAATAATGAAAATTTAAAAAATAAAATAAAATAAAATAATAACAATAAAAAAAAAAAAAAGAAATTTATTAATAAAAATCCCCTGCCAGGTTTTTATTAATTCATTCATTTATTAATTGGCGTCATCCTTTTTTTTTTTTTTTTCTCTCTTTCGATTATTACACAAATGAATAATTTTCCTTCTTATAAAGTTTTTTCTTGTATCACTTTTAATGCATCGAATGATTTATGCTGTTGAAAATAAGAAATATGCTGCACAGCTTAAAATAATTTATTGCTCTATTACTTGAATTAAAGGAACAAGGGGAAAGAAGCACTATTAAAGTCCAGTTCCTTTCACCCCCCCTCCTCCTCCTGTTTTACTATCCTTCCCTTTTTATATAAATATTTATTTATGGTTAACAGTTAACACGTATTTCATTGTTGCAATTGGCATAATTCATGGTAAAATATGAAGGGAGAATAATCCTGCTTTCTGATAGATTGTTAACATGATATAACATTAAGATGTATATAAATAGATATATTTATATATATATATTAAATGACAAGTTCCAAAAAAACAAACAGTAGTTGGTTTAAACATAAATAAATACGTAACACGTATAGATTTAATACATCTTGATAGTTAAGAGAATGGGCTTTACAAATAGATAGCTAATATTCAATATCATTACAATGAAGGCATGTTGATGTTTTTTTTCATGCATGCCTTCAAAGAAAAAAGAAATGTGATTGGCTATAAATGATGACGTCATATTTAATGTGAGAGAGAGAGGGGAGAAGTTACACATCTTTTCTTAAAGTGATGTTGCACTGAATTTTATGTACAGTGCGGCTGGTAAATTTTGTCTCAGCTAATTGGATGTTCGTTTTATTATGGCAGTTGATGATTTGACGCTTAGAGTGTCTATAAAATCCATTGAGATGACTGGGGCATACATCCGCAATTCTTTCTCCATTAACAAAATAATTACCCATAAGTCTTTCGTCCACGTCCATGATATCAAGAAGCTCATTTATGAATTTTACAAAATGAGCAGTAGTTGTACCCTTTGCTACTACTGGCTTGTTGTTCTTGATTTAGAAGCGTCGGCAACTATTAGACACTATTGTAGTTTCCACAAACCAGAGTGAGAGTAGATTGTTAAAGGCTCGAGTACGAAAAGGCAAAAAAAAAAGGGGGGGGGATTATCATGAGTACGGCAGTGAGCAGAAATCATTTCTTGTTTACTTCAACAAAATCTAGCCATGGATAATGCACCCATTGATGCTGAAAAAAAAAAAGGTTAAATTGTGTCAAATGTTTATTGCTGTTTCAAGTTTAGATAGTAATGTTACGTAGAGTACTTTAAGAGTCTTTATAGTCCCATTTTCATAAAACGTCAGACATACGTAGGTATTTGCATTTTGGATAAAAAGCTTGACTTGGTCTGTGATTAGAAATAACATGCAACTTATTACTTTATTAATTGTGTATGTGTGTTTTTTTTTTCATAAGTTATTCTCTGGTGGCAAGGAAGATAATGATGAGATCTTTAAGTATCCAATTATATAAAGTATAGTATAAGTATTTTATTACTAGAAGTGCGACACAGAGCATTGTCGATTTTAATAAAGTTTGACTATTTCAAATCTGATTTAAGCTTTTGAAAGCGTTTTCTTAATGAACTTTAAGATGTAGCGCTTGTCTATTTGGACTGCAAAAAAAAAAGGGGGGGGAGTGCGGCCTTTAAACATCCAAATGCCTGTTTTTAACAGTGATGGATAATTTGAGTGTACATTTTGAAAAGGATTACTTATGTTTTTTTTTTTTTTTTTTCTTCAAGACAACATCACTGCCAACGAGAAACGAGAGATGCATTAACTAATAATTCGAAACATTTCATTAAGATTTGTAATGAATACTAAAAGAAACAAATACTCTTGTCTATAAAAAGGTCTCTGTTTTTTTCAGATTCTTCTGATTCTTTTTCTTCGTGATGCTAACAATTATATTTTTTGGATGTACATTTTCATTTTTGAATGTACATTTTTTGAGTATGCATTTTTATTTTTATATTTAATTTTTAACATATCGAAGGTTTTTAGTAATAAAAAAAATGTCACTCTTCAAACAAATCATTTTTTTTTTTGACAACGTAATCATTTTCTAGGTAGCGCCATTCATAAAAACTGTTTATATTTTATTATTAACTGTTATCGATACTCATCTTCCTCTTACTAACAATAAACTATTAAGTAATATTCATCTCTGTGTAGTAACCCATATATCACAGACCAATAGTTTATTTTATTTTATTTTTTATGAATTGAATATTGAGGTGGTAAAGTAATGCCTAATTGTTTACGAAGCTCTTCAATGGGTGTGTGAAAATGCTCTTCATAATAAACATTCATAAGTGGTGTACAAGATGCACCACATTGTAAGGCCCAAGGAATATAGCCTCCATAAAGGCGTTTACGTTCTGGCCAAGTCATTCTTAAAGGTCCAAAGACAGAAGCAAGCATAGTCATCGGGAGACCTGTTTGAACCCATTCGAACCATTTTAAAGCAATCTCTTCTTCTACTGTCACTCCCAATCCGGTTAATGTATGAAAAAAGTCATGAATTTCACGATAACGTTTAATAACATAAGCCAATTCTTCATCATCAACATATTTAACATCACATCGTGTATCTGGTGTCACACCCTCTGATTCCAACCAATTTATATATTGCTCTCCAAATGTACCTGGTGCACATGTTTTCTTTAGTTCATCAAAGTCGATGGTTTTTGTATTTATAATAGGCCTTTCACGTAATATGCGTCTACCAACACTAGATTCTAGCATTTGGTCGCGCATACGTCTAAGGAATAAATTTCCTGTTGCTTCTCCTAAAGTTGCAATCATATCTATTCATATAAATATGTGTATACATATTAGTTATCCTATCTATTTACTATATACACTATTATTTACCGCCACGTAATGGATTATTTAAAGCAGCTATAGCAGAGCCTACAGTCAAAATTGTTCTCTCGATATTAGAAATAGGAACATGGGTTTCATAAAGCTTTTTGAGTTTATTAGAGTCGAAATCTATATTTATATGTATATAGTTTGTCAGATCAATGTGAATTAAGAATTGTTTCATGACAACCTTCTTCCATGAGATTCATAGAAGTCAAAGATCGAGAAAATAATCGTCTTTGAACAGTCTGAAGATATTGAGTTTTAACAGTTTTTAAAGGATTAAAACGTTGCATAATACAGTCATAATAATAGTTTTAAAAAAAGAAAAAGAAAAAGAATAGAGAATGGGGATGAATACAGCTATGAATAAAACTCCCGCCCCCAACAACGACCCCAGAGATTCAATTCGGCAAGGCTTTTTTTTTTTTGTTGAAGAAGAATGTTAGGTTAACAAATTGTCTCCTGTTATTTTTTTGATGAAAGAAAGTAGTGATGAGTATGATAATAAACAATATAAGCTTGTAATAAATATTAGAACAAGAACATGTATACAAGTTTTATAGAATATAAACAAAAAAGTAAAATAACGCCATTACATCTTGTTTTAAGTAGCAATTATCACTTGTAGCTACTTTTATTATAAAGTCTAATTAAACTTACTGTAATAGACCGAAAGGAAGAGATATTTAAAATTAGTATTTTCTTAAATGAGGACGGAATATTCCTCATCTTTATAGTTGCTTTCTACTTGTCGTCTAAGCCAAACTAAGAACGCCCTATCTCCTATCCTATATATATACCAGTAATAGTGAGGCTAGAATGTATTCAACGTTTGCACTGAACATTTGGCTGATCAAACTCTACTCTGTCCATAGTATCCAGGATTTCTCACTCTCACTCTCTCTTTATTATCATTATTATTATTCCTTATCTTCTTGATTGAACTGGCCTAATAAATACAATACAGTTATGATATAATGTACTCAAAAAAAAAAAAAAAAAAAAAGGTCAGGTCATTCAAAATTGTATTTGTAAAAGTAAAGTCCATTATACGTAATAAATCAACTAAGGAGTAGTAACCTTTCTTCTTCTCCTCCTTTTTCCTTTTCTCCTTTCCTCCCTTCTCATCAATTCCTTCACAATTAGGATTTCTTCTTTTATAACTATATAATATTAACAAGCTATACTATGTAGTTTTATTATTATTATTATTATTATTATTATTATTATTATTTATGATGGAATAGACATTTATGTAAGAAAGCATGTATAATATGAAATACAATTAAAAGATATAATGATTCCCGTAGTTATCCGTTGTTATTATTCTGATTCATTTTCTGCTACATTCGTAGTTGGTTCTTCTTCTTCTTTTGATTCTGAATTTAATTGCTCCTCAGATAAAGATTCGTTATTACTGGTTGATTCCTCTGCTGTCCTTTTCTTTTCAGCATACATGGCTTTCAATATTTCTTCGTCCTTTTGTTTACGTAATCGATCAATCTCTAAAGCACCACCTGTCTTTTTCAATTTTTTAGCATCTACAAAACCAACTAATTCCTTCTCAAATTCATCAATACGATTTGCTAATTCTCTCTGTCTCATCTTGTCTGCTTGCTCTAAAGCACGTAAACGACGTGAATGATCAACATCGATCGTGGCTACTTGCTTTAGAACACTTGTCATTCCTTCAAATCCTTCTTCGGGGGGTGCTACACGAAATTCGCGTGCCTGAGGTCGAGCCTGTGCTTGGTAAGCATAAATCTTTTCCAACTGTTCAAAGACCTCTAAAAGAGCATCTAAATCATCTTTCATATCGGATAAAAGATATTCTTGGTCCTTTAGCGTTTGTTGTTCTTTCACAATCGTCTGTAGCTCATGTTCCCACGTTTTCTTCCAGCGTGGTTTTACTTGAGCAATAAATTTACCAAAGTCTTCAATCTCCTGCGCAAGCGCCTTACGTTCATTGGCACAGTGTGTCATTTGTGCCTCAGAGGGGCGGCATTTACGTTGTGTAACATCAAGTTTAAGTTGGTCAATTGTATCTTGTAAATCTTCAAGTCGATTTGTTACTTGATCCGATTTTTCTAATAACGTCTTTTTCCCTTCTTCTAATTCAGCACGAGCCTTTGATGTATACTTTGTTGTGTTATTTTTTTCTTCTTCTTCAGCTTTTCGCTTCTTCTCATTTTCTTCTTGTACTTTTTCTTTCATTTTTGCAATTACATCTAACGTTTCTTCTCGCATCTCTCTATCCAGCTGTCGAAGTATAGCAATATCTCTACGTAGTGTTTCGATTTCTATACGTTGAGCCTCAAGTTGTTCCATTGCAATATGTCTTGTTAATGGCGCATCTTCTACTTTTGCTTCATTTTCTATTTTATCTTTATCGTCGTTGTCGTTGTCATTATCATCTTCCTCTTTAGTAACTTCTTGCTTAACTTTTTCTTGAGCCGATAAAAATTGTGCCGTTAATTGTTGAATCAATTTTTTCTCCTTTTCTTCTTCCATCGTCTGATTTTTTGAAATAGATTCAACCATTTCTTTCTTTAATGCATCTATTTGCTCAGCAAATTGACGACGCGTTTCCTTTAACTCTTTATTGAATGTAGTCGTTATTTCTGATAACCATTCCTTTTGAACCTTTTTTTGCTCTTCATGCTCTAAATAGTAAGTAATAAATTAATAACGTTCATTCATCTGTATCATTCTCTCTCTTATTTACCATTAATATTAAAAGACAATACAGACTTATCTTGAACTTCAGACAAATCTTGTAATTCATAATATACACCTATCATTGGATCCCGGATATAAATTTTAGAGAAATCATCTTGTCGAATAGAGTAACTAAACCTTTCAAGGAACAGCATATTTAAAGCAGGAATACTGATCTCTCCATTATATCTTACTTTTTGTACTTCTTTACCAATCTGAAGGAACAAGGTTAAATCTAGTAACGGAATTAGATAGTATTTAATAATTTTATTCTCTCTCTCTGTCTCTCTCTCTCTCTTTTTTTTTTTTTTTTTTTTTTTTTTTTTTTTTTTCCTATTCCTTTTTCCTTTTTTCTTTTTTTTTTTACCTTGATTTTCTTCCTCTCTGATTTGTTCATTTCCTTCATTAACTGTATTTAATTTGATACCATTCACATCATTATTTGATTGATTTGGGCCTGAGGCACTATAATCAACATTTTTTATTGGTAAATGATGAGCAGGTAAAGAAGGTACTGGTGGTATACTGTTGGTTTGTTGTTGACTTCCACCATAATTTGATAAAGATAAATTTCCTTTACCTCTTGAAATACTACCTGTACTGTTGTAATCCCCACTACTACCTCCTCTAAACATGGACGCACGACGAACAGATGAACGACGAGCTAAATTTTCCTGACGTTTAAGAGCTGCTAATGCATTTGCAGTATTTGGATCATTTTCATCAAACTGAGATTGAGGCTCAGGTCGTGGAGAGATGATAGTAGCAGGAGGTAAAGGAGGTGGTGGAGGTGGTGGAGAAGGCATTCTTTGTGGTATATTATTATTTCGAGTTGAAGAGGAAGATCGAGTAGGTAAAGGACTTGACTGTTGCTGTTGAGTTGGTGAATAAGGACGATTCATGGACCCAGTACGAGGCATGATTCTTGCTGATAGATCATTAGATGGTATAGTAGGTCGTGGCATACCACCTGACCAAGGTTCATATTCAGTTGCTCCCATTTTAGGTGAAAGAGGTGGGTAAGGTGGCATAGGCAATCCATGTTGTTGTTGTTGTTGATTATTCATCATCATTCGTTGTGAGCCACTCATGTTACTATTACTACTACTGCTACTACCCCGATTTAAAGCGGCCAAGGGTACTTCTTTATTCCAAGACTCTGTATTATTCGAGCGAATTGATCCACGCGATTCTCTTTCTCGCTCTTTTTCTCTAAGTGCTGCCTGCTTAGCTTTTAATCCATGTAATAAATGAACAATAACTTCTCGAATACGAGGTAAATGTTGATCTAATGTTGCAGGTGAAGGCTGTTCTAACATGGCAGCTGAAACTGCATCCCTTAACTGTCGAGGAATCCATTGTAAATCACTAAAAAAAAAAAAAAAAAAAAAAAAAAAAAAAAAAGAAAAAAAAATTAAACCATTTTTTTTTTTTTTTTTTAAAAAAAAAAAGTAGCTTATAAAAAGGCTAACCTCATTGGAATACTTGCTTCTTCAAAAGCTTGTGAAACTAAAAAGAACTGTTTCTCCAATGTGTCATGAATTTCAAATATTTCTGTATTTGATGTACGCATTAGAGACCATTGAGTTAATGCCTCTAATAAAGCTTTTGTAGTTCGTAATAGTTTGGTAACTACATGTTCAATCTCTCCTGACTAAAAAAAAAAAAAAAAAAAAAAAAAAAAAAAAAAAAAAAAAAAAAAAAAAAAAAAAAAAAAGTTATATTAATCAATGAAATTACATTATACATTCCTTCTCTTATTCCTATTATTAAATACAAATATATAAATTAATTCTTACCATGCTAGCTATACTATTTGTTCTTCTCATTTAGAGAATACACAATAAAAAAAAGAAAGGAAAGAATGAAAGAAATAATAGTAATAATAATAATAAAATTAAGGAAAACAAACTATTTTTTTTTAATAAAATAATAAAGCGCCACACTTTTTTTTTTTTTTTTTTTTTTTTTTTTTTTTTTTTTTTTTTAATAAATAAATATTAAACTTTTTTGTATGCAGCAAATGTTATAAATAGTATTAAATTCCTATATCGGTAGAATTTTAAGGAAAAAAAAAAAAGAAAAAAAAGGAATGATATGTATATAAAATGAGGGTTAAACATGAGTCATCTTTTGTGGCGGTAAAGCAGAAGTAGATAAGGAACGATGTTGCTTTTGATGTTGCGCTGATGAAGAATAATGTCCTTGTACCCTTTCATGCCTTCGTAACGCATCCATACGAGTAAACTTTTTTCCACATTTATCACAGTAACAAAATGGACGATTTTTGAGGTGGATCGTTTGATGTCGAGAAAGGTCATAAGAACGACGAAAGGTTTGACCACAGACTTTACCTGATTCTGCGATATGGTCACATTGATAAATTGCTGTTTGTTGTACATTATGAGTATGATTTGTACTGGCTACACTTGCTCGAATTCTTTTTTTATTTAGCTTTCCTTTCATTCCTTCTTCTTCTTCTTCATGATGGATAATGGGAGCAAGCTGCTGAAAGCCTAAAAAGAAATCTTCATTACGTACTGTCAGAGATGAAATAGCAGGTAAAGTAGGAGTTGGGGAAGATGAAAAGGCAGAAGAAATATAGGGTAAAGTAGTCGAGTCTGTGGCAATCGATTGTCCTTTAGGACGTATCTCAAGTGGATGTGGACTATTATTGTTATGATCCAAGATAATGTTATTATTATTTCTGAAGGAAAGTAAGGATTTCGAAGCTATTGAATACGGTTCAGGTAATTTACGTGAATGAGGATGGTTTAGCAATACTCTTTGTTTCTTTCTAAGCGGCCCATCAAGATTTTCATGATAAAAATTTTGCTTATTATGGCTACGTCGAACATAACTCATTTGGTGTAATGAGTCAGTATTAACTATTGTATTAAGAGATAAACTATCAGGCATCCATTTATAGGCGGTTGGTTTAATAACTGGGGCATTGTCAACTTTAATTTCTGAATGTGTATGATGAGTACTAGTAACTGTAGTAGTATTTTTTTTTTGGAACTATTAACATATATGTACACATATGCAAGCAACCAAGCAAGCAAGCAAATAAATAAAATAAACAAATAATATCTCAACATACCTAAAGTTGAAGAAAGGCTAATTTTCTTTGAATTATTATTATAAAGAACAATTTCTAGTCTTTTTCGATTTAATATTGAACATTTTAATGCATTTTTGAAACTATAATCGTCAGATAAAATAATATTCGTGTCAACAGTTGCAAAATGACAATTATTCAAGTTAACATTCTATCATTAAGTTAGAGATTTATACATTAATAAGAGTGTATATATGGATAAATAGGGCTCTATTTTAGATGTACCATGCTGATTGTACGTTGAATATACTTCATTAAATCATTAAAAGTAGGTTCTTTATCCTTAATGGCGCAAAGAAGGATAGGATAGTATTGAGAGGTTTCCTCAATAAATAATCTAATACATGTATTCATTGAATAGTTAATATAGGTAAAAAATAAAATAAAATAACAAAAGTAAATAAATAGCTATGCTAGAGTAAATACCTTAATTTATAAATTGTGTTAAACATGTTATAACGAATGACTATGGATTTTTTTTCTTAAAAAAGAAAATAAAAAAAAAGGAATGGAAAGGGTTATATCTTAATGATATAAAATAAAGAGGATGGAAAGGAGGAATAAAGAGAGAGAGAGAGAGAGAGAAAGAGAAAAGGGTTTAAAAAATTCAAAGTACATTTTAATGATCCCGTAAAAAAAAGGGGGGAAAAAGAGAGAGAGTGAGATACAATAAAGCTGCTGCTCATTAGCTAAAAAGAGCATCATACATGCGATACAAGAGGAGTAATAAAATAATGTATACTACTCCCCACTAAACAAGCATAGAAGAATTTTACATATAAACATACATACTCACTTTTTTTTTTTTTTATTGCTGCTATCATCATACCAAATACTTTTTTATTTGCTTATTTATTTATATGAAAAAAGAAAAAAATCTCCCATATTTATGCTTTTTATCTATTATTTTTATCTTGTGCTTTTATCAAAAATATGAATAGTGTTTAAATTTGCGTTTTATAAAAAAAAAAAGATAAAGTTGGCAAAAATCTAAAACTTATATATACATATGTACTTACGATGAAACGTAAAAGTAAATTATCTATGAATAACACAGATGGTGCGGAGGATATGGGAGAAAAGGGGAAGGATGCTCGTATCAAAACTAGATTGTGTACGCATTAGGCTTACCGGTTAACCAAAGAGAGACGGGTTAAATAATCTCGGATAGGACAGACTTCAATACTAAATGGCAATTGCTGTGGGGCAACGCTGCATATTCAATCATTCAACGGAATGTGAGTTAGTGAAATTATCCCACGAGTGACGGTAAAGAGGGGTATGGAGATGGCTTAATAGAGTATTTTCTTTTAGACAACATAAAACAAACCAATTATCTTTAGAGAGAGAAAAAAAAGAAACCCTCTCTCCGTGTTTGAGACAGCAGCAATGCTATTATTCTTATTAACAAGGTAATGCAGAAGGGCGATCTCGACCAGTAAACATATTATTAAGAGTTTTAATGAATATATCTAGCAGTATTACCACAGTTTTTTTTTTCTGCACGGTAATACACCATGTGATAGCTTATCATGAAAGATGAATTGTAAGTATGGTTAATATAAATTATATTCATAACAGCTTACAGTACACATATTTAGTATCTGGAATGAATTCTTTGATTATTTCATTCACGTATAAATGAGGAAATAGCACATAAATAAACAAGTAAACCTATGCATTTTACATACCATCAAACAAAACGTAACCGAAACATTTTAAATAAGTCGATAATTCACATCCTAGAATAAACTTTACAAGTACAGTATATCCCAAATCCAGAGAAAGTAATTACGTGATTTCTTGATCCGGGATTATTAGTGATAATTAGTCTTATTATTACTTATGTCTATATCATATGTCTTCTAGACAAAAATTTTAATGCATTATAATTAAAGCTAGCAGTATAAAACATCATTATAGTAATCTGCCTGTTATCCTTACAGACGTAAATAGAGATATAACAGTATATTTATTTAACTTGGAGAACATCTATTTTATTTAAGCCTATATGCTTAATGTTCAGAAAAAAAAAAAAAAAAAAACGTGCCATGCCAATTATGTAATGCATGATACGATACCTCCCCTCTCTTCTACACCTAGGCATGATGGATGATATAATTTTTTTTTTCTTTCCCTTTCCTACTTTTTCTTTCTTATTTACCTCTTCTTGTCTCTTAAGAGAATTTTTGAAACCTCCTCCTCCCCCTCCCTTTTTTTTTGGTTTTTTTTCTAGTCGTGTCGTATATCTTATCTTGAACTGATCTGGATAGTCTAATGTGTTATAGTTATTACGTACTCACTGGCCATTTTAATTTTAATTTTTATTGCCACAGAATAGTTTTAGATAATGCAAAAGAATCAAACTATGCTTAATATCAAATATCACTATGGGGACTTCGTTGTAGTTAAATATTCAAATTACTATGTGTTATAGTGACTATTAGTCTGAATACTGAAAGTTAAGACTGTGTTAACAAGTATTTCTACTAAAAATTTGTCTTCTTATGATTCATAATACATGATCAGGAATGAATATAAGGAGAATAACTGTTAAATAATTTATAAAGATATACTGTTAAATATATTTCTCTCTAAAAAAAAAAAAGAATAATAATAATTCCTTATTATTTATTGTTGTTCGAAAGTAGTAATCACGTCATCAATCTTCAAAATCATCTTGACTAATTGAGTAGCCAATAAATATTGTTGACGCTTAGAGATCAATGGATCATATACATGTTGATCTTTCATATCTAATAAAGAAAAAATAATATGTTAGTTTTGTGTTTATATATAGATATGTATAACATAAAATGAACTTTACCATTAGAGCCTTTATGAAGACAATCAATACCAAGCTTAGAATTACCAGTAGTGGCTTGTTGAGCCTTAACTTCTGCCAAAGTTTCAATAGGAGAAAGACCCGAGTTTTCAGCAAGTGCAAGAGGTGTAGCATCTAAAGCATCAGCAAAGGCACGCATAGCATATTGTTCAATAGATGAAATTTCATCAGCCACCTTGGCAACAGCAAGAGAACAACTAATCTCAGCTGCACCGCCTCCATAGACAACACGATTATCACGTACCAAATTACGAACAGCACACATAGCATCATGAATAGATCGTTTAGCTTCATCAATAATCATTTTATTACCACCTCTAACAAAAATAGTGACAGCACGTGTATTAGCACATTCTTCAATAACCAACATACGGTCCTTGGTTGTACCAAACGTCAATTCACGAACAAGTCCTGCCTTACCTAACTTTTCAGGTGATAAATCTTCGAAACGAGGAACAATACGGCCATTTGTAGCAATTGCAATCAATTCAATTTCAGGACCACCTACCCATCTCACAGCAGGTAACTTATTTTGTAACAACAAGTGATTAGCCTCATCATCAAAACCCCATTGACAAATAACCAAGTTGGCACCTGATTGCTTCACTTGATCAATCATCTGATTGAATTTCTCTTTTTCATAATTCTTTAATTTTTCATATTCTTCTACAGTTGTAATATCGAGCTTATGCTTTGTCTTGGGTCTTGGTGGTTCAAAAGCACATGTTAAGATAGCAATCTTTGCATCACGAACTTCACGAGGCATTTGAGGATGAGACATATCTTTATCAACAACAACACCTTTCACCAAAATGGTATCTTCTAAAGAGCCACCTACTTTACCATCTACTTTGATCAATTCAAAATCAACATCTTTACGTTCCAAGTCAGCAACAGATAAAACTGCTTCAACTGCAATATCAGCATATTTTTCATGATATTTAGAAACACTATAAAATTTTGTTAGTTGCAATGAAATTATATAAATAAAAAGAAAAGAAAAAAGAAAAAAAAAAAAAACTCCCTCCTTTACATTTTACTACCAAGACTAGTCATGGCTGTCTTTTTTAAATTAGCAACATTATCTTTACTAAACTCAATAGTATCTGAAATGTCATCTAAATGTTTAACTGCAACAGCGCAAGCACGTTCAAACCCATCTGCAATACGAATAGGATGAATACCACGATCTAAAAGTTGCTCGCATTGTTCCAACAAAGCACCAGCAAGGACTACACAAATATTTATAGTGTTAAAATAAATAATTTATAAGAGTGAATATTATTGGTTATTACCAACAACACCAGTAGTGCCATCACCAATTTCTTGATCTTGACTTTGTGATAATTGAACAAGTAATTTAGCAATTTGATGTTCAACTGCCATTTGATCAAGGATAGTAGCACCATCATTAGTTACAGTAATATCACCATCAGGAGAAATCAAGATCTTGTCAAGACCTTTTTTTTTTTTTTTTTTTTTTTATGAAAAAAGAAATCAGTTAAATAAATTCTTTATTCAATAGTTTAATATTTACCTCGAGGACCGAGAGAAGTTTTAATAATATTAGATACAGTTTTAGCAGCGAGAATATGTGACTAAAGAGCATGATGAATATAAAGAATTATAATCTATACTAATACAAAATTAAATATATACTTACACGAATAGCAGCGATGCCACTTAATCTCGACTTTTGTTGCCCTTCTCTAACAATAATAAAAGGTCTACCATATTCATCGGTAGCATAAACAGCTGAATTAGGATCGATGTTGGTTGCCATTTTCTTTTATTAATGATAAGAAGGATGACAAGGGGAAAATAAATGAAAGAGTTTTTATATAATTATTATTATTGTACAGAAAGTCAAAGAAATTTTTAAATTATGAACGCGCACAAAAAAAAAAAAAAAAAAAAAAAAAAAAAAAAAAAAAAAAAAAAAAAAAAAAAAAAACTTGTCAATTTGGTAAACTTCTCAGCCAATTGAAATATGAATATACACACACACATATATATATTTTTTTCCCTCCTAACAAATATCAAAATCAGAAGGGGCAGTGTTTAATTAATAAATAATATAAAATAAATAAAGAGAATAATCATAATATAAATCAATAATAATGATTATTCCGTGTGATTTGATATGGTGCTGGAACAGCGCCAAGCATGTTACTTTGCATGATAGGTGATGAAATGCTTTCAGCAAACATTCTATGCTGTTCTATAGCCCTTTTCTCTACTTTACGTCTATGTCGACGATAGAGTTGGATACCAATAAATGTGGCAACTGCATATACACAGACACCAACACCTACGCAAATACCAATGATACCTCCACTAGAGAGTCCACGTCCTCTGTTACCGTTATTTTTCATATAAGCTGAAGATTGAGCAGCAGCACTATTACTATATTGGTTTGATATAGTATTAGAATCTTTTGAAGCTTGGTAAGAGTTTCCGTTATTATTAGCGATTAAGCCTATATGATATAATTAAATCTTTAGTATTTATAATATAATAAACTACAATATATATATATATGTATATGTATATATTACCAGCATCACTTGTAATAGAATAATTAGGATCAATAAATGTAGGTAACTGTCCGTTATTAGGATTGTATAACACACTACTGGAATTGGAAATCAAATTTTGCAGTGTATTCACTTCACTCTTTGGTATAGCAATAGAAACAATAATACCACTATGATCATTAGAAGAAGCATACGTTGACGACCTCTTTTTCTTCTTCTCTTGCTGATTGCCATTACTTTGAGTAATGGATACAATGATAACATCATTCGTACTGATATTTAAGCTTTTGCTCAAGATGGATGGTAGATCTTGAACAAATTGCGCTGTCAAGATAGGGTCGTTTACTAATGACACATAAGAAATAGTATTAAACTTGATGTAGGTAAGCTGATCTGTGTCTATATATATATATAAATAAGTAAGTAAGTAAGTACAACTCGTTATATAAATAAATAGATACATGTATATTATTATATTATAGTTTACCTGGAATGGTTACATAGAGATTGGGTGTAATGAATTCGGGTTGTTCACTATTAGATTTAGAATTTTCACCCAATGTACTATTACTTGATGATGTAGTTGAATTATTTAAATTGGTACTATCATCACTTTCATTATAATTATTGATTGATGGTGTAGCCGTTGATGAATTTATGCTTGTTATCTTTGTAGTCGCAGTCGCAGTTGCAGTCGCAGTCGCAGTCGCCGTAGGAGAAGGGCTTGAGTTAGCAGTAGGATACTCAAATGATCCAGTTAACCACGACAATGTTTTATATGTGTACAAATGTGTTGGATTAGATTGACTTGTAGTTGTTTTCGTGCCTATATCAGTAGTAGTGGTAGCAGTAGCAGTAGCAGTAGCAGTAGCAGTAGCAGTAGCAGTAGCAGTAGCAGTAGCAGTAGCAGTAGCAGTAGCAGTAGCAGTAGCAGTAGCAGTAGCAGTAGCAGTAGTATTAGTATTAGTATTAGTATTAGTATTAGTAGAAGAAGAAGAAGAAATGCTAGTTGAAGAGATAGTAAAGGCAGAAGGATTAGGCGAAGAAGAGGTTTGGCTAATATAAGAGTTATTGATGGGTACTGTGGTAGCTGTAGGGGTTGAAACAATAGTAGATGTTAGGGTAGGCTTTATAGAAGTAAAGGCTGTCTTTATAATAGAGAAATCAGAAACATGTCTACTACTGGTAGAGACAATAGGCTGAGTTGAAGATAACAAAGGAATATTTGTGGCTGTAGTATAATAAATTTGGGTTGTTGTTGTAACGTTAATAGTATTGCTTCTTTCCATTGTTTTACTAAATGATTTAGTCTCTGTTACAAGTGAATTATATATTTGTGATGGCGATATAGTAGTTACTGCTGTACTGGTTGTTGTTGAACTAGAAACTGTACCAGCAGCGATTCTAGTGGCAACAATAATACTAGTGTTACTAGTACTAGCAGCAACAGAAACAGTAGTCATACTAGTAGTAGCAGAAGCTTCAGTAAAAATAGTACTCATACTTGTCGCAATAATAGAAGGAGTAGTAATAGCGCTAGTGCTACTAGTTTTTGAAGAAGTACTAGTAATGATATGTGTGGCAGCAGAGACAGAAGAAGAAGAAGTAGTAGAAGGAGAGGTAGTAATACTAGCGCTAGAAGTAATACTAGCAGCAGCAATAGTAGTAGCAGTAGTAGCAGCAGCAATAGCTGTAGTAGCTGTAGTAGCTGTAGTAGCAGCAGTAGTAGTAGTAACAGTAGTAGTAGCTGTAGTAGTAGCTGTAGCGGTAGCAGCTGTAGCAGCAATAGCAGTAGTAGTAGCAGTAGCAGCAGCAGTAGTAGTAGTAGTAGTAACAGTAGTAGTAGCTATAGTAGTAGCAGTAGTAGTAGCTATAGTAGTAGCAGTAGTAGTAGCTATAGTAGTAGCTGTAGTAGTAGCTGTAGCAATAGCAGTAGCTGTAGCTGTAGCAGTAGCTGTAGTAGAAGAAGTAGGCATACTAACAGAAGTAATACTAATAGCAGTAGTAGTAGCAGCAGTAATAGTAGTCATTGTACTTGATTTATAAGTCGACTTCCTGTCTAGATCTAACATTAATACTGATGATACAGTTGAGTAGCTCGAAGAAGAAAATGGTACTTTTGAAGATTTATATACTGTTCCGATTGTTTTTGGTAATAAAGATGTAGATGTTGGATCTTTTGTTAAGTAAGGAAAAGAGTTAGTCAATGTTCGGCTATTAGTATCATTGGGCTTTGGAGAACTTGATATGAATATGGAATTTGCGTTATGCGTAAATGTAGTTTTTGAAGGGGTTAGTGATGTAGTTGTTATAGTAGGATCAGAGTTAATAGATACTTTATTGTTTGTAATACTTGATGTTTTTATGGGATTCATATTCGATGACATAGTTGTATGTTTTTTGGCGTTATTTGTAATCGTAGGCATAGAATGTTTTAAAGTAGTTGATAATGTCTGTTGGCTAGTAGAACTTATATAGGATGTGCTTATATCATCTTCTTTAGTACTGGATAATATGCTAGATACTGAAGTGGTTGGATGCAACCTCAAATCGCCATCCATATTATTCAATATTGAAGTAAAGCTGCTCATAGTTGCCGAGTTATCGTTTATTGAATTCGTAGACGAAATTACAAGTGAAGTTGTTTTACTTGATTTCGTATTCAAAAATGAACTAACACTAGTTGAAAAACCCGAGACATATTTATTGTTACTATGCAATAAGCTCTTTATTTTTCCTTTATGTTTCTCTGTAATTGTAGGAGTTATATTGTGATAAGTAGTAGTAGCTGTTGTTGTTGTTGTTGTTGTTGTTGTTGTTGTTGCTGTCTTAGATAATGTAGGCGTTATTTGAGATGATATAAATTTCCTATGATGAGATTTGCTTTTAATATGATGCTTTATAGAAATCTTGCTAGTTGTGGTATCCCTCTGACTAGTTGATGAAGTAGCAGTAGTGCTGCTAGTCATAATAGGAATTGGAGGTTGTGTAATTTCTTGTTTAGTAGAAGATGTATGCTTATTTAAATGGATCTTTGATGTAGACGTAGATGTTTTTCCATTTGTGGAAGATAGGTATTTATCTAATCTATCTTTTGTACTCTGCATTGTTACAGCAGAAGTAGAGTATGTGGTTATAGGTTTAGTTATTGTAGCAGTCAATGAACTTGTTTTAGAAGGGTGATGATTTTTTGAGTATTCTGACGTAGTATACTCTACAGTTGATGATGAAGAGATGGTATTTTTTACATGTTTGGAAGAATGATGACTATGTTTAGTTTTCTTCATTGCTTTTTTATTATGGCTCTTAGCCATAGATGTGACTGAACTTGTTGAATAATCCGATGTCAAGGAGGGTATGGCTTGATAATAGGTAGTTGAAGTTTTGATCTTTATGATTTTAGAGTTCTTCGTATTTGACGTTTTTGGTTTTTTATTTTTAGTAAGCAACTTTTTGTCATGTTTTTTATGTGATGTATCTATTATTAATCACACCAAGAAAAAAAAAATTAATTATAGCAGTTTTTTTTTTTTTTTTTTTCTTAAGTCTAAAACTAACCAAAAATTGTAATAGTTGCTAGTTTTGTTTTTGTGGATGATTTGATCTTCTTCTTTAAACTTGTTGAGGATAGTTGAGCGTTGATAGTAGTTGATGTCTTTTCATTTTTATGGGTTGTAATAGTTTCTGTTGAAGGAAGAATTTTACTTTTATGTTTTGTTTTCACATCGGTGACTTCAGAAGTCTCTTTCATTGTATGTTTCAGCTTATCTAATTTATTGCTTTTATGTTTTCCCTGTTGCGTGATTAAAGTTGATGTAGCAACACTTTTCAACCATTCTTCTATAATTAGAAGGCAATTTATTAACTGCTATGAAGAATTTTAATTGTATAAAAAGAGATTATTACCTGAGGAAGAAGTATGTTTAACCTTTCTAGTAGTAGTAGCAGCAGCAGCAGCAGTAGTAGTAGTAGTAGCAATTACACTAGAAGTTGCATCTTTGTTTTCCTTTTTTTTATTATGTATCGATGCATCTTTATCATTTTTTACTTTATCTTTCTTTGATAAAACATATACAATGTCAGCAGAATGTTTAAATATAGAATCCTTTTTTTTATTGCTACCAAGATATTTGTTGTAAATGTTCAGTGGTGGAGATTTAATTAGGCCTGATAAATTCATTGTTGTATGTTGCACCTGATTCAGTAAAAAAAAAAAAAAAAATGGGTTTAATAATTGATAGCTGAAGATGATATCGAATCGATTCTTTATTATTATTATTATTAGCTTACATTAGTTTGTTGCGCTGCAACAGCAAGTATAAACAATGATGCGTAAAGGCATAGTACTATAATACATGATACGTTATGTTTGTACATTTACATTCGTTTTTTTTTTTCTCTCTGTAAATTAGTTTAATCAATGAAACAAAATGTTAGAAAATGAATGTAATGAATAGTTGTAAAGAAGAAAATGAAAAGACAGGAAGGAATAAAGAAAAAAAAGAAAAGAGGAGGATATAAATGTAAATGTAAATATTAATATAATCAAATCATTGACAGCTGTAAAAATTGCATAGTGTTTTACTTTTAAGAATAAAATAAAATTATAGCTCAGTAAGAAGTTTTGATAATTAATAAATGACAAAAAAAGAAAACTGTGAGACATCTTTAAGAGATAAATATATTGATGAGTTGGCGGGAAGGTTTCTTTTAACTATAAGAGCAATGTAATGACTTATTCATGAAAAAAAAAAGGCTTTATATTTTAACTTTAAGGTAGATCTTTCTCAAGTTATAACATCGTGTTTGTCTATAAATAACACATACATATTTAAAATGTATATGTATATAAATGCTCTATTATTAAATCCTTCTCTATAAATGATACATCTGCCAAGTTATTTTTTTTTTATATATAATGTTCTTCAATATCATTTTTTTTTTTTTAAATTAATATAATGTTTTAATTGACCGAAAATCAGGATATGTCTTGGAAGAATCACGCAAATGACTATTCGTCTTTGAAAAATGCAACATCCGGTTTTCTTTCTTTTTTGTCTTCCAAAAAATGACGGTATCTTTGGCTTTTATAGAAGAGCCAAAATCTATGTCTTCAACGACACAAAATACAACCTATTTCAGATATAACAAAAAAAAAAAAGTATAATATTATTGTCAATACAACTAACAGCCTAAGCAAAGTGACTAAAGTTGTTTTAGCAGATGAAGGTACCTATCAAAATGAATGAGAATGCAAGTTTCTATGTTAATTCTGCTGCAGTATCATCTAAACCTTGATTACTCGAAATTCATTTTGCCCTAGTATTCTACACTCCTAATCGATATTATGTGCTCTCAAAATGAAATAAATATCTGGAGTGAAAAAAAAAAAAAAAAAAAAAAAAAAAGATCAGCAAATAAATAAGAACGGCCTTTAAAATTAAATTTATGTCTTTGGAAATTAAAATTTGCGACTATAGCCACATAATTTCCGAGAATGGGAAAGTGCATTTAGCCTTTTATTTTTTCAATTTTTACACTAGACATTGATAAATACTTAAAAAAAAAATCTTTAAAAGGATTCCTTTTTTCATATTTAAGCAACTATCAAAAAATGTTACAGCATAACTATTCAGACTTCACAGTTCTGTAAATTTACTTGCTTGGATGCTTCTGCTAATCTTGGTAGAAGAACATCCTTTTCCGTGATTTCATTTCTTCTTATGCCTATTTTGACCTTGAACCACATCTCTTTAATGGAATTCAAAAAAAAAAAAAAGAATATGGAGGCAAATACATGCACTTATTTCCCCTTTAAAGAAATGAATGCTTAGGCCTCAAGAGATCTATAAATCCATGCAATATATATTCATATGCTACTTGTCAAGAACTTCAATGATGCTGCTTAAAAAATAGAAATTAGTGATTTATATGAGTGCCTTACTCGACCATTCCCTTCAGTACTAGTATGAAAAAAGTATACTTTATTTTCTTCTTAGAGACTACAGGCGTAGGTTTTCGCAAAATAAGTTTGACTATTTACTTTTCATACATGGCACCAAGTATTGTTATATAAAATACCTCTTTTATGTAGTTACAGTCATCCTTGAAGCTGTGTTGCGAAAAGAGCGACCAAAAGTCCTTTTGACATGCATATTAAAATCTTGCTTCGTTGATAAAGACACCATTATTGAAAGAATCAAAATTCAGGCAAGTTGTTTCCACTTCAAGTTTTTTTTTCCCGCTTTTTTTTGTTATTGTTACGTTTTTTTTTTTTTTTTTTTTTTTTGGCAGCTTGACCAATTTCTTTGAAAATTTGTTATATAAATGATCTTAAAAAAAAAAACCAATTTTTGAAATCTTTCACTTCTATAAGTGATAATTCTATTAAATATCAAAGATACACTGCATTGCTGATAAAGATTAAATAAATGCTTCAAATAAAAAAAAATCACATGATATTTATGCTGAGCAAGCTCTGCAGTCAAAATCCTTTAAAATCTCTGGTTTATCAAGAATCTTTGATGATCATTGTGTTGTTAACCTGTAACTTGTGAATATTGTTTTTTAAACATCCATTATTTCTAAAGAAAAAAAAAAAGAAAAAGGAAACAGATTTAATTGAAAATGTTGAATATTCTATACAATAATTACCATAAGGAGGAGCTTCAAAAAGCAATACACGTTTTCTATTACAGGAGAGCAAAAAAAAAAAAAAAAGAATTATTATGTTTCAGCTATAATTACAACACAACTACTACCGTCCTTTCTTTTTATTAAAATTAACGTGTTATTCTAAAGTAAATGACATAAAGTATGTGGGTATATAGCAAGATAGGTAATATGGATGTTATAACACTAGGCAAAAAAAAAAAAGAGCAATTCTGGATCTACTTACTAATATGGAAAATTGTTTTTAGTAAAATGAAGATCATGTGTTGTTGCCAAAACACATGAAAATGTTTATACCAAGATTTTATCATAAATAAGGGCAATAAATACATATACACATTTATATATATATGTGTGTATGTGTGTATGAAACTAGCCCGTTTTTAATAACTAAAAGCTGTTATTACACGGTTTAGTTTAAAGTATCTTTTATTCCTCTTAAATTATAATAATTTGTTAATGTAAATAGAACAAATTATAGGCAATAACACGTGTGACGTCCTCCTCCGTAAGTATTTTTGTTATCATTATTTTTTTTTTTTTTTTTTTTTTTTTTTTGGGGAAAGGAAAATCTTTCTAATGTATGATGCACTACACTAAACTTTATTTATTATTATTTTTTTTTTAACAAAAATTCATTATTTTCTACCTTCTTTTTTTTATTATTATTTTATTTTATTTTTTGTTGTTGTTGTTGTTGTTACTCTAGTTTTACAAGATGACAGTAGAAGATGAGAATTCATATGATTATGTTTTTAAATTAGTAGTTGTTGGTGATTCAGGTGTAGGTAAAACAAATTTACTGGGTCGATATGTTCATGATACATTTGATTTTGGTTCGAAAAGTACGATTGGCTTGGATTTAACAATAAAGCATATGATGATAAAAGGTAAAAAAATTCGTGTACAAATATGGGATACTGCAGGACAAGAGCGATATAGATCCATTACAAAAAGGTAATAATAATGATAATAAAATAAAAAAAAAGAAGGAGGAGAAGAGACAAACGATAGGTATATGGGCGTCCTTTTTTTTTTTTTTTTTTTTTTTTTTTTTTTTTTTTTGCTTTGTTTTGTTTTGTTAGGTAAGGTAGGTAATATATGTCATATAGATATTATCGTGGTTCAGTGGGTGCTTGTCTCGTTTATGATATTACAAAAAGGGAGTCATATGATAATATAAGTCGATGGTTAAATGAATTTAAAATGAATGAAGCACATCCTGACAGCGTTATTATGCTTATTGGAAATAAATCGGATCTTCAAGACAAGCGTACAGTAACACAGGAAGAAGCCATGAATTATGCAAAAGAACATGGACTTTTATTTATGGAAACAAGTGCTTTGGAAAGTACAAATGTAGAACTTGCATTTGACTCTGTAGTGAATAATGTATTTGATAAATTATCCGGTAAAATTGCAACAATGGATGATAAGCGAGCTGAAATTATGCGTGGACAAGCAATCGATTTAAATCCTCCGCTAAATACTGATTCCAAACACCCAAATCAATGTGCATGTTAACACAAAAGAAAATTAAATTAAATTAAATGACTCTTTTTTAATAATAATACCCATTCCTAACCTTAACTCTTTCATTCTAATAATGATTATATTAAACTACTTTGGTACCCAGTTCTTTATCATTCATAATGTAGACTACGCATATATATTCTAAGCAGATTCATAAATAAAAAAGATCAATGACACTACTTACTACTCCTCATATTTATTTATTTCAAGAAGAATTTAACTTGAGAGTTATTAAACTAATTAGAATGTAAACAATCATTGTTGCCCATAAAATGGACCAAATAGATATCAGTTAATGTGCTCGTTATACTTGAAGAATAGGAATTTTATACATCTAACAATATTCACTCATACTAAAATGATGACTTGAGGAAAGAAACCCCTAGCTTTTTTTTTTTTTTTTCAGCATCAGCAAGCGAATCACTCATTTATTATCAAAAATGTTCTACAAAAAAAAAAAAAAAAAAAAAAAAAAAAAAAAAAAAAAAGTCAATTAAAATTGGGTGTGTGTGTGAAAAGCAAAGTCATCATGATAGACTGAATTCGTACTCTAATTAGTGAGTCCAGTAGTGTTATAAATAGAACAAGACTATCATGAAGAAAACAAAACTGTTGTTGTTGTTTTTTGTAGAGTAAAATAGATACTACTTTTTTTTTTGAAGGTAGTAAACTTGACTTTTTATTTTAATTTTATATCCGTTTTTCTTTATATTTAGTGTATCTATTTACAAATTGAACATACTGTAACAAACTTTACGAAAAAAAAATAAAGTTATTTGGACTTGATAAAAGGAAACCCTGTATGCAGTGTATTTGCATATGTAAAAATAATCTTTTATGTTCAATTGTTATTGCTAAAGTAAATCAATGCTCATATATTCTTGATTATAAACAGACTATTTTTGTATTATAACTAAATTAAATACATAACGACTAATTAAAGAGCAAAGGAAGGTAATAATTTTTTTTTCTTGATTGAGTGACCAATGTGGCTATATATTTTTGACTCCATTAATAAATCTGAATTTCAATAAATATCATGCCACAATTTTTATCAATGCTTTTTTTTTTTTTTTTTTTTTTTTTTTTTTTTTTTAACAGACCCGTCTGTGCCCCTGAGCAAAGTTTAACCCCACCAGAAAAAAAAAAAAAAAAAAAAAAAAAAAAAACCTCTAAACTTAAACCTAAAAGGAAAAAAAAAAAGTCCTCCAAAACTAACCTTTCTCTTCTTTTTTATTTTCATTTATACTCGATTTAAAAAAAAAAGAGAAAGAATTAGATAAATGGTTATGTCAGATTCTTCTATACCTACTCCACCTTCAAAAGTGGATTTCCTCATAGTTGGTGGAGGTCCTGTTGGATTGTTAGCAGGAAATTTAATTGTTCAAGCAGGATTTACAGTTCGTATTCTCGGTAAGTTGAACTTAATCTTCAGAAAGTATATTCCTTCCAATTCATAAATTATATAAATATATGTGTATACCATATATATATATATATATATACCTATTTATTTTAGATATTGAATATGAACCTAATCATTGGGGTCGTGGTGATTGGATTCATGGTCGTACCCTCGAACTTTTAGAAAGAGCTAATTTAGAAACTGAATTATTAAAGACAGGTGTTAAAGTTGAGAAGCTATCTTCTTATATGAATGGCAAGTTACAAAAGGAAATCCCTTTTGTACCTGAAGAAATCGAATCAAAACACAAGTAAGTTAGCGAATGATGAGTTATATATATACATATTGATTATTTTTTTTGGGGGGTTCATATAGCTATTTGCTATGTGTGGGTCAACATATTACTGAATCAAGTCTTCAAAGTAAATTATCGCAATATGATATTCAAGTAGAAAGACCTACAACTGTCGTTCATATGGATCGTGATGAAAACAAAGACAGTGAATATCCAATCAAAGCTACTGTTTTAAATCTTGAAGAAGGCAAAGGAGGAACTGAGGAAGTGAGATGCAAATATGTATTAGGATGTGATGGTGCACATAGTGATATACGTCAACAACTTGGTATTACTAATGAAGGTGAAACGAGTGAAATACATGCAGGTGTACTTGATGCTTTAATAAGAACTAATTTTGCTAGCCGAAAAGAAGTTTGGTACGTGTGTATGTTATTATTATCATTATTATTGATATTGTGACTAACGCATATACATATACACAGTATTGTACAGAGTAATTTCGCTAAAACAATCAGTATGTTTCCTCGTGAAAATGGGTTAACAAGAATATTTGTTCATTTTAATGAAAATGAACATGAACAAAGAAAAGAGCAACATAATCGAAATAAGATTCAATTAGAAGATATCCAAAGAGAAGCCAAAAGAGCATTATTACCACATCGAATTGAATTCTTAGGTATTTTATATTGGTCTATTTATGTTGTTGGACAACGATATGCTTCTCGAATTGATTCAGAGGATAGACGTGTCTTTCTTTGTGGTGATGCAGCTCATTCTCAGAGCCCTACACTTGGTCAAGGTGTCAATACAGGATTTGGAGATGTATTTAATTTGGTAAATTTACTTATTTAGTCATTTAAACATGTATATACATACATACATACATATGCATACATATATATTTATACATATTTATATACATTTATATCTATTTTTATACATATCTAGATTTGGAAGATTTGTATGGTTGAAAGAGGTCAACTAAATCGTAAATATTTATCCACGTATCACAGTGAAAGATGGCCGGTAGCACAAACTGTACTGAGTATCGATAAAATGGCTGCTAAAGCTGCTGCAGGCCATCAAGCAGCCGATTATTGCGAAGTAGTTGAAAAGAACCGATTATTTACAGCTGGTTATGGAATTAGTTATGAACAGAACAGCAAAGATGAGGTAACGCTCATCTCTAATTCAGAAGAAGATAATGATGATACAACGGATAATTATTGTGTTCAACCTGGTATGCGTGCCCCTAATTTTAAAGTATTTGGTTATGCCTCTGGTAAAAAGACACGTCTTTTTGATATTCATAATGATCTAAAAGAAGATTCACCTAATTGGCTCTCCTTTACCTTATTTGTCTTTGCTCTTGATCTAAGAGCAACTCATGACATTATATCATCCCTACTGAATGAAATTCATAATAAGACAACTGACTTATTACTACCTCCTATGCATATCGTCATTGTCACCACAAGTACTGCAGATCAAATCTCTACCTATGAAAAATGCCTTCTACTAGACAAGGACAAAATCGTCATTGATAAACTAAATCAAACACAATGTCATCGATTTTATTATCAAAAGCAACATTCTTCTCGTTATCATCATTTGGAAAATGAAAAGGTGCAAGCTATTCTTGTCAGACCAGATGGTTATATTGGCCGTATTATAAGAAGTAATGATGGTATCATGATCAGTAACAAGATTATTCATTATTTTTCAGATTTATTATAACTTGAATAGAATATATGCAGCATTCAATAAATAAATAAATAAAAAAAACACCTTTTTATTTAAAAGAGAAGAAAAAGGGCCTGATTTGTGACTCTTATTTTGTTGTCTTTTATTCAGATTTTTATTTTTTGTTTTTTATTTTTTGTTCATTTTCTGAAAAAAAAAAAATGAGCGAAATAAATATAGCAGAAGATATGGAAACACAAAATACAACAGACACTATTTCAATTAAACAAGAAAATTCGCTGGAACAAACGAATTTAGAAGATAAAGAATGGGATGCAGACATGGAATTAGCATTGTTGAATGCCATTTCGCGTTGTAAACCAGTTGGTACACTATTTCTTTATTATATTTTGTATTTGTGTAAACACTCATAAATAATAATCAGGAATTCATAAACATTTCCGAATCATTAGCATTCAAAAACAATTTAATCAACATAGTCCAATACCATGTTCAATAAAAGATATTTGTCAAAAGTTAAGCGAATTTTATGGCATGGATGCTTTAGATGAACTTGTAAGAAGAGAAAAAAGAATAAAACAGTCCTAATGAGTTAATTAAACAAATGTGTTAGGAAGAAGAAGATGAAGAACAAGAGGTAGAAGAGCAAGAAAAAAAAAAGGGAAATATACATGAATTTTCATTACCACTTGAAGATTATGAACAATTAATATCCGAGCATAGACAAGATGACCAATCGATATCATCTGTTCATGAAGAAAGTACATCACCTACCTTACCTCCTGCTAAACGCACGCGAACAAAAAGAGATTCTTCTCCAGCAAATTCTGTTGCTGATTCAGTGACTTCTACTCCTGAGCCAGATGAAAGTGAGTATTTCCTAAAGATATATTCATATCTTATTTAACCCCCCCTCTCCACTCTATTCTATTCTTATTATTATTTTAGATAAATCAGCAAGAAGAACATCAAGGGGTACAAGAAAGTCAGAAGCTACACCCGAACCAAACTTAAGAAGTAGTGGGCGTAGAGCAGGAAGATCATCTAGTACTACATCAACTGTAACTCGAGGAAATAAAAGACAAACTAGTAAACGTAAATAAACATGTGAAGCTCGAATATATCGCCTTCAAAAAGGGAAAATGCCGTTTTATTATTATTATTATCATAAGCTATTAACATCATTGGCTGATCCAATCATTATGTAGTACACTGTTATTGAGCTACATTTGACTTCATATGAATTCATACCTGTGGCCATCAAAAAGCAGCAGGTATATTAAAAGTAGAATATGACTTTATCTTTCCAAAAATATATATATATATATATATATGTATATATTTCAAATACATGATAATATCTTTAAGGGCGTATGCAGTTTACCTGTCTTTATTTTTCTTTATTTTTATTGTTTTGTGTCCATATTTTAAACCAATTTATCGAAGATAGAATGAGCAAGATAACTACTACAGGAGGGACATTTTAATATATTTCTTTCATCTATTAGAAAGAGTAACATAAATACATATATAGCAAGTAGCAAGAAGAAGATAACATTAAAATAAGCTCTATTATCATTATTATTATTTAAGAAAAACTTGCAAACGTGACAGACACAAAGACTGACCATAGAAAGAAACATAATACTGATCTAGAGTTGACCATATAAAGGGATTATTTGATTCGGAGACACTGATTATTGAATTATTTAGTCACTTTAAAAAAAAAAAAAAAAAAAAAAAAAAAAAAAAGCAAGACAGAAATGAGATGACTTTTAACAGATACAAAAGAAATCCATGTTGTCTTATTCATGCTTATTTTTTTTTTTTTTTTGAATCAAGATGACTATGTAAGGGTCGAATAATTTAACAAGTCAAAGCCAAATACAAATTGTTACATCTGCAATAGTACAAATATGAATGGTTTTTATAGAGATTTCTTTGCTGCTAGATAAAGTATTGCTAATGACATTCAATGAATAAAATATGTGTGCGTCACTAACAATCATACGCAGGATAGGGGGACTATAAGGAACATCGCCCCACCCCCCCTAGCAATTATCCCAAACTTTATCAATCAAATTTTCTCTTGGTTTAAATTTAAAAGTAACAGAATCTGTAATAAAAAAGTTCATATTATCAAGTTAACAAAGATAAAACGACAGTTCATTAAACTATTCTATTTACAATATATAATATTTATATTTGAAAGCATCTGAGAAAACAGTCCAATAGCTATTTTCCCCCTTTTTTTTTCTTTTTCAATAGGTTAAAGTATACGCATAAAAACAAAGCATAAATATAATGACTGCCTAAAAACTATACATTTGTATTCATTTGATGTGAAGCTGAAAGTTTAAATTCCTCCTCCTTTTTTGATACTATAGTATAGTCTTTAAACGAATAGAAAAAATTGAATAAAAGTAACCAAAAAAATACAAATATCAAAGTGATTTTATCAGTAAAAAGCCTTATTGGAGTTGTATAATAAAAGTCAAAGCATATCATTCAATGGTACAACGGAATTGAATTCAAAAGTAATACGTTTTCAGACTTCTAATACAAACTACTTGTGAGGCTATTATTGTATTAAAGTGATCTACCTTGATCTTATATTTAATATATATATATATATTTTCCTTATCATTGTATATTAATGATTTATTTCTAGCTCAATTCAATTTTTTTTTTTTTTTTTTGGTCTTGTTGCTTATTTTTAATTATCAACTGTCTTATTTTAGGTTATAAAGTAAGTCTCTTATTTTTTATTGGTTATTTATATTTTTGATTCAACAATTGGGGCTCCCCCCTTTTTTTACTGCTTTCTATTGTTATCATTGTTTTATTTAAATGACCTACAAATTCAGTACTCCACAAGTATTGGTAGCAGTATCCCGGTTAGATCAATCTAACAAGTAACCAATTCAGTTTTGTTAACACAAAAAAAAAAAAAAAAAAAATTAAAAACGAGTATTTAAAATTTTATGTTTCTTTCTTTTTCTCCTTTTTTTTTTTTTCTTTAAACGTTCGTTTTCCTTACCTCTTTGCCTGTCAATAATCATTATGGCGACAGAAAGAAACGTAGCCAGTGTTAAAACACCAACAAAACAATACAATATTGACGAGGCAATTGAAAGAAACTGGGAGATCCCAGACTTCACCATCAAAGAGATTAGAGAGGCTATTCCAGCACACTGTTTCCGTCGTGATACTTTTAGATCATTTACCTATGTATTTCATGATGGTGTTATTATTGCAACCTTAGCCTATTTGGCCTCTTATATTGATACAATTCCTAACGTGTATGCTCGTATTACATTATGGCCATTATACTGGATTGCACAGGGTATTGTTGGTACCGGTGTTTGGGTCATTGGTCACGAATGTGGACATCAATCTTTTAGTCCTTCAAAGGTAATACATATAAATATATATATATATACATTTATATGTATATACAATATGAATGATAGGTTATTAAAATTACTCTTATTTAGTTTATTAATAATACTGTTGGATATATTCTTCATACTTTATTATTGGTCCCTTATCATTCCTGGAGATTCTCCCATTCTAGACATCATAAAGCTACAGGTCATATGTCAAAAGATCAGGTAAATGAATTTTTTTTTAAAGGAAAGGGCGGGGTAGAGGATATAGAAATCTTAATTCTCACTATTTTTTATTTTTTTTTTTCTTTTTAATAGGTTTTTGTTCCAAAGACTCGCTCAAAGATAGGCTTACCATCTCGTGAAAAAGATACTGAAGGAGATGGACCTCATGAAGCACTTGAAGAGGCACCTTTGTTTATTCTTTATCGTATGGCTCTTATGTTCCTCTTTGGTTGGCCACTTTATATCTTTTGTAATGTCTCTGGTCAAAACTACCCTGGTTGGGCCTCTCATTTTAACCCTAACTGTGCTATCTTTGACAAGAATCAATACTGGGATGTGATATCGTCAACTCTAGGTACCTTATCCATGATGAGTCTTTTAGTTTACTGTGGATATGTCTTTGGTCCTCTTGCTGTCATTAAATATTATTTCATTCCTTACTTGAACGTTAACTTTTGGCTCGTCTTGATTACTTATTTGCAACACACAGATCCCAAGTTGCCTCATTATCGTGAAAATATCTGGAATTTCCAGAGAGGTGCTGCCTTGACCGTAGATCGTTCTTATGGTTTTATCTTGAATTATTTCCATCATCATATCTCTGATACTCATGTTGCTCATCATTTCTTTTCAACTATGCCTCATTATCATGCTGAAGAAGCAACTGCTCATATCAAGAAAGCACTCGGTAAACACTATCATTGTGATAATACACCTATTCCTATTGCTTTATGGAATTGTTGGAAGGCCTGTCGCTTTGTTGAAGATGAAGGTGATGTTGTCTTTTTTAAGAATTAAATTATTTGAATATATTATATGTTTGTATAGCAGATTCCATCCTATTTTTTTTTTTTTATATATATAACATACCTAATAAATAAATATGTATATAAAAAAAAATTTCTTCATTCAATATTTTCGGTTGAGTTTGAGACGCTTTGATTTTTTTTTTTTTTTTTTTTTTTTTTTTTTTTTTTTTTTTTTTTTTTAGGAGACGATTACGAATTTTATTTGGACGAAATGATTGGAATAGGATAGGTATACTAAGACTGTAGATATATCAAGCCAACAGTTATCCTTCCAGTACCTACTCATTATGCCTCAGTAGTTCTAAAAAAGCATTTCTCATTTTCTTTTAGAGTGTCCACAGAAACTCATTATGTGGACTTATGATTTTTGATCTATATGCCCTTAGTTAACCTTCACAGATAAATATATATACAAAATACTCAGTGTCGATTTCACATACCTCCTTGTCTTTTTCCGTCATAATATAGCAATTATCTCATTCTCATCTCAATTATTCAGTATACCATTTAAACATTCTGGTGTATAATTTTCACTAGATACAGTAGCAGATCCGGTAACTTCTAGCTTTATAAGTCAATGTCAATAATACTTCAAAAAAGGCATTTAGAATAGAATATTTTCTTTTAAAGAATTAGTAGTTACCAGAAGCCATTCATATCAAACTAGTATCAGGTTAGTAACAGCCAGAACCACACTTTTTTTTTTTTTTTGTAAGATTTGAATGAGGGCATATAGTATGGTAACCATATGTATTCTAGTGAGAAAAAAAAAAGAGACATCATTTAAAACTTCAGACACATCTACAAATGTAGTGAAATAAGAATGAAATGTTGGTAAATTCGAGTACATCTTGTTATTGGCTTGAGATTAATAATAATTAAAAAAAGAAAAGAATAGAGTTTTAAATTAAGAATAAGCTGGTTTTATTAAGATAAATAGGTAGTTGTCTTTATATAACTTTTTTTTCATGACGTTGCTGGAAGATTCTTGAAGTATGCTTTCAGCGAGATTCTTAGCAAAGGGAAAATTCTAGCTTAGGGTCTACAAAGCGTAATTGGAATCCAATAGAGATGGGGGGAAGGGAAATTAAATTCAGAAGACGACTTGGGTTCGTGACAGTACCTTTCATAAATAATTCTATCAAATCTATTAAATAAATATATTAATACAAAGGCAGAAAAGATTAAATAAGGGATGCTTAACTTTAAAAGATTATTTGTTAGCGTCTTTTTTTTAAAAGAAAACAGATCATTCTGCTGCACCAGTGACTAATTCCCCCAATCTGATTATTGATCCGATACTCTGGTTACCCATGACACACAGTGAGCGTAGTCGAACTATTCGATGGCGTCCTGGTTAACTACCCGGAGGAATATCTAAGGCCTGTCCATATCATCCTTATGTACATTTTTAGTCGATCACACGCCATTGAATGCTTGTACATGCACACTCGTTTATTCTTGCTACGATCAATAAACAGATCCCCTATCCTTTCTTTAAAATCATCTCCTTCAACATAAGTACCGAAATTCTCAGGATGTTTCTGCCTGGCTTTATCGTTGGTCAGTTATGCGCATCATTTTACAGGAAATGGATTACTTAATGCACGATAAACTACCCCCTCCCACTTCTTGATCCAGGCAAGAAATGACTCAACTGATTGTCCCTTTAAACTTGTTAGCACTATTCCCCCCTTTCTTTCTCACCTACTCTTCTTCCTTCCCTTTACCTTTTTAACTTTTGTCCCCGTAAGAGGACTTTTAGATGCTTTTTTTTTCGCATAATTTGAACTGACCTAGGCAATCCAATATAACAAAGATATTATGTGCTCATAGGTCGCTTTATAAATTTTAATTTAAATAAAAGTGTTTAATCGTAACTACACTACTACTGTTGTTTAAATTATTTAATTCTCCGATTTCCCCTTGATTTTTTTTTTTTTTATTTGAAAAAAAAAAACAGCCGAGTAATTTTTTTTTTTTTGTTCAAACATGTCATATTCTATTCCAGATACAATTCATATTGGATCCCGAATTCAAATTGAAAATGAAAGAGCTACGGTCAAATTTATTGGTGTAGTAGGTAATTCAAAAGGTGAATGGTTAGGGATTGAATGGGATAATCCTCTTCGTGGGAAACATGATGGTACTCATGAGCAAGTAAACTATTTTAGTTGCAGGTATGAACAACATCAATATTACATTCAAACTTTCACGCTAAATAATTAATATAAATAATAATAAAAAGATATCCTACTTCTGGATCATTTATTCGTTATCATCCAAAAAAGATATCAACAGGCATTTATTTCTTGACAGCGTTAAAAGATAAATATTTAGAAGATTTTGAAGGAGAATATGATGAATCAAAAGATCGCGGAGAACTATATTGGGGAGGAAATAAGAGTATTAAAGTAGAAACCTATGGTTTCAAAAAGATTCAACAATCTCAAAGGTATTATTTATCGTTTTTTTTTTTTTTTGTAATTGTATGCAATAATAATAATAATCATGTTAGACAGTTGAGTAATTTAAAGGTGGTTGGTTTAGCAGAACAGCTTATTGCTTTTGCAGGTGCAACAAACGAAATTAAGAACACAGAATTAGGTAAAATAGTGAATCAGCATATTTCATTATTATCATTATTAACTTTCCTTCAAGCAATTGAGGATTTGGATTTATCTAGAAATCTTATTTCAAACTGGGAAACAGTTTCTGAAATAGTATCTCAATTACCTCGATTAGAAATCTTAAGAATCAAGTAAATGAAAAAAAAAAAAGAATATATATTTTAATAACGTACATCACTTTTAACACATCTATTTTTTTTTTATGTAGTCAGTTACGATTGACAAGCCCACAACCAATACAAAAGTTTAATTTAGACAACCTAAAAACATTAGCATTAAATCAAACATTAATATCATGGAAAGATGTCGAAATACTTGCAACCTCATTATTACAATTGGAAGATTTACAATTAGGTGGAAATGAAATTAGTGAGTTAAGCAGTGTCAACTTTCCTCAGTTAAAATGTTTGAATTTAGAAAATAACCTAATTCACGATTGGAAAGAAGTTCTTAAACTTGGAACATTACCAAAGTATAACATATATATACATCACGTTTTTATTATGCCTTATTTATCTTATCTTATAGGTTACAGACATTATTTTTAAATGATAATCAACTTCAAATCATTGAAAAGCCTATAGGATTATTCAAAGAATTATCTTTTCTACGTATTGAACGCAATAGGATTGATAATTGGGATAGCATAGATGCATTGAATTATTTCCAAAACTTGACTAAGCTTAGATGTAAAGAAAATCCGATTTTTAAAGGTTAGTAGTAAGTAAATAAATTAAAAAAAAAGAGGGCTTATGTTTAACTTGTATGAACAATATAGAATTAGATAAAGAAATAGAAACAGCACAGGTTGTTGGAAGAATTAAGAACCTATCAAATGTTAATGGTAACACGGTAAAGTATGTTTGTATTTCAAAGAAAAAGGAAGAGGGTCTAATTGGTATAAAGTTAACACATAGGGAACGTATAGATTTAGAACGTTACTATATTAAATTATGTACAAAAGATGGCTCAAGTCATGAAGCTATTGCTTTAATTCATCCTCGATATAATGAATTATGCGCAAGTAAATTCAATCCATATTCTTAATCAGATTGACAACTAATTATCTATATATATTCTTGAATGATGAATAGATCATGGACAACCTGATTTAGAAATACAATCAAAAGGACCTTCAATAGCATTGAAAGATCGATTGATCAATCTAACATTAACACAAAGGAAAGTTGTTGATTTGACGTCTATTAAATTTCAAAAACATCTTCCAGCTGTTTCAAAATCAATGACAAAAAAATTTTTACCAACAATGACTGTAAGGAATACAAAACATATCATTCAACGCTTACTAAAGATACCGGCAACGAAACAAGCTTTGTATTTATTACAGCCAATATTAAATAACAAGGACCATGATTTGATGGTGATGGAAATTACAGATGATTTGAGAGATTTAAAGTTTTACGGTATAAATGATGGAGATGAAATATTAGTTTTAGAAAATGAATAAAAAAAAAAAAAAAAAAAATAGTTTCTATGACGCTAACGTACGAAACTAATAAATAAATAAAATTAATAAATAATATTTACATGATGTATCAAGATAATAATTTTTACTTACAAGTACAGTATTAGGCTGTGAAGTCATTGTTGATGAAGTTGCATTGGTAGTAGCAGTTAATGTCATCTTTGGTTGCTGTATTTTCTTCTTATTAAATATATTCCATTCAGATACAAAATATTCTATACTTTGAGCAGCCACCTCACCTCCATTATGAGGTAGTTTTGATTGAGGATCCTTACATGTACCAGACATGTGTGAAGCACGTTCTATAGCTGAAGCCCAATGACCAGCTTCAAAATCTTCTCGAGATAATTCAACGGCACTACCTTGATCTGACATTAATTTTAATAGACCCAGTTCTTCAATAAATTGAGGTCTAGGTACATATACAAAGGGTGTACGATGACCTATACATTCAGAACAAGTCCCATAACCTAATTTTCCTAATAATACATCACAAGCATTTGTAAGGTCAGGTACATAAGCATCCTTAGGAGCTCTATAAAATCTCTCTGGCATAGGAACTGATTTAGGAGCAGCACATACAATACAAATCCAACCAGAAGGTAATGGATGTTTCCTCCCTACCCAACCATCTTGACCCAATAATTGGCCACCAAATGATAAAAGTAGAATTTTATGCGACTTGTAAATTTCTTTCGGAATTTTCATTTCCTCCAATACTTCTTCACGCGGTCGTCTAAATTTACGGAAAACGAGAGGGACATCAATGATTTGTCGTACAAATGAATTTGACTGAATATTTGAGATAGTTGTACAAGGCAACTGAGTTATTCCCTTTCTTTTTTGAGTAGGCACAATCGCTGATGTATTGTCAAATGAAGGGATACGAATTGCACCCGGTAATCGAATTAAGAGATCTGCATATCGATAATCGGCTATAATTTGTTGCACCATATTTTGTATTTCATTATCCAACATATCTCCTTCACGTAATCCTAAATAAACTTCATCAAATGTAAAATTACTAGAAATTACAGCTGGGATATTAGCTTTATTGGCTGCTGCACTATAGGAGGGAGGGAAATAATAATATGAGTAACAGTTATAATCATCGTCTCTCTCTCTCTCTCTCTCTAAATATATATATATATATATATGTTTATCTAGTCTATATTTATATACCATACCAAGGTAAGAAAGGTGCATCACATATAACACAATCAGCATGTACACTTTGTAACCATCTTACTTCATTTTCTATAATACTTGTTCTCCTATTCAAAAATGATTTTAAATTTTTAATTGTTTGTTGACGGTCAACAGTGTAAGGTAATGGTTGAACTACTCCAGCATCAATATCTGCATGTCGATACATAGCTCCTACTTGAATAACACCTTGAAATATAAAGTCTGATGCTGTTGAAATAACATAGACTTTATGTTTGGCTGGTAAATTTAAAATATCTATTATAATTTGATTGGCACGAGTTGCATGTCCCCAACCTAATATAATAATGATGAATATTTGATTGACAACAAAATCTCTATTTGACTTTTTTTTTTCTTTTTCTTTTTTTTTTTTTTTTTTTTTACCATGACCAGAAATATAGAAACAAAATGTCAGCGATTTATTTAAACAACTTGAAATAGAATGAGCAGTTAATCCAGTCATTAGGAAAAATTAAAATAAACTAATGTATTTAAAAACAAGTTAAAAAAGTTTCATAAGAAAAAAAAAAGGAAGTACATGTATTTATTGCTTACCTTGTTTTCTTTTTTAAAAAAGTTGAAGAAGAAGAAGAAAAAAAAGCATCCTATTTTTATATTCTGTTTGTTCTTTACACTTAAAAAGCGTAATTTGTTCTGCAAAATTTAAAATACCGCTTTATATATTTTCTTTTTTTATTTTAAAAATAGATGTGGATCTATTTTAAGTTTTTAACCTTATTACAAGACCAAAATGGTCAATTTTATGCAACCCAATTAAAAACGTTTTTTTGAATATCAATCTCTAGGGCAAATCAAATGAGGTACATATTAATGATATCTCTTCTTATTACTTGGCAATAAATTATATATCTCTTTCTACAATAAGAAGACTTATCATTTGATTTGATATGTATCAAAATCGTTTATATATAGATAATATCAGTTATTACAATGACTGTTCCAATGATGACTAAGTGAATGTTTCTTTAGTTAATCTTCTCTTGTATTGTATTATAACACTAAGATTATTTATCACTAAGATTGGTTTATATCTTATTATAATCTAACTCATGTATAGATTTTATACATTTATTTTATGAATAAAAGTTATTACCATGAATTAGATAAAATCGAAGGTTTTCATGTCCCGTATATTACAATATTTTAGCTGTAATAATCTAAAATAGTGACTTCAACATCAATGTTCGTTTTACAGCGAACTAAATTCGTTTTGGTTTCTGACCAAAGTTCATTTTGTTCATTTTGAATTTTCTTTTATTATTATTATTATTATTATTATTTCGACTTTTTGAGTCCATTGCATTTAGATGAGTAACAACTTTTTTTTTTATAAAGATGGATGAGACAGTATTATGGATGAGCAAAGGAATGATGCAATAAACTTGGAAAAAGAAGTTGTCCCTTACAACCTTGGCACTTTGATGACCCCATCTTAGTATCGAGCTTTTCAAAGCCACTTTTATACTCAAGCTACAGAAGAGATTGACTTAAAGATGGAGAAAACCAGCTGATGAGTTAGCAGAAAAAATGTCAAGTGGCAGAAAGTACAACATGTACTCTGACAAACAAAAGTCAGTCTTCTTTTACTTCAACAGAGTCACGCTAAGGAAGGCCACCTCGTCTGCACGTAAGACCCAAGTTGAGATTAGAGAACTTTTGAAGGCTAAGAAAATGAAGACTGATTGGAGACAGGAAGAGAAAGAAGCCTGCAGGAGAAGAAAATTGTCTATAGGAATTGCCACTGGACATTATAGGAGGTTTATTTCCAAGACACTGAATAAAATGGTCAAGTTCCCTGAAAATATGGGGATGGTTTCTCCAATTTCAAAGAATGGGGTTTGTAGCTTCAATTGACGCTTTTGGAAACCTCAAAGGGTGGAAATCATCTTCACCCCCCCCTAATATAGGGAATTTGAATTCTCAGTTGACAATATTCAGGTGTCGTTTGTTTGCTCTCTGAACCAAAACATGTTAGAATAAAGAGGTCCATTACGTTAGCATTTCTAGAAGTTGATAACCGATTACTTTGTTGTATTTGTAAAAGCAATGGGTTAAATATAATTGCAAGATTTAACTATTCTTCGATCCAGATGATATAGAGGTGTAGATTAATTGTAGGGTAGGAAAGAGACATGAGTATTTTCTTAGCTATTTAAGTAATAATTATGATAGATTGTTTGGATAAAAATTGGACTTCAGGCTACTGTCTTCTCATGAATAAATCACCTATACATAAGCCTGTCGTTATCAGAAAACTTATTAAGAGCAGAGGTTACATGTGTGCGTATCTACCGCCCTCTATTTTTCCTTTCTAATTCCAATCGAAAAATTTTAGTCAAAGATATATTTCGCTTCTAAAATAAAAAGTTTTAATTTCATCTGACTACTAATATAATCCAAATTCTGATTAATCTTAAACACATTAATTTCATTAGTCATGTTGTTAGTATTATGATTGTAGTTGTCCTTATAACCAAGTTAATAGAAATAAGCTATTATTTATTAAATAATAAAAAGGTTATTCAACTAAAACTAGTGTATTGTACTTCACAGCATCGTATCCATTCTACATTTAGTTTTAATAACAATCATTGTTAAAGTAATCGATTATTAAAAAAAAATAATTATATTCATTGCACTATGTAATAATAAGAGTTCAATAGGGTTATGACCGTTATATACAATTACATAATTATTTATACAAGTCATACATACTATTTATATGCATCTATAATGTTGAATATTATTATGTAATAATAACAGTATAATATGGACAATGAGTATTATTGATAAAGCTGGAGTATTCACTATGAATTAATATTAACGCGTTGCTTATCCCAGAGATAATAGTTTGTTATATTTCATTTCCAGTAACAGCGACAGCTCAGGGAGAATAAAGATAGAAATAGATCTTATTGCAAGCAGAATTGTTCAGAGACATAATGCTTTACTATATCAGTATTCACTTTTCCAAATCATACTTCCATTAATATCACTTACATTGCAGAAAAAAATATATATATATAAATAGCCTTTGACATTTTTCCGTATTCCTTTTCCTTTTGTACAATTTTTGTATCATCATTATCAAATAAACTACACGAAGCTTTCGTAAGCATGTCTTTTCTGTTTTCTCTTTTTCATTTAAAGCAGATGGCGATATGATGGAAAGAAAAAATAAAACTAAACTTAATTCATGTCGACAGTATAAGTTCACTAAAATTTATATCATACAATACCTTAGCTTACAATTTTATTTACATATTCTTACAACTATTGCTATCTCTTTTTCGTATATCCAAAGTAAATTGCTTCAATAACCTTTCAAGCCACTTTCTAGATCAGAATATTTGAAAATTCATGAGTTACTTTTACTGCAAACATTACAACATATTGATTTGATATAATATAGCATAACTACTGGGTGACAATCATGACTATCAACTTTTTTTTTTGTTGATTTGTCTTTCGTTTAATGGCTACGACCACATTTATTATTTCTAACAGATATATACTCTCCACCACTATCCTTCTCTCCCTCACCCTCTCTCTCCACATTGTCCTTTGTGCTCTAAAAGAGCTTCTTTATACTTTTATATATATACATCTGCATTGAACTAGTCTAGGCGAATTTGGTGAATAAAATACTCTCATTCAAGTACGTACATAAAAAAAAACAGTAGTTTCCAAACTCAGACAATATTTATCAACAAGTTTTGATATCGTCGCTACTGTGGAAATCTCTGATATTTGCTTTCTTTTATAATTTTATTTTTATTTGTATTCTTATTTTATTTTTTTCTTTTCTTTTTCTTTTTCTTTTTCATCTTTGATTAATTAATTCATTCATATTCATAACATATATGGTTACTACTTGCACTGTTCATGGCGCTTGGGCAGTGGTGTTAACAAGTTCGAATAATTATATCAAAGGGGTTTTTGCCTTAAAACACGCTTTACACACTATATGTAAAAGCTCATATCCTCTTTTGGTTCTGTATACATCCGCAGTTAATGATGAAATAGTAGAGATATTAAGTAAAACAGGCTGTATTACAAAACGAATTGATCCTATTCATCCAAAGGGTAAAGTAGAATATAAAGCTGAACGGTTTACTGAAACATGGACAAAGCTAGCAGTATGGAGTCAAGTAGAATATGAGCGTTTAGTATTACTGGATGCGGACATGTTACCACTTCAAAACATGGATGAACTGATGCAGTTGAATTTGCCAGATAAGGACTGGGTAGCGGCCTCGCATGCATGCATATGTAATCCACAAAGGATCAAGCATTATCCATCCTTTTGGACACCGTCTAATTGTGCTTATACGCATTGTGATACCTTGGCCTGCATGGATCCTAATTTGGCCAAAAATGAAGCCAACTACTTTAATAGTGGATTAATCGTATTAACACCAGATAGTGATAGGTTCAACAAGATGATAGATTATTTAAACAGTATTGCAGATCTTAATATATATCCTTTTCCAGATCAAGACTTTCTAAATGAAATATTTAAAGATCGTTGGATACCGATATTGTACATTTATAATGCTCTAAAGACACTTGAATCAGCGCATCATTCAATGTGGGATATTGATAAAGTGAAGAACATTCATTATATTCTATCAAAACCTTGGGATATATGTGTAGATGATGATCTACCTTATTCAGAAAATAAGTATAAAGAGTTATACAAGATATGGTGGGGTATATACCTTGATACTGTCCATTTTAATATGCTAGAGAAGAAGAAAAATTAGTCATACAGTGCATACACTCTCGAGTGGAACATTTTTTGAACTCCATGGTACATTTTTCGAAAATAAAATGGAGTATTTAGCTAATTAAATTTGAACGAACATTTTTTTTTTTTTTTTTTTTTTTTTTTTTTTTTTTTTTTACTTTTCGTAATTCATAATGAGCTTTTTTTTTTCATGAAGACGGTTCCAATAACATTACAAATGAAGATGGAACTGAAGCTATAAATTTCGAGATTGAAGGCAATCTTTACAACCTAAATATACTGACAGACTTTGAGGAGTATCTGAAAAACAAACCTCTGGACGTCGAAATGTCTGAGAACAATAATATAGAAGCTAGTAGTAGTAGTAAAAGCATAAAGGATACTGACTTACCCAAAGGGTAGAAATATATGTTGCACGATGGACTTTTTATTTTTATTGGAAATTGCAAAAAGGCTTTCCTGTTCATGCTACTGCTTCCAGAGCCAATGTGAGCCATAGCACCGCAAACAACTGGTATCAGAAGTATCTAAGCGATCCTGACAACTATGAAATGAAAAAAAAAAGACCGATCGTAGTAGCAGACCTGTTTCTAAGCTGCAGGAGTTCCACGAACAGCATTCGATTCATTTTTTTTTTTGATGAAAATCCATCAGCTGTTATAACTGATGCTGTAGAGAACTTGACTGCGGCTTTTGAAGGGCTTGATATTAAAAAGTCTAGAGCACATGAGTTTATGAAAGACGAATGTAGTCTTTCTTTAAAAGTCGTTACATTGCATCCAAGCCCTCGTAATGATGAAAAAAAAATTAGGAAAGAGATTAAAGTGGGCGTAAGCGTGGATGGATACCGACATGAACTTAACAAAAAAACTGTGTATTTATTGACGAGTCCGGTTTTGACATACATATGAGACGCAGTAGAGCTTGATCTAGAAAGGGTGCCGAGTCTATAATCCCTACTACAAGTGCTAGAGCAGTATAACATACTGTAATTGGAGCAATTTCTGAAATAGGTGTTATTAACATTACTATGAGAGTACCCCCCCGCCTCCTAAAAAAAAAAAATAAGATCCAAGACGGTAAAAAAAAGAAAAACAAAAGCTGCCCTACCCAAATCCTCCCAAACCAAAGGTACAACAACTGGCCACTATCTTAATTTTATCAGAGAGACTGTGATATTTCTTGTAAAATATCAAATAAAAAAATATTATAAAATGAAAATAATAATAAAAAGACAAAAGAAAGTCAACAAGAACGAATAATAGTTCTGAAGTCAATTATTTTTATTTATGAATTTAAATGGATGGGGTATTTATAAAAATTGTTGAAGAAGTCTGAGATAATATGTGAAGCAGAAAAAAAATTGGTTACGATCGAATAAGATTTGTTATAGATAATGAAATGTTAGAAGTTTTTAATATTATTTGATCAAGTGGATCAAGAGAGTTTCAGGAGAATCTAGATACAACTCGTTCGATAATTTTATGATCTGCATGTTTAATCAAGAAATATGACATTATAAATCAGCTCATGACAGATCGAAAGTTTGGCTAAGTTTTATTTATATATAAACATACCATTGAAAAAAAATATGGCAATCGAAGTTAGAGAGATAACAGACTCAAGCTATACTCAAACATTATCAGACTTGGGTATAAGATTATTTTATGACACCTTTTTTGACGCTAATACAGCCTCTGATAAGCAAGCTTATCTTGATGAAAGTTAAGTCATACAGTAGAAATTCAAACCAAGGAATTAGCTGATTCCTCCATGTCTACATTCATGGCATACAATACAGAAAATGATTCGCCTGTAAGTTTTTGTCAATTAAGACAAAACAAGGATGTGTATAACTTTATTCAAGATTCCGATGCTATCGAGCTTCAAAGAATTTATGTGGATAAACGATATATTGGTAAAGGGGTTGGTAAAACACTTTTGAACTCGAGTCTTGAAAAAGTCCGTCAATTATGCAAACAAGCAATGCGGTTAGGTGTTTGGGAGCGTGATCCTTCAGCTATTAACTTTTATACACGTCGAGGTTTCTATAAAGTAGGAAGCTATACATTCAAATTAGGTTCACAAGAAGATACAGATCATATCATGATCAAGAAACTTTAGATTTGCTGTAATATAATTATTATTATTTATTTTACTTAACGTACATTGAAATGAATTGGTTCTATCCCAATGATTACAATGGTTGTAAATAAATTATATAAAGACTAAAAGGGAGATGAGAAGAATGATATACCAAATATGAAGAAGGAAATGTATTTTTTATAACAAAAGTTTCTTTTTTTTTCTTTTAAATCTCTACTGTTGCTACATTTTAGCTCAGGAACAGTATAAATATCTCTTTTTGTAATGAAAAAAAATAATACTCCATAGCAATAATGTTCGTATTATCACTGTCTTCTCTGTAATATTTACGGCTTTTGAAATATAATTCTTAGCCTCTTTTGGCATTCAAGTTTGTAGGCATTGACAAGTATTTGATAATATACTACACAGAACAATAGATTTATTAGGTAATTCATTTCAACTTTTTTTTTTTTTTTTTTTTTTTTGATGAGGCAAAATATAAACTTTAAATGTAATACTGGATAAAGGAAGAGTTGAAATTATTCATTTTGTTTATACAACATCTAGATAACGTTTTAGTAAAATAATAAAGGAAAAAAAAATGATGAATATTCTCAGAAAAGAAATATCCTTGCATTTATTACTGTTACAGTGACAGAATTGTTATATTTATCAACATTTTTTTTTTTTTGAAGTAATCGAAAACATTCTTCTTTACATTAGTTTATAGAGAGATATTCATTGTTATTACAATACTCTTGGTAGAGCTTTTTAAGTCTTTATTCTTAAGTAAGCCATAACATAATGTATTATTAGCTAGAGAAGCTTGCTATTAATTAATTAAAAGAGTCTGTATATTACGTTTACTTGTGATTATTTCCTAAGATGTGGATTAAGACCAAACATAGTAACTATAGATTTGTATCTGTATATGTTTAAAATAAGGCTTTTTAGACACTCTATTATCTTTCTATAACTTGAGGACCATAATTATACAAGGTACATAATATACATTCATATAATATATATAAAAGGGAGGGGAGCGTTTAAAGATTGTTGTTTCTGATATACGATCTGACTATAATAGTATCACGTAACAAGAATAACACTGTTCTTCCTGTATCTATTGCCGTTGCTTGGTAGAATATAACCATAATACATCATTATTCATGTTGCTGCTGCTACTGCTGCTGTAAAAAGAAAAAAAAAAGGAGTCGTTGGTGTAGTACAAAAAACAAGAATAATTAAAAAAATTAAGGGTTCATTTGATTTGGTGGGGAACCCTTGAAGTGATTCGATTCCACAGCCTAGGCTTGGGCTAAATATGCTGCGAATTCTAGTCACTCTCCAAACACCCGTGTTACTTTCATCAGAAATAGAGGATACACATAGGGCTATATTTACTATAAACACCACTGCAAGCAATGAGTATATCTTGTAAAAAATATAATACAGGATATAATCAAATTTTAGCAGTGATTTTTAAATGTTATTATTTTGATCACTTTTTATTAAAAAATGTTTAAATAAAAATAATATTATATTTTGGAGGTTATAATAGTATTCATGTATCCAAAAAAAGTATATCTCTACTGCCATTTTCTATCATTTTATTTAATTTTTAATTTTACAGCTATTTTGGCTGTAGACCAGGAATTTCCTTTATCCGGCATTTCCGCCAATAAAATTACATAAAATGAAAAAAAAATAAAAATTGCGGATTCTGAAAAAGTACTTTAACATTTTTTTTATTTATTTTTCATTTTTTTTTATTCCCCACAAATTTTATATGCGTAACTTTAATTATAGGCTTATAAAATGTAAATTACATTTCAATAATGTAAAATACATTGCAATTGTTTCAAATCATACTTGATGTTTTTTTTTCTCACTCAAGTTTTTACCAAAAAAAAAAATAGTACACGTAATATAATAAAAATATGTATTATAATTATATAAATAAAATAAAGAATTTTTATTATATGTAAATAAAAAAAAGATGTTTAATTAAATTGCATTCAATCTAATCTATTTTGCATTTCAATTAGATCGTGTAATGTGTTGATTTATTAATTGACTTTAATTTTGAAATGAAGAAAAAAAAAACTAATTGCGAATGTAAATTAAAGCAATTCCATTATTAGTGATTATATACATTCGTTTACAATTAGTGAATTTAGAGAAAAATAAAAACAAGATTTAGCAATTATATAATTAATGTAGTTGTGTTCATTTCAATTAAATTCCTTTTTTTTTTAAAAAAAAAAAATTCAAATTTAATCCCCCCTAGTAAAATTATTTTATATTTTACTTTTTTTATTCTTTATTTAACAATGACCAACATTACCGACATTGACAAATGCAAATGTTCTGCAATCAGCTCAAAAAAAAAGCCCTAAAGACTTTACTATATATTTTCAAGAGGTAATTACTACAATTACAAGAGTAATGACATCTCCATTGTTTAATGAAGATGACATTGGTAAATGAATTAACACATGTAATTAACAATTCTCAAATATTTTTAGTAAAGGATATTATTGTTCAAAGTAACAGACATTTTGAAAGGTAAAAGATAATAAGTTAGTGCAAAAAATATAAATGTATTGCTAAGACTTTTTACATTGTATATATAGAGTTTGCTGCTATTCAATAATTTAGTTCGTTTTATTTCAATAGCGGACCGAAAAAAAACTTTTTTTTTAAAAAAAAAGAGGTAATCACATCCTTTTTTCCTTTTTTTTCATTTTTAATACATTCGTTAAACTACTAATTTTTTATTGTAATAGATGTTCATTTTAATATTGTTAGCTATTACTCTTTTTATATATGTATTTAAATTATAGGTCTTTGTTGATTATTTCAAATTGTAAGTATTTACATTATTTTGAAAATATATGTATCTTTTTTTTTTAATTTTCTCTTTTCTTAAATCAAAAACAACTAAAATGAAACAATTAAATAGGTATGTGTTGGTCTTTATTATGCAGCAGCAATATTTGATTCAGATCTACAACAAAGACTTGTATTATTTATCTATTGAAAAAAGGTATATAAAATAACACCTTTATCTTTAACTATTTCAATATGTGTATTAACAATTCTTTATATAACAGGGAGGTCAAGTACAAGTGTACGTCATTCTAATGTAACATTGAAAGGTATAGTGTGGGAAAAAAATAATAATACCCGAGATTTAACTAATATTCTTTTCTCTGCAGCACAAACATAGATCTAGCCTTTTGTATTTTTTTTTTTTTTGGTAAATATGATATTTCTATACTTTATCATATGTTAGCTTTTATTAATTATTTATTCTATTAATAGTGTATGCTTCTTTTGTAAATGGAATACTTTTCTGTTGATCACTTCAATTGCTACTACTTTTTGTTTCTGTTCTGTATGATAATCCTTGCAATCTCTGTGTTCTTTTTCTTTTTTTTCCCCAAAGCCGAAAGGATTCTTTAATCAATGGCCATGTTATCAATAGAATATGTATTCAAGGTAAGTGTAATATTTTACATGTAATGCTTATAGCATACTCTTTTATTATATTATTATATTATTATTATATTATATTATATTATTATTATTATTATTATTTTATATGTACCAATTTTTTATGTAATAAATAAATAAATAAAAAAAGTAAATAAAAAGCCACATTTTTTGTAAACAATGTATTTAATAATGTCCAATAAAGAAAGGCAATAAAGAAGCCTATTTAATATAAACAAAGCCTAAAAGGGAATAAAATACCATCTATATAACCCAATAATGTATAACCATGTTTTGATGAGTCATGAAGCATAAAGCCAATGATAAACAACATGGTATGTAAAATATTAGCAAATGAAAAGCAATTATAAAGTACAGGATTTAATCAAAACTTGTAAAAAACAGTACATGAAATATATAAACCCTGTGTGTATCTTGTAGAAAAAAGTACAAGAAATGTTCAAAACTTGTATATATCCTGTAGAAAAAGTGCAAGATTTGTTTATATCTTGATTATATCTTGTATGATTTTGAGGCAGGATTTATACATATCTTGTACATATATCTTGCACATACAAGAAATGTCTAATTCTTGTAGTACATGATATAGTGCAAGATATAATCAAATCCTGTGTTATATCTTGTAAAAAATATACTCAGATGATTGCAGTGCACCCGACTCATACCACCACGGCCATTTATACCTACAACTAATATTAATAATCACTACACAATACCAGTATTACCTACTACCACTACCACTACCACTACTACTTTGACTTGATTTTTATTTTATTTTATTTTATTTTATTTTATTTTTTTTTTGTAATTTTTATCATTGGATTATGGAACAGTCTATAATATATATGTATGAACAAAAAAAAAAAAAAAAAAAAAAAAAAAAAAAAAAAAAAAAAACTATTTTTATTACTAACATTTACTATTATTATTATTATAAATAAGCTATATTGGAACATCAAATGATAGACTTTATTATATCGCTTGTGTTATAATATATATGAACCTTTTTATGATATTTGTTATAGAACAAGCTCTGGATATAAGCATAAATAATATTATAAAAGATGAATTACATAATACAGGACAAACTATAAGCCTGAACATATAATAAAAGATATCATACCTTACTGTATATAACATCTTATAAACAATATAATATAAACCCTATTGACATTCAATCATCTAAATGCATCAACTAATAAAGACAACGTATCATTTCTAAATATTTATTTTTATAACCTTGACAAAGGATTCAGGTCGTCTTTGATCCAATAAAATAAAAATACAAAAAATATCAGGAACATACACTCAGATCAAACAATAATTTTTTTTTCACCCATAGATCTGTCTCTTGAATCAACACAATGTATATCTGAATACTTATCCTTTTTTTTTATAGTTATTTCTATCTCTTTGATTCAGGATTCATTAGCATAAATACAAGTAGTTGTTTAAACACGAAATAATCTTTATATCATTCTTTTTACATTGAATAAACAAGTCTCAAATCATACTTCCTTTTGTTCTCTTTGTCTTTCTTTTCTTCTTTAAGCCAAACCATCACATTTACCATGCACATTACTTGAACTCACATTACTGTTATAACTTTTATCAATTATCCTCATATATGTGATAAGCGACTTTAATGACTTCACTCAATAAAGTAAAAGATTATCCATATCAATTATGGATTTTAGCTTCGTTTGATTGCTGACTAGCAATTAAGAACTTATCAAAAGCTTCAGCATCCGACATGTTAGAGATACCCAATTTTAATTTTTAGAGACTTATGTGTACATTAATCAGAAATGAATGATATTTGCTCTAACGTTAGAATTCGTTCTGAAAACATCAAAAATAAAAATTGCATTTTTTTTTTTTTTTTTTTTTTTTTTTACTTGAAATACGCCCATAACTCTCATTTTAACGATATATAGCCTCAATCCATAGGTTCTTTGTCTTGTAGAATTCACTAAGGAAGTACCAAATTTGCCTGTTTGGTCATTGTCATAACTTCTAAAGTTTTTATAGCTCTCTACATATCTTACCCAACTACCAATGTTAAAAGGATTCATAGATCGTTTATCACTTTTATCAGCTTTGGTCACTAATTCAATATCCTTAATATTCTTCCTTATTATTAAAGTAGTTATTTTTAATGTTGAATAGCTTATTTGATGTATCAGCTATAACAAGTCTGTCTTCAGTTTCATACCGTTTTTTTTTTTGTTCCTCCATCATTAAAAATTTACTATTTATATTATATTATATTATGTTATTATTATTATTATTATTTTCGTCTATCACTGATGAGTCGATTGTCTCTGAACTAATATTTTTTTTTCTTTATCCCAAAACTGTGTTCTATAAAAAGTTGTCTGCTTATTTTTGCCATACAAGTTTTTTTTTTTTTTTATGATAACTTATTCTTTCACGTTTTTTCATGTACGTCATTGTTTTTTAATTCGTTACATTTAACAACGTCTTCTTGGTTTGTCAATTCTTTACGTATTCTTTCTTCTATTTCAAGTCTTTGAGTATAATCACACCAGTAGTTTATACTATTTCCTTACTGTTACATATTATAATTTACAAGTATTCTGTAACCGCAACAAGTATGACAGTGGTTCTAAATAAATAATGTGTAACTTTTTATAGCAATTGTACTACACAATACGTATTAACTTTAGAGCCCATCCTCCTTTCTTTTTCATTTTTTTTTATTTTATATGAGAAAAAAAAATTATTGAAGAGGTAGTCCTTTATAGTGTAGAGGTGGATTAGATTCTGTTCTTGTTTGCTTCTACTACAGCCGTGTTACTCCCAGGAATTCTCTCAATGCTGCGGGCTTTCCTCTCTTGCATGGTAGGAAATTACCCCGCGATTTAACAACATCTTTTTATCGACCTCCATTGAAGGCCTGGTGTTGAACATTGGATCCTGGAAGGTAGCATGTTATCAGCAAAGCTCAGAACTAACCCCGATTTTATTATTTAATCACTCCCATCTACAGCTAACAAAGTTCATCTCTCCATGATCGCCGCTTGGCCAACAGAAAGGCGCTACCCTTTCCGATCAAGTCATTTTATTTAACTCAATTTTTTTGTTTATAAACCCAAACTTTTAGGTGTAGTTGCCGAGTTGTGGTATTCAAAAAAAAATAAATAAAAAACATTTCCCTTTTATGCATGCATTTGCTATAATCTTATATCATCAAACAATATTTTTTAATAAGAATTCAACGACCGTCGAAATAAATAGGCATAGTTAGAGTCACTTACTCTTCCTTTATTAAATATTTAACTTAAAGTACCTGGACAAATAGTATAAAGGAATGCGGCTTCAACTTATTTATGTATTATACTTTTTCATGTTACATGAACTTAAGGAAGTTGGTACTAAATAGGATTCTGTCGTAACTAATACTTTTCTAATTCCCCTTTGATTTTAGATATTCTTATATGAATACCTAACTGTTAAAATCATAGATAAAACTGTGATATTATTTGTAAAATATCAAGTAAAAAATATTATAAAATAAAAATAATAAAAAGACAAAAGAAAGTTAAGGAGAGTGAACAATGGTTCTAAAGTCAATCACCTTATTTATGAACTTAAATTGATAGGGTATTTATAAGAATTGTTGAAGAGGCCTGAAATAAGATGTGAATCAGAAAATTGTTATAGGTAATGAAGTGTTAGAAGTTTTAATATTATTTGATAAAGTGGATCAAGAGAGTTTTTCAGGGAAATCTAGATAGAATTCCTTGATCTACATGTTTAATCAAGGAACATGACATTATAAGTCAGTTCATGACAAGATTAAACACTATTCCAACTGATAGTTTAAACAGCAATGCAGTCGTGTTTGAATTCATCCGTTGTTTGTTGTATAGTGTTGTGTATATAATGATGTATTACATAATATCTTACAATATACAGATCAGAGTCATGAAGGACTCGAATGATATTTATAGCTATTAGTAGTGCACTTTCTGCATACAATATTATTTGTGAGACATATATGAATTATAGACTGTACCTATTAGTTATACACACACATTATTATCTAATATACTAATTTATAAATACAATCATATACTATCTATACACTATACACTATAATAACTTTCATTCAAGTAGTACATTGAGGAATGACTATAATACAAAGCATCTTCCACAAGTATGAACAAACGAGATCTCGTTATTTGGTTTCAAGAAAAATAACCGAACCGGCTAGATCGAGCACGACTAATTTAATCAAGGCAAAGACTAGAGCTCAACCATAATATCTTTAATCATTTTATGGGAAATATTCTTCTTTCATTCTGTTCCTGTCGCAAAGTAACCCCATTCTTCACAAGATATAAAATAAGCATACATTTTGCACTCCTTTTTTAGAGATGCAATTTTTTAATTTATCTCCTTATTCAATTTTTTAATTCTTATTTTTATTCAATTTATAATAAAAGTTTTTACAAAGTGTTCACAGACTTATTCTATCTTCTTTTTTTTTATCTCTAAACAACAGAAATAATAAATAAATAAATAAATAAATAAAAATAAATAAATAAATAATAAAAACAATGATATTAGTCTGGTTCCATTTATGCTTTAAGATTAGAAGTATTGCTGAGATATAAATGATAGGATTGAGGATTTTCGTAAATCCTAATTATTAGGACCAAGATGGGTTGCGTTGGTTTAAGGTTGTAACAAATTTCTATGCCATCAAAATCTTTGATTCGTTTTCTATATTTTTCAACATTTTCTTTGGTATATTTAACAAAGAAAAACATACAAATTGTCTGGACTCTTAATCTTTCCATTATTGATTGAAGTTACTAGAAACCTTTAGTAGCCGCTCTAGTGTAGCTCTTACTTTAAAACAGTAAATATATATAAATAGCTGTAGCAAGCTACAAACATATTTGTATAGAACAAAACAAGTTACGCTTTTAAACGAATAGTCTATCTGCAACACCCAAGGTAGCTAAAGAGCCCCTTAAGATACAAGGATTAATGAAAAAAAAAGGGAGGGAGGTAGCAAAGGAAAGAAAAGAAAAGGAAAAATAATAATGCAAGAAATGTATTGTTTGTTGGGGGGAGGAGGAGGAAGGAAAAAAAAAGGAACCGACCAAAAAATGTTTTACCCTTGGATTTCTTGGAGTTGAAGATAAGCCTTTAATATGTTGAAGATGTATCAAGTTTATAACTGATCAGCAAACAAACTACTAGAGTAGATAATTATCACGTTATTGAAGAAGTCTAGGGTTGAAGTGTTAGAAGCAAGTTGAAAAATAAATGATCAAAGGAATATCTATTATCTGAGATATTTGAAGTCGTTAATAATGGACTGTAATAATTCTTTGTAAGAGGCTTGAATGGGTAATTAGGTCAAATATCGAGTAAACATTTGGTAGCCTTCTGAAGTAGTTAACATATAGTCTATGGTAGACATTCGTTACTATAGAATTGAAGATAAAGATACTGCAAGTAAGCAAATAGATTTAGCCTTAGTATTTCCATGTTTATCTAAACTTTCATTGTAATAACTGCTATTGAAAATAACATCTGAATCTCTTATCATCTAACGAATGAATATCATTATGATTTAATTAACTATTTCTGCATATGAATGTGTATTGTTTTTCACCAATTACTGGCCAAAATTTATTTGGTAACTGGCTATCACCAACTTGAAATATAAAATATGATATATACATGAATTGGCCAAGGTCATCTTATTAAATAAGCTTTCTATCATTAAGGTTAATAAAAATGCTGCATTTAAATAAATCCTTAATAATCTGAAATGAATGCATTATTACAAGGAAAAAAAAAAAAAAAAAAAAAAAAAAAAAAAAAAAAAAAAAAAAAAAAAAAAAAAACTCTCATTAAAGATTCCTCTTTCATGGATTGAGTTCTTTAAACTTATTCTCTCTATGTAGGTAATATTAAATAAGAGACTATATTCATCTTCTATTAAGGCTTTCAACAAATGTCTTTAAACTTATTATGTCTTTCATTACCGAATAATGCTTATGCTCATTCATAGTCAAGTCTACTAAACCATTATCATTTAATTTACTGATAACGATCATTACTGAGACTTTTTCTTTTAACAGATTGCTTTTTTGCAAGATTTTACTTTTATTGAAACAAATGTCCGGGCGGTAATTAAAAAAAGGAACACACCCTTAGAACTAGACTTCTAACTTTATTGGCCAAAACCGCATTTCAAAAGCGGTTTAACCAAAAGAGGGCAGTAACTTAAAAAAAAAAAAAAATATTGATAATAATCATTTCTATTATTTTCATTCATTAAATCCTTTAATCTAATGAGTGCTTCCTTATTACTTGATGCTTTAAGAAGACATGATCTGCAAGATGTAAGTTAGAAATGTAAATACAAAATCCACGATTAATATTAATTGATCACTTTTTCTTTTTTTTTTTTTCTCAGTATTATCCAAAGTAACATTGATGATAATTTGACACTAAACATATAAATTGAATTTAATACATTCATTTATTTTTTTTTATATAGTTTATCTTCACAAGGAATATTTAAAATAGATAAACTTGCGGATGTAAGTGTCAATTTAATTTTGATCTTATAATGACTAACTTTTGCGCACTAGTTATCTGAAGCTGAATATTCAAAAATAGGAGTACGTTCTGCAGAAGATAAAACTAAATTTTTAGCACTAGTTAAAGATATGAAAGATATTCTTCGATCAACTACTTCAAAACCTAAATTAAATGAAACAGCTAAAAAACGACCTTTATCATCCAACAAAATAATTCCTGATAGACGAACTAGACGCATGACTATTGCGCCACAATCCATTCCACATACACCACCCGCTAAAATGTCTGCTCGAGATCGTCGCCTTTCCTATTTACCCTATCCCTCAAGGAGAAGTTCCATGCTACATAAACCACCCACACATAATTTAAAAACTTCAAGCAGTCCTCAAAAACAAAAGCCAGTAGCAAAGCCCAAAATCCTTCAAATAGATAATATGACTTCACCTATAGAAATGCCTAAAGAATCTCCTCCAGAACGTGTATCAACAAGACAATTAGATGCATATGGTATACCCATTCATAATCGCCAAAAGACGAATCATAATATGCATTCCTATAACTCATTGGATGAGTATTTACTATCCAAATCAAAAACGACAGCACCAACAGTAAAAGCTCCTATAACAGCAAATTATTCTAATGACTTGCAACAACGTATTCGTGTTTGTGTAAGGAAAAGACCATTAAATAAAAAGGAAATAAGCAACCAGGAAATTGACATTGTACCATTGGTTGGAAGTCGTACAATTCAACTCAATGAGCCAAAGTAAGTCTACACTAAAGCATTTATACATGTATAAAAAAAAAAGACTGACTTTAAAACACAGAACACGAATTGATTTAACTCGCTTTACAGAAAAACATACATTCACATTTGATGAAGCATTTGATAGTGATGCTACAAACATAGAGGTATGAACAAAACCTGGAACCAAATACAATTATTTTACTTAGATATAGTATTATATTTATTAGATTTATGCAAAGACTGCTCAACCATTAGTAGAATATATTTTTACTGGTGGAAAAGCTACTTGTTTTGCTCAGTAAGTCAATCAAGTTTTTTTTTTTCCTTTTTTCTTTTTTAAATAGTTGTATTAAAAACTGATATATTTTTTCTTTTGTAGTGGTCAAACAGGTTCTGGAAAAACACATACAATGCTTGATCCTCAAAATGGACTTTATGTCTTGGCAGCCCAGGATATTTTCCGAATGTTATCAACCTCTATCTACTCACATTTAACAGCTTATGTTGGATTTTATGAAATCTATCAGGGACAATTATTCGATTTACTAAATAATAAGACAAAATTAACAGCTAGAGAAGATGGTAACGGTAATGTTGTTATCGCAGGTCTTCGTGAATACCCAGTTACAAATGTAGAAGATTTAATGGACGTTTTTGAATACGGTAATAAAGGAAGAACAACAGGAAAGACAGGCGCAAATAATAAATCATCTCGTTCGCATGCCGTTCTTCATATTGTATTAAAATCCAACAACTCAAAAATTTATGGAAAATTGAGTTTTATTGACTTGGCAGGAAGCGAGCGAGGGGCAGATAGAGGAGAAGCTAACACGAAAACAAGGTAAGTTTGAGAAAAGAATAGGAGGGAAAAAGAATTCAAGTCACTAACTTATATTAAATTAAATTAGATTAGAAGGTGCTGAAATTAATAAAAGTCTTTTAGCCTTAAAAGAATGTATTCGTGCTTTAGATCAAAACAAGAATCATACGCCTTTTAGAGGAAGTAAATTAACTCAGGTGATATAGGATAAAAATTATATAGATAAAGTCAAATGTATTTATTTTAACTTGATTAGGTTTTACGAGATTCGTTTACTGGTAATTCTCGAACATGCATGATTGCAACCATATCTCCAAATAATTCAAATAGTGAACATACTTTAAATACGCTTCGCTATGCTGATAGGTAAAATTATAAGAATTCATAACAAAAGAAGTAACTGAATACATATGTTATTATGTGTAGAGTAAAGCAACTTAAAGGAGAATCAGATCCACGATTATTAGGAGATTATGGGTCCAATTTAGAGAATAAAAAAATGAACCACGATTTTGAAATGAATAATTCAGTAGATAGTCAAAGTTTAACGAACTCAGATGCCATATGGGAAGAGGAAGCATCTGAAAACCTATTTGAAGTTGATTTTCCTACTGAAGTTGAACACAACGCTCTTAATACACCCACACATGAACGATTTTATAGTTCAGTTGATATATCCTCATCTAGTACAACAGCAGCAGCAACAGCAGCAGCAGCAGCAGCAGCAGCAGCAGAACGTCAACAAAAATTCCTTCAACGACTTGAGTCACCACCCTCTGAAGTATTTGAAGATCATCCTTTTTTCTCTTCTTTACCCGAACCAAAGTCAGATGTGACTAACAGGATACGTCGTTTTATACGTTTACATAAGCTACAAGTAAAAGAAATGGAAGCATGTATTGAAAATGAAAAAAAGTTAATTGCAAAACTAGCTTCAACAATACCAAATGAATTCGATCTAAATGATGAAGACGAAGTTGAAGATCAAAAGTGTAAAGAGGAATTTGAAGTCTATTTGAATGATTTAGAGGAAATTATGGATAAAAAGTCAGGTTTGATAAATGCCGTTTCACAACAAATTAAAGAGGAATTAATTTAAGTAAATAAATAAATAAAACCAAAAAATTTTTTTTTCTTTATTAATTATATTATATACTGGAGTAAATAAATCAAAGCTTGCTTGTTAAAGTATGATCTTCTTGATTCTTTAAACATACTTCCATATCTGTTATATATTGTCTTAGAGACCTTTGCTCCATTTTACCAAATACGAATCCTACTACAAGACATACAGTTGCAATGATTGAAAAGAGAATTAAAAGTAAACTGTAGATAGCGTTCATGAATAACGTCTGATGATAGTATATGATAATAATTTGAGTTATAAATAAACCAAGTATAATAAAGACTGATAATAGAAAGAAGTTTAAAATGGTATTAGCTGTCCTTTTCGCTTTGATCAAATCCTTTTCTAATAGGATTAACATAGTTTGCAATGTTTCTGGTAATAGTTTTGTAAAACAAGGATTTGCTAAAAGGACGAGAGCAGCATCATCATCAGTAACGGCTACATCACCTTTTATTTTAAACAGGGAATGGACAGCAAAATGATCCGAGTAACTCATTTCTGTATGCGTTATATATCCTTCTAATGCTACTCTGGATTCTATGCAGCTTATTTTCGGTGTATGTCTATAGAAAATATAATCTAATCTGTCACCCATTTCTTTAACATGAGCTTGTTGCTTTAAAAAGTGTTTAGTCCATGTATTTAAGGGTGAATCACAAGTTATACCAAATAGTTGAATACATTCAGAATCTGTGAGTTCATTATTCTCAAGACGTTTTAAACTGTTTGCCATTTCATCTTTATGAATTTCTAACCAAGAATCCGTCATAAATCCATGATTCTTTAAAATAGTATAACAATAACTACTAGGGACACTATTAAAATCACCCGTCTTTTTTTTTTTTTTTTTTTTTTGGCATACATTAATATAATAATAATAATAAGGACAGAATGTAGATCATATTACCAATATAACATGTTTACCCTGAGCGACAGAAGCACGTACACTATTTGCTATTTGCCAACATTGAGTAATCCTTTGAGCTTCATATGCATTGTTATTTCCATATTCAGCTTGTAGCTAGTAGCAATTATATATAAGTGACTTTTTGTTTTGTTTTTGTTTAATATTATGTAAGCAACTTTACATGAGTAGTATAAACGTCAATGAATCCAACATTAGGATGATTAATACAAATACATCCACAACCTTTTCCAACATAAAAATCTCCTTGAAATATTTGAAGTGGTCTCCCTGATAAAGTAAAATGTATATAAGACGATGATAAAATTTGAAAACGAGACAGCAACACTAAACCGCTTCCTAGTGTACCACTAATATGATGTATAAAACGATTATAGTCATTGCCAATAATAAGTTACTTACCTATAAAAATATTTTGTAAAAGGTAATTTATGCTTCACTTTCTCTTTTATATAGTCAAAGTCTTCCCACATCCATACCTCTTGAAGCGCTACAATATCATATTGTTGTTGACACATATAATCGGCAATTGCAATTAACCGAAATCTGCGTTTCTTTGCTACAATGTTGAGACCCCTTTTTTATTACAACAAATACATATAAACACATGATTGAATCTAATTCAAATAGGATATGTCTATTTTACCAACAATTTAAAGATAAAACAGATAATGTCTCTTCCTCATTTTTATTATTCATTTCTTAGAAACAAAAATAATAATAATAAAATACAGAAATTAGTATTATTATGATTACTGCATTTTTATGAATATACGGGCGGTAAATAGAAATGTATTTTACAAATTTCCTAAAACAGATTTGCACAATGAAATAAATTGGATTGCATAAATAGTTCTGCAGTAACATGATTACATAAGTGCAACCACTAACAATATTAAATTTTGTGAACAATTGTCTTGTGATTTGAGGAAATACAAAAAAAAAAAAAAAAAAAAAAAAAAAAAAAAAAAAAACAGATGAAATTGGAAATAAGAGCAAAGTCCTCCGTATATATTTGCATAATAGAGAATTACATCAATCAAAGTCATGCCATGTTATGCACTGGATTAGAAGAAGCCCTTCCAAGTCATCTTTACCATTGAAAGACCTAACTGTAAAGTTTTGTGGATATAATATAATTTCTACAATAGACCTATACAGGCTATAGTGGCTTATTATATATGGATATTTATATATACATATGTGTGTGTGTGTGTGTGTGTGTGTGCTGTTTTACACAGAACTTTACAATGATTCTTTTTAATTTTAAAGGATTTATTACAAAAGCTTATTACCTACCTAAAAGCATAATTAGCTAATAATATCTCTTTTAATAATAGTAGTAAATCTGTTTAATACTATGCAATCACTCAAATAACTTCTTAACAGTTATATTCATTTTTTATTATTATTGTCTCCCCCCCCTAAAATACATATGTCAAGCTGTCTAAAATAAAGACTTTGTACATTAAAACATTGTATAGGAGACGTCATTAATAATAGAAATGAAAAAAAAAAGAATCCATACATTGCATTATTTTACAGTTTCTCCATTTATTCCTAATCTTTTAACTTTCTCTATCAATCCATTAATTGAATCTTGTAATAAGGTATTATCATCATTCATGCCTATTAAGGCTAATTTGTCAGTGATGGATAATATGACATTATTTAATTCATCATTATCCGATTCTTTTCTTAAGAATAAAAAATCTGATAGCCCATGATATGAATCATAAGAAGGTAATCCGTATGTATTAATATGCTTATTTGCTAAATGATTTACCAACACTTGAGTAATCTACTAATGTTGTTAGTTAAAAATTGCAGTATACAGATACTGATTCCCTTATTAAAGTATATTACCGACTTCAAATCTTCATATTCATCTTTTGCACTCTGAGATGTATAATCAACTTCTTTTATAGAATTATGAATTAAATGTTGTGATTGTCGAAGATTATCCATCTTTAATTTTGCTAATAATAAAGGTGTAAGACGAAAAGGATCTGAAGCTGGTATATTTGCCCCTATAAAGTTATCAATACAAGGAATTTTTTTTTTTTTTTTTTTTTTTTTTTTTTTTTTTTTTTTTTGCTTTAAAACATACCAACCTTCTTGTAATAACATTAATACACATTGATAATTTCCTGCAAGTACAGCTTTTAAATAAATATGAATAAATAGAAATAAGAAGAATAGTCATTTAAAAGGCTAATGTTTATAATTATACCCACCCATATGTATCGGTTGAAGTCCATCCACATCTCCCATCCCATTATTAACGTCAGAACCTGCTTGTATTAATAGCTTTGCTATTTCTGTTGCAACTTCAGGGTCATCCTTTCGACTGCAAGCAATATGTAATGGTGTCCTTAGATGTTTATCTCGAATCAGATCTGGGTTTATTTCTGGTAATGCTTCTAATATTTCTTTAACTAGTAAAACAATTTAAGTATAATAATTTAATATATATACTCAACATTTACCATCACCGGGAGGCTTTCGTGCACAAGCATCTAATAATACAGAATCAGAAGGTGCTAATTGAAGTAAATCACGCAATCTATCGACTCTTTTATTCTTTTTTATTTGACAAGTGGTCTTTGTAATTCGATTCTGCATTATAAGTTGTTTAAAAGAAAAGAGAGAAAATAGAATAAATTTACTCCGGAATTTCTTTAATTATGTAATACCTAAAAATGCAAAAAAAAAAAAAAAAAAAAAAAAAAAAAGTTTCATTAAGTATACTTGATGTTAGCCGTATTACTATTTTTAAATATGAGTACAATTGTCAGTAATAGCGAAAATGTTGGCATCTTCTGCTGTGCAGATAAACGACAATGAAATAATATTTATGCAGTCAAAGTGATATTTAGATTTTTACCAGTTATAATAGTCTATAATAGACAATGTATTTTTTTTTTTTTATGTACAAGTCGATAAAGTTCTTTAGTTATTATATCTTGAACTAAAATAAGGATGATTTGTAACATTGTTCATAAAATAAAGAAAAAGAAACTGCGCTGAGACTACTACTACTACTACTATTATTACTACTACTACTACTACTACTACTACTACTATTGTATATATAAATACATGGAATTAAAATGTATTCGAAAGAGTAATCACAGTCGATAACCATTATAGCAGTTCTTTTTTTTTTTCATTAAAGATCAATGAATGATAGTTCTTATTAAATTAAAAACTTATTATTCGCATATTCTATCTGATAAGTTACTTGGATTTTATATATGAAAGAATTAAAGTTGATTAGAGTATTTAAACGTACATGTCCATTGGCTCCATATATGCCTTCACAGGTTAACTTACTCTGTTTGTTATGATAGAAGAAATATATATATATATATATATTAATGTATAAGTTCATATCTCTTCTTCTTTTTTGGACTATGACTATACTGAAAAAGAAGATGTCGTATTGTAAATATAATTGTTTGTTAAATATGAAGGCCTGCAGAGCAGTCATCAAACCGTCTAGAAGAATAGCGCACAAACCCTTCAAAAGATGATTAGACAACTTGATTGCTAGCGTCTGCAATTATTTGAGGAATAGTATCTTTTTTTTTTCACTACTCTTAACAACTAGGCCAAAGCTGTTCTATTGGGTTTTAGTTCTGGAGAGTAAGGTGGTAGGTAAGTGCATTTGTAGCCACGCTCTTTGATCATCTCGCCAATTATTTTACCTGTATGTATGGACGCATTATCCATGATTAAATGCTGTCCCTTTATTTTAGGGAGTTTGTCCATCTCAGCAAGAACTTCTTTAATAAAATTGTCATAGTGTTTGGTTACTGTGCCCTATGTTTATTGCTTCCTACTATCGGCTAGCTTTCTTTTCTATGAAGAAGGCATGGGTTTTCTTAAGCTAATTTTAATCAAGATTTTTAGCAGAAATGGTGCTCAAGATGGAAATTGAATTGACTCTAGCTGGCTGTAAGTACTTTGACTTTGGCAGCCTTCCCTTTTGAAAATCCAAGCCCTGAGTTCTTCTCAGGTTTTCATTAAATCCTAAACCCTAACTTTTCGATAAAAACACAGTTGTTCATAGAGTCAACACCTATCTCTTTCACCGTTTCTAACCATTGCTTTCTCGCTTGGATTCTTTCCGGAGTGTTTCTGTTGAAAAAAAAAAAAAAAAAAAAATACTATTCCTCAAATAATTGCAGACGCTAGCAATCAAGTTGTCTAATCATCTTTTGAAGGGTTTGTGCGCTATTCTTCTAGACGGTTTGATGACTGCTCTGCAGGCCTTCATATTTAACAAACAATTATATTTACAATACGACATCTTCTTTTTTTTTTCAAAAAGCATGTCACTCTTTTCTTGTATTATGCGACATCATTTTAAGGAAAAGGTATAGAAATATGCTTTGATGAATACAACATTATTTTTTAAAATGCGACCTAATAATTTTTTTTTTTTTTTTTTTTTTTTTTTTTTTTTTTTTTTGGTGCAACATTATTTGAGAAAAGGTGAATGTGGAAATTCAGTGTAACCTAGCAAAATTATTAAAGTAATTATAAACAAAACTCAATCCCTTAATTTATTTTTTCTTTTCTTCTTTCTAAGTATAACGAGTTAAATGCTATACTTGATATTTTGATTGTAATAATATCTATAAACATTATACGTGAAAAAAGTTATAAATCTTTTTCTTTATTATTATAATAATAATTAAAATGACTTCAGGTAATAATAAAGGAGAAAAAAAACAAAACAAAACAAAATAAATAAATAAAAGTTTATAAATAAGCCAAAATAACCTTTTATATATAAATCATTCTATAGACGAACATTATATATGTCAAAGGGCTGCAAATGCTATTATTTCTGAAATAGGACCTTTTAGAGTATCAACTGATGCTTTACAAACTATCAACCAATTTTTAGACGAATTTATAGTACTTTTATTGACTTGTTCACTTTCATTAGACTTATCACAGATTAAAACTGCTATTTTCAATTTATTACCATCGACATTAGGAAAGAATGCTATTGTAGAAGCTGAACTAGAGGTTAAATCGTTTACAGAGATAGAGTCCATTGATTACGATCTGTATGAACGTATGCGTAAGTTGGAAGGTTCTCAGTTTCCTATAGAAAAAGCCATCCCTTTATTAAGAGAGAAATGTTTTCAGTATTGTACATTAGCAGATAAGGAAGACCAAATACATTTACAAAGGAGAATGAAACATAATAACGATTCAGTTATCGTCATTTCACCGATTGTAGCTATATATGTCACAACAATTATAGAACATGTAGCAGAATATCTGTTAACAGCTGTAGCAATGACAGCAGAGCATGAAGATACTGATTATATTCGAGTAAAAGAAGTGTTTTTGGCTTTGATTGATGATATTCAATTAGGGCATGTCTTCCAAAAAATGAGTTTAAAAGATAAAATGGAGGTAAGCATGCAGATGAATAAAACTAAAAAGTGGAATGCCTATATATTAAATCTTTTTTATTCTTATTCTATACATATATAGAAAAGAGCTGGAGTATTCCAAAGTTATAGATCACCCTACTTATCATCAATTAGCAGTAGAAAAAGTTATACAACAACAGTTGATAGTAAGTTTTATATGCTATCATGTTTTCTCATATATTTAAATATACTACCTGTTACACAGACGAAACTGAATCTTTTCTCAATATTTCTTTTGACGATCTTGATTTGGACTATCTTGAAGATAATTCACAAACAAGCACGTTATCGGCAAAAATACCCGACATAACTAGACCCCAATCTACCATGTCACATAATACCGTTAATAGTCGAAAATCGACCTACCATCTCTTTAAAAACAATAGAAACTCATTAGCTAATAGTAATGCATCACCACGTGCGTCTGTCTATGACCCAGATTTACCTATTATGAATTTTGATGATTTAATCAAATCAGGAGAAACTGTCAAAGTCTCGCTTACACCAAATAGATTAAAATCCATTGAAACTAAAGATGAGCTTGTGGTTCCTGAACCAAAATGGGAACGACGTTCAATCTCATCACAACGACTCTCTGAACATATTGTGTCAAGACCTTCTTCACCGCTTGCCCGACATAATACAAATTCAAGTCATAATGTCAAAAGTAAACAAAGAGCTTCAAAAACATCTTCTATTTCTTCTTCTATAGCTTCAATATCCAACATAACTACTACAACGACCACTACTACAGCTTCTTCATTAAGTAATGGTTCTTTAGATGATTACCATCAACAGTTATCAATTGAAGTTGCAAAAATTAATATTCGAAACAATGAAACACCTACTTCTCCCCTTAGTAAAAAAAGCTTTATTGTTACAGATTCTAATCGATTTGAAAACCCTCGTGAGGCACCGAAGCCACCGATAACGCCACTTACAGCATTATCACCAAAAAGCAAGACAATGAATACCATTATAGATACGACGCCAAAAAGCATTTATAAGCCGCTACCTTCTAGTTTGTCCAGTCCAACAACTACAGACATTAAACAAAGTAAGGCTTTATCAAAGAATTCGAAATCAACAAATAGCTTGTCTCTTGTAGAGGAACCTACCTCTTCTAATAAAAAGGCCTCTACAATCAGTATAAAATCGCCCAAAATATCCCCCTTTAAACATTCAAGGACATCATCTCCAGAACTGAACGTCCCACAAACATCAAAGTCAAATAATTCGACTAATACTTTTAATACCAATGGAATGATTATTAGAAGAAGTAGTATGAGTAGTAAAAAAAGCAGAGAAAGTTTACGCAAATCAAAAGAAGAAGAAATAAAGCGAGAGCCATCTAATGAACCACCTCTACCGTCAACAACAAAGATTGCTAAAAAGCATTATAACGAAGAAATGATTAAAACTTTAACAGATGAGCCACAAGAATATATAACAGAGTTAAAGTATGTACAAAGCAAAGAAGATATTTTTACCTTCAAACCGGCAAGTACGGTTTGAAAAAAAAAAGAAAAAGAAAAAAGAAAAATTATAATAAATGATACTCTATCTAATAGCACTACTTGTTCTATTACTAGTATTAATAATGCAGTTAAAACTGATTTCAATACAAGTCTATTTGTAAGGTTAAATGATCACCATCTAGAAGATTACAATACAGATACAATTGGCATAAACAGGGTATTCAATAATATAGACAGTGGCAATGGATTGATAACTCAAGATAAAATGAATAATAGCTTGTCTCCTGAAAGGCCTTCAAGTATAGTTGCCAAACGTGTATCCATGCTTGGGAATAATCGACGTCAGTCATTGCATGAAAGTTATGCAACAGAAAAATATAATCAAGATAACTTATTGCATCAACGAGTGAGTGCGTCTATTAAGCAATGGGATGACAAGGTTGAGCAGCGAGAAACTACTGCTACGCCTGTCCCTCATAGACGTTCTGTATTAAGACAATTACAGCTCAGGGAGCAAGAGGAGCAGCGTACTCATGGTGTATTGGACAAAGTATTGAAATTTGAACGTCGTGCTTCTTCTTTGGATGAATTTACCCGGAGGGAACGATTTATGTATCTCCAGCAGGATCCTTCGGTTATTGAAAAAAAGTCAAGTATCTTGACTACAGGTCAAAAACGACTCTACGTTAAACCACTCGTATATCGAGCCTTAGGGATTGATCAAACTACTCAAACTGATTTCCCTGATGATACTATTATAGACAAGGATGAAGAAATTCATGGTAAGGTTGAGGGCGATGAAGAATGGTTTTTACAAGATTGGGATGATCAAGAAGAGGTTACCATTGTGGAATGGCTTCTTGGGGAATAAAATAAATAGTCACACTTATTGCTCTAGCCAATAAGACACAAATACATCATTTCTTATTAAATCTATAATATTTTGGTTTTTTTTTATTATAATTGAGAAAAGAATAATCTCCTTTAAATAACTAATCAAAAAACAAGAAAAAGAAAAGGATGAGTTCATTATTATTACCAACTGTATACCTTGGAGGATGTATTGCTGCAATGAGTGCATTTTCATATGTATATCGCAGGGCAACAAGTAATCATTATTTTTTATTTTATTTTATTTTATTTTTTTATTTTCTTAAATGTACATGTATACAAATGGCTAAACATGCTTTTTAATATTCTTCATTTACAGTGACTCGCTCGATTGAAGCATGGTTCCCAATTAACACACAAAAAGAAGAATATATTGCACTTTTAAATAGTGAATCAGCCATCCCAGAACATCATTTACGTGCAGCCCTTTTGCGTCGAGCCATGGAGGCCGTCCGTCGTCTTATCCAAGTCCAACAAGAAAAGCCTGCTCTACAACAGTTGATGAAAGCAGGTAGCATAGGTGATGATCTTTGGCAGGAGTTTAGTGCAGCTGAACAAGAAATCACAGCCGAGTTACAAGAAATTGCATTAGAGGCCAACACCTTTAAAGAAGGATGGGGACAGACAATCTTTAGTACAGCAGCTCAAATGTTAGAACATGAAAAACAAAAGCAACTGCAAGTAGAAATGAAGGCTATGCTAGAAGAAGAAACACTACGCAAGAAGAAGGAGGAGGAAAGAGAAGCCAAGGAAGCTAAAGAGAATGAAGCTAGACGTGCCAAAGAGGCTAAAAAAGCCGAAGAAGAATTATTGAGAATGGAAGAGCAAGAAAAGAAAGCAGCAGCTGCTAAAAAGAAATAAATCCATGCGCTTTTTTCTATATACATATATATATCAATATATAAAAATTGAATAAAATAAATAAGCTATATTATTTATGGATGAGTTATTCTTTTATATTCTCCTTAAAAAAACAGAAAAAGATAAAAGAAAAAAAAAAACTTGTTTAATGTAGTACAGTAGATTCTGTCAACTATGAATGTCGTTGACGAAGAATCCCAAACATAATAAATCGAAAGTATATAAAGAAGTGTTATTACTTTTATTTTTCTCTTTATTTATTTTTTATTTTTTATTTTTTTCGTAAAATTATGGTGCAATCTTCGGCTCCAATATTTGTTGAACTTGGTATTGTCGGTCCTGATGTGCTAGAAATCATTTCAGAATTAATATCACTTGTTTGTATTTCAGCATTATCAGCAGCTATTGGATCAAAGACATTTGGAGAGAGCTTAAAGACAATAAATTATGGTCGTTTTTTAGTTATTCTGCTTTATTTAGTATCTTGGGCCTTTGCAGTTACATCTGTTGTAGTTGTGTCTACTAATAATAGTAATATAGAATTACTAAATAGAGCCCCCTAATTTTCTGATTGATTTTTTCCCCCCTTCGTAACTAGATAATATAATTTCATGTACTCTAGGAATGCTTTCCTGCGATATATTTTATGCTGGGAGTAAAATTATAATTTATGCTTGGTTAATTGAACGTATTCATCTTGTTACTGCAGTAAAAACATCTCGTTTTAAAACATGTCAATATAAAGCTCATATAGGGCTTTTATGTCCATATATTATTATATTCGTCCTGATGGTATATTCCAGATTATAGATAGATCATAATTGTATGTTAACATAATCTTTTAGTTAACTTATAGAAATATATATCTCGAATCTGATGGAAAATGTACTATTGGTCTTCAATTAGTTGCAAGTGTTCCTTTACTTGTAAGTTATTTTTTTTTAAAAAAAAGGAGGGGCTTGTATAGTATTCAGATGCTAATATCTATATACATGTACATATATACATATTTGTATATTGATAAATTAATACATAGGTTTACGATTTTGTAAGTACATACAAAAATCTATTTTTTTCTTCTTCTCTAAAATGAGTATTCAATATTTGGTTGGTATTTAGATACTTAATTTGTACTTGACTTGGCTCTTTATGGCACCTTTAATGAATGTTGGCTTATCCTCAAAGGTGAATTGGAAGAGGTCAAAGCTGTATAGAGTAGCACGTCATACTTTGGTCGCCTCTATTGTATCTCTATTAATCTCATTTGTGAATGTATTAGTTGTTGTTATTACACATGGTCATGAAAGGGGTTTGGTTTGTCTTACAATGTGTACACTAGATGTGACGGTAAGATTTAATTGATTATTTTAACTCATGAAGCTAAATAAATATGTATATACATATATGTGTATAACGCTATATAGATCAATGCAGTAACTGTCTATTGGGTAAATATATATATATATATATGAATATTATATATATTTATATATGTTAATATATACAAGTTATTGCCCTTATTATAACTCTATAAAATAGGTTACAACAAATCGTCGTACAAATAAAACCAAAAATACAAGTGGGAGAGGCAACAAACCTTTTCGTGAATCAGAAGATCGTATCTCGGCTGAACTTACTTTTGATGCTCAAGAGCCACAAAATCATGATAATATTTCTAAATATGAGTTTGCTTCTATACATTTAGACCGTGATAGTAAACTAAACATGAATGAAGATGATAGTGGCGAAAGTGTTAGATCAATACAGATTTCGCAACTAAGTGCAAAACCATTACACCGTTATTAATTCTAATTTTGCTTTTTCTAATAAAATATATAAGACCAGTTTTGTTATCAAGGTAAACATGTATAAAGTAGTTTATTAAGATTATAGTGGCTCTATATAAATATATGTAAATATGTATATATAAAACAAAAGACTTTATAAAATAGTATAGGGTAGCAGTATTATTTGATAATAGCAAACAATAATATTACCGTGTTTAGTAAGATATAATATTTGACCTAGTAATTCGTGAGCAATACATAGCCCATTAGAGAGTCTCATGGTACGCTATTAACCAATTTCAAGGAAAGTACATACACACACACACACACACACACACACACACACACACATAAACAAAACAAAAAAAAATCGCAATAGAAATTATATTTTATCTTAAACATATAAAAAGAATAAAAGGGTAATTATACTACTTGTCTTCAGCATGCTTTTCTTCGGACGTAATTGGTTCTCCATCAATATTGTTTGAATCAGCTTGATACTGTTGTTGACCATAATATTGCTGATACCATTTATAATAAGCTTCTTGTTGTTCTGGCGTAAGTTGTTGACCATTATAATATTGATTATAGTAAGCTGTATAATCAAAGTTTGTTTGCTCATCTGAGTCATTTGTCTTGCTTTGACCGGAAGAGGGATAGGCGTCTTTTGATTGAGCAGGATCATTTCCTGATAAAGTGTTATCATATTCTGGATATTGTTGATAAGCTATATAAAATATAAGTCAACAGTATATTAAAATTATCACTAATATCATTTTCTTACAAGAACCATCATTATAATACTGTCCATAATATTGATTATATTGCTGCTGATAATCATATCCGCTTTCATCATATTGATCATATTCTTGCTGTTGAGGCTTGTATCCTCTTGAATTATATCTTCCTTGATTAGCCTAATTTATAATATAATTAACTACAGCCAACACAATAATGCAAAGACTCATTTTACCTCTGCTATTTTATTTTCGATAAGTTGCTTTGCAATAGAAACGCAATTAGGATCACCTTATTGTTACAATTATAAGTACAAATATAATAACTTTTTAAAACGCTTACCTACCAGATATATTTACAGTACGTTCAGTAGAATTGGGATCTGCCTGCGTATCAATCTTTACACAAGCACCTGATTGATCCTGTATAGACCGAATAGTTTCTCCACCTGATTAAAAATAAAACAAAATAAAATAAATTTGCTATGAACTGCGTAAAAATAAATAAATATATTTACCTCTTCCAATGATAAGACCAACGATTGATACAGGAATATTTATAGAGGCGTGCTCTTCATCCGATTTTCCTATACGACTACTATAGCCATTATTGCCTTGTTGATTATTTGCATTCCAATTTCGAGTAGTAGTTGACTAAAATAAAGAAGTTAAACAAACTATATATATATATATAAAGATATATTATATGTTATTACGTTATTATTTCCATAAACAATGTCTTCAATAAGTGATTTTGCAGCTTGAATAGCAGATTCAGATCCTATTAGAGTAATCATTCGCTCATTATGTTGATTATCTGAAGCAATTATAATATTGGCTTTGCTACGCTTCTTAAAGTCGCGAATTGTTTCGCCACCACGTCCAATGACAAGACCTACTTTATTTGCAGGAATCTGGATAGTTGTTGAAGATTCATTTTCTTGATCATTATTACTGCTGCCTGAATATCGATCATTTTCGTTTGATTGAGCATCAGATACCATTTGGCGAATCATATCACGAGCAATAGCTATTTGATCTGATTCACCATATAAATAAACAACTCTTTCATTACCAACAGGATCTTGAAAAAAAAAAGGGCTTAAGTTATACATAAACATATAAATTAGTTTCCTTACCATTAGCAAATTGGACCTTAGTGACACCAGACATACGTTCAATCTTTTTTAGATTTTCCCCCCCTTTGCCAATTAGTAAACCAACCAAATGATTAGGAACACTATATTCTTCTTGTTTTTGAGAATTATACGAAGATTTTCGTTCCTCTGAACCAAGACCATATCTTCGTGATTCTTTAACATCATCTAATTAAAAGAAAAAGTTATAAAAAATAAAAAGTGATGGGGAAGGTAAGACATACAAGACGGTCTTGAAGAACCACCATCATATGCACTTCGTTTACTGCCGTAATCATCTTGAGAGGATTTAGTTGTAACAGAGTTATCATCGCTATAGCTTCTTTTAGTACCTATAAAAAAAAAGTTAGTTTTACATCGAAATAGTAGTAAACAACATGTACCAGTTGATAAATGAGAACTGACAGAAGAGGATCCAGCAGTTGATTGCCGTTTCAACTTTTCAGCAATAGCCCTTGCTTTTAATAAAGCATCATTAAAATCAATAGAAGAAGACTTTTCTGAAGTTAAAGATGGCGGTGGGGGAACCGCTGAATAATTCTTTTCTGTCATAATTAAGTAATAAAGAATAATAATAATAATAATAGTATTAATAATAATAATAATAATAATAATAATAATAAAAAAAAAAAAAAAAAGACAAAGGTGGGTATTAAGACAGTCACCTGCTATGCTTATAAAGCTGGAAAATTTGCTTCTCAATCATTGTTATTATTTTATAATGAGATTAAGAATGCAAGTCAATAAATGGTTTCAAGCTTTAATACCAGTATGCAATGGTGATAAAAGTCATGCTAAAAGACAGCTTATTTGGCTTAAAGAAAAAGTTCTGATAGAGAATAATAGAAATCAGTCATTACCTCTAAGTTCTTTATCACAAGCAGAACAAGATTTGCTTGATTCATATATTGAGCAACGCATCAAGAAGCATAAACCTTTACAATATATATTAGGTAATTTAGTTGATATTAGAGTATATACTTAGTATTCATATTATTAGGTAGTCAGCCATTCTGTGAGTTGGATATCGTAACACGACCTCCTATATTGATCCCAAGGTAAACTAAATACTATCTGTTTACTTTTTGAAGACTTCTTATATTATTAGATTTGAGACGGAGGAATGGATTATGAAAGTATCTAATTTAATATCTGATCAGTTATCAAAAGGACAACGATTGTCACAGCCCTTGGAAATTCTAGATGTTGGTACAGGTACTGGCTGTATAGCACTTGCTCTAGCAAGGCATTTACCCAGGGACTCTGCACATGTGACTGGTATTGATATTTCTAGTGAAGCTATCGCATTAGCTAATCAAAACTATCATAATTGCAAACAGTCTTTAAATAACACAGTTAGTTTTAAAGAAATCGATGTTTTCAAATTAAACCAGCAGCCAAACATGATTGTATCAAATCCTCCGTATATTACTACAAATGAATATAAGGATCTAGAACCAGATGTCAAAGATTGGGAAGATCCAAGGGCTTTGGTAGCAGCAGAAGAGGGAACATTTGTACATAAGCGGATTATTGAACTTGCAAAAGAGTGTCGACCTGTATTTAAAGATATACCTTATCTTTTTATGGAAATCGGAGGTAGACATCAAGTTGAGATATTGAAAACACAAATGAGTAAGAATGGATTTCAGAATATTGAAGTTTGGAAAGATTTTGCTGATAAAGATAGAGTCATTTTAGGTTATTAATAACAAGCTTTTTTTTTCATTCTCTTCTAAATGCATATACAAACATATTTTAATTAAAGATGCCTATAAAGAATATATAACAGAAAGCTTCGTTTATACAATTATTCCTATTTAAAGTCGTATGACCTTTTATAAAATAAACCTTGTGTGAGTCCCAATCAAAGAAAAATCATATGGCATAAAATGATACTAGAAAAATAAAGTTTTTTTTTATTATTATTTCTTCTACATAATCTACATTGAATCTCCTCCGCCCTCTTTTTTCTTTTCACTACTTTCCTCTTCTTTCTATCAGAATCATGGCAATAAAAGGTCCTATATATTGGTATGTATTATTAAAAAAAATCTATCTATCTATCTATCTATCTATCTATCTATCTATATAAATATATACACATATATGTACATATATACATGTATTTAAATAATGATATTGTTACAGGGCTGTTGTGCCATTCACAATTATTACAGTATTTACTATTTCTAAAGCTGGTAATAAACCATCCCCATCACAGCATCCTATACGATTTATACCATCAGGAGAACCTCAATTTGATTCAGCAAATATGGATAGAATTCGTGCTGACTGGCATTTAAAAAATAATGGAATTGGATTACGAGATGTTAGGTATATATTAAATAATTTTAATAGTAATGATAACATATTTTGTTTCTAAGGGTACATGTTATATAGTCGAAGTGGAGGAGGTGTTTAAATTGTATTGTGTCTGCATAATAATAAAACTTTCTTCCCCCACAAAATAAATTATATTTTTCCCACATTCAAATTTTTTTTTGTTGCTTGCTGTCTTGTTTTGAAATTTGTACTTTTATGAAGCCATTGTGTAGGACCGTTATAATATTTACCGAGCAAATACTTTCCTTTAATTGTTAACTGAGCTTCATCATGTAAATGTTGAGTAGCCCTAGATAAGGCATGTGAGTTTATATAAGGTAATGAATTATCCTCGGTGGTGGGTGATTCATCATTATTTTGATTTATCTTTTTAGTCTTTCGAAGTCTGCAAATTAAATTTGATTCAGTGGACTAATTACCATATTCTATATGTGTTTTTATACTTACTTTGACCAAAGATGACTACTTTTTTTAGATCCACTTTCTGAGCTTACATCTTCAGATCGAGCCGAATACAATGATACTGTATCTAATATATCTTCTAGTTCATCATTTCTGGAACTTTCTGAATTAGTGTCATATGATATGGGTTGGTGTCTCACGTCTGTTACATATGTGGGCGTGCTATAGATAGAAATACTTGATTCAATTGGTTTTGTATTTTCTCGTGGATGTCGTCGAAGGAGTTTTTCTTTAAGCAAAGCTGGACTATTATGTAATAACGCAGCTCTCATAAAGTCTAAATAAAAGGGACAAAAAAAGGGACAAAAAAAATTATTATCGATGGAGGAAATATAAGTAATTTTATGTTACCTCTCTTAATATTTGATACTAATTCGAACCATGACCATGTCTCATTTCTAAATTCTAACGTTGGTTGTTCAAAGGCAAAATCTCGCAAGTCTTCAAGGTTTTTTTCTTTTGGACCCTTATTTTTTTTTAATTATTATTATTATTATTATATATTTTTTTTTAAAATCATTTGAAAGCTTACTTGATAACTTAGACAATGTCTGGCTCCTGGTATCTTAACTAGAATAAATGTACGATTACTTGAAGCTCTCTTCTTCATAACAGATAAATCATCAATTATTCTATTTTTTGCTACTATTTTATATGCTGTAGTTTGCTTTTTGTTTTTCTTTAAACCTCGTGAATTAGAAGTAACTTCATCAGATGTTTCTTCTCTTTTGAAAGAATTGTTAACTGTACTACAACTTGTTGTATTATTAAGCTGTTGTAAATCATTTGATAGATTATTACTACTTTGTATAGAAAGTGAAGTGGAAGAATTCTGAGCTTCGGCCATTGATTTCACTGCATTGTTGTCTAATTTTTCACCATAACCTGACTGAAGTGAAACTAAAGAAGATGGTTGATCTATTGCAAGATCAAATTCTAAAACTGTAGAAGCTGTAACTTCATGTTGCTTTTGTGTTTTTTCAGGAGGAAAAAGATAATATGCTAATTCTTTACCAAAACTATATGTCATCTGTAATCTTAACGGATGTAAATTGATTTCTAAATGTTGTGTCACAGGGATACCTCCAACTGGTGCTAATGATACAAAATAGCAACGCAACATTTTATGTCTAGAGAAATCGTATGGCTTGTGTGAATCAACATAAGGTCCAAGGACATCCACAAAGACGGGTGACCGAGATAAATTTTTAACTTGGATTATATCCACCTCTAATGTATTGATTGATGAATGATCCTCTTTACTAACAAAATCATATGTAAAATTATTCAGCATACATTCACAAAGTGGCCTTTCATTGTTAGTAAGCATTTCCCATTCAATTTGTCGAGCACAAAAAACAAATTTGAGATTGGTTTTAGGTTCGTGGTAATCTTTTTTCTGATTGCTCTGCATCAATTTAATAGCTTCCATACCTAAATAAAGCTCTTCTAGGGTATCATACAATTCTAGACGAATTGTCTTGAATTCCTCTAGTTGTTGACTATCCAAAAGAGATCTATTTTGACAGTACTGATCACGGGCATATATTAAATGTCGTGCCTTTTGTTGCAAACCAATAATTTTTTCCGTAGCTTCAAACATGCTTGAGCGATCAGCAGCCATCATGATTTCGCGAAGACGAGCAAGACGCTCCTTTTTAGCAGGCTCCTTATATAACAAGAGATCTGTAGCAACTTGATAGATAGCATTATACTGTGCTGAATCAGCAATGAGTTTAAGTTTAGGAAAATTAAGCTGTACAGAATCACATCGGTCTTCAAATGGGTGAGCTTGTGAACATACATTAGAGTTTGCTTTAATTCTTAATGGGTTATACTTATCATACTGTAATGTAGCTGCAATTTGATCGCCAATACGCTGAAATTTATCTGAGCTTTTGACATAGTTAATTAGCATCTCTGGAGGAATCCAAGCAAGCCAATTATCACTTTCTTTAGCCCCATAATGATTATCTAGCAATAAATCTACGCTATCAAACTGTTCCTTTTTAGCAACAAAGAATTGAAGGTTATCAAGACTCACAATTGTTCTGTGCTTCACGATTTCCATTTCAACATCTGGATCAGATTCATCAATGATATTAAAACCCTTGACTTGTGTTCTTTCATTGGCCACAAGCACAATATTGTTTACATCACAATCACTCTGTAAGCTGATTTGTGGGTTGAGTAAGTCTATCAAATAACTACTCTTCATCACGTAATCATTTGGAATCGTCTTTAGCTGCATCAGTGGATTATTGACATTTTCACTAAGTGAAATATCTACCTCATCTTTTTGAGTGGTTGACTGTTGCTGCTCAGTTTCATTAGAGACATAAAATGTAGAACTTTGCTCTGCTAGCAGTTTATTGATTAATTCCTCTACTATCGAAGCATTCATATCGCCTTCGTTATCATCTAAAACAAATTGTTTATATTGGAAATCAATTGTATCAATTAAATCTCTCAAAAATTTAGCTGTACGTGATGTCATATAGTAAGCAAGTGCACGGCGATGATCTCGAAGATCCAAACCATGATAGACAATATTTCGTATTGAATTATTCCATAATATTTGTGGATTATGGGCAATATAGCGTACTTTAAAATGCCCCATTAATTCTTCCCATTCTGTCAATGAATCTTTACCAAAAATTGTAGATGTTGAATACATATCTGTCTTCTTAACAAAAGTCTTATTTTGTACAGTAAGTTCCTTTAAATATTCTTGAATCATATGTCTTTTTTCATATAAGATTCTAGTTTTTTCCACAGTAGTATCAGACTATATATATTTATATATATATGTATATACATATTTAATTAAAATCAAAAAAAAAAAAAAAAAAAAATAGAAAAATAAATATAATTGAATACCATTTCTTTTAGATGTAATTTCTCTTTTTCTTCACTAGCTTGAAGTTGCTTTGTTTCAATATTATGAAGACGGGTTTGATGTTTTCTAATTTGTATATCTATGCTGTTGCATCTATCTTGAAGCAAACTCATTTGCATCTCTCGCGTACCAATAGCAGTTCCAAGAATACAATTATGCGTTTTATCTAAATATCTGTTTCTGTATAAATCATCTCGATTAATTTGACGAAGATAATAGATACATGGTACAAATGCAAAAGGGAGGATTTGGATGGTCGGCAAAATATCTGGTGTAGTTACACCGATTTCTACAAAATCATCCAGATCTATCCAGTCTGCTGAATCTAAATCATTCTTGAGCTGACAATTTAAACCTTCCATCATTTTCAATCCACTATTTTCATGTAATAGATAATCATCTTCCATTGGAGTAGGGTTATTAACATTTTCTATTTCAACATTACCAGTGTAACTTGCTTTTACTGCACGCAAATCTACACTTTTTAATTGAACTTCTGCTTCAGTGAATGGCCAGTTAGCTTTTAGACGTTTCTGATCCAACTTATAATCTGAAACATTAACAATGACTCGTCTCTGATGAATATCCATACTAAAATTCTTTACAAACCCTTTTAGACCTACAGAATCACCTAATTCTTCTGCTATCGTCTCTTCGCTTACTACATTCTCATCTTTGATAAAATAACCTACAATCAGGGGACTTACAACGACTTTATATTTCATTGTACTCATATGTCGACCAAATTTTTGAGTAGGACGAGTGTCAGTTTTAGGGAAAAGTGATCCATCACGTAGCGGATAACTCATGGCACCACCAAATAATCGAAACCAGTTCACAAAATGGTCGATAAATCCAGGTGATAAATGCATGGAGTTACCTGTTACGGGCCCTTGATCAGCATCATATGAGGATAATTTGATAATGCTCAAAGAGAAATGAATAAAATCGGATCGAAAGCCCTTATATGCATCATAATCCTAAATAAGCAAAAAATTAGATTTTTTTTTTAATAAACAGATGAATGCGTATTTACCTTTTGATGTACGTTCTGAGGCGTTTTATATTTAACTTTATAATGTGGTAAAAAATGTAACAGTCGCTCTTTATGTACTTCTCGCGCTTCTGGCATCACATCATTGTTCTCATCACATATTTCACAATCACACATACGTTCTAAATGGCATCCTAACCCCATTCGAATACCCCCAGATAATTTGAGCGCCATTTTTACAAAACGTGATTTGTTACTGGATGAGTTTAAAGTAGAGCTAGATACAGAATGATGCACACTACGCATCTCCTGTTTACCTATTTGATTTACAGTCATAATATAAGGTGAAATATATCCTCCTCGCAAAAGATCAGGCACACCAAATGCATAATCTTGACTAATAATTTGCATAAACTCTCCTTCTGGATTTTTGTGCCCTATTAACCAGACAACATTATTTCGCCAAACTTTCGCAAGCCCAAAGCCCTTCTGGCTCATATCATACGGATCACGCGTGCCTTTCATTACTACTGCAAGATCACCACCACCAATAAATGAGATCTTTGTTTGTGTATGTATCAGCAACCTAATTTTATCCCAAAATCCAATCTTTTGTGAAGGATCTATAGGAGGCTTTGTGAATGTGTCCAGAACACGTGTTATATCTTGAATAGCAGGCTGATAAGGAACAGACCAGCAAATATAGGATAAAGCAGAATTGTGAACATCAATATTAACCACAGAAAAGAATTTAAGTGGTGTACTAATACGCACAATATCCATTGAATAGTTATTTATAATAGGCACATGAATACAACGTGTGGCATCTTGATCTCCCATATCATCGCCCAAGACATAATCACCAGAAAGTGTCCAAGCATACGGTTCTTCATTGTCTTTTGTAGCAGGTACTAAAATAAAGGGGATAGGATAGTCTCGGATTTGCGCCCATGTCTCTCCAGATTTCCAATTTAGATGGAATGGTATTAGAGTAGAAAGGGGTGTATCTATTGGCTGTCCATTACCAACATTATACATAAACTGTCGAGTACTATCAAGTTCAAATGTAGGAGGACTGAAATAAATTGATGAATGTTTGATGGTGATATCTAATAAAGGTGGATATCGTGGAAGATCAACAATATCAATAGAAAACATTTCAACAAGAGATTGAACTTTATCAGTAGTAGTGTCAAATGTTGTATCAAATTGGTCAGCCATCATGTTATATCTATAATCTCCACTGCGAATTTGATTATAAAACTTTACTTCTTTCGAGATAGCCGTATCAATATGTCGTCTCCATGACTTTGAATTATGCTCTTGTAAGCCTTGCCATGCCTCGTTAACTCTTGCATCTGTCTCTTCCGTCACAGGCCCTATATAATAAATAGTCAATTTATATGTATTTGGTTTTGCCAATTCTTTTTTTTAAATTAATAATAATAGTAATAATAATAATCTCTATACCTTTTTCAGGACTGATATTTGAATTTTGCATTAATGAGTGAGCTTTTAATTCGAACGCATCTTGAATTGCTATTCTATTGGCTTGTTCAATTAAACCCGTTCTCCAAATCAGCCTTAGTTTTGCCTCAAATGGGTCATCCTCAAATTGGATTGTAAATAATCCACACTTTAGACGTATATTTGGTATTAAAGTAGCTGTCTTCTTCTCTTGGGGTCCATAAAATAAAAATGTGATATTTTTAGATATTCGAGCATGAATAGCTTTAATGAACTTTACAAGAGTTACTGCGCTATCTACGATATTACAGAGTTCATAACTGTAAGGAATTCGCAAATAAAGTTTTTTCATTGAAAGCTGATTTATTTTTGTATTCTCATCATTATTGTCTTTTTCAATACAGAAACTCACATCATCCATCTCAAGTAATTGATCCCATCGATTTGTTTGTTGAGGTGCAACACCGTACAGTGTTAAATTTTGGACAGCCATTGAGGGTATCTGCTTTTGTTCTGTCCATTCAATTTTAAAACCATCCATACGTGAATATAATTCTGTAGAATCAGAAAGAGTAATATGAACATCAAAACGCATGATTTGGAATTGATAATCATGTACAATTACTTTGTTCTCCTTGACTTTACTAGATTTAATTGGCGATGTAGGGACTTTGGTGAAAATTTTCTTCATATTCTTTAAAGTTGAAACAATGGTGACTAAACTAGCATAGTGGTTTGCAATAGAATACTCGACACCGATTTTCTTAAATATTGTAGAGGTTTTAAGAATGATATGTTCTGCCTCAAGTATTACTTTAGCATTTGTAATGATTTGAGGAACCCATAATAGGATAGACTTTTGATCTTCTTGGTTATGGGATTTAAAGACTCTTTCAACGATCATATGTTTAAATACCAAGTGTGAATCACCCAAAGACATATTTTCATTTGCTAAAATTGATTCCTGTATGTTTTTTATTGTAGACATATTACTAGAAAAGGAGGAAGCAGTATATGTTCCAATAAACGATAAAGTAATTTCTTGAACCAATACTATGATATTTACGTAAATGTCCTTTTCCGGAGCATTATCAAGGTACCCGGTCGGCACTTGTCTTTTCCCTTTAAGTCCTCGATCCAGACCACCAAATACAATAGTGAATTCTGTCATATTAGCATTCATTTTCAAATTAGATAAATATCTGAAATCATTCGATTTTGCTGTAGAGTCAGTTTTATCCTTTCTTATAAATTGGTTCAAGACCTTGTTAATCCAAAATTCAAGCTGGTTTTGGTTGGACAAATTAATAAAGGGATGTTTAATATCTATATCTGCATTCATATAATGTATATTTTTTTGTTTTAGAGCACCTCCCATAAAACAAGTGTCGATTTTTACGCCAAAATATTCCACCAAAACAAAATTCTTTGAGTTATATATAGTGTTGTCATCATTTGATGTATCAAAGCAAGTACTTTTAACCTCTAATTTTGTGTGTACATTGTAATTCCATACCAATTTGTTATGTGAAATCTGGTAATTATTCTTTGGTTTCCAAGTGCGTCTAAATAAATTGGTCCAAGAAGGCCTCGAATGATTTTCAGGACGCTTAGGGTTACTTGAATCAGCTTGAAATTTATTCGAATCATCTACAAATGAGTCAGAAAATTTCGATAAAGAAGAAGTACTCTTTTGTGCATCATATTTCCCATTCATTTCGAAATTGATAAATGCCCAAGATATGACGCCTATAGGTTCACTTTTAAAAATAACCGAGGGGCTTTCTATAGAAATCGATAAAGTGCCCTGAGGTAAATTATAAGATTCAGTTTGCAATTGCTTTTGTTTGTCTTCTTGAGAGGATTGTAAAGACTGTTCTCGGTTTTCGTATATATTTAACTTTTCTAATATATTTATTTTTGATAGATTGATACATAACTGCGGTTTAATGACTTCCAGTAACACATTGATATGCTTCTTACTGGGTCCCAAACTATTAACGGAAGAGCCCTCTAAATTAATTGGAGATGGGTTAAGATCTGTTGTAATAGGCAATATTTGTGAAAGATTCATCGTAAATTTCATATTTGGTAAGTTAAGTAGTCCTATCTCATCAACTGTAGTAGAATTTGATCTATCACTGATAACCCAAGAAGCCAGTTGACAGGAATACTGAAGCATGAACTGATTCTCAAAGGTGCCAAAAATTTCGATCTGTTTAAACTTTAAATTAGAAAAGCAGGCATTTGAGTGGTCTATTTCGAGATTTGTTGTATCGATAATAATAGACATAGAACGGAATATTTGAACAACAAATGACCTCTGTTCCGAAATATTCTTCGTACCAACTATAGAAGAACTATTGTTGCCATTTGTTTGCATCCCTTGCTTCATATTCTGTATCGTATCCAATAAAGGTCTTAGTTTAGATTTTAAAATATCAACCTTGACAATACAATCAATATCTTTAAGTTTAACGCATCCAGCAGATAAATGACAAGAAACGGTAAGATGGCCACCAGATGGTAAAACCAACATGTCATTTAAATGATTGCTGCCAACTGTTATAGGTCCTAGTCTAATTGTGATTTCAAAAGATTTTTCTTTAAATAGATGCTGAGCACGCTTTAAAGAATGTCGCTGATATTGAACTGAAGATCTAGTTGAAGAAGAAATAGTGGCGTATAAAATAGAACTAAAATTGATATGTTCAATTGAAATTGATGAATTTTCAATGTCCAAAATAAAATTATTGACTTGAACATCAACATAATTTGCTAGGCCTGCCATTAGTAATTGAGCGGGTAAAGCAGAAATCAATTTTATAATGTTTTTGAATGCTGATAGCGAATACCACCAAGGTATCTTATTAAGCGAAGAACTCACACGAGAGAGTTGTTTATTTAGCTGGTTAGATTCCTTTTTATGTTTTGCTTTTTTAAGAGCAATCAGACTATGTAATTGAATATGAAGATTCTCTATATAAATAGTAATGTATGGAGTAGGTGATGACAAACTTAAATCATTTCGTAGCCGTAATTTAAGTTTGCCTATGTTGATAGAAAATAATGGGTTTTCATTAGATTTATGATGATATTGAATATTAAGGATCGAAAGGAAACCCATGCTTGCAAATCGAAAATGAAAGCAGAATGCAAGTATTGATCTAATACAGATTAGAGCTAGCAATAAAAACAATATGATCAAAACATAATGATACAAATTCATCTTGGCTTGGATCTAAAAGTAGACGTTAGTATTTGAATATGTTTAACGTCAGCTTTTATACTTTTGAACAATAGGGCTTAAAGAGGTAGTAAATGCCATATAAAACAAATTAATATACACAATATCATTTACCTAAAATAACTGTTTTCAGGCGATCTGGAGTTGAAAATCGAGCATACATATTAAAAAAAAAAAAAAAAAAATCGGCCGAAACATATTATTGTTATAACTGTTGATTACATAATTTATTGCCTATAGTATCTTTTAGTTATGATTAATAATGTTTTTATTACACTATAATGGAATAATTGCAAATGGATTTTCTATAGAAAAATGGTTTAATATATGGTCGGCCCAAACAAATAATTCAAATGTAAAACTGTTCAAGTTGAACACTTTAGGATAAGCTTCAGCAAAGGCTGGGATAATTGAATCATACATGTCTTTTAAATCAGCTTCTTGGTCTGCGGATACGATAATATTTGAACTATTTGCATAATAATTAGTTGTATGCATTTTATATTCTTATCTATTTTTACCTTCTGACTTTATCAAAGAATTCCCTCCAAGGACTATTTCCATTAGTTGTATATTCTCTTATCAAGCATAGCATCATAATTAAATCTGCTTCTTCTTCTAAATCTTCAAAATTCTCGGATATAATTGTTGCAAATTCCAAATCCTTTTTTAATAATTTAGTTGGAGTAATTACAATATTATCTAATGTGATGAATGGTAGATGCTCTTCCATATCTAACTGGTGACTATAGAATGTTGAATTGACAATACTAAGGAAAGGAGCAGAAGGCGCTATTTTGTGATTTTGTTGGTCTTGATACATTCTTTGGATCAGATTACGTTTCATTACTTCAATTTTGTTGATAGTAACATTCAAAATATCTTCCTGTCCTTTACGGTACATAAGAGCATACCTTTGACAATCTGTTAAATCGTCCCCCATTATTGAAGTTGTTGTTAATGTAATAAGTCGAGTATTTAAAAGCCCAAGTATCATGGATATCATCGATAATTCATTTCTATAACCAACAAAATCCAAAAACATGGAATCTTTACAGCTTTGATAATATTCTACTTCCATATTGTTCATGACCAATACACGCATTGATTTGAAGAATTCATTAGGAATATTGTTTCTGTGAATATAAAAAGTGAAATTATCAGAAGTGACGTTACATGACAGTAAAATATGACGCTTAAGATGATAGTTGGGATCTTGAGAGAAGTTTGGTTTTAATGAAATAAAATCATATTCATTAAACTATACTAACAAGTTAATAATTATATATATTCTTATGCAATCACGTATACATTACCTCGAAACAGAAACCATAGCCAAGTAATACTAAGGTAGAATTATACTGTTAATATCATTATTCTTTTTTTATTCTATATTTTAACTTACATTCTTCATTAGACTATAATAATGCTATCTGGTTAGTTTAACTATATATAATGAAATAAAATAAAATACACAAATACTAGCCTTTGGCCCATAGTTATTAAAAACTTGATCTTGGCTACCAATATTTTGTCCTGCTATAAAAGATATAAATTTACCATCTTCGTCACTTGACCAAGTGATTTTCGTATTTGGCTTATGATTAAATGCATCTAACAAAGGAAATAATGCTTCCTCTTTTTCAGAAGAGCTGTCAATTAATCTAGATGGAAATGATCTAGAAGAAATCACATTATAACACCAAAGAAATTCTTCCCTATACTTTTTTGTTAATATATTTAGTACATGTATGTTGATCAGCTTTACCATGAAATTTGATCTTTATCAATATCGCTTGGTAAGTTCTCTAAAATTTTTTCAAATTCTTTATGTAAATATGCCTTTCGCTCTCGAGTTGTGAATTCTAAATTAGTATTTTGAATATATTTCAAGTCATTTTCATCAAAACACAGGGAAGTTTTGATTGTCTTTGGAAGAATATTAATGTAAGGCCAATAAAATGAATTTTGCCCTTTCTGTTTTTCAATCAATAAAAACAAACATAGAACAAGACGACTAGACAAAGATGAGAAAGCTGGCAATGCTTGACGTGCAATATGTTCGGTGATGCAAATACTTGAAGGTATTGAAACAATTGTCTCATTTGTGCTAATTGCCTCTAATGTATATACCCCTCCTATACCTTCATTGTCTTTTTTTTTTAAAAAAAATGATTAATATATAAAATGTATAATGTATATATCTTTGTCTAAATTAACCTTGCTTGAGCTCGATCTTTTCAAAGCTGCCTCCATGGGATTTTACCCAATTTAAAAAATAGAATAGGGCGAATCTGTCATTTACGTCAAATCTAAAAATAAAATAAAAAGCCAAAAAGGGAAAAAAAGGAAAAAAAAATTTGAATCATTGTTACAAAAATAAAAGGAAACAATTTTTCTCCTTTAAAATAACAATGAATTCAGAAATTGTTCCTAATTTGTTAGGAAATTCAAGCATTACTACTCAAGGATCTGATCATCAGGCAGCACCTACCTTGTCCTGGGTTAATGTGGCTATTGCTTCTTCTTTTATATTAATTAATGGTAAATAATTAACAAAATATACATTATTTAATTTATTATTCATAATTTTGAATATTAGGTGGTATTTCTGTTGTATTGGGCTTAAAACTAGAAAAGACGTTGATAATTGCAGCTTTACGCTGTCTAATTCAATTAACTATTATGGTATGTGTATTAACTATTTATTTGCATCAACTAACAAAAAAGAAATATGTATCAGGGTTTTATCTTGGAAGATGTTTTTAAAACAAGAAATTCAGCACTTGTAATGCTCATGACATGTAAGTATATAAGATAAAAATGCATAAAATAGTATTAATTAGTTATTATTTAGTTGTCTTGATCCTTCTTGGTGCCTATGAAACAGTTTATAACAAATCAAAGCAATCCTATAAAGGCATGGTAAGTATTGATAGAGACTGCTAATTCTATGTAAAGATACTAATTTATTTATTATTTATAGTTTATATCTGTTTTTATATCATCTGGCATTGCTACTTTAGTAATCGGCATAATTGGTACACGTTTTGCTATGAAACAAATACCTTTTTGGATTCCAGAAATATTTATACCAACGATGGGCATGTTATTAGGCAATGTAATGAGTGGTATGGCTGTAGCCTTGAGTAGTTGCCTTTCCAGTGTTGGTAGTCGCAAGGAAGAAATTGAGACTTATTTAGCATTCGGTGCTAGTCGATGGGAAGCAGGTCAATCAATTGCTATAGAAGCAGTTAGATTATCTATGTTACCTACTATTAATCAAATGTCCGTAATTGGTTTGATTGCTATCCCTGGTATGATGACAGGTCAAATTTTAGGTGGTGCGCCTGTGAGCAATGCAGTAAAATACCAACAAATCATTATGTTTTTGATTTCGGCTAGTACGTCATTGGGTGTTTTAAGCGCAGTTGTGGTAGAGTATCATAAAACTGTAAAATATAGGATTTTTAAATTAACTTTGATATATTTTCTGTAGACTTGTATTCGAGTTTTAATTGATAGTCGTCATAGATTACGACCAGAAAGAATTATCAGTGGTAGAGCAAGTCTTCGAAAGGATGTAAAGAACACTATCTTGAATATTTGGGAAGGTTTAATATGTAACTTGAATCATATATTCACCAGAAACAAGCTTAAAAGTAAGGACTATAACTCGAATATTCAGGATGAACAACGTAGACCTTTATTATCAAATTAGCTTCTATTTATAAAATGTAAAAATGGAATTATGTATATTAAGCCTTGATTTATTAGATAATAAATGTTCTTATTTGAATATAATCAATTGTTTAATTTCTACACAAGATAGTATAAGGACTTTTAGATGCATTTTGTTAACTGTGAAAATATATATTTCTCTGCACATTAGGATCACAATAAATAAACAGTTTAACTAGAACTAGAGTGCAAACAATTATGAATATTATGTATGAAGAAAATAGTCTTACATAAAATAACTATACCTGTATATATAATATTTATTTACGGTAGGTTTTAAAGCCATAAATAAAACTATATACTCGATTCATTTAACGCCTATTTTCATTATGCCTTTAACAATAATGCAAGCAATAAGAATATAGATTTATTTTTTTTTAACGTTGGTTTATATATTCCTTTATTTCTTTATGTTACAGTATGCAAAAAATCAAAAATGTCTTTATCAGATTTATTAGTTTTATTGTCTGCGAAAAAAATATAATCATTAAAAGGATTATCAGAAAAAATATAAACGTTATATCGTTATAATAAATGTGTAAAATTCATCCTTCTTGAAGAAAAGTCAAAAAAGAAAAGAAAATGATAATGTTTTAATTATTAACAATCATGGTGAAAAGAGTTAATTAATCTAACTATTTTACGTTTTAATTTATCTAGAATTGTATTTGGAATAATGCCTAATATTACATTACATAATTTATCATGCCTCAGTTTTTCAATCATATAAATAGAGTGGCAATTTGATTTAAGGAAATAGCAACTTCGAATTTCGTTTAATTATTAACTGTATATTTAAACTTGATAAACCAAATGTCATTGGAATAATAGCTCCTATATCTAATGAAGGATCAAGTTGTGTTAGTAAGTTTGAACAAAAACAGAAGTAAATATATACTGCTTCAATCATTATTATATGTCAATGTTAGAATTGTAACATAGAAGCAGCAGCAAACATGAGAACAAGTCTGTTTAACTTACCCAGGTTAAGTTTGATTGCAGTCTAAGATTTCGTTTAATGAATTGTCTGCGAAAAGTGGTACGAGTGAAAACAATAATGCTCCATCAGCAGGCAATTTTGAATAATTGCACCGCAAAGGATGACAGTATAATTGTTTTGTTTTATATATTATACTTCAGGTGATCTATTGAAATACAATTATATAACAGAAATTAATATAAATAACCCGTAAATATAACAGTAAAATTTGAATACATACCATTGATGGTTAAACATCTCACTTGGGTACAACAAAGTATTGGTTATGGGCTCGAAAGGATATTGCTGGTCTATAAGCATTCAGGAATTTTGTCTAACATGTCAATTACTATATAAATCAATTAATCTAGCATTATTGTACTTTTTTAAAGTCTTTAGGTCTATGTAAAATTATAATTTTAAGCAAGTATACTAAAGCGTCAGTCTAACATTATCATTACTCTAAAGTATGCGTTCAGAAATACACATGAAGTAGAAACTAACATGTTTTTAGAGTATTCATCATATTATTCGCAGTCTTAGAGAGGGACACAAGTAAGCGGAGAGCCAATAGAGCAAACTCACTTTCAAGGTATACATCTAATTCCACTTGGGAACTTCGCAAGCTATTACCCTTGAAAAGATTCCCTAAAAAAAAAAAAAAAAAAAAAAAAAAAAAAAAAAAAAAAAAAAAAAAAAATTGCAGCCATAAAAAAAAATCGCAGTCTTAGAGAGGGACACAAGTAAGCGGAGAGCCAGTAGAGCAAACTCACTTTCAAGGTATACATCTAATTCCACTTGGGAACTTCGCAAGCTATTACCCTTGAAAAGATTCCCTAAAAAAAATACTTACCCGCAGTCTTAGAGAGGGACACGAGTAAGCGGAGAGCCAGTAAAGCAAACTCACTTTCAAGGTATACATCTAATCCCACTTGGGAACTTCGCAAGCTATTACCCTTGAAAAGATTCCCTAAAAAAAGAATATTCGCAGTCTTAGAGAGGGACACGAGTAAGCGGAGAGCCAGTAGAGCAAACTCACTTTCAAGGTATACATCTAATTCCACTTGGGAACTTCGCAAGCTATTACCCTTGAAAAGATTCCCTAAAAAAAATACTTACCCGCAGTCTTAGAGAGGGACACAAGTAAGCGGAGAGCCAGTAGAGCAAACTCACTTTCAAGGTATACATCTAATCCCACTTGGGAACTTCGCAAGCTATTACCCTTGAAAAGATTCCCTCATGCAACATAAGCAATTAAGTTTATGTTTAAAATGTAAAAAATAAAATAAATAAAATAAAATAAAATAAAAAGGTCTAATTAAATTTGATTTTAAAGCCACGTAATCATTGAAGTTGCATAAATTATTAGCCAATTAGAATAGATACAAGTGTAAATCAAAGGTACAAAAATAAAAGACAATTCAGGTACGCTTTAGGTATTTAACCATATTTATTTTATTATCATGACTACCATCGCTTTCAAAGAATGTAAGTGCTTCTATTAACGTATCCACTAAACACTAATTTGGTAATTTTATAGATATTATTAACTACGTCAATAGCATTAAGGGATCAGTAACATTAAAGAATTTCATTAACGATGAATTTGAATTTATTGTAAGTAATACAGTTATTGGAGAAGACCTTAAAAGTGTCTGGTCACATCGCTTAGTATCTGCTTGTAGAGAAATGAACAAAGAACTGGTAAATAATAATCTACTACATAGTTTTATATTATAACCACTGACGTTTAAATCTAGAAAAAGTCTGATCCCGATTGGAGTAAAGTTGCAATGGCTGTTTTAGAGAGGGAGCATAATAAGAATTCTAATGCTTCAAATCCCTCAACTGTGATTGATAGAAGAAATATTTCAAACACAGAAAGTTCTTTGAATGCTACATCACAAATTTCGGCATCATCATCAAATGCAACCTCAAAACAGTCATTCCAACAGACTGACAAAGATAAATTATTAGAAGTCTTTAATCAGTTGGACAAAAAGAAATTCTGGTATCTAGAAGCTAGCAAAAATTTTGCTAAAGAAAATAATACAGAATTAAAATCAGTTGAAGAAAAGATGTTAATTTTTGCTTTGCAATGTAATTATATTCAGTAAGTATTCGTATTAGTAAATAGTATCATTTTTTATTCATAGTTTTACTATATTTTATAGCCCTTGTCATTCTTTTATACTTGATTTAAATGATCAAAATTGGAACGAAGTTTTTACAAATGAAGAATTGATGGAGATAGATAATTATGGAACTCCAATAATTCGTAAAATTGATGAAAAAATCAGTGCGGAATTCGACAAATTAGAAAAATTAGTAAGAATAATATTCTAAAACAGAAAATTAAACTTTATTATTGACGGTCTTTATATATTAGACTTCTTTAAATGAAATTTACGATCATGTCCGAAATATAGATCATTGTCCAGTAAATGATCCTCTTATAGCATGGTTGTCTCTAACTGTTACCACGTTATCGTTGTTATTTTTACAAAAAGACAGTAGAACAATACATGCTTCACTCGAGTCTGATCAATTGTATCGGTTATGGTTTTTTTTGAATACTATTTTTGATAGTTCATCCATAAAAGCAATTGGGTAGGTGACTGCAGAATATATATGATTTTTTACTAATGTGTTATATAGCAAAGAAAAGTCGAGTTATTCGAACTCAAACGCTAAAAATGCCAAAAGGAAAATAGCTGCAATTGAGGAAATGGCTAGTAAGAAAATGGGTAGAAAAATCGATACCATTTATGCAGGTGATAATTTTGAGTTTGGTGCTCTTGAAATTGGAAGTAAAGATGACCAAACAAAAGAAATAAAAGATGGTAGATTAAAGCTGCCTCTTGTAATGAAAGATATCCTATTGAATATTGTCCGTAAGGTTCCAGGTGTATTGAATAAAGTACATATAATAGGATATTGTATAAATGGTAAGTTAAAGCAATCTTATTTATCATTTGTGATATTTCTTTTAGTTACTGTTCCGTGTGTAACTGTTCTTATTTTAACTAGGTAATAAGCTTGAACTTTTAGACATGGATTGCCCTCAGGGATATGTAACGAGAGTTCGAAGATTGAATCAAATGTTGTATCCAACAAATTCAATAAATTTTATAAATCGTTTACGTCCTCTTATGGAAGTAGCTTACATTGGTAAGTTAATCATGGAACAAACTTGGACAACAATTGAAAGTACAAGAATCCCTTTGTCTAGTTCATTTGGAGCACCAATTATTCTTCCTCCAAACTATGAAAAATATTCCGTAGATTCTCCCAGAAAAAAAGCAAATATTGTAGAAAAATAATTTTGATATCCTAGCTTAATAAATTTTTCTATTTTATTCAAATTCACAGTTATGTTTTATTTTTTTTTCTTCTAGTGAGAACAGGTTTGTATAATATTTATATTATATTTGCTCTAATATTATCAATAAAGCTGTTGCTATTATACAATTTAAACCATAATAAATTCATATTTCCATATTTTCAAATTACAAGTGGTTTTGTTTTTGGATATAATGTATTTTAACTTTAGAAAAATTGTCATTTGAAACCCTTAGCTTGTAGACATTCATCTTAACAGTATGAAATACATTAACTTTTAATCCAACTTCAAACTCTTTTTTAAGAATTATTTACTTTACATTGCTGATGAGTTACACGATAGAAGTAATTATGAGTACGAATCAAAGGTTAGTTCCGAGTATAGACAATATCTACACAATTAATACTCCTTTGAGTGCAGTAAGATAACAAAAGATAAAATGACAAGCCTGTGAAAGATTTGATAATACAAAAATTGTACAAAAGGAAAAAGAATATGAAAAAATGTCAAAGACTATTTATAAGTTTTTTTTTTCTGCAAGGTAAGTAATATTAGTAGAAGTGTGATTTGGATAAGTGAATACTGGTATAATAAAGCATTATGTGTAAATGTTATACCTGAATAATTCTGCTTGAGTTAATATTGATTCACAGTGAATATTTTAGCTATAACAATACCAATTAATTATGCACTACTATTATTATCATCCTCTGAGATATTAATACATAACAATATTCAACATTATAGATGACTTATAAATAATTTGGTAATTGCATAAAGCAGTTATAACCCTATTAAATTCTTATTATTACATAATACAATGAACATAATTATTTTTTTAATGCTCAAATACTCTAGCAATGACCGCTATTAAAACTGAATGTAGTATAATAAGCATTATGCTGTGACGTACAATGCACTTTTTACTATTTAATAAATGATTTTCTGTTTCTATTAACTTGGTTGTAAAGACAACCACAGTCATAACAGTCAGGCCTCCCGCTCAACAAGCTCTGTTCGTTTTTAGCTTCCAAGGTTGTTTCGTTTGTCCATTGTAAAAAGATATCTTAATCATGGTCATCAAACAGTCAAGATAAAAATGGTTCAACAAAACGAGAGCAGAGTTCCGTTTCATTGGAGTCCTCTGTTAAGGACATACGAGAGAGCTTCTTTATCAATTCTGCCATTCCTCGTGTTGTCGTGCCGTCCAGAACCTCTTGAATAATTTTGATACTATCCATGACAGTCTCAGTAGGCAGAGGTAGTTTGTTTATGTTGTAAATAGTTTTTATATGGTCAATGGCGGCTATCAAGCTGTGTACGTCCAAAAAAAAAATAGTAGGTACATTGGTGCAGTAGTAGAGTAGAATAAAGTAAGTAACTATCAAAAAATACAATTTCCTCAATTCTCTGGGGGGATAAAAGGAGTTGAGCACGAAAGCTCTGTCGATTAGGATAAAAGCATATCATATATATATATATATATATATATATATGTATGCCGCAAGCCGCTAACAAACTCTGAATTACAAGAAGTCCACTGTGTATCATTTAGCAAAAAGGCCTTTACATCACTCATACTTTAGACAACAGGTTTTTTCTTTTTTATCAGGTTCGTTTATATTTTATATCTTTATATCTTTTACTAAAGTCTATAAATGATGAGGGAAAAAAAAATGAAATACTACTGCTGCTGCTACTTCTATTGAACTGCTACTACTATTGAATTGCTACTTCCATTGGTTTGCTACTTCTATTAAACTGCTACTTCTATTAAACTACTACTTCTATTGAACTACTACTTCTATTAAACTACTACTTCTATAATATTTTGTTCAAAATAAATTAAGCTTATAAAAATCATTCTTGAATTATCTTTATCAGTATACTCATACATAATAATAGTAATCATAATATAGACTTCTTACATACTGTCTTTCCTTTCACTTAATATAATTAAATTCATCAATCTTCTTAATTCAAATAGTAAATTTAAAGTAAATATGAGTTACCAAAAGATCAATATTAGTTTAAATTTATTAAGCTACTTTTAAGCGCTGTGATTTTACTTGTAAAATATCAAATAAAAATAATAAAAAGACAAAAGAAGTCAACAAGACCGAACAATAGTTCTAAAGTTAATCACTTTATTTATGAATTTAAATTAATGGGATATTTATAAAAATTGTTAAAGAGGACTGACATAAGATGTGAATTAGAAAAGAGTTATAGGTAATGAAGTATTAAAAGTTTTAATAATATTTGATTAAGTGGATCAAGAGAGTTGCAAGAGAATTTAGATAGAGTTCCTTGAATAAATTTATGATTCACTAATAAAGACAGAAATAGACCTTATTTCAAGCAGAGTTGCTCGGAGACATAATGCTTTACTATACCAGCATTCACTTATTCAAATCACCCTTCTACTAATATTACTTACCTTGCAACAAAAAAAAATATAAATAGCCCTTGTCATTTTCTATATTATTTCAGAGTATTATTTTTCTTTTAATGAAATAGACAGAATTTTCACAGATTTGTCTTTTCTGTTTTCTCCTTCCTTATCTTTTGCATTTATAACATCTCCAACTGATAGTGCAGGAAGTGATGAGAAAAATTCAGCCCAACATTCAAAGCATTAACAATATTATAACAAAAATAAGTAAGAACCTTTCCAAAGAAAAGACCAGACCAGGGAAGAGCAAGTGCATATGGATCTTTAGGAAAATCTAATGAATTTACATATTCGATTAAGAAAAGCAATAGGTTTGCTAAAAAAAACTCAAGCTATTAATCTCAAGGGACCCATTTCACGAGTAATACAGAAAGTAAAAGTCCTTATCTCGAACTTTTTCTTTTTTTTTTTATCTGATGTTGACATATGTTGCGTATATCGCTTTTGTTTTTAAATAAAGTAAGTAGGAGAATTAAGTAAAAGTAATCAAAGCAAATGAAAAGAGATAAAGAAAACTTGACTTGTGTTATTTTAAAGATTGAATCATGTCCCAATACAGATGTTATAATAATGTCCCTCTTATGGCAATGTTACTATTCTTTCTTTTTATTTATTTCAAACAATATAAATACTCTTTATGATTCTAGGTAAAATATAATGCTTCTCCTTTTTTCAAGTCGTTAGTTAACACCTTCAACCTAGTCTAATTGAAATCAAGGATACGTGAATGAAATAACAAGCTAAAGAAGGGTTCTTTTATCGTAAGTTATACAAGATATTCGATCTGCCTCAGTTACCTAACAAATATCATTTTGTTAAAAAATGATTATAATGGTCAATCATAACTGATAACTCGTTGGAACTGTTATTTCTTAGTGTCAAGCAAGTAATTGAAATGATTGGTAGGTAAAATATATAATTGAGCATATTTATCATTTATTAACATTTCTTTTTAGACCTTAATAAAAGGCCAGGAATATTAGAAAATTCTTGGGACCTAGTAAAGTTCCATTAGCCGCCTAGTTCGGCCTTTTGTATCCCATTAAATGATAACATAGAAACTTTAGATAAAAAGATTTAAAGCTTACGTCATTTTTTTTATCCAATCATAAATATGCATGATGATTTAAGGAGATGCATATTGCAACAACATATGACAAAATCGTTTAAATATTTTTTTTCCCAAGAGGTCTTTTTCTTCTTTATGGCCGCTTTTTTTCATTTTTATTTTTTTTTATTTTTTATATTTCAAGCGGTTGCCTATTGTAAGTGCTGATTAGTTTCGCATTTGCATGGGTGGTCCTCTATGAGTCTTGATCTTTGCATCAGATTCAATATGATCTTCTACCTGAAGTTCCCCAATTCGAAGTTATATATCGGTGTGTTAGCTTGCTAGGACTGGTATATGATGTTCGACGGAGCTTCGCATTTCCATTCCACTCCCCCCCCTCCTCTTTTTTTATTACTTTTAATTGTTTTTATTTTTATTTGTTTTTACTTCTAATTGGAAATGCTTTCTTTTTGGGATCAGTGACCTGTACCTTCCCGTGGTTGATTCTGTTAACAAAATCGTAGTTGGTTTTGAACTAAATCAGGTCTTATTTTTTATAAATTGTAAAATATTGAATAATAAAAGTCAATTTTTTTTTTTTTTATTTATTTGTTTTTTATTTATTTGTTTTTTATTTATTTTTTTTAATAAATGCCTTCATCAGCACAATGAATCTAATTAAGTAATTGCTTTTTTAAACATAATTTTGGTACCTGTTGTACTTTGACTCAATGTAAGTAGTGTGTTAAACGATAAAATGAATAGCTCTTATTAAAAAAAAAAAAAAAAAAAAAAAAAACTATAAAAGGAATGTTTCATTCAAAACCTTTTGATTATGAACTACGTTACATCTGTAATTTACAACATCCTTAAACACAGACGTAGCCAATCTGCCTTCCATTATTGTTTGAGGTTTATGAGAATCGTTTAATCCTTTGATCAACCTGGTCGCTGCACGGACAACAATGCTAAACTTCACGTTACACATTTGCTGCAATGATTTAAGAAAAGCAACATCATCATTACCGCGACGAATATTAAGAGAGTATATCACGGTAGCAGCATATATATCATCCATTAATTGTTCTTGATCAGTTGTGGTGAAATTATTGTACGCTAGACATCTTAAGATCAGTGACCCAGCACGTTCGAGAGGGGTAGTATTAGTATATAGTGGATTTAAGGTTCCAAAGCCTTTTGCGACAAACCTAGCACTTCTTATACCCCATTTGTAACAAGCTGCTCCTCTTGAATAATTTTGTAGTAGGCGTTCTTCTCTGTAGATACCATCTAATACCGGTGATTCAAGAATATATATACACTATTTTCACAAATTATTCGTGCATCTTCAGGAAAAAAATTTGTGCAGTTTAAAAATAAAAATTGATTTAGGCTCAGGAATAAACTTCGGCCATTAAAAGGAAATAGTTTCGTGCAATTAAAGAAAAAAAATTCGCGCAGTATCAGGAGCCTTTCTTTCTCACTTTATATTCAATTGAGTATGGACTCTTTTATTCACGAAGACGGAAAAGGAAACATGTTAGATGACCAGGGAAATGAAGTTTTTACGATTGATATGGAAGTGGATGATGAAACTTATCCGCTTGAAAATGTAACGGATTTGAACCAGTACTTCGACGTAAAGCCACCTGAGAGAATGGAACATGAAAAAGAAGAGAAGCTGTCTGAGGAGTCCAATACTAATGACCAAACATCCGAAAAGGGCAAGAGAACCTACAGACGCTACAAACCTGAAGATAAGGAGTGATTTTTTTTCTTATTTATGAGAAAAACATGGGCATAAGAGAAGCAGCTAGAGCCCTTAAAATGTCAGAGACCACTGCTCAAAGTTGGTACAAAAAAGAAAGCCAGAATCCAGAGGAAGTGATTGAAAGAAAAAAGGGTAGTGGCAGACCTGTGGGAAGACCACCTATCTTGAGAGAAGAGCATGAACAATTCTTGAAAGAGCTTACTGATGATAAGCCAAGTTTAGTTTTACAGGAGATGATGGACAATTTGACAAGCAAGTTTGAGGACCTATCTATTTCAAAAACTGCTCTTTACAACTTTGTGACCAAAAAGTGCAGAATTAGTTTGAAGAAAGCACACTTCCACTCAGTAGAGCGAAACAGCCCTGAAAAAATTCAGGAGAGACATGATTGGGTAGTAAGGTGGAATGAAACAGACCTTGATTTCACGAGTAACTGCGTCTTTATTGACGAGGCAGCTTTCCATATCAACATGAAGCGCTCTGTAGCATGGTCAAAAAAAGGAAGCCGTGCCGTTGTAGTTGTACCCAAGACAAAAGCCAAAACAACAACTATTTTGGGTGCTATCTCTCCTTATGGTGTAGTAAACATCAAAGTAAGAAGACCAAGAGCACCTGTCCCTTTGAAGAAGAGAAAGACAGCAGGTAGTACTCAGGCTACTGAAAATACCAAAGGCGGAACTGTCACTGGGCACTACTTCAATTTCATTGCAAGTACCCTTGATATTTTGGATCAGCATGAGCAATTTAAGGACAATTACATTGTTATGGACAATGCTCCTATTCACAGGCATGCTGATATCAGAAAATACATTGAGCAACGCGGCTACGGCTGTGTTTATCTTCCAGCTTACTCCCCTGAGCTCAACCCAATTGAACAATTTTGGTCAGTATGTAAAAGCAAGCTTAAAAGAGAAGAGCTTTTGGAGGAAGAGACATTGTCGTCTAGAATTGGGGATGCATGCAACAGAATCCTTTTGAGTGATCTTCAAGGATTCTGCAGATGCTCAGCTGCTAAATTCGAAGACTGTTTGAACTGTAAGCCAATATAGTTTTCTTGTTCTTTTTTCGTGCACTTCATGCAATAATAAATCATGAATTTTTTTTCTGAGCCTAAATCAATTTTTATTTTTAAACTGCACAGATTTATTTCCTGAAGGTGCACGAATAATTTGTGAAAATAGTGTACTAGAAGTTGTACTATCCTCATCGGCTGGTGTTTTGATTTTGAAGCTGGCACCAAGAAAAGACTTTAAACCGCTATCATGAATATTCCCGTAAATCCCCCCAGTTACAAGAAATTCAAATCTACCGTATAAAAACATTACTTCATGCCAAGTTCTTCTTTTGTATGACTTCTGTATTATTCTTGCAACAGGTGTTTCCGGATAGTTAATTAATTTCGTATCCATGGCACAGGGATCAATGTCTAAGTCATTCCGAACAAAAGCGTCCACCTGTGTAATAAAGAGCCAATTATCTCTAAAGCACACAATAGATTCAATGAATTTGATACCAGCTGGTATAATAATGTTGTCGATACTAGCAATATCAATAGGTTTAGTAAGAAGGCATGAAAGGTCCAGAGGGGGGGAGTTTTTATCAGACAATAATTGGTATGTAGAGCATTTGTTAACAATATTCTGTTTAATAAGCAGGTCAAGGTAAAAAGGATTGGACACGCGACGCCGTTTCAGCATGGCTCGACCGCTAGTGATATACTGTGTCATCAGGGCCTTTCTAACTCCTACCATAGCTTTCTCAACTTCATAAGGTACTTCATACGCGTCATAGTCTTTTTTAGTTAGACCGTCCTGTTCTTCATCAGAGCTAGAACTACTGTCTCTCAGTGTATCGATAGGCAACAAAGTAATCTTATGATCAAGAGTAGGCGAATGTTTGACTGTTAGTCTTCGATAAAATTGCACGAAGTTACAAGCAGGGACAAATAATTCCAGACCGTAGTGATTAGGTTTGAGGTAAGCAATCAATTTCCTAATACCTCTGTGATTGAATGGCTTTGTAATTGTTAGTTGTTGTAGTCGACTCATGGTTTCTAAAAGACTAATAATTTGATTGATTGAAACAATTGATGAGTTGTCTGCTACTGTGGTTAGAGTAAGCGATCTAACAGTCAGGCTTTGAAATGTGGCTATTGGTTTTGGTGAACACAGATTTATTGTCAATTGGGGCACATGTAAAGTCTCAGAAAGACAGGTATCATAAACAGAACGACAGCTAAAAGCAAAGCTTTCTCTTGACTCCCAGTCTTGTAGATGCTGAAGTACATTTAGGCAAATTAGTGGACCCTCAATCATGGTTTAGTGGTTTTGACAAAAAGTTAAAGGAACACAGTTAGAGTTTTCAATAGAAATAATAAAAAAAAAAGGAAAATTACACTAAAAAACACCTTCCATGGAAGGCCAAAGCTCTCCTATTCTTAACCACAATGTAATTTCGTGTCTTATCTTTCAAAGAAAACAAAAAAAAAAAAAAAAAAAATTGTTTAATCACTTTTATATGTCAGTGATTGTCATATTGTGCCTTTAGACGGCGATTATAATACTTAGAATGACGTTTAATTATAATAGTGAATAATATGTCGTTTAGAATGACTAGAAGATATCATAATACTGCGTTGAGGATTGAAAGTCTAAACTACATTCCCAAAACGGTAAGCACGCTTCTTGAAAGAAACCGAAGACCATATAATATCTAAAATAATAGAAACCATTTATGTCAGATGAGTGTTTATGGCAGTAAAATTCAAGTTTTATATTAACAAGAAGGTACGGCTTAAGAATAAATAATAAAATTTGTTGTTCAAAACTATTAATATGATTCAGACACAAATTAAAGTTAATGAATATATTGCACTGTGTTATAATCACTTCAATATACAGTAGTAAATTTATTACAACAGTTTCGAGTCTGTGTACTATTTTTAATTATAAATAAATGACTTTTTTTTTAAGAATTCACTTTAAAGTAACCAAAGGGGACCTCGTCCAACTACGCTGTTCGCTTTCAGCAGACACAATATTTTCCCTTGCTTTATCTACTTGATTGCAAACGAGTTGTTTCAGTTGCAGTAAGGAGGGTATAGTTGGAAGGGTAGATGTCAAGTCATATATGCTTCGAGGAAGGTAAAATGAACGTATCTTAACCATTAAATAGACCAAAGGAGCAACCAGTTCCATTCTATAAATGTCATAATCAAAACCTACTCTTAAAGAGTTAGTTATTTGCTCTTTGCAATACTTTGATCATAACTTTACCTTGTCCAATAACTCCATAAACCACAGGCTTATTGATCTTGTTGGCTATCATACGATTAATCATAATCTGTAACTCCAAAGAAATCTTGAACAAATCCTCTTTGACAACAGACTTCGGACACTTGACTTCAAATACTAAAAAATCGAATATATCAAAGCCAATTTTGGCACTGTACTTAACATCAGGCTTCAAATCATTGTTTCCTATTAAGTTTGTGAAATGACTATATAACGCAGATAGTTATGAGTTTGCATTTACTCGTATCATAAATATTGTAGTACTTACCCATCTCTAATCATAGTACCACCAGTAGGAAATATAACATTTAAAAAAGGATCCAAAGCTCTTCCAATAAAAAGTGATTCATCTTTTGAATGCACGTTTTCAGCATAATCATAACTATTAAGCCTATGAAAGAGAGATTTGTTTTAGTGCTATTGAATAGAAATTGGAAAAGTTAGATATTTACAAATTATACATAATTTTTGCTACCGGATTATTATTATCCTTTATCAAGTGTTGCAATGCTGTATTCATTGCATTCTCTTTATCATTAACATTGAGATTCTATTAGATATATCAAACTAATTAGTAAAAATAATGTCGTACTTTTTTTTTTATCTACACGTACTTGACTGATGTTAATAATAGCATCTATATCTTCTTTCATCAATACAGGATATGCTTCATTCAGCCCAAATTGTACAAAAAAATCATTTTGGACGTGAATGACAGAGTTTATTGGATCATGTTCAACTAAGTAAACATGATTTATTACTATTTTTTTAATAACAGGCAGTTTTTCAAACACCAACTCTTGTCGCAAGCATTCATTTCTAAAATTGAAGCAGACTTTACTAAAGTTTTCCTCTTTGAAAAAAAAAAAAAACTATAACTAACAGTATAAATAAAGTATCGCAAATTATTTTTAATGCCAATTTACTTACATAAAACATCATTATATCAAAGTCTACTTCAGTGGATTCAGTATTAATCGTGTACAATGAAGATTCCAATTCTTGTGAAGAAACAAACTGTTCTTCTGATGATATCATGCTAAATAAATACTACTTCATCAATGCTACAAGTTATTTAAGTTTATAGGGACAATCGAAAGATTACCTTGTTTCCGAATACTTTTGCTTTTTATTATTTGAATCTTCACTGCTAGTATCGTCATTCTTTCTACAGATTTATTAAAAGTTAGCTCCAGTAATTAGGATATATAGGATGGAGGGTATATCACCTTTTAGCCTATGCAGAAATTAATGTCAGTAAAAATGATACATTTTAAAAACCAAACAAATAGTTACCTTTTTATGTATATGTGAATCTTCTTGTATTTTATTAATAGAGCTTGAAGCAATATCTGCTTCAAAATTCACACTTAAAAATAAAGATTGTTGTGTAAAATAGCATAGAATTAGTTTCGATCTGCATAAGAAGGGATAGGTATATGTACTTACGATGGTTGAAAAGAAGAGGATGAAGAAGCCTCAGGGTTTAATTTTAATAAGTACTCTCTTGTCATTCTCTAACAAATACATGTCAAGTTTAGTTCCTAATTGTAATAAAGTTGCTCAACTTACCATCCAGTCGTGCTTCCAGTTGTTTGCTGTACTGTTGTCATACCGTTCCAAATCATTTCGAATAGAATCAAAAAGCTGCTGGTATGAAGTGAAAGTTTTCTTACTTAATTTTGATTCTATAGCTTCTACTAAATCCCAATTCTTATGGTTAGTTTCTTGAAAATATGACATGGTCTGGTGAAGTAGAAAATGAAGTTTTATGAAAGTCTTCAATTGCACTTTTATTTGTTACAATCGAAATATATTCAAACTCCATTACTAAAAAAAAAGGGGGACAACTTTTTGAAATCTATTTGGTCATTTCATTGAAATTCAATTGGTCTTATTTTTTGATCATTTTATCAAAGGCAAATGTTGTTACTTTTTTATATACCATTATTTCGAGATTATTCTTCAAATGAGCATGAATATTTTTTATGAAGATGGTGCTGGTAATATCATTGATGAATAAGGCGAGCAAGCAACAACATATGTTGAAGAGAAGTCATTTTTTTTTTTGAAAAAATTATCAGATCTTTGAAAATACATTAAGAATAAGGATCTCCAATTTGAAACAATCAGTTCAGACGACACAGTCATGAAAGAGGCTATTCCAAAGAAAGAAAGACCTCTTGAGTATAACGTTTATACAATGGAAGACCGTAGATATTACTTTTATTTTTTGAAAGAAAAACTCATGAAACCAGAAAGATGCTTGTAACAGAGTACTTATCAGTGACCTTCAAGGTTTCTGTAGGTATTCTGTTTCAAAATTTAGTGATTGTTTAGACCGTAAGCCCATTTAAAAGAAATAAATAATTTGGCGTACTTGATCAACCAACATTTGAACCAATTCTAAAATAATTTATGAGCCTAATTTTTTTTTATTTTTTTTATTTTTATGCCTATTTTTTTCCAATAATTTCGGGAAATAGTGTATTATATTGAAATCAGGAAAATTGTTGTGAAATAAAAAACTCACCAGTCTCCTCACCACTAATTTAATTATTATAAATATATGCCAGACTAAATGACCTTTTTCTTAGTCTTTAGACAAAAACATATCTTCTTTTTTATGTCGTTCAGATTGTGAACAGTGTGTTATTTTTATTTTATTTTTTTTGTCTCATCAATATTTTTTTTTTAAGATCCGTAACAAATTAGCTCTTTCATTTCATATAATAATATTTGGGAAAATATTACGTAGGAGTTATTTACAATACACGTAATCAATTATTTTTTTTATTTAAAAATCTATTCTTTACATTTTTGTGGCTCTTTATCTATTCTGATAACGATAAATCTCTAATTGTATTGAATAGGTAATTATCATATTTTATATTTTAAATAAAATTATCTGTTTTAATAACAATGAATCTCCAATTGTATTGAATAGGAATACGTTTATTTTGAGACTTTTTTAATTAGACATGATGTTCTCTGCTATTTAATCCACTGGCTATATGTATACAATCTGAATTCCAAACCTGGTACGGACTCGTCTTTCCTTTGTTTAAGCTACTAAAGAACACGGTTTTATCCTCTCTGGGCTGCTACAATTCTGCATTTCTTGTACTTTTTAGGTTTTATAGTAACTTTCGCGGGACTATGATTCAAAATCTACGCTCTGGGGTAGATTGCAGTGATGTTGAATAGAAGCAGTTTCTGCTTTCCATCGCTGTCTTTAAAGCCGCCTTCCTAGACTTTCATGTTCGATTGGAAGTCATGTGGAAAAGAATGTGTAGTTGCGTAGTCATTGATCTGAACTTGAGGATCTATAGTTCGTTTCGCGGGACTATAGTTCTGGAGTTGCGTTTCGCGGCAGTTCCGAGATGGTTTAAGATACTTTGTCACCCAGAGATGGCTATAACTTTGTTGTTTCAGTCAGTCTTAGAACTACTATGAAATTCGTGTTTGGTACTCAAATTCACATACTAAGTATTATTATTATTATTCTTATAATTATTTTGTAAAACTAACTGACTTTTTTAATTAGACATGGTGTTCTCTGCTATTTAATCCACTGGCTATATGTATACAATCTGAATTCCAAACCTGGTACGGACTCGTCTCTCCTATGTTTAAGCTACTAAAGAACACGGTTTTATTCTCTCTTGGGTTACTATGAATAATATTTTCAACTACATCATAATCTTAAACAACTTGTCTATTTGAATGTGCAAAGTCAAGTTTATCTGGAGTAAAACTCCCAGTTCAAGGATTATTGAAATCAACAAAGTACACCTTAGAAGTATTTTTATGACTTTGATCAAATGCTAAATAAACGCTCTATATGAATATATAGCTATTTCTTTTTCATGAAACCAAATACACGTAAGCAAAAGTATTTTACTGAGTAACTACCTGATTTTTTCGATTGAAAATTATCTTAAAAGCAAAAAAAAAATCTTCCTCATGCATTAACTCTCTCGTAAAATTAATTATTGACAATAGCATGATTTGTTTCTTGTTTAAAACAAATATACTTAGTTAGCTAGTTGAAACCCGCGTATTGAATACTTGAATGAATAAAATAATGCATTCTATACATTATGCGATAAGTGCAGTTTAGTATGAATATCGGCATATGTTATGAGCGGTCTAAATAGTTTTATTACATTTAATGCGTTCACCAATAAATGAAGCATGTGAAAAAAGTGAAAGTTTAATATCTTAGTCACCAGTCAGCAGAGTCTTAAAAAAATATTGCCATTTGAGTATAACAATACTGCCATTTTGGTAAGACGAAATCACCAATTGGCGCTGGAGGCGCTGTAAATGCTACTTGGATAAAGTAAATAAAATTTCGTTGACTCACTAAATATTAAAAAGTACTTTTTTTTTTGTATTTGGTAGAAGATGAGGTTGCTTGTAATAATGTGGGAATCTAGCATCCAACCTTAGTTTGTTGCTGGTAACGGACCTTATGACTGTGCCCCTAGTGAAATTATAGTTAGTGATCTGATGGATACATGTTTGACACTATAAAAGTAGCGCAATTACTGCAAGACACTTCTTGGAATATTATCTTAATTATGAGCTTATATGAAGATCAAAAAATTTACAAATTGTCCATCAAAGTTAAAGGCTCATAAAGGCTCTTCCATAACTATTCTGCCCAGAATTGGAATTTTTTGAACTACTATAACGCCACTCATAACAATTGGAATAAATTTAAAAAATACGATAATATAAAAACCAACTTTAAGGATAATCTTAATTGGATAGTACAGTTACCAAATATTCCAGACAACATAAAAGCATTTGTTACAAAATTTAATGACGATATTCCTGCTAAGAATGAAATAAAAGATCTTGTAGCTAATGCGGCACAAAAAAGAAAAACCTCCCATCATCAACATGTTGTCATAACTGGGAATGTGGGGACAATAGGTGATATAATTAATGGTGATAACGGCTATTCTGGTAAAAGAAAAGAAATTGAGAAAGATGTGAAACCAGATAGAGTAGACGAGGATAATGACAATTTTACAGCAACAGGAGACTTGAAGTATTTTGTTAAATTTTTGATGGAAGAAGAAAACGATTACCATCCATATAGCTTAGAAGCGCATGGAGTTGTTAGGTGCAGTGAAGGTGTCTCACCACGACCCCATTTGAATAGAGTATCATATAATGAATACTGTAAAAACCACTAAAGTAAAAAATTTCTAATACCCTCAGAATGTGTACCATATATTGATGATGTAGTCGATAGAGATGATATTATCCTGTTTAGAAGACAGATAAGAAAGATACCTAATGACTGTAGAGATAATGAAGAAATTTACAACTTCCTTAAAAGTCTATTTATTGCATCGTATGAATAAACTATAACACTTAAATTTTGGTTATTGACTAGTATATAATCATATTTAATCTTCAATACTATACATCTAAACAAGATATTTACAATGGTGAACCAACATTCAGCAGTTTATTTATATATTCTTGTCTAATCGCAGTTACAAGAGGTGTGACTTTAAATGATTGCTTGGCCAATTTCAAGCCTGGAGAAGCACACTTAGAATCAATGAGTAGACAGCTTAACGCTTTAGACTCGCGAAATAATGATAAAGGCGAGTACAAAGCTGATGGTATTATCAAACTTTATAGAATGAAAAAAATAGAGCTGTTACTGTTGGAATCATCAGGGTCATTAAATAATAAAGCAAAAAGCAAGATAAACTATGACCATCATAATGGCATTTACGGCAGTTTAACAATGTTGAAAACAGTAGCTGATATTTTTTGCTTTGCCTCGATTGAATGTTTCAAAGTCTTTAAAATTTACTTTTTACAGGCTGAAGGTAACGTTAATGATATATTAATTATGTTTACAAAACTAAGTCTACTATTTTGAAAAGGAATGTCGTTGCACCTTTGGAGTATCCACTTTACAGAAGAAGGATATTATGAGCTATGAAGAGAAGAAAATTTAGAAATATTACGGACTTTTGATGACAAACATGATCACCTTCCTAATTTAATACAGTTTTGGTGGAGAGTAAAGGTTTGAAGCATACATTTTCCATATTAGTTATGTTTATTAACATTTATTTATAATTAGGCTTTAGTAACTGAATCAGTAAAAGTTATTTCAAAATTGAGTGAAGAGCACATTGTTATAGAACAAACTCTGGATATAAGCATAAGTAATATTATAAAAGTTGAATTACATAATAAAGGATAAACTAGAAGCCTGGATATAAAATAAAACATTGTATATAACGTTCTGTAAATAATATCAAACTTATTGACATTTAATCGTCTAGACGGGTCAATTATAAGGCATACTATAAGTTCTAGATATTTAATTTTATTAGTGTCTGTATTTGAGTCAAAAAGGTAATTATAATTGCCAGTCCTTAAATTTTGATAACATATTTTTTAATAAAAAATACTACCTGCTTATTTTAAAAAGTTCCCTTAATTTTTTATATTTGTTAATAAAAAAAAAACTGCTTCTATTGTTTTTTATCTACTTAAAAAAAAAAGGCTCTTAAATACTTGTATTTGCATTCATTTCTATATTGTTTATAATTTACTAATATCTATTTATTCTTATAAGTAAAAAAATCTTACGTATGGCTATTTACTTTTCTTTTTAACTGAAAAAAAATTTCATCCTCATCCTCAGTAGATTTTGTTTTATCCTTGTCCTCATCCCTTCTAAACTTAACATATTAAAATAAAAAAAAAATAGAAAAAAAAAAAGACTTCAACCATCTATTGATTATTATTCTATATTCTTTTTCAATAATATGCAGATCAATAGATCCTTTTTTTTTCTTTTTAAAAAAAACACATAATATAAAAGTACTATTGAATCCAATTATAGTTATAATAAATAGAATTTTTAGGGTTCACAATTACAATTGTCGGAAAAAGTCTACAATGTTTTGATCAAAACCACATATCATGCGATTTAACAATTGAGTTGATGTGAAATAAAGTTGATTTCCCCAACGAACTCTGGAACAAGCTACATACAATTGACCGTTGAATTTCATGGGACGAAGTAAACTGATGGCGATTCCAATGTCTACAGTTAGGCTTTGAACTTTATGAGTGGTGGCTGCAAAAGCAACCATCAAAGGAAATTGACTTCAACAATAGCTTGTACGGTGTATTTCTCTTGTAACATGATGGATTATACGTACTTGGCGATCTTTTAATCGTTGTATAGAAGCAGTATCTTCTTCAATCTGATAGATATTACATTATGTGCCATTTACCCAACCTTGTTCAACATCCAAATCTTCTGTCAGTAATACAGATACGCCTTCCTTAATATGTAAGGCCTTTTCTAAGCGGGTTTCAGATAATACATCTGCTGATCAGATATCATCGCTTTCCAAAACTACGAGCTCACCTAGCCAGACTGCGACTCTATCTTTATAGTATCTATCTACTTCTACATTACTATCATATAAACGTAATGCATTATCAGGTACATCACTGTCCAAATATTTTTGGTCGTGAATATATTTCACGACAAATCCATTTTCACTATCAAAATCATTCACTCGCAAAAATGATAAAAATTTTAAAAAATCGGTATTCTCCGTATTTTGTCTTTGGGGAGTTCTTAAAACAAAAGTATTACTTATCTTTAAAGGCATCCAATCCTTAAACATTTTCGAATTACTCTCGATAGGAGGTAATTGAGCTAAATCATCAAAGAAAACAGTTTTAAATTATCTGAATGGTTCAGGATTCTCTGCAACAGCTTTTAATTCATCTGACATTCTTTCAAGCTCATTTACATTGATCATAGAGCATTCATCAATTAATAATACTCACTTTAAATGCGATTTCATATAGTCTTCTATGCGAACAGGATTATATCCATCATAATGCATAGTTGAACCAAAGAATCGGTCAATCGTTTGACCTCCTGCTGTACATGCTGCTATACCTGTAGGTGCTAATACAACTGGGTTATATCCCATTGTTCTGAATCTATAATAAAGTAAACGTAACAAAAAACTTTTTCCTGTTCCTGCTGCACCATAAACAACATCTATTCCAAGACTGTTACTTATTAATTCATAGATAGACCTCTGATCAACATTAGCCATCTCCAACATTCTTTCTAATAATTCTATATATTCTTCTTCATTTCTATTATCTCCAAAATTGCTTGTTGCGCGATTCATCATCATACTATGATCAATTCTATAAGTAAATAAATGATTATATATGTATATAAAGTTAATCGCAAAAACTCTATTGTTATTGTTGTTATTTTTTTTTTTTTTTTTTTTTTTTTTTGCAGGCATTTATACCTTTTGATTTTTTCCAATTCTTGCTCAGTTATTTGGAAATCATTGTCTTCACAGATGTCAAAAAATACATCTCTCCAACTATCATTGTTATTTTGCTTTAATATATCCAACATATCTTCATTTGGAATTGGTTTATAAAAAAGTAATCTTTGATAAAAGAATGCTTCTTGATCACTTTGACTATATTCATGAGTTCTCCAAAATGGTAACTTTCTCGATTGACTACGGGCTTCATATCGAATACCAAATGCATCTGTGCATGCTTTAGGGACATTTTTCATAATACGTTTATCAAAATACTCTTGTTCCCTTCTTCCCTTGTTTTGTCTATCAAGTCTAACAATTTATTCTTTTTCACCATCTACATTGAGTTCATCAGATGTATCATGCTCTTTTGCAGTCTTGTATAAAGTAAAATATTCTGGCATTGTTAAGCTACCAAGCTGATGATGTCTATTTAAATACTTTTGTACATGAGTGTTTGTGTAAATATTGGTGTCTGCAACGTCTAAACGATCCAAATCTCTTCGTATTTGCCTTCTTTCATCTCTTCCAGACAACACAGTACATATATATACAACACTACGGCTACAGCGATGTTTATTCCAGTCACATAAAAAATACGCTGCATCAACGACACTTACGATTCTATCTTTCATATGATCATGCATGTTTTCCATATTAAATTGTAAATTAACTCCAGAATCGACTTTTGACAGATACTTTGCTAAATAATATAAAACGTCTTTGCCGCTATTTACTTGAATATCCATGGCAAATTTTGTCATCTTCAGTAAATATGGGTTATAATTATTGATGTAAGCATCTCTTATATGACACTTATATACTGTTCTATTCTTGCCATCAAAAAAAGTTGTGTTCAGAAAGTTCATGAGGAAAACCAAAACGGCAATAGATGCCACCTGCATTTCTTTTCTCTTGTGGACAATAGTTAATGCATTTATAGAATTGCTTATGAATTACCAAGTCATACAGTTTACGATCATCATTTCTATCTGGTGTTATGATTGTAGTCGTCTTTATAACCAAGTTTATAGAAATAAGCCATCATTTATTATATAGTGAAGAGGTTATTCAAATAAAACTAGTATATTATATTCCACAGCATAATATTCATTCTATATTCAGTTTTAATAATAGTCATTGTTAGAATGTTCGAGCAATAATAATAATTGTATACATAATTCAAACAGGATTATGACTGGTGCATTCAATTACATAATTATCCATGAGTCATACATACAGTGACTCACAAAAGTGTGGTAATGCTTTATGATTTTTGGCTTTCCTTAATGCACAACATAAATGAATAAAGATACATTAATAAAAGTATTTTTTTAATAGAAAATTGACAACATTTACATTATTTTTATGGCTTCTTAACCCTCATTCAAATGCGTGAATGTTCATTTCGACAACAAATCATGTCATTTTATACGATTTAGCCATTTCGTTGTATAATATTTTTTTCTTTATCTATTTTTTTTTTAATTTTAATTTTAAATCATTTAATATCATTATTGAATTAACAAAAAGATTTACTTCTTATTTAATATCGTTTTTCTCTCAGATTCATTACTAATCTGAACAACATTTGTGCATCATTCCCATTAACACATAGATCATTACATACATTAGAACGAGACCAATTCCTATGATAAAAAGATGAATATTTTAGAAAAACTTAATGCTAAGGAATCTTATAGGGATATTTCTAAGGCAATGGGCATGTCAACTAGGACAATAGGCAGAATTGACAAAGAAAACCAAATTGAGATTAATGTAAAAGAAGGTAGACCAAAGAATATTAGCCCATTACTTGGAGGATTGATTGCGCGATCTTTTTATACTGGTCATTTTATCACTGCAGTGGACACTGTCCGGAACTTACGTGGTCAACGATATGATATTTTTAAGGGCCGTCAACTTTGTAAGAAAGCTGCAATCCTTCAACAAGACAATGATCCGAAGCATACATCCAAATACACAACAAATTGGTTCAAGAAAAATAAAATAAATGTCCTTCAATGACCACGATACCCACCTGATTTAAATCCAATTGAAAACTTTTGGTTTTATTTGAAGTACAAGCTTGCTGCCTATGATAGGACACCAAAAAACATGGATGAGTTACGGGAGCGAGTTACTGATGTTTGGTACAATGAAGTTACAGCAGAACTATGCTTAAAACACAGAGAAAGCATGCCACGACGTGTAAAAGAAGTAATAAACATTGAAGGTACATTATTTATTTCATTTCTCAAAAAAAATATATATATATATTTGCATAAAACTTATATATATGTAACTTTTGACATGATTTTTAAAGTAGAAACATCATATGTGCATATATGCTATGAGTATCATAAAAAAGAGGAGACTTCTGTCTTTCTGCTAGTATATGCTATATAGTACTTTACTTAATAAATAGACCATTTGTTATTGCGGATTTGCTTAAATTATCTAAAATTCTGGAACATTGCCACACTTTTGTGAGTTACTGTAAATTATTTTCCTTAAATACAGATATTTCTTCTCCTTTTTACAATTTACATTATATTAGCATCCAATTAAAAATCTTATTGTTGATGAATGGTTTTATGATTATTAGCCTAATCAACAACAACAACAATAAAAAAAAGAAAAAAAAATATTAATTCTAAAATAGTTGAGGCGCTGTAGTGAGACATTGTAGTGACACACTGCAATACCTTTTATGTACAAATAAATTGAAGAACAGCGGACACATTTATAATCGCCGACAATACACAAAAGGAAATAAAGCATATAGAAACAGTTGTATATAGAAGAAATTTCAAAATAAAATGAATTTAAGCAATATATTAATAAGCAAACAATATGCAATACATACCATAGCATATACATATAATAAACTATTAAGATATATTCCTAAAAATGAAACCGCGGAGTTTACAAAAATCACATTTCGCGCTCCGCCCCAAATTTAACTTAATATAGAAGGAAGGAAAGAATGAATGAATGAATGAATGAAGGAAGGAAGGAAGGAAGGAAGGTAGAAGAAGAAGAAGATAGAAAAAAAAAATAGAATAAAACTAAAATAAAACTAAAATAAGACAAAATAGAATAAGATTGCAAAGGACAGGTTAAAATAGAGGAATAGAGCTTACTATGTTGTATTATGTTGTATTGTATTGTATTATATTATATTATATTGTATTGTATTGTATTGTATTGTATTATAATATGTTATGATATGATACGTTATATTATGATATTTTATGTTATCTTAGAGCATATATATACTATATAGTAGAATGAATGAATGAATGAATGAACAATGAACAATTATTAATATTAGACTAAATTAATATTATGAATGATAGAAAAAAGATGATGCAAGTTTATTATTGCCAGCACCAAATATTATATGGTGTATAATACAATTAATTATGCTTAGATATGTAATATAACAGTTTAGTTAAAATACAAGTAATAATAATAATAATGATAATAGTGGTAGTGGTAGTGGTAGTGGTAGTGTTAGAAAAAAAAAAAAAAATAAAAATTACAAAAGTTTTTGTGGCGCCAGCGGGGTAAACCTTCATCAACCCCAATTCGATTACACGACCTCATGGCAACTTGAATAAGGTGCGAAATCGAATTGGAATCTCAAAAACCCGGTTGACTGTATCTGGAATTTAAATTCTTTATACCTATAATTTAGCTACATACCACCCACCCACACGTCACCACTATTACCATTAATACTGCTGCTGCTATTACTCATATATGTATGTAACCACTCCTTTTTTTTTTTTTTTTTTCTATAAATAACAGTAGTCTTTTGTAATGAAATAGCATAACATATTTATATGTATACTAAATATGTATTTGAGCTATTATTGGAATATACTAATGAATTAATCTCAATCAAAGCATAATAACACTAGTTACAATTAGCTACAATTAGCTAAAACTGGCTTATATGCTTATTATTAATTCTATTATATGCATTTTATGCATTTTCAGTAAAAATATCAATTATATAGTTACTTTTATACGGTATATATCTATTAATTTATTATTATATAGCTACTATCA